AGCCAAACTTTTCTCGGAGCTGCAGGTATACCGATAGGAGGTCTCATATATATCTCCTCCCTGAGGTCGCTGTTGAGATAGGCCGCCACCGCATCCAGTTGGTGGATTTCGAGATCGCGCGCGGCAGCGTAGGCTAGACAAGAGAACAGGGTGTCGCGGCCAAGTGTGGGCGAATAGGTATGAAAGTAATCCTCCCCAAACACTTCTGTGAAGCCCTTAGCAACCACCCTTGCCTTCTTCTTAGTTATCTCTCCATCAGCTCCGGTTTTCTCAGCAAAGACTAAGCGCCCGTCGTGAATCCTCGCATCATTAGGTTCATCAACCTCAATGAAGACTCCCTTCCGCCGGAGATTCTCATATTCCTCCACAATCGCCTCTGTCCAATCCATCGCATCGCGTCGATTCATTGCTTCATGGTAGTCATGGGGCGCTTCCATTGCAATAAACGCTGATTCCGCATTTTCTCCAACTTGTGGACTCGCGCTGTCATTATTGCCGCTTTCTCCACTTCCACCCACTGCAGCAGCTGTCGATTTGGTCGTATCAACGGCCTTATCGTCCTTTTTCCTTGAGTAGGAGCCTAGCTGCAGTTTCGGATCTTGGTCTGGGCGGATGGGTGGCATTCCTTTATTTGCGCGCGCGGATCTGCGAGGATTTGATGAATCTGGAGTGTTTGATGTCGATTTGGGCGTCGATTTCGAAGCATCTGGTGGGCTAGGATTGGGAGTGTCAATGGGAGTGGAATCTTGATGATTCTGTGTGGCGATTTCGACCGGTATGCCGTCGTTTTTGGTATTTTTATCGCCCTTTGATCCACCCTCTGAATCGTCACCATTCTGACCATCTCCTGCGTTTGTACTAGTCCTTCCCTCATCTCCATCATCACTATCATCTTCTACCACCACCCTTTCCCTCTCCTTCTCATCCTCCTCCTCAAAAGTAACATCGCGCGACTCAAATAGTCGCCGCTTCACCCGGTCATAGAGCAGATAGGCCTTCTTGTCCTCTGCAAAACCGACATGGACGCACTCGATTACGCGTTCACCATATTTTGTCTGGTATTTTTCGGGGATATGGGCGAATGCGCGGCAGCCAAATAGACGGAGGGATAGGAGTGTGGGTTTAGCGCCATAGTAAGCTTCGAAGGGAGTGATTTCCCCTGCTAGGGCGCGTGTTAAAGTACGGTTTTTGATCCAGCAGGCATGGCGAACAGCCAATGACCAAAAGCTTGCTGGAAGGTTTTTGGCTTTTAAAACTTCATTCGCGTCGGCAATCATAGAACGAGCAAGGTTGTTCAATGTTCGATTTGCCCGTTCTGCTACCCCATTTTCTTGAGGTGTGTACGCGTTTGTGACCTCACGTTTGATTCCTTCTGATGCCAGATAATTCTTGAAGGATTGAGAAGTAAATTCTCCACCACCATCCGATCGGAAGATTTTCAAAGGCCTTCCGGTCTCCTTTTCTGCACGGGCTTTCCAAGTCTTGAAGGTGTCCAGCGCATGGTCTTTAGAGACACAGAACCCAACGTGAGTGAAGCGGCTATAATCGTCTGTAAACGTAATAAAGTAACGGTATCCTTCCTTTGTCGGAGTTTCAATGGGACCGCAAAGATCACTGAAAACTCGACCTAGGACTTCCGTTGCCCGCTCTTTCGTTGCATGAGGAATGGCATCCCGAGTCATTTTCCCTTTCAGGCAAGCGGTGCAAGTGGTGAGTTTATCACCCACTATTTCCATGCCGTTTACGGACTGGGATTTAGCCATTTTTAGAATTGTGTCCTCGCTGACATGACCTAGTCTTCGGTGCCATAGTCTGAGAGAACCCTTTAGGACTGCTGATGAACGCGTTAGGAGGGCATGTCCATCCAGGTCAGTTTTCTCTACTGTGGCGATACGTGCGTGTTCGGGTTTGGTGAACTTGATTTGGATTCGGCATAGATTTCGGATTCGGGGTGCTTTGGCAAAGGTTTTGCCATTTCTGGCATGAGTTAAGGTTGCTCCTTCTACCGTGAAGTTTGTGTTTACTCCTGACTCGCTTAACTTTGTTGTTGATAGGAGTGGGTCGCTCAATTGCGGCATATATAACACATTTCGGAGCAAAATTGAATGTTCTTGTCCATCGGCTTCGACTTTCCCAGTGATGGTTCCCATGCCATTAGCTTCTATTGCTCGGTTGTCAGCGACCCAGATTCTGGTTGGAGGATTGAGTTTACGGAAAGAGGAGTAATGGGCCATATCGTTGGTCATATGAGAAGATGCTCCGGAGTCAACGATAAAATGGGCGGATTTGGGCGAGCTGTCAAGTTTCTGTGTGAGGAATAAATCCTCATCAGCTCGAAGGGTGTATAGAGAATGGTTGGGTCCGGAAGGTCCATCTTCCGCTGCGACTCTCGCCGCTTGGTCCTTCTTCTCTCCCTTCCCTTTCTTTCTCCCCTTCTGCCCGTACCATGGTTTTACTTTCCCTTCGGCTCCTCCACCTTCTGCCCAACACTTCTCAGCTGTGTGTCCTGGCTTCTTGCAATTTGAGCATTGAGGGCTTTCCGCGGACTTGGAATTCTTTGGCGGTTTCCAAGATTTCTTCTTTTGGTTAAGGAGGACTTTCTCCTCCTGGTGTTCTTGGTTTTCATGGGCTCTGACGATGTCAATGGTCCCTTGTAGCGATGGCAAAGTGTCGCGAGCACATAGGATGGTGCGGAGGGTTTTGTATTCTGGAGGGAGTGCGAGAATTATTGCCATAGTCTGAGCGTCGTCTTTGAGTCCATAGCCAATGGAAGCGAGTCTATCCATGAGCTCGATTAGCTCATGGATTTGGGGTAAGAGATCTTTGTCCGTTGACATCTTTGTCTGCCAGACACTTCCCATCAGGGATATAGCAGATTGGACCCCAGTGCCGTCAAAATAGCTTTTCAGCCGTCCCCACACATCAGCGGCTTCAGTTTTCCCTTTTATCAGGGACCCGACTTGATCATCAACGGACATAACTATCAGGATCAGGGCACTTTCGTTGTCCTCGTCCCATTGTTCAAGCGGAGTTAAGGAGGATGATGGAGGGGGTTTCTTGTTCGGGTCATTTGGATCAGATGATGATGATGCGGTCTTGGTTGCCGCATCCTTAGGGTTTGGCCGCAGTCTGTCACCTTGTACAAGGGAATAGAGCTTTCGCTTCTTTAGGATAAGTTCCATGCGGTACTTCCAGAACCCCCAATTAGATCCATCCTTCTTTAGAGACTCCGAATCAAAGTGTTTCTTTGTAATGCGTTCAATAGATGCTTTATCCATCTCGAGATACAAAGGAGTTCTGCTTTTTGCTTGAGAATTTTAGAGCTCTGGGCTCATAACCTAAAGTAATATGAGATTGCTAGCGAAGCGGGGCAACTCAGTCTCAAGCAAATAATGCGAAAGAGAACTAGAATATATTACCTAGCGAAGCGGGGCAACTAGAGGTAATATACAGTATATAAGTATAGGTTGAAATAAAGGAATGACTGTTGCTAACCTCAGTCTCAAGCAAATAATGCGAAAGAGAACTGAGGGAAAAAGGATTCAAAGAGCGGTAATTCCCATGTAGTTTGGGAGCGGGATAGTCCGAAATGAATACAAAAGACTGAATAAATAAATGTGGCTGGCCGGGCGAGTTCCTCGCTCGGCCGTGGGAATGTGGCTGTACGAAAACTCGCACGGCCGCGCTAGCGCGCTGTTTTCCAACAGTGCATCGGAAGGTGGGGGAGGTCAAGGACGAGGCGTCCAAGATGGGGGTGTGGAGGTCCGGAAGGACCGAGAGGCAGGGGGGAAACGAGGGGCCAGGTGTGGGAGTGAAGGTGATAGAAGGCGGCTCCCAGGGACCTAAAAGTGGTGTTGGGGCGCGTGTCAAACGCGTCCGACTGTGTCAAAGGGTACGGACCAGACTGGTCTGTACGATGGAAGGCGGTTCCCATGCGATGCAGTGGGTGGTGTGTACTGCGAAGCGACAAGGGACTGAGGAAGAAGGAAGGTGGGGGAATGGGTGGCTTACCCGAAGCCAAGACAGAGGGTGCGGTCGACTGCGGGAGGTGGAATCGCAGTCGGACGCCAGGTGCTAGAAGTCGGAGCTGGACAACAGCAACGTGGAGTCCGAAATACTGTTAGAACTTGCGGATTCGGACGACTCCGGAATGGAATCGGAGACTTAGCATGGAAGGACCTTGGCCTCAGCGACTCAGGCAGAGCGCTGTGCCATTGCTGGTTGTCCTAGGGGTCCCTAATTTCGGATCTAGCAGAGGGAAAGTCTCTTGGGGGGAATTCAAGTCGATTTCGGACTGAGGTTACAAGTTACTAGGTACATTGTATATAAGGAGGGGTCCGGAATCAAAAGGAACAAGGGTAGGACAAAAGGAGACAAAGGGAGATGGAAAGAGGAACAACTCCGAGGGTCAAGTGTTTGACTCAATGGTGTTTCCCAAAGGAGGAATGAAGGGCCAAGGCCCAAGAAGGAAGGAAGGAGGATGGGAGTCGGGAATGGCTAGCTGACTGAATAGAAAGGAAGCAGCAGCCCAAATAGGAATGAGGGAGAATAGCGGAATTGAAATGGACAATGCAATAGTTGCAAGGTCCGGAATAAGTCCGGAAAGTCCAAACTTGGAGGTTAAACTCCGGAATATTGGCAAAGGTATTTAAATGGAATGAGCTAACCAATACAATGGGTATAAGCGGAGGTGGGGTCAAAGTCCGAGGTCGGAGCTAAGACCGGAGGTTCCGGAGACGAGACGTGAACGGGATACCGGAGCAGAGGTCCGGAGTCGGGAGCATAGGGTTTGTGTACTCATCTGGAAGGTGTCGAGGTTGGGGTCGGACCCGGAATGTTCCGGAGTCGGACCGAAGGTGGTGTCCAAGCCGGAGGTGGAATAACCTCTTGGGAGTCGGCAAGGAGAAGGTGACGGAAGGGAAGTAGGGCTCCGGAAGTCGGAGTTCGGAGTTCCGGGAGCCCGGAGCGGAGGTCGGGATTGTATGGATATGACATGTATCATGATTTGCAAGTTTGGGAAACAACCTGAAAGTGTGCAGTTGGCGATCACAAAAAGGCATCATGAGTTATGGTGAGTAATCTGGCCTTGTGCCTTGTCTACATCTTAATGAGGTTTCACAGGCTATCTGTGAACTCTACCCCCCTTCCCACTATCAACCATGAACTGCCCCTCTCAAAATCATCAGTTGAGCCAAGACCTCTTACCCCTGAAGAGCACCAACTGTTTCAGAATCCAGACAAACTGCATGGGAAACGCTTTGTCCTCTCACCCCACACAGAGGAATCTGGAGTATATGAGGTCATTGGGTACCACAAGAAGAGGGACAGCTCAGTCCAATATGATGTGCTTTTTGATGATTGTGACGACCCAATCTTGCTCAAGGCAAGGGAGGTGATGAGAATGTTGGAGGATAGCCTTCACATACCTAATTGATTATGATATACAAAGGCAGTTTATCTTCTTATTCCCTTACATATTGTTCATTCTTCTTAGCCTTTCTCCCCTGTGGGAACTGTTCAATTATGGGGTCTCCGCATACTATTCAGCATCAAGACTAGATTCACTCGATGGAGTGAGTCCAATACCAAGTGCATGTCTTGACACATGCAATTACACATATCACACAACAACGGTTATAATCTCGGGTGCTACGTTCCTTTAACGAGTCGCGATCCACACCAATATTTTGCGCACCACCAAGCGCAATTCTGATATCCTCTTCCCCTCATTTCTAGGCAGGTTACCAGCCTCTATTACCTCGTTTCCACCCTCGTCGAACCACGAGAGGAATGAGTCGTTAAGACCTATACGCTTTAGTCTCTCCTCGTCATAACCGGAAAACATACTGGTTTGGTTGGCTGATGGCCCCGATTCAGGGTCGAACTTGAATCGATCTTTGTTGGGCACCCCATCGAGGAATTTGCAAATAAAAGGCGAAGCAGCAAGAAGTCTATCTGAGGCGTAGGTGGCATAGTTGCACAGGTCATCAAGTGGTATCGTCAGGACACTATCGCATGACCCGTATGTCAAGTGATCCATCATTCCCCATGCATCGGAACGGGACACAGTCTGTTGACCGCGAATTAAACTTGCTTCCCTATTCGCGGGTTTCGCGGATATTCCAATGCTGCTTGTCTGCTGTTCCCAACCACCCAAAGTACCTGCACTTCTGAGCGATATCTCATACTTTTGGTGCTTAATGACATGAAAATAACGCTTCAAAAGCGGTGGCACTATCCACGGACCCTCGTTGAGATGTGCATCTCCCAGCATTGTTATAAATGCGCGCTGAAGATGATGACGTTCCTCTTGGCGTCGTTGATATCTGTCTTCGCTGTCTCCCGCCCGGGCACTTGATTGAACCGCGTTTGGGTCACTGGGATGAATACTTGGGAAACTCTCCGACGGCTCATCAATGACCTGCATGCGAGAGGTTAGGATGCGTGCAGATAACTCAAGAAATACGCACTTCGAAAATACCTCCATTCGCCAATACTCGCCTGATTTCTTTCACCAACGGCTCCCACTGTTCGAAACACCCACGAGCCTCATGCGCCCAATACTTTGATTTCGATGAACGTATCTTACCTCATTACACGGTACACAATGGAAGAAATTCGACATCCTAACGTAGTCAAACTGACCATCTTCATAGAACGGTAGTCCATCCAAACTAGCATTCAACATCAGTGTCTCTATGGAGGAATGCTTTCGTCATGCACGACACTCACACGTTTGCGTGCCTCCACTCCACGTCCACTCCATCCATCTCTTTTGGTTGTATGTTCACAAGGTCGATACCGAAGAAACGGGTCGTCTTAGCCCCCGATCAGTTATCAGATCAAGATCGCAAAGGTAACTAGCTATCCGCACCTTCCACACTTTAGCTGTAGATTCAATCCAGGAACCATCTCCACATCCAATATCTAAGACGGAGCCGGGCTCCTTGTCAAAGTCGTGGAATGTTGGCTGTGAACGGTTGATCTTCTGGTGCAATTTAAGCGTGTTCCTATCGCTATCAGTATTGTCAGTTCTTCACCCTCCGAAAATGACGTCGGATCCTCACCCTTGCCTGACGGCTTCGTTGTATGTGAATGGGTAGCTGGCTGTATCTCCGTACCGATTGAACTTCCACCCACTCCTGCTCCGAACAGGGTCTGTAGGACAAGGTATTTCATTGGAACCAATCTTCCTCCTGACAGGAACGTATTCTGCGGCTCCATCCTCAGTGCTCTTAGGGTCGCCATAGAGAACACATCGGTTAGGATCCGAAATTTGAGCGATGAATAAGGGTTCGACCGAGTTTAATCCACGGCCCTCGCCTGGTTGAGGATGTTCATTTGAATCGTTGATGTCTACGCGGGAGTATGTAGCTTGCACCCCCATCAGCAGACTATCCGAGTGCTTTCGTTGGTAGTTGTCAATAGGTGAGTGGCTGACTCCGTTGGTCCTCGACTTTGGCCGTCTCAAGGCCAGCCGGGAGGGTGTTCTGTCCTCCCGATGCGATTGAGAACTCGGTAGTCTGGATGACTCTAGGTCGTGCACGGCTGTTTTTCGTCCCTCTTCTCCCGGACAAGCACGCATGAATCGTGTCGGCGTCAGGCTTCGGGACCGACGTCCTTCGCCTGTCTTTCGGTCTAGTCCCAGTCGTAGTCGTGTCTGGAATGTCTTCATGGATGCTGAAAGAGAGGTATTTGCTGAGGTTCTCTGTCTTGAGTCGTTGCTTAAATTCTATTACTCTTTCGAGTGGCGGAAACCAACCTCGCCACCAACCATTTGTCTCTTTAAGTCCTTTGGATCTCGATTCGATTACAGATTGGTAACTATGCATTTGATGATGACTTTAATGATATATGCCCTTTTTGTGTTTTTTTTTTTTTGTGGCGTCTCCAGCCGAACTGGATCCCGTGTCTAGGTTGAAAGGAATCGAATATAGAATGGTTCAAGATACACAAAGTAGTAAGGCTGGAAGGGACGAGCGGGCTAATTTCGGGAACAATCATCGTTCTCTGGCCAGATCGACGACAGTGCGAATAAGCAGAAGGTAGTCAATGTCACCATCCCCCGACGTTTCCGAAGCAACGGTGGCGAGCAGATCTCCCCCTTTTGCCGACTTGATCTGTTCCTCCCACTGAGGTATACATCCATCAACAAGTTTGAGTTGCCCAGTTTCGCCATGTTCTTCGAGCCATTTGACGTATTCGGTGTGACTCCATTCATGCAAGGCGTTAGGCAACGGTAAAGCTGGAGCAGAGGAACGAACGATGATGTGATGCAACACTACGACCACTGGAAGCCCACTGGTGGACGCTGGCGACGCAAGAAGCGGTGTTTCGAGGAATAGAAGTGGCCTAGAAACGAACTTGCATCAGTATTCAAAGTCAGTGCCTAAACGAATGATGAGCCTCACCTCATGGCTCTTAATGCTTTGTACTCATCCCCAATGGAATCCAATTTTGTAACAGCTCGTTTCATCATCGAATTCCGATTCCTAGCCTTTGCAGGTGAAGTTGATTCGTCCGCCACCAAGAAGGCGCTGAGCGCAAACTCAAACTCGGTCATGTCGCTCGTCATTTGCAACTTTCCGTTCTCGCCGAGTGGACGAGCCAGCGATGCATGAAGCACAAAGGTGCGAATCACGTATTTGATCAGATTCACAGACCTGGGAGGATTGATAATTATCAATGGAACCCGCAAAGCTAGCAATGCCATTCATAAGCGTACCACTCCTTAGAAAATTCGCCAACCGAGTGACGCGCCAGTATGGCAGCGCGCACAAATTCAAGTTTTTCGATCAGATCCTTCATATAGATACTGGTTCCACCGCCACCGCCTAGAGCGGCGTTTCGGTCCCCAAAGTCAACTCGATGTAAGCGCGCGATGATGGAGGAGAATTCACGCCGTATCGCAGACAGAAGAGGATCTACAGTTTTGTCAAAAGACACTCGAATGTTCTAGAGTGGTGATTGGACGATGAATCGTGGATGAAAATTATCCAAATTCAAAATAACGCACCTTCACCACAGTAGAGAGGACATTGAAGATCCCTGCGGGATACTCAGCTTCCAGTTCCATCAATCTCTTCCAGCACCCAAAGAACGCACTCGCAAGCTGAGCGTTCAGCAGTTGCTGCGGCGTAGCATTCGGGCCAGTAAGCAGAGTCGCCATGCGGTCTCGGGAAACCTGCACCAAAGGTCTGAGGGTGCCTCTTGAGAAACACAAGGGAATATGAACCCACGAGGCTATTGGTCCTATTCGTGAAACCTTCTAGTGCAGTCACCGCATTTTTCACTACGGATCGAAGTAGGAGTACGTCGAACCGGGCGCTATCAAGTTCAGTAGCGATGACGCGACCAATTCCTAGTCCTTCACCATAACCAGGCGGGGAACGAGTCCCTCCCGCGAGCGCAGCAGCAATTGTTTCGTTCATACGTGATAAGGATCGAGTGAGGTAAATGGTCTCAAATCGAGATATAGACCGGAGTGCGAGAACCGTTTCTGGACTGAGGTTCGAAATGCATCTTAGTCGACAAAGAATCCGATCACAAAGGAACCCGCGTCACCTTTGGTGAGCTTCAGTGTACTGAGTGTCCGTGTGCACTGCTATTTTGGCGAAAAAGTCATGGAAGAGTCGCAGGAGTCGAGGATAGCCGTTGCTTAGTGTCTGCTGAAAGAACGAGGAACCTGGCACTCGATAAATAACAGTCGAAGTTCGATCTGGTGCCAAACTTACTGGAAGCGGCCTCCTTGGAGTATTTTTCAAGGGCAACAGCGAGCGAGCTCCAAAAAGCCAAACTCGGTCTGCTCTCAAGTGACTAGAGAATTCGTCGGTATCCATAGCAAAGGGTATGGAAGGGCTCCTTACCTGCATTACATCATCTAAGAACGAGACTTGTGAAATTGTATCTTTCTTTGCTTTCAAAACTTTCTCAAGGGTGTAAACCTAGTGTAACCTTTCTGAGAAAGACACCCGTGCAGATAAAAAACCACATACCTTGATGCAACAACCAGCCATGTCTTCCACAAGACCTTCAAGCCTTGACCACAGCGTGTTCGTCCATTGGGCAGCAGTCACGGTTGTTGGCTCAGTGCGCACCCTCGAACGGTACGCCTTGGCCGGTTGCCCTGCATCTTAACCAGAGTCGGTACTTGGAAGGCGATCAGGGAAAAAGGCAAGTTACCTTTGGCATTCGTCTCTCTCGATAATGACAATACATCAAAAGTTGCCTTGACTCGTCCCTCGATAGCTTGATTCAGATCCGCCAGTAAGGACTGAACGAGCGTTGGAAGGACACGAAGGTTGAAAGCTGCTTGAAGCGATGAAGCGAGTAATGAATGATTCTGCGGTTTAGATCATAACTGAGTTTCACGTTGGGGATGGAGTTGAATTGATGTCTGTACCAATGTGTCAAGTCCAGAGAGAACCATTCCTTCCATTTCTGATGCTATTCTGACCCTCGAACTCTCGATACTCGTAAGCAGACGGGAGACGGCATTGATGGAGGTTAAGTTGATTTGGGGTGGTGAATCGGAACTCTCGTTGGGTTGGCTATCCCCGCTTGCGGATAGGAGAGACTCTGGGAGTATAGATGTGGGTGAGGGGATTTGATAATAAACTTGTGAATGTGGATACTAACCGATTTCTGCGATGTTGAATGCTGCCTGAGCGATAGTACGCTCCTTGTCAGTCTGATTATCAAACAAGACATCGTCCGTTAAAAGTCTCTTTGGCTGTGGACGTGCCGAGGTCCCGTTCGTTTTTGGCGTGGGGAGGGACGATAAGCGATCCAGCTCTGAGATTTGACTCTCCAGTCGCCGGGCAAAGATGATGAATCGGGAGGCTCGACGTAAAGCGTCCGACGCGATTTGGAGGTGTTGAAGACGTGATAGGTAGTTGGAAAGGTTTTCATGCGGCACATGAACCTTCAAACGAAGTCTGATGGCAGCACGATGAGCTAAGGGGTAGAGTAGCTCGATGGAACGATGCTCACTTCTCCAGAGATGTGTTGACAGAGTTGAGCCCCTGCTTCACCACTCTAAGAGATTCCTCGAGTTCCCCAACACCAGCTGCACGATCTAGGAGCTCTTCATGATGATTCAGTATCTAGTATGCTGTCGTCAGGGGCCAGCAATATGTTGTACTGCCAGACACGTACAACCGCGCGCAGTTGCTTCGAAATATCATCAATGCCATAGTTGAGCTTATTCAAAGCAACAGAGATGTCTTCGCGCCCAGCTGCACGCGATAACGACGTGCCTTCTCTGGCAGACGGCTGAGCCGCATTGGGCGCTGTTACTTTCTTTCCGGGTTTGTAGGTCTCTCCAGCAAGCACGGCATTTGCATAATCGTGAGCCTCAAAGGATGGGCTTGCGAAGACATTGTACTCTAGCCATAAGCAACTCCCAACAGCCCATCACACATAGTCAACGGTCAAAATCTTACCTTCTGGAGTGAAGGACATTTACATGATCAAGTCTTCTCGGACACAACAAGGACAAATACTGCTGTAAAACTCGTGCAGGTGCGGCCCTAAACACAATTCCAAGTTGGCCCGATGCGTACGCATGCGAAGAGCACTGATTTGTTAGAGGCTACCTACTGGTGAATTTGTTGACACTTGTCCAAGCGTGGGAATGCCCATAATAGAGATGGAGCGCTTAGCCCAGTCTCCAGCTGACAACGCGAAGCGAACTAACAACCTAAAGTATTACACGCCTAGTGCAAGGTACGTTATCGTGGCATAGGCAGGACTCCAGCATGAGGAGATACATCAATACTATTCATATTGGATGTGGAGCTCGTACTATCGACATTTTCGCCGCAGGATTGTTGTCACGGGAAGTCCTGCTGCTTCTACTAGTACTAGTGTACTAGATGATCAATGTCACGGTTATGAGGGTCCCTTCCTTCTCTTCCAGTGAGTAGTCACAATTTCTGGGATGAATTGAAGTTGCACTGCTGAGCTGGCATTTTTGCAACTGCGCATCCTGTGACGTGTCTATTGTTGAACAAGAAAGCGAGGTGCCTTGACGACAATCAAATTACGGCCAAGGTCCGGGATTACTCCCCAAGTACTGTTGCGTAACTCATCATGCACCATCACAATTGCGGTTTTTTTTCTTTCGGTGACCCATTTCATGGTAAATAGAGCAACGAACCTAGCTGTGACATACCGAAGAGAGCAGTTTATTTGAATTTGGGTGTGCCTGGTTACTCGTAGGTATTGTACGACATAAACTGGAAGTCTACTTGGAAGCCTGCGATGTGGCGATGTGGTCAAGCTTTATATGTTGTTCACTTCAAATGAATGACTAAGGGCTTGGCAGCAAATGTATTGTATGGGTATATAGCACGTGCAGATTGAAAGTCTGACTAGTGCTGTAACTCATTACCCCAAGCAACAAGAGGAAGGGTTACAGCTGATGTTGCAAACAGTCGAGAAAATGCAAGACTTTGTACGAAGGAGAGGAGTCGGATGGAAGTTTTTCCTTCATGATTGCTACATGATTGCCCTCCAAGAGGACTCAATACATTAATTATGCAGTATATGTATGTACGTATTTAATTTTCAAAAACACCAAATCGTCTCGTGTCACTCTTTTCCTTGACCCCATCACGCGCCTTTCCAACATCCCGAACCTCCTTCTAATCCTTCGAACAATAAGCAGGCCAAATGTGAGTGCGCCTGTCCAACCTTGTGGTGAAATTTAGACTCAATTATGACATGTTCCTGGCACAACCTTATCGTACATATCCCACCCTCCACCTGTGACCATCTTCCTTTCTATGCCTCGAATTCCTAGGGGATTTCGGCCTACACGTCGCGATCTAGTTGTGGCCTGCTTCAGCGCTGCGTTCGTCGTTCTGTGGCTTCAGTTTGACGTCTCGCTCGAACCAATCCATGGTTATGAGCTTTCCCGTGCGGGAATACCTTGGTATGCTGGAAGGGGGAAACAGGAACCTGGGAGCCGTTTGAATCCTGTAAAACCTCCAGATACCCAAAAGGACCGTCCACCAACCTCACAAGCCTCACCCCAATTTCTGGAGGCCACCCCGAAACCCAAAGAGCTCATGCCAAGTACTACTATCATCGGAACTGCGCCAGGATGGACTCTGTTTGAAAATTTGTACATGTCAAATGGAGCCTTGCTAATCATCTCTGACGACCCACGCTCTTCATTCCCTGACCCCCTCCTTCTCACGAGCACAGGCCAGTTACATTCCTTGTTCTACCGCTTCCTGGAGGCTCAAAATCTCGTTTCTCATAGGTGCCCCTGCCGAGAATACACCAGAGAACATCAAAGGTATGTGGCTTGAGACTGACGTGAAAATCAATATCGGGATGACTTCGACTTTGCTTTGCAGCACGAGAACCAACCAAAGACCACTTCGATATCATCTCTCGTGACGTTGCACGCTCGCGTTACGGAAAACGTATATCCACCATCTCTGATACTACATTCCTTTTCAACGACCCACGCCAATTTCTGGACCATTACTATCATTTTGCTGCTGAACTTCTGCTTGGAGCCTGGCGCATGTACTCAGGTTGGCTTGACCCCACCATAGACAAGCGCGGAAAGACCAAGCTTCCGGACCCGGCACGAGCTATTTTTGCCCATGCATACGCCGACGAATGGAGAGATTACATTGGCTACAATCAATATTTCCTACATGCTGCCTTCCCTTCAATTGGTCTTGAAACAGAAATTGACTGGAAGGGCCGAATCATCATGACAAATGGCACATACGGCACCCTCGAAGACAATGGAGCAAGTGGGACGGCTAGGGCATGGCGGTTTGATCGTGTATTGTTGGTCGATCGAAGTGCTGCATTCCGGAGTGAGCTCACCGGAGCGATCACTCAGCGTACCGCGGCATCGGCATACTTCTCAAATCATGATAAGGCCAGTCAGTTTTGGTGGGAGACGATTCGGAGACGTGTTCTTTCATTTGCACGCGTGCCAAACGAGATTCTTGATTACTCCATTCCCGCGGGACTTCGAGATCGTGGAAACCGTGAGGAACCCCCGATTTTAATTACTTATGTCAGTCGACAAGGCTGGCGAAGAAGGCTAATCGAAGAAGACCACATTAAGTTGGTGGAGTCCCTTGAGGAATTATGCAAATCGAAGCGTTGGGAATTTCTTATTTTCCATCCGGAGAGATATAACAGGGATCAGCAGCTGGAAATTGCGGCACGGACTACAGTAAGTGCGTAACTGCAGGTTGTCTAAATTGCGACTGATCTCTTTAGGTGATGCTTGGCGTGCACGGAAACGGCCTAACGCATGTCATCGCCATGCCGAGGCGACCGATCTCTACCGTTATTGAAATATTTTATCCAAGTAAGGATTAGTACCTTCCACGGGTAAGAAACTAATCATCTTCCTTCAGAGGGTTTCGCAAAGGACTACCAGTGGACGGCAGAGGCACTCGGCCACAAACACTTTTCAATTTGGAACAATTCGTTAGTGTCCCGTTTTCATCATACTTCATTCAACGCGTGACCTTTGATGGTTCACATTGCAGATATTTCTCCTCGCCTAACTTGCCTTGGGTTAATTATCCTGAAGGTTTCCAAGGCACGCAAATCCCTGTTCACGGTCCAACCGTTGCCAGGCTCATCGAAGATCGGGTCGAAGGACGTCTACCTAACCCACCACTCCCCTTGTCTACTGCACGACCAAATTCTTAAGTGGTAGACGAGGACAAGTCACTGTGTGCTTCATCCATATCATAATTGGAGCTGACACTTTCGTATCGCAACATCCTGTACTATATCAATATTTGGGGTTTAGTCTTATCGTTTTGGGCTGTCTTCTTAGCTAATTATTTACATACATACATACTTGTTGTAGTGTCATTTATGCAAAGTATCGTCAGACCGGCCTGACCCGTGTGAACCAACTCGATTATGCCAACTCTGTCGAGCCTCATTACCGACATAGATCTTCGTGATGCTGTCCCCTCAACTTCACCTACTCAAAACTCATTCCATGTATTTTCGTCCACTCCGGTGGACCTCTCTATCCTGCGGAAGGTTCAGGATCAAACGCTCGCTATCAGAGAAGCATTAGAGGCTTACACCAGGTTCAATCCTGACCAACGACTCGTCTCTCTACTTCAAGAGCTCGCTACGCACTCCAATGCTGAAGTCAGCGGAAGGAATGACACTGTTGCGCGTGTTAAGGCGCTTGGGAGAAAACGAAGGCCTTCTCTTTATGGAGAAGATATTCCATCTGAACGCGCCTACATGCCGGACTATATCATTTCAAGCATAGAAACATCCGTCGCTACCGCTGGTTTGGACGTGTACACCGATGAACAGGGCGACACTACGACGTTTCTCTGTGGTGGAAAGATTCTGGTGCTTGATTTCACGCTTCAAAGGCATACGGACGAGAAAGCGCCGCTCACCGTCTCATTGATGTCTTTGAAAATTTTACATGCTTCACAAAGCGGAGAGGAGGCTAACAATAATTCCAACAATAATTCTCTACCTTCCGATAAACACCTTTCGGAGTTACTGGAAACGATCGTACAATCATTCATCACTGAAGCTCATCAGGAGCATCCTGATCGCATTCATGTTGGTTCGTTGTTAGACGAGTTCAACAAACATTTGAGATACCTCTCTCAAGTCGATGGGATGGCATCAGAGGCACCTGAAGGGACGCGGTGGTTGCGGGAGATCGGCCTCACGAGTATTGACGCCGAATCGTTGATGGACCAAGAAGCCAAGCGTGTTGCAACGTGAGTTTTCATTGCTTCGTTAGTTAATTCTGGACCAAATGTTGATATTATATCTTAGCGATTTATCCGTGACGCAAGCGCCAGTTGATATCTTGTTACAACGCGGTCATCCCATTCCACTCCCATTCCTAGTAACTCCCACCATATCTTTCCTGACTCACATTACTCCCCGCTTATATCTTACTCTACTGAGAAAGCAGCAGAACTTACAAACCAATACGGAAGCAGGAAAGAGCACGTTGGATGTCCCGCTGGATGGTCTACGAGGCTACTTTAGTTCTCAGTTACGGACCTCTGACGCATTGAACGAATTTTCGATAGCGACGCTTCGCTTCGAAGATGGGACACCTACATTTCTACAAAGTCTAGACCCGGGATATCGTCCCCTTCCGTCCTACCCTCTTCTTTGGACCCAACCTGATGGCAGTGGAGGCGACACGATGGAGATGGAGATGAGTGATATAGAACGTACAATACTTAATCATACGTTCCCTTCTTGCCCTGGGAAATCATGGTTTTTGGATTTCACGCACACTCCACCCAAATCCAGTACGAGAGGTGAAAACCGTTCCAGTACTGAGGGCGCATGGTTGACGAAGGTTGCTATGCGCCGTGTTGGAGCTGTGGTTGGGATGGCATCGAGTTCGTTCGGTATGCCACCTAATGAGAGTGACGGTGGGTTATTCAACCCCACTAAGACAATGCAAGGGACGGGTTGGTTCGATCGCTTGGTACGAATCTTTTCCAACACCAAATCATTATACATGGCCAATGACATAATTTAGGTACAACCCGATTCCGATCTCGTTATTCCCTTTGTACAATATCACGCCAATATTGTCAGTCGCACGCTTCTTTTCTCGTTGCCCCTTGCTTAATCCTTTAATTTCGGTACAGACATCGCCATCACAAGAACACCCTCCTGTTCAGTTCTCAATGCTCACGCCACAAGAAGCCGGTATATCTCTCGGGCGTGTGCCTGTGACTTCACTGAGAGAAGTTCATGCAATCCTTGAGGTAAGGCCACTCTCACGCATGGAGTCAATGGTATTGATTCATTCACACTGAAAAGATTGTCCGTGAGGGATTCTGGCTGAGCACTTTTCTACGTACGGCGCATTGGACACCAGAATCATCCGAGCAGAGCGGTTTCTACGGAGTTGCGACCAAAGGCTTGGACCCGGAGGAAGACATCGACCTCGATGCATTGTTGAACGGTATGAGCCTTGTGTCGCGGCTTTGGTGAGATCACTGAAAAACATTGGAAAGGTTTCGCAATGCCAAATCACGTCTCGTGCACCATCGACATCAATCTGAATTCGTATCCATGTTGCGTCATCTTCACATTCCCTCTTCCATTGCTAACATCCCCGATATGTACATGTACGGTTTCCCCCGACGTCTTTGCACCCCGAGGCGTACGTGTACAGCTGAGAGCGGATTCCTCGGCCTATCTTCCACTGGAAACAGTTGCAAGTGAGGCAGAAGAATTCGTCAGGCGTGGTGGTGGTCTTAATGTCGTTCCCTGGGTTTGGAAACGGTTGAGGGCGTGGCAGCAAACTTTGATATCGTGAAAAAAAAACGGTTTGATCTGAACAAACTTAGCAGTTTCAATTTCATGGAGGATATTGTAAGGACTGGACTGGGAAAAAAATAGGCAGCAAAGGAACTCGAAAAGGGGTCGGGGCAGTATCGTCTCCTGCGAATTTGATTTCTAATTCGGAGGGTGGTGGCTTCCCTCCCGATGACTGGCAAATCTGGATTCCAAGACTGGTGAACGACCAGCCATACACTGAACACAACATAGTGCAGTCGTTAGGGATCATCAGCCAGTATTTTATGGCAAATGGGGTCATCCATCTCGGATGCGTCACCAGGCTATAAAAACGAGGGGGCAAACATGGAGGCATGATGGTGTGCGTTCTGTCTCCACACCAGTTTGAATCGGGAGTCTGTTACTCGAAATTAAAAGCAAGCGCAACCCGGATGACGTTCTCTCCCCCGTGTAGGACAAACATTCTGGTTGCATGTGTCCGACCACGGGCCGGCTTAGGAAACGGGATAACCTCTCCTTTAATCCACACAGTAAAAATATTACTTTTCGTGCCCTTCTGATGAAACACAGTGGACCCGGCTGGGCAGCATCCCTGGCGCCCACCTGCTTGTAATCAACAGAATCCACCTGCTGGAAGCGCGGATGAGACATGCAACACACTAGCATGTCCGGAATGACTGTGTATTAGTCAGACCCTTTACATAATGCAACGGCACTGCCACACACGCACTCCTCCAGTCGCTAATATTGCGAAGTCGTAGAGGCTGGAGTCCTGTAGGCAGGACCCTGCCCCTATATTAGATAGAGGAGTCCTGGGCGATGGCTTCCTCGCGCGACATAACTCCTGGGCCGCAATTACGCTTCTGAGAAAGTTCCTCGGATGACTAATACTCGTGCGCCGTTCCCCGGTCTCATCGCTTTTAATGTTCTTCGTCATTCTGGCTTTTTCCAGAGAGCTTACGCAGCGCTTACCAAATTATTGGCTGTATCAACTTACGCGTACTCTCTGAGTGTATATAAGAACCAATGGCCAATCTCAAGTCTTGTCGCAGTGTCTCAACTTCACCTTGTCCACTTTGTGTCAAATGTACAACTTTGGCTCGTTTGCGAATTACAACTACCGGGGATATGAGCCAAGGCGTCCCCTTTCCCCGGACGATCTTGACTACCTAGCTGATGAGCTGGAACGCAGAGCTGCCACTGCTCGAGCCAGCGCCCTTCGTCGCCCACTCCATCGCCATTACGGCGTTCCGACTTATCGCGAGGCTTCACTCCCCGAATTATCTCTCTACCAAACTTACGACCGTCCTCAATATGTACGTTCTGCTACTAATGGGCTCTTTACTCCGCCTTCTGATTTTCGGGTTCAACTTCAGGAATCTAATCCTTTCTTCAACGCCAAGGCATCCGCTTATGCTGGACACCCTTTCTATGAGGATCCAGGCTATCCCCCATTTCCCGAGCCCCATTACCCCGCACTCGTCGAAGATGACGGATATGGTTCTCGATTCTTACCACACTACGTATCGTTCAGCCGTAATGATCCAGTTACATACCATCCCCCATGCCCAATTCATCAGCATCCAAGATTCCAACCACCGAAATTAGGGAACATACCCTCATCCCAACCCCCCCGACGCCACCATGGCGATTTTCCGACAGAGCGGGCTGTGAAGTTCCTTTCAGAGCATTCCCCCAAACATGTTCATTCTCGTTCACCGGAATTATCTCCTGAGCAGCGAGCTCGTGATGTCCGCGAAGCGCAGATATTGGCAGCGCGTCAGAGGAGTCGTCACAAGCATGAGAATGTTGCGCAGTCTCGCATTGGTGTCGTGCCTGGATTCTGGTCTAGTGGTGACTCTAAAGATGAAAGTCTTTCTGTACGTGTCATATTTTGCGTCACTGCGCAGCATTTGCTGACGCTTTCGCTTTCGCTACAGGCCCACCATGCCGCATTTCGGCCAAATGCCACTGTTCTAAGAAAGCCATTACCTACAACCCCACCAAAGGATGATTTCGACTGGAATGGACTCGCATCTGCTTTCCATGCGTTTTTGGTCGACCTTGCAAGTGGTAAGGCATCTGAGGATCCGAATAGGATGTCGGGTTCAGTCCCGTCTCGGTCAACTTCGGCCCGTGGATCCAAACCCAGACATGCCGACGGTCGCTTCGTCACTCCACACCCAAAGCAGAGCTTTGAGCTACCCTCGACACTTGGCCAGTCGAGTTCCACATTACATCGAGTTCCCTCCACAGCATCGCCTCGCTCAAATACTCAAGAAACACGCTCCAATGCTACTAGCATCGAGGCACAGGAGATCATGGAGGCGATCCGACGTTCGTTAGATTCCAGTTATGACGTGAAACCCTTAAACGCTGCGGTCGCCACTAAGACGCGGGAAAAGGGCGAATTAAATTCTGAATTCCCGAGAGCACCAGCCGCCACTGGTAGTCCACCTTCCCCAGCACCTATCCGTATTCCCGTTCGTTCTCGGTCCTCGTCTCCTTCAAAATCTCCCTCGCCCATCGAGAGCATTCAGGCCATCGAACAAGAGCTCGTCAACCTCGAATACGATTTCACGTTCCCTACCACTCTAGATTTCCTTCCTCCTGCCTCCCTTGGTTCTACCCCATCCCTTGCTTATACGACCAACAATCTCCCACTACGGACGTACGAGAACAAACTTTCGTCTCTTTTGGCACGACTCGATGGGGTTGAGAGTGAGGGCTCGGAGGATGTGAGGTATGCTAGGAGAGACCTTGTGAAGAGGATCGAAAAAATTCTTGACGACCTCGAAGAGAAGACGAAGGGATTATGGGGGTGTTGGCGAAGAAGGATGCCGTTGTAGTGGAGAATAATGACGAAACTCCCGTTGAGCAAACTGAGACGGAGGTATCGGCCGAGCCTACAGCGGGAGAGACTGAGGGGATTGCAGTTCCGACTGCCCAAATCATTCAACTCGTCGATGCCACTACTATCACTGTCGACGCGCAGGAGGAAGTAGAGGGGTCAACTTCACATCCTGTAGAGGTGGAGGAGAACGGAAACCCTTCTTCTACTTCTGATGCCATTTTCGATCAGACGGAAGACGACAATATTGCGCCGGAGGTGGATGTTAACGACATGGTGAAACCAATTGAGCCCCAGTTGGAAGTTGTTGTTCCCCAGGCACAGAAATCGTCAGACCCCGTCATTTATCCCCTGTTCCGCCCTCGTATGCTCCATCATCCCCACCACCTGATTACCCGGTCACGGTTGAGACTGAGCGGGTAGAGGCTCGCTCCCCGGAGCCTCATTTATCTTCATCCTCATCCGAATCGTCACTGATTCAGGTACCTTCCGACTTGGAAGAAGAGGAAGGAATTTCCGATTTGGGGGATGAATCTCGGAACCCGGACGGAGCGCTGCGTGACGGTGACGACGACGCCGCCGCCGACGGAGCAGATGATGCTGCTCCTCCAAGTATGGAGGAGAGTGAAATGATCGAACAAACCACGGACTTCGTTCTGCTTTGACGCCAAGGCCGGACACTTTTAATTGAGATGGTGGAACCGACAAAGAGCAACCAAGTCTTGGTCATGTAAGAAGTTTTGATACCCACTTGCAGATTATTGAAGACCTAGGGCGGGCACAAACCATGTTTGGTGTTCGAGGGAAGAGGATCGGGACAGAAGGAGTGATCGAGTTGTTGGAGATGATCATCGATTAGGGGATGCTAGCTGATTACACCCTCGAACACAGCCAATGAAGGGGAGTCGTAGCAGTGGGCACGCAGAATTAATGTAACCGTGTGAAATATGAACCACATAATTTAGTGATGGGGATTGAGGTCCAATGCGTTACTCAAAAATGAGTATGACTACAAAGCTGCATGCATGGCCTAGAGGTTGAATCGGAAGAGATGCAAAGTGACTCGCTGAAGTTAGAGAAAGCGTCACCGTCTCTCGAGCTCGCTAACGTGTCAGATATAGTCTCTAGGTTTGGATTTGATAATTCGGGTCCATTTTCAACTGGCGCCTGCCAAACTCGACGTTGCCAAAATCGATACTCGCGAACACGAACAGGTCCAGAGACATTGCTCAGGCACTTCTTTGAACGTTGGACTTTCAGCTATCTTGTTGTCATCTATGTAGCGTACCAGCGTACGCATGCAACTATGCTTTGTAGTCATCTTTGAGCTTCGTTTACTCAATGCACTCAACTGGTGTTACGGCTCGCTGACAGACACTAACTGAGCTCATTTCATATATGCATTTGCGACTTGCCAAAAGTGGCGTCAGCTCACTCATCAACTCATTACCCGCCACGGAAGCAAAACTTCCTGACCCCAATATCCAGTAGGTTGGCCAAGTCAAATCATCGGCCACATCTTTGTCACTCGCCTTGCTGATCACCCCCCTCGTTTCTCCGCGACTTCGAAAGCCAAAAAAAAATAAACAATGTCAGCCCCGGCAGCAAATGCGGCCTCTTCACGTTTTAGCGCCTTCATGAACCATCCTGCTGGTCCGAAGACAGTGTTCTTCTGGTTAGTTTTTCTTTCCGGTCCTTTCGTGTTATATGGGTGTCCAATCATTCTCGATTATACGCGATGAATCACCCCTTAGGGCGCCAATGATGAAAGTGCGCTTATCTTCAATGTTCTAAATACCCAAACACACGTTCTTAAATCTACTGTGTCTTCCAAGTGGGCTTTGGTCGCAGCGGGTCTCAAGGATATTAGTCGCCCAGTAGAAAAGCTTAGCATCTCACAGAATGTTGGTAAGTGTTACAACTCAAAAACTCGCATTCCAACGTCAGTTGTCAATTATCAATGCTGCTCTCGACTTAGCTTTGACGGCAACCGGTTTCATTTGGGTTCGGTACTCGATGGTTATTACACCTATTAATTACAGTCTGGGAGCAGTAAGCACCGTTCTACCCGATTGCTGTCGTATCCTGTTCTCATGCAGATCACACTTAAGGTAAACTTCTTCGTTGGATCAACGGGGCTGTATCAGTTGGTTCGCATCTGGAAGTACGTGTGTCTGAACGATTGACTATTATAACGTTATCTACTATAACATTTTTTAGTCATCAACGAGCACAACAAGCTGTTACCCGTACTTGATGATACGGCATATTTAGCATAATCCCCTTTAACCTACCACCTAGACAGACGGGAGTAGAAATTAAGTGAAGGTAACGGTGCAATTGACGGAGTTGTGCGGACTGTTTGCTCGGGGACTCGAGAAATGGGAATTAGAGGATACATCATGATGTATTCTGAATCTAGGGAATGGAAGACCTTTGTACGGCGTCACCGTGAGTATGCAGGTCCAATTAACGTAGCTATGCGCAGCACGAGAGCTGGCGAGTGTAATGGAACTTCTTGAGGGAAAGCAAGTGTGAGGAAGACATGGAAGATCGTAAAAGCATTGGTGGAATAGGTTAGGGTAATGCTAAATTTGTGTGCGAGGACATCCTTGAGATGAACGAGAGGAAATGCAAGTGGATTGGGTTGTCGTGACGATGCATGTGGAGAAAGGTGAAGGATGAATAGAAAGAAAAAAGAATGAGGGAAGAGACGGATAACGATTCAAAAAAGGCCGGTTGGGTTGTGCCACGGCATTCACGTTGAAAACCAGAAAAGGAATAGAACAGAAAGGAAAGAAAAGTTTTCGCGGACTTGGAAGAATATGGTGATTTAGGCAAAGCCAGGTGCAGCAGTAGTAGCTTTCCGAACCATCTGGCATTGCAACATTAGCCTCAGGTCTGAATGAAGAGGACAGCTTGTCTCACCTCCTTAGCCCATTTGATGGTCCGCTTCCCTTCTGGAGTCAAACCTCGAGGCTTTGACTTCACAAGGTTGTTGATTATCCACTCTGCTAATAACTGGTCACGGATCTCCCCATTAGGGAAGGCCTCCGCCAGGTCACCAATCAGACCCATAGCTTTAGTGTAGACTGTATCACTTCGTTCCTCGTCTTGACATGCGCGCTTCAATAGATCGATTATGGCAGGGACGTACGGCAAAATGAGTTGGGCTGGAAGCAGTGGTTAGACACGTAGTGAACAATGACGGCGAAGCGTTGCTGACCCTTATTGCTCCCTTTCAACCCGGAAACGATACCGACCTCGGCTTCAATGATTGTCTCTCGAAGCTGAGCAACATGATCAATTGAGTCATAATCCAACTGAAAAGTTTGGTTAGCAACGGCCTTCTTCCAGTCAGAAGCCAACCCACCGGATTGGCATTGAATTCTCCGGCCTGCTTCAAGACGAGCATTGTCGTCTCCAAGTATGGCTCGTAACTTCCGCCAATGGCAAGAGCAACGTCTCCGAAACATCCGAGGACAGCCAACTTAACGTCGCGGCCAACGGTAGTAAGTTGCAGGTTCTCCAGCAACACATTCATGAAAGCGTTGCAGTACTGAGCAGAATTTTCGCCGAGGGCGCGGCACACATCTCCAATGATGCCGATCGCAATGATGCATAGGTGCTGGTCTTCGGTGGCACGGAGCGCAGGGTAGAGGAAAGGAAGGAAGGGGGGAAGGTATGACTGGAAGTTGGCTTCGAGGGCTGAAGCCATTGTCCCGACCACCAAGAACGCATCTTCAAGAACGGTGGATTGTTTTCCTGCAGACCGAACGAGTTGGAGAGTGTTCGTCATGATGCGATCCACCAAAGGATTTATCTCTGCACCCAGTTTTCGGATGGCAGCCTAAAAAAATGAGATGAGAGGTATGGAGAACGACAGCATGGAAGAGACAGACCATCAAGATACTGCAGAAGTTGCTTTGCAATTCGTTCCAATTCGTGCGATCATCAACCCCAAGAATCTGGTTTTGCATGGCTAAGAGTTGCTCCTGGCGAGTAAGAATAGCAAGAATAACTTGGGACACAATAGGAAGGGTATCTTGAGCAGAGTGTGTTACAAAAGCACCCATTGTCTCATATGTAGCCGTGCGGTGGTTGGACTCATTCGTAGGTCTGAGGTAAGCGGTCAATCACCACAATACGGAGACAGAGATAGACACATACTTTTCGGTCACACGCATTAACGCTGTGATAACGCCTTCATAGTATCGTGAAATTGGTCCAGTTGGTGAAATAACGTCCTCTTCATAATTATACCCACTGAGATTATCAACCAACGTCTGCAATGCCCAAGCACAGTTCGCAGAGATTCGAGGCTTGTCTTCAAGTCCTGTGACGACAGCCGCCACAATGGTGTGGAGTTCATTGTCCGTATTCAGGGATGTAGAGTGGAGGTCACATATACGCGCAAGGGTCCATGCAGTCGTATCCTTGACCGCCTCATTCTTCTCCTGCTGTGGATTTAGCATTTGGAGGAGTACGGGAAGAGCCTGATGAATGAGAGGTGCCAGAACCTGTGGATCTGGTCCATCCAAAATTGAACCGAATGCCATAACAGCAGCCTCCCTTTGATGCCAGTCTTGAGAGGTGATGTTTGACTCGATGAAAGGTATGACAGCAGGCACGATCGCGTCATTCACTGCAGTGGCAAGGAGGACGAGACACGTTCCAGCAGCCATAGAAATGTTCCACTCATCCTCGTCGGCATCCTCTTCCTGTCTTGTCAACAAGGTGAGGATAACGGGAAGGATCTCTGGCAGAGCAATACGCGCGAAATCTTTACTTTCACGCTCCGGGACTTCGCCGTACTCGAGTGCCTGGGCAGTCGAAATAAGTAACGCCACTGGATTTGACATTGAACGCCCAGCTTACGTCGGCAGCCTCTACAGCTATATCGGCTTCCTCCTCACACACGGTCGACCAAAACTCAACGGCCTGCAAGGCAACACGCTCCTCTGGGTTCTTCATCCCTAGTACGGTGAGCTGTGGACCAATAGCCTCAGAAAATGGATGTGCCACAATTAAATAGTCCATGCATACCCCAAATAAGGCACGCTCCATATAGAAACCCATCTTGTCATAGTAGAGACTCATTATGCGAACAAGACACTCAAATGCCAAGACCTGTACATCCACTGATGGATTTTGAGTTGCCTCGCAAACAACTTGCATGAGGAAATTGCGCTCGCCCTAAGTATTTTCGATCAGAGAAAATGGAAAAAGGGGGCTGAAGCAACCTCACCTCGCGTTCAAAGTTCTCGCGAACGAACTCGAGAGAATTGTACAGAGCGCGCATAGCTGAGGCGTTAACTTCGGCATTAGTTTCCTCCTTCCGGGCACCTTGAACGACCGCTGTAAGAATTTCGTTAGAACGGGATGCCAAAATCTCCGGTTTCTGATAGATGGTGAACGGGGGAAATGAGTTGTGGACGCTGCACGACGAAGGACCAAACATTCTTACAATGCTTTCGCAGATATATCCGATTGCGGTCAGTGTCGAGATGCGTAGACCGACACTCTCTCGATTGTTGATAAAGCCAAGAAGAATTTGGATGAGATCGCTCCAATGATTTTCGGGCAGTTCGATAGCAGCGACGGAAGCGACGACGGTGGCAGCATACGAACCGATTCGTGGAGTGGGCGAAGCCAAGGTCATGAGAGTTTCTTGCTTGATCTTGCTTTTCAAGTCCTCGGGAAGCGCAAGCCATCTCGCAGAGAACTCAGCTTGACGCGTCGCATCCTAAATAGATGAGGTTAAATTGGGATTCTAGTCCCATCCATAGCAGAAATGACTCACTCTAGCAGTGAGCGCGTTCTTAAGGGCCACCGCAGCCGCGTTCCGGACGTGAGCCAAGGCGTTTTCGTTTGCAAGTTCATGAGACAGCGTCACCACGTACCCAGGCTATACAAACCATGGCTTAAGACCCGACAAGGGGTAATGTAATATGTACTACGCACGTAGTTGTCCCTAGCTGCGGTCTCAAGCTGCTGAGTGGCACTCTGACGCGTTGCGGCGTCTACATCAAGACCAGGGCGTCAGGGGCACTCGCACAAACCACGAGGTAGTCGCGGTATCGTACCAGGTGACAGGGAATTAATAAGCAGTTGACTGGCATCCATGGTCAAATCGTCGTGCTAGCAGTAGTTGATTCTATCTGTCGGAGTTTTGGTCGAACAGCAAGGAACAAAAAAAAAAAGAATCGTAAGAGAATGCGGAAAATGAAGCGGGCGCGCTCGAGGTATGAATCGTACTGGGTGAAACGGGGGGGAAAGGACAGGCAATCGAGTGGATGGGCAAGTTGATGATGATGATGAGGAGATTTCGAACTAAGTACTTCGAACCTGTGCTACCCGTTCTGCATCCGTCGACGGTCTCAGCCACCGATTTTGCAAACACTCCCTCCTAAAGTCACCTCATAGCTCCATTCCTAACGCGTCAATGGCAGATCGAGTAACGCATCTTAAATGTTTGAGCTTTTTTTTCGCGCTAATTTTATTACCACCGATCCCAAGGGGCGAGGTACATCGCGCGGCACACCGAGGGGCCGAGGAAGAGGAGCGCCTCACATCCCCGGCGGGCCCGCGCCTAGCGGAGACAAACTCAAGAGAGACATTCTCGACTTATCCAAATATCAGAATCAACCAGTTCGTGTACGATTTACGGGGGGAAGAGAAGGTGAATTGCTGCGCGGCTCCCTCAAACCTTCCATAGTAACGTTAATCCTGGGCATTATAAAGTTACTGGAGTGGTCAAAGGCTGGAACAACAATCTGGACCTTGTTCTAGACGATGTTGAAGAGGTTGTCTCAGGTGATGCCCTCTGACTTTCATACTCAGGGTGGAATAAATTTAACCATTGGGACTCCATGTTAGAGGCTGCTCCTCGTCCGCGCCGTCTAGGATTTGTCATCTGCCGCGGTTCAACGGTGGTCATCGTCAGTCCATTAGACGGTTCGGCCGAAATTGAAAATCCTTTCATTGCTCAGGATTCCTGACCACCAATCGGGTTATGCAACCAGTACTCTCTATCTATTCTCGCCCAGTGTGGGTAAGCCTATCGAAACGACCGAAATTCACTAGGGCGGCCTACTCCCGAGATCGAACGGAGCTAGTTTGGTTGCCTCTATCTCTGTCTCTGTGCGGGTTCAACGCTGTAGCAAACAGCTGCAGTCATCGAGTATATTAGGGATCTGCTGAATTGGGCGCAAAAATGATCAGATTGTGTATATGGTTGAAAAGTCCCTTATCATTCTCCAATCTAATGCACATATCGTCAGGGAGTGTTTCAACATGCTGCGACTAGGAGGGAACGGCAGGGTAAGGATGGATATGATGTCAGCATGACTAGAGCTAGTTGTTCGTATGCTTCAGCGCGTGCAAGACGAGTGAGCCGATCACGAGAGGCAGATCTAAGCGAAAAAAACGAAGCCATCGATCACGATGGTGGTGTAAGATGAAGGGAAAAATTGGGCAGGAGCATGTGAAACAGACAGGGTTGCAATTGATCGATCGAGGTTCGAACGGGGCTAAAGAACGGGAATTGTAGAGTCTGGATGATAGTCGATCCATCACAGGACTGGCCAGACAAACACCGGCTCTGTTGAGCTTGGTATCCCAGGCGTAGAGCCCATTCCAGGACTTGATCTCGGAGACGTGCCGCGTCCTGGTGAGGAACCCGAGGATGATGTGGAGCAATCCCTCGTACGTGCGGATGAAGAGTTGAACGATTTGGTGCTCTCAGGAGGCGAAGGTGGAAGAACGGTTGTTGGTATGCGGAATGCGGCAGAGGGATCATACAATCCCCTCGTTCTTGAAGTATTACGAGTCGAGGAGCCACTTGAAGGCGGGTTTTTGCCTTTGCTTCTCGTCGATGACGGCGACGGGGCCTTGGTGGAGACGGGAGTTGGCTTATTAGTTGTGTGTTTCGTCCGAGATTGTGACCGCGGACTTTCTGCAAGGGCAGTGGGAGCGACAGCAGATGGAGATGGGCGTGGTTTTGTCGACCTAGGGTTGCTTGTTGGAGATTGTTTCTTCGGCGTAGGGCCCACAGGGTGATTGGTATCCTGATTCCGGGCGACAGGTGAACTTGGACTGGCCGAGGATGTTGGGGATACTTTGTGGTCAGATTGCTGGTAGAGAGGGAACGTGGTTGCTTGAGGCTGTGAACGATAGATTGTAACAGATCCAGGATAATGTGATGGCCCCGAACCCGAGTGATAATGCTGTCGGACTGGAGGAGAATAGATGGAAGGATGATATGGATATGGGGTGCAGTAGCCACATAGGGCGTTGTAGCATGCACTCGCGAAGTCCCCGGGATACTTGCAGGCGAGATAACAGGGGGCGTGGGCGCTGTAGTGCCAAAGTAAGCAGTGTCAAGGGTCAATGGAGGTCCCTTCTGCTGTCTGCTACGCAGGTTTTTCGGCGCCTTATCTGGTGGAGATGAAGAAGAGGATGACTCGGAACCTCTTAAGCTAGGCGGACCGGAGGAGGCTCGCCTAGGCTGGTCTGAGGTTGGGGGGACTGCGGTGTCCCCGTTTCTGGGCAAACTGACTCCAAAAGAAGTGCCGGATTCTAATCTTTCCATTGCTCGTCCACGCGTCTGTTCTTGTTCTGATGACGCCTGAGTAGGCTTTGGCGTCTGCCCAGCACCGTCATCCTTGGTCGAGTCAGAGGAAGCATTGCCCCCGGGTTGCACTTGGATAGGAGGGGGCCGTCGAGCCGTAAAGAAAGATGCTGGTGACGGTGCATCACTCGGGGGACTAGGAGGTTGCGAGTCTGTCGGGTTCGACCGAAGGTCGTCGTCTGTTGCTTCGCTGCTCCTTGACGAGAGCGACGATGGTTCTGGCTCCCGTGCATTTGATGAGGTGGCAAGAGTGAGACCCAAGCCAAGCTGCTTGTTGTAAGACTCCAAATCGGTGGGCGATGCGTCAGGGGGTGGTGGTGACGTCCACTTACTCCGTGTTGGGGCCATATGCTCGGGTAAGGGACGATCAGCAACGGCTACCTCTTGAGATGTTCTCAATTCATCATCCGGAGGTGTAGAAGTGCCAAAGAAGTTCTGGGGCGGCGACAGGCGATCGACGGGAATGCTGCGCGGCGAAGTGTCTACAATGTGCAGAGCCGGGCGAGATATCGACGTAAAATGGGGAATAGGCTGGGGGTATATTGTTTCAGTCAATGGTGTCAGTGGCGTTTCATCCCTTTCTTCACATAACTGAGTGAGGACAGAGTGCGTCCGGTCCGGTTTGGAAACGAGGATTCGGAATGCCCGCATAAATTCTCCACGAATCTATGAACAAAACATGAACACAGCATTCTCTGACGGGAATTGGTTGAATCATATAACACACCAAGAATAGACCGTCTTTAGTAACTGTGCGAGCGACGTTATAATTCTTTTCAAAGGGATCCTATTAGAAAAGCCACATCAGCGACGAGTTTTGCGGCGCCAGACCGATGTCATACCTCTATACATAGTCTATTACGTTCCCTAGATGGGTCCCTGGCATCGCCCTGGTGGAGGATGTTGGTCAATGTGTCCTTCACAATGTTAATGAAACATGAAAATACCTCGCCAGCCCACCCTTTAGATTCTTTACTCAACTCGCCAGCACGTATTGAAGCTACAGCAGTATTATACTGGAATTCACGGGAATAATACCTAAAAAAGTCGACCAGCCTGCCCAAACGACAACATATGAGCAACACTCCTTGTCATCCGAGGTTGGTATGCTTACAACTCCGCGACGGTTTCCGTATTTGATGACCGCCAATTTTGTTTGAGGAGTTCGATGTCGTCGAAAAACCTTGAGAAAATTGATAGCGTGAGCCAGTCCGAAATTCATCGTAGAAAACACCCACCATATATTATGTTCACCAATATGATGATCCTCCTAATAAGGTGTGAGCAGATGGCAAGTGTGAGCGGACCAGACCCAACTCACAGGCGTGATAGGACGCAGAGGAGGCATTTGTTGTAAATTAGGAAGTACGGGTGGATTCTTCACATGTACAAGAAAATAGATGACGAGGAGAACGTATCCGTATGAACTTAATGTTCCACAATAGGGCGAGTTAATTTTCCTTGTATGAATATGAGCGTTTAATATCGAAGTTAAACGAATAGGGGCTTGTCGTCACCTTCTCTTGGTCCATACTTTTACTGGGGCAGCACCACGCGTCAGTTAGGCTGATGCACCGTATCACAAAGCAGAAACTCACGGAACAGTACTATTGTGCGAACACGCGTGGGATCTACGCTGGCATAACTCAGTAGTAGCCTGGTATTCTCAAGCGCTAGGCGGTTCTCGAAACCGATGTCGCATGATATTCCGTACGGTAGGCTAGCAGATGGTTCGAGAGCTAGTTTGACGATAGGTATTCGGGCATATGGTAGTCTCTTAACTTTGAACTTGGTTTCTGTTTAAAGCGCGGTGAACGCCATAAGTCAGGGATCATGGAAATGTCGAGCTTGGTTCGGAGTCATCCTCACCTCTCTCTAGTAAATCACCAAGGGCATTGACAAGATCGGATGCAGGCAGTATCGGCCCTTTCGAGTCGATCAAACAACACATGTCCATATCTGCGATTTTGGAAACACGTCACTTCGGAATTAGCTAACTGGTAGGAAGAGAAAGGGAACGAGTGTACCTGAATTCCTTAAGCTGAATCCATTAGCGGTGCTCCCAAATGATAGCAGTCGGCTCTCAGGTTCGATAGACCTGATGAGCTTCTCAAGCAGCTTCCGCACGTCTTCCTTAATTGCCATTTCCTCTGCAGTCGGTAACAGCTGGACAACAAAGTCAAAGAGGTGCTGCGATAGCTCGTTGTAGGACATTCTGCTGGTGTGCACGCGGCAATTGAGAGAGTAGGGGATGGAAGCGCAAGTCAGGACTCGACTCGGAATCCGCGACGATAGCTCCGGCGTCGCCAAATGTAATGATCGCTCACCGAGACAGTGGTCCACGTCGCGGAGGGATCGGAGAAGATACCTGTGGGGAAGAAAGAAAGATTGTCATCATCGGAGAAATGTAGGGTGATGTTGGGGGATCATTGTGTTCGTACGAAGGGGTCCATGGGATGGGAAGGCAACTGGCTCTTCACGCCAGATGACTCGTGGTGATGATGCTTCGAGGGTATTTTGGAAGATGGGTAAAGGGAAAGGGCTAAGTATCTGATGAAGGGATAGACGGACAAGGCAGGTCAGCGCTGCCTCGCGCTGAATCGGGGTGTTCTAGGTCACGCCCGGACTTTACTGGTGCTACCCTCAATTGGAACTAAACTCCGAATTCCCATGATATTTTATTATCTGGCCGAATTTATTGTGTCTTATCCAAACAAAATATCGTCGTTGAGCCACTGCGTCCCCTGGCAATCTCATTTCACATCAGTTGGAGGCCAGAATTGTTCCGGCCTTCAAAATTTATTAATCTGTGACAGTCAGTCGCACCCAACGTCTTCGATGCGTTACTGGACGATTACTAGCTAGATCGCTCCTAAAAACATTCCTACACATACCAGAAAGTAAGCCATCAGAAACAAACAGCGAGTGGAACACATGGGTGCAATATGGATGGAACAACAAAATGAGGAAAACATGCCCAAATTACAATTCAAATATCTCCCAATCACCGATGGGAACCAGCTCGCCCCAAGTCGCTGAAAGAGGAAGCGAACGCAATTAGTCAGTCAGTTGCAAATCCGATTAATCTAACGAAGACCACGGAATGGCAACTCACTTGAACGCTGAAGCTATACATTGCTTGATTTCCTTGTAACTCACCACCAAGCATGTCTGTTCATCTCTGGAGACGAGCATGATGCGCTCGTCCGTTCCTGCATCAAGCTGCGAAGGCACATGCTCTTCAATTTGTGATCCGCCAACGCCGCTACTCAATCAGGGAGGCCAAGCTCCGACTCACCTTGTTCAAACAAGTGATGACATGGGTTAGATTCACTACCGGGTTATGTGCATCGTCCACCTGGTGGAAAACATAATCCCTGAAAAGACTGATGATGTACCTATCCCCTGTCTCGGACCATCTAAGCTCGTGGTTGAAGCTGTAACAGTAAAGAAAAAAATCAGGGGTCCTAACCAATAGATTAACTTCGCAACGCACTCGGGGCGTTCGTTGATGAATCCCAGTTTTGCCATTAGCCGCACAAGCCGCCCATTCTCTAGCTCGCTCATCAGCTCGTTTTCCAACTCATCCGCGTAACTGTGGGCATTTTGCCGCGATCTCCTTTGTCATGGTGCTCCGGATGGCAGGTGGACACAACTCACTTTTGTATTGCATTCATCTCCGTTAACAGTCTTGTTCCGAACATCTCAAGCAACTGGTCGATTACCTGCTCCGAAATTGATGTACTTGTGATCAGTACGTCACCATTGTCTCCTTCCCCGGACTTCAAGGTCCAAGCCACGAGCCAGACGGGCATCACTCACCTTGTTCGGGGAAGGGTTAGAAAGCATGAAGAGGACAACATTCTTCAAGTCGGAAGAATAATTCCTTGAGAGGATTTCCATGGATTTGGCTGGATTGTTCAAGGCTTGTGGATTGTGACAACAAAGCGTGAGGACCAGCTTCCCAAACGATAGCAGGTCCTCTTGCTAAATGCGGATACAAACACATGATGGCTTGAAAAAATGTTGGAGCTGGACGGAAATCAGGGCACGCACCTGAAGTACTTCAATGGATGTATTGCGTGGGTCATACGTCATCACATCCAGTATCCCACAGCAGTTCACTCGCACCCTATGATGATTGGATCCCATTAGCGAAAGCTCTATCGCTTATCTCAACCAAATGCCTCACCGGTTCTTGCCAGTTACAAGCACTTTGCTCGCGTCCAACGTTCTTATCGCAAGACCTCGATCATGAACCTCCTTCATCGCATTCGCAATCTGCACGATGTATGACCAAAGAACAGCCTCTTCAACAGGGGTGCCACCCTGCTGCGACTGATCCCGAGTATTCCCGGAACCACCCTTCCCGTGCCTGTGACGATGGCTGCGGGAAGGTGGCCGAGTGGTCGAGGTCTCGTTTGGCTGCAGATGAAGGACTGCGAGCGTTTTGGCTGCAGGGTGATAGTCATAAGCAAACACTAACGCTACACACGTGCCAATTGACATAAGCAGAAAATCCAAAACGGATCTTGTTCCCCACTACTCACAATGATCTCCGAAAGCTCGCGTCGTAAATGCTTCCCGCAAATGTACAATATTCGGATGCTTGATCTTCCCCCAAGCTTCGACTGCTGAGAAGGCAACCTCCTGTTGTAACCGGAACCCTGGGGACAGGGAATGCGAGGGATGACATTGTAAAATTACGCCATACGCACCTTCGATTCTTCGCAATGCAACGGTACCACCATCAGCGCGATTTGTGGCCTTATAGACAATGCTGGGGAATCCTAGGAACCAATTTCTCCGCATGTGTTGCAACTGCTGCTGCTGGGGTGCCTGTAGCCCAAAATGTCCAGGAAGGACGAATGGCACATTGGAATCCATGCGTCCAGCTCCAGATCCGAACATTCCGCCCGAACCTATGGCATTAAAAACTGGCGTGGACTGAAGTGGTCCTGAAGGCTCCAGTGGAACGAATGAATGGTAGGTGTGGATTTCCTCAGGGAGAGGCTTGTCGTTCGTCATCGATGCTGCTATTTGTCGTGAGGGTGAGATGGAATAAATGGCCTCCGAGCGACGCTGAAAGTCTTCGCGAAGCGTGTCGGACATGAAGAAGCGGTGCGAAACCGGTCGAGTTGATGGGGTACCATTCGGGACATACGGAAGTTGAGTGTAAAGATGATAATTGAGCTGCACAATGACCAACCCCAATAGTTAGCACATGATTTAATGACGCTAGATGCACGTTTGGGCTTACTGGCTGATGACCGTAGGGAGTATGGTGTGATGTGTAGTAGTCTTGAACATCCCCATAACTGGCCTGATTATAGAGTTGCGTGTGAAGATCTCCTGGTATATAGGACTGGACGAGGTCATGCTAGAGAAGTCAGCATTCAGCAAGCCCCGCATGCGAGTCATAGAAGGTTGCTGACTTCTGAGCTCACGCGAGTTGGCTCGCCGTTGGTATCAATATTCGATTCATTGTATTGAGGGATGAATGGAGCCTCCGAAACAGGCGGGTGCAAGTCACTGGCGAATGAGACGTCTGAGTGTGGAGAGATGGACAGATCATGTATACTAACAGCTCTGCGGGCGTGTCGTCCAATACTGCTGTTGAAGACACGATAGTGGCCTTGGGAACGAACACCGGTGCATTGACATTGACGGTAGCCGACGCCAACTTGGGGCTGGACTCGGTTGGTCCGCTAAATTGGGTTAGAGCCGAGTCAAATTTACTCACAGCGCAAATAAAATCACCACACTCACGATTCTGTGCTCGACTGGAATGATTCATCCTATCCATAACCCCGATCGAGGATCAAGCGTCTTAGTCACGACCACCGGTAGTATGGATCGGAGTGAGGACACACCGAATGGTCGTATATGCATCCTTTCCCTTCATTTTTGCAATGTCTGCGTGAAGTACAAGGAAAGAGAGCGCGCAGGATTAGACCCGTTGATCATTATTTCCAGAGTCTGCAGGCACTCACCCATGGATTAAGATGTTCCGGCACTTGGGAGGCTTGTTCTTGGAAAAATTCTTGTTCAGGTCACGCGATGGAGTGGCTGGTGCAGAAGGTGCAGGAGAAGAGGAAGGTGTAGAGGCTGAAGGAGCGACGATGCGAACGGCAGCTGACGGACGAGGAGGGACGAATGTTCCCGACATGATCACCCAAATCCGTCACACTTTTGTGTGTGGGTATTACGTTACACTATTAGTCTGCTATTACTTGTGTAGTCATTAACCTTTAGTTAAGCGTAGGAGACGCTGAGTTAGCAGTCGTCGGACACCGCACCCAGATAAGTGGACAAGGGCTAGGGATGGCAAGTTGCTTCGAGTAGCACGTGGATACCACGCCGAATGAGTCATCCCGATCTTCATGAGCGTCTCGAGCAGCTCCGCCACGAAGAAAAGTACCCCAGCCATTATTCTTTAAGGGGTCTGGGACTGGCTATGGGAGACAGACCTAACCCATAAGTTTCCGACCTGGTTGACTTATAAGATAAATATGGAAAGCCAAAGAACTCTCTCGAAGCGCTGAGCAAGCGCTCCGCTCCGCGTTTCTGGAAAGCTCTCTGACATTGTATCTTGCCTATAAATAGTGGTGCATGACCCAGGACCAGCAACCTTGAGCACGCTTCAAATCCCAGCTTAGCTTTCCTAGTACCATGTTCGCACCCTATCCCACTTCATACTCTGGTGTGCCTGCCTGCCATAGTTGCTACTCTGCTGGCCCATATGCTCTGGAAATTGCTGAAGCACGAGCCCAAGCACACGAACGAGAACGCCGCCGTCGAGTCGCGGAGGCTCGCCACAGGGAGAAGCTTCGCGATGCCCTGTGGGACGATTATTTATCGTTGATACTTATACCTCAACGATCAGTATATGGTCCATATGATCACAATGATAGGGAGAGTTGCGGTCCGCCCGAGCGCTTTTCTTCTAAGTCCATGAGGCATGATGAAACCAAGCCGCAACTACACATGAAGCGCTCGTCACGGCCATGGCCAGCGGCCAATCATGGAAAGGTTTGCATTTCGAGTTACTTTGCACAGTCCCGGACTGCTCACGTCCTTCATTTCATAGCCTCAACCTCAGAAGTCTGAGCCAGTGCGCATTCCCATCGATCCGTCGCTGTCTCAGGAGCGATCACAAGCCATCGCCGTCAATTCCCCGGCTGTCGAGACTCAATCTCCGGAGTCCCATGCTACCAGTTTCGAGTCCGTTTTGTCATCTCTCGCCGATCCGATGCCCTCAGACCCCAAACCAATGAAGCCAGAAGTCGAGGCAGCGGCCCGAAAGATTCAGTTCACATGGCGATCTCGCGCTGCTCGCCGCACCGCTCTCTCCAGAATTGCTGCACTTCGCTCTCAGTATGACAGTATTCGCGACTCCTTCGCTCTCCCTGAACATCCAGACTTCGCCCGTTCTCCATCCGGCTCTCCGTCTCCCTCCCCACGCTCATCGATCTCTCACCCACCACTCCTATACACGAAGACGAACGCTCCGATACTTGCGCACGAAGAAGCGTTGACACGCCTTCTAACCAAGCTCGACGCCGTTGAATCGAACGGTGACCACAAAGTTCGCAATGCAAGGAGAGCATTGGCGAAGGATGTCGAGAAGCATTCCAATGATCTCGAGTTGCAGATGAGCCTGAAATGGGATGAACTGAGCCGTTCCGAGTCGGAGAATGAGTGTGCCGTAGATGATTCAGAAATGGACGCTGAAAATGATCACGAGGCACAGGTCTTGGCACCTGAGGGCGGGTTCGAACCGCTTGCCGCACCAGCTGAGGGACCGAACTCTACAGTCTCAGAGAACGGAACCGTTCCTGCTCCGCAGGGTGAGATAACAAAACATTCGTCGTCTTTGCCCTCAAAACTCGATGACTCCCCCGCCGCTCACTCGGAGGATTCGATGGTGGAATCTGACATCTCATTAGCCCGGGACTCTACCGTATCTTCCGACTCGGACAGCGACTCTGACCGTCAAGATGAGTGGGATGAGATGGTGGTCGAACTGGGCATCAACCCAGAGGAAGATTGGGTGGATGTCCAAACAGAGTAATTCCATATTAGATTTTCGTATGTCTTATGGACTATATATTCACCTGCCTGCAGACCTGCCTATACAATACTATCGTGCATATCGTCAATTTCTTCGTTGCCGCAAGTTGTCAGAAGCCAGTCCGCATTTCACCAATCGCACTCGATCGTCCTCAAATCAACGATAACTGGTGGAACAGAACTGCTTATTGTTTTGAGAAGCCACGTCACTATCTCCACCTCAGGGGAAGCTAGAAACTAGGGTCGCGCGCTGGGTCAGGAATTACGGGCTTGATCAGACCGTATAAGGCTACAAAGTGCAAACCAGTTGTCCGGAGATGACAGGACCCTTACGTGCGAAACCACGGGTTTATCTGTCATCTTAGACATTAATGTGCACAGTACCAACAAGGTAATGTGTCAATTCGGGAGAGTACGTATTAGATTGACTGAATAACATGTCCAGCGTGTCATCAACTTCTCGATAATGCCGACAAAAGAGGATCCTTGAGTTCGCGGGAAATGCGAATTCAGAGGGCGTTCGCCATTCTGACTCTGGGAACGTGCTAATGGAATGAAAAAGAAAGTGGGAGTGGGAGCCTGAGGCATTAGCTCCAGCTTTCCGAGCTTTCCGACTACGAGTCCTCGGAAAACAGAAATGCTACGGAGGGAAGTGAAAGAAGCAAAGGGTCGAACTAATAATTCTCTGACGGATACAGACGGCGAATAGCGTCGAGCGCGCCGCATCTGAACGTCAATAGTTTGCAGAAAACAGTATTGTAGGTTGGAAACTATATCCCACCCTCTCATTCTGTTATGTGGGCAACAGACGGATCCCGGGCCTGTCGAGAGGTTGCGGGTTCTGTAATAACATCGGGCCTCATCCTGTGTCGTTGGGGATAGCAGGGGTCAATGCTTCCAGCATTCAGGGGCTTTCGCTCTCATCTCTGCCTGCTTGCTCATCTCCACAGCTGGAATCAGGCCCTGTTTGTTCAGACCATCTGTAACCCGTTCGGCTGATTGAGGATATTCGTTTACACACTCCCTCCAAAGTTTTGGGCATACAAGAATGCGCGTTCCCATTACCGATGGTTCGAGGACATTTTGGCTCGGCTGAATGGTGTCCGTCTTGCCCATCGTACATTCTCATCCTTCAGTTGTTCCGTTTTCCATGGATGCCTTTTCTCTGTGGCGTCTTTTCGTGGGGTGGCTCGGTTTACCCCGAAGCCAGGTTTCGAACTGTTTTGATTGGCTGCTCCATCCTACCTAATGGTGCTGAGGGTTCCAACTTGCTTGCGTCTCCTTCTCTCCTCTCAGGCTTTTTAACGTCTTTCCCCTCAAAACTCGATGACTCTCCCGCCGCTCACTCGGAGGATTCGATGGCGGACTCTAAAGTTTCGTATACGGAATACGACATCTCATTAGCCCGGGACTCTACCAATCCAGAGGGAGATTGGGTGCCACAAAATAACCTGTAAGGTCTCCAGATCACTATGAGGAATCTCGTAGAACAGGTATGATGCAATGGGCCTAAGAGAGGCTGGTCACTGGGGGGTCATAGCCCGCGCGTCCTCGTGCTCATCCAACACCGCTGAAGCTCTCACTGGAGTCATGTCCCCATTCCCGGCGCGCGAGTGCTCTGAAACGCGATCTTTGAATTATCAAGTTTGACGAAAACCGCAATCATTTCGAGCGTATTTTACAACAGTACTCTTTGGCTCTGAACATAAACAGGGCTTGTGACGAGAGCTAGCGTCCAGATGTCAAAGGTTTCGGACTTCTGCATTGGTCACTGTGCTTCGCCAGATCCTGGTGGAGCGCACACGGGCGACGAGCAGTAGCCCATGTCCCCGTAGGTGCAATGGTCGAAGTAAGGATCAGTGAAAGTGCAGGGGTGTGCTTTCGGACCGCCAGAAAGAGCGCTACACACCCCACCTCCTCCATCTGAGCTGTTCCAAGTTTTAGTGTGGGGTGTCCACGTAACGTTAACACCGCAAAGCGGCAAGGTCCCTTCGGCCAGAGGGTCGTGCAGGCTCAGCTTCGGCTTAGAGACCAAGAGGCTCATTGCAGCTTCGCAAGTGTCTGTTGGGCAAATATGGGTCAAGCAGGAGAAAAATACATATTGGACTCCGGCTCACCGTTGTTTGAGGGGACGATAACCCCATAAAGAGCAGTATAACGGGCAAGGAGGTAGCTGAAGCAAACGATACTGCCATAGTGGAAATGAGCTGCGACAACGGGGACTAGAGCGATTGGGACAAAAGCATTCCAAAATCGCATTGTGACTTTTGGAGAAATGCTTGCTAGTATTATAATGGCAGGTAATGTGCGTGGCGTCAGTAGGTACGTAACATGAATCAAGGAGTACTTACGCCTTGAGCATATGCGCTTAGAGGGCTGGGAGAGAAGAGGGGGCGCATCCCTCAGAGATTATATATTCCAGTGTCTAAGGAGAAGTAATCTTCCCAATAAAACAGCAACATATCCAAGTTACATAATCTCAATGTTTAGACCTTACCGATATTTGAGGTACCGCATGACTGTCATTACCCATACTGAAGGGAAGGGCATGGGTACGTTAACAACCACCCGTACAAGCGAGTATACAGTTGAAACTGTAGTACGATGGAAAAACACAGGTATCGGCTGTGATATTCATGCAGGCATGGCCAACAGCTCCTTAAAAGGGGGGTCGGCCTATCCCTGTGACCGCGCGCGCAAAATTATCGGCGCATCAAAATTTAACATACATTTGGGGTAACTTGGCCAAATAACAATTTAGGAAGAAATTGTGCATCAATCAATGTTTCCCATATTAGAATGATAAGAGTCTATGTCGCGTAAGACTATATATCGCCGAGGGTCATCTACGAGATCTGATTGGCTCGGTTTACCCCGAAGCCAGGTTTCGACTACTCGCAAGTGGCATCGTTGAATACCATACTCCGCTGACATTGGTCAGTGCTTCATGTCGGTCGATCTGCTCAGTGTCTCCGTAAGCTTCTCTAACGATGAATGGACTTAGAGGTCCACTTTGAAGTTGAATGTCTCTGTTGCAGTGCAACATTAACCTGGACATGTCGATTGAGCAATGCATGTTGCTTCAGTGGCGAGGGCTCCACCATATGCACATACGCCTTTAACTCCGATTCATACGTCATTGAAATTACGACAAATAGTTCATTCTCGCTTCTGTGCGTCGCTTGGGAAATATTGGTTCATGTGTTGCCTCTTTGGAGTTATGTGTCTTTCAGTCCGACCATCTGATGATTCCACCCCCACCCTGAAGACCCCAGCTTCGAAGTAGAACCCCTCGCTAGGGTGTCAACACATTGGTCCAATAGATCCTTTATCGCACTTTCCATGCCGCTGGACTCGACACAGTGGCGGGGACATTTGCAGCAAGATGGGCGTCTGATTTTCCTTCCACCCGTCCTTTGTGGTTCTCTGCTGCCCTAGATTCGATGCTGCAATCAGCAGTCTGGATGTTCAATTACATCCCCTCTGGAGTTTATTGGTAACCGGGCTGTTTCTGCACTGACAGACTTGAGGTTCCCTGTCGCCGGCATTCCTGTGGACTGGTTGAACGCTGGAAAACGACCAATCAGACCGGACGATCTTTTTTTTCCATTTCATTTCACAGTTCAACGAGGACGACTTTTGAGTCATGTCAGTGTATTGTAGCGCAGTTGACCGAATTTATTGTGTCTTGAATGCCACGCCTACGAGCATCTCGTGCAGCACCCCTCCGGAAATAACATGAGGACTGTTAAGAATGCAAGTGTCATCCGCGCCCTTTGCCTGACTCTTCGCTTTTCACCGATGCCGCTCAATTTTTCATTTCATACAAGTCCCAACATTCCCAACGTTTCTTTCACTTCAATTGATGTATGGTACGGTATAGTAATGCTCGCAATTTTAGTTTTCAGTCGCACTTATCAGGTTCGCAACCAGCCGAAGGCAGTTCAACTAGTTTGTCTAATATCGTCGTTCCAAGGTCGCCAGAAATGGCTGCTGTGCTGTATTGACCTTGCTTGCGACCAGGCTTTGCAGGCTTTGCATCTGCATATGGTTCCCATCCCATAGCACAATTCATTCTGTGATAATTACTAGATCGCAAACTTAGCTTCATGTCAGTGAACTATGTGTTTGACAATGTACCTAGACTGCGAACTATCGTGTTGGCAAAGATCATCAGAAATATCGCTCTCGCCTCAGCTTCACATCGGTGAACTGAGGGAGGTGCAAGATGAACAAAATGCAAGATATTATATTCGAGCATTGAGGTCCAAGTGCATAGTGCACAAGGCCGAAGCAATCAAAGTGAGTATCAAAGCGTATAAGATGGAGAAAAGAAAAGAAAATTCTGGCCACACCACCTTGATCCCATAGTGGCTGAAGGCCACTCTAAACGCCTAAGTAGCTGTTGAATTCCCAAGTAATTCTCCTGTTTTTTTGGGGGGCATTCTAAAACAATCGGTGGCCCAGTATTTCTGTTGGGCAGGAGAATATTGCTTGCCACAGCGGTAAGCGTGCCGTCCTTGGAAGACTTGCTCTTCCTCTGGAACTCTGGGATTAGGAGTTCATCGGGAGGGGAAGAGCGTCTGAGGGTCTGGGTCGGTTCCGGACTCGGGGAGGATGATAAGAGCCTGTGACGGCTCAGGGCTCGTTGAAGCGCTGTGCGCTTCTGTGGGCTTGCAGTCTGCAGGTGCCAGACTGCTGTCAACCCGGTGTGGAAGTGGTTGGGAGATAGTCGTTTGGACCGTCTCTGACATTTAGAAATGAAAGGAAATGGAAGAGGCCGGGAGTTTAACGGTCCCAGAGAAAATCGAAGCACAAAGCACTTCGGTGAGTTGGCAGCCAGGCTTCCATCAATTTGGCCTGGAACCAACGTAGGACGTGTCACCTTCATCGTTCCTAGGCGTACAGATGACACTTGAACAGTGGTAGGGGCCACTGGACAGTTTGATCTAGAAAAGGTCAAGTGCACAGGTGCTCAGTGAGCTGTGGGCTGGTAAACGCTTTTCCCAACTTAGAACCGGTGGGGAAGTGGCTGTAGAAACTGTCACTAGCCTCTTGGAACGAGAGGAAAGGATAGGCGCCGTGGATCTGACAGCCCCAGAGAAAGTCGAAGCACGGAGCGCTTCGGTGAGCTGACACTCAGCAAATGCTGAGCCATTGTCCCCACGTGGAACCGGTGGGGAGATGGTCATACGAACCGTCCAGAACGAGAGGAGATCGGGTTTCGGAGAGTGTGCAGAAAGTAAAGTGGAATGAATTTACCGATTCAGGCTCTGAGCGTTGAGAAAATCCATATGTATCCATATGCGTGTAGAGCTACATGTGCAGATAGTAGCTGGAAGAGGACAGAGGGTGTGCCTCTTGGCGGAGACGCGGTATTCTGGAGAAATGTGGCGGGTTTCCGTCTGTCACGGATACGGCGGTGGAACGCTGCCTTTGTGGTAGAAGCTCTGTCTGCGCAGCATTTTGCAAGTTGCTGCTAGAGAGGCAGGTGTGAGAGGGGCGGGACTGGTGGTTAGATGATGTTGGTGAGTTTGTTAACTGCAGTATCGATGACCTGCTGCGTGGGAGCAATGGGTGCCCAATCCCCCTGAGAAAGCTTCCCAGTCTGTAGATGACCAGTTGTGTCTGGGTCAGGAAAAGCAGCAATGTGACATTGCCGGACGTGCGAGAAACTTGAGGGTGGGAAAAAGAGAAACAATATAAACAGGGCGCTAAGGAATTCCGGGCTAGGAAGTGACCTTGCAAGCAAGGCAATGTTGCAACAACATTACCCTTCCATGAACCGTGCGGCCGCTGAGGGTTCTCGGGCTTTCGGTACATCCATGGACACTGGGAGTGTTGGAGAGGACAACCCTGGGCAAGCTCAACGTCACGTCCCAAAACCGTCTCTCGTTTCTGGCGCAGCCGACAAGGTCACTGCGCAGAAACGACCTACGGATGAACCCATCGGTCCCTTGATCGCTAAGGTTGACATGTTTTTACCATGACTTGTGCGTTAAACTTGGTTCTCATTGTTATCGTTCACAGCCTATGCCTCGTAACTTGCGTTTAACCGGAAAGACCTCGTCCAACGCGAAGGCGGTGCCTTTGACAACCCCAAGTGTGGCTAAGGAACCACCAGCCCTAACCCCTATGGCTCTTGTTGAGCCTCAGTCATTAAGCAAGGTCCAGGCAGGCAGTACTTTTGAGGAGCCCCAGCCGCTGCTGCCATTTAACCTCATGAAGCATTCCCAGCCTGCAGTTGGGCTGCCTACATCTCCTTCTCCACCCCTCTCCGAGATTGGTCTGTTTGGTTCGAGGTCATTGCTCGAGCGATTAAATCCGGTGAGGCTCCCATTGTCCACCCATCTTACCTCGGAGCTGAGCATTTCCCAGAACAAAGGAGGAAGGGGTTTTGGTTCATCCCGAGGCCGTGGAGGGACTTTTTCGAGTCTCCCTCCCTTCCATGCACGGCCTCATCTGAGAGGTGAACTTCCATATGCTCGTCGGGCACGAGCACCGCGTCAGGGTGACCTGTCACCTCCGAGGCCCGCACCACGTCTCCCAGTATTGCCTGTTTGTGGAAGTCCATTGCGTTCACGTTCGCGTTCATCCTCGCGTCCTCGCTCTCGCTCACCTGCCCCTTCCAGAAGTCTGCACTCCCAGTCAGGAATGCGTTCTCGCTCTCGCTCTCGTTCTCCTTTCTATTCTCACTCTCGTTCCCGTTCCCGTCCTTGTCCCCGCTCTCGCTCCCAGTCTCCCTGTGGGTCTCAGTCTCGTGCTCGCCCACCTTCTAGCCCCCACTCCCACAGCAGTCCAGCAAGGCATTCGCAGGAGCAGCAAGTCGCTAGTGGCTTGCCTTGCTTGGTTCCTTTTGTGCGGATTCCCGCGCATAAGTGGTTCAAGGTCGAAGTGTCTGCTCAATGCTGGGATGCAACACTGCCGCATCACCTTAAGCCTGCGAACCTCGCTTCTCAATATCGGTCGCGTGGTGTTTGGGGCGTTAAAGCAAACATGCTTAGACTTTCTTTTCGGAAGGATTTAAAGGGGAATAGCACTCCTTACGCCTGGAGACACACGTTTTTGCTGAAGGAATTCACTCTCGTGGATCCTTTCAAGCAATTTGTTTTCACCACAGGTCATTTTTTCGATGATCACACGAGCAGCATGCCTCTCCCGAGTTTGAAAAGTATTGCGGCTTTCACTTCCGCTGACGACCTGGTCTACATCTCATGTGCCTTCGAGCATGCTGTTGACAAACATGAGCTAGCTCTATTTCGTCAATTGGCCCCTCCTCCACTCCGTTATGACGTGATCCCTGACATCTTGCTGGACTATTGGAGCTACCCACCAATTCCTGCCAGTTCTCAACAGGTCCTTCGCAAGCGGACGCTTCAGTCTTATACCTTCTCAATGTCCTGGCTATCAGAGCGTATTGCCGCATTGCCAAATGAACAGCGGACAATTCAGCTTCGGCGTTTTGAGATAATTTGCTGTGCTATTTGGTTATACTACAGTGCTGCTATTGATCGTAACACATACGGCCATATCAACTTTGTGGCTGAAATCTGGCCGGTTGAAGGTGGTGAAATGAATGCTTTCATTCGCCGCATTGCTACGTGGGCGAGGGAACATCATCCAGAGGTCACTATCAGCAGTCGTGGATCGGAGAAAGAGGAGCTTCGGTTCAAAAAGGGACTTTGGACTTTGCAGATTGATGCTGATCGCTCTGTTGGCGAGTTCTTGAGACCTCTGAGTTTGTAGTCTCATTTCTAATTGTATCTACTGTTCTAATTTACATAAGTAATACAAGTCTGCGATCGAGCACGTTTCCACATTGCAACACCTCAGGCGAAGGTATGCAAGCTGCAGCATCATCGCTGAGAGGCTGTCATTATGCCTTTGTTCTAGACCTTCATTGTAGGGATCCTCGGCCATGTCTTTGATGCATCATCACAGACTGACTGAGTTTTCTTGTTCAAACCCCCTCGCTCTCACACACTCCTTCACAAGCATCTGGTGTGTGCTTACAATGCCGGACGTCGTGAAATCGCTTCACTTGTCCCTTACATTATTGGCTTGAAGAGCTTGGCAGTACAATGTTTGACATTTTGCCCACATGTTCTAATAACGAGCTCGCCGTCTGCGTCCACCCCATTTCCCTCTCCTCGAAGTCATTCTTTTTTCCGTTTCATCCTCTCCATTTAGACAGTGTGTTTTTGCTTTAATATTCAAGCATAACCAACGTGCCGTCGGTCAGTCATCCATGCTCGCCACCTATGTTGTTGAATTTCAACACCCAGCATCATCCACCCGAGTGCCGATGCCAGTATGCCCAGTAAGAGCTGAGATGCCGAAATAGAGGCTTGGGTAGAAGATCTTCTGGGGTCTAGGGTAGACGAGTGTAAAGAGACGTCACCAAGTATCGCACACATAGAGCCTGAATCCGTTTTTGAGATGGGTGTTACTGGCTGCATGGCCCACGACAGAGTCGAGAGAACTGCGACTCACGCATACCGTCATTGGTGGAGAATATTAGTCGAGGGTTGACGGTAATGACCAAGAGTTGCAACGGGAAGTACTCGCGATGGATGGGCCAGTCCCACGCTTCTCCCCAATGACGGATCGGAAGTGTCCAGAAGTAGCACATGCTGTGAGGCATCGAAAGCCGACGATGGAAGAGGGAAGTGATTCTTGATCAATTCAAGCAAAAATGGAGTGGTGCATTCGAAAGAACGATCGGAGACATGGCCTCGCAGATCGATGAAGATGTCATCCAGAACTTTGAGGGGAGAAGGGCCCATGTGGGACCTACCATTCGCGCGGATAAGTACAATCGATCGGGCCAAGAACACTTCTGCCTTTTGACGGGAAAGTATACGATAGCCTTGGCCCAAGACATGCCTCTTCAGCTTCCATGCGGAATAAAAACTCTCGTTGCATGAACAAGACAGGTCTCGCACCTCCGGCCTTATCCGTTGAAGGGGATCGACTCACTGCTTCGATTCGATATGGATAAGGATCTGTCTTCGCTCACGACGCTCCCGACACGAAGATGCGCAGCATAAATGTGGGCTAATGAATGTCCCGTCAGTATGCATAGGTGCCGTTTAAGTGAGGAATCATTCGAAAAGGGAGCTCAAGATCAGCAACCCTCAATCGGGCAGCTCTTAGATCTCTCAGCTGCAGTTGGACATCGCGTCACTGACTGTTAAGGCAGGAGGGCTCCTGATGCTCAGTAACAGGCCCATACCCTGTGTATATTTATGCTCCTGAGGCCATTGGGGCGTTACGTGTGTTGATGATGAAAGCTTGATACTGGAGGGCAACTGAGAACGAATTACCAAACTGGGCCAGTTACCAAAAGAGGACTGGAGTTCTGTCATGGAATGAGTGGCAGCTGTGCAGGCTCAGAGCTTCATTGGAAAACGAAATGGGATGCCGGACAATGAAAGCTGAGTGGCCAGAAGTTCAAACCTAGCTGCTCGGAGTGGCTTTTGGCATGAATTATTTTAAATTCTACGCTGGTTCCCTGTTCAAGAGGAGTGGGTGACCAACTGTGGACGTTGTTGTTGTTGTTGTTGTTGTTGTTGGTGATTCCGACATATAAAGGATGGGTGGAATTACTTTACCCACAGGGATGCACTGTTACGGCCCGCGGGAACAATCAAAGGTGCGAAGGCATGAAGCTTGAGGATGAGTCGACGTAGCTAGCTCCCACCAGGCCGACGTAAGTAAAGGATGTTGGTCAGCGAGTGTTGAAGGTATGGGTGGTAACGATCTAGTAACACTGAGCCTTCCCGCAAGTCAAGAGACTAGGTTGTCGCCAGGGGAGTGTTGGCTGTGATAATACAATTGCTTTAGGGGTTCAGGACAGCCTCCGGGAGTGTGGAGGATGACCAGCGTTTTCCTTTTTTGTCGGGATTCCTTAAGCTTCCACATTTAATAGGGCACTGACGTAAGCGCTCTGCCTTGGCCATTCAGTAATCATCTCAAAGTTCTGGAGCTTTCGAGCGCTGACTCAGGCGCTTACGGATGTGGGGGCACACGTATGCCCTCTCTGGAGATATATAAGAGATGCCGCTGCCAGTCTTCAGACCCCTTTGTTACACATTCAGCATGTACTCCCATTCTGATTACTACCATGCTCCTCACCCTTCTGCACCAAGGCGCTTGTCCCATCCTAACGATTTGAACGCCTTTGCTGACCAGCTCGAAGCCCAGGCAGCTCGAGCTCGGGCAGCTGCTTCCTTTGCCAGAGTTGATTCATTCCCTGACCGTTACGAATGGCAGTACTCTAATTCGCCAACCTTCCGCAACTACAGAGATGATGCTCATGGGCGACCTATCCCTGTAAGTTGACCCTTCTAAGATGTCCAGTCCTTGCGTTAACATGCTCTTTCGTTGTAGTGCGAATACCACCCAGGACCCGAACACAGGCATTCCCGTGGCTACGACTTCTACGACGGGCCCCGGTACATACCCAGCGCACAAGGCTGCCCACGTCCATCTCGCTATCCTCAGCCCTACTTTGAGGAGAATTATGACGACTATCCCGAGCGACCTTCATGTCCGGGACCTGCCTGTTCACGCCCCTGCCGATCGCACATCTCCCGCCCACCCCAGCCTTATTTCGAGGACCATGGCGAGTTTTACGAGCGACCGCCGTACTGGGGATCTATCGGTTCGCGTCAGTGCGGATCGCCGCCTCGATGCGGGTGCTCTGGGGAGCCTGAACAATGCTCCGATGTTTCGTGGGTGGAGTTCGACCCATCGACGTTCGCTGCAGCGCTCGTCCCTCGTTTAGACCCTGGACAGGGCCCGCGTGGTCTAGCTCGCTCCCATGGACCCAAGTGTGCTGACAGGTCCCAACCAGATTCACACGAGGACGTTCCGTCCGCGGTATCAGGATTGCTAGGCCTTCCGGAGAAGAAAAGTTGCGAGGCCGTATGTCCCTTTCAGTTTCTGTTATGCTTGAGTGTGGAATACTGATCACCCCGGTATATTAGGTTTCTCGCCCTGTTCAACGCCAACACTGTGCGCGTCCACAGGTCGGGCCTGTTCTTCAGGAAAAGGATCTGCAAGTGCCTTCAGCGCGTGCCGCTGTCGACTTGAATGACTTGAGTTCTGTCATCCAATCCTTCTTTGTAGCCCTCAATGGTGGGTCACAGGAAGCTGCGACCCAAGCCGAGCACCCACCAACATCCCAGCCGACAATGACTGTGCCTTCGTGGGCCTCTGTCCATTCCGACGTACCCAAAATCCCCAAACAAGCTGAAGGCCCAGTGGGGTGCACATACGCTGTTCCTGCAACAGCCCAACTCCATAACTCAGCCCCAAGCCCAGAAAGCGAAGAACATCGTCGATCGGATGCTAGCGTGGAGGCCCGACACATCATGGAGGCGATCAAACGTTCGTTGGATCCCAAACACAATGCGCGCCCAATACACCCAACCGTTCACTTCGCCCAGAAGGGTAGCATTGCGACTCAGAATGGCGCTTCCGTGAGTGCACCAACCCCTGTTGTATCGATTGTGCCTACGCCCGCACGCCCTGTCACTACTGCCTCCGAACTTGCCCGAGCACGTCCATCGGCCCGCTCACCGTCTCCTTCACTTCCAAAACCGCCGATGGAAGCCATCGAAGCTATTGAGCAGGAGTTCGTTGACTTGGAGTACAAGTTCCAGTTTCCAACTACAGTTGACTTCCTTTCCAGTACCGCGCCTACGCGATCCTTGGCCTACACTGCGAATAACATGCCTCTGCGCATTTTCGAGCATGCGTTGACGTCCCTCTTGACGCGACTGGATGCTATTGAAAGTGCTGGCTCGACGGAAGTCAGGGATGCCAGAAAGGATCTGGTGCAGAGGATTGAGGGGGTTCTTAATGAACTCGAGTCCAAGAAGTTGGGGGTTTGGCAGCAGCAAAATAAGGATGAGGATGCATCGGCCAAGGTGTACGAGCCTCATTCTGAAGACGATCCTGCAGACGAAGTCAAGCAAGAGGCCGAAAAGGAGTCGAAGGACGACACGCCCACCGACGACATCTCTTCGTCTCCAGAAGCTGTTGATGCGGAGGTCGGAGAAGTTTCCGTCGTGCCAGTGTTGGCTCCTTGACTGTAGAATTGTACGCCCCTTCTGATGTACCGACTCCTATCGATGTTGAGAAGCTCACGTCGGAGGATGCCGTGGTCGGTGGGGAATTCCCTCCGAAGGCGGATGATGTCGAGGACCCGGAGTTACCTTCTTATCCACGTGTTCCGTCCTATCCTCCTTTCTCCAATATCGAGGACGCAGTTTCGTCTCTGACGTCGTCGCCTGTGCATTTGACTTCCGACCTCGATTCGTCCGATGATGGAACGGCGGAGAGAGTGAGGTAGGCACTGAAATAGACCGAGGAGTCAAAATGATCTGCACTCGATTCTTGTGGATTGTCACAATTCTGATTTGTTCCTTGTACGATTAGTCGTCTATGTGTACGCGAAAGCTCACGGACTTCGGTACCTACATAATATATATTTTACGGTCCACTGTCTACTTCGTGATTTCCGTGGGCTCTACCAATCCTTGATCTGCAATTTAACGACCCTATCCTCAGACTCGCGCCCCGTCGTTTTCGCTCGTGTTGGTCCTCTACCAACGCGCTCTATTCACTGAGAGTCATGTGGCAGCGGGATTCCAGTGCATTAACAAGGTGATAAGCGCATCACATGGATTCAGTGGCTGAATTTCAACAGGCATGCGCCTGAATTATCCAGAAGATAATCTCCTGCATAATCTGCACCTGAGCTGTTTGTGTGCATCAATAAACAAAACGGTTGGATTTGGAATTCTCGGCGTGGCTGCTGAAGTGCGAGTTTCAGAATATTAACAATGGTTAAATCACACATTAAACAGTTAGCCAAATATACTCGAGAATGAGCATACATGCACGCGTGCCGATGATTCACGCTGGTACTTACTGTAGGATTACTTACGACCATTAGTTCATTCCCACGGTATCCGGGAGTTGCCGGAGGGTGCAAATCAATTCAATCGTGTTCATTTCCAATTCAATCCAAAATCTTCGTGGGACATGGGTGTCAAATGTTGCGGTTAAGCCGTAACAATGTGACGAACTTATGGTCATAATGGTGCAGTATCATCTCATCGCAAGCTCTCCAGTTAATTCTTTAGTGCCTGCTTAACGATTTCCCGTGTTGTCCAATTAGCGGCAAATTGGCACATGAACAGATACAGATTCAACAAAATATGTCTACCAAAAAAAAAACGATTCTCAGTGAATGAGGTTGTTCAGTTAAACTCTCATTCCGGACTTTGCCTCAAATTTTGCAAATAGCAATAGCAACAAGATGAACATGTGTTTGGTGCGGCGTTGATAAGGCCTCATGCAAACATCCTTAAACTAGCCAATCGCTGCTCTCGGCAGCGGGGGAGCAGTAAAAAAGTATCAGCCTGGTGTATGACGAGCAACAGCAACCAAGAACGGCATTCTTTGCAGATGCATACAAATGGGAGCGATGGTGGCAGTCATAAATGCAAAGCTTCGAGGGCAAACGGTGGGTTTAACGGTTCAGAGAAGCATAGTCCATATACAGCGCGAGAATGTGGAGAGCTACCCTCACCGCCGCAGGCCGGTCACGGTGTATACAAGCGCATGGCCAATCTAAAGAGAACTTCCCTTCGGAGTCTAGGCCAGTGTCACACGATAGATGATATAAATGTTTGGTATGCCTGGGAAACAACCATGGGTTGGCTGGCAGGATTAAATGCTCAGGACAATGTCTAGTTACTGTATGGCAACCCTTGGCGGCCGAAAAGGAACACATCTCTACCATAAAGACCGACGGGGGCTCGATGAGACTGTAAGAGCTACCAGCTAAGTGTGGCTTTTGATGACAAAAGCATGGTTCCGTCCTTTTTGGGGTTTGGGGGGGTTGGGATACCATTGGAATTGGCTCGGTTACACACCCACTGGGTTCTAGAAGTAGAGTTGCAGGCATGACTTTTCTGAGGCCAGGCAACTCACTTGAGCAATACGTTCGGCTAGCTGCCGTGAGGACTTTACGCTCGACGATCTTGCGCCGTTGAAAAAGTCCCTATATACCCGATTGAACGTTGCAATCCGATTCCGTATTTCGAATGTGAGCGGGAGCAACAAGTTCGAAAGCATTGTAGAGTTTACATCTGACTCGTTTGCCTGTTTGAGATGCCACTGAGATACGACGAGGTCCAATTCATCGCGTTTCGGGTAAAACCACCGTCTCTGCGAACCTTTTCGGGCTCCCCAGTTGAAGCCTGTGGACAGGCTGCTCAACAGTGACGGGCTCGACAGCAGTTCAGGTAGTTACAAAGCGGTCACAACAATGTATTCGTCCAATCTGGAGGTGTTCTAGATTATTATTGGTCTGTAGAACCAATAGCGGATATGATCAACTTGGAGAAGCTTCCCGAAAATGGGACGGTGCTTCATCTCTGGCTTGATGACCAGAAGATAACACCGCTGGCTAGAAGCCGGAAATGGCATTTTGGTGGATAATGCTATGTTCCAAGAAGGAAAACTAGTCATGAGGATTTTTGTAACCAGAGCCTCACCATCTCAAGCAACCGAACCATGCATAATCCCAACGCATGTGTGAGTCTGGCTACTCAGACAACACTGTCGCCGAGGGGAAATATACTTGCCAGGGTGACCATAGTGGTCAGTTCAACACTTGACGGTGCCGTAGTCTGAGAGTGACTCAGTCATCATAGAATTATTCAGGGACATCTTGCTTGACGTGCTTGTCTTGCCAATCGATGAAGTGATTGACTATTTTAGCGCAAACACTGGCTTCCAGCCCTCACACTTTGTTCCATCGCGTAAGCTTCAGACTCATCTCACGAGAAAACAACTTACTCAGGGGTAACAGCCAACACAATTTCTTTCGAGCAAGCTCGCTACCAGGCTCAATCGATTTTGCACGGTAAAATTGTTGTGGCCTATGAGCTTTGGACGTCCCTAGATGTGAAATGCAGCATTATACAAAAAATTGACACTAACTGCTTTTCTTGATCTAGGCGCTGCGGATCCATCATCCTACCGATCAGACCAGGGACCTCGGTTTATACTTCCCGATGCAAAGTACGCTGGCAGAAGGGTGAGAATCCCTGCCAGAATCCGAGAGTTGCTTACACACTTTACTGTGTAATAGTGGGGACGGCTTCCAGAACATTGTGAGACGAGCCATGAATAGGACAATTCGTGAAGGTTTCGAGAACACCGTAAGTGACGCACGTGGCATACCAATTTACATTACTCAATTCTCCTAGGTTGAGGATGCCCGCGCAGCAATGGATCTGTATCGATCATGCGCAGCCAACTGGGAGGCGCTCATCGCATCCTCAATATGGCCATGCCTTCTCGCTCCGGAGCAGTTTAGGCAATGGTACTTGTGATACCTATTCTGGTTACCACATGATCAACTCATTTAAGATGAACCGGGATGCCGCTGTCAATATACGATGGGGTGTTCTGGATGCAACTGGACTTCACCCGTCTTGACAGCTATTCATTAGTGATCACAGCCATCCATGTTCATCACATTTTTCTTCGTTTCTGAGTATCAATGCAATGTTGACTCGCCTTGCCGCGGCTGAATAATTCCCGCCAAACTGGTGCATTGGAAGCGAACGGTAAATGTCTCCAGTGAAATCCATACTATCGGTTGGCGGCCCCACTTTTCAGTAACATAATCGGGAAACTGGAAGAAAGCGCCAGATGCGATCCTTTCTACCCATCCGCTAGATAAACAATCTCAACTTGCTCTCTAGTGGTATTAAACAAAATCCCGTCATTGGGCTTATATTTATTCCGACATACTCACAGCGGCGACTGAGTAGCAACGCCTGACTTTCCAGCATGAGAAAACTCAGAATGAAATCCTCGTTTGCTCACGTCCAAGTGATGAATGACTGTGTTCCCTTATCTGTAGAAACACACGTTCCTTGTAGATGCTAGATAGCCATTCGTCCAAGCATCAATTCGTTGATACCCTTCCAAACTATTCAACGTCCTTAGCGATCAACCACCAGCGGCCATTCTCGTAGACGCCTTAGACTATTGTAAACTGTTTATTGTACGATCCTGTCAGAATGAATGAGCCGAAAGCCGATGCCTGCGTAAAAACTCTGAGGATGAAAGATTCCTCAGTCATAAGGTGTGCAGGAAAGAACATGGTGTGATCCCAAGACGTCCGACGACAGCAGCACATCACCAGAGCATTCTCCCTGGAACACTTATTTGGCTGGCGGAAGGCTATGGCGACCAGTTTGTGCCACCTGTGCATCCAGCAAATGATAGCAACCTGAGATGGAATTGATGGAATTTGACCCGGAGGTGCCAGCAGGCCGGTTTCAGCTAGCGCACGAAGCCTACACTGCAGAGAGTGCCCACTGCTCGTTGCAGCGGCTGGGGAGCATCGTGGAAGTTGGCAAGTCTGGGTAAAAACAAAAAGAAAAACCCTTGCACAGGAACCCCGTGACACCCCTAAACGCGCTAAGACGTTCCAAGTTGCCGGATGTTCCTCTGTCAAGGTGGAGTACCACCGTGTATCTTGCTCGAACCCTTGAGCGTTCATAGCATCCTCCCGTTTACGTAATTACATCAATTCTCCCTTCCTCGGTCATCTTGCGACTGTCTGGCCAGTGGCTATAAGCCAAATGGCATCATCATCACCTTCCAGGCTCCACCATTCTCTGCCAAAAATTGACTCGTGGAAACACCCATCACGTATCTTGGCTTGCTATCCAAATTGTAACGTCCCAGTCAACATCTGTGTTCGTTCGGCGCTGTTTCTTCCCAAGACTGGGGATTATTCGGGGAAGCAACCCTCGACATCTTCATATGGAGAGATATGGTAGTTTGGGTTCGCTACCTCGTCGAAGGCACCAGATCCCCTACTTCTTCCGCCGGCTTCGTGCGGAATAGCCGTATCAATTGTCACTGGGAGTTCAATGCCTTCTACAAGTTAGTCAATGGTCACTGACTCAGACACAGATAGTTGATTGATTTTCAGGCGCTGCGGTTACCGCTGACGGATTGATTCGCCCATATGTCCGTGCCGGAAAAATATGCCTCATTAAAAATCGCTGCAACTCATCGTTAAAGCAGATGGTTTACGTTGCGTCAGACAATGACCCAGTCTCCGAGTCGCAAGCGCGTACGTCTCAGCCATGAGAACGTCATGGCCACCTAAGCGAAGTTATCTTGGGTGCCCAACATGTCTTGGGGAAGCTGGTCTGGCGGCCAAACCTCCCCCCAGATACTGAGGGCTCAATTCAGACAGGTGTTTGCCCTTAACATGGCACATGTATATTAGCTGAGCCGCCGCCGACGACAGTCACGCACGACTAATGGTACTGCTCACAGAGGTCCACGCACTTCGTTGACCTTTGCGAACAGCTCCACATCGTATTGCGTTGGACTGGTGCTGCCCGCCGGGGCCTGGCATCGCGACAACGTGGCGACCGATTACCATCATTGAGGTTGAGCAGCAGACGGCAGTTCCCGTCTCTGCCGGAAGGTTCAGAAAACCAACACAATGTCTGAACATCTGGGCGAAGGGGTACACTTAGAGCGGACTAATTTTACCACTTTATTTATTCCAAAGACCTCTGCCTCGGCGCTCTGAGGAGCAGCCTGAAGTCTGTGGGCTAATTATACACACGGAATGACACAGGAGGGCCGACACCTTTATTATCATCTTATTATTAATTTTCAATATCGCGCACGTTCGAGCTATATGCAGGCAAAGGTGTCCATCTCGCTCTGAATCAGTACGGTTGGTCAACTGTGTCTGATGAACGATTTCAACTTCAATGATGCGTACCCAGGGTCGCAAGATTAGCTCGCCGCGCCTTGCTCACTTGCGGCAACCTTATTGCTTATGTACAACTATGTCTGTGCTCAACGTGTTGCAAACCCATTGTCGAGTATCTTCTTTTTGGGAATGATAAAGCCACAGTGCGAGATTTATCTTGTGGTTACCCCGGACTTTCAGAGTTACGTGCGCATTCGCTATGGACGAATGTTAATTTCTTTTCGCACTGATCCATGACACGAATCCGTTCGCGGGCCTGCTTATCGTTCCCCAAGCCCAAGAGTATTGCAACGACCCCAGGGACTCGGATATGTCTTTGAACAGCCGTGCGCACTTATTCTCTCGGAGGAAAGAACTCTGCAAGGATATCACAAAAGAAAAGGGAAAACAGCCTTCCTTCTAGATGGGTACGCTTCCCCGAAGCGACCACGATACCACTGATGACCTCTTACTGCGCGGGGAAGCATTGCTGCAATTTCTGCCGCGACGAACATCCATGGAGGAGTATACCACCCTGCCTTTCCAAGGCCGTATGGCTCAACTAGTGATTGGCGAACCGAGGAAGCCAACGAAGTGGCGGCAACCGCATATCCAATCCATTCCAGCCTAACAAGGGAATATCAGACTAAGGACCATCAGTGGAAGGCAGTAGCTACCATTCTGATAGGTAGTTCGGAAACCTGTAAGGAAGTTCTCATCAAAAGACCTCGTAAAGAAATATGATTGAAAACCCACGAGATGAAACGATACAGCCCTCCATAAGGGATCTTATATCGTTCCTCGCTCGAGCCAGGTCCGTTGTGAGAGTTGTTCCGTAATTTCAAAAGAACCTCATCATGCCATACATTGGAGGCGAAGCCGGCAACAAAGAGTAAGATGCCACCAAGGAATGCCGGCCCAGGGTATGAAGATGGAGTTGGGGAAGTCCTGGAGGCGTTGTACAGGGCTGCGATATATGTGCCTATGAGCGAACCGTTCAGCACGTTGAAGAGAATGGATACGATTGGGATGATAATATGAGATGGTGAGCGTGACGCGGTACGCAGAGGGGATATCACAGCCCGATTGAGGTAGTGTACGACGTATAATACGACAAGGAACAATGCCTGTTTCGGGGGACCGGAAGAGTCCAAGCCTTCCATGCGCGCCCAGAACGCCAAGCAGAACATGATGGGAGAAGGCAACTCCATGATCATCCATCCCAGTCGTCCATCGACATTCATCTTTGGGGACATCCAAAGCTTCTGAAGCCATCCATCCTCTGCTTGCACTAGCCTCCGATTGTTCGAAGAGTTAAACCGTCCATGGGGTGCATCGATGAAGAAGAGAACAGCGCAAACGGTTGGAAAACATGCGTACGTTCGAAGCGCAACTTCATTAGCATTTTCCTTGTTAGATCGCGCTGTACATTGGAAACAAAAATCTTACTCTGATACAAATGTTTCATGTCAGTAACAAAAAGTGGCCGAGTGAGCGATTGTTACGTAATAATGTAAAACGGCGACATCTGTTTCCGCGCTTACCCCAGCGAGTGAAATTGGCGCGCGCCGCTTTTCGCCACCATTTCCTTCTTCAAGCTCTACCCCCTATCGTTTCCCCCACCCACCAGATTTCTTCCCCTTGGTGTTTAAAGTTGGGAATCCCTTAAATCTTCTTACTACTATGCAACACTCTCTCCAGCGGTTCCTTCCTTCTCCCCATCTCCCTTGTCCTCATCGTCTTCATCATCCTCAGCGGGAGGTGGCCGTGGAAGGTTACAACCCAAAGCCAAAATAGCAATTCACTGGGCGCGTTGGGAAGTATTCACCTCGTCGGCCCCGAATCGGACGAAGGGGATGAAGTGACGACGACGTCAACACTATAGTACGTACGGAGGATAGGGTTTGTGATAGCAAGAACGATTTCGGCACCCTCGTACGAGCGAAACTCTTAAGAGGCTGCTTCAGCCTGTCGTGTGCAGGTCTTGATGACACTGCAGTACTTCATCGAGCTGGAAGGTTCCGGCGTTGTATGTACATGCAGCTGCATGATTGGAGAATATGCACTGGTCCCGTCAGGGGCTCTCCTGTTTCACTCTGCAGTTGAATGTCACACTTGCTCGCTGAACCTTGATACTCGGCGAGGGCACACGTACACCAACTATATGTGGCTTCTAAGCATCGTATGTTTCCGACATGCAATCACGCCTCCTCAAACCAACTGGTTGCTTCTAAAAGCTGTCAGCCATGCTTGCGCCCCCGCCGAATTCGAACTCAATCGTCAAGTGGTGCAATTTTTGCCAAAGACTGTGCGCTGAGCATACCTCGAATACGATAGCGGGGGTGTGAGTGCCCTGTTGTCACCATGAGCGCCGTCTTGAGGTACACATCAAGCCCGAAAGCTGAAGGTGGTGCGGGACGTCCGTACGGTTGTCGGTGCTAAGGAGCTTGCAGTGATGGGGGTCTATTGAAGAACGAGATACTACACTCGCGCACCGGCGTTTAATTGCTCTGCAAATCATCCATCTCCAATAATCAATATCTTGGGCTGGACGGTTTGACACTTGAACGCCTATTCACGGTTAGCCAATCACTCAACTCCTGAGACTAATAAATTTCCTAGCCGAGCCTCCTGCCACGAATCACCAGCCAAGAGTCACCAGAAAATAGTTGGCCATGCGTGGTGTACTGTAAGTATATAAGCATATGTTGAACTGTCTGAATTAATCGCGCAGGGACACGCATACATATGAATAAAGGCTCATACACCCATCCTAACGACCTGTGATCTCTCAGCCAGTCATGTCTGTCAATTAATTCTCTGACACAATCGAAGAGATGAATGGATTTGGTGGCTACCTACCGGGAGAGTAAACGTGAACTCAGCTCGAAAGAGTTAACGGCATTGGTTGATTTCTGATAAGACGTCCGCAAAGTTTCCCTTTTCCCTCAAGGTTCAAGGTGACGATGATGCCAGAGCCCTCACGGCCATCCCGGAGTCATTGAGCAACTAGGTTGCATGCATCAAACACTTTCAGTCCAGTCCATCTGTAGATAAGTTGCCAAGCAGTAAGTTGTTGGCACCGGCAATGAGCGCATGAACACGGCCACGGGTCCGGAAATCGGAGAGAAAGATTTATGGTCGGTGTAGTGGTTAGATTTCACCCGTCTCCTCACGTCATTCGGCTATGTGGACAGAAATACCTCCATTGGCGGCTTCGACCACCTGATCCGCCAATTTGAGCATTGCGGGAACCCTAACATGCAGCTCACTAAAGGACAGTGTAAGTGCTCTTGGGGGCTAACATTGCCGAGGGATTCCCAGAAGCCTCTTGGGAATGTGCGACGACCTGCATGGAGCGCGGCGTTAAGTCCCCATGCAGCACTTGGCACCTGGCACTGAAGCAGCAGATATTTCCAATAAATAACTATTTATTTTTCGTTTGTCTAATGGATGCAAATGAGTGACGGAAGAGCAAGTGATGAGACAGAGGAGCGCACTTATATGTGAAACGTTTCCGAGTCGGGGAAAACTCCCCTAGTTTGTGTCCCACCATTTCCTGTGTTATGTGGACGGGGATATAGTCCTTCCCGTTATAAACTCGGAATCTAGCTCTGCCAGAAGGGCCCGAGTAAGTAGAAGGAGACAAGGCCCTCATGACGAAAGCATACCCAACAAAAGTGGGAAGTATGGTACATGAGCGCACGCGGGTCTTTATTGGGATGCCAGACTGTTTCGCCTCTTGGATGTTGGGAAATGAGACAAAAAATGGGCCTATAGTAGTTATTAATCCCTCTCACCTCACCTAAGAGGAATGACCAACAGACCTTTCCAAGACGATCGTGAGCGTGCTATCGATGCCCAGAACATAGTTGGTGAGTCAGGGAAGTCTAAAAGTCTGCTTTGTCCTAACACGTGACGCGTTTCCTGCGTTTACTCTGATGCCTGTCAGCACCAACGATCCGGACAAATGGATAGCCCAATTACTAGAATGCAAGCATCTCTCCGAGCCAGACATGAGGTCCTTGTGTGAGAGAGTACGAAATATTCTTATGGAGGAGTCAAATATCCAACCAGTTTCAACTCCTGTCACCGTTTGCGGCGATATCCACGGCCAGTTCTGGGATCTGATAGAGCTTCTTCGGAAAGGCGGAATGGTCCCTGAGACCAGTTATATATTTATGGCGCGCCTGTTGTTAATGGGCGCGGTTCGTGGGGCTAATTGCATTACACCGGCAGGGAGACTTCGTCGATCGCGGTTATTACAGCTTGGAGACTGTCTCCTTGCTGCTTGCGTTGAAGGCAAGGTGTGCTACATATATATTTTAACATGGAAGCATATAATTGATGCTGGCCTTAGATACCCAGACAAAGTAACATTACTGCGAGGCAATCATGAAAGCAGACAGATAACTCAAGTGTATGGTTTTTATGGCAAGGCTCATTCTCAAGCGTGTCCCATGCGTAGTTTTAACTGAGTTTCCAGACGAATGCCAGACCAAATATGGAAGTCCAGCTGTATGGAAAGCATGTTGTGGCGTGTTCGACCTCATGAACTTGGCAGCCGTGCGTGTGCCAGTTTATGTGCTCGGATATACCGTGAAAGTTTGTGAAAACATCCTAGATAATAGATGGGACAGCATTGTGCGTCCATGGAGGGCTTTCGCCTGATATAAGAACGTTGGACCAAATACGCGTTATTTCTCGAGCACAAGAGATACCACACGAGGGAGCATTCTGTGGTATGTCCTTTTTGACTTCACTACTAAACCAGGTATTGATGCGAATATAGATCTTATGTGGTCTGATCCCGATGAGGTTGAGACATGGGCTGTCAGCCCCAGAGGAGCAGGGTGGTTATTTGGTGCTTCTGTCACTAATGAGGTTTGGACCCGATTTCCCCCACCACTTTGTACTCTAATTTTCTTATTCAGTTTAACCACGTAAACTCTCTTACGCTAATTGCCCGCGCACATCAGTTGGTGCAGGAAGGATACAAATACATGTTTGATGAATCTCTCGTCACCGTGTGGTCTGCGCCAAACTATTGCTACCGATGCGGCAATCTTGCAAGCATTCTCACGCTTAAAGATGACGCCGATGGAGGGAGATCTTTTATAGTATATAGTGCAGCACCAGAAAACGAGCGAGACCGAGGAATGGGAGTAGGCGCCACAGGCGGCATATTTACAGGACGAAGAATGGTACGTGGCTTGCATCAGGAGTGCTCCATTCTCGTGCTTATTCTTATTTCACCAGGGTGGTGGGATGCCATATTTTGTGTAGCATACATTAATGTAATATAGGATGTCCATACCAAAGCTAAAGGAGATTGCTGCGCGGGTTAGGCGGGCACAGTCGCGCTCGAGCCTCAGAAGGTGGGGCTCCCCTTTGCGCTCAGTAAATATCGTACCTTCCGTCCTCATCCCAGGCCTCCTCGTTCTCGAATGCGTCGCTGGTCGAGAAAGCATCTCTTAGCTTAAGCATCGCCTCGCGCACTTCTCGAAGCTCGTCTTTCCCAATGCCATCGTCCCCATCAGGATTTAGGAACCGGAGATCCGTGCCACCACGAATGAAGGTGTCGATGAACTTGTAATGCTGGTTGAAATAAGAAGAAAGAGCAGCTGAGCAACGCAATGCACTGTATATAGGGACGGTGTCCAGACTTCGATGGCTAGAGGTATGACGCGAGCGGTGTAGGTCAGCTGACAGGGATGAAGTATTGAAGAGCCTAGGAAATGAAAACGGAAGCGGGTATTCGATGTCGGATCGTGTCCTGCAGAATATGCGCAATTAGTTAGGCACTTATCACAAGTAAAGATGTCCACTATACGGACATGTTGACAAATGGATACCGTGTTTCAACAGTTTTCTGGATCCAATCTTCGATGGCATCCCGAAGCGGTAATGAGGTGCTCCGAAGGACGCCCCATTCGGCAAAAACGCCTGAACGTCGACTCGAATGCGTGATTTGCTTTGTCAACAATAGTGAACGAGACATCTCAAACACCGAGATAGAAGCTGTACCTGTGGAGAAACTTCCACTGAGAAATCGTGTGACAAGTCAGAGTCACTTTTCTCTAAGGCATCCACTCGAGGCGTTGGAAAAATGCCGGTTAAATGAGCGAATTTAGTGTCCAATTGACAAGACAGAGCCTGCAGGTCTAATCCGGCGCCCGGGGACTTCAGTCTGTGTGGATTTGATGAACGTCCTTCATGTTACATGGGGGCGACATGAGCGCACCGAAGCGGTAGTGTGGCACTTTCCAGATGGGACGACAGCAAAGCTGTCGTATGATAGAGGGATTGAGACTAACGGGAATAATTAGTATATAGAAGCTGGTATAGGCTTTCACGGACATCGTACGTCAGATTGCGAGTCCAGGCCCCGGTCCTCCAAACAAGTGGGTGAAGCAAGGGGACGTTGACATCGGAGTATTCCTCGAGAGCGCACATAGCTAGTGAGGCATTTGTCATCGCTCGACAAGCGGTGGGCTATAGGGAGCAGATGATGAAGATGGCTTAGGATGAATCTTAATGCGGTATGAAGGTAGAACATGCATCATGGGTGTTCACTAGGCCGCTGTTTTGCACACAGTTGACCATAAAGGAGAGGGCCGTGGTTTTTGGGAGGCACTCCCGTGCCAATTGAATCATTGACGTGGTGAATGATGCGAATTTAGACGCGTCAAACGTTGTCTGAACCCCCTGATGTGCAGATATTAATGAACAGTACATCATGATCAAAAAAATAAGGCAGACCTGAAGAAGGTCGCATTCTTCGACAAATCGTCGGAAATCACCATCCATGAGATCATTGTCCTAGAAGAGATAACATCTATTTAACTACTGGAAACACTGGCTTCGAAAACCACTTGCCAGACATTCTCGCTGGAAAGTCGTCACACCATCTGCCCAATAAGTGACGCAATCCGGGTCATTTGTGTCCCTGGTACCAACGAATGGCACGGGCTGAAGGGTTCGAGGTATATGATATACTCTATTGAAATCCGACCAGTATCGCACCGAGTGCAACAACTGGTCATTGGATTCGAACCAATCTGAATCCTCATCCTCGCCTTCGTCAAGGTAGCGCTGATAGGCACTCTTCTCAATGGGGACTTGCTTATTTATCCCAATATCTCCTCCCCTCCCATGAGAAGAGTTAAGCCCAGCCATTGATTAACGTGGTTTTGACTGAGGCTCACCATGCTGCAATCTCATCGCCTAGCTCTGGGGAGTATAAGTCATTGATCTTAGGGAGAGCACCGAAATTTTCTGCGTGTCAGTGTTGTCAACAACCATAAGCCTCATGATAATGAAAAACCTGTACCCTTTTCATCAAATAGCAATAATCTTGGACAGAACGTTGGCTGACCACCAGGCGCCACGCCTTCACGGAATGAAACGTTATGATCAATTTGATCCATTTTCTTAACCTTGTCGTCCACATCGTACGTGAAATAAGATTCACATGTGTTAAAAAAATGTGTGCCAATGTAGTTGGAAACGTTGCCAGTTTGGATATAGATGATTTCTCTCATGAGGATCCGTGACGAGTGGTCGACTTTTATAAGCGGCACGCTAAGAACTAGAGGGGGTCAAATGCGGTAAATGTAATAACAATAGGGAGCCAACGCAATAGCAAATCTTTGAAACAGTTACGCTCTGGCTCACAGGCAAAATGAGGATTCTGAACTAAAGCTGAAAAACAGAACTAGATATCGCTACCTCTTAGGGCCGTTGGTGCAACTAGAAAGACAGGGAAGACAGAGCGTTGTCAGCGTTATTCCAACATCAGCCACAAGGCTAAGTGATCAGGGTATGTAGAATTTATCCACAAGAGAGGTCTCATTAGGACAATGTAGATAAGATATTGAAAGCATCATATTGTGAGACAAAAAAGAGTGTGCACTTACCTAGCAGTAGGGGCAAGAGTTGGACGAAGAAAAAAAAGCTCTTATGTAAGCACGCTTTGTTTGGAACTTGCCGACGGTCCCGATATAAGTCAGCGGCTGCCTTCGACTGCCTTTCTACTCGTCGTTCATCAGCTTTGTTAACTGCCGTCTTAACCATTGTCGATCTTTAGCCAAGATGGCGTACGTGTACAAACGAGGTACGATGAGCTTCTTATCGGCTTCATGACTCGTTAACTCTATTGCTACGACTCGCGACACGTCCGCCAGATGGGTGAGTTTTCGCGTCCTCTCGCGTTTATCACCAATTGTCGCTAACACTAGCTAAAACTCTTAGCCGCGTAAGCCTTTTTAGCTGATTACACGTGTCTGGGACTCTTTGACTGTTCATACCTCGTTTCGCAGAAAGAACGAGTAGCGTTTGACAAAGTACGTGTCTTGTAAACTAGACGCGTGGACAGCACGGATTGACGCGTTTTCTCAGATCACGGCGCGTATCACCAAAGTTTGTTCACTCAATTCGCCACGTGGATCCTGGTTGACCGTTGAACTTTACAGTTGTGTTATGGTCTCGATACCGAGCACGTGGACCCTATTGAGTGAGTTGAGGCCTCCGGCCGACTATCCTGATGCTCAATCCTGTACAGAATCACCAAGAAAGTAATATCTGGGGTTTATCAGGGGGTTACCACAGTGGAGCTTGATGTGAGTGTACCGGCCAGAGCAATCATCGCTTTGCTCATTGCATGTTTCGAGCAGAACCTGGCATCCGAGACAGCAGCGTACCTCACTACCAAGCACCCAGATTATGCCATCTTGGCCGCACGTATTGCCATTTCCAACTTGCACAAGGAGACAAAAAAGAGTTTCAGTCAAGTCATCTCTGATCTGTATTACTATGGTGCGTTAGCCGTGATGCCTCAGCAGAGCATTTCGCCCCTAACTTGCTATAGTTAGTCCAAAGACCCGTAAGCCGTCGGGTATGATCTCTGAAGAGGCATACGAAATTATCACGGAAAATGCTGCCGCGTTGGACTCCGCTATTATCTATGACCGTGACTTCCATTACAACTAGTAAGCTTACAGTGCCTTCGCTGCATGTCCATCGCTTATGTCAATTCAGTTTTGGGTTTAAAACTCTTGAGCGATCATACCTGCTTCGGATTGATGGGAAGGTTGCCGAAAGGCCTCAGCACATGCTGATGCGCGTAGCCGTTGGCATCCACGGTCGTGACATCGAAAAGGCCATCGAGACTTACAATCTTATGTCTGAGCGCCACTTTACCCATGCTTCGCCGACACTGTTTAATGCGGGTACACGGCATCCACAACTCGCCAGTTGCTTCCTTGTCGCTATGAAAGAGGATAGCATTGAAGGGATCTATGATACGCTGAAGACCTGTGCCCTCATTTCCAAGACCGCTGGCGGCATTGGCTTAAGCGTATCCAACATCCGTGCTAAAGGGTCAGTGGAACTAGAAGTGTACAACATCTGTCTCCAATTTGCTTTCTTGCAGTTCTTATATTGCCGGTACTAATGGCCAGTCCAATGGTCTCGTGCCCATGCTCCGCGCGTACGACGCCACTGCTCGATATGTCGATCAAGGGGGGAACAAACGCCCTGGAGCCTTCGCCATATATCTTGAACCATGGCATGCTGATGTCTTTGATTTCCTTGACCTCCGAAAGAATCACGGCAAGGAGGAGGTTCGTGCGCGGGATCTCTTCTATGCCCTTTGGATTCCCGATCTCTTGTGAGTGAATCTCATGTAAATTTTGGCTTGTATGCTGATCATGGACAGCATGAAACGTGTTGAAGCGGATCAAGATTGGTCATTGTTTTGCCCAGCTGAAGCTCCTGGTCTTCAGGAGGTTCATGGTGCTGAGTTCGACGCACTCTACACAAAATATGAGCAAGAGGGGCGGATGAGGCGGACTATTAAAGCACAAAAACTTTGGTTCGCTGTCCTTGATGCGCAAATCGAAACTGGTGGGCCCTTCATGCTATACAAGGACTCGGCGAATGGTGGGTTTTCTTCTCTGACGTGATCGGATATTCATCATACTCCTTAGCTAAATCTAATCAGAAGAACCTCGGCACAATCAAATCGTCCAATCTATGCACTGAAATCATTGAGTATACAGCTCCTGATGAGGTTGCCGTTTGCAATCTTGCGTCAATCGCTCTACCTACGTTCATTGCCAATGACAAAAAGTACGACTTCGCCAAACTCCATGCAGTCACCAAGGTTGTCACCCTCAATTTAAATCGCATCATCGACGTCAACTATTATCCTGTCCCTGAGGCGCGCAAGTCCAACATTCGTCATCGTCCCATCGGAATTGGTGTTCAAGGTCTTGCCGATGCGTTCATGATTTTGCGCATTCCGTTTGAGTCCAACGATGCACGAGACCTTAACCGTCGCATCTTTGAAACCATTTACCATGCCGCTCTTGAAGCTTCGTGCGAACTTGCAGAGAAACAAGGGCCGTATGAAACGTACGATGGTTCCCCTGCATCTCAGGGAGAACTTCAGTACGATCTCTGGGGCGTGACTCCTACCGATCTTTGGGACTGGAAAGCCCTCAAGGCAAATATCGCGAAGCACGGTCTTAGGAATTCACTACTCCTGTCACCTATGCCAACTGCAAGCACAAGTCAAATCTTAGGCTTCAACGAATGCTTCGAGCCTTACACCAGGTGAGCACCCCTGATTGTTGAGGATGGGCCGTTGTCGTTGATTAGCGTTATCTAGCAACATGTACACTCGTCGCGTCTTGTCTGGAGAATTCCAGGTCGTCAATCCGTGGTTGTTGAAAGAGCTTGTCGAGCGCAAGCTTTGGGATGAAACCATGAGGAACATGATTATTGCCCATGGAGGTAAGCTCATTGCATGATGTTCCGTGCAGACGCTGAGTTCCAAGCATTAGGGTCCGTTCAGCAGATCCCCAATGTCCCTGCTGACATCAAGGCCATCTATAAAACAGTCTGGGAAATTAGTCAAAAGAAGATTCTCGAACTTGCCGCTGATCGCGGCGCCTTCATCTGCCAGAGTCAGAGTTTGAATGTTCACATGCAAAGCCCTACTGTTGGTCAATTGGTAGGGATGGAGCTTGATTACTAAAATCCCTAACTTATGCACGCGCTCCGTAGACAAGCATGCACTTTTATGGATGGAAGAAAGGTCTCAAAACTGGCATGTAGTATGTACACCTTTTCTACTTTCTTAGTTGCTCGTGTTGAGGACCCCACGACGGCAGTTATCTCCGCACTCGCCCAGCACAAGCCGCCATCCAGTTCACCGTGGATCAGAGCTTGTTGAAGCAGGCTGCACCAGTGCCAACGCAGGTACCTGCACCCGTTGTTGCTTCAGTCCCTGTGAGCGGTACCAAGCCATTCAGCGCGTCATCGAGCACGCTGTCGCCGTCACCTCCAAGTGCAACTTCGTCTCTCTCCAGTCCAACCCTCACTCCTACACAGACCACATCCGGGTTGCCCTCAGTTGTTGCTGCCCCGAGACCTCCAGTGGCGGCCGACACTCCTTCCTCGTCAGCAAGTTCGGTGGCTTCTGCCGCCAGTGCTAACGGCGTGTCTACGTCGATCACAACACTGGAAGCAACAAGCTCCACCGAGAAAACCGCTGCTGATATTGCAGCCGAGGGTGATCCCGAGTTTTCAGCTGCACTGGAGAGACAGCGCCAGCGTAAGTATGAAGAGGAGAAATTAATGTGTTCTCTTGAGAACAAGGAGGCATGCTTGATGTGCTCCAGCTAAGCGTACTCATGGATTCATCGTTTGATTACCCGAGTCCATCCTCTGCCTTGTTCTTCGGCTACCTTGATTCCCGACTGTAACTATCTTCACTGTCCGATGCGTCCATTATGTAATCATATTCCAGGCTCTCCTGACATCAATGTAGTAAGCGTGAACACTCGTCGATACAGCAAGATGCGTTGCGAGATTACGTATTAATAACACGGGAGCTATAGGCGAATGGAATACAGTTACGGCCTGATCAAGTGTACGAATTCGGGGGTTGCACACAGTACTACATGATACATGATACATATGTGTAGATGAGTTCAGAAGTCCTGTTGTCCAGCTGGAAAATGTAACAAGAATAAAAATGATTCCTTGACGATATGTGCAATTTTAGATGAAGCGAAGAACTGGATAGTGTTGATGATGGGCTGCACAATGACACGATGAAAGGTGAAGCGGTGAGAATGACCTAGCATCGCGAGGGACGTATTTGATTTTCTGGTTTGTAGCGAATGGAACGCACTAGTGGTGCGTGTGACTGCGGACGTTGCGGCTTCGTCATCCAAATCCCATTCTGCAGGATAGAAAGAGATGGAAGAGACGTGTACATTCCCTTCACCACCTTCCCGACCACGAGGAAAGGGGGTTGGTGGAAGAACGGTTGTGCGTTCTTCTACAATCGTAACCGTAGTAATAGTTTGAAATCCAATTGCAAGTCTACTCGCTTGATCGGGTGTGCCTAGCTGTGGCGCGACAGACCGATCGTGCAAATGGTCCACACGTTCAGAAAGACGAGCGAGCCCAACCGCTTGCTGCCGCATCGTCAGGAATGCCACAGCGACGAGAGTGAACAGCAAGATGAACTGAAATATGCGCCACACGAGTCGGAGAATCGATGGTTGGGCTGGTGATGTCAGTGCAAGTGTTAACGGGGGAGCTGTGAATGCAGGTGATCCAAAACGTGCGAACCGGTTCGGAGGGGCATTGACCGTGACCGTGGATGCGGTAATAGATAGAGTGTAGTCTGTAGATAAAGTTGAGGAAGAACGGATTTTCTGTGGCGTAGGAATACCCACTGGCAACATTTTCAACTGTGACCGTATACCTATCGACTGGTACATTGAACATCGGCAAGTGAATCTCCGAAATGACAGCCCGATTGGGTCGGTCAACTAGTGGACCATGCACGAGGTATGTTAAATCCAAGATCTCGTTCGTGGTAACGACAGTTCTTGGGGCATCGATGCGGATGTACATGCCATAGTCGGGGACGTCGGGCGCCTGATTGTTATCTACCTGATGCTTCAACGGACTCGAAGGTTCGTCCACGTTGGGGGGGTAAAAGGTTGGAACCACCCTTCGTCCGTTCACTGACGCAGCAACAATCTTAATTTCATTCACAACCTCGGACTTCGCAAAGCCAAAGTCAATGAAAGCATCTTTTAGCGATCGACGTAACGGAAGAGTGGGCGTGACGTCAAGAGATGGTGATTTTAGAACAGCTATTGAGGGGAAAGGCGCCCGAAGCTGAACATAATGCAGCCATGGACTCAACTTGGATGTTTGTCCATCCTGTGAGGTATATGATGGTGGCACAGATGACACAGAAATCTCAACCCAGGCGATGGCGGCTCTGTCATCTATTGATATCCTCTGCGATGGAGGATTTTGTGGTGTTGATGGAGGAAAGGTGTCACGGGGTCTCGCCTTGGGTGCCGGTGGTGTCGCTACATCGTCTCCAGAAGGGGAAGGCACTCTCTGAGTCTCGATGACAGGCCGAACGGTGCCGATCAGCATTCCGGGGCTTTCATCGCCATTGCTCGAACTTGGAGTCGGACTCGGGCTCAAAGGAGATGTCAGCATCCGGGAAGAATAGGTCCGCAGAGTTTTAGGGATTGACATGATTTGCTTCTTCGTCTCAGGCACCACCAGCAACAAGCAATCACCACCCCACATGTCGCCAGACGTGCTTGCAGAACTTTCCGACCATGGTTTCGCGGATACTTCTACCGTCCACTGGCACAGACTCGAACCTTTCGCACCCCCGAGAGTAATATGAGAACGTTTAGACGAAACATCCGCATCTGGCGCACTGACGATGATCTCGGAATCTTTGTTCTTGCTCCGAATGATGCATTCGCACAAGTGAGTCTCTGCTGATGGGATACGAACGGCGGGGAGTGCAATGTGGTGAGGATCCAGTGTGGAACCGGAGAGTAGCAATTTGGTTGTGAGACGAAAATGCGCCGACATAGCAGGGGAATTGGGGGAGTTCGGCAACAGGGGAAGGATATCAATGTGAATTTTAAATGGGTCGGCAGGGTGTCGAGGAGGTTTCGTCACAATGTCGGGTGGCGCAGAATTCATCGAGGAACGCCGTGACGAAGGGCCCGTGGAAAAATATCCATCTGGCACAGAAGATATGTCATCGTCATCCAATTCATCATCGTCAAATGTGGCATCCACGGGGGTAACCGGAGAGTCGGGACCTGGCAGAGGCGCCCTCAGCAGGGAGACTCTATCTTTTGAAACGCTATTGGAGACGATGGGAATTCTCGAGGGGGTCATTCTGGGCTGAGACGGAGCATCCTGCGAAGACCGCGTCGGAGAGGTTCCTGAACGCCCCGTAGTATTTTCCGTTACCTTGGATAACGAGTTCACCAATGACAATGGTAATTTATGGTCCTTCCAGCTCCACTGTCCTACTCCTTCCCCACCTGTAACCTCGAACGGTGATTTGTCTTCATCGGGGTCATATTCAGCAGACCAGCGGGCTGTGCTGCCGAAGGTGTCAACCACAACGGGAAGTCCGAGCTCTGTTTCGACGTGAGGGTCAAGAAGTCCAAAGCATTTCGCGTCAAACTCCAGGTCGACGGGATAAACGACGGGCCGCGCGCTGTCAATGATAGGGCTGCCGATCGTGCATTTTAATACAGATTCTACACGTTGTGCGGCAATGTCGTGTCGAAGAGCTTTGAACGATGGATTCCTTGCGGGAGCCCATCGAATAATTATCCTATCGGAACTGCCGGTGTAATGAGCTTAGACACATCATTTCCCTCAGTCAAGCCAGGCTCAATACCTCATGAATTTCCCTTCGATGACGCGGGGTTTTTGGTCAACGCGAGGCGGTCCCGCACTCATGAGCGAGTTCACCGAGTTGGAAGATGACACATCGGACCGGCTTTCTTGGTCCGCCCAGTTCTCCGTGCTTGCCGTGCTGTGCTGACGTTTCCGCTGAAAAAGGGCTGGGATCGTTCGAGCGGACCATTGCTCCTCCACGGAGACATTTGATGAGCCAGCAGAAGAATAATCTGATGCGGCTGAACGCGTAAGTACAGAAGGTAGGTGAATCTTGAACTTTATAGAATTGTGCAAACACCTCGGAAGTGGCACATTCAACATATATGGGGCAGCTGGCGGTGTTGAAACCAACGGCACTTCCAACTCCATCGCAACAATATGAAAAGAAAGTATCCCATCCCGGACCGACACACCGATGGAGTTTCTACGGTGCTTATATATGGGGCCTGCTGATTGCGGTCGTAGGTTGGACGGAGGAACCAGTATCCGAGGAGACAGATAGCAGTACTCATAGTTATTCACGGTGATAAAACCAGTCATATCAGAAGTCAGATTCTGACCCCCATTAGTCTTGTAATGCGATGCATTCGGCAAAGGAGATAATAAGTCTGGGTATGAGACTGGCAGCGGCGGTGGCAGGGCCAGTGCTCTCAAGGCATGTTGCATGAGACGCGACACATTAGGTGGGAGCGCGTATGGCGCGCCATCAGGGGAGAGTGGATGGCACTCAGACCGAAGCAGCTTTGTATGACTCTCCTGGAAAAGGGGATACGCCTGAGATGGCGGAAATTCTGGGATGGAGATCTGAAGAGGACGTGATCAAAGGTCAGAATCCCATGCTTCAATATTCTACAAAAATTGTGCACCTTCGCAAAAATCTGAATTCGAGCGAAACTTGCATGCTCGCCAATCGAGCCACGAATGACTAGCTTATTCACAAGTTTGGTGTTCAACCCACCAGACGCGGTGTGTTGAGCAGGAGTGGGCGGAGAAAATGGCCGCCGAGCATGCATCGAACAGTCAGTATGATATTGCGCGTACACTGCGTATCTGATGTGCAGCTGAGCGAGACGGAGAGAGGGGAGAGGGGCGGAAGTTGAGGGGGATTCTGTACCTGGGCGTGAAACGGCAATAGCCGGGTGCTTGCACCACATCGGGCAGTCAATAATGACCACAATACCTTCTCGTCTTGCCCAGGCCACACGGACCTCACCCAGTATAGCTCATGCTAGAGCGAGGGGTCGCGCACTCTACAGAGAGTGGTATAGAAATGTGCGGGTCTTGGTTTTATAACTTTTAGCAACATTCCTTCCCACTGAAGTTGGGATGCTCGCATAGGCCCCAGGCATATGCGAGATCTACGCACTAAATGTTACGCCTGCACTCGTAAGGGCGCGCATACGGGAAGGCTTTGAGAGACACCGACATGTCGAGGATCCCGCTGTTCTCGATGTCGTTCTCCTCAAAGGTCGCCAAGAATTGCAGGAGACGCTTAACGGCTGGAAGCAAGTGAGCCGGATTTCATACGTGCGAAAGTGGGACCGGAATTTAAGGGTTGTTCTCTCCAATTTAGGAGTCTCATATGTACGGAAAATTACTCGCAGACAAGCAACGCCCACAGAAAACATTCATGCAAAAGTTTTTAGAAGGTGTGCCCTTCATTTGACTGTTTCACAAGGACCGAAAGTGAGCTCCACCTCCGCTCTTCTGCACCATACATTTTTAGGCCGCGACGAGGAGGCAATTATTCCTGCATCTCCCCAGTCATCGTATCCATGATGAATTCAGCTGTACTCTATTCCAATTAATGACGGTCACGTTGTCCGCCAGATGGCCAGCATGTGCCGGCATGTAGTGGCCACTCCAGTTACTCGTTTGGCCCGAATATCTGTTTAATCCGGCCTCCGTTGTAAGGCTGGTTCATTTTGCTGCGTTCTGATATTAAGCTGTCCCCGCAACTTGTGCGCCCACCGCGCTGCGATTGTGGTTCGGCAATATATGTTGTCCAGGGAATCATGGACTGCATGCAATGAGGGCCAATTTTATGAACTCTGAATGACGCTCGTAGATGTGCCGACCCGTCTACTTATTCCAATAGAGGCTGGTAACCTGCCTAGCCGACCCGCCACTTGGAGCCTTGTATGGATAATTCGCTTAGAAACCGTAGCTTGGCGATTTATTGATACAAATGACACCATCTGCAATTGTCGGGGATGGAGTGAAAAAGCTTTGGGCACGTGCCCCAACCCCTTGAATTAGAACCACTTGATATGTTGGGACTATGGGTCCTTCTGAAGCCTGTTATTGTAGCATATCTTGTAGCTTGCACTGCTGCCTTGCAACTCTCTGATGCAGGCGTCACTGATTGGTATAAACCGATAGTTGGAGTACCCCTCGCCCACTCCCCCAATCTCATCCCTCGCTTCGTCGAAAATGCGCCTTCCATTGCTTCGAGTGTCCTCCTGGCATCCGAAAAGAACATCCTTGCATCTCTCAGCTCAGTTGATGGGAGCATAGGTTTGTGTCGCTCGTCTGATTCGTTCTGCTTTTCATTCACTGGTCACACCAGAATGGCGGAGTCTGTTTGACTACTCCGAACCCATTATCAATCTCCAGCTCTGTCAGAATCGTAAGTATTCTGTCGATAAGGGCGTTCGCTATGACTTATTGGCAAAAATAGGCCTCGTCTTTTTATCAGGAGCAGGAGGTGCAACTATTCGCTCAATGGAAGCCAACAATGGAACTTTTCTTTGGGAACGTCCACTACACGATACCTCTCAGGAACACCCCTTTACCGGGCCATTGGATGCTGGTGCTGGTTTGCTCTTCCTTGACGGTGATTCCTCCCACGATGTTATTGTGTTGAGCAATTCTGTCGATGTCCGCCGCCTTGATGGCAGTACTGGTGCCCTCAAATGGCATTGGAAAGCACCAGAGGAATCGTACGTTACCTACAAACAGTGAATAACGCGTCGATTTTTATTCATATCTCCGTCGGTTAGATCACTGAATTTGCATTGGCAACTTGCAGTATCTGAATCGAGCATCTATGTCATATCCCTCACCAAATCGTTCGCTTCCCACACTCTTCATCTCACTATTTTGGATTCCATGTCTGGTCGTCAAATTGGCTCCCGTCATGTGCCATCATCGCTAGAAGCAGGGCTCAACGATGTGGTTGTCATGAAGTCCCCATTATCATCATCTCCGCGTCTCTTGTGGCTTGAGTCTGATGGCGTGATAAAAAGCTTGGACCTTTCCTCGAGTGGAATATTAGCGAAGCCCTCTCCCGTTAAGGCCGCTAAGGCTATTTCCCGGATCATAGACGTGGGCCAAAGCTACAAAGGCTACATTCTCGCCGAGGCAAACGACAGAACGACTGTCATTCTTAGATATGACGCGGCCGGGTCCATTTCATCCCTCCCCATCCCTAGTCTGGTAGTATTCTATCACTTCAACTTTTGTCGCCGTCTGATCGTAGATCGTTCCACAGGATTCTTCTGTGTCATTCGCAAGATCTCTGTATGCCTTAGCATCGAAGTCCGATGGAAACATCTCATTATTGCATGTCTCGAAAGCAGAGGAGGGTGATGTGAGTGCCTTCTATCCACTAATAAAACCTATTTAACGCCAACCTCCAGACAGTAGTTGCGTATGTGTACGATGCCCCCAGCATGATCCTGGTTAAGAGCTATGAGGTCGTATTTGATCACAGTTTGTACGGGGACATTGAGAGCGTAAGACCATGTTTCATTCTTTGATTGATTTACCCAAGAATAACTTGACAGGCGACGTTTCACTGGACCAACGAAGGCATCTTTGAACTTCTCCTTGTCTCGTCGACAGGGTCTCTTCGACTGTGGAAACAGGCGGAAGCGATCCACGTGAGTACTGAAACAAAGGATCAGCTGGCACTTGTATGGTCGCGTGAGGAAAGCTTGGGTAGCATTGTGCGGACTGAGATAGTGGATTTGCCAGAGAAACAAGTGCATCAATCACATGTCGCCGCAAACGAGCCATTCATCAACAAGGTGGTCAGACACGCCACAGAGTTGCAGGTTCTTTTTTTTTTGGTTCGCCAATAATTGCAATATCTGACTGCGAATCAATTTGTCGTGTTAGAATCTTCCCGCATACGTTTACCATTTCGCCCTCAGATTCTCGACGGGCAGATACGAAACGTTCTCATCAATAACAGCTCCTACAGATTCCAACCTAGATGAACTGTACCGTGATGCTTTCGGGTTCCGTAAGGTTATAATCGCTATCACCAGCCTTGGAACGGTTTATGGCCTGGACAGTCGGGGTGGTGACGTCCTCTGGAGGCGTTACCTGGGCCCTATACTTCAACCCCGACCCTTCATGACTCGCACTGTCTGGGACGGGGAAGGAGCAACTCCCCCTGAGCTGCTGATTGTGGCTCGCGAGAAGCTGACGCTGGTATGCCCGACGCATTCCGTTACTGTTTGTTATTATCCCCACCCATTCACTTCCCATTAGGCAACAGTGGTGTGGCGACTGAATGCACTGACAGGAGAGGGAGAACAACAATCTTTAGAACTGCCTGGGTTCGGTAGTCATGACCTCGTGTTTCATAAGGGAACCAACAGATCCCTCCTTGTTAGCGTCAGCACAGACTTCAAGGTGAATTCATTCACTGATTAAGACATAGTCTAACATGCGGACTGTCAGATATCTATTCACCCCGTCGACGACTTAGAATCCCGAGTACCTCCACCTGAAAGACTGCATCTCCTGGTGGGAAACTACACGGGCAATCAACGGATCTCCGGGTACTCCATTGGCGAATCCTCAAGATCGTCCCTTACATGGACGTACCACATTCCCTCCTCCGAAGTGCTCAGGTACACGTTCGTTTCCTCATCTCGAGGCCACCCTATCGCATCGTACGGGAAAGTCTTGGCTGATCGTAGTACCCTATACAAGTATCTGAACCCTCATATTGTGGGCATCGTTACGACTTCGAGGGCCGTGAGCGCGGAATCGATTTATCTCATCGATTCCGTCTCTGGTGCGGTCTTATACCACGCAGTCATTCGCGCCGCTCAAGGTTCACTGAAAGCCATCCTTACTGAGAACTGGCTCGTTTACACATACTCCCTCCATTCCGATGTCCAAGATGCTCCCTTCGATAGCAGAGGAGAGCAAATTGTGACAGTCGAGCTTTACGAGGGCAAAGATGTGAATGAGAAGACAAGCAGGTTAGCATCGACATCCCCGTTAAGATCCCGCAATTTACCTTATAGAAAACGACAGCCCAGATGCCTCAAGCTTCACTTATGATCCTCAGCTATTACACGTCATCCAAAACTCATTCGTTCTTCCTCAAGGAGTTGCCGCTTTGGGAATGACTGCGACCAAATACGGGATCTCAGCTAAGGACTTGATCGGTGGGTCATTTTGTCCCTTACAGGGATTCCGACCTAAATTGCTATCACCTAGTTGCCACTACTAAACACCAAATTTTATCTGTCTCTCGACGTGTGCTGGATCCTCGCCGACATAAAAACAAGCCCTCGTCTGCTGATACCGAAGAGGATCTTATTCCCTATGATACTGTGATTCCCGATGATCATAAACGAGTGCTTTCACATCATCACGAGGTTACTATTTTTGCGCCCAATTAAAGCTTCGTGACTCTCACTGTTCGCATTTAGGTACTGGGCATACGCAACATCGTCGCCTCCCCTGCACTCTTGGAGTCGACATCTCTGATTTTTGCGTACGGTCATGACCTCTTCTTTACTCGTTTGGCCCCATCGAATACCTTCGATGTGTTGAACAAATCTTTTAACAAAGTACAGCTTATCTTTACCATTGCTGGGCTCATAATTGCGATCTTAGTTACTAAGCCACTCGTAGAACGTAAACAACTCAGAGAACGGTGGTATTCGTAGCAATTCCTCTATAGGCGTAATCATAAGTAAATTACACCCACTGTCGGATTTCTGGCGTTTGCAGTAATAATAATAACTCTAGTTCACTCATTTACGAGCCTCTGCTTTCACTGAGCCACCAGAAGCATGGATAGTACTAGTACTCGAGATTGTGCATCAAGCATGTTTACGGACCTTGGAAGCGCCGACTACTAAATCTATTTCCAGGAACCCGCTTCGAGCCGCAGGGGTGTCAACAAGCCCAGCTTTATCATGAAGGGGAACACTTGTATCGTATTGATGTAAATTCGACTTTTGATTCATCATACAACAGAATATAGGGGTTCGACAAGTACAGGCGAGCTCAGGCTCAGAATAAAGATCAAACAGTGAGAAAAAACGAAAAGTTTTGATCGTTTGAATGCTGATGAGAAAAAAGCTTCCACACATAGCAAGTACTTGGTTGCAGACGTCCGACATAGCGGAACTTCCGCTGATTAAAGCCATTCGCTCGTTCTTCAGGGATCCGTCATGTGGAGGAGTGTAAGAAGGCTCGTGATGCTGTGACAACATATACGAAAAAAAAAAAAAAAGTAAGAGACTGGCAGGAGACATCAAAAACGCAGCAACTATAACTCACGCAGGGTTTTGCAGAAGAAGCGCGATGACAGCTGGAACGGAGACTTGTGTGACAGTGCTGATAAGAGTTTGGACGGTCGACTTGATGGTCGAGGCGAATTGAGAGTTGACGAGCAAGTTAGGAAGTGACTTGGTGACCAAGTTGAGGAGCGCCTTGAAATTTTCAAGAAATGTTGAGAGAGATTTGATTCCCTTTTTTTAAGAGAAATTGAACGTGAACTTACGGTGAGAAGAGTGGTCAGCGCTGAGACGAGATCGGAGGGACTTTCGCCCGTAAGGTCCGAGGGGTCAATTTGCTCCAAGGCGGTAATGCACGGCTGAACTTGAGTAGTGAGTTGTTGGACGACTTGGCTAGGAGAGGCTGATGTTGGAAAAATAGTTGTTAGACAAAATAAGATGAAAAAATAATTGAGGTAGATATCCACCAGTGATATCGATGGAGTTGAGTGCGTTAGCGCAAATGTTCACCGCATTCTGGACTTTATCATCGTCTCTTTTGACAATGGACGTCTCCGGAACGGGCGTAGCGTAGGTGAACATCGCCAAGGTGACGAGGAGAAGAAAGTAAGAGAGAACGCGCTTGGAGAACATCGTGTGCGTCGAGTCAGAAGGTGGAGACAGAAACTGAGAACTTGGATGTCGAATGGGGGCAGGGCTCAAGCGAGTTGATGAGATGAGGCCGAGAGGAATCCGCTACAATTTATGTCTTCCCAAGCAGCAGCATGGGATCAAATGTGAAGTCGTTGCAACGGCAAAGCGGCAAAGCGCGCCAACAGATTGACATGTAAGTAAGCTTCGTGAAACAGCGTGAGATACTGAATGAGAATTCCGCCGCTCCACTGGAGATAGAATGGCTGTAGCATGCAACCAGCGGAAAAAAGCCCCACGCTCAGTGAAACTGATCTGAAGGTTTACCATCCTCCATACCACGGAAGTAATGTCCAAGTTTGACAATAGAAGCATCCCCTCGTTCGTGTTCGCCCCATGACGGCCCGCCGTGGAGAGAGGTTCACAAGCAATGGACCGCGCCGAAACAAGTCGAGAAGCAGAATGATCTTACTATGTCGGACGTGCCAATGACGCAGACTTGGGACTCCCGGGAACCAATAATCAAGTAATTCGGGGGCGGAAGAAGCCTTCTGGGATGAAGAAGCGGAGTAAATAGGAGGTTAACAAGCCTGATGAACCCCAGAGCAACGTAATGAAGAATGCTTAGAGCGTGTCTGACTCGAAAACCAAAACGTCCGCTACCATTCCTCGCGTCAGCAAGAGTTACAAGCTCACTCTGAGGGAGCATACGTTCTTCGGGACCATGGCAGCCCGGGACAGGAAGAAGCTGCAACCCTCTCAAGTGTTCCGAACGCCACGAGGAAGATCCGATCAGGCGTCTGATGTCGAGAAAAGGACAGGCTGTTATCAAGATGCTATGTTCGCATTCAAAGCCCCCAACGCCAGCTCACTAACTTCACCCGATCACGTCGCTGTGGGTTCGAACAGCCACAGATGCCGCCCGCGCCGGTTACATAAGCCTTCAATGCCAAGACATTCCGTTTTAAGTTGTGATTGGCGTTGGTGACGCAATACAATCATCAATCATTCGTCTGGAGCTTGATGGGCGGGATTCCTCCTAATAGTGCGATGGGTCTGACATACTAGCCTTCGGCGGATCGTAAGTTGCCTGGTGTATCGCGGCCGGAGCAACAATGGCTTTGCCAGCGCCTGAGGAACAAGCTTTCAAGCCAGTATATGGAATTGTGACTGATGTGCATGTACTCGTGTCTAGTGTGAAGAAACAGCCTTTCCTTTCTTAGTCCAGTACTATCAGGAAAACCAGGACCCGTGCACCTAGCTAGGTTAGCAGGCGACCAACCTCTCCTTAACTGAGAAGACAATGTGCTGCAAAGCATTACCCATGTAGCGCCGCCACATAAAAACCACAAATGGGATCAGAGGTGCATGCCTAAGCATATGGCTGAGAACAAAGGGACAACGAGTCCGGGAGGATGCATGGAAGATATTTATCCATCAGGGCCAGTAGTAATTGTATGGCTTTGTACTCAAGCGATGCGCACCAACAAAGTCAAATCGCTGCAGTAACATCGATGACTTGTGTGGCGATGTTTGAATTTGGGCAGCTACAACAAAGTATACGGGCGACGAACAGTAACTGAGACACTACTGACCTTCCTCTTCACCCAGTCGCCTCATACATCTGTGATAAATCATTAGGGAGGATCAAACCATACTTCATTAAAAGAGAACAGGTATCAGTAATAGTATTAGAATTATGAACTAGCGTCGCATCAGCGCTAGCGTACCTTTGCTTTACGAAAGAGCATTTCTCACCTCAGCTCCAATGATGTGAACTGAGGAGAGAGGAGAGAGAGAGAAAAAATCGTCGAGGCGGCTTTTAAGTCATCCACCATCGGTGTGGAACACCAAGAAAGGAAATGGAAATGTCCGTGAGCGACAACTGTGGTACGTGGACCTCTGCTCCAATATCATCGCATACCATCTCCTAATCAATCTTCGAAAAAATCGGGTGCCACATCATACTGAGGCTTTCACACCGTACCTAAGTCTAACCACGAAGGGAGAAATAATTCTGACAGGCTTCAGCAACGTCTGCTACATCCTATGGGAGTATGAGTGGTTGAAGGGGGCTATCGCACCTTTGGGAACAGCGGATTGACACGCGCCGACCATGCACAAGCGATCTCGGAGCCAGTGATCATCATCCCCGTCTCCGAGCGACAGTCCTTGAAGCGACGGGAAGCCTTTCCACCCTGATTCATCAGCATTCGGTCACAACCTGACCGCAGATAGATTATATTCGCCAACTACCGCCCTATGAATCACCCGATTATGACGATTATGATTATACCCGAGTTCTGTCTGCAGGTGAAAGCCGTGCGAGAACTCCTACGCTGCCTCCGGGAGGGGGGGAATATCCCGCACGATCTAGTGTGCCGATCCCCTGGTTCTGAGCAACTACACCAATGCTCATTGGGGAGCCCTGTCCAGTATATACCTCTTGTTTAACTTCCATTGCATCAGTACCGATCCAGGCCATTTCGCTTGTCACAGTTAATCGTCTAAAGGCTCGACACCAAGCAGGCTCACTGGACAACTCATTCATTATAGTTCCAAATTGGTAACGTCTGGAAAGGACGCGGACGCGTCATATTGATCCCACACGCGTACATGCCGGGTGTATGTGGGGAATAAGAAAAATCCCTGGAGTCTTTGCCGCCGCGCGGCCTTCCTGGCAACGTCATCCGGTTCAAAAGTCGTGACTGCCATGACGCAAACTGGTCATGCCGTCCAATTGGAGGCCGACAACCTGTCCACCTTCAAAACTTCCAATGATCCAAACGCCGACTGGAATTCTGCACTCCGATGGAAGCCGGTACCACGTGCAACCTGTCATTAACGCTCGACGGATTGATCGTTTCACAGACCTTACCGGAACGACGGCCCGTGAACACTGTAGCGTCATCCTCTTAACCTCATCAAATGGAAACTATGACATAACGCTGCTGAGGAAGGATTCGTCAAAGTCACTTTGTATAACTGTCTTCAATTCGTAAAGTATGTACATATGGGTTCGTGAACGGTCGGGCCAATATCACACAATATGTCAATGAGTCCCAACAAGGGACCTACTCCAAATAACGGCTAAGTTTCAGTGAACGCTTAACCCTGTTGTGACGGGATTTGTGTCATCCGGCGATCGACTGTCGCCATGCTGTGACTCGCGAGCACGTAGCTCGCCACGACCCATTTTCTCAAGTTTATCATCAAACTCGCCCTGACGATAATAAACGACAAAGCGCTCGATGACGTCTGAAGTCGAAATGCCAGGGGTCCGCTGTGTTGGAAGAAACTTCCCTGCGCAAGCCTCAGTGCCTTACAACATCCCAAAAGTTTGCCATACTGACCTTGGTCTTTAATAAATTGGTAGATATCCTTTGTTCCGCCTGAACCCGCATATGGGTCCTCATCGTGGGCCACATAATCGATTGTATGCTTTTCGAGAAAACTGTTGTCGAGTACCCATGGCGCTTCTGGAACGACCTCATCTACCCAACGACAATGCCGAACTGACTCAAGTCGTTCGAAGTGAGACATGAGAGTGCGAGACTTGAGTTGCGCGCAGAGTTCATCGGAGCATACCCCAACGATGAGGTGAACGGAAGGGAACGAAAGCTTGGCCTGGCGGAGTTGTAGGGCATGTCTACAGCGACGATTCATGAGATCATCAATCTCTGTCAAATTTGATTTACGCACCCAAAGTGGAAAACGTCATAAACACCTAAATGCGTTAAAATGGGTCAACGTCATCGCGGTCGAAGCAGGGAAAGCACACCATCTGCATATATTCTGACAGGTCTTCCCACTGGAGGCGAGTTGATTTTGTAATTTCGGTGTTCTTCCCCGGCAATCGCACGCTGCACAAACTTTCGTATATCTCCTGGGGTTAGAGCGCCCGTGTTCAATGGCGTTTCAGCCTGACTCGACGAGACGAGAGCAGGTCGCCCCACACTGTCAGGAGCTGTATATACGGACTGAGGCAATCCCACATCTCGCATCCTTGGTGTAGCTTTCTGCACATTTGGAGACGGCTGCCCGGGAGCATGGGCGACAGGCAATACATTAGCATTGCCACTGCTCCGCCTGTTCGTGGAGACAGTTGAAATCGCGAGGTCTTCGTCTACCTCAACGGGAGAGAATTCTGCATCTTGAGTTCCTATTGACACTGCAGATGAGGGGGGGTCAGGGTATGTGGAGGACACTGGAGATGTTGGAGCGGTGACGTTGAGCCCAATGGAGATGGATGATGCGGTAGATTCGCCTTCGTCTGCTGCGGCGGTTACCCTCACGGTGGTGCTGGTTGCCGGGTGTTGAGATTTGGACGATGGCGGAATGGTGGACTCGACGTCACCATCATATGTGGGACTATCGCGCCCACTATCGGCGTCCTGTATGTGTGCCAAGCGGCTCGAATACCCTAGTTGTCCAGATATTCCGCCCCTCGATCTGTGACCGACGCGACCTTGTATCAGGGATGATGATCCTGCTGAACCTCGCGGCCACTGAGCTGCCCCAATGGAAGAACCATCATCTGTGTTGTCCTCTTCCGATCTATATAGAGTAGTGCGGAGCAGCGATGCTTAAGTTAGCCCTCAACAACAACGCCAGCTGAGTTTCTGAGGAGCCAAATGGTGCTCACTCACGCGTCATATAACGGTGAATCAACAGAAAGCTGATGGGAGTGCTTGGCATTAACAAACTTCTTTTGAGATACTAGTCTTCGCGGAAGGGCTACAGGCGAACTGTCCATCTTCCCAATGGACAAGGTTTTCTTTCAATTTGGCTGAGAGATCGAGACTTTGCACGTGAAGCACTGGAACACGTGGTCATGGCGGCTTCTGATGAATCAAGCAGTTGCAGCGACTGGGTAGGAGTCTGTTGCAACCCTTCAACCTTCACATACTTATATTGTCGAACCTACGTTATACTGCGTCTTGACACCGCTGTCTGAACATCGACGTCTAAATCCATTCCGATGCCATCCAATGTCAATAATGCTGGTACCCTTACAACAGTCTACTAACCCCTTCTGACGCCTTAGTCAATACAAACGATGAACCAACCACGATCCTGGCACTGGGGCAGGGTTGTGAGCGCGACTGACCCGATACATTTCATGCGCCGGCCTCCCGTCACCTGCAAAGACTCCTTGAAGGTTTAGACCCTAATCACGGTTGTCGCTGCGACATCAGGCACCTGCCACCAACCCCACCAACGCAGTCGACTATGCTTACGTCAGGCTCACCCAGGACCAGGACCTCATTCATGCGAACCTGGAAAAGTATGTGAAGCTGGTCTGACAGGGGCTACGAGACAGTTTGAAGTCCCCATGGTGATAGCGATAACTCAAGGATGATTGATATTATCAGCAGTGACAAATGCAGGTCAACTAACAGAGGGAAGCACACAAATAAGAAGCAGAGGACTTTTGAACATCCCAAATTTGACGGGCGAATAAAAGCAATATGCCAAGTCGGAGACCCATGGCCTTGTCAAAATGGTTGCGGGGGGTCGGATATTTGGATACTCGCCAGTGCATAGGATCCTTGTGGTTGAATACAATCCCTTTTGACCCCCCCCCCCCCCCGACAGTCAGCCCTTCCTTAACCAAACTTTCCAGATGTGCGATCTTCCCCAAAGTAACATGCTCGGCCCCTCGACTTGAATACGGCACCATTACCTTCACCCCCTTAGCTCGAATGCACTGGAGTACTTGAATTTCCCAAGACTTTGGTGGGCGGGCGTTTTTTTGTCACTGCTGCAGATAATTTTAAGTTATCGCTATCGCCGCAGGGACTCCACAGTAACTGAACATACTTCCCCAGGACCGCACGAACCGGAAGCGTGAAGTCGTGGTCCTGGGCGAGCCCGACGTAAGCATAGTCAATTGCGTTGATCTGGTGGCGTGGCGACGACGATAAATCTTCGGTCATGAAGCCTTCAAGGAGCCTTTGTAGCTGACAGCCCTATTGCACATTTGTGCAGCTGACACAGACTCTTAGTTGACTCGAATGGACTCTGGTATCGTTAGGAATTGAAAGGGGAGCTCACCCAACTGATGTGTCTCCTGACTTAATCGGGGAAGCTATGACAGCAGCCGGTTCCACTTTGCACCCGCCATTTGCACAAGATCAAAGCGAAGGTTATCAGGGGAATGGGAACGGAAATGAGTTTGCGGTCCCGTAAGTCGATGAAAACCCAGATGATGTGGCGAGCGGCCAATCGTCGGCGAGTAGTCTGGCCATTATCAAAGGTAGGTTGGGTAGACGCAGGCTCGGCAAGAGAACCATTCGCTGTTATGCGAGAACTATCATAATCCATAGTGATTACTCCCATCATGATCGATACCGGAGCAGGGGGAGCATGAGGAGAATGCTTGAGGCATGGGGTCATGAAAATCGACCAGGAAGTTTCCTATAAGCTAGGCATGCTCTGAAGGTGCATTGATTTACGCAGTATAAGAAAGTGGCCGGAAATCAATTCTCGACCGGAGTTCGGACGTAAGCGACGATCCTTAGCGATGAGATATTGGCTTCCATGCCTGAATATTAGGCTGGATAGGACGTCTAAGAATCCCGGCCTGTGGCACTCAAGATTTTCTTGCCCTGGCGGTTACTAGATGGAATAAACATTATGCAGTGGGGAATATCGTTCTGCCGAGAAGTGGGGGCGCATGGCATGGATTAATCACGGAACAAAGAGTAGGCTGCGGGCGGCGAATGGCTTGGATACCCAAAGTCACTCTCCGAAGATCTCCTTGGTTGGCACCGTGCAAACATAGGATATCATTTTCTCCAGGATGAAAACTGAGTGGGGAGCTCTATGGCCATTGGCCAAGGAGGGAGGGAACACACTGACTTTTGGATCGAGTTCGAAGTTGGCGAGTGGTTCGAATAAACCCTCATAGCCTCGGATGCCCAATGTTGGTGAATAGAAGGCACACCACAAAGTGCAAGCAGCGCACTGTTGTCACGCACCGCCGACAGTCACACACCAACAATCGCGCGATGCTCTCTGTATATTGTTACGAAGTCATAGAGGCTGGAGTCCTGCCTAGCGATGCTCAGACTTGGGCGATAGTTGAGCATTTTACTTTGCTTGTCTTTTCTGATTGAGCGATACTGCTGCTTGGGACCACAGTACCGCTTCCCAGGTTCCCGAGTCGTGTCATTGTTCATCGTCTTCTGATGGATGGTAGTATACTGTGACCACTGGCGGTACCCTAGTCATGATCTGCTGCGCGGGTCATTCTCGCGTGACATTGTTCTTGCGGCTGGTACCTGGTACGCTGGTACAAATGAGGAAAATGTTGGAGGGTTACTGTCCCATTGCCTCCGTGGATCCAGTTGATTCTAAACTTGTCAACAATAGCTAGGCCAACGCGGTCTCAATCTATCGGAGACATGTTATCGCGGGCCTAGCGACGCGTCGACCATTGATAGGGTTGGTCTTCTCATCCGGCTGCTATGGATTTGCTGCAACAAGTGCACGTTTTGGCCAAATATACTAGTGTGTCTCCTGGCCCCATGAACCCCCCGTTGCCGCGTGTCCCTGCCCTTTCTTGGAGGCAGCCGTGACCTCGCGACCGCTTGGCCAGACATACAGAAAAATTCCTTGATATCTCTAGAGGGTAACGCATTGATGGAAACCCAAGAATGGGACCAACCCGAGTCTGCCTTAGCAGTATAAAATGGTATAGTATAAACCATGGGTTCCATGTGTCACTACATCATCAGCAAGACCTACGTTAGTCGATTGCTTTGCTAGTCTCGTCACGATTAATAGTGTGTTTCGCGTCAGACTTGGGCAGAATGATTGGTCAGGTTGCTCTCCTCTCGGCGCTTCTCAGCATCGCCCATGCCCAGAACGCAGGCACCTTGACACCCGAAAATCATCCCTCACTTGCTTGGTCTCAATGCAGTGCGGGGGGCTCGTGCACATCCGTTAACGGAAAAATTACGCTTGACGCGAACTGGCGCTGGACACATTCGACTTCGTGCGTGCAACCCCATCTGTCTTGCTTTACCATATTCTGACTTTTAGGTCATTTAGCTCTTCGACAAACTGCTACACGGGAAACCAGTGGGACAAGACACTCTGCCCTGATCCTGCAACTTGCACGACCAACTGCGCTCTGGATGGCGCCGACTACAGCGGCACTTACGGCATAACCACCTCCGGAGACTCCCTTAAGCTCAATTTCGTCACAAACAAGAATGTCGGGTCGCGTGTTTACCTCCTGGCGGATGATGAGAAGTACCAGAAATTCCACCCCAAAAATCAAGAAATTACGTTCGATGTTGATGTCTCTAAACTACCTTGTGGCATTAACGGTGCAGTCTACTTTACTGAGATGGATGCCGACGGTGGCACGTCGAAGTACCCGACTAATAAGGCTGGTGCCAAGTATGGTACCGGATACTGCGATTCACAATGCCCCCGTGATATCAAGTTCATTGGCGGAGTGGTAGTCTATGAATTTGTTTTTGTGTATTTCATTCGCTGACTCTTCCTTATAGGCAAACCTTCTCAATTGGAACGCAACATCCGCAAATTCCGGAACTGGCAGCTTTGGCGCCTGTTGTACTGAGATGGACCTCTGGGAAGCCAACTCCATTTCCTCGGCATACACTCCTCATCCCTGCAACACCAACGGATTTTTAAAGTGCAGCGGTGATGAGTGTGGCCATCCATCTCGTTATTCTGGGCTTTGTGACCCCGATGGATGCGACTTCAATTCCTTCCGCCAGGGCGACACCAGCTTCTACGGAAAAGGGTTGACCGTCGATACCAGCCACCCGTTTACTGTCGTGACCCAATTCATTACAACTGATGGCACTGAGAATGGTGATCTTACGGAGATTAAACGATTCTACGTTCAAAATGGCAGAGTTATACCTAATTCACAGTCCAAGATATCCGGGGTCTCTGGGAATTCCATCACTGACCCTTACTGCTCTGCTCAGAAGGTAGCATTTGGTGACACAAACTCTTTCTCCAAACACGGTGGGCTCAAGACCGTCGGTGAATCCCTTGCTCGCGGCCACGTTCTCGTGCTGTCTTTATGGGACGACTACGACGCCGACATGCACTGGCTCGATAGCACCTATCCCACTGATGCAGACCCTACCAAGCCTGGTGTTGTTCGCGGCACCTGCACCACCACATCCGGCCAACCCGCCGACGTTGAATCGTCAGCCGCCAGTGCCTATGCCGTATATTCGAATATCAGGTTTGGGCCCCATAACTCCACCTTCAGCGGTTCAGCAGGCCCTAGCCCAGCTCCAAACTCCACGAGTTCCACTACTTCCACCTCCACGCGTCCTGCTACTCGTACTTCCATGACCCCAGGGACCTCCGGGATTCCGAAGGAGTCGGGATTCAAGACTTCCACAACCACTTCCTCCGCACCCTCCGCAACCCAGACAAAATACGGACAATGCGGAGGCAATGGCTACAAAGGCCCAACCACCTGTGTCGCTGGATGCACCTGCACCAACTTTAATCCTTGGTACTCTCAATGCTTGTAAGCCCTCGGGGCTGAAAAGGGCAATGCGATTTTTTATATTGGTGCGGATACCCATGCCGGTCTCATAGTGGATGCATTTCGAAGATTGGGCATCAGCTTGGAATAGAATTTGCGTCGCACTTGGATACTTCATACCCGAAGTGGTTTCTGGTTCCACACTTTGCGCTTGTGGACTGGTGGAATCGTCATTATGTCTCAATAAATCCAATTTGTGGTCCCGGTGACCGCTTATCTGAATTACTTTCCTAGCGGGTTTCACCCTGGGCCCAAGCCAAAGCCATTATTGCTAAGTCAATTCGTTGTCCTCATCCGCTCCACCAGGATGGTCCTCAGAACAGCTTTCGCAATACTGAGTTGGTGTCCAACTTCTGTTGGAATAAAAGACCATATCGAGACGTCTCTTGAATTTAATCTTGTGCTGGTGGATAGTGATTAAATCTTTAACGAAAAAATTGCTCCCAAGAGCTGGCTAGCGGATTTGCCAACCTCTCGGGCCCGAGTACGGGGGGCGGAGGAAATCGTATGGCCAATCCGGCGACAGACTAAACCGCGTGTGTCCGAATAAAAGCTGGCGAGCCAGGTATACTACAATAGTACCCGACCATAGATGCGCCCTTCCCGATGGAGCGGAAACCGCCTCTGCCAACTGGTGGACAGCAGCACTTGAGTACATACCAAGATGCATTCTTATCACTTGGCATGCGGATTCAGAAGTCCTTAAGCCGGGAAACATGAACACCAGTATGAATCCGTTTCATATCCGCCTTCATTGAGTAGCATCTCGACTCAAGATAGACCTATTCCCGACGAAATATATTTATCCTTGCCACCGGTGGGCATCCCATCAGTTGTTCCTGCGCCGGCAGGGGCTCGATGACCGACCGGCACCCAAGCGCACTAGTCCTGACACCCGACTTTCCAGCCCCCCACAGGAAGCTGAATTGAAGTGGCACGAGGAACGAGTTTGTAAATCATGACAGAAATGATGTCGGTACCTGGGGAGTGCACCTGATGTGTTTATGCTTTTCGTACGTCAAATCTTCGTGGATACCTAAGACGCACCGTTCATATCGTTTTCTAGCAGCGTTCATCACCCAAGTATCCAAAGATTCGAGGGATGATGTAACAGTTGACTTACCCAGATAACGGAGCTGCGAACGCTCACCAATGGCACTTCAAAGAGGGTTTCCCCCCAAAGTGGCATTTCAGCTCTATTTCAAGAAGCCGGTTTCGGCCCACGTATACTGCCTGACTGTGAGATATTTCCCTCGGCTTTACGTTAGTTTGTGTCATAGTCCTGATGCTACTACAAAACACCAAAAATGAGCTCAGCGCCAGTTAATCAGGACTCGCCAGAGGAAATCAAGCACCAAGCGTCTTTCGTTGCGTATCAAAATCGAGCATTGGAAAATTGGGCAGTTCTTCAGCTTATTGCTTAATTCTGGAACCTACTGACTGGTGCCGTTCCCTAAACCATTTCGTAACGCGTTGTTCAAATGAATGTCAGGTACAACCCGAACCTTCATATCACACATTGCAACTGATCTCCCTCCTCTTCTAAAGGCAACAGCAAGGGAATGAGCCCAATGAGGTACGCGGGATGGGCATCTTGGCACCCCGGGGCACAGTGCAGTACGGCGATGACCAACCATTGTATTGAAGCGTTATATATACATTTGTTTCAAAATCAGGGAAACCCCATGCTGTCGCGCTAATGTTATGACATCCTAACCGCTTCAAGGTGTCCGTACTCCAGGCCAGGAACTGTCCCAAGAATCAGCTCCCAGATCCACCCGACAGAATCCGCATTCCTCGCACCACCGCGCCACTTGAGACGGATCGCAATGGTTGTGTACGAAGAGTGCCTCGATGGGATCCATGGGTCCTGAAACCGTACAGACACTTGAACGAAGCCCATGTCGTACCCGATGCTTATATTGGAGCATCGAATCATGAGAATGGGCTGCAACAGAGGATGACCTGCATTGGACGCCAGACCATGAGAGCCTCGACCTGTGTTACAAGGTTAGTTTGGCATAGCGGATATATGAGAACGGTGCTTGTTGTCGTGAATGGTGGGAGTTGGGTGAAATCCTAATGAACTGGGGTCAGCGACGTCGGACAAGGATATACAATAGAAGCCCTTATCGTTGAGGGGAGGTAGTCCGTAGACCTAATAAATGGAAGGAGATGTGGTTAGAATAAGCCTAAACGAGTAGGGTGTGGAAATACTTACCGTCGAGAACAAGTAGTCCACAGACCACGAAGATGTAGTTAGTAATAAGGGAATGCGCATGCTTACCGTCGAGAGAAGTGGTCCGTAGACCTTGAAAAATGGAAGAGGACGGGTAAGGAGTGCGTATACTTACCGTCAAGATGTGGTTGGTGACAAGCCCAAGCCTAAACGCCGGGGGTGGAAATACTTACCGTCAAGAGTAAGTGGCCCGTAGGCCTAAAAAATGGAAGAAGATGTGGTTAGTAATTAGCCTAGACGAGTAGGGAGCGCGCATACTTACCACCGAGAGTAATGGTCCGTAGACCCAAAACAATTGAAGATGTGGTTAGTAATACGCCTAAAGGAATAAGACTTACCGTGAGGTTATTGATCACATGCAGCAGAGGCCTAGAGAACAAAATAACAAAATGAATATTAGCAGCGGGCGTGGGTTGCTGTGAAAGGCAAAACTGTCAGTAGTCCCACGGAAGGAGGAAAGGAAACAGAGAAAAGGAAACCACGCACCTTGCGACCGTCCCGGAAGAGCCAGAGCTATGTACCTAGCCGCTCCCCCGACCCGCTTTGGGTTTCGGAAGAGCTGGTATGGAACTAAGCACAAGCCCCCGGCAGAACCAAGGACGGCCCGAATTTTAAAAAAGCAAAAGAGGATGAAAGAGCAATGAAATTTAAAAGGGAACTGCATTCCCCGATCCAATCCCTTCCAGCCTAGGCCATACTCCTGACGACATACAGCACTCTGATGTGGTGCATATTTCGCCGCAGGGCATGACGTTCGGCATTGGGGATCCAGGAACATGCATATCGCGTTATACAGCGCTCTGATGTGACGCATATTTTGCGGGGCATGGCCTGGCACAGAGGCATACGGCATACAGCACTCTGATGTGGTGCATATTTAGGCACGGGATGATCTCTGGGGAGGGGGAAAGCGGGATATTTAAGGAAAGGGAAACATACAGCCGGCAGCGCATTTCGATTGGCCGGAATATTTAGGGAGAGAAACACATAGGATACAGCCGAAAACGTATTTCGTCGGTCGGCATATTTGGAAGGAATAAAGAGAGTGGCATAGGGTGGCATAGAGTTTGGAAGACATAGAGGAATGCATAGGGTATACAGCCGAAAGCGCGTTTCCATCGGTCGGCATATTTTCAAGTAGAGGGGTCAGAGTAGGAGCCAGGGAGTGGCCACTGGACGCAGTGGGGCCGTCCATTTTGGGAGAGAGATAAGGGAGTGGGAACGTGAGAGTAGTCTGGATGCTGGCGGGAGAGATAAATGAGTGACAAGGTCAGAGTAGAACAGAAGCTTATAGCGGAAGAGAGTGGCCGCTGAACACAGTGGGGCCGTCTATTTCGAGAGAGATATTATGGAGTGGGAAGGCGAGAATGTCAGGATGCTTATAGCGGGAGAGATAAACGAGTGACGAGGTCAGAGTAAAAAAGAAACTTATAACGGAAGAGAGTGGCCGCTGAACACAGTGGGGCCGTCTATTTCGGGAGAGAGATCAGGGAGTGGCCAAGTGGGGACAGTTAGGCCGGGTATATTCCATAGGAGGGGTATATTCCACGCAGAGGGTATCCACGCAGAGGGGTATATTCCATAGGAAGGGTATATTTCGTGCGGAGGGCATCCACGCGAAGGGGTATATTCCATGGGAGGGGTATGTTCCACGCGGAGGGTATCCACGCAGAGGGGTATATTCCATGGGAGGGCTGTGATTCCCTGGGGAGAAAGAGAGGGTCCCCCTCAAGGACCCCTCAATTTATGCACGAAACCAGGCGTGTTCTGTTTGTTTTTGTTTATCGTTTCAGAGCGCACGAAAGTTGCCATGGAGCAAACAAAGGACAGTATTTGTGTCCAATACATGACAAATGTGACTGAGACACAGGTGCCGAGACCAAAAAGCCAATCCAGCCAACTTCGAATGTATTCCTCGGTGGGAACCCTCCACTTCTCCTTTAGACAGTATGTCTTGTTTTTGAATTTAGTTTCCGTCCTCACCATTCTGATGATGACAAATGCATAGAAGACGCCATCATGGGGTCTCGAATCGGATACTGGACGAGCGTATTGTTTTGACAACATGCTATTTAACTCCGCTTCAGATCTTTTACTTCCGCATGAAACAGAAACCACTCAGAGATATGCCTGTATTCCAGCAGGTGAGTGATGCGATGCAGCCTACTAAATCTATTATAGTTAATGCCCTTAATTTTTCGTTGGGTCTTTCTTTCTCTTCCTCAGTCCACACAGAAGCAGGGCTCGACCCCCACATCTGTGCCCGAACGCACAAAGAGAAGAGTGGGAAGGGAGGGGAAGGACAACGCGCAAAGTTCATTACTGAGCTCTCACATTAGATATCGGTCGATTTACATGTACCAACTATGGTTACACTCAACATGATCTATTCAAATTGTGGGTCTCGGTTTTCAATTAGATCATACCATTTTGTTCCCCTGTGCGCGATGCGATGGCCAGAGTTCACTTAGGGATCCGGCCCCCCATTCACTGGCGCATTGAATGTGTCGGAAGGAATCATAATGCGTAACTGACTGAGAACAGTCTGGGCGACATTCGTGGGACATCAAACTAAATCGGGAGTGACAAGGTCAGATTAGGTAAGCCGGAGGTCCCACCTGGCCATGCCGATTCCCGCGGTAAAAAAAATCGGACCCCTTGGAAACAAAAGCCTCGCAAGCTTGGCCAAACGTCTGGGGAACATGTAGTCCACACTCCTTCCGAAGTTGAAGAGAAGCGTGTGGGCCAGCCGTATCGATCTTGATGATAACATCAGCGTCCCTCCGCACCGAAGTTATTCTGCGACCCAATGTATACTATCAACCTGGGAATATATCTCGTCTTGCTCCCAATCATCTCCAGGTCCAAAGCACGGAAATGGAAGTCGGCATCTGTGCATGCATGTGCATGTGCGTTGCACGAACGACCGTGTTTTAAGGTTGAAAATCCCTTGTGTACGGACTAAAACGTTCACGCCAACTCGATTCTTCTGAACTACAAATGAATTATGTATGATACAAGAATTGGGCTTATCGATATCTAGGTAGTGTACAGTAGAATGTTAGGTGTGCATTCCAACGGAAACAACATTCGCCAGTTTGTAGATGATCTATGATTTTATGTAAATTGATGGATAAAAACGCATCTTCTCGCACTGTCACTGAGGAGAAAGTTGTTTGAGTGCCTCCAATGTATATCTTGGATCCAATCTCCATTTGGCGTCACTGCCTTTACCACTAGTCGAGCAAGTGAAAACGTCAATACGTTCTCCCTCCAAGCGATTCACCCTCCGAATAATGGTCTCATCGCTGCTTGCAGCGAGCACGAAGTCGTACCCTTTCATCGTCGCAAGGACATCTGAGGGAGGCGAAATATCACTTATAGAGCTATCTGATGGCGTGAGAGGCTCAACAAAAACACTATCAGGCGGTGTAGGTGGGAGCGAGGTGTCTTGTGTATGCCGATGGGCAGGGGGTGCGTCAATGGGAGCTGAAGCCCCCGTGACCGGCGGATTTCCGGTGGTGGCGTCTGGCTGGATCCATGGTCTGATTGCTCGGCCCCGGCTGACACCCCTTGGGAGCACAAGGAAGCTCGTTGACCCGGGGATAATGCGGAGACTGAAACGTTCACCCAAACTGTGGTGGTCATCAGAATTGATCATGCATGGTGGACACAGTTGGTAAACCCACCTATCCCAAACATGGTTCTGAGCCTCAGCGGCCTGTCTTCTAGCCCACTGGATCTCAGGTTCATCGCGTTGTCCGGTCAAGAAACGCCACACGACGGAAGCCCCACGTTCCTCAACATAGGAACCGGGAGTGCGCTCTGTGAACTAGAGGCCATTGCCATCAGCAAGTTATCTCGTCGCACAGGATGGGAAAACGTACATAGCCCAGAATCTCGACACAGAGGGACTTCCAGCTGAAGTTGAGCCTAGAAACTGTGCTGGACCACTCGGTAGAATTAGGCCCCTTGATGAAGCATCCATTTTCTGCCCTATTGACCTAGAAGTAAGCGCATCACACAACTGCAGGCACATACGTGACCACTCACACGAGTCCTAACCCTGGCACCTCTGTGGCTAACTTGTCCAATGCTCCGGTGACGGGCAATCCGCTCAACACCCAAACAATATTTTTCCCCCCATTCACAAGTCTCTCGAGCGTGTCCACAATATCTTGTGGGGGCACGAAACCCGCTTCTCTCATGACTCTCGGGTCTTCCGTCCAAAGTGTGCTCTCAAGATCGAGTAAGATCAGGCGCTTCGAAGCGGAGCTGTACTTTGGTATCAGTTGGTGTTGCAAACTGGTGTGTGAAAGCAGGTCTGGATCCCTTTGGATGTGCTCTTGATAGACGCGGACACACTTCGCGAGGAACGAGGTGACGAATGCTTGTGCCGTCTGAGTGTTGACATGGCGATGCAGATCCTGCAAATGGAGCGCTTTAATCAACGCTGAACAAACACAGAATCCAGACGAACCTGCCAACGTGAGTTCGCTTCCTCGTCGCTCATTGTTAAAGCCTGATAGATCGCGTCTGCTGCGCTCCGATAATCCCACGGATTGAAAGCGATACAGGATCTGAAACCACTGTACGAGTACGACCCCGTAAACTAGCAATAATTCGAATCCAATGTTCCATAACGGGGATAATGAACTTTCCAAACCCACCTCGCTCAAAATCAAAGGCCGTTTGGTCACCTCTTGACATTCTACATATTCATGGGTCCTGAGGGCCATCCCCTCCCGCAAACTCGCAACCATAAAGGCATCTGCAGCGGTCAATAGGCCCAAGTACATACTAAACGTGATATCCTGCGTATGCAATAGAACGATAGGCTGGTAAGTGAGTGAACCGAAGCGAGAGTTGATGCGGGAGACGACGTCAGAAATAGAGGCTTGCAGCTCATTCTGCTCGGTTGTGGATAGCGCGATTTGAATCATGACGACCTACCAACGCAAAAATGTTTGAGCCTCACACTCACAAAGCCAGATCATATATGTGCACAGAACAAGCGTCCTTACCTTGCCTTGAAACTCAGGATGCCTATCCAAGAATTGCTCGAAAGCAATGACTTTGTGCCTCACACCCTTGAACCGATCTATCTCAGCAATGGATGGGGGGGTTCAAAACTTCTCTGGACTCACAGCAACACCATCAAGCTTGTCGCGTCCAACGATTAACTTTTTACCATCGTACCTCTGTTTGACCGTCTTGACCCACTCATCTACTTCTGGATCCTTCCTACTCAAAAAGAGCCGTTATCCGATAAGCATCAAGATTTCATGTGAGGTTTCACGCGGTCTTACCGCTTCGCCTTTAAATCCAATACGTCAATTCCAATGGGGAACACCGCTACATCCACGAAGCTGTTTTCGAGCTGGATACCTTTTGGCACAGCCTCGACTGCCAGAATGCGGGACACGGTTTGACGGAAGTGCCGTGCGTAGTTATGAGTCTGGAAACCGATAAGGTCCGCACCGAGAAGGCCCCGCAGAATCTCAGTCCGGGCTTGAGTTATCATCAGGAGAGACTCAGTAGATGGCCTTCCGGTACTAAACAGGACTGCACACCTGCAAGACACCTGAAAATTTCTGAGCTGGGCCAGGCAACATGCAGAAAGAAGCCAATAGTTGCATTTGGCAATTTTTGGCGCACAAGTTGAGGTACGAGGAATAAATGATAATCGTTCACCCAAACTGTTTGCAATCGTCAGAAAGTCATAGGCAATCGATAAAGAGAAAACTGACTGATGTCGCCTGGCTCGTACACCGAGACGATCGCCTCTGCAAACTTTTCATTCACGGTTTTATAGTGCTTAAAAGATTGCGACTCGTAAAAAACTTTTGTCTTCGGAGCATCAGGCACTGCATAATGTAAGCTCGGCCAAAGCACCTGGCCACATCGTCAGAAGAAAAGTGACCCCGAATCTGCCAATTCGAACATACTTGATGGCAAAAATCATCGTAAGCAGCCTTGAACTCATCATCCCCAACCCAAATAGGTACATTGTCTACTTGTCCCATCCTGAAATCCACCTCAAGTTTCATCTCCTGGGACATTTCATCAGTTGGCAAGTCCAATATCCCAACCCACAACTTTCTTTTGATATTTTCTTCTACTGACGCGATTGCTTTGTGTAAACCAACGTTTCCGTGATAACACGGCGCAATCTCAAATGAAGGTTTTGCGGAGCGCGATCCAGCTCTCCGAGAATCCCGTATATCATCCGCAACAGAGCCGGATCTGCGGAGGGAGGAGCTTCGGGACGCACGGCTTCGTCTACGGGGCAACCCGCTGGAGGCTGTAGGTGTTGGAAACCTCGTATAGGTGGAGGGATTCGGATCATCGTGCGTACTAACATCAGCGGGAGAATGACTTCTCCTGCTGCTTCCCCGTTCTGTCCCAGAAATATTGATGATCTTTTCATGAAGACTTGCAAATGTGTTTCCAATGCTAGAGGGCACACGAGTAGGGGTAGGTCGCGTGCTGATTACGCCACTAAGACCAAGGCGTTTAAGGTTAGACGAAGATCCACTGGGTGAGAGCAGGCTGGGTGTTAGTGGTGCGGAAGGGAATGGAAATGGATGAGAAAGGTCTGTTTGCAGTTGAGGTAATTCGACTTTGCCTTGGGCCTGGAGGTTGAAATGAATCAGTAAAAAACGATTAAAACAGCAGGATGTTCGCACCTTAGTCTTAAGATCTTCCACGATGCTGAGAAGTTTAGGCGGGGTTTGTCTTGCCGTCGTTGCCAATACACTTGCGAGGGGGTCAGAAGTGGAGGCGGCCACCGAAGCTACTGCTGCCGACGTGGGCAGGATGGTAACCGGCGACGTCGGTTGGCTCACATCAACCGTATGTGTTGGCGTCAGACTAGGGGAGTCACGGGAGACCAGGTAGATCGTTTGGGGCAGGAAAAGAGAAGCTATGAGGACACGAGAGTTGTCGGTCGACGCCATTGCCGTTTCTTGCTAGGCGGGCAGCTTTCTGGTTAATGTCTTCCGGGGGATCGCAAGAGTGGTGGGCTGGTTATAAGCGATGGAAATTTATAATGAGTGTAGAGTGATGGGCGTGTGAAGCACTCGAAGGGTTTTTCTATGTTGGTCAGCAGGCTAGCAAGATCACTAGGGAGAGCGCCAGTTAAGGCAACCGGAGGTGAGGAGAAGCTGGAAACAAACGTTTGGGCTGCTGAAATCGCTCTTGCCAATAGGCGGAGGAAGGTGACGCCCTGGATGTAAAGCCTATGACGTAATTTCCCTGACACGACCAATTTCATCCCCGTGCCAATTCCTTTTCAAGGAATCTCGCCAAACCAACTGCCCTAGCTTCCGACGGCCTGACTGACACTTGTCGACGCTGGGCGGCCCGCTGGAAGGCTCCACGTCAACCGGTGGCAGACGTATATTCGCCAAAGCCTCAGCAGACACTCCAACAGAGGCTGGTAACCGCCTAAGCAGATATGGATCCGGAATTGTATCTCATTGGCATAATATTCATGTTCTTACGCCCAATAACGGTAGTCTGGTTTCGCATATCTTGTTCAGGAATGGAACAGCCACATCTGCCTCATCGATTGTTCGTTGCTCAATCTCCTCAATCACGGGCTGAAAAAACCAGACTTTCTCGCCGAAAACGGAAACACACGTTGATTAATACCGCTACAATGTGTTCCTGCGCTATCCCTGTGTCCGCGCGGATCCCGCAAGTTGTTCATCACCCATCATCCCCCCGTGGTGTGACGGATTTAGACTGAAGCATCACATATCAGCCTGCAAAGATATAGATATCTTCCATTCTTAGTCAGGCCATCAGTAGAGTACTGCACTCGCTCGCGGCCTAGCTTTTCTTCAGAGACTTAATCGATCATGGTTTGATTATGTAGTTGGGTCACAAGCTTCATGGGGACTTCGCGTATCCGAACTTTCTTGGGCTTTGTGCGGCGCATCCATCTGGACTCTGACCAGAGGTCTGCGAATCCAGACTTATTCGCTGTTGGAGCCAGGATTTTGGATCAAATGGAACTTGATGACGTGTCGCTTAGTGTAACCTGGCGAAGAAGAAGCTTGATGCGTCCCGTTAAACTCCGGCTGGTTCCAAGGATTAACTTTGTTGACTACTAGCGCTACATGAGGTCATACACTTGCTCATTTGGAGGCGCGTGGGCGTTGCGCGAAGCCGACACCTACAGTATATAGCGTGGAAATTGTCGTCATTCAACTCCTAAAGCGCTGGACTGATTAATCATACATACGAAATGCCGCGGAACAAAACAGTAAGAAGGTGGAATTCCTGGTACCGCATGTGTTCAAAACTACCTGAGCGAGCATATCGTAAGCTATCGGCGAACAAGTGCACGCTGCTCACATGCAAGCAAGTATCTGAACATGGATTGTAGCACTTCGATCTTCGAAGCACAAGATGGTACATTGGATCAAGATGACGATGGCTCGCGAGACACAACTCTGCACCTCACGCCCCAACCATCCCTCTTTCTCATTGATTAGTTACACCTCGCAAAATACGTCGGTTGGTCCGAACACAAAGCGATTTGCTCCTATGGCATCCTCTTCCTGTGATCTATGCTTTTGTTTATCTTGGCGAACGGGGGATTGGTTATATATATACGTATGTGGCGTATTGCTGACTGTGGGAACATCGGCAGTTTTGTGCGGGAGCTGGGTTTCTACCATATCCACCGACCCCTTAATTGCTCAGGTCGCTTGCAATGTCCGGGAGGTTGATCCCAGTGCTCTTTTATTTACTTACATGTGCAACATAAAGGCATCCGTCGTTACAAAACATATCGCAACGTATGTCCCAAGTTCCTCGTCCAGAAGTCAATTATCTGATGGAGCCGCATTGAATGCACCAACGCATCCGTCGCTCTTCCCTTGACGTGCTCACCGAACATTGTGTCAACGACCTCCTTCCGGCCGGAGTGTCGGGTTGATCTTCATCAAGTCACATTGTCAATGGCAATCATGTTTGTGGGTTCCAACTGAGTCGTTCTATGAGATTGCCGAGGATCGTGCTGACGAACCATGTTGCAGTTTATGATCTGGACGAACATCCATAGCAGATACGCTCTGCCATTTTCACATAGCTCGCTGCAGCATGAGTAGATGTCATGGGATCCTCATCGATGTTCACTTTACACATGGCCCGGGCCGTGCTTGTTAACCAGATCACTTGACATTCATAGAAATTTATCCCCCAGTTGCACTGGTAATATTATCTCTCACTTCTACTCGGAAATATGTATTATTCGATTGTTTCTGTTGGACGGTAGCGACTTCTGGCCTGGCGAACATACAGTGGCAGAAACTCGAACATGGCGGTGACAGCAGCATTGCGGCGGCTGAGGAAATGTTAAGTAGAAAAGCGGTCGTGATACTTGAAGCCGACGCCGGGGCCGCCACCGAGGCCGCGAAAAAGCAGAAAACGCCGAGGGGAGACTTGATGCAGGTCCTGATAAATGTAAATCATGGCGAAAAACCCAACGTTTTGTCTCAGTGACAATTACTTCAGCTGGTCTGATCTGGAGCCTCTTCCAACGCTTGACTCGCTGAAAGCGATTATTGCTGAATATATACTGGTACCTAACATATTGGGTGAGTGTTCAACTGACGAGCCAAGTGCGCTAATAGTCGCGAAGGATAGGTATCAATCCTTTGAAACCTGAGAGCCGCACGTTTGCTGGCTGGCGCCCCATAAGCCCTACTTGAGCATGGGGCTTCTGCTTTTCCAAGGAGGCTTCATTGACTTTGGCGGCCTTTCCGCTAACAATACCATTTCCTGGAGCTATCAGTGGTGCGAAGGTACGTCGGCCCCTGAGGCACGCGGACAATTAACGGCTGACTGATTCATCGCAAGTAGCGAAAAGACCCAAGCGGGGAATGTAAAGGATCGAACCATATTCACAGGTAGCCACAAAGGAACTGGCGCACAACCAAGGTTAGGGATAAGGCCTACCTGAACTTCGAGAGAAAGGCTAGGTATGCATGGCAATCATTGGCTAAATGGATGTTATGCTCAACAGCGATAAATGAAGAGTCACAAGCAAGGACCTAGCTCCCGAATCACGTCGACGCATGAACTCCCTTTTCTTGGTCCCGGCGTCGAGCTCCACACTTGGAACGATTGATAATGAATGCGTCTTCATTCGGTGATGATCCACAGCTTACTCTGGCAGTCCCTTGGTCCCAAGGCCTTTTTTCGCCCTTGGTAACGTACTTCCAGAGTGATGGGATTCCTCTGGACCAGGGACCGATCCTCAGAGCCCTACAGAATCTGCAGAGTTAAACCAGAGCGACAAGTTGGGGAGTCTCACTGATCTTCGCAATGTCTGAGTTCGGTGACCCATTCCTTTTCGCGTACCCAACAAGCAGGGAAGAAAACGAGAACCCACCCGCCGGCGCTCAGCCTGAGGCTGGGTGTACATAGCAGGTCCAAGACTCCTTTCAGCCTAGTCCCAGCCTCTAGTTATTGAGAACCGTAGGGGTTTGTTTCCCCTTGGGGAGCTCTTCGATTTTGGACTTACTAGCTGCTGTTCCCCTGGGCCAGACCTTCTCTAGGACTGACCTTTCTAGCTCGGGCTTGGTCATCCGCGAGCGAATCATTGCGCGCGGAGAATCGACGGCCAGCTGCGTAACCCTTGTGAGGGTCGCGCGACGGCAGAATTTGCACAACAACTAATTTGCCCTCTCGGCTCAGAAAACAAAACTGGATCGAAGTGCGCGCTATTTTGGTTCTCCCGCAGTTCGGTTCGGTCTTGGAACGGTTCGAAACAACTTCGCTGAACTAGCTAGGTAGAAATGAAATATAATATAATTGGGGTTCTGTACTGAACATATTGCATGAGAACTTCGATCATTATAGGTCAAGAATGCAATATGAAGCCTGCCCGCTCCGTGCTGTTCTGTCATGCATGAGATTCGGCCGCCATTCTTGGACCTCTTACCTTTGTTGCCTCTAAGCTAGGCCTTCCTTGCTTTCCTCTCCTTCAAGTACATGAATGAATGGTCCCGAGCTAGACGCTAAATTCAAGTTGAGAGTGAGCATGAGGAACCTTATTTTATGAACGCACAACATTTATTAATAATATTCGTGCAATATGCATCATGAAATCTCGAGATCAGCTAGCTACAATTAATCCTCGGACGGTTCTATGGTTCAGTTTTCGGTTCGGGAATCGGGTCAGAACTGACCTCGTACTACTGTAGTTCGGTTCTGGCACCCATGGTTTGGTTCTCGGTTTTAGTTCTGGTTTCTCTGAGAAGCACTGGTAATGGGGATATAGCCCCGTTTTCGAACTAATCTGCTCTCCAACGTCCACGCCGCCAGTACTTATTAAGTAAATATACATGCTTCGGAATTAAATCCTTGCATGGGCATGCTGAAATGTTCCTGCGGCGTCCTTCCAGGGTTCGGGGTTTCCTTAATTAGCTAAGCGCCCCTTTCGCTACCGGACAACGACGCGCGCGATTTTGACCCCTCTCCGACGAGCAAAGACTGACATCAACCCTGCTTGGAAAAAGGTCGCAATCACATAAATTGCGAGAAACTGACCTTAGTACAGCACTCTACTGGCTTACAGGGATGTCAGATTTTGCCGGCATAAGTCACTTTGTTAGCGTTGGAACAGTGGCCGGCACGATTTGCAGGCACTGATATGATGATACCGTCTGTATTTAAGTAAATGAAGTGATTATATGTACATAATAGATGTATATAGCAATTCGCCTTTGTAAATTAACGGCCTTGCCACCAGTTGCCACTCTCGAGCTTCGAATGTATGTATATAATATACTTGCTTCACACTATGAGCTGCAAGGGCAGTGGAAGCAAGCAGGTTTCTTAGCGAGTCATTTTGATATGATCACAGTGAACATCTTCTACATCCTCTTTGAGCACACGTCTAGCTTTTGAACGAGGTACCGGAGCTGAAAAAGAAAAGGAAAAGGATGGTTATTGAACCTCAAAAAATGCAACCACAGGTCCTAGCACGCACCCTTGGAGTTTTCAGTAAGATAAAATCGGCGGAGAATTAGAATGCATTCTTCACGTAGATATCCATATCTACAAGGGAAGGGGGGCCAAATTGGATGTGGAATGCTGAGAGTGAAAGAGAGAGAGACCCGCCGTTAGTCTTAATGCGAACACACTGCAAGATTTTTGGTTTTATGTAAGGGTAAACGTACGCTTCGTTCACGCCGAGCACACCACCACACCCCCCAAATCTATCATTGACGCAGCCACAATACACCCCTTTAATCCCCAACTGACGAAGAGCTGAAGCGCACATGATACAGGGCTCGACGGTAACGTAGAGAACGACGTCTTGCAGTGGCAGATCGGGAGGCGGCGTTGGGATTATGTCAGGAGATGATAACATACTGTCTATAGCTTCCAGCTCTGCATGTCTTGTTGCCTTGAAAACATTTTTTTAAAAATGAGTATCCGCTTTCAAGGTAGGGTGAGGACGATGGAACGTACGTTCCGATGCTCGTTCGTCCGATTTCGAGCTGAAGCTAGAACCTGACCATCTCGAACGAAAACACAACCTATAGGAACTTCATCCGCTTCCAAGGCTTCCTCAGCCTGTATGTAGATGTGTGAGCCCCGTAATGCATAACAGCAAGATCAAGAAGCAATCACCCACGAGTTCAAGAGCAACACGCATCCATTCAACGTGCTCCTTCTCCTGTTCTTCGGAAGGAACATATATCGCCATGCCCCTGCTTGGTCGTCTGGGACGCGACCCAGTAACTGCATGGGGACCAATATTTGACTTGATTCGCGGTTCCGTGCGGCTGTTTAGGTCGTGGGAACCCGAGTGCAAATTATCGTAAACAAAGTGTTCTCGTTCTCGTCTTACCATATGGACTGTGAGTTTTAGGGCCGTTTCTCATTATAATCGGAATCCCTGAGCCTATTTTTGGTGTACGATAAAAGACCTCCCAAAAAGTACGGGATGGCTAGCTAGTTGGCAGCTTTTCCTCGCAGTGACTTCCGTGTTCAACACGGTACAAAACTTCATCACGTTAAAGTTAACAAAGCGTATTTATAACCAAGCCAACGAGGAAGGTGAGCAAGAAGGGGGGGGGGAGGGGCTTATGAGATACATACGATAAATCTCTTTCGTGCTTCTTTTTTAGTTAATGCTCTGCAGTCACGTACTTTTGGGATTTGGACTTTGACGGCGGCAATCATCCGTTTTCAAGTCGCATATGATATCCATGACCCAAAGTGAGCAGCAGCAGTATCCCTCCGTTGACCTTATGTCTCAGGCTTTTTCTCCTTTCCCAAAACAAAAACAAAAAAGCCTGTACCACTTGGCGATCGGGACATATTGGATTGCCTTTGCTCACTTCGTTTCGGAGATCGTAATCTTTCGAACAGCGAATTTGAAGGGAGGCGCACTCGCCCCATGCATCGTCGCTAGTAAGTTTCTCCATTATCAAGTGCGCATTATCAGCTAATTGCATTGCTTTACTGACTAGCTTCTTCGTTAATCTGGATGTACGCCCAGAAAGAGTATTATCTCTCTGAGTTATAATTATCATGACAACGTCTTTTTTATTCGAATGGTTTCATTGAGGTGGATCCGCATCTTCCACTGGCTCAATTTATATTTTGCGCTTGAGACAACAAAAATCTCCTGCCTGATGTCTCTGCTCACTTGGTCATCAGGGATATCGGTTCCCTTGGAAGTCGGTCATGCGTATGGGGGGGGCGTAAACCTGATCAACGGCCTAATAGTTCACGAACCACGGAGCCCGAAATGTAATGCCCTCCCCATGTACGATCAGATGCGCAGGCAGGGCTGCCGAGGAAGGCTGGAAGAATCTTTGCACTCTCAGAAGCTTTGGACGAAGCAGGCCGAACGGATCATAAACCGCGAACCCAACAACAAATTGGTTCAATTTGAACGGTTGAGGCATCCGGGACCTCATTTCTGGTCAACTACTTGCTACTTGCTCCAGAAATTGGCCCCCCCCATGCTTGTGTGCGGTTTGGAGGTCGATATACCCCTTCCCCTGAGCGTCTAACCCTATCCCACGATTGAACCTCCCCACGGAAATGGCTTCCCATGCTGCCATGCTGCAGTATGTCCGACGCCGTTCCTCATGGAAAAAAATTGTATATTGTGCTTGGGGGAACCAGAGCAACAAGCCGATCGCCTTGCTTGACTTTCTCGCCCAGGAGTCGACAGCTGAACCGCGATCGCGCGAGGCATGAAGCAGATTCGTAGGTATATAGAATCATCACTGGGCATTAGTGTTTGCAATCGATCAGACACAAACATTTGTCATCTATGCATGGGGGTTACACATATTTAGCGTCTGGTTCTATGTATCGTCGGTTATCCACTGCATCGACGTTGCGGGAGCTGGCAAGAAGATGCCCAACCACTATCAAAGAAGGGGGTCCGGGGACAAAGCAGAAGGACTATTCACGTACCATTACAGTCACTGGGGCGCATGGGAATTTCTTGCAAGCCGGCAGAGTGCCTCCGCCATGGATGGATTTAAACGTTAACTTAACCATCGAATATTAATTTGCATGGGGCCTGCTGGCATGCAGCATCTCCGCGAATTGACCTTTTATCGATGTTCCTCGACCACATGCACATGCACATGTAAGTATTAGTACACTGCTGTGTGCTTTCCGTCGTAGAAAATTGCAGTTGGGCTGATGAGTAAAAAAATCTTGGGCTAATATAATGGAAAGCAATTTTTTGGTCGCGTCATGCATGATATGTTCTGATTTGGTTAGGCAACATTCTATAGCATTATATTAATCCATCCAGCTATGTTCTTGCAGGGATCGGTAGGCGGGTACAGGCCTAGCTGTCTAGTGATGGATGGTGTCTAGTTTCCCAAGTGAAATAAAATTCAAGCAGACATGGTGGAATATGTAGATGAAGAAAGTGCGCAACGTGCAGGCTACCCCTACCTCCTGTTTCGACCCTAATCCACTCAGAACCTGCATCACTTCCATTGTTGATAGCCCGCGGCCTGGCCTGTCAGTGCAGTATAACCCCCAAGCCTCCCTGCTACATATATATACACCGTATGGTTCTATGATGGAACTACTAATGCGAACATGTTCATCGCATCGCTCAACCTTCATTTGGTCATGTCACTTTTTACATTGTAGGGGGGAAAACGGCACTAGTGAAATACCTTCCACGAAGTTGGTGGAATCAAGCATGGATTGTGTCAACAGCAAAGTGGAAGGTCAGAAGAGCAGTTGGTACATATATTCTTTAACAATTCCCCCAATTCCCAAAGCTAGATTCGTCAAGCAAGAGTGGCATTAGAAGACAGGTGACCTACCTTTTCTTAAAGAGTGGCGTAAGTGTCTCCGCAACCACGAGTCGGGCCGGGGTAGCCGAATGTGACGCGCAGGGATCTTTGCGTGGCAACAAGTCTTGGGGTTCGGGCATACACACGCGCGCGAAGTTGTTGTTAGTCCTTCGGGAAATGAGTTTTCCGAAGCGCTGGTTGTTCCGTCTTGGGGATCATATCTACTATATGTAACTTGCAATCAGAAAACACTTGTATAACAGCTTCTCGAAGGTTCGAATCGAGGCAACCGATATTCCATACTAGGATGAAGATATCTTGTTAGGGTCCTGGGTGGGCTAGAAGGACAACGAAGCGTTCGTTCTCACGCTAATTTCCAAAAGGAGGTCACGTTTCACCCTTACAATAGCTTGGGCAGGGGTGACCATCGGGGCACCCTTTTCCGCGTCGTTGCTCTCAGACTCAAGTTGATCTATCACTCTAGACGCATGGCTTGTTGGCTTGGATGCGTCTCAACTCCCGTAATCATCCAGGCGCAGGAGCTGTTCGCCACTCGGGCTCTCAATTTCAAGGACCGATCTTTCCGAGTCCAAGGATATCCAGCTTGTGTGATCTTATTCGGTTGCGAGACTCGGACGCTTCTACCCAGCTGGTCCTTGACTGAGTGGCATGCACAGCATTAATGGACATATTCACCTATGTATCGTGGCGAACACATCATGCCCGCAGAATGCCCATGTCACTATTATATTCGGATCATCACTTCAAAAAGGATTGTCTCACCCTCTGTTGTAAATGTGTTCTTGCTTGATGAATGGCATGCTTCTCATTTGGATTCAAGAACGGGATCCCATGGCAATTTCACCTGCTGGAGAAAAAATTCTGTTGTTGGTCCCATCATTATGCATGTTCGTTCCATCCATTCCATCCAGTTGGGGTTCAAACGTTTTCAAGCCCCTCATTCAGGAAGCCCTTTAGAAGCTCTATGAATCATCATGTCCATCAGGACCATATCGCCTTCTCCTCTGACTACCGATTTTGCCTGACTTCGCTGTTTGGGGGGTCAGAAATGAATCCGAGCGTAAAAGGTATAAATATCGGACGAAAAAAATCATCCCTCATCTCCCCAGAGTCAACGTTTTACTCACTGGCACTCTGACTCCTCCATTCCACTCTTTTTTTTAGCAAACACCATGATGTTCTCTAATCGTATCCTTACTCTTCTCCTCTTCATCGTCTCGTTTGGTCTCTTTGCCTACTCCAAGCCAATCGACAGCAATGCGCTTGCTGCACGGGCGATCAGCGGCGACGTCGCCCAGCCTGTCGGAGGCTTGACTCCTCGTGGCTCATGCGGTAAGAGCACCTTTTAAAGTTCCTTTTTTTTTTTTTTTTTTTTTTTTGTAAAACAGGGGCTTATGCCCGTGGCAACAAAAAATCGATTTTTAACACCGTGTTTTTGTTAGGATGTGACAATGACCTTCTTCTTGTTCTCCGTGACCTACATCTCAAGCTCAAGGTCAAAATCGATCTTCTCGGTCAGTAATTTTGCGTTTCAACAAACAACCAGTGTCTTCCCCCCCCCGCGCGACTACTACTAACGATGATGTTCGTAAACTTAGATGGCCACCACCCTATCGAGCCCATTATCGCCGAAATTATCGCCATCATCGATGTCGCCGTCAAAGTCATCGCAAATATCTACATCTCTGTGGATGGCATTACCGTTGCCATCCATGCTTGTGTGGATATCATCGTTCAGATCATTGTGGTAAGTCCTTTCCTCCTGACAGTAATATGTTTGTTATATTGGCTCAACCAAAAAAAAAAAAAGTCGATTTACCTTGGTATCTACAAATACGGGCTCATCCATCTCGTCGTGATCATCTCCCAACTCAACGTGTGCATCACCGCTTTCGTGAAGATCATCGTCCATATCTGCCCTTCTTTCCACGATTTACTCAAGGTTGCGTGAGTAGCAGATTCTTTTTTTTTTTTTTACCTCTTCTCCTTGACTCTTTGACTGATCCTCTCCAAATTTTATTAGTCTCTCTGTTCATCTCGACGTCCTTGGCATCTTTGTCGATCTTCCTATTTTCCTTGGCATTTCCTTGTAATGATCCCGTTACAATCAGCTGCTAAGCTTACTCCTTATTTTTTGTTTCCCCCCCCCCTTCCCTTTTCTTTTTAATGGTCATTACTACTAGTCCGTCTGCTGCCTTCTGTTGCTTGCAAAAAAAGCAATTATTCATTACGAGGACCATGCCATCATGCCCAATATAATTTAAAAATGGGTTTCGATAACGCTTATAAGTAAACACCCATTTAACATCGCCGAATCATGTCATGTGTCAGGATCGAGCCAGCCTGTGCGCGACCAGACTCCCTCGATCCAGCCTACAAAGTTACACCTGTCAGATGCATGTTCCCCTTCGAAATTAGATGTCGTATACGCGAATTGGGAGGTACGTAACCGTACCGCGTGTTCCTGTACGCTGTTAATTGCCAGAAAGGAAACTTTCAAACCCTATAATGGAAGATCGATTGTTGCAAGCATTGTCAGCTGGTACGTGAATCCAGATCTAGCGCCAGTGGTGTTCGATCCATGGTTAACTGGGACCAGTGCGCATGATTCGATTCGATCGACTTACGTAAGTATCCCAAAGCACAGCGGTTCTTAGATACGCATGCTCAAAAACAACGAGACAGCCCCCCTACGTACAACTAGCTGTGCTTCAGATGTCAACAATATTGTTGCCTATATCAACTTGACGGAAATGCCGGGGCGGCGCCAGGAGTCCCTATCGGCTTTCCACAGCTGCTGATATATATATACCAAGCTTCGACCTGCCCAGTCACAGTCATGGTAGCGAATTACCGCTAGCGTGTTACTTACGCTCAGTCAAATGTTGTTGAACTGAGGGGGGGGTGTAAGGAAAGAGAATATCGACTGCTTTTATAAGCAGTCGCCACAATGGCACACTGACATTGGCCGGTAGCAGAATTTAATTAATACCAAGACAAGGCCAAGCAAGGGGCCTTCTTCGGCTGTGTTGACACTGTCTCTCCCCTGCATATCCTAACCGTAACCCGCTCCCAGCTATTATGCATTGTTCCGGATGTGTGATTATGCGTCAAGGCGAGTTCTACAGTTTCTAGCCAGCCCACAAAACCTCACGAGCATTAAAGATGCATAATCCTATCGGTCTGGGGGAAAGGGAATGAGCTCAAGCAGCGCCTCCAGCTCCGGGACCGAATGCCTGATCTGCTGAATCCTGACCAGGAACGCTTTAACGAATAGGAGGGACTATTTGCAACAGTTGGCGCCTGGCTTGGCCACTCCAATACAGTATCCGAAAGTGTCATTTGTAAACTTACTGTACCAGAATCACTTGCGACAACATTAACCCATGCTTTACAATAATTTGAAGCCCCTACACCGGGCTAATGAACCTAAGATCTATAACTAAGCTAGTCCTAACCGCTTGACTGTAAGCCGTCTGTCACATCAAGCCACCAGAATCTGGACCGTCAATTCACGAATTGCTTAAAGGCCTCGTAACAGGCAAGAATGTGGCCCCTGTTGTCCAGAGGTTTCATACCCTCACTGAGACGGCGAGCGGGGCGAGATACCACAGGAAGATGGGCATACACGACGGTTGGTGTGGCGGGAAAGCGCCCCAGCTCGACTGCCTGCGCAAGCTCCGTGGTGACACGAATCTTGTAAAAGATCGGCGATGAGCCTACCAAGGTAATGCCTGGTATCACCTTGGCGTCGATGGCATCTTGACCGAGAATACGCGTTCGTCTGGCGTTATTGGTCTGAAACGCGGCGATCGCCTCTGCTATGAGCTGTGGCTCCGGATTCTTACGGTCTTTGTGACGTTTATCCTCCTGAACCAGGAGTAGGATATCATCGTCCGAATCTATAATGCAAACACCGGTCTTCGCGTGACGTTGCTCTCCGCAGATGGCAAGTGGGATGTCGGCCCGCGTGCGCGCGATCCTGGTTCGAGGCACATAACCCAACAACATCAACAAGCAGACGGCAAAGTCGTCCACTGCCGACTCCTCCGCTGGCACAGGATCCATCGCTAAGTCCATATAGCGTAAAAATCTATAGTTCGAGTCGTCTGTCATTTCGTCTGCATTCAGTCTAGTGAGGACCTCATCGGCGACGGCGGGTTGTGGGAGGGGATCAACGCCGAAAAAGGTGGTCGTATCCTGGAACTGGATGATGATGTTGTATGCAAGAAGTTCATGGGTTCCCCAGTCGTTACCAGATTTGGCTGTGCGCAAGAGAGAGAGGCCATGATCGCAAGAAGGCAATCGGTGTTGGGTGTAAGCCATTTTGAAGCCATTTTTTTTTTTTTCGAAATTATTGTCCACGTGACTGGATTTGGCTCTTGCCCTGAAACCAAGCCTGACCAAAAACACTCCATATTTCTCCAACAGATAATCATGATTCTCATTTTTTTATAAATATAGTATACTTATGTTAAAAGCGCCGCAAGCACAACATCACGTTGTGAGTTGGCCACAACGTACAAGCTCCGCCTCCCCAAATTTCCACAGAAACATGTTATTGAGTAGGTTGAGAGTTTAATGAGTGGCGCAAGCTAAGTCGAATTGACCAAGTTGTCGGCAAGTGGGATTTTTTTGAATTGCATACGGGATTTGCCGCGAATTATGTATTTTCGGGATCGATTCAACTAACCCCCTGGATTTGCAACATGGAGGATGCACTGATACATCCACACCGCATCCGCCAGTGGCTGAGGGGATCTCAATGATAGAATCTTCTGGGCTTGAGGGCTGGGTTGGGTTGAAGTTGGTCGGTAAATTCTTATGGCTGGGCATCATGCAAGCCATTACAGTATGTAATTATGTACGGCAGCTGAATCAAAAAAAGGTAATCAGCACGGACTATCAGATTTTACGTATTACGGGCATCTTGTGCCTAGCTTGGCCGTGCGCCAAGGCGCCTGAGCCCAACATTGATTTTCAATGCCTATTAGTTAATTGTCGGCAGCTGGATTTTTTGCCTGGGCCCTCGATCGTACCCAAGAGCTGCAAGCGGGTCTTAACACCCACTCGATGTATTATAGGAACTGTTGTTCATTGACGGGCGTCATCTACACAAGAGAAGAGGTAATATTGAGAATCTTACGAGACTCAGGACGCTTTTGGAATTTGCCCTTGGCATCTCACCATAATTGGCCGAGCTTTGTATCGAAGTTGCTGTTCAGACCATGTCTCAGTCTGTGTTGCAAATTCGAGGTCTTTCGCTTGGCGGAACTGCTTCGCACTGGAATGGCGGCGTCTCATAACCTGACCTCCCTGATTTGATCATGGCAACACCAAGTCTTAGGGAACATTGGGTACGTTCCCCGGTGGTTCCGCCGGTGTCGACAGGGACGACAGCTCGGATTCTTCGTCAGTGACTTCATTCCTCCCTATGGTAGGGGAAAAATCACTGGGTCTGGTCTGGATCATGCATCTTCGCACCGCCTTCTCGCGCCCCAGGGGTCTTAGTGACAGCATCTTCTGGATTGAAAGGCTAGGTTGCGGAGATATCGATTCTCGATCTTCCGTGTAGACCCTTCTTTGGGGAAACATAAAGCGTCCAACCGCGGTCAGCAGTTATCATTTTCAAGGATTACGTCTTGTAAGGAAGAAGCCTCCTAATGCATCTGGTCGCGCCACCGTTGCCTTCCAAAGCACGAGGGAATTACTAGTCAGCTGTTGTAAGCATGGGCCCCGATCACCGGTTCACCAATTTCCAAAACAGGGATCTCTGTGTCAGTCAGTAGCTTTTAGAGACTGTAGTCGGTCCTAAAGCAAACGAAGCCTGCATACGATATTGGGATTAGGAGGGCTTGCGATAGGTGTCTTTACTATCTAGTAGAGTGCCCCTTGTGCACCTCAGCTGGGCTCTAGTGTCCTCAGAACCAAAGGGCTGCAACGCTAGATGCCCAACTCCTTGGCTTACGCCTCGATACCCATTTAATCATTCAGGAACTGTAAGGATCCCCCTTATTCGGAGAAGAGGTAATATCTTACGTTTGCGAGTGCGATCTATCCAAGTTCTCGACCAGCTGCAAGTCCTGCAACAAAGCACCCACACACATAACGCCAATATGTGGGTTAACTTGCATTTCCAACGTTTACGCGATGGTCCACCGCCTCTGTTGCAAATTCAAAGGTTCCTTTCGTTAGCGAGCTACTTTTGCAACCGGAATTTTTGGATCAAGAAAATTTCACCTGCTGGGAAGAGGGAGATGAATCCGGACGCGCAAGGTATAAATTCTGGGGCCTCACCTAACCGCAGAACCTTTCGCTCTAACGAGTTCCACGCTCTTCTCGCACCTAGTTACAATGTTCTCCAAGCGCATCCTGACTCTTCTTCTCTTCCTCGTCTCGCTCAGTCTCCTCACTTGGTCCAAGCCCATTGACAGCGATGAGGTTGGTATCCGAGCCATCGACGACGAAGTCGGTGTACGTGCCATCGACGATGTTGCCGAGGTCGAGGACTTGATTCGTCGTGATGCCTTCCCCCATAGGCCATGCGGTAAGATACTTTTTTTCTTTGGTCTGTGTGTGGGGTTGCCGTTGTATGATTAACCGCTTGTCAGGATGTGACCAGGATCTCCTTAAAGTTCTTGTTGACCTTGACAGGAAACTCACGGTTAAAATTCAAGATCTCGGTTAGTATGCGGACATCGGTCGCCGGTCGCCAACTAACTAACAGTGTTTCGCAGATGGAAAGAAGCGCTTGGGCCCTATCATCGAAGAAATTATTGTCATCATCCGCGTCGCCATCCGCGTCATTGACGAGATTCGCATTTCTTCTTGCAAAGTTACTGCTGTCATCAGGGTCTGTGTGGATATTATCATCAAGATCATTGTGGTGAGTACTTCGATTCGTTTAGTAATGATGATACTCGCTCTCACTCCAACGTCTCGCAGGCGATTTCTCGTGGTTGCCACAGGTACCGAGACGTCAAACATTCTAGGTTCATCGTGAAGCTCGATCTCGTTATCGTCGCTTTACTCAAAAGCTGCATCCGAGTTTGCCCCCGCATCAGGGAGCCCCTCAAGGTTGCGTAAGTGGATTACGTGTTTTGCTTATCTTTGGCTCCATGCTGAAAATCATCCTAAATTTCAGCCTCATTGTTCATATTAAGATCCTTGAAATCTTTGTCAACCTTCGCGCTTTCCTGGGCCATCACTAAGGGTCCACACAGAAACACAGGAACGAGTATGGTTAAGCTCGCTTCGATGATATTCTCGTCTCAATCGGCTGCTGGTTTTTTTTTTTTGGCTGATGATCCGTCTTTCTCTGTGGTCGTCGTTTAATACTTCCGTGTAACATCATCGTGTTCAATCCAGTTTGGAATGGTTCGATACGCTCAATACCAATCTACCGTATTCTACATGGCATTCCAAATGAGTCTGTGAATGTGGGTAATGAGGTGCATGTGTAGAGGTTGACAATTCCATACTTACGTAGTCAAACCAACTGGGAATGGATACGTTAGATGTTTCCCTCGAAACTGGATGTCGCATGTGATGGGACCCGGGTTAGGCCCTGAGTCAGCCGAATTTAGTACCACCTAGACGGCCGCTCAGCAGACTTTCTGCAATATGACTGCCACACACAAACCATTGTATATCGTGTAGGATTGCCTGCCTTGGAGCGACGTATCCTGTATGTTGTCGCCAGAAGTGACCCAGCGTTAGACCCCGTAATAGAAGATTGAATACGCTCTCCGGTGGGTCCACCAGCATCGACCGGAAGGACCGCTTTATTGGCATGAGCAAGTCCATAGACTAGGCACAGACGATCGGGAGATTGAGGTGAATGAAAATGCATAAGAATGCCACTCACATTCCTGATTGAGAGTGTAGTTGCTTCCCACAATACTGACCATGGCACGGCATCCCTGGCCACAGCTGTTGGTTCCGGGAAGCAAGGGCCCCTGGTGTCAATTAGTTAACGATACGAAGTATAGACGACTGCTAATAATCCGTCTGATCTTACCCCCGAAGGATCACCAGCCAAGGACCACATGGCGGCAGTACGGGAGTAATAATTCGGTGAGCCTATCCAAATTCGTTCCGTTTGCCATTTGATATCGGACCACCTGCCAAAGGGTGCTCAGCCGTCGCGTCAACATGATGGAGTAAGGTAGTTACCAATCTGTACCAGTAGTGGAAGCACACTCAGCTACGGGGGAGGGGTCAGCAATACGTATAAGGGTAATGAGAGTAGCCACTTTGGTAGATCCACGTATTCGGCCAGCTTTCCTGCATCTGCGACATTATGCTGGGATCCCCCGCGTAACAATGGAAGGCGACTCCTGAATATGCACTCGAACCTGTAGATAACTGACACAAAAAAATGAAGGCTTGAAGCGCTGTGACGGGATTCTCCCGTAGTAACTCACGACAGAGTTGGCATAATCCAAACTGTCCCAATTATCCTCGTAGCTGACAGTCCCTCTTTGCGTCAGGAGACCTGAGGTGCAAATAGTCAATTTTGGGTTGACTTACCCTAGTATCTTGACACTTGTGAAACCCTGACCATCTAACAGTTTTCGCAGCCGGATGGCAATTTGGGCGCTGTCATTTGCTGAGATCAGTGCTGTAGGATATGTGGGGTTGTTGTACTATCACACTCGTTACGGCAAACGGAGGACTGAAAACCCGTTTCACGCACAAGAGGTTCATTCTGCCCGGACATCAGTGAGGCGGAGTAGGCTTCCACTGTAAAATGATCGACAAACCTGGATACTGATGTAGAATGGCGGAATTCCTTTCGCCTGCCACGCCATAATTGAGCGAAATAAGTATTTTGCATCTATGAAAAAGCCATCTGTTAGTCTCAACCGTAGGGTATGGGGGGCGCAGCATACAGGCATCGGTGAAGGCACTCTGGAACGATCCGCCTAAGAGGGAATTCGAGTCCTTCATCCATCCAGGCTCGGGATTCGGTAAGCAACAAGTCAGAAGATAGGAATGATTTAGGAGCTTACAGGCGACCACGGAACGAAGTAGTATTTAACGTATGGGTTGATGAGTTGGATATCACACACAACTTCAAGAACAATGGAAGGGAGCGTATCCAAGGTAAACGATTGCATATTTGGGTCTTGAGAGGCTACATCATCGTAGGAGTAGGCCGACAGCGAAAGATCCGAGGATCCCAGAGGTATGCGGATAAAGCTAATGCCTGCGCTGTTAGCTCCATCCTTTGGGTTGAACATCATTGACAGTAGGGATGAATAGCTGGAGGAATCGTTTTGCTAGGAAGGGCTTGGTTAGTTCCCTCCCATCAGTTCAACCTAAAATTTACCTTGAGCAGCTTCAGCACGTAGGCGGCGGAATCCGCTAATCAATACTTTGGTCAGAAGGTTCAGAGTTTTTAGCTCAGACATCGATTCCTACGAACTCAGCGAGGCACCGAATCCATCCTATGATTGGGACGCTTTTGAGTCAGTGAAAGGGGCAAGCAGATTGCTGTACTCACCATCTGTTGATATACGGTATTTTCCTGAATATTGATGGCGGCAGTCGCAGAACCACTGGAAGAACCGAAGTTCAAATTGGACGGCCCTGAGTAAGAGAAAAGCTTGGTTTGGTTCCATGTTGTTTCAAAGACCGACTGAATCTTAGAGCCAATGTTATGCCGCTTTAGCGGGCGTACAACAAGTTCGCAGCTTACTGATTGTGCGTCACCAGGACGAGCCGGGATAGTCAGGAGAATCGAAAGAAAGAGCGTTTGAAGCATGGCGAGGTGAGATTAAAAGGATTGCGGGATATAGAGATACGATTGGCACTGATCTCCGGGAGTCGATTGCCTGTCGATGGGCTTTAGATGTCCCGACGCAAACCAACAAACTACGCGGTGCTCACACTTGTCAAGGGTAGCTGGACAGGAACGTGAATCTCAAAGCTGATTCCCGCACGTGGCCAGTGCATGGCCGCCAAGTACGATAAGCATTTCGAAGAGAAACCAAGGCCAATACCACAGGAATTGCAGGCCATCGATGCCAAGTATGATAGATAGTAAAGATCACCGTGCAAATTGAGCCCCGCCTGCGTTGGAGTCAGGCCTGCAGTCGATGTCCGTCAGATGTATTTAATCCCCATCGTCACGAGATCCGGATTCCATATCTATACTAGTACTTTCATGCGTCTGTGGGCCTCGACGATGGATGTCAGTCGAGGGGGAGTTCTGCTACCACAGCGAACACCCGGCACGGGCCTAAACCTTCACGCGGTGCCCCTGTTTAAAACTAATTAGGCCTCTAACATCTGAAGGGAGGATGACGTGGCCACCGTGGTAATGCCAATCAACCGCAACCCCGTAAGCCCAGAGCCGCACTGGCTGGAGAGATGCAAGAGCGCGGGTGCATGTCCCGCCGTCAAGCCAACCCTTCCTTTTTCTTCTCACCACTACCTTTTTGGGATGATGAGCGCGATAGTGGCAACGCCAATGGTGACCTCCGTAAGCCCAGACGGGACTGGCCAGAGGACTGTGGGTTCAAGTCCCACCGTCACCCCAACCCTTCCTTCTTTTTCTCTTCTCCACTACCTTTTGGGATGGTGAGGTGCAATAGTGGTAGCGCCAATGGTAGCCTCCATAAGTCCATGGGCAGGCCGGAGGAGTGCAGGTTCAAGTCCTGCCATCACCCCAACACCCTTCCGATTCATCTTTCTCTCCACTACCTCTTCGTGACGAGGCGCGATAGTGGTAGCGCCAACGATAGCCCCATATGCCGACAAAAAGTTGACTGCAAGGAATGCAGGTTCAAGTCCTGCCGTCACCCCAACACTTTCATTTCTCTCCACTACCCCTTCTACCAAAGGCCTATCTGCCACATGCCTTTATTCAACAAGCATGAGCAAGATGCCACCAACACCCATCGCCTTTCGCTGCCACTGGAACATTCACCAGCCTACCGTGACATAAACCCGTGAAAGCACCCTCCAACTCACCCACCCGCAAGAACCGCGCACTCAAACATTGACTTAACCATAGGCACACAGCAGCAAAACATGCGACCCCAACACTGGGGGTCGCGTGTCCTTTCCTCTATCCAACCTCTTTCCACCTCCATTCTCCCTCACCCGTTGTTCAATCTCAGTGCAGGGGTCGCATGCCCCTTTATGTGTTATTGCTTCATCTCACTTTATTCTCCTTCACACCATTGATTACTCGATGTCTCATATTTCCTAGGTCAAACAAATTCCTTTCTTCACATCCTTATGTTCTCCAAACTTTTTTCACCCGAGTCACTATAGTACGGCATATGCCGATAGGCACGGTTACGTACTCTAAAATGAATCCATCCATCCATCCATCCATTCATGCGTCTGTGAACCACATTCGCCTTGCTTACAGGGACACAGCACAGAGGGACCCAAGACGACAACAAAAGGCACGCACAAACGGCTTCTGGAGGAAGCCAAATCAAAGCGGGTATCACCGTCAAGTTTGGCGGTGGTGCAAGCCAAGTAACAATGCCGAGGCTAACACGGAGCCAAGAAGCGAGACAGCGTGGCCCACGGCGAAACGCGCACAGCAACAATGATCATAGAGCATGCGTAGCTTGATACATATGGGAATACAAGGTCCCCTCCAATTCATTACCACCTTGCCTAGACGACCATCAGCGTATGAAGGACATCAGTGAATGTAAGGGTGGATGGTGACCATTGGTGACTCAAAGGAAACGTGAGTCTTCTGTTGAGCAAATGCGGTTTTCTCGGGCAAACAGGATGAAACCTCCGCAGCGTGAAGGTTCAGAGCAATCGCTACCAGGGTAGTCGAGAACCCAAGGTAGTGAGTTATGCCGCGCGAGTTGAATACCTGCGCTGAACGACCCCTTTGCTAACCGTGGCACATCCGCGGAGCCAGGTCCACATGGTGGCCCATCTGCTAGGAACTGCAGTTTGCATGCCTACCCACATGCATTTCTGCCTCGCCATCGTGCGATACGGCTAACGCTGTTTAATGGAGGATTGCTCAGCGACGCGCAATGCGATTTCGTGGAGGAGTTACAAAACATGGCCTGCCTGCTTGGCAGTGGAATGAAGCGCCAGATGCGATTCGCTTCTGGGACAGTTATCCGGCAAGCAGTGATCATGACTAGAGACTTGGAAGCATGAAGGAAGTATCAATCGAAGCCGAACGTCCCATTGGAAAGGCGAAGTTCTATGGAATGAGTATGCAATAAACCCTCGCGTATCATCCGCTAACGATGAATCCGAGAAAGTGCTCTACGTGTTGAATTGGGGAATGTAGCGTGGAGCAGAGATACAATTATTGTCGTAATAGGAAGGGTTGCCCTCGAGGAAGTAGCTGAGGAAAGACCATTATCCACGCAACAGAGCGCGTAAGAACCGGTATACCCGGACGCAGGGCGCCTAGGCCCTGTTTTGACCCGCAGGCGTGGAGGGGGCTATGGCCTGAGACAAATATGAAGTGGTTATATAGCGGATAAACAAGGGTGCACGACAATTGATGGTTGGAATGTATAGAGTGAGAGAACGTTGTTCGAAGCGGTCGAGAGGACATTGCAGGTCCAGCTACTGACGCGAACTAGATGGTTGGTAAATTCCACCATGGCCAGTCCTCCTCCCTAGCGAATGGCATATAGGCCACCCGGAACCTCCCAGATTGGATGGCACACCGAGGGGCTGATGGGTTGAGTTTTGTACAGAAAGTGGCAGCCATCGTTACATTGACCCGGCAAGAAGGGGTGTCGGCGTCTCTTAGGGATGGTGAGAAAAACCTTTCAAAAATGTGTCGAGGCAACATTCCCACGCTGTCCATTGGAACTTGACGTTTTCCCTCCATTCATTCCGAACCCGCCTCCTGCCCCCGGCGTCACCGCGAAAAAACCGTCCTCGGTATTTTGCACTAAACTGTCGAAATCCTGGACGCGTTGATAGTGGCTCGGCGCCTATCGATCCTCTTACCTCCGCACAGCACAAAGATCTTGATGTTTCGTGCCAATGGAAATATCGAACGCCCGAACGCTCCTATCTGCATCCTTCCTGTGTTCTCCCGCGTTGTAAAACTTGCTTCGAAATTAACGGCGAATTCTAATTGACGCTTTATGCGAGGAATGCGGGTCGGGGCTTGACACGCAAACAATGAGGTTACAAACAATTCTACCAGTCTCATCCGTCCGCTTACTTACATGCCACAACAGGTGTGTCTTTGTCGTATGTATATTGTGCTTCCGAATCTATACCATCCGACGCTCTGAACCCCCGGCTATGATGTAGGTTACGCATACAATGAACGATTTTCTGTTGTCTCCTGATATATTTCTACACGCTGGCCACACTGATTTTCCGCCATTCCCAGGGGCATTGCTTAGCTAGGAAACTAAGCGCGACTACCATGCTGCTGGGCTTCCAGGAGAGGGTCTTTTTTGTGTGGGTGGGGTGATACATTGCCATGGAAACTGCTTCAGCCAGGTCGGGCGACCCAGTTTCTCCAATCTTAATCGACCAATATCAGCGGACCTGTTCATGTCCATCGCCACTCTGGGGCTTTTGAATATTGGCGACCCGCTAGGTTCTTGAGTCTTGCCTGTGTTAGCCTGCTCTTGCCGTCTCACCGTCGCCGGACCGGGACAGTGCTCAAATTAGATGTAGTTGAGCCACTGGAAGAGCTGTGCTATTCGAAATGCTGAGTGCTTCTTCACTGCATCAAACGACAGGCTTGAGGCTTGGCAGGGGGAGCAGCATAGTTAGATTCTATCGCCACGATTTGTCCTCGTTTCTCCCGTCGAGAGTAACAGCATCCAGCCACGCCATTTGGAGGGGATTCCGTTTTTCATCACTACCAGGGTCTTAATTCAGTGAGCCTCCCATGCATGACCGGATGGTATGGAAATTTGGGCATTAGGGTCCAGCCCAGATGGTAGGACAGAGGGCCTTTGAAACTGCCGCTTTGCCGTGGGGCGATCAGCTTGTCACAACGGGTAACAGTCTCATCTACCATGCGCTAACCACCCCTCAATGGTCTGGTGGAACGGGATGCCATTGAGGACAGGGCCTCAGCGGGACTGTCAAGCATCCTTGTGCGCACCCTCAGCCAGTAGCCCGTCTTGTTGTTGATATGTCGGGAATATGCTGGCAACATGGGAAGCATGTCGGCAATCACAGGGAGCTCGGTTTTTCCAGTGGTCGTGGCGCATCGGTAGGTGTAGGGAAGGCACGCACAGGCAATGGATGTAGATAGATTGCGCGATTAATGCGATGGTTTCATGGCATTACATTGATCAATGCATACAAGTTACTGGTTATTTTCCTTAAGAAATTAGGTGCTGGTTGGGAGCGGTAACAGGCCTTCCGATTGGCTTGCAACCGGTAGTCCAGGAACTCCAACTAAACGCGCCACCATCACACATACTTCCGCGCCTACCCGTTACCTGTGTCAGGATTGGTTCCACCGCCGTCGAGGCGCACATTTCCTCGCAAGGAGCCGCGGGAGTGACTTTCCGGACCAGGGAGGTCCCGCTGAGACACTCATCACTAAATGGTGTCAAAGTTGGGCTAGTACAAACGGACGCGTATGTGAGGTTCCGGGTCCGCCTTGGGCTGTGCATGCATGGTATTGTCATGTTTAGATCATGACGTGTGATGTTTATGGCTGTGTTCTCCGAATTATATTTGTGGAGGTTGTGAAGAAAACAAAGCCACTCCTATCCTCCGTCGATTAGGCCAGCGCCTACGGGATCGTCGCAGTAGGACGGAACAGCCTTGAGGCGAGTGCCAACCATTAAAAGCGCAAAGGCAGTGATACACTTCCTACTATCAATCTGGCGCCAACAAGCAGGCAGCCTCGTTGCCCACACACATAAAGCGCGAGAATCTGCAAACGGTGTTTTATCCTCTCATTCTTCTAATCTCAAACCCACCTACTCCCCCTAATGGCGGTCGTTGGTCTAAGGCTTGATACTAGCGTAAATTTTATAGCACAAACACAAATTCATGCTGTCTTTCTCTGTCATGGTTTATGGGGTAGACCGGAGCATATGCACACTCTAAGGAGGGTCTTGCAGCAGCGGGCGGACTCCACTGGGCACATTTTGGAGGTCCACTGCTGTGAGAGTTACTCCGACGTCAAAACTTATGATGGTGTTGATGTCTGTGCGGACCGCGTTGTCGAAGAAATTCACTCCAAGATCGAAGATTACCGGAAAGCGTCCCAAGAAGTACGGAAGTTTAGTATACTAGGGTATGTAGTGGATGCCACTTGAGGACGGTCATCACATTGATCGGGCGGCTAGATACTCGTTGGGCGGCCTCATAGCTCGTCTGGCTGTTTACATATTGGACAAGCAAGGGTTTTTCGAGAGGATCCACCCGTGCAATTTCACTACGGTTGCGTCCCCAGCGTTGGGTGTCCCGATGTATGTCCTCCCGCCACTTCAATGCTCATCACCTAAGGTATCCGAGCTAGAACTCCTGGAGCGGTGTCCTCAGTGATGGGGGCTGTATCGTCTTTTTTCTTGTCACGGACTGGGGAACAGCTGTATCTCAAAGACAAGTATTCAAAATCGGGGAAGCCACTCGTTGAGGAGCTCGCTTCCCAAGAGTATCTGGCAACACTGAACAAGTTCGAAAAAATTGACGTGTATGCGAATGCTGTTCGTGATCTTTCTTCCCGCTTCTGGAGGTTGTCTTAACCCTTAGTTTTTAGGTACTGGACCGCGTTGTACCTTATCTGACTGGCGGCATCGACGACTCGGATCCGTTTTTGCCTGCATTAGCAAAGTCAGGGGTCTTCCGTGCACCAGCTGAACAATCCGTTGTGATTGGTGACATCGAGCTGTGCGTAGCGGTGGTTTTTCCTTCAATTTACACCCTGATGAGTATATATGTACAGGACCCTGGACCCAAAGTACCCGGGGCTCATTTCGGGCGTCAAAAACCGCCCGGTGCCTACCAGAGAGCCGAAAGGCTCTTGGGAGAAGCCGGCCTTCTGGATATCCATCAAGCCATGGTTTTCTCCCTCCACTTATCCTTTTCTGCCCAAACCATTGGACATAGGTCTTGTCATCCTCATCCCTACCATTATTCCACCCATTATTCTGATCCTGGCCTCATTTACGTTTCACCGGATTGCAAGCTTTTTGCGGATCAGAAAGCATTTCCGCAGTAACCCATCTGCGGCTGATTCGGAAAGGAAATCTCACCCCCACTTCGATTTGGAGTCACAAAAAACCAAAGTCACTAAGGAGCAATCCAACGACAGGCAAGTCGAGTGGCATTCGTGGCACCAATTTCTGACCGTCAGCTATATAGCAATCAACTCTCAACCCTTGTTTCGGATGCCGGTACGATTGCAATGGACATGGTGTCATCGCCCACCTCTGATCTAGAAGTGGGCCTCGATATAAGTGGGCTTCATACTGGAGGGTCTCGTCCAGCTCTGCATGATCCGCAGAAATCTATGGCGCTTGCCATCAAGGCGGGCCTACCCAAAATGAAGAAACACATCGCGTTCTTTCCTGGCGTGTTTACCAGCCATAAGATGATTATTTGTCAAGATGAACGTATTACTGAACACAAACGGGGATTGGATGTGATTAATCACTGCGTAGATCATTTCATACTTTAAGCAGTCCCCATGTCTCTGCGCAACTGGTATACCCTTGCTTGTTATTCCTATTTAGGATGTCGCTCTCGCTGTCTGACAGACCTTCTCGTTAGTTTGTCTTGCGCTCGTTGGGGTTGTGGATGGTTTTGGCTTGCATTTACTTATAGGCATATTATACTGTTCATGTATATAACACTTCCAGCAATGGATAATCATGCAACTGGTCGCAGTTGGATCCTTTGTTTGGTCTAGTTGACAATTCTAGGCTGCTCCCGTGTTATGATTGCATCACGTGGACTATCGCATTCAGTCTAGGGTTTTGCGATGAAGTGTTGAACTTGTTTTGACTTCTCTGTTTGTTTTTCCGTTGTTCAGCTTTGTTTTCGTGTTGGACGTCTACGTGTTGCGTGCTGTACGCTCTGGGCTGCGTCCCGCCGCTTTCATTCTCAGTGCGTCGGTATGTGGAGCAGGCTTAAGTCGCTCAATCCTGTAAGATATAACAATCATGACAACTCCCGACGCCGTGAGTAAAGAATATACCGAGGGCGTGCATCTTTAACATGTCCACAACAGAATCTGAAGACAGTCGGCCTTCATTTGACGGGGAAGGCACCTCCTTGGCAGTAGGACAACCGAATGAATCGAATGCATCACTATCGAGTATGAATTCAGCCTCATCGAAGCGCGGCACACGCAACATATTTCGCCGTTCGCGTCTGCCGAGCGAGTTTGGGTCGGAAGCTCACAAAACCTCACAAAGTGGTGTAGAAAACCCCGCTGCTGAGCCTGGCACGCGCGCCCAGTCAAGAAATCATCCCCTTCGCGACCCTTTCTCCGATCCCTCCGCTGAGCAACTACCCGAGGCTCGCGCGTTAGACACTTCGGAAGCCCTACCTCAACATGTGAAGACGCCAAGTAGTGGTTCAGTGCGCTCCATTTTGCGGGATCCGCGTGCTCCAAGTACAGGACAGTCTGTGCGTTTCAATCAGCGAGATGCATTTCGTATCATCACACCTAATGCTTCGGCATCCTCTGGTGACGGAGAAGAGGAAGGATCCTCTCGCACCCTCCTTCAGAGACTCAGAGACGCAGGTTCCTCTGGTGATGACGATGATGAACAACCGCAACCAAATACTGAGAAGTTTCCGCCCTTGTTGGAAAGAGATCCTTTCGCCGCAACGAATCGTCCATCATTTTCCCAAACGCCATTACCCTCGGTTCCATCATCTCAGGATAGTTCAACGTCATTCTCATCTAGTTCATCCAAGGATCTACCTTCGCTTCCATCCGACATGGACAATTTATTCGACGTGTCTAACGACTTGAATGCAAATCCCGTTTTTGATAGTTATGGGGATATCGAAAGTAGGCTAATGGGCATGGTTCCCTCTGCAGTCAACGACTCCACTCCAAGCCCAGAAGGTACCCGTGATCCAACTTTCGTCGATGCCTCCCAAACGCCCCGTCGCAATGTTCTTGAGGAATCGACAGCAAAGGAAGGAGATAGTTGTGACTCCGCCAACCAGCAGGACGGCACATCGCTCTTTTGCACTCCGACTCATTCACGAATGCCTTCTGAGGCCCCAACAATTCGACCTTCTCCTACTTCTCTTGGATCCTCCGCCTCCTCCAAGCCCTCAGGCTCCCAGCCTCTATCATCGTCCTTCAGTAACATGAGCTCTTCATCACACGCTAGTGCTTCGTCTTCCTCGCCGAAGTCCCCCGACGCTGCCAATGCCACGATGTATCACACCCCTCGAGGCGACTCATTTACCGATGGTGCAACAGGGACCCCGATCTCATTCACTAACTACGTTCGTCCAAGTGTGCCGCGTAAATTAGTAGATGGTGATGATACTGGGGTACCTGCATTTCTGATTCCTTCCCCGTCCCCTCATGCTGTTCCCGTTCGAGAGGCATCCGTAAACATCGATGATTCGCCCCTGAAACGTCATACCAGCGGTCGCGACCTATCTGTTGTCGATAATACAGCGTTTCTTGTTCCAAATAACTCTGTAGCACTTCCTTTCGCTACCTCCGAGCTTTCATCTAGTACTCAACAAGCGCTATCGGCCCATTCAAAAGAGCACCTCATCAGCCACCTTAAAGAACGCCTGTCACTCCTTGAATCCATCTCGGTTCAATATGAGGCGGATCTCTCCGCTCGAGACACTCTCGTTGATCACCTTTCAACTCGTATCAGTCGAGCCGACGAAGAGATTCAGGCATGGCATACGGAAGCAGACCGCACAACCCGGAAGTTTGAGCGCTTGCGCCAGAAGGTGAACGCTCTCACCGTGCAGTGCGAGGCTTTGAACAAGGAGAAAGCTGTCTTGCATGCTGAGAAGAGGCGCTCCAGTATGTTTGACATGGCTAGTAGCGCCGCACTGAGGGAACTTCACCAACGTGTAGGTAACCTAGAGGCGAGCAAGAATGCACTGGAAGAGCAATTGGAAGCAGCAGAATGTGTGCATGCATCAGACCAAGAACGTATGAAGGAGCTCGAGACCGAGAAGACAGAATTGGCAGGGACCCTCTTGGAATCTGAGCGTGAATGCGCCCGATGGAAACAGGCGGCTGAGGCATACGAGGCGGAGAGCACGAGCGCAGCTGATCTTCTGAACTCCTTGCATTCCACTACTCCTGCGAAGTCTCGCATAAATAAGTCAACTCCTGGCACACCGTACTCTGCGTTTAGTCGACCCATCAGCATGTTCAGTTTGAACGGGCAGGCACCAGAGAACGACGAGCAGGTTTACGTTCTTAAAAGCGAAATCATCCGCCGTGAACAAGAGCACGCTGATCTGCGTGAGCTTCATCGGGCTGCATCTTTCAAAGCTACTGAGGAGAGGCTACAACTTGCTGCAGAGCATGAAGCTCTCGCAGCGGAGTACGAGCTGCTCCAGGTAGAGCATGAAAAGCTCAAAGCAGAATTTGATGCTCAACATGCAGGACAAGACGTGCGCGAGGCGCTGGAGAGGCTGGAGAAGGATCACTCCATACTTAAAGCTGAACTGAACGCGCAATGGACCTTATCCGAAAATGCGAACGAGAAGATATCTCATCTCACTGTTGTGTGTGCGGCGGCCGAAGAAGAATCGAAGAAATTACGCGAGCTGCATCTTCAAGCTACAGAAGAGCTGCGAAAGGCCGCAGTTACAGAAGAGGGACTCAAAGGCCAAATTGAACAGATCAACCAGCAGTGCGATGATCTCACCTACTCGCGGGATGACGTAAGTGTAACGGTCCAGCAATTGCTCTGTGCTCTGATGACCCCCTGATTCTAGGCTCGTGACACCCTTGCCCAAGAACGACAAAGACACCATCGGGATCTCGAAGCTGCCGCCACAAATGCTATGTCTGCTGCTGCCGAAATTGAATCTCTAAGAGCTGTATTGGATGAAGAACAGGCGAAGGTATCGCATCTTGAAGACCAATTGAAAGAAATGCAAGAAACACGTAGCCAGGCTTCAGAGCAACTTCAAGTCTTGATCGAGCGGGAGTCCTCTTTGGTTGCCGAGGTTGAATCGCTGAGAGACAAAGTACAACAGATTGAGTGGAACAGAGATAAAGTGAATTTCCAATACCGTGCTCGAATCAGCCTACATACTAATGCACCTTTTCAGACCCTAGAGGAACTCGAGTACGAACGCAATCATTTCCAAGACAAATTTGAAGAATTGTGTCGGAAGATCAATGAATTGGACATGGGACGTGATATCCTTGGGGAAGAGAACAGGGGCTTAAAGGAATCCATCCGATCGTTAGAGATGAAAATTGAGGCCACCACTTCCGATTTTGTTGGCAAAGATCGGGAGTGTGTGACGCTCCGCAGCGAACTCGAGCAATCTGCGGCCGAAGCCCATAAACTCCGGAGTGAAATTCAGCAATATCTCACATCCTCAACGATCAACCGTGCCGAAATAGATGCGTTGCGCAAGGATCTTGAATCGACTCTAGCAACGAAAGTCAGCACACAAGCTTCTCTTCAGGAAAGTCAGGCCAAGAGTCGGACTTTAGAGCAGGAGTTGCAAGGCGTGCACCGTCAACTTAAGGAGGTTAAGCAAGCCAGCGCTGATCTTGAGGTCAAGATGTTGAGGTTGAACAAGGAAAAGGCCCAGCTGGAAGAGGACAATTCTGGTCTTTACATGGGATTGGAGGCTAAGCAGGAAGAGCTAGAGTTGGTACGAAAATCCCGTTTCATCGGTCTAGTCATCCCTCTCTGACCCCACTCCGCCAGCTCAAACGTAAACTTGGCGTTCGTGGAACTGCTGGGTCTGCTTCAGCACAACCCTCGTCAAGGGCAGTTTCGGATTCAGTGTTCAAACAACCGGCGTCACGTCGCTCTAGCGTTTCCTCTAGCGTTGCTGATCGAGAAGATTCGTCCAGGCCAGCCAATTCGTCCAAACAGATTCGATTCGCGACTGAGGCTTCGGACAAAGCCCCGGGACTGCCAAGGCCAATAAGCAGGCCCCGAGTTTCTATGCCGACGCCGACGCCTGCAGCTATAACGTCGCGCTATCCGTCACTAGGGCACGCAAAGAATCCATCTTCTACTTCGTCGACAGGTTCGGCCACTGGAAGACGGCCGATCGGTGCTCCTGCGCTCACTGGCCAAACGGTGAGACGGGCCTCATCTAACAGCGATGTAGAGTCTGTCGCTTCTGCATCAGCCATTTCAGGCTCGGAGACGACCCGCACAACCACAATACGCCGCGCGTCGAACTCCGACGTTTCCAAACGACCTTCAGGAGTCGGCGTGTTCACTACAATAGGGACAGCATCGGCCATACAAGCCATGAAGCGCTCATCTTCCGTTAATTCACGCCCTTTGAATGCTTCTAGTGCGGCACCTTCCTCGACAAGTGTTGCCAAGCCTGTCCGACGCTTGCAACAACGATCATCTTCGTCCCTAGGTTCCACTCCGGAGGAGGCCCCAACAACAGCGGACAAGGAAAACCAGCCCGATATAGAAAGCACTCCAAAAGCCCAACAACCCGGGGCGCCCAGCGCCACGACCACCAGGCGTCGTATTGCGATCCCTCCATAGTAGCACATTACTTTCTTCAGCCATTTTATTATCTTGTTATTAACCGCATCTTGCATCACTGTATTGTACAGTTGTGTTATCATCTTCCGATTTATTTGACAAAGGTGCCGTCCAGGTTGGGCTTTCGTTGTCGATTTGGCTATGTTCCCATTGTGGCTAATACATGTTGATACTGTAGCAGAAACCATCTCAATTACAGATACGCGACGATGTTAATGGTCTGATATTTTTCAGATTGCTACTGCATGGGTACATTAGAACTCAAGCTAGACTTTTGCTCCTGCAAGGATGTATTAACTCGACAACCCACTAGCGGTAGGGCGTGGATTAGACGAACCTGTACAGCAATATATAAGCCGTGCTGTCCTCGCCTCCTCCATCAAGAGTTGTGATCTTGTCCTGTTTCACGACTGAAACCTTATCATCATCGAATTTATACCATTCATCAGTGGTAGCGTCGTATTTGTCCTCAGGCTTAGCAGTTGGGGATGGCTCTTCGATGGCGTCCCTCTTCACCCATCCGATGTAATGCCCTCCATCAGCGGACGCTCCCTTGTGCGTGACGATGCCTGGAATCATGGACAGAGAGTGTGTGTGTGTGTTCAGTCCTATGCTTCCTGGTTGTGTTTCGAAAACTCACCAACGAGTTCGTACAAACCGTGTGGACTGCACCCCACGTCGCTCTCGAGGTCGGGGTCCACTAGGCTCCTTAACGTCTCGACCTCTCGTGCGCGTATAATCCCTTCATCCTCCTGCACGCCGGGAGGGAGAGGAGCTGATCCCGAGGGGCCCGACGGTCCCGACCCTTCCATTGTAACCTCCGGCCCGGTACTTCCCCCCACAGCAACTGTGGGGGATGCTGGCGGTGCAGTCCCTGTTACGGGAGACTGTGTGGATGTTACGGCAGCGATGGCAGCATCTTCTTGCGCTTTAGCCTTGGTCTTTCGGCGGGTCTTCTTCCGCTCATCGCGTTCCTTTTCGATCTCTTTCAGTTTAGTTGAGAGAGGGAGCATTTTGGCTTTGAGTTCTGGTGTCACAATGTCGATTACGTCGAGATCGTATGGGAATTTGACTTTTCGCTTTATGGGATGTGAATTGTTACGAGAATGGGGGGAAAAGATGAACGTGGTAGCGTAAGGGAGAGAGAAAGACGTACCATGATTTTGGCCTTCTTATTAATGTCTCTTCTCCAATAAAAGCGAACCATGTGTACAGTTAGATTGGCAGGTAGGCGTGACAGTCTGCTGGTCTGCGTGTACACAGCTTCGCGACCCAAAGTAGGACTCGTCTTTTCTATCTTCTGGTCAAGTGCATCAGAAATACCGGCTTGAAGGTAATTGGTGGAGATCGTTATTGGACAGTCAAGCTTTAGGATTCTCTCCTTTAATATCGTGGGCGGTTCGTCTGGTGCCTCGTCGCATTTAAAACTGCCCTAACGTCATAAAGGGGGGGGGAGATCCGATAGGAGAGAAAAAGGCTACTCACGTCGTCGTCATTTCTCCAGCGAGATACTGATCTACAAATCTTTTCTGAGAACTAGATTCATTATCCGAAGTTAAACCTTGTAATGAAGCGTTGGACATGGAGTTTAGGAGTTCAACCCAACATTCGTCAGCATCTTGTCCATGCCATTAGCATAATTTTATTTTCTAGGTAGTATCTAAAATGTGGGTACCTTGTTGGGCATAATGGCCATTCCGGACTTCCGCAAACTGAGGCTGGACTTCTCTAAGCAACACGAGGAACTGGATGGGAGGGAAACCTTCCGTCGTGGATTTCATCCCTTGGAAGAGCTCTTTCATGGCGTTAACCAGCTTGTGGTTAGCGGTTCCTCCTTGGAGTGAATAGTTCTGAAGAGCAGGGCGTAATTCGGGGATCCCGCGAAGAACTTGAACGGTCGCGTTCATGTAACATGTGTTTCCGAGGCTAATATGTTTGCAATGGGGCTCAAAATTCCTAGTTGTATAAGGGGAAAAAGAAAAACTTACTTCTTAAGACCGACTGGCATTTTCAGCTGGGAGAAAGAAAAAAAAATCGATAGAAATTAGTCGGGCCAAGTTATTCTGAGATTAAAGCTGGTTCATTGTTACAGACCGCGTCGGCTAACTGCGCGTCCGTCATGTCTTCCAAGAAGACAATCTTTTCAGTTGGAGGCTTAGGGAGCTCTCCTGCCGCTCCAATGACCATGAAGGTTTGACCCTATGAATTGTATTGTTGCCCAGTGAGCTATGGAGCCCCACACTGTCTGCCTGAAAGCAATTGGTCCCACTTCTTTAGGTGCGACCTTCTTCCAGTCGGTGTCATCCTAGGATTATTGTATCGCCAGAAATGAGTAAGTGAAAATCATGAGAAGTTGTGTGTCACTCTCACTTTCAGATATCCTCCCTTGATCATGACTTTCATCCTCTCTGGAGGTACGCCAGTCACGGAGTAAATGGCATGCTTGAAAACGGATGGTGATTCTTCGGGGTCGAGCTCGATAGGGTATGCCTTCCCGGCATGCTTTATGGATACGTTAAGAGGAGCCATGGGGTGAAGGATCGAGAGCGGGATCGGGGGAAGTGAGAAGGCCGCGCAATATTGAATTTAATTGCCCGTTTTCTCTTTAACAAGATGCGTTCCCACGGCGGCGGAAGCCGTGCCGGATTGGATCGAGCCCTGGCCTCTGTGTTTGGCTTTCACTAGCTACGTCGGACGTTCATGCCTATGGGGACCATGAGACTATTCGTCGATGAAATGTTCTTGGTCCTGTGTCGCAGGCGCAGGGTTGACGTATATGCCTCTACTATGTATGAGAATACCGCGTATTGATTGCCTCTCATCCTTAACGATGATTCTCATTATTTGCGCTCGACATTCAAGAAGATATAGGTACACTTGCGTGAAATTTTCTCAATTCGTGTAGACACATTTCAGTTGAAAGGAGGGAGGAGAACGGCGCATCCTTAATTCTTTACGGAGGATCAGTAAACTAAGCATGCTCCCATAAATCCTGATCTTTGGGTGGGTTCAGTGCTTGCGTGGTGCCGGGGAACTCCTTGGATCACTATATATGCTAGCGCAAGACCGATGTTTGCTGTTTGGTGTTTGTTGCAACTATGTAAGCATTTTTCGTTTTCTCCTCCCATACATATCCCATGATCATTTCCCTACTCTTTTTCTTCCCTCCACCCTCCTTTGCAATGTTTTTATTCACCCCTCACAAACTCGACGTGGATCGTAGAAAAAAACATCTCCAGTTTGCATACAACTTCATGCGTATTGTGCGTGTTGAAGCGGAGGATTCGAAAGCGACAGACACCCGCCCCCGGCCCAGAGTCTTCGGTTGCTCTCATCGCGCCTGCACTCCGGCCTGCGCTTTGTGTTGGCGAGCCATCTAAATCTGTACCATTTTCCCTGCCTGCCCCTTTTTGCTACTCCCGTGCGAACCCTGGAAGAGGGGAAGCTTGAAAATCCGTAATGGCATTGATCTCTGATCACAGTCTTCCGGTGCCTTTTGATCAGAAGGTTTCCTTCCTTTCCTCATCTCAAATCACAGTTGATTTCGTGCCCTTATACGTCAACAGGCACTTGCTGTCTCTATCCCTTGGCGTGGTACTCCCCTTTTGCCTTCTCCCCTGGTGCCCAATCCCGTGCGAAAGAAAAGTTTTTAAAGCTCCCTCCCTCGCCTCAAATTCACAGTCGATTGGTGCCCTACCACCCGTCAGATGAACTTGTCAAAACCGGCATGGTAATAACATATGAGGCTAAGCTTATTACGAGTGCCGTGATAGGGCGTGTTGGAAACAGAGATTTGTTTCCGCGGCTGTTTGGTACAGCAAGGGAGAGGATATCTAGGTATACCGACGATAGTCCTGTTTTGTTTGTTTTTGTTTTTGGGATTGGGCAAATGTGACACGTGAATGCGCCTGTACTTCGATCGATGAGCTTGTACTAGTGACGTGTGCTCGGAAGCAAATGTCGCGTGTTGATGCTATCGTCAGCGTTGGGGGAAAAAGAAGTTATGTATGGAGGTCATTTTGTATTCCAATGTTGATTGGTGTGTGTGCGTGTTGTCGTATGCACTCCGTCATATGTCCATTGGCATGCGTAATGGGTTACAACTACAGGAATCAAAACATGCCCCAATTTATGATCTCCCACAATACATATTGCCAGCTCGCCGGTAACCCATCCGTACCCATGTCTTGATTATACTTGTACTGAAACAGGTGGATATAAATAGGCTAGAAAAAAAGGACAAATCCGGGAACGCTATTGTTTCCCTTTTTGGGAGTTACACTGACAGTGAAAGAAATGAATTGACGCTTGCATGTTCGACTCCGAGGCTGAGTTCGAAATATATATTCCAATTCGGTCTTGGTTCCGTCCACGGACGCGGCTTCCGCTATGTAATTGTTCGCTTCATCTGTGTGTGTCTGTGTTGTGTGCCTTGCAGCACAGCGTTGGTGAGCGTCACGCAAGCGGGCGGGGAGAGTGTTACGCGTTAGTAAATGGCCAGGTACACGACTGTGAAACCGCACGCACTCAGCAATGGGGCAGTGGGGCCACGTGATCTCCCTTTACTCGGCTCCTGCTGTGCGCGACTTTGGGAAATCTTGTGAAGAAGAGGAAGAGCTTTTCGGATGTCCGAAGGAAGGAATGTCCGCTATTCAGATTGTGCATGCGCCAAGTGTGGCCCAGGCGTGGTGACATCGCTGATAGGTTGCGTAGCCGTGACATGAAGGAGTGATGGAGTGGAGCCGCGCGCTTGCCATGTTTTTCGACTTGGAAAAGGTTGTGACGAAAGTATGATCCATCCTTCTCATTGGAGCAATCATGTGATATACCTAGATAGGGAATGAATAAATTTCCATTCAGTTTATTATTGAATTATTTAGTATCGAATCTGTCAAAACGTAATTGAGAGACTTCCTCGCATTTTCTGGGACGATATAAATTGGGTGCGGATAATGATAAGTGCTCTCGAGGGTTCATCTCCCGTCTCCTCTTCTCCTCTCCCCTCCAACCCCCCCAACCCCTTCCAGTCTTATAGGGACTCACCACTCTTTCTTCTTCCTTCCGTTGCTCGACAATGAGTGCAACAGGCAAGGACACCAAATCAGCCACCACAGTGAGCCCTCTTTCTCTCTTCCTCCTCCCATCCCAACATTGACACAAAAAACTCACAGGCTCAATTCATCTCTGCGTTGATCGTCGGTCTCATTACAGTAGCAGTTTTCACAGTAGCATGGTTCCTCCTTCGTAAACGATTTCGAAGGGTCTTTCAGCCAAGAGTTGACGTTACCGTTCCTGGAAAACAACCTCCTGATCCTCTTCCAGATGGTGTAGTTTCATGGTGGGAAACTATATTGGGCACACCTGATAAAGCCATCATCGCTGCCAATGGTCTTGATGCTTATTTCTTCGTTCGTTTGTGAGTCAACCTTTTCACCCTTTTTCGTTTTGACGCTCATGTTCTGGACCTTCTTTCTGTGACAGTCTTAAAGTATTCGGACTGCATCTTCTTGGCCCTTTCGTCTTCTTATCGTGTGCTGTCCTTATCCCTCTTGCTGCCACCTCCCATGGTGGTCTCAGTGGCCTTAACCTCCTCACATTCGGAAATGTCAGCGCCAACCAACTCGATCGTCATGTCGGATACTATCTCGTTGCAATCATCCTCGTTTGTGCGTAATCCTCACCTGTTTCAAATAATAATGGCTTTAAAACTAACAGTTTATCGCTATTTTTATTCTAGTCTGGACGCTTTACCTCGTCTATAAAGAGTTGATCCATCTCGATGAAGAACGACAAGCATGGCTAGCATCCGAGACGCATACATCCCGGGCACTCGCACGTACACGTACAGTGATGGTCACGAATTTGCCTCCCCGTTATCTCACTAAAGAAGGAATACTGGGACTCGTCGCAGCCACGGTCACCGGTCCCTCTTCAATTACTGACAAGGATGCTAGCCCTACGGGACCACCTCCAGCTGCTACTACGGCTCCCTCGTCCGTTCAAGCGATTTGGTTCTCGCGAACGAACTTGAAACAAATCGAAAAAGTTTACGATGAACGAAATGCCGAGTGTGAACGACTTGAAGGTGCAGAAGCGTCCTTGTTAGCATTGGCAGCGAAGAATGAACGCAAAGGGAAAAGTCCTCGTGCGAAAGGTCAAGTTGTGGCTTATCACGACGAAGGGTTGGAAGGAGATGGAAGGGCGGTTAGCGATGATGTGATTGATGAATATGTTAAGCCTTCGAAGAGACCTAAATGGAGATTGGGGCTTTTGGGACTCTATGGGGAGAGGAGGACTTTGGGGAGTTCGACTAGGTGGATTAAGGAGAGGAATGACGAGCTGGAAGCGTTGAGGGCTAAGGCGGTTGTCGTGCGGGATGCTGATGGTGATGAGGGCGAGGGTGCAGGTGAGGGTGAAGAGAATGGTGAAGGTGAAGGAAGCAAGGAAAAGGAGCAGGTGAAGATTGGGAATACGGCGTGGATTAGGTTCTCGAATCAGTATGAGGCGCATTTATTTGCGAGGTTGGTTAAGAGTGCTAAAGGCGGGGATTTGAGCATGAGGCTGATCGATTCGAGGATCGAAGTTGTGCCTGAGGTGGGTTATTCACGGCTGGCTTTCTTTTATTGACCAGAGAGTAACCTTTGATTGTTTGGATCAGGATATCGTGTGGAACAACACGTCGATGAATGCGTACGATCGGAAGATCAGGAACATTGTTAGTTGGTCGTTGACCATTGGGTTGATCATAAGTGCGTCTACTTGAATTTCCTTCCCCCATAGAGCTAACGTTGCGCATCGGTGAACAGTCTGGGCCATCCCCGTTGCCTTCGTTGGTATTGTCTCTAATATCGATACGCTCTGTAGTACGGTTAGCTTCCTGCGCTGGATTTGCAAAATTCCGAGTGGTACGTCCTGTTTCGTAGTGGTTCTCCGTATTTTTTAAAGGCTCATTCTCGATGATGTAGCCGTACTTGGGATTTTGAAAGGAGTTCTACCTCCCGTTTTGCTCACGGTGTTGTTTATCGTTCTCATCATCATTCTTCGAAAGCTGGTGAACATGCAGGGTATTCCTCAGTCTAGGTACGTTCACTCCCCTCGCCAAATCACACAAGATCTCACCTCGATGGCGGTGTCTTCTGTAGCGAGATCGAATTGAAGTTATTCCAGCGTTACTGGCTCTTCCAAGTGATTCATGGTTTCTTGATCGTTACCCTCTCATCTGGGTTGGTCGGGGCGTTGTCGAACATTAGTAAGACGGTTCATCAACTGCCCTCGTTGCTTGCGAAGAACTTGCCTACCGCTTCTATATTCTTCCTGACTTTGTGAGTCTTTTGCTGTCAAAATTTGGCTCTTCTAATGCGATGTTGAATAATGATTAGCGTACTCGCGAGTACGTGGGCGGGAGCAGCTAAAGCCTATTCGCAAGCCATCCCGACGGTCATGTATCTCCTCCGTCCTATCTTGGGTGGTAACACTCCAAGGAAGTTTTGGCTCGGTGAGACGCGGTTGATCGCGTTCCAGTGGAGTCTTACGTGGCCGCCTATCAGCTTGCTTGTTTGCTTGTGTGTGGTTTATTCGGTCATTCAGCCTATCATGACCGTTGTGACCATTGTGGCGTTTGGGCTGTGAGTGTTTGTTTTTTTTTTTTGTCCGGGCGTCCCATTAGGAAAGTTGGGTTCTGATCCATTTATTTATTTTCCCTTTCGCCGGTGTTCGTTCTTATTCGTTCTAGGTTATACGTCGCTTACAAGTACTTGCTCATTTGGTGTGCCGATCAACCTGAATCGTGGGAGACGGGTGGATTGTTCTACTTGTTGGCGCTCAAGACTGTGTTTGTGGCGTTGTACATTGAGGAATGGTTTTTGACCGCTTTGTTCTTCTTGTCCTACTCGCAGCAGAAGAAGACGGGCAAAGCTGATCTCGCGGGTGGTATTTTGATGGTAAGCTATGTCAACGTTGTTACTATGGTGTTGAATACTCAACGCCGTTTTCTCATTTATTTGTATAGGTGATCACTATTATCATTACGATCGCTGCTAAATGGTGGCTCTTCAACCGTCGTTTCCCCAGAGATTACATTCTTTATTCTCGCTCGTCTTACCTGCAAGATCAAACGCTTTCCTCGACAGATCTCGCGCCCAAAGAGCCAACCGGCCAAGCTGAAATCACCGCCATTCCTACCACACCACTCCCTCTTCAACAAGAGGATGAGTTAGACACGACGTCAGGGTTCCATGAGCGTGCGTTCGATCATCCTGCGTTGTGGAAGAAACAGCCGGTCGTTTGGATTGCGGATGATGAGTTGGGGATTGGGAAGCTTGAGGTGGAGAGGATCAAGAGTGAAGGTGTGGATGCGAGTTGTGACTTTGCAAGGTTGAATAGGGAGGGGAAGTTGTCGGTCGAGAGGGGACCGCCGGATGAGGTTCCGGCGGTGAATGTTCGTGTGGTGGCTGATGTGGTCGTTGCTGCTGGTTGATAGTATGTTCACCCTCCTTCCCTGTGTCCGAGGTTTGTTCATTACCAAAATATGATACCCCCCCCCTTTCCGTACGTTTGCGTTCTTGGCTTTTTTCTGGTTCCCTGTTGCGGTAGATCGCCAAATTTTTGTTTTGTTTTTCCTTATCCGTTTAGCGTTTTTTTGTTCAAAATCACTAGCTCTGTTTTTTTTTTTTTTTTGCGTCATGCATGTTTACGATCCAAATACCCCCTCTAGCAAGTTCCTATTTGCTAAAGTACCTACATAGTACAAGTGCCTCTTTTTTTTTTGTTTGAGAATGGTGGAATGAAATTGGAAGTTGTGTTGTCACAATCTGGCTGTTTTGTTTTATCTTAGTATTCCATGATATGTTCGATGATGTATGTGTTCTCAGACAACACGCACCGAAGTGCTTGCCTAATATGGAAAAAATATTCCGGCGTGAGGCGAACGCGAACGCTTTTTTTTTTTTCTCGGGCATCTAATACTTGACTGGCAGAGGGTAAAAGCGCGTTGGCGTCGTCTAACTCGTGCTGCTGCTGTTGTTTTTTTTTTTTTTAGTTATGCAGCGCTAAGTCTGCTCCTAGTAAGGAGTCAAGGACCCTCACGGCTGATGAAGCTGGTATACATATCGTGAGCTCGATTATCAGGCCACGTCAAGTGACTGGTTCTTCCTTATGAGGCATTTGCGTGTACGTGAGCTACTGCAGTAGTACGAGGAAATAACTCCAAGGGGACTGGGACTGGTGCAAGCGCTGAATATACCATGCCAGTACGTGTGTATACGTAATATACATAAGCATTTATGGCTCGGGCGTGCCGGGGCCCTCCAGCTGTTTATCTGGCCTGGGTATCCCACGATACGTTCAACATTGTTTCTAACCTTTCCTACAAGAGCTTGATATTCACTAAATTAACAGGAATCTGGGACAAGAAGTATGTAAAGGACCAATAGAAGAATGGCGCCGAGCAAATTCGCTCCAAAGTTCAATTGTAGCACAGGATACATGAGAGACGCCGAGCGCTCAGGGGCGGGCAGTGAGGGTAAAACTCGCTGGGGTTCTGGAGTAGGCAGGTCACCAGCCTCTATGAGTTCTGAAGCAGCTGGATGGTCATCCGTCGATATATCTCTGATTGTGTCGAATTGCTGTTCGAATGTCTCAGCTACTCCGAAAAGCATTGACGAGGTAAACTAACGAACTGAAGCATCACCGTCGGACCCCACCATGCTGGGTTGTTCAGTCGCATCTTCTGGAATTGGCGCTTCCTCTACTGGGAGGTGCACGACACGAAGCTTTTGCTGGTAGATCTTAGTAGCATCATCCGTCCCCCATCCAGTCCACTGATGGTCGTCGGTCGTCAACCAACAAGGTAAAATGTAATTGGTATTAAGAAATATGATTCTCGGTGCGGAATTATTTAGGGCTCACCAGATCTCCAAATGGGACTGATTCTCGTTCCGGTGTTATCAAAGTCGACTGTATTAGGAACTTGTCTTTGCACTTTGCATTTAATAGAGGTACCTCCTTCAGGCTGACTGCAGGATGAAGCATGCAAGTTGCGTGCAGGTTGCGTGCGGGCGTCGTCGGCAAATTCTCACCATCAGCAACCAAGATTGAAACAGTGGAAAAGAGCAGAGTGGGGGGAAACCGTATGGAGCCAGTACATACCGGAGAGATCGACACTTTGGCCAGATTCAACACGGCCAGAGTTCGGAAGGACGAAATACGACTACGTTAACACGTGAAAGCGCTTGGCGCCGCCACACACAGAAAGCTGACACTCATGTTGAACGGACCTTTGGCGCAGTGTTCTTGACCTTGAAAGCTATCGGTAGCTCATTCGGATTCGTGATTGTAAGGGTTCTAGTTATCGTTTGGGTGAGGGACCCTTGATGACCCAAGACTGGGGAATGGGGAATAGGAAATGTGAGCGTCTGGACGGCGCAACGGTAGTATCCCATGCGATAGACTCACTGGTGAAGCCGAGCTGGCTCGACGGGTTGAGGTGTGTGGACATGGAGGATGGTCCGGCTATATATATTGGCCCTTGCAAATTCAAATTACGGCTGTCAAACGAAGGAGCTGGTGTAAATCCGCTGCATAAGAGATCTGGGGGTGCAGACGGATTTCATAGGACATTACAGCAAGGTGCAAACACGGCACAGATGAATGACTAAATGGGTCATGTGACCATATCTATTTGCTCAATCATCATTTATTTGTTGCCATTTTTGGATGGCCACTCATCCAAATCGGGCGCACCGATTTTTTTGCACCTTGCTGTAAATGCGCGTAGGCGGAAACTATGAGATGCAAGGCATTGGAACCTTCTGTTGAAATTGACAGCCCAACGCTACAGGCGGTCAGGGGTAAATCCACTCGGCTGGAAAACCCGGACCGTACAATCGCGTTTTGGGGGAAAGGCGTCGCGACGCCATAGTAACTTAATTAAGGTTACGAGTGGCGTTGGGGGCAATGCGCCCTTGTTCCTTGGTTCGAGTTCAGCCTCACTTTTCTCTCCTGCTTTGGTGGACGATGCAAGCGGCGTCTGACTATGTATCTAAGGACTCGGCCTGTAGATGCGGATACCACACTAATACATGGTATCCGACATCTCAGTGGGGCATATTAACCCTTCGGTCTCCCCTCTTGCATTGCTAGGAGTAAGCCTGAGAAGACGACGTTAGCTACAGCTGACGGTTTCTCATTTTTAATGAGCAGCATGATGCGATCCTGAGCTCGCACTTTTGACAGCGCTGGGATAGATGGTAGAGTGGTGATGTGCGCTTTGTGCACTTCTTTACATACTACCCATTTTGAATAATGTACAACAGTTGTATTTACATATGTATGGTGCGGAAAGGGTTCTTTACTCTTCTCCTCACTAACTGCTGAATGCTGGCTCCGTACAGTCTACGATTCTGCCAGATCGAGGATTGAACAGCCAACCAGGTCGGCACCTAAACTGACCTTACAGTATAGTTGGCCGTGAGCAAAGACACTGTTCTAGCCATCGATGACAACTGTTATAGCTGAGCATGATATCAAAGTATCATTAGGTGTCGTACTCACACACTGTGCTTACAAGCATTTCGGGTGAAAAGGACAACGGCGATTGCGTTCCTTGAGTAATGCCCCCCTTACTGAATCCCTGGAAGCCTTCGTCATTACTGCGGAACTGCCTGCACAGGTTGCAGATAAAGGGAATATTGCGAGCGACATATCCTTAACGATCGTCGATAAAGGGTTCTTTTACAAACCTCATAAACCTGTAGCAATGATAGAAGCTGATTCGGGATCGCGTCGAGATTTGGAATAGGAATAGGACCGGGATTGACGGCAGAGGCTACAGTTTGGAAGACCAACTTGAAGTAAATCATCATTGTCCTTCGATCGCCATCTGATATGTAGTGCGTTTGCGCGCTCCAGTAAGGGAGCCACGTTGAGGCCTTGGCGTTTCAGGACTGTGCGGATGCCACCGTTCAGGAACCGTGTTAGGTTTGGGCGTTGCTCGAGCGCTCAGTCAATATCCCGTTCAGGGGCAAGGAGTGGTGGGTTGGGCGATTTGGTCGCTGGTGTACGGCCCAACTGTTGAAGAACCCAGCGAAACGAGCGTGCAGGGACGATCTCTGCGAGTGCACCAGGGGCTCTGGACCGGATCCCGTGAGCCATCTGACCCGATCGTGGTGGACGTCGCCGCTGTTATGGAATGCCTCAGGACGAACGATCTGCATGAGGAAAACCAAGGTTAAGTTGGGAGTCACTGAAAAATCCAGAAACGTGTGGAGGGCGTTGAGCGGATTCAGACATCCCTCAGCGTGGACAGCACGGGTATCGAGATCGGACTTTCGAGCGTGTTAAGAGGCAGCATTCTAGCGACTCACGCAGCCGGCCTGGCTGACTCTGTCCGATTCAAGCTGTAGAATCGAGTGTTGCACAAGACACTGTAGGGCCACTGATCAGATCCGGTCAGATCGTGATTCTGACCAGGTCAAAATGGTCTGAAGCACGGAGGTAGGCGCTTAAGCCAGTTATGCATCATCGGGTTTGGCGACACAATGACTTCGTATGAACGATATCCTGAGTACACAAGAGGATCTTTGGAAAGAAACAGTGAGTGAAATTCACCTTAGTTCCGTTGCACAATGTGCATGAACCGAGGTGGGGTGTAAACGAAAAATTCTTCATAAGCGATGCGCGCACGACCAATTGAGCATGCATGATAGTCAGGAAGGTCGATAGCTCGATGTTGGGCCAGTAACAACTAATGCAGAACGCACCTGCTCCCGATTTAAAGGGTCCCTAACCAGCACGATTGCAAGCGGGCCGTGAACTCTGCAGCAGTGCAGAGGTGCAAGTAAACTTTTCTTCCAAATTTTGGATGATGCTGACACACGCCATCGACGCAATGTATAGATCGTACTTGATCACAAGAAGAAGAACAGCTAAACGTATCTGCACCAGTATGGTACAAGTATGGTCTATCCTTACCGTAGCCATCAAAGCCTAATATAAATATGGACTAAGATTCCCACACTAGAGTGCGTGCCTTCGCACGCGCTGACCTGCACTGCTTTTCAACACCCTAGTCAGTTGTACAGAAAAAAGTGAACCATGATTAAATCATTATTCCACACAAAAAGAGTGCATAGATGTTCTATGCTCAGGAGAGATCCCGAATCATGGCATCGGGCTATGTCAAGTGTGTGGAGACAATAGCGGAAGTGTTCCGGATAATAGGAAACAAATAGGAAAATGGGGAGCAGAAAGAGGACATCAGGACAGCGACTTGGGGGGGGACAAGTGTACAAATGAGGATAAGACAAGCGCACTGAAAATTGGTCAATAGTATCGACTAATAAATCTCCTTCCCTTGCCCAAAGCGCCCATGCGGCAGGGCAAGCGGGGGTGCAGCAGCAGTGGGGGGGTTGGACCAAGAGCTGCGCAGTTGGGCATGTGTCTGCTGCATCCCTTCAAGAATGGGCCGCATCGCAGGCTGACATGCCAATTCATGAGTACGACACAGTATTTTAGCAGATGCAGGCTGTGGCTGTGTCATCGGACGCAGCCTAGCACGACGAGTAAGGCAGGTAGGGGTGCAGATACAAGTAAGGGGAATTTTGGCCAGGTAAGCGCTGGGCGCGCATTCAGGTGTGCTTGGACTAAGCGCTGACATTGCGAAGGGCAGAGTTCTTCATATTAACTCCTGAAGTAGTTGGGCATTCACCCCTAAACTCGGTACGTGGATAGATCTAATTCTCCTCTACCAAAAGAGCCCAAAATCAAGCCTCAGAGATTCGTAGGTGACGCTCACATTGGGTTTTGCCAATCTTCAGCGTGACTCACTTGATTTGTCTACCAATTGTACGTTATAAATATAAAAGTCACAAGGTCATGAAACCTAAATGGAAAATGAACACGTCAGCACAAGTGGCAGAAATGGCGTAATTTCACCCGGACGGCTGTGCAGGTAATACAATGCGGAATACAACACGTAAGCAAAAGTGGCACGTTTTACATAATTATGGGGGAGGCAGAGTGACCTGCAGTGCAGGTAATACATATCTGAATGCGTGACGTCGGACGCGAACGCGAACGCTTTTTCATTCCTTCCTAGCCATCTATACTTAACTGATAGAGGGTAAAAGCGCGTTAGTGTCATCTAGCTGGTGCTGTGATTGTTTTTGTTATGCAGCGCCGTCTTTACCTTCAAAAGTCTGTTCCTAAGACCGTCACGACTGATGAAGCTGGTGTAAATATTGTGAGCTCGGTTATCAAGCCACGTCGAGTGACTGCTCTTCCTTATGAAGCGTGTACGTGTGCTACTGTAGTAGTACGAGGAAGTGATTTCAAGGGGATTCAGGCTGGTAGATGTAAGCACGGCTCGGGCCCGGGGGTTAAGCGTAGAAGTAAGGTACCACCGAGGTTGCCTGTGCCTTCTCTTGGATATTTTGTTATTCGGTCATTAGTGGGGAGTGGGTACCATGTGGAACTCCCTGAAGAGATCGAGGGGTTCATGTTCACAAGGGCGTCTGGCGGTACCACTTCAGTGAAGGCGTCGGACTCAGAGGATGTCGACAAAGTGGCAGGCTCACACTCGAATTTGGAATCGGAATCGGAATCGAAATCGTTTCAAAGTGTCGGTGGTTCTCAATCCCAGATAGGTCAGACACCTGATCTACTAGAAAGTCTTTACTATCCTACGTATAATCCTTCGGATGTTACTTGGTCTCCTACGAGTAAAGGCTCCCATCCGGATTTGTGGTTCCATGTTATATCTCTCCTTCACCCAAGCATGCTTCCGAAGCAGTTTGGCATGATTCAAATCCCCTTGGAAGATCCGCACGTACTCAAATTCCAAACGATCGTCCCTACACCTCGATTCTCCTTACTGACGATCGCCAATTTGTCTCATTCGACCCGCGTGGATGATGAGAGTATCGTGGTATTGAAGGATTTGCATAATCTGACGTCCCTGGATATTTCTGGGACTAAAGTTTCGTATAGGGGGATTGATGTATTGTCAAGGAGTTTAGGTGTGGTGAAGGATGAGGATGAAGGGCCCGTGGCGGGGAAAGGAGAGGGGAAGAAGAAGCTTGTGGGACTTTGGAGACTTCGGATGTTGTACCTGTTGGGATGTTGGGGTATTGACAATAGAGTCTGCAGAGCATTAGGGAAATGGCCACTGCTGTTTTTGGTTGGTACGTTACCTCTTAATTTCACCTCCCTCTTTTTGTTCAAGTGGCCAGATAGTCCGCGTCGGCCACCGAGTTTTCTTCTGTTCACTGACCAATCATCTCCTTTCACTTGTTTATTTTATTTAGACCTCCGTCGTACTCGTTGCGTTTCGCCAAGGATTCCAGGTTGGGATTCTCAGGATCGATTAGAGGTAACGGATAATCTGCTCCCGCCACAACGAGCTACCAATATCCTAAAATTCCTGCATCCTTCGTATCCTGATCTTTTCCCCACTCCCCTCGATAACACGTCTTCCCGCCTGCCATACTTTCTCTACATCGACCAGGAGCTATACCCTGACACTAATACAAGGGACAGGGACGAACTCCCGATGCCTATCAGGCCTTACAGGAGTCTACTGGCACCCATCCGTCCCTGGGTTCATCACCCCGATGGGCTAAATTCGTCGTGTCGCTTCAGCGATGATTCATTAGATGAAGAGTCATACCGTTGGGACGATGACATTGACGAAGATCATCTTGAAGAGTCCCTGGTACCTGCCCGTCTCTGGCCTCATCACCCCCATGGTCTAAGTTCGCCATATCACCGAAGTGACGATTCCTTCTCAAATGAAGAGCCGTACCGTTCGGACGATGACATCGACGAAGATCGTCCTGAAGAGTCTCTGGTACCTGCCCATCCCTGGCCTCATCATCCTGATGGGCTAAACCACAACGGTGGTGATTCCTCAGATGAAGAGTCATCCCGTCCCGACGATGACATCGAAGATCATCCTGAAGAGCCCCTGAGGCCTCTTTACCCCGATGAGCCGTATCACTTCGGTAATGATTCCTTCTCAGATGAAGGGTCATACCGTTCGGACGATGACATCGGCGAAGATCGTCCTGAAGGGCCCCTGAGGCCTCTTTACCCCGATGGGCCGTATCACTTCGGTAATGATTCCTTCTCAGATGAAGGGTCATACCGTTCGGACGATGACATCGACGAAAATCATCCTGAAGAGCCCCTAGTGCCCCTTTACCCCGATGGGCCGTATCACCCCGGTGATGGTTACTTCTCAGATGAAGGGTCATACCGTTCGGACGGACGTCCCCATAGAACAAGAGGATCCGGTGACTTCCCAGATTCAGGCATCAGTGATGGTGGCGGTGGTGACAGCCGCAATCGCTCTCCACCCACACGCGGTTGGTATTCCGGAGCGAAACGTACCCTCAATAGAGAACGGTACCAATACGCAGTCGACTTTGCGATGAAGGACGACGATGCAAGAAAATATCTAGTACTTGCAAGGAAGCCACCACCGTACATGATGTCCCTCCTTGCTGTGGTGCAGCAATCAATTGCTCATGAGGAGCTTCGTAAATCACATGAGCAGAATATTCGGATGCTCAATGGGGACGAAAACATCCCTGCTGACTTTAAGCATGGTGGTAGCCGGGCGATCAAGACCATAGCTCGTGGTCGCCTATTCAAAAATTATTCACGCCAGAGTCGTGAGGACGTCCCCGAAGATGGTTGCCGAATAGATCCATTCCCAACATCGGCAAAGCCCCCTTCTTTCTGCTCCAAAGTGAATTCTAGCATCTCTGCTCTGAATCATCCCTCATCGCAGATTACACCTGAGCAAGCTAAGTCCTCAGCCAGTGTACCCATTCCACGACAGACACCTTTCGGCCGGCCGGCACTGAAGTTTTCTCTCACTGGTACTGCTTCTCAGAGGCCGACAACACACGAACGAGGGAGGACGCATCCAGTGAAGGGACAAAACTGGAGGAACTTTGGGAAAGACTCAACATCGTTCACCGTCCCTGAGCCATCAACAACTGTCCCACAGAAAAGGACAGCAACGCAGGACGATCTTCAGGGCGACCGAACAAGTGGAAAACGACCCTCTAGACCAAGCAAAACCACAAAAAGTAAGCAAGCGAAGCCTGCAGGGCAGTCGGACTTGCGGAGTTTCTTCACGGGGAGATGAATGCCATAACTTGTCTTCCATATTGTGATCTAATTAGTGAGACGCTATGGGCTGGGACGATGCAGCAATGATCCTTCATTGGGATAAAAAGACTCAAACGAACGAAGAAATAATAATAATAATCAAGTCCATTCATGACGATTATCCTTTTGCAAGTGTTTTCAGCAGGCCGTTTTCTGGGAACGGCAAATTCAACACTTGGCTGGAAGACGGCTCGAAACACTGTAAGTGTGGGATGATAGTGAGTACCTTGGGGTGTGTGGAGGACCCGAGCTTATGGTGGTTTCTGAAGTCGTGTTGTCATCGGTCGAACTTATTGTTGAACAGTAGGAGCAAGAGGACGAGCAGCAAGTTGAAGTTGGAAAAGACTGGGGAGAGGAGCTGAGGTGATTCCTGCAGGTGAAGAAACACCCCTGACGGGTTTGGATTGCAAGCACGCGGCGAAGGAGTTGAATCATCCCCCCTTAATGCGGGCCCGGACGCAACTAGATTCGAACCCAGCCCTGGATTCGCCACAACAAATCCACGCGGCTTGTAATTGGCTCAACTTGGGGGGGATTTGTTTGGAGGGGCCGATTCTGCATAGTACTTTGATTGATAGCACTTCTTCCCTGTGTCTATAAGTTTCACTTAAGCGCCGAGGGCGCCACAAGCTTCGCCATTGAGTTTGAGGGGAACCTGCTTCAAAATACAGGGGGAGTCGTCTCTGTGAGCCCTCGCTTTCTGGCCCTTGTGCTTCTCCTTCATGAAATATATAGCCGCTGGGACGAAACGCCCGAGATGTCACACGATGTCGCACTGGAGCTGTGCAGCTTGCAGTTAAGGGCATAGTACAGCCTCATGGTGATCTTCCCCATTAAACATACATGCATCGAAAGATTGATGATACTAGGCCACATCCGAAAAGCAGCCAAGTGATTGTTTGGCTGTGGAGCGCTCCACAGCATCAAATTTCTCAAAGACGAGGCCAAGCCACCAATTCCTTGAACTGCATCGTAAATGGGGCCGTTGAGAGAGGGGGATAATGAAAACGCAGTAATCAGGGTCATGGTTTGGGCAATGCCACCAAATAGACAATCGGACCGCGACTGTTACCTGCCCTGAGGAAACAAGATAGCCCCCTCTTTACAATTGTGTGCAAGATTGAAGTCCTGTCAGTGCTAACCATAGCAGTCAGCAGCGTCAGCCGGTTCTCTCTTTCCCGTTGCTCGACACCGGGCCGCGATACGCTCGGTAAGACCGATCCTAGTGCCTTCCAGGCATGTCTTGATTGAGTCACAGTGGGCAACATCAGGATATAGGAGTCTACCAAGAATTGAATCATTTTCCATGGCCGACAATTTGTTGAGTTTGTCCTGAGCTGCTCGGCCAAGAACAAGAAAGGATACAATGAGGAAACGATGCCAATGGGTTATCGAGATCTGTCTTCAGCTTACTTGGTCCCTCAAATGGGACTCCATTTATGAGAGCCGATCGTTTTTCGATTTACACGAGTCTCCGATTGATTTCGGAGTTAATCTTTGCAGTGTGCGAGGACTTCATGTGCCAACGATATCGAGAATGAGCATAACTTGCTCATGGCTTTCCCTCTTTCGTTGACGCATCATAGGGCTTAATGGTGGCAACTACGTCGGTCACGGCACCACCATATTTGCCCAAATCGGCCTATTCTCCCTGAACTTCTACGTGACACAATCCAGCGTGAGCATTGGTCCTCTAATTCATTGCCAACTCCAGCCCTTTTGAAGATGGAGAGTGCACCGCCCGCCGCACCTCCTAGTGGAGAACGCAAACTAGTTGTAGCATTGAGAACTGAAATCGCTGTATCACCTTCGGCTGCCGAGCGATAGACCTTTCTCCTAGAAAGCTTCCCCGCAACAGCATGGCTGGCAACGGACAAAACAACGGAAAGAGCTCAGGCATGCAACACAAGCCCCGGAGACGGGTATCGTTTGGTGAGGGCGGAACATCATAGAGACGTCTGACCCAATATCTTATCTACTGCATGAGAACAAGGATCAGACACATGGAACCGCGGGCTAAATACCTGGATTGGAAATATGAACTGGAAAAGACTCGAGGAACCCGCGCCATATTGAGAAATGGATTCTGGTGGTCGCTCTACACCGTGACAACCCAAAAACTTCAACACTGTCACAGAGGAGGATAGAAATTACCGACGTATAAGCTATGAGGCATGGTTAAAGTGAAATGCAGACTCACAAACGGACAAAGAAATAAGCATCAAGACCATTCGCGACGATTATCGTTTTGTCAGGTGCATTCGGTATTGTTTTCCACCATGAAAACACACCATCCGGAAGAGGATCAGGCCGTTTTCCGAAAACTGCAAGTTCAACTCTTGGTTGAAGGACGCGTTGGAATCGTTTACGTTTGTAGAAGAGGAGTCACCCTCCTGTGAACGCTGCTACCAAGTGCAGAGGCGAATTGGACACGAAAGTTGAGATGATAGTACGTGAGGAGTAAGTTGGGCGTGAAGGAGCTTACGATTAGTTTTTGGAGTCGTATTGTCGTCTGTCGAACTCATTGTTGAGCAGTAGGAGCAGGACGAGTAGTTAGAGACTGGGGAGAGTACAGGCGAGGTGATCCTTGCAGCGAAGAAGAGAACCAATGCAGAAACCAGTTCTGGGTCGTTGCAAGTACGCGACGAGCGAGTAGAACCAACCCCATGCATGGATGCCGATTGAATGGCCCACGAACTGTTGGAGGAAGGGATCAAGTGATCTCCCAAACCATCAGGGAAGGGGTACCCCCCCCCTGGCATAACGGGCGAGTAGTGTATGGATGCACGCTAGAAGTCCTGGGTTCGATACCAGGCTTGTCCATTTTATGTCATTTGTCCAGTCACGCTGGTTTACGTCATAAGAATTTGGAGCTCTGGATAAGTCCAGTAGTCGCACCGGATACAAATTTCCTCACGAACAACCCCACCGCGCGGTCGCAAACCTCCCTATGCCTGAGCGCTTCTTTCCCCTCCCAACAATATGTAATAGCGCTAAACTGAAGGGGCGATTTCCAACTATCGCTGGTACAGAATCTATTTTTCATCAACATGCGGCATCTCGCGATCAGCCCGGTAGTACAGCCATGTCTTACTCCGGCGGCAACCCATGTCACGCCAAAATGCTCATTCACTTGTGGCTATGCAAAGGCAATATCAAATTTTCTTTTTCGGGTAATTGGTATGTTCCGAAACGAAAAATAGCCACCTCGTCCAAATTGTGTGTTTTTCTAGCTCGCATTCCATGACCAAGGTCGGAGGGAGCCAAAGCAACCTCATCAGGCTCAGCCATTTTCCCGAAATTAGCACTGCCTCCCTTTTGGGGCCCGGCTGGCCGGTTGGGTGTCACGCATCAAACTGAGTCGCCGGTTGAAAATTTTGTGTCACGCTCAGGACCCAGCCGGTAGTTGGTCATGTGGGTACTGTACAGTAAACGCGGCGTTCCAAATATGGCAACCCCCCATTTCTGGACTGCGAGTGAACCGCTGAAGCAAGAAAAACTGTAACTAAACGCAGGCGCTTAGTCATGTCCTCCACATTATCCTCCACATACGTCCTGGATATCTCCAGTGACTCGCATTTCTAACACTTAGGGTGTTCGTGCGGCTTGTGATTCGAGCTATAGGCGGAACCGTCTCTGGCCACCTGTGCTTCTCCTTCAATACATAGCCGCTGGGACGAAATGTCACTTGCCTTCTTGTAACGAGGCTGGAGATTTGCAGCTTACAGTTAAGGACAGGCACTCAGCTGGCGGTCCTATGTGCGCGATCCCTGTTCTCATGCAGGATCGTTGCGATCACTCATCTTACGTAATCAATCCGTGTTGTGCGCTTGTCCATGCTGGACATTGGATCGCGCCTAAAGTTCTCTTTGTCCGTTGTCAACCATGTCATTACGACTCACGAGGAAAGGGCGAAGCTCTAAAGGGAAAGGTCCATGATCTCGATCCTGGCAGTCGGGGGAAACACAACGACTTCCAATTCTCACAGTTGTCAATGCTACAGCCGGTTTGCGTGGGTTTTGGGGAAGTCCTATGGCGCGTCAATGGAAGAGGCAATGCCATGTGCGGAGCGCCTCAAACAAGTTGTGTTTCATTCTCGATGGTCTTCGATATGAAATCCTGGCGCGCTACAGAAGACTAAGTTCGAGATCGATTGGCCCCACTTGAGAGACCAAGGAGGCGGAATACAGTTCTCAATAATGCGTTGGCATCGTTTCAGGAAATTTCCCTTGTGGTGTGCTTCCGTAGGTATTCTGGTTCTTAGCCGGGGCACCTCACGGGCACACGGACATGCCTTAGAGGGTTGGTCTCAATGAGTGTGTCGTGGTCTGGTGTCGCAATACCGGGGATAGCGAGAACCAGCTACTGCTATGGGTGGCACCGGCAGAACTTCAATCGCGCAGGCCAACAGTCATGGTTCGATTGTCTATTTGCTGGCATTGCCCAAGCCCCAGCGAACCGCGACCCTGACTATTGCATTTTCATCACCCCCGCTTTTTGGAAAACTTTACTCTCTCAATAGCCCCGTTCACGATGAATTGGTGATTTGGCCTCGTCTTTGAGGGATGCTGCGGAGCGCTTCACAGCCATAAAATCATTTGGCTGCTTTTCTAGTTTTCCAGAAGTAGGTGCGACTCGTTTTCTACTGGTATCATCGATATCTCATGCTCGATGCATTTATGTTTGATGGGAAAGATAGGGGTCCCGCCATGGGGCTGTACTGTGTCCTTAACTGCAAACTGCAAATCTCCAGCGTTACATGAAGGCAAGTGACATCGTGTGACATCTCCATCCCAGCGGCTATTGAGGGAGAAGCACAGGTAGTCAGAAAGACGATTCCGCCTATAACGTAGATTGCAAGCCGCACCAACATCTTATGGAAAATCCAACGGGAAGTACCATTCGTTGTCAAACAATGAAGGGGGAGTGGTTGTATCCGTATGCCTGGTAGCAACCTGGGTTAGAATTCGTTGTTTCCTCACTTCATGTTTGTGTCTTTCCTGGCGAGGACTGATCAATCTGTCAGGTTGCCACAGTATTGTTACGAAGTCATTTGGAGCCCTGCCTATAGTCACAGAAGAAGATCAGGCACGACATGAACGCTACCGCGAGATGCCGTCATGAAAAACAGATTATCAATTGATCTTCCCACTTTCTGATCGGTTGATCAGGGGCCTCTTTCATTAGCCTAGCCTGTGAAGATTGGCCAATTCAATCTGGTTGTTTCCTACTAGGCCCTTAAGGTTTGGCCCTATTATTATTAGGAGGGGAAAGAAGCGCTCAGGCCATTCAATCAGCATTATGGGATGATTTCCCTCATTTGCTGCGCACTTGCAACAACCCAAAACCGGTTTCTGTGTTGGTTCTCTTCTTTGCTTGCAGGGATCACCTCGCCTGTACTCCCCCCGTCTTATAAGAATCTTAAATCCGACCTACTAGACCTGCTGCTTAACGATGAGTTCGACAGACGATAATACGACTCCACAAACCACCGTAAGCTCCTTCCTCACGCCCCAGCTTACTCTCATTTCAATTCACAGGGTCAATTTACCTCTGCACTTGTCATCGGCCTCCTGGCAGTAGCAGCGTTCACAGGAGGATGGCGCCTCTTCTACAAACGTAAACGATTTCGACGCGTCTTTCAACCAAGAGTTGAACTTGCAGTTCTCGGAAAACAGCCCCATCCTCTTCCGGACGGTGTATTTTCATGGTGGAAAACAATACTGGAAACACCTGACGAAATGATAATCGTCACGAATGGACTTGATGCTTATTTCTTTGTCCGTTTGTGAGTCTGCGTCTCACTTCTTTCCTGTTTAACTAGCTTATATGTCCTCTATCCTCCTCTTCTGTGACAGTATTAAGGTTTTTGGACTGTATCTTCTCGGTCCTTACGCCATCTTGACATGTGCTGTGCTTGTCCCCGTCGCTGTTACCTCCCATCGTGGCGTGGAAGGCGTTGACCTCCTCACATTCGGAAATATCAGCCCTGACCAATTCATTCGTCATACCCCATACTATATCATTGCGATCGTTCTCATTTGTGCGTCATTGTTTTTATTTCTTTCAATCATCGACTTAACGCTGAAGGCTGTTTTTGTTTTTTTAGTCTGGACCCTCTATCTCATCTCTACCGAGTTTGTTCATCTGGATGAAGAACGTCAAAAATGGTTAACATCCACCTCGCGTGCATCCCTCGCACGCACACGCACAGTGATGGTGATGAATTTGTCTCCCCAATATCTCTCTGAAGAGGCAATAGCACAACTCGTTACGAAACTTACCACCAGCCATTCCAACAATGGCGCTAGTGCTGCGGGGGCAAGCGCGGACACAGCAGGCGTGGGAGGTGCAGCTGGGGGTGCAGTATCAACCGTTCAAGCGATTTGGTTTTCGCGGACGAACATGAAGCAAATCGAACAGGTTTACGATCAACGCAATGCCGAGTGTGAACTACTTGAAGGCGCTGAGGCGTCCTTGCTGGCTCTTGCAGCGAAGAATGAACGGAAGGGGAAAAGTCCTCGTGTGAAGGGAAGAGTTGTGGCTTATGAGCCTGAAGAAGGATTGGAAGGCGGTGGAAGGACGGCTAGTGATGATTTTATTGATGAATATGTTAAGCCTAAGGATAGGCCAAAGTGGAGAGGGGGGTTTTGGGGACTATTTGGGGAGAAGAGGACTTTGAGGAGCGCGCTCAGACACATTAAGGAGAAGAACGAGAAGCTGGAACGATTGAGGGTGGAGGCGATGCTGCAGAAAGCCGATGGTGCTGGCGAGGGTAAGGAAAGTGGCGGCGAAGGAGATAAGGGAAAGGGAGGTCAAGTGAAGATTGGGAACACGGCATGGATTAGGTTTTCGAGTCAGCATGAGGCACATCTGTTCGCGAGGTTGATTAGGGCCGAAGGCAGGGGTCTGGGCATGAGGCTGGTTGATTCAAGGATTGAAGTTGTGCCTGAGGTGAGCTATTTGTGGCTGGCCTTTTTCTTTTCTTTTGTATTGGCTAGAAAGCAACGCTTTATTTTTGGGCCGGTTTTTTTTCTAGGACATTGTGTGGAACAATACGTCGATAAATGCGTATGACCGAAAGATGAGGAATATTGTTAGTTGGTTGTTGACCATCGTGTTGGTCGTTTGTGCGTATTGGATCTTCTTCGTTCTTTTCATGGAGCTAAACTATGCATTTCTTTTTGCGCACAGTCTGGCCCATACCCTTCTTCCTCGCTGGTTTTATTTCCAATATTGATGCGCTCTGCTCTACGGTTGGGTGGCTAAGTTGGGTTTGCAAAATGCCGGGCTGTACGTTCTGCTCCTTTGATGCCGGAGGCCCTTTCAATAGCTTATTTCTCTGGACGATGTAGCTGTAATTGGGATTTTAAAGGCAGTGATACCCCTCGTTTTGGTTCACGTGTGGCCTTTCATTTTCGACTTCACGATACGAGGACTGGTGAAGTTGCAAGGTGTTCCTCAGTACAGGTTTGTCCCTCTCCTCACCAAACAACACAGGCTCACTTTGATAATTTTTTTTCATAGCGAGATTCAACTGAGGTTATTCCAACGTTACTGGGTGTTCCTATTGTTCAACGCTTTATTGGTCTGTTCACTCGCGTCGGGATTGGTCCCCGCGTTAGCGAATGTTGGGGAGACAGCTAAACAATTGCCGACGTCGCTTGCGGTGAACCTGCCTGCTGGTTCTATATTGTTCCTGACTTTGTGAGTCTCTAGTCCTCGTTTTTCTTTCAACGATATACTTTCTCTGATACGATATTGGCAATGATTAGTCTTGCTGGGTCGATATGGACTGCTGCAGCTGGGGGCTATTCACGGGTCGTCCCGACACTCCAGTACTGGTTCCTCCGTCCCATCTTGCGTGGTTTCTCCCGTCCTATCTTGCGTGGTAAGATTCCAAGGAAGTATTGGCTTAGTGAGACGCAGATGGATACGTTTGAGTGGAGTACTATATGGCCTGCAATAAGTTTGTTTGTTTGCTGGTGTGTGGCTTATTCGACTGTTCAGCCTCTCATTATCGTTGTGGGCATGGTGGGATTTGCGCTGTGAGCATTTTTCTTGTTCTGTGACTTGGACGTTGCGTTCTGACCCTTTTTGGCTGGTGCTCGTTCAAGGCTGTATGTCGCTTGCAAGTACTTGCTCATTTGGTGTGCCGACCAACCCGATTCGGGGGAGACAGGCGGATTGTTCTACTTGAAGGCGCTTAAGACTGTATTTATAACATTGTATGTTGAGGAGTTTTTTTTGGCGGTTTTGTTCTCCTTGTCGTACTCGCAGCGGACGCAGACAGATAAGACAGATCTTGCGGGTTGCATTCTAATGGTAAGCTGCGCCAACTCCTTGTTGCGGTGCTGAATTCCCACTCCGAAACATTTTCTTGATTGCTTGTATAGGCGGTCGCTTTTTTTATTACGATTGCTGCTCAATATTGGCTCTCCCGCCGTTTCCCCAGAAATCGCATTCTTTATACTCGCTCGTCGTACCTACAAAGTCAAACGCCCTCCACAACAAACCCCGTATCCAAACCGCTGACCGACCAAGCTGAAATCGCCGTTGTCCCTACCACATCTACCCTCGCCCATATCGTGAACCAAGAAAATGAGTTCGCCGGGGCCCATTACGGAAACACGTCTGAGCTCCATGAGCGTGCGTTCGATCATCCTGCGCTATGGAAGAAGCCACCGATCATTTGGATTGCGGATGACGAGTTGGGGATTGGAAGGCTTGAGGTGGAGAGGATCAAGAGTGAAGGAGTGGATGCAAGCTGTGAGTTTGCAAAGTTGGATAAGAAAGGGAAGCTGTCAGTGGAGAGAGGACCGCCGGACGGGACCTGGTATGGAGGCGTAACGACGTCAGAGCGAACGTAGCGATTGATGTGGTGGCGTTGGACCTGTATAGGTTATCTCTTTGGTCCCGGTGCGCATCGCGTTGCGTCATTTGTTTGTGTGGGTTCATTTCTTATCGCCTGGTCATACACTTTCACAATCCCCCCTGCTGCGAGTCCCTGTGTCATAGTTTTTTTTATGCACGGAATATGATACCACTTCTGGAGTTACCTAGCTTTTTGCTTTATCCTTTTGTTCTTCACTTTTTTCTCTCTCCTTTTTGTTCAAGGTTCTTACCTCCGTTTCTATATTATATTTGCGCATATGGGGAAACCCCTGCCGCCTGCATAAGCACATGGTTCCATTAGGGGAAGTAATTCCATTGTAATGTGATGCGAGCATTCAGATAATGTACACACCAACTGTGAGGTTCAAGGTCACGGAACTGGGCGCGAGCGATCTGGAATTCTGCTACAAGTTCTATCATTTCCTCCCTCTTGGACTCTGGAAGACCTTGAATGAGCAGCGCATATACTTGGATGAATGATTCCTTCGCCAAGGGTTCCTGGTATACTATTACTTTCGGCTCCTGAGTGGGTATGCCAAAGAGCTCTGCCAAAGGATTTTCAACTGGGGGCTCAGCCGGGGGATCATCAGCGTTCGCTTGCCGAAGGCGCTCTATGACGCAGTGGTGGCGAAGTACAGCAGCCGATTTCCTGAATCCCTTGTGAAGGCGAACCTCCCTGAGAAGGTTCTTCGTTTCTTCGAACACCTTGGAAGTAAAACAGGTGGCTGGGTGCCCGAACTATGATAACAAAGGATGGGGACTGATGGTGTGGATTTGACCATCACCACCCTTCTCCATGCAAGTACATCAAAACCTAGTAGCTCCAGAGCCATGAATGGCAGATTTCCAGTGTTGACCTTTCCACTTGATTTCTCACTCTGTCCGTCCAATCGAGCGAGGTCGAAGTCGATAACAACCCCTCGCCTCGTGTCTGGTTTGGACATCAAGCTGCCCACGTTGATGTTCCCGTGCTGGATCCCATTGTCCCACAGCACCCAGTGACCTGCCACTGGATGAGTGCTGAGGGATAGCGCAAAGATTACAAAGGCACCTTACAGAGAAAGCAGTCCAAATTAACATGTCTTCCTCATTCAGATACTTGAGATAATTCAAACGTTCGGGTATGACGACCCGAAGCAATCGTGCACCGGTCATTGCCAGACCCAGAAATTCTCGGATGAGCCTCGTCGAACATGTTACGTGCGGAGGATCTATGTCGCCGAGCATCGTGGAGATGTGATCCTTCACCAGTTCGTTGATTTTACCGATTTCCGTTGCCTTCTTAATAATATCCAGCTCACTGGACCGCATTTCCTCCGGCCAGGATAACTTGGCGGCCGCTCTGTCTTCTCGAATACCATCGGGAGTATTTAGATCCTGGCCATTGACCTTCTCGCCTCTAAACACGCTTGTCGAACGGCCAGCCAGATTGAACCTACTGTAGATGACATGATTGTAGGGGAGATGAATGTATTGTCCGAGAGGGTGACTTTGAGGAAGTGTGAACCATCGCGAGCCCGTTCTTGACGAACGCCCGAGCCCTCGAACTCGGTGAAGAAACCCCAGCACGCCAGATCGAATGATAAGCAGGACCAGGAGGAAGTGCGGCGGATTGTCGATGATGTCGAAGCCCCCCCGTTGGAACAACGTTCTGCCTGTCCGGCCACGTAGTGCTTCCTAAGGCATTAGATTCCAAGTGAGCTGCATTGTATGACAGGTTGGCGAGGGTTGAACTCACAGCGTAGCATGAAATGAATTCGGCCAACTCCGCTACAAATATGAACAATATCGACCGGTGAAAATGCACCCACATCTTTCGAATCCTCGAAATCTGGAAGGTTTGCAGCTTCGATCTCACTGGCAAAGTACGGCCTTAACCCCGGGAATGCCATTCAGCATGTAGGGACATTGCCGATGAGCTTGGGAAATGTAGAGATAGCGGGTTTTTTGCCAAATATCTGGGAGGGTGCAACGATGTGAAGCAAAAGTTGATTATGTGCTTGCGGAAAGAGGTCGGTTGCCAATGCGTTCATAAGGGTGGGGAATGTTGACCCAGGAGGCTTTTTGAATGACGTTCAGCGCATTGAACGAACATCGCAACACATTGAGGAGTCACGGCAGAAGAAGAAGACACCAGAAGAAGCGTGGAAACGGCATGTTGCCCAGGAGAAGTATGAGCAAAGGACGTAGGTGTGTCAACGGAGCTTTGTTTTCAACGATAATCTGTGCGTCACATTTTGTTGCATCCTGTTGGTGTCGATAGTTTGTTACCTTCCTTCACAGTAGATTGGCGCGCGTCCGCAATGGAAGACCGCGCTGTGCTGTAGTTTACTGATCGTAGCCGGATCTTCCGTAATGTTGATTGTGCGGGTAATGATTCGTTGGCGCGTCCACGGCCTCTGGCTTTTGTATAGTATCCACTGCGTGGAAGCCACTCTAATGCCACACACACCTGCGCATCTTTCACTCTGGCGCCGCAGTCAACTTATATAGTACTGTTTTGCGGTTCTCGTGAATCATGCGACGTAATCCGAGGAAGCACAACTACTCGAAACCCGGGGAGCTTTCGGATGATCACAGCCACTTCGCGCCAAGGAAACATGGTATAAATGATGGGTCTGTTCCTTCGCAGTAGGTTGTGCTTGTAGCCTCTGTCTTTGGGCTCTTAGGCGATCTGTGATGATCCAAGCTTCGGCCAACAAGGAGTACGAAACTGATGTAGTGTCGCCTTCAGTCGAGGGTGTGCCTCCTCCCCCCTACCGGTCCCCCTCATTCAGGACCAATGGATCAAGGCCTTCCAGTGACTGTGAGGACTGTAGCTAGCCCGTAAAGTGACTGCTGTCTAAAGTTTCGCCTTCGTCGTAGATGTTTCTGAAGTGGCCACCAACTTTCCTCGCTCGGGGGACAATGGTCTCTATCCGAGCGAAAGTGTCCTAGCCCAAGGTGGTCGAGTCATTGGAAAAGGCTGCTCTAAAAAGGGTGCCGAAGCTGCCGACGCTCCTCGAGCTCCGGAATGTTGGGGCAGAGACGTGAACCTTGCTCCTGGAGGGCCAGGTCGATTCGCGCCAATACTCATCAAGTCCAACTCGCATTGGCTCTCAGAGTCTTTTCCACCTGTTTTCCCAGACGTGATTCTTACGCAACGGGACATATCTTTGGACGATTGGTATACCTTCCTCGAGAATATTCAAACGACTGCAACCCTTCCCCCCGGAAAACATGCACTCTCTCTATGTCTGCCAGTCATCAAATTTACGAGTATTCAAGGCTACCTCATTTCACGCCGCATCGAGAAGTACATGAAAAAGCGGAAGCTGTTCGAGGTGTTGGAGGTTGTCAGAATGTGGAACGAACAATTCTTTTCCCCGAGGGGGGTGAAAGTGACCTTGCGACCCGATTGGATTCGTATGGGAGACGATCTTAATCAAGCATTCGACAGGAAGAAATTGCGTAAGCGTTATAGTCTTACGTCGGTTCCGACAGAGGTGTCGGAGGCGGTCCCAGTCCAATCTCCTTGTGAGATGCCCTCCACTCAAGTGGACCGGTGCGGAGCGCGTCGAACAAAGAATTCTGAAGGGACGAGTGCACGTGCTGATGAGCAGGGCGATCGGGTGGCCCGGGCTTTGGAGAAGAAAGCTCGCTGTCGTTCAAAGCGAAACGAGAGGAAACATACCGCGGGATCGTCCTGGTGTCGGGTTGGTGGAAAGTACGATTTAATTGTGGAACCCTTTTGAGTTTGTTGTGCTCGCTTTTATATAATTAAGCAGTTCAGGGCTTGTTGCCCTCGCATTGTATATTCCGATACGATTGTACATATCTAATAATTGGAGAGATGGATAACAAACCACGGTGCTAGGCTTTCAAGTTGTGGGTTTTAAGCGCGCCAATTGATAAATTGTGCTTCACCCCTAATCTTGATCTTCAACAATCACGTTCCGTCCCAGGACCGACTATAGGCAAGCCCCCCAGAAGAGTCGATTCTAAACTGCGATTTCTTCTCCTTCATTTGTGAAGGTGGCTATGCACGCCTCCCACAGAGCAGAACTCCAACACAATCATCCAATAAGCCAACCGTGCACTTAAACAGCAACTAGGACCATTATGTAACAAAGGTGGCACTTTCGACTTCCAAGCTCTGACAGATCATGGGCTACTCCAGAGCTGGGGCGGCCAAGAAAGGATGGCATCTCGGCAGCCAAAGTCTAGTCAAACTGAAGAAATAGTGAGGCCCGGGAAACTGTCACGTACCCTGTCAGTCTCACGACCGATTCATCAAGTACGGCTTGTCTCCATCCAAGGGTGTGTTATTGTATGTACTTCCTGGAACTGGAGAGACTCTCTTGGCCAAGGCGATCGCTAGTAAGGAGTGAGGCGAACTTCATCGGCATCCACACCCTACGCGCTAACTGTTGCTCAAGGGTTCTGAGTTGCTTTCAAGGTGGTTTGCTGAATCCGAGGCAAATGTGTGGGACGTATTTGACAAGGCTCGTGCCACTGTTCAACATTCATCGATGAGTTAGACGGTACTGCCTAGATTTGTGGTGACAGGTGCGCATTGCGGGTGGCGCTAGAGGTCGTATAGTAAACCAACTTCTCCATGAAATGGATAGCATGAACACCCAGAAGAATGTTTTCATCCTCTACCTGATGGTTCTTCCCGATTTGCTATTCCCCGTGCTGTCCTCCGCAAGTCGCCCGTCGCGTCCGCCTACGAGTCTTTTGGTGCTGATACAACTGAGGTCTGTCAACGTGTAGCGAAGCTTGCAATCCGTGAGAGCATCGAAGCTACCAGACACTGCGTGCGAGAGAAAGCAGCCAGGACAAGTGATGTAGACATGGAATAGGGCCTGGAAGATGATGATCCTGCTGCACAGTCTGGCTTTCATGGTGCCCGCTTTGAGGAGGCCATGAGGTTCGCTCGCCGCTCCGGCGTTACGGATCAGGAGATTCGGTGGTACGAAATGTTTGCTGAGGTAGGCCTCCTACCCCTTCTCTTCCCCTCGGGGCTACATATCGCGGCTTTCGGCATTTGCGACAATCCCCGATGCTTCGCTCAAGTTTCAAGTTCCCTGAGCATAATCCGCCTTCACGGCCATCGGCCAATGCATCCAATTCTCTCGCCACATTTTCGCAAGATGATGTTGACTTGTATGCCCGAGCGATCCCCTTAGTTGGATGCATGTTCGCGGTTTTTGGTGCAGGTTCAGTGTGTGCTGACGACCGGCCCGCTTGTCCTCCTCCCTGTGATCGTTCCCCGCTCCCGGGTGGTTCTCCGATCTTTAGTTTGAAACTTTAGCCGCCAGCATGTGAATGGACCATCAAATGGTTTTGTTGGCAAAAGACTGACAAGCGAAGAAACGGAGGGTGGGGCAGGCGCAACTGCGACCACATCAAGTTTCTGCGGCAATCTGAGACGTCAGCACTGTCCGCCTACCAAGGCAAATCGATGTGTCGGCGTGCTACTTCTACCATATGCTGTTGTGACTGGTTCTTTGCTGTTTGGAATCCATCACCATCTTGTAGTCACTGTGACACGAACTAGTTGCTCAGCTGTGCCATTCTTGAATAGACGGTGCTCCGTGTCAATTCTTTGTTCAAAAGGGTGCGAAAGTTACTTTTTGACCTAATTAAATTCGTGCAGGAGGCGATCTCAAATCAGGTATTTGACGAGGGACTATAGCCATCCGGATGCTGAAATCAATTTTGTTTTTCCACGGCCCCAACTGAAGAATCGAAAGAAACGGTGGAGATGCTGCCTGTTGCGTCCGGGTCTCCTAAAAGTGTACTAACGCTAACGAGAAAGGTGATGAGGGCGGGGCGAAGGGAGCCTATCATCGCTCAAAGCAAAGGGCACGGGATACCGAAACTTCGCCGGGCCGTCCTGGTGTCAGGTTTGAGGGACAAACAAATCCCTCATGACAGGAGAATCGTTCCATCTATCTTAAGCGACGCTGACAGCCTGTTACGCAAGGTTACCCTCCCACAGTGATGCCATTGATATATCTTGGGCCATACTAAGATTATTACCGAATCGATGTCGCACCTGTAGTATCTTCTATGTGCAGGTGAATGGAGGAGCTAGCGCGTGACCATATGTGTGCTATCGTTCCTTGCGTCGGGATGCTATCCTCGCAACTAGAATCGGCAATCAAGTGCGTCAACACCTTGCGTTGATTTCACAATCGCCGCAGTGAGTGGTAGGTTGTTCCGCGTAAGTGATCGATCGAGTTCAACAAATCATTCTGCAATGTGCCCATCCGTGGCCTGCGCATAATCATTGCTTCCAGTGGATAATAAGCAGCCGGACTGCGCAATAGTTGTACATGAACACAAGCATGGACGGGTGGCCACACACAAACACGCGAAATAGGTAAAAATAGCACAGCGAAGAAATCGGGCCAGGGGAAAGAAACTTCTATGTGACTAAGGTCATATATACACGCCGATTGAGAGTCCATTGATGAAACACAAGAAGCTATGAAAAAAAAAACAAGTTTCATTGTCTATCGTTAATGCATCTATATCAATTCCCACTGATCGCCATAGGATGGCCCTTGACTCGAAGACTTACGACCCGCGCGAACGAATCCTGCAGCGGGCTTTCATGCGCTCTCACAGCCATGTGCGCAGCAAGATATGGTGGCGGAAAGAGCCCGAATGCCTCTTCTGCAGGTGTGCGAACCGGAATGGGAGGGAAATGTGACACGAGGGGTGGGGGAGCTGAGCGCCCTCTAGGTATCGCTGATAAAGAGTTGAAAGCCGCCGAGGCATGAGGGAACTGCTTAGCACTTTGGACCGTGGTGGATGCGTCTGAGAGAACGGAAGGTTTACGGTCACGTATAGCGAAAGAGGGAAGAGTCAAAGAAGAGCGCAGGGAGGAAGACGTAGATGAACGCCGAAAGAAAGAAGATCTCGAGCCTTGCTGCCTAGTTCGTGAAGAGGAAGGGGATCCAGGAGGGGAGGTATGAATAGGAGTATAATGGTGTGGGGGAATAGAATCATCTAACTGAGGGTTGGTAGGCGTAATCTGTGCGGACGCAATGGACGTAGTAGTGAGTGGGGGTGCTGTGGGGGTGAACGATGATGTCCGAATGAGGCTCGGACGGGTATCATGAACAGAAACGGTCGACAATGGACGCATCAGAGAGGACCGACCTCTAATGGAGGGAGCTCGAGACGACGGGGCTGTTTTATGCCCATTGGACCTGAACTTCTGATTTAATTCATCTGGGAGTCCCGTAGGCACGGAGGTAGAAGCAGGGACAGGGTGGGAGTTTGGAGGAAAAGCCTGCGGCATTGTTGCCTTCGGAGTGGAGGGGCGAGCAAAAGGGAGCTCAGAGGCGGCGACAGTTTTGTCAGGCTCCCTGTCATCTGGAGTGACAACGCCACTGGAAATCCACTGATCATCATCATCTTCTTCTTCATCTCCTGGGCTAGCATCCCGTTCAGCAGCCATGAGAAACTTCGCTTTCCTTGAGCTATCTAACTTATGGCTTGTCTTGCGGGGAGCCAGATGCCCACGTCCCTAAACGAGTCACATAGCAATCGAAATCAGCGATAAGTTGGAGATAAGCCACGACCGCCACAAACATGGAATCCAACAGCCTTATGGCCCACCGTATGGTCCGACTTTATTGTATTTGAGGACTCCGAGCGCTTTACAAGATCTTCCTTAGCTTTGAGAGCCGTTACGGCGAAATTGCTATGAACACCCGGCAGTTGCCCCCCCTGGAATCTAATTGCACTCGCTGATCGATTCAGCTTGCCATGCGATATGTTGCGCTGATGATGCTTCATTCCAGAGGCCTGGGCGTGCTTAACAGCCGTGGTCGCTGGCATGGTCCACAGGACGGCTCTGTTCCTGTTTGACCTGCGACTAATTGATGAGCTAATGGTCAGGTGACCGCGGGATTGCATCCGAGCAGTCCGGTAAATTCAGTTTTCTGAAGCTGTGCGTGGCGCAAGCGAACATGTTAGAACTATCATGTAGCCAATACTTGGTATGGGAGAAGCTGGAAGCTTTGCTATCGCGTTGGCCCTTGCGAACCTAGACTCTCAGTGCTTGCCACAAGCGCCGGGGACCTGCCAACATAACTTGAAGGCTCATGTACAACTTCTTGAACTAGCGCACCAAATTAACTTGAGCTGACCGGCTACATTTGGGGAACCCCTAAGGGTGGAAGCGGTTGCGAGCTATTTCGTACCCGAAATACGCATGGAATATTGAAATGCGCATTAACAATATGGCAGAAACAAAATGCGGTATCGGCTGCGTCTCCTCATGCGAGTGTGTAAATACGAAGAGAACTAAATTGGGTATACCGTATCTCTACCTACTAGGTAGAGATATGAGATACTTAAGTGAACACAATAAGAATATTATAGTACCGACTTCAGTCTCACGAGTGTAAACACGAAGAGAACTGAGGGCATTCGCGAAGACAAACATCGAGCTTTTAGGCGTCGATTACTCGAAGTTGGTAATAAGTGAGAGTCATTACCTGTTGTCACTCACTTGTGCTGACGTGTCCAATTTCCATGGCTTCTGGACGCGTCGACTCCGCGTCAATACCCAATCCCCCACGTGTCAGATTGGAGACGCCCTTAGCACATCAACATTCTGTTGATTGTGTGGTCTCCAATGCCGATCTGAGTCCCACTGCTGCGCGCTCTGTTGCCAATGCATCGCCAGCTGTGGCTCAGCGTCCATCCCTTCCTGCCAAATTGATGTGCACGTCACTAGCATCGTCCGACACATCATCCGACGCGTCGCTAGCGTCGAAACATCATCGTCGAGGCCGGAAGAAGCATGAATCTGAGCGGCGTTCAACGACTCTCCCTTCCCCATCACTCCCATTCCGTTATTGCCCACGGAAATTACATTAAAATCATCTAAACATATTCTTTCCCTGTTCTGACATACATTGCTGTTGCTGGCAAGGACGGGCACCCTTGTCTTTCCTTCCCGATTCTTGGCATCCCTGATGCTCGACCCTGCAGGCCAACCAAGGATCGTCATCGAGGATCCACCTTAGTTTTCCTCCCACCAATTCTTTCTTCATCTTTCTCAGAGAGGGTCCAAACCCCGTGATAACTTGGCAAACCTTTCATCTCCATCCAAACGTTCCCTCTGTAAGCACTATCCTCCGCTCTGATCTGATACCTGACTGACTGAACTGAATGCACTTAAAGAACTTCTGTACCCTCCCTGTGTGTACAATGTAGCACCCTACCGACCCTCCATGTTGCATCCAAGAACACACATTCCTATAATGCTTGAATCGAATGCTGTGCAGATAGCAGCAAAGCAAAGCATGGTCTCCAGTGGCAAACGGGGACTTCCATGGGAAGGTGCCTCTGCCGTGGTCCTGCGGAACGTCTCCCAGTTGGCTGGGAACGAATTTTCCAGATAGAAGTTGCCAGATCCCGGTAGCCGCTTCAACGTGAGACACTGCTATGACTCTGAAATCTCGGGGAAGACGGGTTTCCACGTCTTCTCCGAAGGAATCGTTTGTGCGGTACATCCCCCTTCCGACCTCGAGGAGCCTAGCCGAAATTGGTAAGGGGCGAGAGTGAATTGAGGGCTTTTGATCTCCAGTATGTCGTGTTAACTTTTCACGGAGTCCATGAAGTCCCAATGATTGCTGCAGTTGTTACCCGAAGTCCGGGTCCTTTTTTCCAGCCAATGGGCCATACTGCACAACATTCTCTAGCAACATGAGGTCAATGCGATCTGTGACATCGGGATCGAACGGCTCACACTTTCCTGCTCCGTTCATCATCATTGGGGCCCCCGCTCCCGCGTTTGGAGTCACGATCTATTTTCCGGGCTGCGGCGTAAACAGTGTTGGCAAACAAGGTGATTTTCACGATGAGTGGCGCCTACTCTCAGCTAGGAAGCTATGAGGAGCTTTGAGCGATGTGATGGCCATAAGCCCTCAGAATCGAACACTAGCGCAATATGATGATTGAATGCCTTAAGCGCCACTTACCTCGCGCACCAATGCCGTTGGCAGTTGGATGGTCTGAACTCCTGAAGTTGTGCACAATTGTTCAAATACTCCAGCCGGAGTTCGATCTCCTCAGCGTTCATTTCATAGTCCTAGACATTGTTACCTTTGCTCTCTAAACTGATATTGACGTTCAGGAGTGAATCACACAAGTGAATGCTCTTGCTGAGAAAATCTCTCAGATGGGAAAAAAGATAATTAATGCCACTAGTGTCGTGCATGCAAACAACTTGCTCCACAGCCCGGGAACCATGTGATAAGATACCAATGAGAATACAAATGTGAATTGATATTCGATTAATGTTGCGCGTCCTGTTAGGTTGTTACACTTGCGAACGTGTGTCTATCTGACATAGAAAACCCCCCCAAATATAGCCTGAAAATCCGAAGTATCGTGCCAAAATGCTCTAGACCCAACAGACGAATCGCAAAAAAATCGCACCACTAATGCACGAGTTCTGTCGCATCGACTCTTCTCCGTCGTATTTCCGCCTTCATCCGATCTGAATCTCGTAAAGAACCAGCACTTTGTCTTCTTTTCGAGGGATCTCGTCTTGGGGATGAAAGTTCTGTAAGGACGCGTGGAGAAGTTAGGGAATGGCAGGGCGTTACTCTCGGTGCTGCGAAGGGATGTGCGATTGTTCCTGGACCTAATCTTGATCGGTCAATGATCACGATAGGATCAGGAGTCAAAACATCGGTTTCCATCTTTCGAGAAGGAGTAACCAGTCGGGCAGTATTGGCCTCGACGCCACGTTGTGATTGCGACCGCGTGTCAGCCTGCACTGGGCCGGGTGAATGCATGCGATGAGGGGATTGAGATTCGGGTGTCCCTGCTACATTCTTCCCCGGCTCACGATGGGGGACTTCCGGCTTTTCCGATGAACGAGGAGAAGAGTTTGAAGACCGAGACGAGCCGTTAGATCGATTTGATAGGGAGCCACTGGAATGTGATCGAACGCCAACACGCGGGGGATCTACGACCTTAAAGAGGTTTTTAGAGTGCGAACGTGCTAGGCTGATATAATAGTCATGAAGCAGGTCCCTTGTGCTCTGTAAAGGAGAGATCAGCAACGTGCGTTTCTGTGTGCAGAATTGCGTACAGTTAGACGCCAATCCAGAGCAGTGAGCAATTCGCGCTCAAGAATGTTGAGCTCTGCAACTTTGATCCCACCGATCTTGGCATAATGGGAATTTGTGCAAAAAGCGTCGCAAAGCGCTTTTGTGGAAACGGTGATAGAAGTGATGAGAAAGCGATGGACGGTGAGAGAGGAAACAGTAAATCGTGGATTCCGAGCACACATCTGATCAATATAGTGCAGGGTAATGAGAAGGCAGGAGCGCTGGGGGGTAGGAAGGTCACTGTGAGTCCCCAAGACGCAATTTGAGGCGACCAACCTCAAGATGGGTATACTTGACGATACGACGAAGGTAATCAAGAACAGTGATGCCGGGAGGTGCTCGGGAGTGAAATCGAGTGAGGGCATCACTTCGTATCGAATATCAGTCAAAGCGAAGGATGTCATGAATACAAAGTCAGCTCACGGAATAAGTGGTATCTTGTCATTATGAGTGAGCAGACGCTCAAGCATGTCGGCTTCGGATATTGGCATCAGGACCTGCACGACGTAGTCATGAGATAAGCGCATGCTCACAAATCATGAGAACAAGGTGGTCAATTTCGCAATCCTCAAAGTCGTAGGGCACCATTATGACGCTGGGGGATGAGGATGCCATCCATGCTAGGCCAATAAGTAGGCTGCAGAAATGCCTCTACTTAAGAGGACTCTTTGCCAGCGAGAGCAGGAACTAATTGAAAGACTGAAACTGCCTCTACCTATAGGAAAGTTGATGGGGATGCAATTAAAAGGGTGAAGGGATCGCAGCGTCGAATGCAACGAGTAACGTCACGTGTTTTTGTTTGTCATTGACCTGACGGTTGCATCTGATTCAAGACTTTGTCTGGAAAATCGATGTACATAAGTTCTCCCCGCCATCTCACGTCCCGAGGATGGCCAACATGCCATATAGTCAGCTGCATCAAAATTATGTGGGGCTCATCCGTCATCCTGGTCTGTGCGAACAAAGACCGAAACGACTCAGGTAACTGTTCGCCCATCCAACTGCGAAAATGACCACGAGTGGCAGGTTTTGGATAGAACCCTCGGGCACGATCGCTCATCCATGGCCACAAGTTAAAGCGGAAGACACGGTGCTCCCCGTAGCCGGATCAGCGCTCTATTGCGGGGAGAACTTACGTGGAAGCTGGCAAGATCGTTATTTGGAATAGGATGTCATTTTCCAGCGGCCCTGTTAGTTCAGGCGAGCAAGATTTGGGGTTGCGAGCTGAATTATGCCCCCTTCGAGCCCTTGCCTGAGATTTGGAAGCGCTGCCCAACATTCAACTACGTCTGATCCCCATCTTGCGACGCACGTTCAACTGAGGTAATTCCCAAACTGAGAAAATGAACATTGCCTCTTTGGCACTGCCGACGGCATGATGAATTCATTCACCTCCATCTGTTCGCCATTCTCGCCAACGCCAAAACTTTATCGACCGACCTTTGTACACCAGATACCAGTTCGGATATATTGCGGTGGCGGACCTACGATATGACACTCCTGCACTTTCACTGGTGAAGGACACTAGGACCATTGACCAGACTTCGGCCGCCAAGAATCTCGGCACAATAAGTGCTTGATCCTCACAAAAAGGGTGAAGGGATCCGAGCCAGATCCGTGTGACAAGGGATCACCTGTAGGCTGTATTGCTTCACTCACCCGAATACATCACCCAGACACACTCATCATGTATGGATGCTCCCTCATCTTGCATTTGAGTCGGGTCCTAAATCAATGGCTTTATTCGTGAGGCTCCCGCTGAAAGAGCACGGCAGGCGGGTAGTTGGGTCGCGTGTCGAAAACTTTTTTTTGAGCTCGGTGATATCTGAGCCAGGGGAAACGTTGCAGCAGCTCGTGGGCCGTGGAATAGACGTCGCCATGACACCCCAACACAGTTTGTTACCGAAGCGTTCGCAGACAAGTCAGATATAAGGAGCTAGTGTGCGATGCAGGATCGCACAAGGGTTTCAGATTGAACCGCGGGGATTACCACGAACCATTGTATTCGGGTAAAAATCACGCAAATAGATATGGTTTAGTTGTTAGGGCCTGAACACGTACGGAATTCGTCCGAAGAAATCGAACCAGGGTATGCAGCAGCAATAAAACCTGGAACGGCATGACTGTATCCTTGGGTAAAAAGAACAGCGAGAGCGTTCAGTCCTGCTGCGCACAAGTCTAATTTAATCTCGTACCTCCATTAAATAACAAGAATTTGCATTTCCCCGCGGTGGAGTCCTAGGACGTAGGGCCCCTTCCCACAAACCTCCAGGTATACACTACCCAGCGAAAGCCACGGGATTCTACCAAAAAAAAAAAAACAAACAAGAATTTTGAGTGTGTACACGTGACCAATACGCCGGCCAATTGCGAGAAACTGTACATTGACCCACACCTTCACCACTAGATATCTAGTCATGGCCCCAAAGGTGCGTCGGGACCATTTTATGCCGAAAGCAACATACTAAAATAAATGTTTAGTTTGTTAGTTATTATTCCCGACGAGCGTCTGAAAGGAAATCATTGCTGACGACGGAATGGAATTATAGGATCCTAACGAGATCAAGATCATTTACCTTCGTGCAACAGGTGGTGAAGTAGGTGCCTCATCAGCACTCGCCCCTAAGATTGGTCCTCTTGGTCTGGTCAGTTGATTACCCCACCTTTGTGTGGAGGTTGAATTATTGACCGGTGGAATGCAGTCACCCAAAAAAGTCGGTGAAGACATTGCGAAAGCAACTACTGCATGGAAGGGACTTCGTGTTACTGTCCAATTGACCATTCAAAATCGCCAAGCTCAAATTGCTGTTGTCCCCTCCGCGTCCTCTCTTATCATCCGTGCATTGAAGGGTTCGTCCACCGTTTATAGTCCGTCGAATTCCCCCTGATTTCCTTCCCCACAATTCCCTCTAGAACCTCCTCGTGACCGGAAAAAGGAGAAGAACATTAAACACAATGGCAACATTCCATTCGACGAAATCGTGGAAATCGCGCGTATTCTAAAGCCGAAATCATTGGCAAAGGAATTGTCTGGCTGTGTTAAGGAGATTTTGGGGACGTGCCAGAGTATTGGGTGCACCGTTAATGGCCAGCATCCTCATGCTATCACAGAGCAAATTAACGCCGGGGAGATTGACGTGCCGGATGAGTAGAAAACTTGATACCGTCCAGCTTGCATCCTACCCATTACCTATTCGACGCACCTCTTACATCTCCGCATCGTCTCACACACCTTGTATTTCTTCGGTCGCGATATGTGGTTGATACTCTAGCTTATGCAACTGCTACCCCCTCTTCATGATCCAAACTGCTCTGGATGTTACTTTGTGCATCCCTTCGTAATACCGGTCTTCCAGTGACGGATTCACAAGCACACCTGACTACTGTCTAACTGCTTTCTTATGAATTTCTGTTAGCCGATCGCTCCTGAGCCTGTTCGACTCGAAGTTCGACATTGAAGTATACAGATGAACCATGAACTATCCAATGTAGTTCGGAAATGTAAAGTTGGAGTAGACATTCGAGAAATCTTCTACGTCGATGGTACCCACCGTTGTACGAACCGGATCAACGTTATCACCGGTCTCTCGTGGCGACGCAAAATAAGTAATGCAACGAAAGTCGCAGCACCAAGAATCCGCGGAGGGCACCTCTGCAAAGCAAGAGCTCCGAGATCCATCAACCATCGTGCAAACTATGCAACGGATTATAAGCTTCGGCCCCCGCAAACGTGTAAATGAGGACAACGCACAATGGAAGGTCTGGCTTCTGGCTCTTCAGCAACAGACTCATGAGTGTCCTCACGTAGGCCGATTGCTGTCCGAAGCCTCTCATTCTCCTTCTCAAGCATCCAAGTTCGCTCCTTCTAATTGATCATCAATTCAATATGAAGAGCAAACGCTGGGCGGTCTGAGGAACCATACCAGCTTCAAATTTTCCTCGGCAAAAGCATTTACGTCGCGGAACCGCAACAACCTCGGGATGAATGGAGTCGATAAGTACGGAATAGCAGACAACCTCATGAACAATCGCGTTGTTCTAGAAATCGGACGCCGACATTGAGGGCATGGAGGCATCTTCGAAGCCAAGTATTTTTGGATGCACCCGTGATCAAATATATGACCTACGCAGCGTACTTGTAAGCATATATCGTGCACCTACATTGCACTTACCGCAACTCAGTGCCACGGGCTCACGAACTTCGCAAAGACATATCATGCAGGGTTCGAGAATAAATGGCATGGTTTCAGGATGAGTTTTCCACAATCAATAGTTGTGCAGTATTGAAACTCGCCTTTTAAACGCAGACATCGTACCAAGGTGGCATCGCCGTTTCCAAAGCTCGCCTGCGAGCCAAATGCCCAAAGCCACAAAGCAGACAGTTCGTGGGAACCACCCTTGCTTCACGTGCGTGTTTCGAATAAAAATTAATCAACTTCCGTGTCAACGACGTCCACCCGTTGTGGTTTCGAAGGAGTCCCAAAGCACTCAATATGGACACGGTGCCATTGGACATCGTGTGCATTATACTAAGCTTTGCGGAATTCGGGGATGTTCGATCGCTTAGCCTTCTCAATCGCGACTGTAACACAGAGGCCAACAAGTTGTTATGGCGCCACCTTCACCTCCAAATTCGCTCGAAACTTTACACCGAGGATGCCCGGCGAATGCTAGAGGGATTTTGCGAGGCCTTAATCAGGGATCCCCAGCGTGCCCACTGCGTACATAATCTGCGTATTACCATTAAAGGTCGATTGTGGCATGGACAGGAAGATCCAAAGGTGCTTGTCCACACGCTCTCAAAGCTGGGCCGGGCTATGTCTTACACGCGGCGCCTCCGGGTGCTTCAAATCTTCCCGAGACACCATTTTCGTGACATCGCGAAGGCTCTTTCTTCTGCGTCACCTTCCATCCAACTTCCCGATTTACATACTTTTGAATCTGTCATCTCATTTTCTGATGGCCTCGAAAGATTTATGAGCGAATCGTGTCCCTTCGTGAAGACGTATCGCATCAGTGGCACTAGAACTCTTGATTGTGTGCGCGACTTCCCAACTCATCTCTTTCCCCAATTGACCACGTATAGTGGCACATCATCACTACTCTCCGTTGTGCTAAACAATCGACCAGTGCATGCAGTGGATTGCATAAACTCGATACCGAGCTCTGGAGTCGCCGATCTCATTCAGGGATTACGCTCTAGTTCAGTATCCGTGACCGAGCTCAGCATAAACGTTTCAATGGGGTATGACAAAAGGTACCAGGAGAATTCGACAGATGGAGAGGTTCGATTGCTTAACTCCCTAGTTGAGACGACGCCGATGTTGCGCATTTTCGAGCTGTTTTCACATGGGCAGTTCGACGACAATCGACTCTCAGATATTGCAATGCACCGCTTCGCAACTGCGCTTGGAAGACTGGAGAAATTGGAGTCGTTCAATTGGTGGGATGCAAGGGGTCCCATATGGGGACAGGAGTTCATTGCGCTTTGCAGGGAGAAGTGCGTGTCACTAAACGAGATAATTATCAACGGGGGTGTGCTTGAGTGGACGCAGGGGACGATGCGCTCGGAAACTGGATACTGAGGTGAGCGACGACAACTCTACAACCCATGATATAAATATAGAATGTGCTTCTATTAATTATTTGGTATGTGCTATACGAAGCTTTCCCGGCGAGTAGAGGAAGTTGTCGGCATAAGCCTTGGGCGGTATCCTCTTTACAGTTGGAGGTTGGACATAATAATTCCAGCCTGCGTAGGGCTGTTGAGTTGCATGTAGCAATCGCACATGCTGGGAGTAATTTACCTTGCTTCTCAGCGAAATGGATGGCATCTTCTTTGGTGTTGAATTGCATCCTCAACGCCTGAACGTAGTCCGCGCTAGTGTGTGTGAACAACGTGAAACTGTGAACGACAAACCAGCCAAGTTTCGTACCTGCTGGCCCACCCCATCAAGGGATTTTCCCATCTCCCAGCTCCCTGAGGAGTATCGAAATCGATCCTCCACTTTTCGCCCTTTGCACCACCAGACTGCATGGTATTCCTAGTGGGTAGGTAGATCCGAACACTACGGTGCTGCAGCTCCTCTATTCGCCAATAAGGGTCACTTATAGACCATTGTTCGTCAACGCATACAGTAGTGGCAACTTACGGGGAGCTCCGCTCACAACTTCAGCGGTGATGAGTTCTTTGGGCTCAGAGGGCGTTATTTCATGTGACGAGGAAGAATCCGTTTTTGCCAGAGGGTGAGACGAAGTGGATTCAAAACGCAGCCCAGTGAGATACCTAGTAACTGGGGCACCACACCGGAGCGACCTCGTCGCGGTGCCAAGCAGTGACATAGCGATGTTGTGAGTGAACAAGGCCCGATCGGCTTTAGCCGGGTCATTCGTTCCCACGCGCGCATCCACCAATGTGTATCAGTCAGGTGACCAGCGTGTATCAGGACATAAACAGCAACCCTACATGTTGCCTGTGACGATCAGTATATTCTCCTATGCGGGCTCAATCATCTACAGTTGTCTGGAGCCCTGTGTAACTAAAGGGCCGCTTGCGGTAGCGATCATCCACCAATTCATTGAATATTTGTATTGTACCCGAGAGGTGATCATTCTCTATCAGCCCTTGTATAAGTCAAAGGATGCAAAGAAGCATTACACGACCCAGGTCGATCCCCTCAAATCCAGAGCAAAAAGCTCAACCTGTCTCCTCATCAATCAGATTGAGGAATGTCTCAACAAGCCTGAGAGGTTTCCATGTGGATGCTTCCTCTTTTCCAGCATCATTGACATCATAGCCCGGCGCCCGTTTACGTATATATTGTTTTCAATTAGACATACTCGTAGCCCTTCGTCTTGCCGTACCGCGGCAGGGATATGTTCATTCCTGTCCCCGTGGAACTCCATGTCCGCTTAAGCGTAGCTCCAGAGCCCTTTCCGGAAATTCACGCAACAACCAACCAAAGGTATGGGTATCATGAATCGAAAATTTAAAACCAAGTTTCCTTGATTGTGCTAGTTCTGGATACTGAAATAGAAAAAAAAAAAAACTTGCGCGGGGGGGGGAGATGCAAATGAGATCGCCCTCTTGCGAACTGCGAACTCGAAAAATAACACCTCGCGGGGCACCAGAGGTCGATTTGACTGTTCCACATTATGCTCTTCAATATTCCGGATTCGCGTATGGTCCTGATGCGCTACGCTATGCCATTCTGGCCTCCTGTGTCGCAATCAGCCGATTTGCCTCCCCCCGCCTCTTTAGGTACACAGATACTGGAGGCTGGGCATAACGATGGTTTACGACTTGTGGTTGAGCATCCTCCAAACGTTCCGGAGTAGCACACCCTGAATTCAGCTGATGCGACACTTGCTGTGGGAAAAGACAGGCGAGGGAGTAATAGCACGATACATAAGGGTACGCAGTAGCTAGCTACGCTGCGGGCGAACGAGGAGTTGTCCCAGCAAAATGCACGCTGCTCGATGCCTGTAACCCAAGCAATGCAGCGGGGAGGGCATGTAGCGGCAGGGTGAAGCGCAGCCACAGGGTAACGAAGTCAGGAAGTAGCGAACGAGGGAGGGCTGATCCGCAGCTGTCCCCTTAGTGTACATCTTGGCCAAACGCGTCATGAATACCCGTTCCTTGCGCGGTATTCGTTGCGCAGGCTTCTTGATACGTGGTAGCTTGCTCCACAAACACCTCTGAAAGATCGAGTCTCATCAATAAACGTTCCAGGTTAAGATGTCGTTGCTGCCGGCGTTGCGATGCAATGGCGCTCAAAACAGATGCCGCAAGGCGAGCGAAAAACGGCGTCACAGCTCACGTCACGATCCGAGAAATTCTCTGCTCTTTTGTGCGGGCACTCTGTGTCATACACGACTTCTCTAGACACTTGGGCCCTTCAAGGGAACCATATGCTGGTGACTTACCAAATTCTAGCATTTGAGACATTGCTATCGTTTTGCGGTTAGTAGCAGGAAACGTCCATGTCCATTACTGTCAATTTCCGTCGACATCTATATGGGCGAGCCAGGAACCATCAATGCTGCCACTGGTGACGTTACTTTTTGGTTTGTGGGTTGGATACATAGCAAAGAGGGAGGAGATGGAGGCAGTAAAGTAGGAAGCTCTGAACTCAGAGTCAGGCTTGGAATAACGCCTTGGCAGGTCGGCAAACACACGAAGGGCGCAAATTACAACCGGGGTTCCAAAGGTCGCAAAGCAGCACATCATTTTAGTGTGCAGTGGCGCGAGCGATGGGAAAGTTGAGAGACGAAGCAAATGAGAGGTCTTGAAGAACGAGGACGTCACAGAGAGATTCGCCGACGGTAGGTCATGCTGCGTAAGTGCTCACCGTCGGTATGGATAACTTACCCGATCCCCACCCTATTGGGTACCGCTACTTGAGTTGACCAAGCTCACTGAGACCGAGGGGCCCATAAGGAATCGCCGAGCGACTCGCCGACTCGAGTCTAAAGTAATGGGAGGTTGCTGCCTCAAGGTCACTATTGCATGAAGGAGCAATCTTCGGAGCGCCTCACGTAGATGAGTGGAGCGCGGCGGTTCGATTAGGTGTTCATATTCTGGACCGACCTGCAGGGTCATTTTATGAAGCAGTGAGAAAATATATATGTCGTTCGGTCGGTCCTCCCTTTGAGTATCTGCTCGAACTCGGTTAAGTTCATTGATAAATCTTCACTCCGTTCAGGCTTAGAATGTCGATAATGACCCACTCGACGTCGTGTCGCGGGCGATATAGTGGTGGATTTTGTAACGAATGACGCGATGTATGAGTGTTGTTGCGGTCATAAACCTCGTAACCGGCTTCATATGCAAATAGCATATGGTACACTTGGAGCGCCTCACCTTGGAGCTCGGGCATGAATGGGAACTTGTGGCAGGCGGAAATCCATTCCCTTGACAGGATTGCTCGGGGGAGTGAGGCGGGGTGCCCTACACCCATCGTCATTGAAATACAGACATAGATCAACATCACGTACACTAAACTGTCTCAGAATCTCTGCTGCTTGATCATTATCAGGCTGGTAGCTAGCGGCCATGCGCAAATCACCAACCCCCCTAGGCTGATTTCTGAGGTAATGACGAGATTTGAATATCTGCCCATTATTTAGTCAAAGGCGCTCACCTGTTATCTGGCAGAAAGTATTTGTTTATGAAGGTTGGTTGGTTGGCCGAAGGATTCAGCATATTGCCAAGAGCAGCTGGGTTCTGGGTCGTTACGCTCTTTACACACACACACATATATATGTTTGAGGGGCTGATGTCACGGTGAACAGCTTCGTGGTGATATAAGTAACTCTAACGAGATCGATTTCAACATCAGATCCCGATAACCAGGCGCCTTCGTACCTTCCACGATATCAGAGAATCCTGCAACCAATTCAGACGGTTTTCCCTTTCAAAACTGGCGCACCAATGTTTGAGTAGACCATCGCAGAACTTCTTCGGGAGGTCACTTGTTCATATGTTTCATCGGCATTCCATTGTTTCGGTTCATCTGAGTCCCAGATGCTAACGTCGATGTGTTCCCCATCGAACTTAACCCCTCGAACAATCCCTGCGACATAGCCATCCTCGTGGATATGAAGTATCTGCATTTCGCGGTGGACCGGATCTGATCCATCCAGTCGACCCATAAATGAAGGGAGCTCCCTGGACTCCAGGAGGATCCACTTGCCCGTACACGCGAGTACAGCGAGTGTGAGGAATTCCAGAAAATATGCAGCGACAGAGTCCCTCTAAGCCCTCGATTCTCCATAAAGGGGCAGAGTCACTACTGCGTGGCGTCAAGTGCTCAGGGTCAATGGTGTTATCTGATAACAAGAGAAAGCCATCAAGGGTAGCGTTAGGAGATGACGTGAGGTGAAATGAGGGTGCATTATATGAGGACGCGACGGTTTTCATGAGAGCTTGGGGCTCCGAGTACGACTGTTGCGTTGATCGGTAAGCAGCAACTGGGTCGCTCCAGATGCAGATGACAAAATAATGCGTTCGCCCAGCGTAAAGCCCGTATACACACGGCTTGTCCAATCTGATGTGGTGTATGCTAGTGGCGTAGAGAGCCACCTGCTTCAAGCGTTTCTCGTGAGCCGTACCCTCGGAAACAACTTCGACGCAGGTCTCTACTTGTGAATAATCAACTTCAAAGGGCCCATTGATGTCTCGAGGGTCTCATCGAATGGCCTTGCCGATGGCATCACGGATGGAGTCGTAACGAAACCGGCTAATTTCCGCTACTCCGTAGGTGGGTCCTGCAAATCTTTGCGATGAGAAAACCCTATGGCCGTGCAAGAGGTCCTCCAATAGCCTAGTCCAGGCTACCAGGGTCCTCCATTTGCGGCCGCCACTTTCGCATCCCACCTCCAAGTGTAACCTTCAAACGCTCGCTTCCGAACCAGACGGGGTTGGGAACAAACTTAGGGGGTTCTACTTTTCATGCCCAAGTCAAGATTGCTAATAAAGAGCGTGAGGACACTGAAAACTAACTGCGCCCTTAGTTATGGATGCTTGCATCGTCGCTCGTGTTCTCGCCCACGCTGACTCTGCTAACATCTTGGGTGCCTTGACTCATCACTTACAATGTCCGACAGTGCACCAAAGTCAATGAGACTAAGTACAATTCAGGTGGATATGCCCCCAACGGCTCCACCTAAAGTGATGAGGGCAATAGTGTGACGGAAGGAAGGGTTGTGCCTTCCGTGTTCCCGCACCCGGACTAGGACCCCGAGTACCATTTTCGATGTGCACTGCCTTCGCCTTCCGTCCAGAAGGAGTTCAAGTATCACATCGACCTGGAAGCCTTCGATGACCAAGGAACAGACATTCCTCGCGAAGCGATGGAGTTGTTGTGAGTGGCCATCATGGGCACCGCTTCCCTTCATTTGTATGTGACTTGTCCATCCGCATTAGCTGTGGGTGACAGCCGTGTTCCGTTGACCGATACCACGCGTGTGCGTAATACGCCCAGAGGAGAGATCTGCTCATTCCAACTCCATTGGATGGGTCTGCAAATCGTCGGGCACACTAATCTGCTCCCTGGAGAAGCCATCAGCACTCCTTTGGCTTCCAAAAAGAACCTTGCCTTCATTCCAACGGACTTCAAGTACTTGGAATCTCAATTTCAGGTGCAATCTGAACTCGTGCGCAGCATATTAGGGGTCAGTGCTCTTGTGGGCTCGAAGCTCCGCCTATACTCTAACCGCGGTTGCGACTCAGAGTTCTTTTCTCAACTGATTCCGCGGGCGTTCTCGTCTGGGTTCCAGCTGAATGTGATCTCTCAGGGGCGACTGAAAAGCAGGGATTCTTCTGCTGACATGGGTTAGAAGTTTGAGTGTTCTTCCTCCACTACACGTCGTTGGGTACATATAGTGCCGACGCATCGTCATACTGAGATACTGATTCGGTTACGCAGAGGATGTCAATGCCAAGTGAAAGCAAGCGAACATGCAGGGTGAAGAGTAGCGGGTTCTACCGTGTCAGGGAGAAATTCAATTGACACAGCCCCCGGAATTGAGTTCATCGACTCACGTGGAAGGGGACAAGAGATGGTCAATCCGAAGTATAGGTTCCAAGCAATTAGGCTGTATAAGGAGGTTGTGTGTTTTAACGTGTCCACGCTTGCCAAGCTGGATTGCTTCTGATGTAGCTTCATCGTCTCGGACGCGATTATCCCGAACCCAAGTGAGTCCATCAAGCTGCCGTACAGTTAAACTGGAACCTATTACTAAGCAACCTGCATGCTGTCAGCTATGACTTCCACGGGAAACTTAGAAGACTGTTTGAGCGTATGTTCTCATCTCGCACGGCGTCGTGGGTTTGTACAGTGTTCATCATTCAGCTCACTTCTAGGCAATCGTCACCTTGAAAAGGACGAAGAGATTAAGAAGGCTCTAACACTAGCTGAGCATATCCAGAACGGTACGCCTCAGTTGTTTCAAGGGTGAGCTTGACTCACCTGGTCTTAGAAACCATCGCTCTTTATCGGCTGAAGAAGTACAGGCATTTACGCAGGTCATATTATGAGGATAGTTAATGATAACCTTTCACGAGTGACACTGCTGGTGACCCGCATTATTGAAATGAATGACAACCAGTGCGCAAACGATGAACTAAAATCATATAGTCGCAAGCGAATACAAGACCACTCCCAGGGCGTCTACCTACGACTCTCATGCGCTGACGGCCCAGACACGGACATAGTGGTCAGTGAAGCCACCGAACAAAGTCTGTCCATCTGTCGACCAAGCGAGCGAAATACATTCAGGCTCCCTCGTGTTAGGGCCAACCTCAAGGTAGTCAGGCTTGAGCTCATCAACAATCGACCTATTAAAATTCACATCAATGACATCATCCTTGGCTGGACAGGGAAGGCCACATACTTGCTCTCGAGATCGAAAATCTTGATGCAGCTGGAAGTAGCAGCACAAAGCCAGTATCGGTTGGGACTGAATACCAAAGCATTCACGGTATCACCAGCCTCTAGCGAGTACAGGTGCTTCCCATCATTCAGATCCCAAAGCATTGTAATGCCGTCCTTGCCACCAGAGGCAGCGAGGGAGCCATCAGGCGAAACGGAGATAGTATTAATGTACCCAGTGTGGCCATAGTGGTTGGTGCGAAGCTTGCACCGAGAGAGTTCCCAAACCTTGAGAGGAGATAATTTAGTCAAGGCTCCACACAAGAATGCGAATGTTGTATTCCAGACGACGATCCGAAAGGTACCAATAACTGACCTTGACGACCTTGTCCCACCCACAAGACACGATTACGGGGTTGTTCTGGTTGGGGCTGAACCGTACACATGAGACCCTTCGAAATGAAATATCTGAGAATTGGCAGTTTCCGGACGATATCTTCACAAAAACTCACCACTCGGTGTGACCTTCCTCCTTGATATCGAATTTACATTCACCTAAGGTGTTCCATAATTTGATAGTGCGATCACGGCTTCCACTGACGATTTGTCTGTTGTCAGCGGAGAAGGAGACGGAGAGAACGTCACCCGTGTGGCCAATGAAGTGACGGGTAGTCAAGCCAGTATTTAGGTCCCACAGGCGGAGGGTACGATCCCAGGATGATGAAAGAGCAAACTGCCCATCGGACGAAATGACGATGTCAGAAACGAAGTGTGTATGTCCTGTCAGAATCTTTTTCGGGCGTCCGTACTCCGAGTCGGACCTTGTCAGGTGCCAGACAATGATAGTTTTGTCTGATGAGAAGATTAGGGGATTTGTTTGGAATGGATGGATAGGCAAATATACCTCGGGACGCAGTGAGAAGGATGTCGGGGTTTTCAGATGAGGCAGCAATTGCTAAGTATGTACCCATATGTTCAGAGACGCATGTGGATTAGACACTTCTACTTACCAGTGACCCAACCTTCAAGTTCATAGTGATCCCGATTTTAGTGCCCCGTCCTTAAAAGTTTCGACCACATAACTCACCGCCATGACCTATATAGGACAAATCGGTTCAGGAATCAAATGATCGATAGAACGCTTCATACCTTCCAACGAGCCCAAAAAGCGAAGAGATTCCATGTTGAGCTAAAAGAACTGTACAGTATTCTTTAGTGTGACGAGCGGGAACTACCGATTGAATGTCAAACTGCCTGTTTGCGGCCTCAGCACACTTCGAGACCACGCACATGGAACCCACCCTATAGATTAGCAATAAGGTGTAGGAATCGAATTAATGATAACTGCTACAATGGTGATCCACTCTCAATATCTCGAACTACGACTTATTGGAAACAGCCTGCTGCAGTCTTTGGCGTATACCGCCTTTCTCCCGAGTAGGAGATATGGACAGAGCCTCGTGTTTAGGGCTCGTACGGATGGAAAGACTTGAGGGCTCTTCTTTGGTGATCGAACCTGTCGTTGGCTCAGGAGTTCGGAGGTTTATTCCTGGAGAAGGCCCTTTCGCTAGGTTATTTCCGGAAGAGGACCTTGGGCGCGATGCGCGCGCGCTGGGGTCCTCTGAGGCCGCAATAACCTGGACAGTTTCATTTAGGACAGCGATGCGAGTCCATCGTCGGTATCTTGTGAACTAATAGATATGACATTTTCAACTTCACGTATGAAGGAAAGGAAAGCGGGAATCACCTTTCCAATGCCTCCTTTCCCGCTTGGTCCTTCCCACTTGTTGTCACTGTATATCCAGCCTTCTGCGTCTGTGATATCCTCTTCGGGCGTCGCACGATAAACCATGGCTCCAGGTCCTTCTATGATGGTCTCATTCTCACCGACATCACCATCGCCAGCACCCCCCTCTGAATTCGAGGATACTTCTGTTGAGCCATCTCCCAACTCTGAAACCCTTCCCGTACGTGTAGGACTCGTTAGCTCTGCACTGACGGTCCCTACCTTTTGCAAGCCGCGCTGTAATAGAGATTCAGCACTGCTGATTCCAGATACCGGGGTTCCATCAGGGAGATTCATGGTAACTTTTGGGAGTGCCATCCCAACCCGTTCAGGAGGCGTGGTGGGATTAAGGCGTACAACTACTCCCCAATCGGTTTCCTCCCACGTCCATGTTGCTGTCCTTTTCACTCGTACCTAGAAATACCCAGCTCGTAAGCAAGTGATGTCAGCATTCGACACGCACACGTGAACACACCGCAGGGACATTGGGCACAGGAAGATAAACTGCTTTGGAAGGGGGCAGAGTGATATTTATGGGAGGAGGTAGCGGACGGAGGGTAGGAGGACCAGACGTCCAAGAAACCCTCTCATTTGGCAACAAGGCGGCGGTCCAATCAATGCCCATCCACCATCGTTGATTTTCATGGACTGTGAATTTGAAGCGAAGCGACGAAGCAGGGGGTACGTCAGGTGGCAAGGGAGTTTCTTCCGTCGCAACAGTGCTAGTCTTCCCGATAGTACTTCCCCCCGAAAGCTCTTCGGGCAATAAGGTACCCGTGATTCTATGCCAGATATGACGGGCCGTGTATGTGACCCATCCATTGCTAAGGATGATGCGACGAATCGTGGCTGCCCACGGGGCTCGCCAAGTAATGACTAGAGAGCCAGCAATACCGCAGGACACACTTAGAGGGAGGGAAATGATGATGACTAGGTATACAAGATAGAGTGCACTAGATAAACGGATCAGAGACATCCACCAAAGTGTAAGTGGAGGAACAGTCGGATTAGGAAGGAGATGATGCAAGATTTTGACATCTGCCAGTGCTTGAGAGAGGACCGCCTCCGTTGCCGGTTCTACTTGTGCACTACTTTTAACAGGCCTTCTCACTGCGGCGGATATCATGAAGGGGGTCAGAACAATGAGTGGCAGGAAGTAGCTGGGGACTCGCATAAGGTCATAATTTAAAAAAAAACTGTATCCCTTACGTACCGGATAGAGAAACCCGCCCCTAAACATATTGCCCAATACATGGCCAGACATAACCAACTTTCTGACTGTTTTCCGCTCCTCCAGCTAAGGATTTGTGCTGTGCGTCTCAATAAACTTAGGGTAGGTGAAAGCTCGACCAATAGCTTGGTGACAATGGGGGGCACTGTCCCGAGGAAATCAATTAATCCATCCGGGTCGAATGGTTGAGGGGGAGATGGTGGAACAAGGGTGGATGATATTCCCGACGGGGAAGGCATTTCAAGGCTGTTTTTGTGTGAAGCGGAAAGATATATGTCGTTGATGGGCAGGTCAAATGCGGCCATACACACGGAGCCTTTTATGAAGATCGTGCCATGACAGGCGCACCAGTCGAGGTTCGGCAAACTGAGGAATTCGGGTGGATCAGGTGATCTGGAACGCATCCAAGAGTTTCGCGCTAATTTTTGGCAAATAAATTGCCTCGAACACATCTTTCTGCGCTTTTAAATGGCCACTGCTCAGAAATACGCGAGCCTACCGGATATCGTGAGAGTGTTGCTCAAGATCGTGGCCCGCATTAAGCTCATATCTCCCGATGCAGGACTCTGCACCCGATATCTATGAGACTCCTGATACATTCTCGAGCCCCCGGGAGGTGGGTGAACTATAGAAGATCCATTCTATCACACTTATTTAAGACGTAGAAGGAAGAGGGCTCGGATGATGAAGCTTTAAACCCTCGGTTAGGTCGGCGGAATATCGACGAAACGACATCGAAGGACGAGCTTGACCGGAGTCGTCTGCCTGAACTCGCAGAAGTAGATCAGAAATTTAGAAAGGCAGAAAAACGACGAGGCAAAGCAAATGTTTTGTTCACCGAGTCCTGATCTAACCTAGGTCATGTCAGGGCGATTCAGAGAGGTCTATGCGTATCCGGAAACATATGGAGACGGTGCTTCGCGTTCCCCGTCTCCATCTTCTTCTAGAAGGCAGACTTCCTCGATTCAATCAAGACTCCTATCTCTTAGGAAAGAACTCGAGTCACTCGAAAGTGACATCTCAGAACAATCCCGAGCTTCAAGCGTAACAGATGATCATGAAACTGAAACTCTCATACGTGGGCTCGTGGAGATAAGGGAGAGGCTGAATGGGCTGGGGGATGGGGTCCGTGATACTCGGCGTCAACCTCAGAATTTACTCAATAAAGCATTGGAAACTGCAAAGAGTTTACCCTTATCCGCCGCCATAAAGCCTGAAACGGCAAAAATTGAAAATAGGCTAGAGGCTCCCTTTGGAGACGTAGACGCTCTAAGCCGACTAGACAAGAGACTTGATGAATTAGAGTCTCTGATTGGCTCTTCCAACACGACCCTAGATGAGGTGCGCGCATCTTGTTCGCTTACCAAGTTGAAATTAACACTCCAGAGGGCCATTCGTAGTCTTCACCACTTCCCCAACCCCTTCTTCCTCATATCGCCCGACTTTCAAACGTACTTACCCTGTTAACTCAACCTCGCCATATCGACTCAATCTCTCGGCGACTGAAATTACTCCAAACTGACCTGGAGCGCTACTCGAGTAGCAGTGCGAAACGCCAAGCTAATGGCACACCTGCTGGACAAACGACAGGGCCTTCCACTACTCCTCAACCTGGGAGTGGCGCAGCTGCAAATGCTCCCAATGACATCGCTGTCATTCTCAGTCGTCTTTCCCCCGCACTGCCGACTATCCCGCACTTACTCACACGCCTCCGCACCCTTTCTACACTGCATGCATCTGCCTCCGGTTTTGCAAGCTCGTTGACATCCTTGGAGGAAGAGCAAAAACAGGCACAAGCCATTTTGGGTGATTTGGAAGCGGCTGTCAACAGCCTTGAACAGAGTTTCCTAGTCAACGCGGAGCGCGTTGAAGGAAATTTGAAGGGACTGTCAGAACGACTTGAGGCGGTACAGACTCGGCTGAAAACTGACGATTAGCATATCCTTTGCCTATCACTGCATATACCATATCCCATGCAATTTAACGTGTGCTGCGATTTTTCCAGACTGCAGGCGCTTTAGCACCCGTCAGAGTTCGCCTGATTTGTCAGAAGTGCGAGAGTTTGCACAAATCAGGTTTTGATCGCCGCGTATGACCTTTGGTTGTAACCAGGACGTTGAAGTGCCACCCACCATTAAGATGAAAAAACCTTGTCGTGAGCTGTGTTCGCCACGTAACTCCCTGCACATACGTTCGTTGGAAGCTCGTGGTCTACCAAAAGCCGAGAACGCAGTCGTTTGCACGGTTTCTGATGGGTTCCGCCCTCAAGGGCAATGGCCCGTGGTCAGAAGTGACACTAGATTCCATATTGTCGTGCATAGAGGCGCACATATACATACAATACACATAGTTGGTTCAGTAGCGGGCACAAGTTAGCCTTACTGATGCTCCACAATAGACCGGCAGGGCCATTCGTGTCGTCCCTCGTTAGCTTCCGTGAGTTGTTGTCGGGAATTCAGAAGTTAAGCCACAGTCCTAGCTGCCAGGCTGATGCTCACACAGCAAAAAAGAAGAATTTGGTGCCAGGTGACGGCACCGTTCGCTGCGAATTGCACCGCCGAGTATAGTAAGTACCCTGTAGCTGCTCGAGTCTTCTCTAGCGCAGCCAACTCTGGACGTCACACGGCAAGCCCATACGGTTCTTATTGAAGTGCGCGCGCGTTGGGGTACTAGACAAAAGGCTTGCTTGCTTATCCCGATTGGCACCATGATAGATGGGGGGCGTGCGGGCGCAATAAGCAAGGTCTCGTCCATATCTCTCGAGGAAATTTGAACCCAGGCTCAGTTGGCTGTCACTCATGTCTATTGGAATCTGTGGAACATCGTCTATTAGTTAGATGATGTACCACAGCGTACATGTATAGGGAAAAGAAGAGGCGACAGCCGGTCGGCTTGCTTTGGCCGCTTTGCTTCGGGCCGAGTAGGGTGATGGACACTTTGAGCGGGTAAGTTAGAATTGCTTCGACAATGTCGTGACGCAAATGAGCTATTGTCATCCTATACCACAATGCAGTAACCAGCTACTAGAGGGGTTCCTTGCATGGACTGCGTTCGCTGCCTTGGGTCTTTAGTGAACTCCATTCTGCTCCACTTTCGTTCCACATCGCGACGCTGACAAGATAAATGAAGTATGGGTTATGTTCGTGATGACGCCCGTCCCCGCCAGAGATGGGTTTGGTACGGAGCCATGGATTAGGGTCCCACCTAAGCTAGCATAGCATAGGGTGAGCCTAAACAGCATCCCAGGGGTCGCGGGTTTATCTTGCCCAGGGCTTCCGTCGAAATAATCTGGCATGCGTGTATCGCAGGCAACTGCCGCATGAAAAGCCTCCGTCACTGGCCAAAGTATTGCGGGTAGGCATATGTACTCCTTAGTCATGCCCAATAGCTGGGTGATGGCCAGACTCTACCCCAGTCGCTCTCATGCATCCCGAAGGTGCTACCTATATATGGGTACAACTTCCGACGTTTAATTGTACCCAACACCTATCTATTCGGGAAATTAAACGCTCAATGAAAATGTGCCCTGGTTCATACACGCGTTAGGGATCGCACAGCCGGGGGCAAGCACGATATCGTTGAAGGGGACCCTGCGATTTGGATTTTCCGAGCACAGAACAAACACGAGTAGAACGGGCACACGGGGCTTACAGCCAAAGACAACGCAAATGATTCTCATAAGTCCAGTGCGGGACTCATTTTGGTGCCTCAGATTGGCGGTGTCATCACATGTGCAGTGAGCTTTGAGTCTCAGTGTCGTACATAAAGGTTTCCAGATCCGGAGTTCATCATTTGATCGACAAGGGCCCAATTGTCTGTCGGTACGAGGTAGGTTACACACAACAGGGTTATTCACGCATGTGTTAATCACGGTAGAGTCGTAGCGCACCAGAGAAGTCCGGAAGATGATAAAAATCATATCAGGTGAAATGATTCTATCGAGATCGAAACGCTATCTCTACTCAAACAATGGGAAAAGCGAGTTTTAGCACGTTGAATTGAGGGCCGCCATCGCAGTAATGGTTCCTCTCAAATACTAATCGTTGGCCTGATGCCGTTAGCAGCGGCTCCCCTTTGTATTCGACGAGATGCGCGGTGAATGTTGCAATGCGAGTCAGTCCGATGAGCCCCAGCAACGCACAGGATACTGGCGTCCACTAGAACTGGTTAGTTTCAAGGAGTACGGCGAGCCCGGGTCAGCTGTTGACTAACTTGGACAATGGTGTGCTGGGTACACCGCGCCGGAGAATAAGTGAGTTGCGGCGTGCGCTCTGCTCAAGGATTTGGGCCAGTTCGATGGTTGAAGTAGAGCGAACGAAGGGAGGTGGATGTGTGGGGAAAGTACATTCCGTCTAGTGAAGGTCCCACCACCACGCCAGCAGCACGCACTCCCCCTTCCGACACTCATGAGATTGGGGCTTAAAGGAGTGGGCCATCGTTAAGAAGCTTCGCGTGTTTGTGCCGCCAAGCTACGGGTAAGTCCATTCTGGTTCCCATTCAGGTCGTCATGCCAGAATTGAATTGGGAGAGCCCATGCTGAGCAAGACACCAGCCTCCATCCCCACAACACAGCGGCGACGAGCGTTTATGTCATCTAATTTCACCCTAGAATGGGCACCCAGGAGGTGGTTCGACTGGTTGGCGCTGCTCCCTGGCACTCGCACTCTGCGCTTCGGGCGTTGAGTATTTTCGGCCGTATGCAGTTTCGACTATTTGGATTTCGTTCTTTGCTTGCGCCCTCCAGGAAGGGTTCTGAGATGTTGGGATGGATAATCCCCGCTCGCATCGTAAATGCCGGTCAAGTCTCTGGCCTCACTGTGGAAAAAGTGCACACCAGCCCGAACATATCTATGAACTCTGCATTGTGCCTCAGATCTGTGGATAGACCCCATCTAGTTTTATTTCTACTTAAATACATCTGCCTTGTATGATCGTCTCTTTGCAACATCTTATTTCGTTACAGAAATTAAGAGCCGTACAAGGGCTCAATGGCTGAGCTTAGTTCAGATTGTATCGGATATCTTTCGATCCCCCTTATCGTCTCCCGCACAGCTTGGCTCGTACCAAAAGGTGCAATCAGGATAACATATCGAGAGACGTCCAATGATCGGTCTGCCGTGATCACTCCGATAGCTATGTCACTTATGCCAATGCGGGTCGAGCGACCATTAACTTCGGGCCTCTTTTGGCTTATTGCTTAAAACAGCCAAAGCTGCCAACGAGAACTTCGGCTGGCACTCCAGATCATCGAGGGGCAATGAGCCAATTTGACGCTCTGTTCAGGGTGAGCAAAGCGTCAAATTGACTTCCTGGCGCTGAAAGACCTGCACCCATTTACTGCTCAGGAGCTCCTTGGGAGGAATCAACCATTCTGTCTCTCTTTCGGCTGCTGATTCACGGGTCAGCAGCTTATGGTGCTGCGGTTTCACGAGAAAGCCCATTCTGTGAATCTGACTGGACCACTTGCCACGCATAGATTACGACCTGGGCGTAAGCAGACTGTACTTGAACGAGACTTCGCAACGGCTTTCCAGCTCTACACCATGCCGGTGGTCCTGATCAGCAAGTCGATCTGAGATATTCTCCGGAAACTTGGGATTCTCGATTCTAAGAGCACATGGTATTGTCCCGACGCTCGGTGGGCCCTGTCAGTGCTATTTTATTACAACAGCAGCGCATCTTTTGGATGCTCAGCACGAGCGCCATGAAGATAAGAGATTGCGCAAATGCTAGAGCATGTCTAAGCCGTAGATGCGACCAAAATACACGCGTATTGACTGTGGGCGCCTACCGGGGAGGCATTTAACGATGGGCGTTACTTGCCAAGAGCCCCCTAGTCGTATCATGCCACAAAGCGCGATGATGGAGGAGCCATTCCAAGGAAACAGCTTGAACCGTGGAGATTAATCTCAGAGCCAAAGCAACTACCTTACCCTACTACTCAATCCAGTTGGTTGAGGTGGCTGGAATGATGCTGACGTGACACCGCAGCCGTGCTGGTGAACACCAGCACCACTTCTCTCTGTTGTGTCTCAGCGTCTGGGATCATAGCAATCGTGCGATAAGTAGCTCGGTCCCCATTCTGTGTGTGGGGGAATGAGTTTAGCGCCCCGCGGCAAAGGAGGCTCATTCCGGATTTTAATTCATGGAAAGAAGCTTCAAGACTCGCCGAAAAATCCGATCACACACGTTCCTCCTCTGGCTTATCTGTTCAGGCGATTACGTCCGGATGGCCGAAACCCGATCTCGATCTGTCCGTGCCCCATGACGTGTATTCAGTTGTCATCATGGAGGTTCAGCGGCCACTTTGCTAGTCCTACATTACTTTCCCCTCCCTTCTCCAGGGATGGGCGATCGTGGCCCATAGCATCTTCCATGGGTCACAAAGGGCCTTTAGTCTTGACACGAGCGTCTAGACATTTGCAAGGATATATGTAGTCACAAGCAAGAAAGGTGGAAATCGCCCCTTGCTCTAAAATTAGTTTTCCCATCAATGAGATGATCAGCAACCCTGCCTTCATTTATATTAAATAATTGGAAGCCACGGACGATTCCGTGGATGTCTTGAGCGAGCGCCTGTTATTGGCATCAGTCAGTCGACAACTTGGGCCAGTCTTTGACCGCTTTTTCTTTGCCAACCCATCTCCCCGTACGTCGACGTCGACTGATCTCTGCGAGGAGCTGGGGCCGCTTTGGGAAAACACAAAGCTCATCGACAGGGGCTGATTTTCTTTCTGTGGCCCAAAATCTTTTGGCTTTGAATAAGATCCACTCATTTCGGCTATCTGAGCAGTGCATAGCATTCGCAATTTGAAGCGTGGAAAACGCTAGCTATGGAAGGGTCCCATCATTCTCGAGCAACTTCACTCATCCTCGTTTTTAACGCCATCTACAGTCATCCTGCACCCACCAGGCAGCGGATATCCAAGGCATGCATGCTGGTAACGTTTGGGCGGTTGAACGGTGCAAATCGGTGGACAAGATATCCCAAAAGTTCTGATGACAGATTGATGTCTGATTCATTATTTCCAAAATCGTATGATTAGAAACAACCGTGCGGCCCGATTATTACCGCTCAAGAGGGCGCGAAATGCATAAAAGGGGGCGTTGGATGTGGATCTCTCTCTCCAACAACCCCTCTTCCTCGCCAACTCCTTGGGCACCAGCCCTCTTGGCTGCCTGCGGGCCATCGTCGTGCTGTGGCGAGCCCGCATCGCTTCATCTGTGGACTAGCGTGGTGCGTTCATATCTTCAGTTTAATTTCTACCGTTGGCCAACTGACTATTTGCATGGAGTTAGTTTTGGATGACTCCTGGTACTGGTGGCTGGGTTTTATAGTCGTCCGCGCGAGTGCACTGTAATTTTACGTGATAGTGCGCCCGCTCCACAATTCCGTAAGTGATTTTCTCCCCTTCAAGTTTGTATTATATTTGACTGCTATCTCAAGTGCAATTTTTTTTTTTCCTTTCTCGTTTCTTTGCCAAAGCAGTGGGCGGGCGCATGCGGAGGCGCGATACAATTTCAGTGAGGCTACATTGACCCTTATTTAGTGCCTTTTTCTGACCTTTTCGTATTGTAGTCGCTCTCCACCTGTCCGTAGGTTGTCTTGGTCATCTCCGAAGCAGTCATAGAGTAACTCGTGAGTTTCTGCAAGCGATGCCTTGTTTTGTCTTGTTTTTCTCATGGCGGTCTCAAACAACTAGGGTGGGCGGAAGACTTGGAAGATTTTTTTTTGGTTTAGGTAATATTCCACGCGATTGGGGCGATGGGCTATTGTCCGTTGCCTTGGGGCCGTGTGACGACACATTTTATTCTTGGAGCTTGGACGGAAAACATCGAACCAGATCTGATATGGGCAAGCTAGCTTATAACTAATCTGCTTGGATATTTTCGATGTCGATAATGCGCTTGCTTCTCTTTCTCTTTCTCTCTCTCTCTCTCTCTCTCTCTCTCTCGTCTCTTTATAATTTATCGTTTGGATGCTACTAACCCCTCCCTCCCTCATAGCGTTCGTTGTCGTGGTTTTCCTTTTTTTTCTTTTCTTTCTCCGATCGGACCGGCGCTGCGGTGGTGGCAGCATTGGCCAGCTCAACGAGCTGGTTGGGGGGCACCAAGATCCATCAACCCTCGCCGTGTTGGCTGGTGGTGTGTCCGCAAGTCTTGGGCACCTGCCAGTCACCTGCTCAGGGAGTGGGAGGGCTGGGCGTATGGTCTGCGCTCCAACTGAGTGGCGGATTGTTCAGCCTGAACCTTCCTGCATGGGGGGATGCCCAGGTGGGGCGTCCCCCTCAGTAGGCCGGTGAGTATTCCATTATTCTCGTGTCTGATGATGATGATGCTAATTCCCCAACACGCCGTAGATCAATATCTCTGTCAAGAGTCCGAGGCCTTATGGTCGCGGGCCTCGGGCCTCGGACCATTTGCTCCTTCCCATTGCATCGTACCATCATGACAGTTGTGCAGATTGCTCGCAGTATTGCCCGATCGAGTCAAGTTAATTATGTATTCGCCACTTCGAAGTACATATTCCATTCTATACGTTTAATATATATGAACTTGCTGTTCCGCCATCCATACATATTGGAAGATGTAGTTCCAGCGCAGATCATTTTGCGCTAACGGCAAAGGATAACAACGTCATCTTGCTCTTCATTTCTATTTTTAGAAAGGTGCTCTCCTCGGCTTTGAAAAAAAAATGAAAAATGAAAACAAAAGCGGGATAAAGATCAGCTGATAGGAGGGTGGATGAGAGAGGTAATACTGACTGGTCTATCCCGGAGCTGGAACATCTTGGATACATAATCGATGTAGCGTGCCAGGGACGCATCTTTCTCTGTGATGGTGTTCCCACTGTCATGTGTGGAGAGGGAAATGCGGACGCTGGTGGACGTTCATTTGGACGGGTTAAGCTTGTCACACACACACAGGGAGGTAGGAACTAATACTAACCTGGCTGATAGCTAGAAAGGATGGTGGTGATGAGAAAGAGAATCGTCAGTCCGACAATAGGCGATACGTACGTTTGTGATCTTTGGATGCTAAAAACCGGTTCATTGGGAAAAAAAAAAAAAGAAGCATTGATAACCCCTGTGTTGAACTACAACTCCTTTAAAATTGATCAAAACATACATGGTTTACTTGAGTGGCTTTCATCGCGATCATGGTCAAAAACGCCCAAGCTTCGTTAAAATTCCGAAATCTGAACTCTTTGCGTAACGAGCGACTTCCTCTTTCGGTGGTAGTAGTGCCCCATCCAAGAAGCATGAGGTGAGCGAGTTGTTCCTCGGAAATCTTAGCTGGGAGAACGCGTCCCTCTCCACGTTGAGAGCCAGTGGATTTCGACAGCGGAGCTGCATCTTCTGCCACTGGCAGATGCTCTAAGGATCGTTCCTCATCCTCCGTGGAATCTAGAGGAAGGGAAGAGCTAAAGTGGGGACTCGTCGAAAATCCTCTGAAGATGGCCAAGGATGGCACAACTCGGCGTTGGTGTGCGATGAAACGCCCATGAAGGCGGCAAAACCTTGACATTTTCAGAGAGAGAGAGAAATAAGCACGTGCGTGGGAAAGCTGGCAAATCTGACATTTGATTGGATGTTTTCTGCTGAATGGGGAGATCAATTAGTTTTTTCCATTAAGCGCCCAAACAAACCAATGTTTGCCACGGATCAGATACAGTGTGATCCCCGGGCAATCTCTCCCAACATCCGATCCGTACGGGTTCAAGAGCGCGCCATCAGTATCATTTGTAATAGTCACCTGTAAGCAGGTGCCAAGAGTCAACTAAAGCCTGTGCAAGAACTACCGCCCTTTCAGGCCGTCGCTTTCCTACCTCAACCCTAAGAGTTTACCTCTTCTTCCCTCAAGGAATTCCCTTCCGGGTATCTGTAATGGCTGACTCGGAGCGGCTGGAGGCTCTCAAACTCATGAACGAACTTGTATGTGAGTAGATTCAAATGACATCGAGCGCTCATCATCAGTTTTGTTTGTTTTTGTTTTTGTTTTTGTTTTTTTGCGGCTAACTTCTAAATATCGTAGCTGGGTTGCTCGAAAACCCAAACGATGATTGGATCACGCTCAATCAAGTGTGCGATCTAGCCCTAAGTCACCGTACACTCGCAGAAGAAGCCATTCGAGTCATTCGGCGCTTACTAGCATCTCCCCCTTCTCAAGCTTTGACACAACTGAGAACCATTAGATTATGGGCCATCTTGTTTCATACACGCCCTGAAACCATGGTCATATCCTCAGTGGCCGATCGCGACTTTGTCGCCACCATCGACGAAACGCTGAAGCACGAAGAGACGAGCTATCGTGTTCGTGAGAAATTGCTTCTCGTGTTAGGGTCTTACGTCTATCAGTTTGCCGGAGCCGATAACGAGAACCCTCTGACGCAACTTTGGAGGACTCATAAGCAACCTGGACAACCTTATCAAGGGTTGTACATTGCGCCGACGAGTCCTTATTTGAACCCTCTCGAAAATAATAATAATAACAATTCTGGACCACCTTCGTCATCGGCAGCTCAAGATAATCATCTATCAGTCACTGTTCCGCTTATACGTGCTACATCGCTCCCTGAAAATTTCGAAAGACCCCGCGATAGAAGCCCACTCTCATGTAGGTTGTTTCCTTGTATGACTCATTAAATGGCATTTATTCACCGTTTCTACTTCCTATCACGACCCCCCCGCTTTACTAGCCCATCACCCATCTCTGACTCGTCCACCGAGGAGCAGAAGTGCTTCTCGCGAACGTTCCGCCCGACGATCCCGTTCACCCAGCCCTCTTCCCGCAGCTCCTAGGTCTCCCCGCTGGAGACCTAACGACCCCAATGCTTTGATTGCTGGACCAGCCTATCCCAGTTCTTCTTCGCGAAACCCAGCCTTATTAAGCCCTGAGGAACTGGAGTCCCCAACGCTTCGAAAAAGGTTGTCCCATGGAATGCTCGGCGCACTATTCAAAGGCTCGAAATCGAAGGACGAAAGCGAGGAACCACCAGAGAGGGCATTCGTCGTCGTGAGGGGTTTCCAAGCAGAAGAAATCAGGGACACATCGGATGCGGGATCCATTCCTGTCCAGCGCGAAGGTCGTTTAGTACACGTCGACATACCGTTGTTCCCACCCGAGCACTATGCGGGTCCGGCGTCACCAAGATTTCATAGTTCTCTCCAAAGCACACTTTCCCCGTCGGAAAGCCATCCGCCACATCCAAGTACTCACTCACAGGACATTTTCTCCTACATCCGTAATAGTCCAGATCCGCATCTTACGTTAAATATGCCCATCGCTGATCTGTGCAAGCACATTCGTGTCGCGTCGATGACCCCTACACCTCCCAACTCACCCACGACGCCTCAATCGCCTTCACCGGCTGACAACTTGATCACTTGGGCATCCTGGTTTAAGGAGACGGTAGGACTGAGGCACGAGTTCCTCACGCTGAAGGTGAAAGGCTTCAATGGGGAGAGAGATTTTTGGATGAGGTTCGATAGGAGTGCTGCAGGGGTTAGGAAGTCCTGGGGATTGGGATTGATGGGAAATTCTCATTTCAATATCAAGAGCGTGAGCTCGATTTATCAGGCGAACGATGTGGTGAGTTTAATTTAATTTAATTTTTATTTGGACGTGTGCTGTTCATCCTTCTTTTCGTTTCGGGTTGGGTGATCCGTTTGTGTCTGACTTGTCGTTATGCATGCATGCAGGTTATGCTTTCGGGAGAAGAAGAGGCGTTGTTGTCCGGTGATCCTCACACCCTGCAGGCAAAAGTGAGGTTCAGGAAGCCACCGACGCTCATGGATCTCCAAGTCCTTCTGACGGTCATCGGCGAAGAATCGGCGGAGTATGACTTATTCAGGGTAAGTATTTGAGATTCACGCGAGATAAAGTTACCGATCCATGGATCTCTTATCTAATTTTTCTTTTCTTTTTTTTTTGGCGATGAATAGGAGAATTGCTATTTCTTTTGTTCGGTCGTACACCAAATTTTGTACGAATTGCACGAAGGTCATATGACGGTTGGTGAGTTCCATCATCAAACGCTAGGTGGTGATGCACGGAAGAGAATTGTGAATAGGTTGAGACAACAATCGTACGTTATTCCTTTTACGTGTTTCCTTCTCCTTCTCTCCGCCCCGATCACTTTACGCCGGTCTTGCCCATGTGGGTCATGCGATGAGCCTAGAGCCCGCAAGTGGAACTCGGGAGTTCGTACCCCAACTTTCTCACACTAATATCCTAATTTTAGACATGTTACTGATACCGCTTTTTTTGTGCTTCTTGCCTAGGATGCCTTGGACGTCACCTGCACATTGATCGGAATGGGAAGCTGCGTTGTAGAAAAAATGCCTCATGTTTTTGTAAGCTATCCAATGAGATTCGGACATATAATGCGTCAATTATTTTACTCGGTCATGGGCGAGGATTGCCTGAGAGTCTTTGATCTCGACAGAAGGCCAGGAGAGCGTGGTTTCACCTCCACATCCTCAACGGCAACAGAGAAAACTTGATCCGATTAGACCCCGTGATCGGGGGCCGGAGAAGTCCCACACGGTGCGTAAAGCATTTCCTCACCAGTGGCGGCTCCGGAATAGTTCTACTATTTTGGGAACACACGTACACTGCACAAACACCCTGTATCGCAAAAGCTATGTACTAGGGTTCCACTAAAAAAGAAAAAGAAAAGGAAACGAAAAGGACAACCAATGAAGTGATTAGGTAATATTTAATCCAGATACGGAAACTCTCCCAATAATAAAACCCTTAGCGACGTCCTCGGCAATTATCCGGCAAAGGCGATTCAGAAATAAATAAGAGGCGCTTCTTCAATTAATTTGTGCCTGGTTGGGATTGCATCATTGCAATGAAATCATTGTCTTGGCCTCAAATTGAGAGGGTAAAGATAAAGGGAGGGAAACAAAAACCAACAATTTATTGCTGTGCTCGGACTTCCATGCCACACCATAGGCGCTGGAGAAGGCGCCGAAGAATCCGAAGACCTCCTGATGGGGAGAAAGGCTAGCCGAAAAACGATTTCTATTCCTTTTCGAGAGTTAAAGAAGGGGGCCAGCCGCGAATCACGCTTCCGGAAATTCCTTTGCTTTACGTATGCTTTCTTGTACTTATTTCTAGCTCACGTGTGGACAGGGTCTTGTCATTCAGCTTTGATTTTACCTAATCGCCCCCCTCTTATAAATAAATATAACTATGATCTCTCTCATCCCCCTAGGCAGGACTCCAGCATCTCCCCAGCTCATCCTTTCCGTGCAGCTCTCTTCTTCTTCCCCCATTTTGTCATTTTATGATACGAACTCCGATGAAGACTCTCTCAATGATCAAGGCCGTGTTCAAGTTCACCCTCCTGCTCGTGCGTATCAAATTTCCCTATCGTGGAATGATCGTGCGTTTGTAAGCTCATTGTGCTTTCTGGTCGTATAGTCTTTACTCGTGCAAGCGTCCCCCATCCTTGAGGGGAGGGAGCCAGAGGAGCTCAACGAGAGGGAGCTCAATGAGAGGGAGCTGAAAGAGTTTCAGGAGCGCGCACCCCTTGCTACCATATACAGCAGCTGCAAGAATAATAAGCAGGTCGCGCTTACGTTCGACGATGGGCCATATATCTATGAGTGAGCCCCTTCCCTTTTATACATGTCCTCCTACTCCTCATTGGAGTGCGTGGTCAATGCGACCGATTGAGTCTAACTGTATGCGTCCTTAGGCACGGTATCGTCGACTTGTTGAGTGCTGCTGGCGCAAAGGTATGTCCTTGCGACATGTTTGTTATCGCATATGCGGGGGGATCTAAGGTGTCACATTCCTTATAGGGCACTTTCTTCGTCAACGGAAACAATTGTGCGTCATCCATCATACCTTCGCTGCTTCGACTCATTCGTTCAATTGACAACCCCAACATCCCTTTAGATGAATGCATATACAGCGCGGATTCACGAGCGTGAGTTACTCTTTCCATGTTAGAATGTTAATCCAACATAAGTATTTTGATTCTCCTGTAGTCGAGTGAAATATGCCTATTCCAAGGGACACATGATCGGCTCACACACGTGGGCGCACTTGGTAAGATCACTCATTTTTCTTGGATCGGCTGGTTGTGGGAGGGGCTAATGTAATGCACGCGGTTGGCAGTCACTCCCTAGCTTGTCCTTCAGCAAGTGTAAGTTGTCGTTCTCAATCAAAGTTCAGAGTCCCAAGCTGACTTCTTCCACCCATCTTTGCAGTAACTTCTGAGATGGCCAGAGTTGACCTTGCTCTTCAACGAATTATCGGCGTCACTCCCGCCTTTATGAGACCTCCGTACGGTGACGTCAATAATCTCGTTCGTCAAGTTGCTCGACAGAGAAATGAAAGTGGTACGTATCACCGTCCACACAGTCTTTGCTTCATATCGGAGCGATCGGATCGATAAAATTGACGACCCTTTTATTTTATTATTTTCGCAATGTGCAAGTGGTATTGTGGGACCTTGATAGCGGAGACTCTCTTGGCGCTACTGTGCAACAGTCGAAGAACACCTATCTGGGCGCTCTCGCCAGCCATCCGAAGAACTTGCTGCCGTTGAACCATGAGACGCTTCCCGGTACCGCGTACGCACGGTCTCTCTCGTTGCTGTCCCTCCGAGATCACTTATTTCTGTTGTTCCCATTTTTTATTTTTTATTTTGTCAGTCATCAATTGGTGCCTTGGTTGATCAAGTTGTTGCAGTCTAGGGGTATAAACTCGTCACGGTGGCTCAATGTTTGAACAAGTCGCCATATCAGCGCGTCACTTCCCCGCAGAAGCCTACGGTGAGTACAATTTGAGGCTCCCCATCTTTTTAATGAGTGCTGATCCCGGCCACCCACCCGTTTGCATTTTAAAATAGTCCGCATGGCATTGTTGATTTTTCTTTTTCCTTCTCATCTCATCTCATTCGAGCAAACGACCCCAAGTTCCGTACGGACACGATTCCATTTACATACTTGGTTTCCCAATGTTTTGTGTATGAACTCTTCTTTTCTTCGTTACGCCTCCTCCCCCATGTCTTGGGGAGCTTTGAAACTTTCGCTGTTGTAATTCTAGTCAAGATCCTCCTCTCTGTTGCCTCATCTTTGTCTGATCTTCACTGTTTCGTTTCCACTCGATCAATTACTGTTTAATTCGCATGCTTTTTCTCTGTGTGTGTGTGGATGTGTGTGGATTGTTGCTCGAGGAAGTGGGTCCCAATTTTTGACTGTTGTCGTTATGACCCTCTTGCCCTTCTTTCCTTTGTTGCCTTTTTTCATCATCATCACCCTAACAGTGTCATGTTCACGACATAACGCATCACGGTCTTCGCGGATCTCCCAGCATTGTGTACTGTACTAAAATTGTTGAATTTTGACACAACGATGAGAAATTAAAGTTGGTGGGGTTTTTTCCCCTCTGATTTTGGACGAACAAAAAGAAGAGACCGAGTGTGCTGGGGAGCTGGGTGCATGAGGGATTCGTGTTAAACCACGTATATACTAGTCTGCTGGCAATATTGTGAGGGAATTCGAAGTTTGGTGTGCCCTTGTACGTGCATGCTCGTGATTTTATCTATAGAGGGCTGCCTAGCTCGTGATTGACAGCTTGCATGAGGACATGCCGTCAACGTCATAATCGCGGGGTATAAATAACCGCACGCTATAATTACAAATTATTTGAGGGCCGGCCGGATCCCAACCTGGCCTCGACCGGCCACTGCGTTCGGCGGCACAGCCAAGTGAGTCTGACACACTGGCATGAATACTGAGTCACACATGTCTACATCACGGGGTTTCGGTCTTTACCGACTCCCACGGTCGCCTGTTGTTGTCGAACGAAACCTCGGTTCCGGCGCCCTAAGAGGCTAATTGTCGTCTTCTTCTACCCCTTGGGTTTCACACTTTCGAGCCTTTAGAAATTAGGAGAAAACAACACCTTATTGCTCACTTTGAGCCCTTCCGTAGCCTCACTATTCGGTAAGTTTTTTCGACAGTTGAGGGTGCTCCTTTTCCTTTGTTTTTGTTTGATCGACCTCATGAGATTGATATTGCCCCCGCGTCCCGCGTCCTCCCACTTGCAGCCTCTAAGGCGCGTCTCTTCGTGATCGGGGAGCCTCGCTGGCGTGTTTTTGTTTTTCGCTGCTTTGAGCCTGCTCGTTTGGCAGGGACCCACGCCAGCGAGAATTAAAACGTACATACATAATCCGTCCGCTTGCTGAGCAAACAACGGCGGATCTTTTCGGCTCTATCGTTCGAATCATTATTCAACAGCGTCTTGCCTTGCTGAGCGGGTATTTTGGCTAAACGATACTGTACTCAAAGAGTTGCCTTGTGTTGCTTCTCTGCTTTCCAGGTCGTTCCATCGTAAGAACGGTGATTTACGGACCCTTTTTTTACGACGTATATTGCACCTGTGGGGCTTCGTAGTCGTCGTTTCTCCGTAATCACGCCGAACGATCGCGAAACTGGCCAGTGCCTCAATCATCCTCCTAGTGCTGCCTCGTTCCTGCGGTCCCCGGGAAGTCTTCACTCGTTATTTGGAACCTGGTTCCATTTTTTTTTTTTTTACCTTTTCTCGCTCAAACGGACCTAAACGATCTCCGATCGTTCCAATACCAACACCAACAAATTTCCTTGTCGACCCATACCTCCCACTTACTTAAGGCCGCCCCATTCCTGCGTTTCCGGACGCTTGTCCTCAACTTTCTCTCTCCCACTCGTTCGGACCCAAACAGACTCAAGTAAACCACAAAACGCGCTCTCCGAACCAAAAACTCTACTCAGCCCTCTACGGCACTTTCGTTCGTGCGGTGCCCAAACACAGGATACCATTCATTTCCGACTTTCTCCTCGATTGATCAGACTCTTAACGGACTCAGATTAAGTTAGCCTCTTGACAGCGACTCGGAAAAATCTGCGTAGACCTTCGTGCGCAGCGCCACTCTGATCCCGAGGACGGATTTTTACTCCTTAGTTCCTTACGTCACGATCCCCCGCCCAAGGGAGACAAACAAATAGTAGGCCCCTGCCGTCACTCAAGTGCTTGCATTCGTGCCGCCTTCCTGTCCACACTGCACTGACCTGTCCCCAATCCAACTTTTGAATACTTCCCGCCAAAAGTCACATTACGTTCATACGAAGACTCTTCGCGTCTTCGCTAGCCCCCCTTTTCATCCTCACCTCACAGGATGCCTAGGGGAAACCGTAGATTTGACCGCATCACTACATCTCCTATCAAGAAGTATCACCCATATACTGCAGCGGAACCCAAAAAGTTCGCGTATATCCTCAATTCACACAGCTTTGGGAATGACCCTGAAGCGTCGTCGTCCCAAAAGCCCAAACGGCCTTCACGCAAAGCCGCCCGAGCCGACCCCGCCCCTCAACCGACTCACAGCGTCTCGCTAGCTATGCCCAGTGGACGCGTGACGACGTATCGCTTTGGGCCCGGGAGGTCTGAGCCTGGCTTTTCAGGGACGGGGCCTGTTCAATCTGAACCAAACGCGGCATTCCCAAGGCTCGATAATATGTCAGAATCCCCCTTACCGCCCCTGGTTTCTCGTAAGTCTAGAGCCACTCCGTGGGAGCCAACGCCTGGGCGGCGGCTGGAAAATTCTAATAACGCCACCTACTCCCGCTGCCGCTCATCATCCCCTAACAGTAAGTCTCCATCTTCGCCCGATCGCCGGAACCGACCACTTCGGACGCGGTATGACACCTCTCATCGTGTGCCCGGAAGCCCATCATGGGACTATGAGCATGCACGATCGGGTGAGGATCGCTCAGGCCATTATCCCCGGGACCCGTGCGGCACACTGCCTAACACCCGCTCGAGTGGGTTTAGAACTACAGATCGACCAAGCTCCCAAGGCACTTTCCGTCGTTGTTTGCCTTCTGTCGAGTCGATTCCCGGTGGGTCGTTACCAAAACCACCTCTCTGCTCTCCATCTTCCACCTCGCCATCACGTCCCAGTCTTTCCGATGAGCAGAACAGTCAGCCAACGCATTCAGTCACTTCTTCCCAGTTCCATTCTTACCCCACGTCGGTACCGTTGCAGCCTGCATTCGATCCTACTCCACGATCAATCATCCCCTTACCCAAATTTCACCGCTGCTTCACTATCCAGCAGCTGTGCGGCACGGCGGAGGACAGTGAGCCAAGCTGGGCAAGCGAAGTCGCAATTATTCAAGGTGACGTTGGAATTATTCGGGTGTTGTATCAATTTTCTAATACTACTTTCCAGGTGCCCCGATCCGAGCTGTCCAGTCACTTGCTCCGACATTGGAAGCCGAAGTGCTCGTCAATAGGTGGAGAAATGAGGCATCGAGTGAGCACTGGTTCCTGTCGACGTGCATAATGTGTCATCTTATTGCCAGATCAACCTAAACGGGCGTACCGCCAAGCGCCAATCCGCGTGATCGCCGTCAATACGCAGCAGACCTGTTCATACAATGGCACTTATGCTTCCTGGGTTGGCATTAAGACGGGACCTAAACTCAGCTTGCTTAAGGTTCCATCGCACCGTCGTGATAACTTAGATTTCACCAGGCGGCCCGTTAGCTTTGATCCCCTTCGCTTGCACCTTGCGCTCATCGAGCGACGGCCACCCTTTACCTACCTACGAGCGCCAATAATCAATATCGACTTGCTGCCTGTGACTAACGATGCAAACTGGGCGCCATCCATTGAATGGCGAGAGAAGATAATGGGAAGCGAGTCTAACCTGATGAAACTTCTTAATCTCGCCCAAGGCATTGTCTCGCGCCTCTGCAACGCGGAGATCCTTCCTTCTCACCAAGAGTTTGCTACCCTTATCAGATATGAGACCCAGCAGTACTTCCAACAGCTTTTCCTGTCTCGCATGGTGGCGGAAACGGAAGACTACCACAAGGATACTGTCCTTGAAGCCGAACGCCACATAGCTGAGCTGCGAGCAATCATCCGCTATTGTCTCATGGTTTGTCTCGATGCGAGCGCCATACTGGGTGGCACTGAACTGCCGATCTGGCCAATCAACGAACTTGCCATTGGCACCATCTTTGATGCTTCTGATGGCGTTAAACTCGAGGTCCACGACTCATCCCTGAGTCTGACTGCCAAAGCATTTGCCTCGACGCTGGAACGCTGGGGGATCCCTCATTGGAGGGTTCAATTAGGCGACAAGCGCTTCGCCGTTTGCAAGTCATGTCCCCCCATGGTGGATGCAGCTAGTGAGGCAGCCTTACAGCGCGAGATTCGCGGACGTGCCCAATCGACTGACCGTAAGGACAATGCGCGAGCAGAGCTGGTGGTGGGATTTGATTTTATCGTCACTGAAACGGTGACATGCAGCCGCCCACAGCAAAGTATCTTCGCTGGTGCCTTTGACCCTACAACGGAACAATTTCTCCTCGAGAGGTGCATTCTAGCTCTCGCCCCGCTTCACCAGCCTCTCCAATTTAGTGATTTCTCGAACCAGATGAAGTGGAATCTTAAAGGGATCTGGCTCGGCCTGAGGTACGAGGAGGGTCAGCACGATAACCGTGGGCTGGTGGGCGGTAGATGGAAGAACATTCGGGTGCCATTTCCTATTGGGGCACATCCACCCCTCATGAGGGCGTTCACCACAACCCCGATCTCATATTATCATCCCGAAGAGCCCCTTCCTACATGGATGCAGACAACGCCTCTGGTTGATACATCCATTGCTCCATCACCATTAACACCACCAACTATTCGTTCTATGACTGATATCTGGTATGGTACATCGATACGCCTTTCGGGAGCAGCTCTCGAGCTGGAGGATGACCTTGAGGCAGTCAAGGAAAGGGGGGTTCTGGCATACCGTAAAGTTCGAGATGTGACAGTGAATCCGCAGGTGAGCGGATGGGATAGGTCGACTCATTGCCTCAACCTGCTATGCAAAACCACCGATAGCAGCCGTCGTGTCAAACAATATCTGCAGACAACCTTCCCTCACACGTTGATTATGGATCTTTCTATGTGCGATTACACCCCAACCGGATACATCGGGGTCTTTGAACTCGGATTCGTTGGTGAAGTTTTCGCCAGGGGATTCAATCAGACGCTTGTCAGTGCGCTCATGGCACGTGCCCCAGCCGCTCTCGTTCCCCAAGGCCCAGACACTTCGCCTGAGGAGACCACCCAGTTGTGGAAGCGGATGTACTCGGAGGACCTGTTTGAGTATGGTCGATTCAAAATATTGGAAACGACGTCGGATACAGGACGCAAGCCGTTCAATTTGGTTGAGGTGGTATTCGGGCGAGATCTACTCGAACGGATGTGTATGTGCAGACCGATTGGGTTGAACGAGAGCGAATACCATGCGTTCCTGCGCTTCTGTCTCATGCTATGTCGCTTGGCCCGTTTCAAACGCCCGTTTCGTCAGCGGATCTATCCCTCAGAAGGATCTCTGTATCCTCGTGTCCTCAACTTCATTTCAAACGAGGCAACACAATTGTTTGATGGATTCAACCTAAGGTCAAATGAAACATTAAGGAGGTCAGGTAGATCTCCACAGGGCCTCTTCGAATCTATTCGTTGGCAGCCCAGACATGCATGTTACGCCCTTGAGGTTGCTGAAGATCCTCTCATTCCTCGGAACAAGCCAACACAGGCCGAGCTAGAGGGAAAACAAAGGAGCTAGTGGAGCAGCTGGCACACACCCCTTTTGCCCATCCACCGTTTCGACCGGGGACGCTTACATAAGCAATATCCAATATCCGTCTCACCACCCTCACCATCACCCGTAAACTATACTAGAATTATGCAAGCGAATAATGACATTGTGTAAACTGAAGGTTATCTATGTGTAAGGACGGGCAATTAGATTATTATCCTCCTGGGGTGGATTATCACGGCTATTTGTCGCCACCAAAGTTCTCCATTTTATTCTACTGTTCTCCGTCAAAGCAATTGCGGCCCCAATGGTTATCGATCCTGAATCATTCGACCTCGAATTTGGAAGGGCCTAACATCATTTGCGGCCCGCATCAAGTAGGAATTATCACCCACGACGTCCCTGCGATCCACGCTACGAGTCCCTCCTTTGTGACTGCTCACGTCACTATATACCCCCAGCATCGTCTAACCGTCCATCGCGAATATCACGTTGAAGACTGGTGCATGGGTACCGTATGCTACAGTACATTCCGCTGTTGTCCGCTTCTATGCTGTCAACTAAGATTAATGGGGATCTCAATAAGTGATTCGACGGTTTACTGCATTATGAAAATAAGAACGCTCGCTCCGTGAGATGGCAGGTTCCGCGTGCTCTCTGTGCTCGCTTGCCGAAAAAGTTCAACTACCCAAATCCATTGGCCCATTCTGTCCATGGAAACCGTCGTCGATAGTACCTTCCGCTTCAACTCGATTCCGTGACCGCCATAACAGCTCCGCGCAAGCGCCTGTTCAGCGTCCTCATCGATTGAAGGTGGATATATCGGTGTTGGGGTTGCATATCAGGCGGGATTGAAGGGGGGGATGGGAGGAATGTCAGGGGCATCAGAAGGGGGACGCAGCCGACCACCGTGTTGTCCAGTGTAGTCGTATCAAGGATCTCCGACCGGCGCCAAAGCTCATATAAAAGTTGTTGGTGGCGTTGTCGGCGCCCCGAGGCGACGGCTGGCAGAAGATTAATTAGTACATAACGTCGGTCTATTTTTTAGGGATCGAACTATTGACTAATACTTAATTGGGTGTCGGGCCCCTGCAAGCGATTCTGAAGTACGACGGACTTCACCAAAAACCGCGTGTAGGGATAGCCGGTACCCAATGAAAACACGTCAATCGGATAAGAAATTAGTGGTATCGACGCTGTTTCGCATCAATATGCACATAATACCGCGTGCAATTCAGAGTAATTGTAAATAAGCGTGGTGATCTCCAACAGTACTTACGACAGTGGCTCGGAGCTCGTGCCACGCCACATCATGATATCAACATCTTATTTTATCACCGCTTGATACCCTTCCACGTAATACATAATATACAGACGGTCAATAGTTCTGGCGACGCTCGGGTGTCACCATGACTAAGAACGTCCCAAACGGGCAGCTCGTGACAAAGCTCACGGTAGGTCGTATCGACCTTGGGTGCTAGCTGCCGTCGTGCTTATTGCATGCATATGCGGGTCATTCTTCTCCCCATGCTCGTCTCTGGTCGCTCGTCTGTCAAAACATCAGCCAATTTAAGATGAACTGTTTATTTTTTTTAAAGACTCCGTACGGAGGAAACAACGTTGAATACTTCGTGGATTAACTCTGCATCGGGAACGCTGGAAACGTGGGCGTCTTCGGTATGTAAGCCTCTGAGGTCGATGTCCCAGTGGTAATCATCGGCCATGGAGGGATATACGTGGATTTCGGCAAGAAAGCTGTTGAATATGATTTCGACTGGCTTCGAGATAGATGTGGAGTGGGTGGACGGAGGGACGAGAGTGAGAAAACGTTGATTGCACCTTCTTCCGTTGAAAAAGGCTTACGTGGCTCTAGAAGGAGAGAGGTAAGTAGCGTGGCACTGAAGTGAAGTGGGAAGTGGGCGTAACGAGAAAAAAAATGAGGCATACCCCGAATCGAATCGTCACAATGCTTTGACCATTGTATACAGTTAGTTCCCTTCGAAGAAGTAATATGGCATATCCTCCCTCCTTCCAACAAGGTTCCGTGAAATAATGTTGTTTGCTCTTTTAAAAAAATAAAAGTCGCCCATTTGGCAACCCGAAATGACGAATGATGATGTTTGCAATCAATCATATTAACCCTTATCTGTCCTCTAACGCGCGTTGGCCTACCTTGCGTAACAGTCCGTGTTCCTGCACAAGAGGGCTATGTGTCTTGTAGGAGCGGCACTCTCTCGAATAGATGGTAGGACTGTCACGCCTGAAGAAGACATGGTATTGCCTGGAAACTGTTTGGTGTTGGGGGAACGTTGGGAGGCATGACAAGACCGGTGGGTGAGTTTCGGTCCTAGCTCCACGAGGCGTAATTTGCATCCAGCGAGGAAGGTCTAAATAAGAGATTAAGTACGCTGTGAATTTGAAGGAGGATGATATTAAGGTCGGATGAGGTTTAGCTTATCTGGGAGGGCTGGAACTGGCTGAAACGAGGATTTGAAAATGATAAGGATATAATTTGGAGATTCTCGTTTACTGGGAATAAGCTCCATGCCGCCGCTGTGCATGTGTGCAACATGGTAGTGTCATCACATTGAATGCTTCATCGCAACCTTTGACCAGCACTTGAGCTGAGCGGCTGAGGGGAATGAATATGGGTTTGTACTGTGAATACTGGAGAACTCATGCCAACGTGTCCCGCCGAAAGAGGTGGTTGTCTGGTTCTCAAAGTACGGAAACAGAAACGTGGCCAGTTCCGCCGTCGCGCTGGAGACGGGTAGAAGCTCAGGGAAACGCGCTTTATTCATGTAGCTACGGAGAAGATTCCATATCCTGAGACAGCATATGGCTATTATAGACGCAACAGCGAAGGGTCACTGTGCACCATGCGCGGTGCTGACACATCTACTTAGCAGGGGTCAGCCATAAGCCATCATGCACAGTATAGCAAGCCTCTGAAATCGTAACGAAAAACAATATTTCGTATCTGCTGGGGGTCGGGTAATTGAATTGTGAGACGTGAGCGTATCTTCACGGCGACTAGAGGGAATCACCTGTCTAGGCGACCGAGTCCCGCTAGATAGTTGGTCCTCAGCGCGCGAAGCTGCACGTGCACAAGGCTGGCACCGACGCCATCAGACCGCCGTCGGAAAATTGGGAACGCGACTTGTTCGATGTATCAACTGAGATACTTGCGCAGCACCATATCTTTGAACCATTAACTCCACGCGTCTAATGTAGCCTATTCATGGCGGACAAAATAATGGAATCAAGCTAGATGCGCGGTGTGTAAATACAATCAGAACTCGCATACATGGAATAGAGAGAAAAAAGGTATCACTTCAGCCTCGAGTAAGGGAGTGAAAAATTCGGCGCACAGCGCGGCAATGAGAACGACATCAAGACAAAAATAGATGGCAAGGGTATATACGATATCTTGAGTTGATATCGTGTTTGAGAGAATATTGGTGACGCGCATGGACGTTGATATGTATTCCAATGCAAAAGAAGAGGGAAAAGAACGACAGCTTAATAAAGGTGTGCGATGCCTTGGTACGACGAGAGAAAGAGGTGCAGAAAAATATTGATGGAAAGATCGAGGATTTGGCGACCGGGATGGGTCGACCTCGCATGTAGGAGTTCAAGTGACAGGCCTCGTGCTTACACGCTTCTCGGCGCCGCGATTCTCCGGAGGAATATATATATATGTGATGCTTATGTAATTGATCCGAGAGTCGTGTCCGGTGATGCTCTTCTATTTGTGCGGTTGACAGTACTCTCAGGCATATTTATAGGCAACTCACGGGATGATCAGCATCCCCATCTCCCTCATTCCTTTCGCCCTTTCTCTCCTTTAGCGGTTACATTAGTGATGAAGTCCTTCGTTTGCCTCCTCTCCGAACTGCTCGCCGTCGCTGTAAGTTTTGTGATGGTTTTTTTTTTTATGGCGTGAACCTTGAAACGAAAACACAATCGCTTTCGCAATATCCAGTCCGTTGTTTCTGCAACCACTATTCCTAAGGCACATAAAGCTCGTGCGGCAGTGGTCGAAGATCTGGATGCCCGTGCCCCAACGCCCGCGGGGCCGTACCCACCAGTTATTACGAGCTGTGTGAACCCCATGCAAGCGGCTGTGACGTTGGACGATGGTCCTTATGATTATCTGTAAGTTATTGGACATAAGCTGGCTCGCTGCCAGCTCGCCTACCAATGGTCCCGTCACTGTTCTGAACAAATATGAAGCCAGGAAATATCGGACTATTTCACTTGGGCCGGGGGAAAGGTACGCGTTGGCCCGTCCTTGCATCTTGCTTTTTGTATGTGCTGAGAGTTGTTGGATATGTAGGCAACATTCTTTTTCAATGGGAATAACTGTTCGTCGTCGCTTACTCACCGTCGTTATTGCGCGTTCCTGATCTTCTCTCTCTCTCTCTCCCATGATCTAGGGCGCTGCATATACACCCAGCCATCGCAAGAGTGCGTGTTCTCATGATTTGTAAGCCACCAAAGCTCACATTTTTCTATTCAGTCTTGTCAAGTATGCGTATCAGAATGGTCATCAAATTGCTTCGCACACATGGGCCCACTTGGTATGGTCGCTTATACTGTAAACCAGCGTTCTTTCACATCTCACTTCATGATTACAGAATCTTACACAGTTAACATATGACGAAAGTACAGTATCTCTTGACAGCTGTGTTCATGGAAGGAAACTGACTCAGCACGTTAGTCCACAGCGAGATGCGGAGAGTCGAGCAGGCCCTGCAACGCATTATTGGTGTCACCCCAGCGATCATGCGTCCACCGTTCGGAGCGTATAATGACCTAGTTCGCAGGGTTGCTCGTGAGAGGGGTCAAAGTGGTACGTATCTACAGCGCAATCTAACATCGTCACGGAGTCTGACCGGGTGTGTCCGTACTGTAGTGGTTACTTGGGACTTTGACAGCGGGGATTCGACAGGAGCCACTGTGGATCAGTCGAAGCAACGTTACGAAGATGCACTTGGAAAGCATCCTTCGAACCTATTGGCTTTGAACCATGAGACTAAGCAACCCACTGCGTACGTTGTGTGTATGATCCTTCCTAAATGCTAGTCTAATAACGCGTTCCTTTTCTATGTTATCACATTTCTCAGTCACCAGATTATTCCCTGGGTAGTCAAATTGCTGAAGTATAGGGGATATCAACTTGTTACGGTCGCACAATGTTTGAATGTGGAGCCTTACCAAAAGATAACCGCACCTCAGACGCCTTCGGTAAGCAAAGTTCGCTGTGGACTGTCTTTATTGCTTACGTTCTTGAAATAGCCCTCTTGGCAATGTTGAAACTTAGCTGTAGACTTGGCTAGTGGAAACCCGCGGGCTCATAAATTATCGTGTGGCTGACTTGTGGGATGCGACAACCCTAACCAGCATTCCTTTCTTTGTGGCACCCCCAATTTAATTGTGTGCTCACTTCCCTTCCTTGTTGTTCACCCACGTCGCGTCGTTTTCTAATCGTTTGCTAATACAATGCATGCGTTCGTTCAGTTGGGGCGAATTCCTCTCTTCTGAGGTAATTTGGCGGCAACCATCTTCTGGATGGGCTGATCTAAGGGGTGTGTACAACAACACCTTACGGCGAATAAGGTCAATCATGACAAGGTGTGAATTGCAGTCAGAAATGGTATTGTAACTAAGTCTCGAATTTCGGACGATTCATGTGGCATACACGATGCAAATTGGTGGGCGTTCCACCGAGCTTCCATATTGCATCAACACCATTTCCGCACGACAATTCCGCTGCAATTCTGTCAATTCGCAGCTTCCCAAGAATATCGGTCTGAGCTTGCATTACTTGCCACTAATGTGTATAGAGCCGAGCAGCCTTTGCCACTTTAATGGCTTGTCGTTTATATATTATGGATCATTTCGTCCGTTAACTCTTCGATCTCCATTAACGACATTGTGGCTAGAACAATCCCATCCAAAGGACCTGACCGGGAATGGTCCCCCATTATATATTTGCGACCCACACCGGTAGCCACGCGATGCTTCTAGCGTCAAACCATCAAGCGAGTTGCTCGTTGCGGCTCACTTTGTGGGAACCACAAATCGAGAATTACGATGATCAAAATCCTCCGTCCAGGTTCCCACTTCTCTGGGCTTGCACGATACCTGAAAAAGCTCCAGTACGAGGAATCATTGGTTGAGTCTGTCCATTAAAACTATCGGCCGGACCCTCGTCCCCCTCAAGTACTCCCCCCTTCCAGTGGTCTGAATGTGCCACCTCGACGGCCCAATTGGAAGGAGTGTTGACCCATGGTAACGAACAATGCGCTCTAATTCAAACAATGCTGACTGCATCACCAGTCTGCTGTGCAGGTTGCCGCGAAGCACTCTAGTCCAATGGTTATTCGGAATACAGTCATACATCCACCACAACACTGAGGTCTACTATTCATTCGAATCTCTACTCAGGCCCCGAAACCTCGAAGGATGCGACAGACTTCGGCACCTTCACAACCAAAATCACAAACGTAAGACGCCACCTGAATGAATGGAAGCGCGCCTGAAGGACCACATTCGTTCTACGTTTACCCTTGGTACTTGAGGTTTAAGACCATCATGTAGACCGGCTGGAAAGCTTTCGAAAGCAGGCCCCTAAAAGCACGGAAATGACATGGAGGGAAGCGAAACTTGCACTGGTATCCACTACATTAGTGGAGGGTTTTGGATGAGATGCGGAGGTAAGGGTGCTGAACACGCGCTCGCGCAGAGCTGTGATAATCAAGTTGGAGCGGAGTGGTTTCCATGGACAAAATGGGTTTGGGTAGTTGAACTAGGTAGCAAGCGAGCACTAGCACGCGGAATCTGCCATCTCGTGAAGCGAGCGTGCTTGTTTCCATAACGCAGTAAACCGTCGAATTGCGTATTAACATCCTCCCACGGGGCTATATCGACAACATAGAAGCGGACAATAGCACTTGTAGCATACTATTCAACGTGACAGCGTGAATTCGCGATGGGGGTGGTACAACGAAGTGAGCAGTCACGTAGCACAGATGGCAGAGACGTCATGGGTGACAATTTATACTTGATGAGGATCGCAAATGAAGTTAGGCCCTCCCAAATTCGAGGTCGGATTGTTCATGATGACCATGTGCAATGGATGCCTTTGATGGAAGGGCCAGAGATAGAGAGAGCGATTCACGCCGTCTTCACATCTAGCCATAGTAAGTGTGAAGATAGACCAGCTGCCTCCAGGGAAGGATCCAGCACAGATAGCAAAGGGGGGCCTGGTCCCGATTGAATTTATTTTTGCCAATTCCCCATAACCCAGGGTCCTCCATCGCCCCCACCGATACCGCACTACCCTCATTTACCTCTCGTTGTCTTGTATGGTGGCTTCTGGCATCCGTGGACCGTGGACGTCAGTCAGTGATCGTTCCAAAGTTGCTGAAGTGGCTTTGTCAGAATCGTGATGAAGGCAGAGATGTCAGAGTATGGTAATCAAAAAAGCAGCTCCTTTCAGTGCTTGGAAAGAGCAAGGCATATGTATGCTTGCATTCACAGTCTCTAACATTAGCATGGTCATCATCGTAAATTAACCAAATCCCAATTACACTTGCGGATGCCTCTCAACGCTCCTGTGTCTTTGACTCTTTGTCAGCAAATCCGCTTCTCAAAGTTGCAGGAGCGTTGAGTTTACACGCTACGATGGTGTGCACGCGAATGTTAGGGAGACTTCTGATTGAGAATGTGCAAGCATGCATGCGCCCTGGTTTTGAAAGGCGTTGCTTTTCGATTCCCGTACTCGGACATCTCTGCCTTCATCACGATTCCAAAGACAGCCACTTCAAAGACTTTCGAACGCGATATCCACGATCTACGGATGAATTGTCCACCTGGCTACGGCAAGAAAGACTGGCAGGCCGTGAATTACCCAACCAACTGGGGCCGTCACAGTGATTAAACAGACAGGGCTCGATAGTAGGATCCATGAGAGTAGAGAGGGTCAAGTTTGAAAGGGATGGAAAGAGAGGCGATTCTTTGGATGGCGAGCTTTATGTGAGAAGTGCATAAGAGGATTGGTGGCGATTGAGTGAGCAGCGATTAAGAGTGCGAGACACACTGATAGATGGCAATTTCACCCGCCCAGCGTGAACTATTGATAGCGAAGCAGTGACGTCCACCTGGCATCCAGTGCGCCCCTCCGCCGTCGCGCCGTCGCCTTGCCACTCAAATAAGGTACCGTTGTTCCTTTGTCCTGCGCATAACCCCTTCCTTTCTTGTCGACCCGAAGCCTCTTCGCTTTCTTAATGTCGGATGTCGGACATCTAACAATTAGACGATGTACGATAGGTAAGATGCTTCCTCTTTGGGCTGCAGACTAACAATTAGGCGACGTACCGTAGTTAAAGACCTAGTGATTTTTCGGACCCGTGAGAGCTAGATCGAGGTTATCGCCATGCCGCTCGGGAGTACGGTGGTCATGTGCACTGTAACCTACGCGAATATTCAGCCACCAAGTTATTTTTTATTTTTTATTTTTTTGGTGGAACCCCTGTAGCTTTCACTCCACGGTCCACCAAATTATTGTCTGCGCAATCTTGCATTGCAACAAACAAGCTCTGCGATAACGTACAGCGTGGTGAGGCGCGGACCCACGATCACGGACGCGGCTCGAACGCGATTCATACTTCCACTTTCCGATGAGGGCAAGATTACTTAATGTGGTGCTCTTTCGTCATCGTTGTGGAGTAAGTTGAATGGAACGCACGTGATTCCCTCGATTCGGAAGTTGGTTCGATGACGTTGAGGATGGATGTTGGCGTTATAAGAATGGGGTGAAATTTAACCCCCCCCTCAGTCACCTCATTGATCGAGGACAACCACCATGAGAGTTTTCATACCGCTTTTCCTCATTGTCGCAACCGCGAACGCCAATTGGTTCTCGAAAAATACCGGTTGTGAGTTCAAGTGGCGCCCTCACTGAAGAAACGTGTTTGCAGCGCTAACCTAGTTTCGTCCTCCCGCAGCCTCCCCCGCAAAGGAGTGGTCTGATTGGGATCAAGATAAACTAAACGATTGGCTCAATGAGCACAGAATCGGGGTGCCAAAGGGATCCTCAAAAGAAGAGCTTCAGACACTCGTCGGAGAAAACTGGTATGCCGGCCAAGAGTGGACTCAGAAGCAATTCGGTGACCTCGCGGCTCGCTACAAGAATGTGAAACAATCCTCTATCGATTCGTACGTTATGTTATCTCTCATGTGTCGCGCAGAGGGGAATCGACATTAACAGGTGGACTGAGAGCGAAACTCGTGATTGGCTTCAAAAACATGGCGTTGTTCCTCCTCCGTCCTCTCCGCTTGACAAGTTGAAACAGCTTGCTTACAGACAGTACGAGTTCTAACCACTTCCTCGTCAGGATTTTGAAACTTAGCTACATTTTTCTCCAGATACCGCGCCTACCAATCTGCCTCTTCCTCTCTCGCTGACAAAGTCTCTACTTCCATTTACGGCGCCAAGGGATACCAAGCCGAAAAGACAATTTCGAGTCTGTCACAAACCGCAACCTCTCTGCCGTCTTCTGCTTCTCAGGCTATCCAGTCCATCATTTCGGACGCTAGTGACTATACTCAAGAGAGGCTTGACGACACAAAGGATTATGTATTAAATCTTGCTTTCACATGTATGAGATCACTGACCCTTGGCGTCGGTTAATGACGTCATTAGGTCTTCTCGACTTGGGACAACAATCAACTGAGGTTGTATCTTGAGGAGAAAGGTGTTATTGAACCAACCTCTGAGCTCACTCGCAATGAGCTTCTTGCCAAGGTCAAGGGGGCATACTTAAGTGTCTCGGATCCTATTTGGAGTGCATGGAGTGATTCGTGTCTCGTAAGGCTTTCTTTGTCATCGAGCGACCGTAAGTTCACAGATATGTCATCTGCTCCTTAACAGTTCAATTGGCTTCACTCTCGTGGTCTCGTCAGCACTGACGAGGAGAAGAAGCGCGACCAACTGGTTAAAGCTGCAGAGAAGTACTACTACAATGCCAAGGACAATGTATATGACTCTTGGACTGAGTCTCAACTCCGTGAATGGCTCATCGATCACAACGTCATCAAGTCTGATGCCCAGATTCGAAGGGAGAAGCTTGAAAGGCTTATCAGAGATAATTATGTGACCGCACTTGACACTGTTTGGGGTGGTGAGATTTCGCATCTGCCCAATCTGCGCATCGCGCGTATTAATCATAACTTTATTCGTATCAAGGCTGGACGGATTCCGAGCTGAGGAGCTGGCTCATCGAACATGGTTATCTTCGCTCGGATGCCCAAGTCAAGCGTGACGAACTCGTCAAATTGATGAATGACAAGTATACAGACGTTGCTACGACTGTCGCTGCGTACCTTACTTGGCCAGATGCTCGTCTCCGCGCCTACCTCCGCACCCATGGTGTCGACGACGCATACGTTCCGACATCTCGTCCTAGCCTTCTTCATGAAGTCCGTATCCGGTGCGTCATAACGCTTCTTCGGCGCTTTTTTTGTTCACATCATCAGACTGAATTAGATGGGTTCGAACGAGTAATCGTGTTGAGGAGATACTCCAGAAGATTCGCGATGCTATTTCGCATAGTGCAGAATCTGTTGAAGAGCGCCTGGCCGACGTTCTCTCCCTTCTCACCGGCACTGCGCACGACGCCAGGGAATACACCAAGACGAAGGTCGCCGAGGGATACGAGTATGCCTCGGAGAAGGGCGAGGAAGGATATGAGTATGTGCAAGGGAAGGGACATGAAGGACAGGAATACCTTACTCAAAAACAGAAAGAGAAAGCTAGCAGTTTGAGCGGTGCTGCTGGCAAGACGAGTAGGGGTGCCAAACAGGAGTTGTAGCTTTGTTATTCGAAAGGAGGGCAATTTATGGGGCCAGGGTTTCCCTGCTTGCCATTGCATGATGGGCGTTCACGGTTTGTATGAATGTTAACTGCAGCACTGAATCTGCATTCATTATTATATCTGGGCACTCAAACCCAATGGAGCCTATGTGCAGAAAGTAGTTAAGGGATTATTGAGATCAAGTAGGGCATGGTGTTCAGACCAAAACGGCGAGTGAGGCAGGCCGTGTCAAACCCAGAATTCTTCCGAGGCGTTACCGTCTTTGCTATCGTTTACTGTGTCCCTTATAAGTGAGGTACGCGCAGTGGATCCTTCGAGGGTTGTAACACTCCTTGCTGTGAAACGCTCTGGGCTATAGTTCATTCATGTGGTCGTATCTACAGCTTTCAAAAAATAATTTAATTTCTAAGTTATATAGCATTTACATCTCCCCCCATCTGAGTTTTCCTGCCTCGGATACAGTAAATGCACTAGCTCCAGCGATGACAACAGTCATTGTGACATGTCGCCCGTCGATGAGCTGACGCTACGCCCTCTCCAATGAAACACCCTTGACTGTTTTCGTGCGTGCATCGGCTTGATCGTCGTTCGCCGACTTGATGGAGATCTTCCTATCTACTTCAGTTACACTGGGGCGAACGATGGGGGTGGCATTGTGTGACCTATGAAGATAGTACGCTCAGGAGTGGAAGAGTTCGTGTAAGTAACAGAGCACCGAGTGGGAGGGAAGGGAGAGTTGGAAGATGAGACGGGTCTAATAAATGAGATTGGTTCAAGATTAAGGTTGGTACCCCCAAGTTCCGCAGCGATAGTCCCGTTCCAACATGGTTACATTGGAAACGGAAGCGGCGACGACGGAGGCAGCATCAGAAGGCGACGTATTGAGAGTCTTGTGATCTCGGGCCGATGAGAGGGAGAGCGATGCCCTTGAGTTTTGGAAGAGCTGCGTATCATCTTCGATCCCGAAGAGGACTGTTTACAGACTAGGGGGATATCACGATCGTGAATTGATTTAACAGTGAGCAGTTTGCTGATGAGGATGGCGAGGAGGTGGGAGAGGCACAAAAACAGCGAGCTGAAAAACGGCAGGCAGGCAGCTTAGCGGCTCGGGCAGGGGGAGTAGGGCTTAGGTGTTAGTCTGAAGTCTGGCGGTTTGCCCCGATCTCACTCCGGGGCTAGCAGCAGGTAGCAAGGAAGGAGCATTCCAGCCCTCTCTGTGCGGCAGGTCCAGACTTGTTTCAAACCTCTGCCGAGTTGATCCGCTCCACGCCATCCGCACCGTGCAAACCAAGACAATGGGCCGCGCTTATTTGAATTGCTGGCAGGCAACGTCAAGAGGGACTTTAGCGGATGGGCTAGGGATGGGCAGTACGGAGGCTGCATGCCGTCCCGCAAGTGGTCCTGTGAGCGGCGCAAGCGTGAGACAGGTGATGGATGGATGGATTCATTTTAAGAGTTCGTATCTATATGATGACAACAATATTATGAGACATGTCAAGGGTGCACGTGTCTCATCACAGACCTTAGACTCCCGCGTCAAACGTAGTTAGGTCGACTCTGCACGACCACCGCAGGCATCTATATAATGTTACGAAGTCATAAAAACTGGAATCCTGTCTACCGAAGGCAACCCGTTGTAACCTCACTTGACATCTACGGCTCGTCACCTCATACAAGTTCCGAGTGTAATGCACCCAGATTCGATTCCAGAAGACATTTTCATCGCCTTTGGTGCATTATTAACCATTGATGATGTGTTCTCATTAAGAAAGGTAAATCTCCAGGATGCCCTTATATTTATTTGCGAAGCCTTGATGATTCTCCAGTGTGGCTCAAAGCATTTCTATTGGATGTCGCTTTCAAAAGCATTTTGGCTTGCCTGGATAAATGAGAACATTGCCAAAGCAGGCTTGTGGACGCCACAGCACCTCAGCGGATTACGCGCCTCACCAAGAGCTGTTCTGGAGCGCCTGGCTGTTCGGACTTTTCGTCTCTTGCGCAATCGTGACCTGCGGACTTTACGTCCCCGATGTCTTAAGAACATTCAATGCAATGCTAATTCTATATCATGGCTCACTCTATACGGAGGCCGTTGGCTCTTCCTCGCATCTACCCAGGGAACGTTCGAGCTCTGGGACATCCACCACGATCATCGTCGTCGGCCACTTGATTTCCATTCTACTGGCGGATGGGTATGCTCGGGGCTCGTTCATTCTTTTCAAACTGATGTCGATAAACCTATTCTTGTCGTCTCGTACAGGTGACTCGCGTTCGATCCTATCCGTGTGGTGTTACTTACATTTGATATCAGCAATCATAGTTCTCAGCTGCTAGAATGTGCATTAGGTGGTCATTCCACGCTCACTCATCTGAGGACATACGACGCTGCTTCTGAGCCACTTACTGCACGTAATGACCTTATTCTATTTGCTACTTCAGTTGAGCCGGAAGTATTAACGCTTGCCAGAATGGATGGTGCAACATACACTCTCACTTCCAAAGTCGATGATATTGCTGTAAGCATTTCAGTTTTGCTTGATGGCGTGAATTGAGACACTGTTTCAGCCACAACGTATACAGACTGCAGTTTTTACGGAATCTGATATCATTGTCTTCAAATATTCCACCATCCACATATACGGACTTGACGTGTTGGACAAGCCTCCCATCTGCATCAATCCCAAACAAGTCATAAAGCTCGAACTTACCCTCTTCCAGATCCAACCATGGATCACAGCAGATCCGGGCCATTCCACTATTCATCTGATTGCTCGCAACGCCGATCAACGTTTCACACTCTGTCAGCTGGACATGGATAATGACACTGGATCAATGGCCCTGACTAAATCCTATGTGGGGTACGATTGGCTAGGCGTGGGATGGCCATGGATTCGCAATCTCGCAATCGCTTCCAGCAACAGGAGCTGTGTCTTCTTCTCTGGTAATGAGTCCCCTCATAATCCAAGAATTGTCGCCTGCTCGATAGAAGAGGACCGACTCGGTGAATTTCAGGTATTATGGGAGCTCCCTGGACCTGATTGCTGGGACTGTGGTTTATACTTGTCGTTTGATGATGTTCTTGGTATAATGACAATTGGAACGTCCCAGGGAAGTGTATGGCTTGTTGATTTTGGGTAGGTGATAATCATTGCTGGTCCCCTTGTGGTGCTCACTGTGTTTGCGTGTCACAGACTATTAGGGGAGAACTCAGTGTTTATCAATGGGAAAGCGAATATCCCGCGGGAATTACAGAAGAATCCCATTTTAGCTTTACGTTCATATCTGGAGCTTCCTACAGATAACTCCCTATGCCCACCGCCGAATGACTTTAAGTCAGTGTGCACCCCCTTTCTTCATAACCATTGCTAACCCTGAACAGGTACACAAGTAATATGGAACTGCAAGTTGAGTTGTCATCTCAACTCGCATCACCACTATTGATGTACTTTCCAGCCCTTTCTGCCACCAGTCCCTGGAGGGTGGCGCCCACACCCAGACATCCTTTTCCCATCATCATACAAGTGGGGAATGATGGGATCTCCACCACCTTCGTCTGTGCCGCAAGAGTTCACACTAAGAGGCTGGTCAAGACGTCGGTCTGAGGAACTTTGTTTCTGGGTTCCTTGGACATACCCTTCTCACCATTCTGAAATGCTCAATCTTCTAAAGCTCCCCCATGGCGACTTTGAAGCTTTGTTAATAGGGAAGGATGAGGTGGTTCTGTTTCGCATTGGGTCTATGTTCGACTTGTGGGATCCTTTCCCTTCTTCCGTGTGCTGGTTTCCTGGAAACTGGACGCTTTCCAGCTTCCTCAGCGAGCTCAGAGGCGAAGGCCTTCCTCCTGCTGTTTTCTTTGGTGACCCTGATGGCGATGAGGAAACATTTGAGGAACATTTTAGGGGGTGGTACACATTAGGAAGGCTTTTTGGGGCTGTTGACACATTTGGGTATGGTTATGATGAGGTTTTTTGTGAAGCACATCTGCTCACTGGGGAGGAGCACTGACACATCACTGTTATCATTTGCATCCAAATTTATCATTAATATTGTTTTCCGAGTGCAATTGCTAGCTTGGTTATAAGGCAATTGTGATGTAGCGCTCAGCCGGAGATCGGGATATTCAAGCGGGGCAAGATCTCTGCATGACATTGTAACCATGCAGCACACGCCTGTGGAAATGGCGGGGACAACCAGATTTCCATGCTATTTCCCACAGTAGATATTGGTTCTGTCCACTGGCGGATTGAGGCTTGGTGGAGGCCAGGAAAGGATGGGTGGTTGATTTATCCATTGCGTATCAAGCCCAGATCTAGGAACCACGTTTTCCAATCACGGAATGCGTGACGCTATATACTGATCAACATGGTTCATTCGTCTCCAGATGTACACACAGGATAATAAAACATGGACGCCCTCTGAGCTCTCTCTCTCTCTCTACCCCTTATAGCACGACCCAGAAGCTACTAGAGTCCCCAATGGACACAGGCCGGATACACCAAGAGCCACTCGACGAAGCTCAGTGGTGCCTGCATGAACGTCATTGTACCGTGTTGTCCTCCCATTCGGTAATGTGACACATTCGACAGTCATCAGAGCCTGAGGCATGTAGGGGTTCTGGGGAGATGACCCAGCGAAAGGCTTTATAGCACACAAGGGAGTACTCTTGTTAGTCCTGATAGTTGCAAACGACCAGGAAGCAATGCCTACTTTTCAACACATGTCATGTTTTCAACTATAAATCGGGAATTGCCGCCAATGGCACTGCGTTATCCGATGAAAGGATTAGGTGAACTATTTGATTCAACTGGGTGCTTCTGACTGGATTTTGATCTTTGTGTTCATGCGGATATGCTCCACCATCATGGTCGGTACTACTCTATTCTGCCATACAATTCTACATCGACAATAGTTCAGCAAATCTACCATTCTGTTGGCTTGTATATACTCTCCCCAACATCAACAACTCTGTTGTGACAGCAGTCTGACGCCAAAGGCACACGCCTCATCCAATCCCCCTCTTCTCTTATCTCTATTTGCTTAGATATCCAATTCAAGCTTACCAGCCACTGTGCAGGTAGCAAAATGGAAGAGATAAGGGGAAGTAGGAGGATTGCATCGCTCAAATGCAAACCATTTGTGCTTCGGAATGATGCCCGAGATTGGAAAGAACGTTACGTAGATTATTAAGTGACATGGCCAAATCTGGGGTGTGCGCTCCAGGGTTAATGGCGACTAGCTGCCGCCAGATTCTAACACTTTCTTCAATAAACGGGAGGGCTGAAGAGTGCCGCCCGAGCACGGAAAGAGCGTCATATAGATTGTTGAGTGATGTGGCCAAATCCGGGTTGTGTGCTCCTGGATTAACGGCAACTGGCTGACGGCAGAGTTTAATGCTTTCTTCAATGAATGGGAGTGCTTCGGAATGCCGTCCGAGTTTGGAAAGAGCGGTGTCATATAGATTGTTGAGTGACCTGGCCAAGCCTGGGGTATGTGCTCCTTGGTTAATGGCAACTAGCTGGCGCCAGATTTTGATGCTTTCTTCAATGAATTGCAGTGCTTCAGAGTGTCGTCCGAGCTTGGAAAGAGCTAAACATAGATTGTTGAGTGATAAGGCCAAATCCGGGGCATATGAACCTGGGTTAACAACAACTAGCTGGCGGTAGAGGGTGACGCCTTCTTCGATGAATCGAAGAGCCTCAGAGTGTCGTCCGAGCTTGGAAAGAGCATCATATAGATCGTTGAGTGACAAGGCCAAATTCGGGGTGTGCAATCCTGGGTAAACAGCAACTAGCTGGCGGTGGAGTGTGACACTTTCTTCAATGAATGGAAGGGCATCGGAGTGCTGTCCAATATTGCAAAGAGCAGCACATAGATATGTGAGTGACATGGCCAAATCCGGGGTGTGTGATGCTGGGTGAATAGTGACCAGCTGGCGGTAAAGTGTGACGCTTTCTTCGATGAATGGGAGTGCCTCGGTGTGCCGTCCAAGATTGGAAAGAGCCAAATATAGATAGTCCAGTGACATGGCTAAATGCGGGGTGCATGATCCTGAGTCTGAATGAACAGCGATTAGCTGGCGGCGGAACTTGACGCTTTCTTCAATGAATGGGAGTGCCTCAGAGTGCCGTCCAAGGGCAGAAAGAGCAACAGATAGATTGTTGAGTGACATGGCCAAATCTGGGGTGAATGATCCGGGGCGAACCACAACTAGCTGGCGGCAAAGTGTGGTGCTTTCTTCAATGAATGGAAGCGCTTCGGCGTGACGTCCGAGCTGGGCGAAAGCACCGTATAGATTGTTAAGTGACATGGCCAAACAGTGGGTGTATGATCCTGGGTTAACAGCAACTAGCTGCCGGAGGAGCTTGACGCATTCTTCCATGAATGGGAGCGCCTCTAAGTGCCGTCCGAGCCCGGAAAGAGCTATACATGTGCTGTTGAGTGACCTGGCCAAATATGGGGTACAGAGCTCTGAGTCCACACAAACAAGGTTACGGCAAAGTACGACAGAATCGTTTGCTGCTTCATATGCCTCCTGGAACCTTGAAAAAAATACTAAATTCTCTGGAAGCCCTGCTAGCACACTGGCTAGTGCGCCGGCAGCATCTTCTGACTTGTGGTCAACAGTCAACTGGAAGATCGTAAGCTGATTTCACTAACGCAATTGATAAACCATACCTTAACCCACTCAGGGAGTAACGAGACACTAATGTAACCTTCCGTTCTCACACAGACTTCCACCCACGGAATTGCTTCCTGACTCAGAAACGTGCTAACTGACCCATTGAGCTCCTGTGATGGCTCCTGGACTTCACTGAGATGGTGGACAATGTGGCGACATGCATAATAAAGATGCTCGGGTAACTTCTCTAAGGGAATGCACGGCACTTCATCTCGTTGGGATATGTTTTCAATCAATCCTAGGCCCTCCACAGAGCCAAGATCCTGGTTCAGAATCTCGGTACATCGCAGGGCAATCCTAGCATTCTCCACCCCCAGATCTACTGGATTGCAACCAGGGTCAATTGAGTGGGGATCGATCCGGTCCACGATGAAGTTGCGGAAGGATTGATGTAGGGTGCGAATCGGAATGTAAGAATCCTCAACCCCCGAGAGGAGAGGAGCAAGTTCGGCCACCGCGTATCGAACAGAAGACTTGAGGAAAGGTGACAAAATCGTATCCCAGGCTGCCACAGATAGAGGTTGCTTTGCAACGAAGATTGCTCCCATCACGATTGGGTAGTCGTGCACAAAATCTTCATCCCCCCAATTACACTTCTTCAAAATGCTCGAGTACAAGAGATCTATCATTCTCTCAGCAGGGACCTTTGGTCGCTTGGCACTGGTGCCTAGAAGGCTTTCTAGGGTCCTCATAGGGTCCTTGTTGGCCATCTTCATGTAGCGAAAGATGGTGCTAACCCAAATAAACAAGCCACCCGCTCGTTCTAAGATCTCCTGTACTGTTTTATCCTCGTCATGCAGATTATGCCGCAATTCGGAATGCCAATCCTTCAGCTCTTGTAGCTGGAAGCGTATGTATGCAGCGCAGTCCTGCACGTTTGTGGCGTCCGTGAGATCAATGGTAAGATGGTCGATAGAGACATGGCGTAAGAGGGAGCGATTAACAAGATCAACATGTCTCGATGTGACAAAAAACTTTATGGAAGGTGGTAACTTGGGCACTTCCTCGCGGAGAATCTTAGCAAGGGGTTCAAATGCTCCTTCATCACATTCGTCCAAAGCGTCGATGATAACCACCAAAGGACGGTCGGAAAATGGAGGTTTACGGTGGAGAGGCGAAGCCACCAGTTTCTTGAATTGTGTGGTGAGTGGAGCCGTGGAGAGACTGGGGTCATTTCGAAGAGTAGAGGTAATGAAAGTGCGGTAAACCGGGTCACGGTCTGCTAGAGCTCTAGCCATGCCGCTGAATAAGAAATCGGGCCGTGGCTGTTCACCTTCCCTGAAGAAGAAACGTAGTAACAGGGTAGCTTCCCTTTCACATCGTTCTGCTATCGTGAGTGCAATGGAAGTCTTGCCGGCACCGGCTACAGCAGTCAGCAGCATTAACCGGTTCTCGCTATCCCCAGTGTTACGACACCATGTCATAATACGTTCAGTGAGGTCAACCCTCGTACCATCTAGGCACGCCTGAGTGGAATCATCGTGGGCAATATGAGGGTACCGGAGACTACCGAGAATTGTGTCACCCTGCAAACGGTCTACACCACCTTCTATGGCCGACAATTTGACACCAGTCGTTAAGTTCGTCCTAAGCTGCATTGGCCGAAAATCAGAATGATTGTGGGACGACATTATGAAGGAAGCTACCTGAAACGATGCCAATGCCTTGTCAAGATCTTTCTTTAGGTCATCAATCCGTCCTGCGTCTCGCAAGCACGAAAATACATTTATTAAACCCGGCCGTTTCTCTGCCTTTCCCTGTCTTCGTTCGATTTCGGACCTAATCCTCTGTAGCGCGCTGGGATTCCCTGTAAGTATGATGCCAAAGACCACCAAAAACAAATACGACTTACTCATTAAGCTTTGTGGCACTCTCCACCCACAGATTTTCTCCTTCCGAATCCGCTGACGTATCATAGGATTCTATGGCCGAAACCACCTCGGCCACGGCGTCGACCGCATATTGACCAAGATCAACCCATTCCTTCTTGTTCTCCTTGAACTTCTACGTGGCGCAAAACTAGCGTGAGCGGCTTTCATTCATGGTCAAACACAAATCATTCCCAACCTTTGTCTCATCGAAGATGAAGAGTGCACTGCCAGTCGCGCTCTTTAGAGGGGGGCACCAATCAGCTGTAACATGGACGACTCGGAGGATTAAAATTGCTGCGTCACCACCCGCTACGAGGAGACCATCGATTCTCTGCTTGAGAGCTTCAGCCTTTTGTCGCAATGACATGGCTGATAGCAGACAAGTGGATGGAGGAGCGACAAGTCTGGATACAGCAACACACAAGCCACAAGACTATTATGAGTGGGCATCATAAATTCGTTGATGGCTGGACACGATAGGGACCTCTGATCCAATATCAATGAATTCCCGCATCCCGGTGGCATGTCATGGGTGGATGATCGCAACAAGTTCCTATAGCATACGGCCATGTGCGCGCGTGTATTTCGGGGGCGCTGCAGGAAACCATTTGTCTGGCAGTGGCTGGAACAAGTGAGGGAGGTACTTGAGCGCGCAAAACGAAGTTTCACATGTATACGGTATAGTAATCTGACCACGCTTTCGCGCTGGAACAATTCAGTACCACTGAAGGGGGACCATCGATGATGCAGCATTCAGCCATACGACCTCCTCCTATGTCACCGCTATCGTAGTATCGTAACGTCAGGAGTGAAGCTAACTCAGATCTCGTTCTCGATCTCTAATTCCTTTGCTATGACGGCTATTTTAACAATCTTCTACTGGCCACTAGTTGCCTTGGTTGAACGGGTTGTCATGTAGATCGAGGAATGGCGTTTGGTGTGGGGCAGTTACCACATGAAAGATCGGGTGGATTCTTAGGCTTGTGATGATCAACTGTGCGCTTTGGACCGGATTCTAATCCCTTTGTTCGTTGCGGACGTTCCCCCATGGTCTGTACGACTGTATTCTGCCATACAACTCTGCCACCGTCCTCTAACCCTTCACCAAGCGGATCTATCGTTCCGCGGGGGTTATATACTCAGTGACTACTCTCCTGACCCACTTTACTCCCAATCCTTGATAGTTCCCATCAGCTTTAACGGTGGAAAGGGCGCAAGGAATGTTTCCACAACAATCCGATGGCCGCCTTTTTACCAAATGGCCGGAATATTTACTTATGTGTCTCCCCCCCCTTTTTTCCCTCATCGTCAATGAGAGGCTGGTGTGTCATGATCGGAGAGTTGACAGCTGTCAGAGTTATGTCAGCAGCGGAGCTGAGGTGAGATTCCCTTTATCTGGAACGTAGCCATAGACATTCTAATATTGTACGTACTTTCCTAGCGCTTATACGCCGCTAGGTAATTATGGATCAATACTTAGTTCACAACTAGGCGCTTATACGCCGCCAGTCTCCCGAAAATATTTAATTTCGGGACCGCTGCAGGAGACCATATATGTCCTGAGTAATACCTCCACACTCTGATAAGCGCTCGGATGAAATTTCACACGCAAAACTTGCCCGTGAAAACACAACATTTGTGCTTATTCAGTTGTAGAGACACGTGCCCTCGATCGATGCTGTTGACCTTCTCTTCCTTTGGCGCCAGGAACTGGATCTCTCATCGCCACCCATAGTACTATTGCGATGGAAGAAATAAGACCTGAATTTTCGTTCTCATTTCTCATATACATTCTTCTGGCCCCGAATGGGTTGCCCTGGAGGCGGAATGACGTTTGGGCCTGTACAAAGTATATGAGCTATGTGTGGCTGAAAGGTTGCTAGTTTGTCGGAACCAACTGTTGCGCTTCTTGTTACCCCATTGAGTATCTATTCTGCCATACAACTCCACTACTTGAGCGGATCCATCCTTCCGTTGGCTTATATATAACCCCCCCCCCCCCTCAGCCAACATTCAACATCTCCCCTCTTCTCTTATCCCACACTCAACTAACCAATGTCTAATCATCCTTTCTTCAAACAACCAGGTTGGAAGACGGGCGTCTTCAGTGGCACCAACTATCACTATCTCTCCATTAAATCTCACGCCGGCAAGGCCACTTTCCTCCTCCTTCATGGGTTCCCTACAGGTAATGACCTCCCCTACCTCTTTCTCGATTATCATCAGCACACAATGCTAACAGTAAACACTGTCTTACGTTTATCTGACATCATTCGCATTATCCCCATTACAACTATATTCGAATCTGCGGGGCTCGAAAACTAAAACCAACCTCCGCAAATGACGACGACAAAATACACACACACAAACTCAAAAAGGCGCATTCACCTTCAAGGGTTTCGTTCCCGAGCTCACCTCCAAGGGATACGGCATCATCCTCCCTGAACTCAAAGGATACGGGAAAACGGACAAACCCACCGACGTGGCCGCTCTAGCTTATAAGACTCAATCGGATGAGATCGTTCAGATTTTGGACAAAGAAGGGGTCAACAAGGTGATCCTTGTAGGTCATGATTTTGGTGAGTTTGGCTCAAGTTGCTCCTGAGCCCGATCGTGAGTGGCTTGGGGGTTGTTTCCCTTCTTATTTAACTTTCGAATGTTTCTTTTTTGGGGGGGTTCTTCAATTAGGTGGCGCACTGGCTCCTAGATTCGCTCAATACTACCCCGATCGTGCCACCGGACTCGTCCTGTACGTCTTCTAGTCTGCTCGATCACTACCACAATCGCCCCTCTCCCTCCCTCCCCTCTCCTCTCCTCTCTCTCTTTGCTTGCCAATTAAATTGACTAATTATTACCAACACAGTGCCTCGCTTCCATACGCCCCGCCTGCTCCAACCGGTCTAAACCCGGATTTGCTCCTCCAAAAATTCAAACCCATCTTGGGGTACGAGAACGTGGGTCACATCAAGTACTTTGCACATCCAGATTCTGCAAAAGAGTTGAACGAGAATGTGCGTTTCCCCTATCGATTCATTCATTCATTCATTCATTTTTTTGTCTTTAGTTGGAAACGTTCGTTTCGTTACTTTATGGAGATCCAGCTCAATGGAAGACGCACTTAACGCCCGTCAATGCTTTATCGACCCACATCAAAGAGGAACATCGTAAGCATGAAAGTTGGCTGTCTAAGGAGGTATAGTATTTTTTTATCGAGTTGATCCCCATCATCGTCTTTATGAATAATATTGTCATTAGGATAAAGAGACGATCGTGCAGTTCTTGGCAGAGAATGGACTTGAAGGTCCTACCCTTTGGTTTAAGGCAGCTACGTCCGAAGTGAACGTCGCAGCCGAAAAAAGTACGTCTTATTTATTTATTTAGAAAAAAATTAACGGAGTGACTCATCTTAAAATCTGTTTATTTACCATGGAACAAAAACCAAAAAAAACACACAGCCATCACCTCCCCACGTCTAACTCTCCCATTCTTATCCATCTCACCCGTCCACGAAGCGACGTACCCACCACCCATCCTCAAAGCTCAAGCGGCCCTCGCGGAAAACTTTACGATCATTCATCCCGATACGGGTCATTGGCCTTTCGAACAACAGCCCAAGGAAATTGCAGTGCAAGTTTTGAAATGGGTCGAGGAGAAGGGGATCAGTTCTTCCAGTTCCGTCTCGACGGAATCGAAGGGTATGTATGGCTGTTGACTTTGATTTGATGATGATGTTGTTTCCTTCTCTTTCCTAACGATTCGCTTTTTACCTCTTTTTTTTAAGATTAGCTGGGCCTGTGCAGGAACCTCAACCTTCGTCTTCAACGGCTCCAGCTCCGTCTCCAGCTCCCCCAAATCGGAAAGGGTTGATTGATCGAGTTTCGAAATGGATTAAGAGCAAGTCGAAGCGGTCGAGTGGTTAGGCATCGTGTCGTAATCGGAGTCATCGATTTTTTTCTTTCTTTCTTTCTTTTTCTTTTTCCAACCATTGAAAGAAAGTGCCAAATGTCCTTTCTTGTATGTACTACTAGTTCCCTCCCCCCCCCTCCTCTCCCTTTCTTGGAAAAGGTGCTAACTACCTTTATCTTGCGGCATATGAGCCAATCATACAATTCCAGAAATTGAACGTCAAATACGTGTGTTGAAATAGTCCTTACTTCTTTGCGTGGAGGTCCCTGCACGGGTGCACGCAAAGGGTTTCTATATAATATGTAGCGTTGCCGTATGAAGTGTAATAACTGCGACTGACGCGAAAAAGCCCGCCACTCTCCCCATTTCCATGCATGGCCCCCATGCAAGGGGATGGGATGGATTTGGGAATATCCGAGTTCGTAACGTACCGAATTGAGGCTGTTTGCGGTTAATTATTGTGTCAAATGCATGGAGTCGCCACTGGGAAGGCCTCTTCGATCATATTGGGAAAGCTCGATATCGCGTGCCCCCTAGCTTCCTTGTGCGACTCACGAGCCGCGGAGCCATGCATGCAAAGATGCCGGTGGGGATCGATATCCTTCTTTCACTCCGCACTTGATTACTCAGCCTCGAACTATCTATCACTATCAAAAGTTCCGTCCCTTCATATTTTCGGTGCGATCCCGGCAATGGGAACCACCGCGTCACCTTTTTAGTATGATTATTTTCATCAATAACACCAGAGGCGAACTCATGCAAGGGGACAGAGAAATTGATTTATGCGCACCCTCGACTACCCTGCCAGGTCACCAGCATCAATTCCTTTTCCTCCCCCTTACTGAGCAGGACTTTGACCTAGGTTGGCAAGAGCCGACATGCAACAGTGCATGATGAGGAGCATGGTGAGGGGGAAATCTAGCTATAGCACTAAGACAGAGAAGCTGCCAGTGAGAGAGTGATTGGCTCATAATTGCCCAATCCAGTGGGTTGAGTGGGCTGACATCGCGCCAGCGCTGTAACCATGCTGGGCAGTACATCATGCCTCTGCTATGCTTGTCGTTCGGGATTCAGGACGCATCTCTATCATCCTTACTTGCGAAAAGTATGTCCAACCCAAGTTATGGCTAACATCGGAATGACCGACAGGGGGGTCACCAACCAGTGGCGCAAGTCTCCACGAGTGAGTTTTGGGCGACGAAATGGGTTGCGAGTGGGATTTTTTTTGAACCTGGTTGCCAAATATGTAATGGGGCGCGGGCGCGAGAAAGCAACGAGCATGTACATGCAGACTTTTGCTTGAAAAATGAATCGGGGGTGCAGATAAACCTTTCAGTAGCCGTGAACACTCAATTTGCAGACCCAGATAGGGAGGGTCGAACTTGGAGCGCGCGTGGGCCAATGGATACATTTGACAGCTTAGTTCAGTGGATCGTTCAAGTGCAGGCCGAATGCATACAACGGAGGCATTGCACTACGAGGCACGGAAAGTCCTATTTGCAAAAAAGAGCAGCAGCAGCAGGAATCCTTATGTTTGATCGATCCCGAAGAAAATCAACTTAGTTTGAGGGGATAACCACCATTAGTTCATTCCCACGGCATCCGATGGGGTGCAAATCAATTCAATCCAAAATCTTCGTGGGACATATGTAATGGTACAGTATATGTAGAGATGAGGGACCGCGATTGTTCGTAGGCAGGTTACTAGCCTCTATTGTTCGCATGCATCGATACACATACACAGATGACGGATCGTTCCTTGCATTCATTCTTGTTTGACAGTTCTTTGACATGAACACCTAAGCACTGTCGCGTCAGTGCTTTTATGTAATTCTATTCATTTCTTTGTAAGTATTTCATCCCACCTTTTCCCCATCTGCAAGCGCACTGGTAATCGACTCTCCACATTGGCATTCACATACCTTGCTCCCTCTCTTTTCTCATGCAGGGGAGTACTACTGTTATTCATGTTACTGCCGCGGTTCAATTCATCCCTTGTTTCCTTCCGAGCTCCGCAACGCTGGTGTAGGGGTGCAACAGCGGCGCCACGAAGGAAGAAAGCTTTGCCTCCACGAAGCAGCTCAGCGTTCACGTGTATCATCTCGCTAGCTGCAAGGTGCAGCTTTTGCACCCATTAGTCTTCCCTTTGAATAATCTCCTGGGAAACCCCGGCCGTAGCGGTACAAGTGCGCGCACACCCTCGAAATGATAGTGACCTGTCTTATCCGCATCGGTGGCTAGAAGAAACTACTATGGTTTCAAATTTGTTCTATGATCTCACCTTGATATTCGCACTATGCCAGTGTGGGGTTCTCTATCTCTGCTCCACACCTCCCACTCTACCCTCGTGGTCAACTTAAATGCACCTTACGGCGCAAGCATATACCTGGCCCTAGGGCCAAACATTAAAAGTGGCTCTATTCCGTTCTTTTCATACACACATAGAGGGGGCGGTCTTCACGCTTTCTGTGGAAACGCCGTTACTGTTTCTGCGTAGCAACAGTGCCGCTGCGCTTTCAATCTTTCACAGTAACAACCATGTTGCTAGTCTTAATTTCGTGGGTCACCGCCATCGATTTCCTTCCGTGATCTCCTCACCGAGCACACGTGTCCACCCCTAAGTATGTAATTTGGGAATATTGGCACGCCCCCTCCTCCCCCAATCATATAAAACTACTGGCTATCTCGCAAGGGAGGCCCCTTACTCTCTGTAACTGTACGCGTGCACGCCGGACAACGTTCAAGCTCGGAACGCCAAAGAAAAATTCGATAATTTGCTTGTTACCGTTTTCGCGCCGAGGTCGTGAAAACGCGTCATCGTCCCTATCATTTCCCCCCTTAAACTGAGCAGCGCTCAGTTTGCAATACAGCTCAGTTGTGTCACGTTGTAATAACCTCGAACCCTTGAGATCCCGACATAACACAACTGTAAGCAATCAGCTTAGGCCCCCTCTGTCCTTGACCTGGGCCGATCTCCCTACATCGATCCCTATTCTAGGCCTTCACCCCTATATACACACACACACACATAACTAAACGCGTAGCCAGATCTCACGCAACTCAGTGCACCAGAAGCATCGGTTGGAAGAAATGTCCGTCCCAATGGTCATCCCTCCGCATCACGCCCATCCTCGTCGCCAACGCTCCCCATCCCCGACCTTCAGCTTCTCCTCTCTTTCCTCCTCCCCTTCTATCATCGACACCGCCATCCACCAAAGTCCCTTCCTCTCCGAACCACAACCACCTAAAACCTGTCCTTTGTGTGATGAATCCATCTACGGTCCCACGTCACCCTCTTCCTCGTACTCCGCTCAAGATGCCCTCGAAGAACACGTAGATCTCTGTCGTATGAGACGTTTACGATCGCGCTCTCGAGATTCAGATGAGGGAGAGTTTGTCCCAGCTGCTATCTTCACGATCTCAGGGACAGGAGATGCGGCTGAATTTGGGGGCTTCGGTGCACCTTCGTCATTACTAGAAAGAGGGGATGATGATGTTGAGGGGGAGGAAGGCCCTCTTCGTCGAATGATGCCAAGATTATTTAACGCGAGAAGGAAGCTACTGTTGGGTCGTGCTGGTTTACGGCGAAGGCATCCGAAGGATGTCAAACGATAAGGTGTTTGAATGGTATGCGATTTAGCTCTGGCAGCACACAACGAGCACAACTTGTCCCGCAAAGCACTTGTGCCTGGCGTTCACTATGATCGTGATGATTTATGGCATTATGCAGTTGACTGGTTTGATTGAATTTCGTCCTTGGACGCATGCGATGAAGTACATACATATTGCAATAATGAAAAGTCATGCCCAGCAAAGCGATAGGAGAAAGAAAGGATGCGTGGAACATATAACGAAACATGCTGCAGTACGAAATCACGAATCACTTTTGGATGATAGGGCATTCTGCACCTTCCCCTCCAAACCGTCGATCAGTGAACGCAGATGGCGCAGTTCTTCGGCGGACATGGATACTAGTTGTTCATTGCTTGTGCTTGCAAGGATCAGTGCAGCATCTTTTATGCTGTCAGGGGCCGGGACGCGATGTACATTCAGTCTTGACTTTGGGCCCAGAAGTCCTGAAGAGTTGTTACGGGAAAGGCGCCTTTGGACGTGACTCCTGATGGGGCTGGACCCTGGCTGCGTGGAGTCATCTGGCAGTTTTATGAAGATGTTTGTTACAAGCCGCCAGAACATGGTGGGCTCACCACTAGAAGGGTTGTCTAATTGCTCATTCCTTTTCAACTCAGGCGAAATAACAGTGTCAACGAGCGCTGGTAATACCGGTCCTCTAATCTGAGGTGTTTCACTGTTGACTGAAGGTGTAGGACCTGCGGACATAATTGGAATACGAGTCACACGATAAACTAATATCTACTGACCTTTCTGAGGGGAAGTGACATCGCTGGACCCACTCGCGAAAGATTTCTTACTTTTCCTAGAGCGCGGATTCTGTCGCTGAGGGGATATATCCGTGCTGGATTTATGGCGCTTCGGCCGGGGTGGCCCGATTTTGTTACCATCTGCGCACAAATCAGTGGTGATCGTTGGTGCGGAATAGAAAGTACTGACCAGTTTGGGGCAATACTTCCTCATTGACATTTAACGCAGATAGATCGCGCTTGAGACGTTGGGATCTTCGATGATCCGTGGGAGAGGAGCAGGGGGAGGGCTCGTTAGATACCGACGAAGAGCGAGCCTTGTGACCTTTCCATGCTTGAACCAACCTCGGCACCTCCACTTCCACCTTGCCATGCCTCTCGGGAGCATTGCTACCAACTTTTGTAGGCGTCACAAGATCTAATTTTGGTGCATGACCAGCCTTAGGAGCTGGCTTGGGTTCTGGAGGGCGGTCAGAATGCGACTTGACGGCAGGTAAGTGAGGCGATGGTCCCATCGTTCCGCGAACAAGTGACGCAATAAAGCTACTCGTATCCTCAGATTTCCGAGGCCTATGTCTCTTCCGCGCCAGTTTGCCTGATGACGAGCGGAGGAATGAGAAATGCACTGATGTGATAATTGATGAAGAACCTGCCTGATAATCCCCGCTTTCGCTTGCCTGACGATCCTGGTCCATACACTCTCTGTTGCGGCTTTGGAGAACTGAACATCTCACCCTCTACCAGTGATGTTGCGACGGAATTCGCTTCAGCCTCTTCATCAGAAACACCATCTGGGGATGACAAAGCTTGATGCCCTCTAATTGGATTCCCGAGAAGAGATGGAACAGAGACGTCCGCAATTTTATCTGAACTGATCACGGCTGGCGACAGTCTCCCAGTGTCATCAGGTGACGAAGGAAGTTGATCGGTGGATATGATACGCGCTATGTCAGGATCATCTGGGACATCGCTAGAACTGCTATTCGCCACCAAAATCTGATGCTCTGGTACAAAGCTTGCATTTTCTAACCCCGGATTATTCGCGATTCGTTCAGCGTCATCAGCAACCAAGGAAGAGTGATCGGGGCTCGAGCGTGTTGGGGCCTCAACATTCACGCTCTCAGGGACGAATGACTCCTCATTTACCTTAGGATTCAGCGAAGAGGGTTAAGTATGATTGAATATGGTATCCTGAGTGACGCACCTCATCGATACTCTCGATACCCGCAGATAACCCGACAGCGAACGATTCATGTTCCGAACCGCTATATATAAAGTAGCGCAGGCAAACCTTCAACTCTTCCGGATACTGGTACCCTTCCCTGGTTAGCTCGTCCGTAATAGGCTTATATTTTGCGGTCCAAAAAGATTCGAAGGCATTGGGACAGAGAAGCGGGGGTGGCAAGCGCACAAATCCTGACACGAGGAACGGAGTGATTTTGTGCAATATTGTGGCTGATGATTCAGCATCTAGTAGCGCCTCCAAAGATGTGGAGTAGAAGTTGGCAATCTGTGTCATTGGTTAAATAGGTGACAGCACGTCCCAGGGCTCCGAATTGACTTACCACAGTGTTATATTGGAGTTCCGTGAGAACTGCATGCTCATCGCGCAGCCATGGGAGAAGCCCAGGTTGCAAATTACACAGTCTAGATACCACAAACTTTGGAGGAGTTGTTCGCACAACTCTTTCAATGACTGAAATACAGTCTAGAACAGCTTCCAGATGTCTTGAGCCTTCGGGAACCAAGGAAGCTGTCGTCAGTGCATCCCCTCCTGCGAGCTTGTTGAACAAATCATAGAGTCCTTGGGTCCTGTCTTCATCTTTACACGCGTCCAGGGTACGTTTTTCGTTATTCTCCAGAAGTGAAAATAGAAGAGACAACGCTTTCATTGACCCACGTAACCTGGAAAAGAATGAGCCCCGAATGCCAAGGTAAACAATGAACGAAAACATATACCCTATGCGTTGATGCGAGATGCAAGAGACGGCTTTCTCGATTAGACAGGCCCGCGAAACATTGATTAGATCGCAACGTTCGACTGCGGCTTGAATGATTGTGTTCCAACGGGCTTCAATGATGCTCCACTCAACATTCGGATCGGCGTCAGAAAACGGAATACACTGCGTCAACAATACAATGTCCTCCCACTTGACGCTGAGTTCGGCCAACGGAGTCTGGGTCACGAGGAACACCGCGCAGTCCCACACACTTCCCCAGACGGCTTTTTGAACTGCACCGGACTGCGGCGGGGCACGTCTAGCGCAGTTTTCGGCAAGGACGCGGTTGCGGAGAAACTCAAAAAACGCAGAATCCTCCGACCCGACGCGGACAATACCCACAATAAAGTCTCGCCACAGAGTTCTGATCTCGGGAGTACTGAGGCTGACGTTCGTCTGGACCACCCTGTCGAGTAGATCCATAGGAAAACTAGGAAACGATTTTTCGCTATCTGCCTCATGCACAAGAGCGCTGAACATTGCGCTAGCCGCTGATATCGAGCACTGACTAGCGCCGATGGATAATGCAGATTCTGGGGCCCACTCAGACGGTGACTTCTCAAGAAAAGATGCGATTCTGTCAACCATCGATCGCGAGAGAGCCTTGCGTTCCACCAGAGTGCTAGCTGCCGAGACCCGGGCCTTAACCAATGCAACCCATAACTTATGGCATGTAGACTGCGGATCATGATTTCACATCAACATTTCCACTGTAAATTAACGATGCGCACCTGAATACTGGAGTCACTCAACGCCAGCCCTTGTTTGAACATGGTGTCCCAACAACGCATTAACTTGTCCCAATGGGTGGTGACTTCCTCGCCATCCAGGGGGCGTACATCTGCTAACCGAATGGAACCATTAGCGTCATCCGACAACATGTCCTTGGCGGATTGTATAAAAGAGTTCATATCTGCATTTGCAATGAGGGAACCATTGAGAATGGGGGTGCAAACCAGCTTGCTGTACTTCCACGGTACATCACTTTCACCAATCTTCAGGTCGATCCTCTCATCGCCAGTTTTGACGAAAAAGGCCAGCAAGCGGAAGAGAAGCTCGATGTTCAGGGGTGAGTGATTGACGAACATTTCGTGGAGAACCGAGATGCCAGTCGCAACGGCTTCCTGATCAGAACCGTCACCAATGAACGCCGCAACTAGTGAGGCTCCCATCGGACGTTGCAGTAAGGGCGCCTGCACTACCGGAGCGATATTTCCTTCTTGTGTGCGTTTGGCTTGTCGAATCATTAGGCCAGTGTCGTCATTTGCCTGAAAACCCTCGATTCCTTGTGCGTGTCCATCTTCCCAAGCCCACAACAAGAAACACCATAAAGCTCGTGATGCAAACTTCATACCAACATCCTTCTTTGCATTTAAGCCAGTCTGAGAACAGTGCATGAAAGTCTTCATCCATTTTCGGCTGAGATGAAATTGGTAACCAGTCAGGGCCACAATCGCTGCAAGGACGGTGACGGCCCAAGCCCCTTCCAGACCTCCCTTTTGGAACGCAGTAGTGAGGACGGGGGAAAGAGCCGCACTAGCTCTCATTACGGGTACAACCAATCCCTCAATTCTATGCAAAAGAGAGTAGTGACCCAGAGCACCGAGCGCAATAGCTGCCTTGAGTCGAAGGGATGTTGAGCAAGGTGAAACAAGGTAAGAAAGTAATGAGTTAAACAATTGGGGGAAATGCTCGTGAAAGGCAATAATCTCCCCGTCAGCCAGGGTCTGCAAGGCCTGGGAGTAATGTCAGTGTTGTCAGGGCATGTAAAATACACAATCCTCACTCCAAGCGATTCCCATGCAGGTCCTTTCTTCCCCTCTCTTCCGTATTCGCCGTCAAGGCCTCGTCGGATGGCCGACGAGATGCGCCCTACGAAAGGGCCGAGGATGCGCTCTGGGAGTCTTTGGACCTGTAGGATAGCAAGTGCCAGACCATAAGTCTTTCGAGGTGTGTTGCTTGGGAGTGTCGAGGTGTCCAAGATGCGAAGGATCACATCCATCAGTTGGCTGAGCTGCTCATCTAGATAGGCGCATTAGAAATGTGTGCATGTGGCGAGATATAAATTGCCATACCTGTCACGCATTCATATAGCTGTGGGACCCAGCAAATGAGTGAGACAAAACGCAGTGCGGCGTTCGAAAGCATGAATAAATCTCGAGCATAAGTGACCTCGAACTCCGTCATTCCACCGCGCTTCTTGGGCCCAGGGACATCTTTACTCAAATCATGCTGAGGTTTCGGTTTGCTTTGCAGTGGATCAACCAACGCCCGTTCGACGTCCCTGTGGGCCGCTTTGAGAACGGCGTCGATATTCGCTTTGAGGGGTGCTAAAGCTGGTACGACTGGAAGTTCAGAAGGAAAACGAGCTCGGAGACGCGCGAAGAGGAGCGTCCAAGCCTCCGTCACGTCCCGCAAGCTGAGAGTTAGGTCTGTTACGGATGTCACAATCACTTTCAATGGAGAAGTAATGAAATGTTCTTGGGTCAGAGCATCGGTACCCTCTGGCTCGGGTGTCCACTGCCTTAGCTGTTCCTCCGGAGGAGCCATGAAGTTGAAATTAGTGAGCGAAGGGCGCTTTAGAATGGAGCGACTGGGACGACCCCAAAGGCGAGACGACGGGAGGCGACGAGGAGGTTCTTTGGGAGAATGGGGATAGTGGGAGTCTTTGTGAGGAGCAAAATTCACTCGTGTATTGGGTCGGAACGGTGAGATTGGAGTGCCGATTCCACGACGCTGATTTGGGCTGGCGTGCGGTGACCGAGATGGAGATGAAGGTGATGGCTTGAGATTCTCTTTTCTTGATCGTGTTGAAGGAGGGGTTAGCGGTACGGAAGGTAAGAGTGACATGTTCTACTAGTCGCTGCTGTCAGTTAGGCAAGACAACAGGCGTGAAGAACCGCAGGAGGGCAGGTCGCGTCGATGACCACGAAGATGTTGAAGATGAGCTTAGTCACTAGCTCTTCGCTTCGGCCGTGTCCTAACACAGTAATACGCGTCCCCCCACGCGTCTTAATGCGTCTGGAAGGCTGCTTGCGCTTTGGTGACTGGCTCGAAGTTATGCCCCGACTGCTTATGTAATGTCGCTGGATTTTCAAACTCCGCTTTCGATTCCCGCCACCACAAATCACCAAGTCCAGTATTACATGCTCCTGGTATGGTAAATTATAGCAAACAACAAAGGGCGTACGAGCTCTATTTATTCCGAAAAATTGTCCACCTTATATCGCTCACCAGTGTCTCTTCATTGAACCAACTAAAGTTTATAAATATCAATGTATGGATCTGAAAGTCAGCCCATGAAACAGCACGCACCATACAACAAACCAAAAAAGCACGGCGGACACCGCTATCGCCATGTGAATTATTTTATGCGCCAACAGACCGAATGGACTTCCTAGAGTCCTGTAGCTGATCCTAACTATTACACCCATCGCAATGCTGCAAATGAGGACTCCAGTTTTGGGCACGACTCTTCTAGATTCGCCGCTCTGTGCGATCCGGTGATGCTTTTCCCCATGTTTCTTGTAATAGCTCTTGGTGAATCCCCAGGCATACCAAGCCCTTGCTCCAAGGTTCAGAACATTCGCATAGACCAACCCTGTTTCTTTCAGCCCCAGACCTTCACTCAACCAAAAAGAGGAGACGATGAAAAGTAATGAAGATGCCATCAATGCCCGACTCTGCGTCACAAGATCGTTAGAGCTAGCGGTAGCTGAAAAGAATGCCTCAAGAACGCCGTTGAAGGCCATGACCGGAAGATACCAACAGTAGGCAATCAGGACTCTTGGAGCGGATGTGAGGAGATATTGCCTAGGGAGGACAATTGATAGGAGGGTCGGAATGCAAGGGGGCCCAAATGCGAGAAAGAGAAGCGTGAGATGTGCGTAGACACTCAAAACAGTGCCAAGAGTCCTCATCGACTCCACGATAGCTTTCTTCTTGTTTGCGGGCGGAGATTTCTCGGCCCTTGGGCGTCCCGAAGGCAGCACGTCGCTTGTCTGATGATCTTGATTCAATACCTTCGAGAAGTAAACTCGACTCGTCTCTTCAACAGGCTGGAAAATGACACGGGCGATCAAAGACCCTGGATTACGAATGAGCCACACAAGGAGAAGTCTAGAAAGTAGTAACGAACCATAGTTAGTGGCCAGGGCAAAGCCGCCTTGGTCTTGTAGAGCACTGAACTTCGAAACAATGAGGCGATCTCCCTCGGTCAGGAAATGTTTGAAAATAGACTGAGCAGTCATGATCATTGACAAGCGTAGGAGCTCGTCATTAAACCAAGGGCTTCTCCTACATTGGCAAGTGAGGCCAACAAACGTGAACATTGCTTACTTGCATTTACCTGTTGCCATTTTTAATCGGAACGCTCTTGAACGTGATACCATGGATTCCACGAAAGTGCAGGAGGTGGACTACAAGAAACGATAGGCCAAATGCTACTTGTCCCAGTGCGAAACACACAAGAGACCATTCCCATGCGAAACCCGAGTCCCTCAGTTTACCAAAGAGGACAAAAGGCAACAAGCTAAATACAGCCTTCGCAACCACGGCCACCCCCTCCGCTCTCACTCTCACGCCCACTTCAAGGTTGTTCTGAGCACGAATGTACAGCGGTTCTGAAATAAGCTCGAACACTGCAGCCAAGACATATAGGTGCATAGCGAGTTTAAAGTGAGGCTGTGAAGTGGTGGAATTTGAGGCGAATGATGCATAAACCGACCCAACTATAATAGCCAATGGACAGCCGAGGAAAACGGGGAGCAATGAAATGTTGGTTATTAATTGGCGTTGGGCCTGCGCCGGAACCTCAGATGATTTCCGGGGATTGTTTTCAACACTGTCCGAGCGGAGCAATGCATTTCTGACTCCTTCTCGAGACAGAAAGAGAATGGATGAAAGTAGCAGGTCGAACTGGATACTTGCAGTGCCGAACACTTCTGGTGATGCGATGCTGACTGCTACTTGATTCAAGGCAAACGTGAAAAGCCTAGAAAATAACTGTAAACCAACTAGGGGAAGTACTGCCCCAAAAGACGCAGGAGGATTTTGCATGATGCTCTTGCAGAACTAATATTGCCATCAGCTCAGCTCGGACCCACATGACGAGGGTTGCAGCACATGACCCACATTGTTGGAGATTCCCACTCGTAACCAGTATCAGTCGCATTGCCTCTTTCTCCGTGCGTACGGCGAACCAAAAACTCGGAGACAGAACAAGGACTTACCATCTACACTCTGGGTGTTCCAGGACCATGTTTCACAGGGTAACTGTCACCTCATCACGAACAGCTCTTGCGCTTCGTCGTGTTGCTGCTCTTCGGTATATCCAAGAGGGTGCCGTTGGACGCGAGGGCCAGTCGAAAGGCTTCAGGTAAGTTTCATCTGATGTATTTCTCTGACCTGGGATCATGGACGTCTGCCGATAGTCAAAGGGAGAAATCCCAGGAAGGTTAGGGCTTTCCTCCGCGCCCTGGCAGTCAATGAAATTTTGGACAGACAAATACGTCTATGAGATTGAGAAGAGGAAGCTACAGGAGAAAGTGAGTGTCCATCACTTCTTCTGAGAGTGTACTTGTTGTCAACATTCCCTTTTCTCGTCAACAGATTAGGAAGCACCAGGAAGAACTTGTATGCTCCACATCACTGTACGGTCAACTCCCGCTGATAATCTTTTCCAGGCTGAGCTCGAAAAGAAGGCAGCTGAGGAAAAGGTCAAGAAGAATTGATTTTGTCTCTCCCGCACTGCTGTGTTCCTCAATGTAATACCTTGCTCAATTCCAGCGTTTGCATTTGCCTGCCCACGCTGCAGAGATGACGGATGATAAGTTAAAATGATGCATGCAACTCAAATGCTGTTGAGAGCTGCCCCGCTCTGTATCGTCATATGAACATATCATCTCCAATACCTCTCAACTTGCCATCCCACTGCCACCAAATCATCTCATCCGCCTCCGCGTCCCCACATGAACCTCGGTCGTGCCATCCCATATCCCCACCTGCTTCCACAGGTCCCGAGGTATGAGATGTCTGACAACATATTTTTATGCCACGCAACTTCCCGCTCCGCATGCCGCCTGCGAACTTCAATGGAGCAGTTTTCTTCCCGCCATCACCTAATTGAAAGAAACGCTGGGCAACTAGATCCAATGAACGGGAGTAATCTTGACGTGGAGTCCAATGTGGCTGGTGGAACGAACGAGGTGCTCGGAGCAAGACAAGCGAAGTTGTTGGTGGCAGCTCATCATCACCATCGTCATAACCAGCATCCGTGTGTGCCAATGCCCGGTATAGAGCACGTTCAGCCTTCTTTATGATACCTTCGGTCGCTGGAGTAGAAAGTAACAAGGCATCATCTAGTACATGGCGGTATGAAGCAGTGTCACCGTGCGAAGTATTCGATTCTGGCGAAGCCGGGGATGACTGCCTTCCATCATCGATGACTGTGGAAGGGGCGAGTGTTGGTCGAGACTCGATTCCAGAGTCTGATTCTGACTCCGACTCCGAATTAGAAACGGAATGTTCATCCTCAGTTCCCAGCTGCGAATGAGCATCTTCATCAGACTCTTGTCCAGAGATGGTTTCTGAGCTACTTATAGACCCCGAGTCTTCTTCTGAGTGGCCCTCGACAGTTCCATCATAATCAGTGACTACGCCCGAAACTTCGGCACGCGGCGGATCGAGTGGCATAACATGATCTCGCCATCCAAATGGTTTGACTTCGAATCTATCAAGCTCGACAATCACTCGCAATTTTGGGGCTCCAACAGAGGTGCCAACTAGGATCATGAAGTGAGCTTTGGATAATCGGAGTGCAGGCCGTGAGGCAGAGTCATTGGACTCAGGAGTGTCTTTAGTAGAAGCTGCTAACGTCCAAGAGAGCTTCATAAGCGCCGAGGAGAGCTGCCCGTCTAACTCATCTAAGCCATCCAGTAACTCGTCGCGCTTTCTAAGTGCTTTAGAGCGGGAGGAGGCCTGTTGAATGCTTCATGGAGATTATTGTGGCGCATGTTCCGGCACTTACGTTTAACGAAGGGGAAAGAGGAATGGACGCGAGTTGACCTACAGGACTACATCAGACAGTGAGCAGTTGATCGAAATCATTGATGGATGCACTGACAACGGGATTTGACCGTTCGCGTATAAAGCATGGCTCAACGCAGCCACCAAGAGACGTGTCCCAAGCTCAGGAGAAATCGACGGCGCACCGACCGAACAGCTAACTATAGGAGGCGTCATAGGACCGGGTTGAGCAGGCTGCCAGCTTCCTGAATTTCCAACTTCAGAGTCCCTTGTGGTATGAAACGTGGTCATGTGAGTTTACCCGGGAAATACCCACGACCTTTCTCACCTCAAGGAGTTGCAAGGTGAACCTCTACCGGCGCCGTGGTACCATGCTAAAGTTGCATCTAACATTGAGTCACCTGGGATCTGTAGATCTACTCCATGGCTTTGACTCTGTTCAGAAATGCTGCTCATTCCGTTCGTAAATTCTACTCCTCACTCATCCTGCGGAATTATCATGCTGGATCCTAGATACGTCCAGCGCATATCATCCGGACCTTGTCGTCTGCCTCATCTGTCCGGAAGGGTGAGCGATGGACTTCCTCATCCTTCTCCTCGGTCTAATAATTCTCTCAGATTTTGTTCAAGACCTTTATTTGAGGGAGCTGAAGGCATACAAGCCCCCACCGGCCGTGCGTTATTGCTGAAGCTTATTCCAGTTGGACTGACTCCGTGGCTTATTCCTTTGTTTATTCAGGTCAAAGATGCGCACGTCGGCAACGTGAAAGAAATAAAAATCCCATTGGCTCCTACCCCTCCTTCTCTACCATCTGACCTTTCCGCCGAGCTCTCAGCTTATGATAAGTCGCAACCCGCTCTCGCGAATGACACCATTAGCGCCGCTGCTACTTCCAGCATCGATGCTCCCAGTGGTGCCGATGCCTTCTTGGCTTTCCTGGAACAGGTACGTATGATTCATCGGTAATAGAATTTGTACTGAACACATTATGTAGGATCCTCCCAAGGAAGAAGCCCACCACTAAATCCGTGATAATAGACGCTAGGGAGATATCGATACTATTCGCAGTATTCGCGCTGTAACGGAACACTATCGTATTTTCTAAAAAATCAATTCGATACTTCCAAACCATTGGATTGTTTGATTTCGACGTAGCGCCTCATATATTCTACGAATTAAGCAACAGCAAGAAACCAATTTACAACATAAATGAATAGTCGAGGGAAGATTATTTGCGAGTGATCGTGCATAAAAAGCAAAGCAATTGGTGAATGAATTTGACAACGGAATCGGGGCGATGGGATGGAATTAGGACGTAAGCAGGTGAGCAAGGGACAAAGCCATGAAGGAAATTAAGCGCCTGCTTGTGAATTAGGAGAAGAAATATAACGATTTTCTAATGGTTTCTACGGAGAAATTCCCTTTGGCAGGCAGTTTCGGAAGCAGAGCTTGCAATGGCACAAATTGCTTGTGGGCTGGCAGGCCGCCAAATCGACCAAGCTTGTACTCTAGCTTGGCAGTGACGGATTCGGAAGCAGGTTGTACTTCTACAGGTGCTTGCAAGTCATCCATAGATAACTCTGTATCCGCCTCAAGCGTATTGACTTCATGGTCATCCTCATCCTCGAGCATTTTCCGGGATTTTGCTGCGACTCGGCGTCTTCCTGCAACGCTGTAAGGACGGCGGATAATCTGAACATCAGATGACTCGTTGATACGCTCAACTTCGCGATCACTTAGATGTATTATGGGAACGGCATGGCCTTCGTACCGAGTCGTGAACTATTGATGGAAATTAGTACATGTCCAGTGAAAAATGCAGAACACACCTCTTGTAACAGCCGTCCCATCAAGTCCGAGGAGTGGAGCTGGACAAAAGTGTCACGAATGATTTGAGACATTTTGAGCACACTAGACGCATGAGTCCAGTATGAGTCATGAACTGAGGCAAAAGTTAACCCCTCTTTCTGCGAGTTTGAAGGTCATCCGTCGACTTCTGGAAAGTAATTACTTCGAGACTCACTCTACACTCTAGGGCAGTCAACATCATGTGAGTGGCATCCAGACTGTGAATAAAGTTGGGAGGGAAAGCCGAGCTTTGCTTCAGCGGATTGACTAGGCAAGAGTTAGCAGGTATATTTGGTTGGGACTGGTGACGATTGGACCTACCTTCACTCGGAACGCTCGGGTCACTAATGTATACGCTTTGCACACCAGTTATAATCTGTTTTCGCTTCAGCTTCCGGTAAGGTTGGACGATGGGCAGTCCCATAGGTGTGGTCCAGATGACACTGGTCATCATTTCGCGGTGGGAACGTGGTTCATACTTCCCATTCTTTGAGACGCCTATTTTTTGCGCATCCTCGAGCCGATTGGGAGGAACAGATTTAGCTATCAACTTTGCTGCAAAATGTAACCAATCTTGAATTGCCTTGGCACCAGAGAAGAGATCCTGAATCGATCCTAGGGTCTACGGTCATGGTAATTGAGTCGGACGGTTGCAAGCCATTGGAAGACAAATAACCTTCTTGGCGAGATAGTTTGATGCATCCCAAGTCTTCATCCGGTCAACGTCCCCACGATCGCGTAATTGTTTCTCGATCTGGGCTCTTGCACCGACAAAAGTCACGCCATAGACAGTTGTCATGACCTAGCCAGGCTAGTGAGCAGGCTGAATCATCGAGCCAGATTGGAGTCATACCGTCTGCTTGACAACCTTACGCGATACCTTTCCCTGAAGCATCTTGGCCAGCTCATTCCCCTTCGCCACGTCATCATCAATTTGCTTTTCGACCATATTTGCAACATAGGAGTAAACATCCGATGGACGATCTGTCACTGCAAGATTGACTTGTTGTGCCCCCACTTTGTCACCACCCAATGCCGCGTAGTGTTGTAAACCGTTGCAAGTGCCATCTTGATGGACAGGGAGGTTGGATTCAAACGAGAGCGGATCGGGAGAGTCAAGGGCTGCACGTAACTCCATGCATGTTGCCAAGCATTGCCATGGGTCGTCTGCTTTGAGCCACCATCGATGCCCCTATTCGGACGAACTTGACACCCAGGCGACCGAAACCTGACCAGATAACTCACCTCCAGTGGTTTCAAGGCGCTATCATATATGGCATCCAGTCTTTCCATAACCCAGGTCTCCCGCTCATCGAAACTTGCTTTATCATATCCATAAAGGTTAGCCAGATGGATCTTAAGCCACCGCAAACCAGCAGTGCCAAGGGGTTTCCTCTCCGCGAACTTCAACAGCCCCCGACTTAGGTCATCCCCAACATGATTCAAGTGGGGAGGAATAGGGTAAGCCCGTCCACGAAAGTCGATATTATGAGGCAAATAAAACTTGTCTGCGACAAACTAGAAGAGGATGTTAGACGTCTATAGCCCAACAGACTTTTGTCGAAGCGACATACTGCACGCGCAATCTCGAGCTTATAATTCACGCTGCATCGCTCAGAGTGATTGTTCCTACGAGCATTGATGGCATCTTTCACTTCCTGAATGTAACGACTCTTAGCGGCATTATTGGTATCCATATCTGGGGGTTTCACTGGATCTGGCACGTCCGGCACAGCAGGCGGGATCGATCTTAACCCATGTCCAGAGTTCCAAACTTCCAAGACGACTCCAAAGACATCTTGATTGATGACCCATGGGGTGCTTCCGAGAACATCTAGCCCGGAATAGACGAGTTCGAGGTGGCCTGCCTTCGACGACTCGGCAAGATAAAGCAATTGCTCATGAGAGCCCTTTATGCGCATAACACTGCCTAAACAAAGAACCTATCTTAGCTAACCGGAACGCGCGCTTTCGATCGAGACATACTTTTATTAAACAAGTACGCGCCATTATCATGGCTAACCCATGGGCGTGGTGGTACAAGCATAGGTAGGTGGCGAGGGTGAAGTGTAGCGTGTGTGCCAGTCTCAGCAAAGTGCTTTGCAACTTCAGGATTGAGTTTGATCACACCCAATTTTTTCCCTCTGACATATTCGTAACTATGATTAAACGCCGGTTGCTCTTCAGAGCTATGAACTGGAGGTCAGAGGACGCCAAGGGACATGGCAGAACTGAAACAACACTTGCTATGGCATCCCGGTTCTAGGGTCTGTGGTATGGCGAGTAACCATTGCAGAGTCCATTAATGCATCCACCAAAATGCTACCAACCCTAATCCTAATAGCCTGAGACCACGGCTCGCTCCAAGCGGCTTCTCGCTTCGCTTGTTCCCGAGCTAAATCGCGCCGAGCCCTGATAGCTTCTAATCCTTCGTCACTCGAACCTGAGTGTTCATTTAGAGGGTCAGAGGAGGCATGACTTCCACCATGCTCCCTTGTTCGATAGTAATGCCGTTTCTTGATTTGCGCATTATGCTCCATTTCGACACCGATGCCAACCGAAATGAGTGCCCGAGCAGTTTTCATTCCTTCGGCGATGCCGCCAGTGCCATAAAGTCGCAAGATTTCCATGATTGTAAGAAGCGCGAGCTTTTTCGGCTTCAATAAAGTCAAAAAAGGCAACAAATGGGTCTTTTGAACCCTGGATTTACCCGCTATGAAACGCTTATGGGTAGGTCCGTCTTGCAAGGGAAGGAACTCGCCCACCATTATTTGGCTCCGCCATGATGCCTTTGATTTCGGCTTCAATTCTGGGATATAATGCCTCGTACCACTCCCACATCCATCTCCTCAGCGAAGCTTTCTTCGTCGCTGTGGCGGACTTCAGACCCTGAGCCTCTAAACGTTCTGCGTCATGTTTCATTCGCGCAGCAGCGGCATCGACGGCAGACATTTCTAGCAAGCGCTGGCGTGTAGCAGCATCCTGAGGGAGCGCTCGTCGTGCTGCGAGCACTTCGTCAAGATTGCTTCGAAGGGTGTCCAAATTAAAGCTCGATGTCTGGTCTTCCCTGTCTAGATCCATACCAATTGCCGTGTCCTCGTCAATCTCTCTCTTCTTGGACCGATACTGTGGAGGGATGAAATTTAGCAATGCGCTCTTGCATTCAGAGTATGTTTACGCGCCCCAAGAAGTTCCGGGTCGGGTTTCACTACTGGTCGAACGTGGGGAAAAGCAGCAACAGGGTCTTCGGTCACATTCCCGGCCTCCTTGAATGAGTTCAGGTCCTTTAACACACTGGAGTGAACGCCTTCCTGCACGGCCCATTGACCCATACGCGTTAGAATGATGTCCTTCTCAGCCTGCGACTCAAACTGGGACTGTATATGGAGGAGAATGTCTGAGATGGCGACATGTTTTGCATTAGCTTGGGAAAGAATATCTTCAAAAGTGAGTGAATGTGTGTTGGGTTCCACCGCAAGAATGGATGGCGAAAACCTGTGCGTTATTCCCAAATCAGATACCCCGTACAATTTCAAGACAGAAAAATCACTAGCCTTGCCAACATAACAAGCACGAATGCGTAGGTAGTGGCGTCAGGTGCAACTCCATCGTTAATACAATGGTGATACAAATCCCAAGCCTCCTTAATCCAATCTTCTCTCTTTTCAGGCTGATGATCAGAGGCCATTCTGATGTAAGCAGATATAAACTTGTTATATACAGAGACATCGATGGAAGGAGCGTCCGGATTGGTGCGGACGCCTTGGCGCATACCATGCAGCAAAGCTTGAGCTCGTCGCACATCATGGCAATTATATAAGCATGCATCAATAATGTTCATGGTTTCCTGGAACTGTGAGCGAGGGAAGTAGAGACCGTCAATTGGTGAATTTGCATCCTCAGGGAGCGGGGTGGGAAGAACAGTCAATGGAGGTAACGTGCGAAACAGTTGGTTGGTGACTGGTGCATCAGATTTGGAAAAGGGCCCAAATATGGGGATGTTAGCAGGAGACACAGACGCAGTGACCACAGCAGGAGAGCGGTTTGGATTCGAGGTTGTAGAATATGGGGCGAGCGAGGAATTTGGAGATCGTGTGCCAGATAAACCATGACGAGGTCCAACACAGCGGCGACAAGCCGGGATCGATGTTCGAGAGAGGCTAGCTCCGCGCTTCTTAAAGGTGGCCCTCATGAATGTATGAAATACTGCTTGTCCAAAAGCCAAATTTTATGGTGGGAACTGCATGGGAACAACCGAAGCGAATAGCCACCAAGCCTAAGAATTTCTCAATTACCACGTTGAACAATTTGAATTTAAACCATTCTGCCAGGTCCAGCTGCGTCAAAGGGAGTTATGATGGACGACGCCTTCCTGAACTAAAAGTAAACACCATGAGCAATGTCGTTATATTGCTTTCGTGGATGGGACAAAGCGATGGGGCTTTCCTTCCACTTACACTAATTTTCGTCACGATGTCGGATGCTACTCTTAAGGAGTCTTAACTTCTCCTTTGCTTTGCTGACATCTTGGAATTTGCTCCCCCAATTTCACCTCGCTCACAAGTATATATACAAACCTTATTTGCTTGGTTAACCCCCAAAGGGCAAAGGGGAGGTTGAAGACGAGAATCGCCTTTGACAACTCGATGATCATCATGGTAGAGTTATGGAAGTTCGCGCGCGAACACCGCCTGACGCCATCAGGCAGGCAGGTAGTCATTGGAAGCGCTTTATGTCACTTGCGGGGGTCAAATGAAGTGCGCTGGCGATACATTTCCGCCTTGCAAAAGATTGATCCACCGGTTCCTACCTAACTAAAGGTTGGCAGGGACTGGGCGGTTTGGTTGAGGGTCGATCTTTGGAGGTCTGCGCTCACTCTCTTGGCCGACGCAAATTCACTGTCAAGACAACGAGGCACTAATGCGACTGCGTACACCAATTGGCCATTACGCATTTTCTTTGTTGTTGGCTTCTCAATTTCCTCTATACATAGGGAACCAATCGTCTCCGACATCCAGGTCGGGGAGTGACGGTGCGCAGGGTTAGTTTTTGAACCTCGCAATTTTTTGCACCGCATTCCACGTTTTCCTACTTTCGTGGAACCGGTATCTGAACCCCATCTGAGCGATCCGTCGTATCTCTTCTTCTTCGAATCCGAGTCCCAAAGGCGGCCGCGCCAGAAGCAAGGCGTATTCAGCTACGAGGTTTGTCTTAAACAGCAAGGTGTCATCGGTCTGGCGGGAGATTTAATAATGGTGATTCCACAGTAAGACCAACCAGCAAAAAGGCGTTCAACAGTACTTACACAAATGATGACAGGGTGACCGAGTTCCAACCAAGAACGAAGGTGATGAGCCGAAAGACTCTCGACTGTCTTTGAACTGCATAGAGGCTATGACGTCACTAACACTACTCCTGCGAAAAGAAGTAACACGGATGCGTACACGAGGTTCGATGACAGGCATATTTCAATGGGTATCTTCTCCCGGGAAACTTTAAGCACCGCATCAGCATCTAAGAATGTGGCGTGTCCCAGTCGCCTAGGGCTCCATGAAAGTATTTCGGCGGTATCTTGCGCCGTGTTCCTCTCTGACTATTGTACATAGTAAGCGGGATACCCTTAATTGAATGAGCCCTATACCTACCTCAGCGATGTGGGCGGTCAACGGGAGCTGGGCGTCACGAGCTGCGTCCATGAGCGTATGGAACGCTTTCATATTACCGGACTATTATTGCGGGGAATGGTCGTTCAGAACTTGGAATCCTGTTTTTTTTTTGGGGGGGGGGGACAAACCAAAGGATTTCCACAGAGGTCGATTCCAACAATAGGTTGACCAGAATTACGAAAGTGAATCGCAAGGCTAATGCACTCCGCTACATCCTGTGGGGACATCCGGCGATCAATGCTCACGATCAGAGATGCTTTGCCACCTCGCTTTACGACTTCTCCTAAAACAACTGAGAGATATTCTTTCCGGGACATGTGCGGCGTCGACCGAGGTGTCGTTCTAAGCTCCATATATACACATTGAGGGGGGACACCTGGTGAGGTCGGCTCAAGGAAAAAATCCAGTACAGCCGATGTTGCCAACGCAATAGCTTTTGGTGTCGATGTGATATGGTAAATGGCTGGGAACAACTTGAAGCCATCCTCTATCCGATTCAGGTTGAGACCTGCTTTTAGAATCTGGAGAGCCTCTCGAACCAAGGGAGGCTGGGGTCCATCACTCTTTGACGCGTCCAGAGCGAGTTTAATCAAACAATCGAGGGGTATGCAGCCATTGAGGTGTGCGTGCAATTCGGCCTTTGGCAGAGAGCGAAGAAAGCTCTTCTGGTGAGGTGGTAGAGAATCGAAGGCTTGTGTTGCGAGTCCTGCCATGATCGTGGGGGGATTCAGACGATCGATTTGAAGGGGATCTGGTAGTGCCTTATAAGATCTCCATCCCACGAGACGGAGGTTGCTGCCCCGGCCCAGCGGATCGCGCAGAGTGGGCCGGACTTCAGCGGAGATACTTTTTTGGACGGCCGCCGTGGACCCTTTTCTCATTACCTTGTCGGAAGCAGGGATCGATAGCTCGCTTATCTTTCCTGCGCCTGCATGTGCTTTCCCGGCCGTTTTCTTTCGGTGGGTAGGACTCTGCAACAGCTAACATTCCTAGCTCTATTATGTCATAAGCCGCCGCTGTTGTCAACGCTTGTGTTAGCACGTAAACGTGCGTGGCCGCGCTATCCTACATACCTCACCAAGGAATTAGAAGGATCCGGCTGGCTGAGATACCGCGGCAAATGGGTACTGAATATAGGATTATTGATTGGACTATTGATTGGACAGCACCGGCTGATTCGATCGAAGGACTGGTGAGTGGGAGGCCATGGATTTGGGCTTCGTATGCATATGATGTAATCCATTGTACGCAGGGGCTGAGAACCGACCTGGTCAGGAACGAGCGTGTACACTCCACCCAAGCCAGAACTCAAGAATAGGCCCGTCACCATTCCACCACACGCCGATGACACAACTAAGACAATTAACCCCTCCGGCCTGATGCGCTACCCGGGCATTTGGTTCGACCCGCAGCTCAGTTTTACAATGCACATTAAGAGGGACACATCCAAAGGTGCATCCGCGGCCCAGGCACTCTGCATGCTAGGCAACTCGGAAAGAGGACTCCACCAAACCGACTTCCGCCGACTCTACGAATCATACTGCCTACCACTCTATACAGTTGACCCATATTCCGGCGCACCAAATCGAAACTGACCATAAAACACCTCTACCCTACAGAATAAGTGCCTCTAGATCACAGGAGCGTTCCGGACCATTAACACCTCGAAGCCTCGATCCCATCGATTGACATCCGGGCTGAAAATGACCCGCACGCCTCCCAGACGATCACCGGATCACCAATCGCCCATACCCATAGCAAAGGAGGCTGGCAACACCGATTACCCCCAACACACCTCACCCAGTACACGACCCCCGCAGAAAACACCGCACAGGTACTCAACGTGCATTACCCACATCGCAGACTACATCATCCATGGCACGGAGGGGATTCGGCCTCACCTCGAAGCACCGTGGCACATCTCGGAACACGACATCGAAGACTGAGTCCAGACCTACATGCCAGAGAACACCCCAGGAGAGTTCGCCAAGGAAGCATGGACGAACGACTGCCTGGAGTTCACGAGGATGACCCAGACTTCGTTTCCGTGTATTCGGACGGCTCTAACACTATCCTTTGTAGAAAGCCTGCACAAACAGGACATGGAAGAGACATGAAAGGACTGCTGAGCGTCCACGTCCACCTACAGCGAACCAACTCCCCCGAATCCACCACCAAGTTCAAAGAATAAGACCGAAAAACCTTCAGCAGGCTAATTCTGTTCCGCACCGGACATGCCCACATCTGGCGAGTATTACCATCGCTTCGGCATCCACTCGGAGAGCAAGGAATGTCCGTGCGGGGCTGCCGACCAGACGAGGGCCCACAATTCAATTCAGGCACATCCTGGGCCGCGGACGCCAGGCCAATCTCACGACACTGATGGAGAAACCGAAGGGCATCCTCAGGCTGGCAGAGTTCATCAAGAAATCACGAGCCACCAACAAAGGAACGGGCGCCATGCCGCACCACCCGGGGGAGCAGGAGAACGCGAACGATCCGGAGTTGCGCGGAGGCAGAGGAATATAAACACTACAGATACATACCCACCCAGTACAGCCAATAACCCCGACACCACAAGCCAGAGGACTCCGTCACCACTAACCTGTTCTCCTACACTCAACCTCATCTCCGTGCCCTCATATCCTCATATGCACGGAGGTGTCTTCCATGGCCCCGAACCCTGGGCTTGAACAGATTGGGCGTAAGGAGTACAGCCACTCGCATGTCTACACGCGGAGTGAGATCGAGAGCTCACAGAAATACACCATCCATCAACACAGCAAATCATCGCATGAGGGTGAGTCAAAGAACTGCATTCATTCGAGTAATCGACGGCGAGCCATTCAAAACGCCACGTTCACTCAGCGAAACCTCATCGCGATTCTTTATTACGCCCGAATACCTGCATCCCAAATTCGATACATGTAATAAGAGAGCCATGTGCCGAAGAGATTGGATTAAGAAAGATTGCCATGTTGGAGAAATGGTACATTGCACTTGTGGGGTAGTAACGTTCGTGATAACTTAGGGTATTGAAACAAGTTGGGCGGCAGTTGATGAGACCCAAGGCATGCATAGGGCATGAGTGTAGTTTGTGTACCGAAAAATTAGAAGTGGGCGTTGAGGCATATATCATATAAAGGTGGAAAATGCGTAGATCACTAGCGTTCCGTTTAGGGAGGTCTGAACAATTAAGACCAGCCACACATTAGCATAGCCGCAGCTCAATCATCTAGAAAGATCGCATCGCCTGCAGACGCGCCTTGAGCACAGTGACGTTACTCCAAATAACCATGACACTTACTCTCGGAGAGTATCATAGAGGAATTTGTAGCTCCCGAGGTCTCCTTTCATTCGGCGCATATCCAGGCTCAGCGTATCATCCAAGCCAGAAATGCGCGTCAATTCCACTGAGAATCGCACTTCCCCGCCCTTATCCTTGGTCGAAGCTCCTCCGTAAATCGGCTCAGAGCCTGCCAAGAACGAATTTGCGGAGCTCTCTGGGAAATTAGGACCGTCGGGAGTAACCGGTGTGAATGGGACGAAATCATGTGGCTCTAGCGCTTGGCCAGGTGGACCAGGGCGGTGAGATGATGGAGCGACTTGGGAAGAGCCCCTTCGAAGGAACCCCTTGAGCATCCCACTGGTTGCAGATAGAGATTGAGCAGAAGGCAACGGAAGGCCTCGGCGATCAGTCTTTTGGGTTTCGACTCATCAAGTGCATTTTCGACAGGACAACACGGAACTCACCCCATGTGAACCTGCCATCCCACTCATCTGGAATGCTGCGAGGCCAGAAACAGGTACACCACCGTTCTTCTTCCGCTTGGGCCTCACACACCGGTACGAAAACGCGCCATCTTGAGCTATTTTAATACCCATACCATGAAGAACTTCAGTGACATTTGTAAACACTTGCTGCGGAGACCCGGTGGTAACCATGCTGCGATCAACGGCACCATTGTGAATCTTAAGGGCCACTTTCTCGGCAGCAGGTAGAGGGGCTGCAACCTTCTCGATTGAACTGAGTGTGGGGGTCCTAACAAAAGGGGTATCGTAGAAAGTTGGTTCGAGTAAGACTTGAGAAGAATGTTGACAAACCTTTCACCATTTGCGCTCGTACCAGTCACGACAACATTCGGGGCTGGAATGATGGGAGCACTGTGGGGAGTATGGGCCACGTTAGATCCTTTCTCGTTTTGCGGAATGGCTTCATCGCTCTTTGCAAGACTCTTTTTCCGGAACCAATCCATGACTTTCTTCGCCTTGCTTGTAGAAGCACTGAAGGTATTCCTATTATTCGTAAGGAGAGGACTGAAAAAGTCAGGATTGACAATTTCAGGGTCATTCTTGGTGGCCGGCTTCCCCGGTACCGTTGACTGGGGGAATGGAGTGGGGGGAACAGTTGCAGCAGGGGTTTTCTCTCCACCCCGCTCTGCGGGAGGGCCGCGGGAGCTGGCGCGCCTGGCGGAGAACCTGGGGCACCACGACTCAGCGAAACGACATGCAGAAGTGAAGAGAAACATACTTGCTAATAGGCTCCATCATTGCACTCAGTGTCATCCTCCTTGACTTTTTATCAGGGACTGTTTGACTCTTTTCACTGCTGACCGATGCTCTGTCGGCAGATGGCTTCCTTGATAGAGTTGCACTAATCCGATTGCGAAGATTACGGGCTTTAGACTTCGTTCCGGAAACAGGCGGCTTGGATTCAGACCGACTGGGGGGTGGAAGAGCATGACCAGGGTCACGGGAGGACGTGGGTGTTGTGCTAGTGGGAGAACTGTCCCCAAGCTGAAGGCTTGGGTTGGATGAGAGCAGTTTGGCAAGGTTGAATTTGTCCATTGATAGACCACGTCTATGACGGGCGGTCCCATGTGGGGAGACATTGCTTGGGGCGCTGGATGCCTTGCTCGCGTTTTCTGCGGGGAAGTCACTAGTATGCTGGGATACAGCAGATGACTGCACCATAGTCCCCTCGGCAAGCTGGTGTGTGGGCGTTGTGGGAGTGCTTGAAGCGTTAGCTGATCCCTGACTAGAGCGTGTTGTAGCTTGATCAGCCGAGGCTGATTCTGTCACGGCTGTGCCGACAGGTTTAGAAGCTTCTGATGCAGCCTTCCGAGGACTGGTGGTAGGGACTGGAGGCAATTCCTTGATTTTGGCGTCCAGTTCCTTCCCTTTCGGGGTGCGAGGCGAGGTCAGCTCGTTCTTGACGGCCTCGCGTAACGGAACGTCAGTGTCTATATCTGGTATCTCACCAAACTCTTCGTTCACCGGTCGAGCATCTACGGGGAATTCCTGCTCGGGCTGACGTGCGCCCTCTGAAGTTGGGAAAGGTAGGGATGGCATGATGAATATCTGCTGCTGACCAGCAGGGTTGGTTGGAGTGCTGAGATCATCCGCCTGCCCTCCATCGTACTCCACCTGCACAGTGTGCCTATTCGCTCCGGTCTTGCGTTTCTTTTCCGCAGAATTTGGAGTATGCGGGACTCTGGGGGAGGTAGGGGACCCAACCGGTCGTTTCGACGAACGTGAATGTGTGGATTCCTTGCGTGATCTATGATTCGGAGAATCTGCATGGTGGTAATCAGGGATATAAGGGAAATCGCTCTCCCCTTTGGAGGGGGATATTGGGATCTGGAGGGAAGTAGCCACACCACGCCGCGGGGATGAGTATAATGTTGACTCCACCGCGGCGGGTTCATGGAGAGCTTCGCCACGAGTTGCTGGACCGTCTCGCACAGTTTTGCTCCTTGATGGAGAAGATGCTGCAGAAGGCAGCACGGCCTGGCCACCGGAGCGAGGGACCTCCTGTAACTGCTGCCGCTGTGCAGCCCGCTCTCTCATCTGCTGCTGATACAATGCCCTCTTTTCTGCTTGCTGAGCGTAAGCCAGATGCTCGAGCTCTTTGACTGAGAGCTGGAAGATGGATGCATGGGCAGCCAACCAAGGATGTGCCATTATCGTCTGTAGGTCACTTCGCCTAGCTGGGTCAGGAACAAGCATAAGACCGAGCAAATCTCGAGCGCCGGAGGAGATATAGTCGGGGAAGGTAAGAGGAGTGTTGACTATGTACTTATAGAGCAGATTGATATTATCACCATCAGGATTGGCGGGGTCATCGTCGTACGGGAGATAACCCGCAAGCATGGCATAGAGGATCACACCGCATGACCAGATGTCAACAGCAGATCCCACATACATGCCTTCGGAAATAACCAACTCAGGCGCCGCGTAACATGGACTGCCGCAACTTGTCTGCATGAGGTCATCTGCTTTGTGCTCGAAACGATTAGCGAAACCGAAATCGGTGATGATGACATTGCGATTGCGGTCGAGAAGAAGATTCTCCAACTTCAAATCCCGGTGAACGATTTTCTTGGCGTGACAATAAGCAACCCCTGAAATTAGCTGGGCAAAGAGACGGCTCGCATCTTTCTCCTTGAGATATCGATGGGCAAGAATGTGGTCGAAGAGTTCACCCCCTGAGGCATATTCTAGCACGATTCCGATGTATTTGTCTGTTTCGATGACATCGTACAGATGTACGATATTTGGATGTCGGATTACCTTTGGCGGTGTTAGCCAGCTTCAGGAGGTCATAACACCCACATACCTTCAAAACATCAATCTCACGATCAACCTTGCTCATGCGAAGGGCGTTGTCCACGCTGCCTCGACGTATCAATTTAACGGCCACTTCCTCTCCCCAGTCGCAATGCAAGCCAAGCTTCACCTTCCCGAACTCGCCTTCGCCTAGTGTGCGAAGTAAAAGGTACGGTCCAAAACGAGGTATCTGCCGTCGTGGATGCGATTGCTGATAGGCCATGGCCGCAGGGTGAGCATAAATGTCAGGATAATGGCCCGGAACAGATTGTGGAATGGGTTGAGGGTGTGGCGAGGAGGATGTTGTAACGGAGTGGGAGGCCCTCTTGCGTGTAGAGCCACTAGGTGGCTGTATGGAGGAAGGGTTGTGAGTTGGTGAAGTGTAAACTAGTGCAGAAACGGGTCTGTTAGAAATTGATCCGGGTGTTGCAACAACTTGCAATGTAGGATTCGGCGATGTCGGGTTCCGAGCGTAGTGGGAATTGTTGGGCAACACTCCAAACGACTGGGAACTATCGACGGGCCCGTTGGGAACCCCGTTCCGTTGCTCGCTGGTTGTGTTTTGAGGTCTAGACAACATCATCTGGAGTTTGTGGCAAGGGTCAAGTGAGAAGCAGAACGAAAAGAATGCAGACACCAAAAGCGCGCTTACGAATCCCTTGTATCAATGAACGTTATGTCTGTACTCTCCAGGGAGTCTGAACCACTGGACGAGGGGATCCACCGACGACAACTGGTTGGACGGTTGAACAGGAAGATTAAAGAGGAAAGTGCCGGGTCCCCTATAGGCACCCTGAGGACCCCAGATTTAATCCCGTAACCAACCAGCCCATCCTTCTATATTCCAGGGCAACCATTGCAAAAACACTCAAATAAATTGCACAGAACTATTCCAAAAGGCTATGATATATGCACGCATCAAGTATGTGATGATCTCCTCGATTTCTGGACAAATGGGTTTACAGCTTGGTCAGAAAATTGCCCAGCTCAGTCCTTCCTCCCCGGATTCTCCATCAGTCGACTCAGATTCACATGCTAAGCCATTAACAGTTCCAACAATGATTACCAATATTTCCGATCCCGTACAGCTCCGGTCCCGGTCGCATTCCCAGGCAGTTCTACGTCCTCTGGGACGGTTCACTAATGATTCCGGTTGTAAGCCGAGATCGCTTCTACGAGATCTTGCGCTCTCGGGTTTGACGGGATGACATGAACGGCGAGAGATTCTACGGTTTTCAAGTACGATGCAGTTGTGGAGCCAATAGCTGCAACACGAACATGTGACCGACGCTCCTGTGCTTCATCTCCCAACTCGTGAAGCTTGAAGTATTGCCTCAACGTGGGTAACACAGCGCGGGCGGAGGAAGGAGCGAAGAAAACAATCCATTTTGGAACCTCACAGCAGTGAGTGCGATCGGCGCTGTTGTCGTTGGGAGTCTCACTGGATTCCCCAGATTTCATGATAATACGAATGTCTTCGTCAAAATCATTGCGAGCCCATGTTTGATATACCTGGAGAGGATGCGCATGGAGGCCCGCGGATTTTAAATGTGAGGCGAGCTCCCCTGTTGTCTTATCGCCAACAAGATACAACAGAGGCAGTGACACGCATCGCGAAAGCTGAGATCGAGAAGGATAATCATGAATGATGAACTCGGCCAATTTGGACCCGGTGCCAGACTCTGCGCCCAAAGTTAGCTTTGGAATGAACGAAGAAGTGAAGGGAAGAATATGTTTGTGCTTTAGGAGGCTCTCTGTTCGCACACCAATCACATAGAAAGGCAGATCGGACCAACAGACTGATTTGTGAATTAATGCATTGGAATTTTCACCGCCCAATGGCATATATACATACCCACGGATTCTGCGGATTTTGAGCCGTTTGCGTCAAGGATTGCAGCACATTCGAGCCACCGTTCCGCAGCCCTGCCACTAGTTACGATGACGGCTCCGAATCGGTGCTGCGGGCCGTCAAGAAGAAGCTGCCTCAACACCCCTCCATTGACGGGCGAATGCTGCAGTACAGGAACAAACCAGGGAGAATAACCACAGCTCTTTAGCGAGTCCTCATATGGATCGCTGTCGGTTGCACTGTCACCGTCCCGCGATCTGAACAAGATGACATCCCCACTGGACGTGGGCAAAGCCGACATCAGAGCTCTGAGATTTGCAAATGTCTGTTGGCGTCAGGTGACTCCAAATACATTTTTCATCGAATTTTGGTCGAATTATGTCAATGGCATCGGCGAAGGCCAAGAAGGATAAGCCTTTGCACTCTCTCATCGCTGGTACAACTGCGGGAGCAGTCGAAGCGTTTATCACCTATCCGTAAGCTAATTCGGACCCTTGACCATCGATGATCATTCCTAAGCACTCACCAGAACCGAGTTTGTGAAGACACGATCCCAATTTGCTCCCAAAGGAACATCAAAGGTGTGTTTACGATATAATTGGACCATATTAGCGCTCAGATGCTCGTAAGGAAGGGCCTATTGCGATCATAAAAACTACCATTAAACAGAAAGGGATCACTGGCCTCTACTCTGGATGCAGTGCACTCGTTATTGGTAATGCGGCAAAAGCGGGCGTGCGCTTTGTCACCTATGATTATTTTAAAGGCTTGCTGCAGGATGAACATGTGAGTGCACACCGAAATGTGACCTTGATGCCCTAACTTCGTAACCAGGGGAAAATTAGTGCCCCTCGCAGTCTCCTAGCTGGACTGGGAGCGGGAATGTGTGAGGCTATATTGGCGGTGGCCCCTTCAGAGACAATCAAGTTCGCCCTTTTATCCCTTTACAAGATTATATTTTCAAGATATTTAGGACGAAGCTTATCGATGACTCTCGTTCGCCTAATCCACGTTTTCAGGGCCTTGCCCATGGCACAAGGACCATTATAGCCGAGGAAGGAATACGCGGCATATACCGCGGACTCTTCCCTGTGGTGAGCGCCACGAACACGCCAGGGCCTATGTATGAATCCACTCTTAGATGGCTCGACAAGGAGCGAACTCGGCAGTCCGATTCACATCATATGCTACCCTGAAACAGTTTGTCCAAGGAAACACCAGACCTGGGCAGGCTCTGCCATCAAGCCTCACTTTCGCTATCGGCGCAATGGCTGGCCTCGTCACCGTGTATACAACAATGCCACTTGAGTATGTAAATGAGGGCAATCGCTGCTCTTTTTACTTATACGCACCTTATAGTGTCATCAAAACTAGAATGCAAACACTTGAAGCGCGCCGGCAGTATAAGAACTCCTTCCACTGTGCGTATAGAATTTTTACAGAAGAAGGCGTTGCGAGATTCTGGACCGGGACGACACCTCGGTTAACTAGGCTCGTCGTGAGTTTCAGAATCTATGGTTGGTGTGAATCAAATACTCAGCTCCGTTTCCAGCTATCGGGTGGAATCGTTTTCACGACATATGAAGCAATTATGAAAGTTCTCAGAGTCACATCAATATGAAATTGGCTCCTAGTTCCGCGCTTGATCTTATGCCGAGTTGTCTTAGAGCACTAGTAATGTGCGTGGTAAATTATGTGTCGACCCCCAAACATAGTGAGAATCTCGGCAACTAGATTTTTTATGTCTAAAAATAGGGGAGTAACATGGGTAGGGCCGCCGGCCCCTACGCGATGAACCAAGCACGTATAACAGCTCGCTTTCTATTGAAAACGAAGCCAAAACGGCGGGACATTTTCCTCTGTACAAAACAAACATAGCATGCAAATGAACATGGAATGTTGTCTTTGATGAGTGTCTCAGACACCAAAATCAAACGGGGATGATCGATACAGCCAACCATTTTCAGATAGTTTGAGGCAGGCGAGTGCCTTCTTTTACGCTAATGAGCCATATGACGCAAGCGTCGAAACCAGACAAACAGTGCAGACCTGACATGACCAACGCCGAAGAAGAAAGAAAGGCACCCTATTCGTCACTCACAGATACTGTCGAAACTGATCCAACACCGTTGGGCTTTGTGGTACGGCGGGGGGACTCAGGCTCTTTTCCACTGCGAATGAGACCCAGATGCATGGATTGCACGAGTCCTAATGAGGTTTATAAAGGCAAAGGTACACTGCGAGACGGAGGTGTGTGACAGTAAGTTCCTGCCTTCTGTGCGTTCACCACAAATCCTAACCGTGTGAATACATGTTCAATATCAGCGATCAGCCTCGACGGTATCGGTGAAGGACGGATAAGGGCGACTCCATCCGCCTTATCGTCCGAAACTATATATGCATCCCCGTTTGACGAGATTTAATTCTGGTGTACTTCCGCAATGGACCCCTCATTGTGTCTCCTCTCTCAACGCATTCCCCTCAGCCCTGGTCTCGATGACTTTTAATTATGATGCACAACTTAAATCATGAGTGATGCATGCGGTCCGAGTCTGAAGGCAAATTTGTCGGCGTATACACATGTTTCGAGGCTGCTTTCTAACACAAGCTCTCTCCGATCTCTCGGTCATGTTGGTAGCATGTTGATATGTGGTCCGCAGCAACGTAATTATCTAATTGTTGCTCCAGTTGTCTTTGAGTGTGTCAATCACAATTCCTTTGGACCCGATTCCACCGTAAAATCATGATAGATTGGAGACCTTTATTACCATTACCCAATCCTAGAACCCATGGTCTTTTAAGCAGCAAAAACTGCTTGGAGCGCGCAGAGGCGCAGAGGCTGGGATCGATCCGGAATCAACCTGCGTTGCCGCCGGCAACCCGTGAGAGCCATGCAGGCATTCTACCATTCCCGGATTATTTGGTACGGGAAAATGTAATCCCACTCCCACCTACGACCCAAGCGAGCATATGTCCCTGAACATCTTGTTGTCGAAGGAGGGGGGCGTTGGGATCGTCAGACTCAACCGCCCGCAGGCATCGAATGCATTATCTAAGGCGCTCCTCCAAGAGCTTCTTCAAGGCTTAGCTGTGTATGAAATGGATGACGAAATCGGTGCCATTATTGTCACAGGATCAGATACCGTCTTTTGTGGTACGTGCTACCCAGCTGTGAACAGTTCCATCCTGACGATTGGGCGCCATATCTCATAGCCGGTGCGGACCTTAAAGAGCAAAAAGATCTGACCTTCTATTCGAGCTTTATGAGCGAACATTTTAGGGCTTTCACTGAGAGAATTCAAGCCATTCGCAAGCCCATCATTGCTGCTGTGAATGGCTACGCTGTACGTTTTTGCAGGGGAGTGATTTTCCCGAAAGTTGCTAGTTTTAACTCTCCTCCAAGCTTGGGGGTGGATTCGAACTTGCGATGCTGTGTGACACTATCTTCGCCGGTCAAAGTACAAAGTTTGGGCAGCCTGAAATTAAAATCGGAACGATCCCTGGAGCTGGAGGCACGCAAAGGCTTACTAAAGCTATCGGGAAAGCGAAGGCAAGATGTTCATCTCTGCAGTCAAAGTTGGACTGAATTGTTTCTTAGACTATGGATCTGGTGCTCACAGGGAGAATGATAACTGGGGAGGAAGCTCTTGAATGGGGCGTGGTCGCTCGTGTGTTGCCAGATGATCAAGTTCTTGCGGTTGCGGTCGAGGCAGCGAGGACCATTGCATCCTATTCAAGGCCAATGGTTTATCTGGCCAAGGAAGCAATCAATGCAGGTATGTCTCTTGTTCTCTTATACGTCTGTCTATTGATGTGCTGCATGCAGCGGAAGAAATGTCCCTCTCTCAAGGATTGATGTAAGTCTCCCCATAGCCATACAGTATCTCCTGACAGATATGCCACGTCAGGTTTGAGCGCCGTCTTTTCCACTCCACTTTTGCTCTGAATGATGCAAAGGAGGGCATGGAGGCCTTCGTGAGTAGATGCCATCTAAGCCTTGGGCGGCACACCAGTGTTCACTTTCCGTTTAGGTACAGAAGCGTGCGCCTAATTTCCGCCATAATTAACAACCAGGATATAAGCTTCATCCTTGGGAGTATAGCAACTGAATGAAAATTGTCGTCAAAATTGCACTGCCGAGCCTGGATTCTCGGGGACAAATTAATCCTTTGGTAGGAATCGTATGAAGGTTATTGTTCTTCCCTGTAGTACACCTGTCCTTGTCGCATCAACCGCCCCAAAAGCTCAGGCTCTTTCCATTGTTCAATAAGCAGATATTTCGATTGAGGCATCCTCTTGCATGGCCGAGTACCAAGCTGGCGCGGTGTGTTGAATGCCAAGAATTGAGATGATTCCACGGGGCGACTCTGAGGCCCCATCATTTCTTTTGCTGTACTCGTTTCGTGTTTCACCTGTTACACTAGCTCGAAAAAGGAACAAACAATACTGAAAGCTCAACTTTTGTGCATTTCTTCGACACCCTTTTTGCGCGAGGCCGAGGCTCGTCTATTACCACTTATATCCTCGCACTACTATCTACTATATACCGTCTATTGTTCACAAAATGAGAGCGCGCGCGAGAAAGCGAATTCGAATGGCAAGCCAACGATTCGAGCGGCAAGCGAGGTAGCGTCCACTGAGTGGAGCTTTTTTCAAAAAAAAAAAAACAAGAGCGTGATTATATTGGATCCAGTGGATCAGATCGAAGATAGATGCGCTACATGTATTTTCCCCTCATTCTTTCTATCACTCCATTCTCGCGTCCGCCACATCAGAGCTTGAGTGAAACCTTATGAAGAAAAGTCCAGCGCAAAAGGATTAAAACACATATCGATCCGAATTTCACTGTAAAGTCAACCTCCATACGTAACGTAAGTTATCCTCGGGCACCAAGCGCCAAGTTCTATTCCAATAGAGGCTGGTAACCTGCCTGGCGCCAAGTCTTGTCAGACCATCTGTGTGCTCACGCAGTGCTTGAAGTCCTTAAAAAAGCTGTCCTTCAGACCGACACCAGTCATCATGGCTTCACAGGGACTCATTGGCCAAGCTTGCGAGGCTTTCCAGAGGGGTCCGGGAATCCGCAATCCCCCCTGAGAAATGGTCACCGCGTGGGAAATGGGTCGGCAAGCTCGGCCATTCAGTTTGAGGGACCCCTCATAAGAAGAGTGGCCTGGTTCATCAAAATATTCGAGGGCGACCTGGCGCTCCAGTGATCCTGGATGTGGCATCTTGACTAGCCATCGTCTTCCAAATTCGTGTTTGTGGATCCAATTCTAGTGGTAAGGTTTCTTCCCATCGAGCGCGTCATGAATCAGTATTGACCTAGGCAGTTTCAGAAAATTATCCGGTTTCACTGCGCCCATGGCTTGTCCTGGCACATCCCTTGTGAATTGGTCTCCTGTTCAGGATCGTAAATGGGTGGACTCTAAATAGAATATGACAAACGAGCTTTCGTGGCGGATGGGTGTCGTAAAAATGAAAATTATTACACTTTTCGGGCTGTCCACATCCGCGTGAGTCGTAATTTATCCTTTGATCAAATGTCCTCTCAGATCGCCGTCTAAATACATTGGGAAAAGGTAGAGAATGGCTCTATGAAATCGGATGCTGGTCATCTGCTGTACCTAGTTCCCCTCGGGGACGACCTGACATGGTTGTTGCTACATACGCATACTTGAACAACGGCATCGCTGAAACATATCAGCTCGGACTTAAGATTGAGGATGGCATTCTCGCTCACGTCAGTAAGCGATACATTCTCTTGAACTCCAGAGTGGACATTGAATCTCGTTGTAGCAATTGGTGTGCTAAATACTCGCTCGTCGATGGTGGGATCATTAACCCTTCATTGGTCTGAGTATACACATGCACAGTTCGCATGCATCTGTAATCTTACTGGCTTGGGCCAGTTCCCTAGATTCGAAGCTCTAGCAGGTGTGGATATCCACACAAGGAGGGCGCTTGCACATTGTGAATTTGTGATGATATCAGTGGCGTGCCAGCTATTCGTGGCCGAGATCATTGTTCGTATCCCGGATCAATTGCGTAGACGAGGAATCGCGGCACCACACTATTGGAGCGCAGTGTGAATTGTGTTTGGTGCATACAGATATAGGCACAGATACAAAGCTAGGCTATCATAGGTGCGTACACCACGAAGGAGGGTTGAGCCACGCCAAAGGAAGCACAACACCGGCTGTTTGGCGTGGGGAATGCTGGCCAGGCGAGGTGGTAGAAATAGATGAACTGGTAAGGATCCCCAGCAGGCTACAAGTGGAATCATCACTTCCAGGAAACATAGCAAACATGGTTCGAACCACGAAAACTAGAAACGCAGTGACTGGAACCCCACGCAATGTATGAGTGTGCGAGCACGAATGGAGGAGATAGCGTATGCATTGAGCGCTTCCAACGCTCGAGGCTGCAAAGGTATACGAAGCTGTGGAATCCTTGAGAAATTATTTCTGATCGTCATCGCCAACTTGCTTTCCGCAAGGTGGAGTGAATCCAGTTGAACGGCAGGCTGGATTAAACAATATTGGGGATGGCAGCCATGTCAATTGCATTCAACGATTGATATCATCATGACAGAACATAAATTCCTGAAGACGAGGTTGGTGCTGCATCGGGTATGTAAATGTGTCGACGATCATTCATAACAGAGCCTAATGGCTGCTTGACTCTCCGATATTATTTTAATGCCGACACCGAGAACGGGGTGTTGAAGCTCAGCCTTGAACAAGCCCCGGACGGATGAAGCAGTGGATTGCGCCATAGCCCATGTTCTGGTATTGGCAGAGCTCCAAACCATGTTTGCTTCCGGTCGGTTGGCCACGTCAATCTCATTCAAATCCTTGACGCGACACGTCGACTTTAAAATCTGGAACTATATCTAGGGGCATATAGCAGTTGCGTATGGGCATTGCCACCCTGGAAGCCATGCCAAAGCTGTTGACCGTGCTAGCATGCCTATCTTTTCTCCTGCCATCGACACTCGGCGCTGTGTTAGCCATTGACTATGGAACTGACTGGACGACGGCCTCTCTCATGAAGCCTGGGATACCTTTCGACGTACTTCTGAATCGTGACTCGAAACGAAAGATTCACTCGTCTGTCGGATGGAATCGTGCGGATCGACTTTTCGGCAGCGATGCCCTGAACATTGTCTGTAACATGTTTCGTTTTACTCAGGTGTTTTAGCTGATTAGATATGAAAACCAGGCCACACGGTTCCCCCAAGACTCGTTCCCTTCCCTGAAGCATCTAGTTGGTGCCCATTATTCCAGCAATAAAACTTCATATTACAGCCAGCTGTATCAGGCCACAACCTTTGAGTCTGAGCGTAAAACGATAACAATTAGACGGCCTCATCTATCGGAGGGTGCTGAATGGACTGTGGAAGAGTTGCTTGCTATGCAGTTCGCATATATCAAGGATTTGGCATCAGAGCTCGCAAACGAAGTAATTTCGGATGCAGTGCTCGCTGTGCCCCCGTACTTCTCCCAGGTTGAGCGCCAATCATTCATTGATGCCCTGGAGATTTCCGGATTGAGGCTTCTGGCTCTCGTTCATGATGGCACTGCTGTAGCTGTCAATTATGCCATGACTCGATCCTTCCCAGAAAAGGAATTTCATGTCATTTATGACGCTGGTGCGGGTGCTATTCGAGCCACAGTTGCCTCATTCAGCTCTCCTGATGCTCCGCCTCCTTCAACGACCACAACAAAGATCGCGCGGAATTTGAAGACCACTACGAAGGAAAGTGCGATCATTGAAATATTCGGATTCGGTTGGAACAAGGAGGCTACTGGCAACGAGTTAACTCGGAGACTCAAATATCTCTTTATTAATCGCTTTGAGGAGAAACATGGAAAAGACATTTTATCTGCTGATCCCAAGGCTTTGGCTCGATTGCTGAAGGAAGCCGAACGGGTAAAGGGCATCCTCAGCGCCAACACGGATGCGTTCTCTATGGTAAAGACCTATTTTCCAGTAGCATTGCGTCATCTATCTCACTTGTTCGTAACAGGTTGAATCTATTACTGGGGATATCGATTTTAGGACAAAGACGAGTCGTGCTGAGTTCGAGGGCATGTGCGAGGACTTGAAGCCGCTGTATGTGCAGCCCATTTTGGATGCTCTTGCAAACAGTGGACTTACAATGGTACGCTCCGTTTGCGTCTGTCGCTCCATATCTTCACCATGGTCCATAGGAGAACATCACGTCGGTGATTCTGGCGGGTGGGCATTCACGTGTCCCGATGGTACAAGCTGAGCTCAAGGCACTTGTCGGAGAGTATGTTATTTTGTGCACCACGTTGCCTTTAATTGGGATCGCTCAGCATTCTCGATAGATCGAAGATTGCACAGAACGTGAATGCGGACGAATCATTTGTCCTCGGATCTGCCTTCTACGGGGCGACACTCTCTCGCCAGTTCCGTACAAAGAAGTTGAAAGTACAAGATGTCTCACCCTATGACTTCCAAGTTTCATATGAAACAGAGGTTAAGAAAGGTGGCAAAAGATCAATCAGCACTGTCGTATACCCCAAAGGCAGTAAATTGGGAGTCAAGAAGACGTTGACGCTGAAAGGAAGGAAGTCTGATTTCACGATGGCCGCTGGATACAAAGGGATTGAAGACACATGGCATGGACCTTGCATATCTCCTTCCGTGCCAATACTGACTAACGGCTCAGGGAATTCCCGACAAGTATCTATAACATCAATATATCGAATGTTACTGAAGCGATTTCTAATCTCACTACTCGAGGAGCAGTGGACCCCGTTGTCAAAGTAACGCTCTTTCTCACAGACTCCGGCATGCTCACTGTCCACGATGTTATCGCTTATGGGGAGGTTAAAGATGACTCATTGACTGGTAAGGCCGGCGTCGCGAGTCGCGAAGAAAGTGTGCTGAACGAGGCCGTATAGGCAAATTGAAAAATCTTTTTGGCGGTGGAGCATCATTGCCAAGTGACTCTTCGACTTCGTCCCCTACATCTGATGATGGCGGGTCCGCTTCGGCCCCCTCTCCCTCATCCCCAGCACCTGAATCATCAGTGTCAGTCACCGCGAAGGAAGACAAGAATATCGTCCCTCTCGTATGGGAGACTGAGCACGTATCAATTCGACCACTCACACCATCAGAGAAACAGAAATCGAAACGCCGGTGAGTCGTCTATAATAGGATATAGCCCTCATAGTATTCATCTCTGTCTCAAATTAGTTTGTTGGCCGTCGACCAGGCAGAGCTGGCAACGCGTCAGCTCGAAGAGGCTAGAAATGTTCTTGAGGGCCACATATATAGGCTAAAGGATCTGCTTGCCGAATCTGCTGCTTCGGTGACCCCCTTCGCTGAGTTCTCAACTGCGGATGAAAGAAACAAGCTGCTTGTACTGGTGGAGGAAACGTCCCAGTGGTTGAGCGAGGGGTCAAATGGGGCTGATGCTGTTATATACAATCAAAAGAGAGAGGCCCTACAGTGCGTTATACCACTTTCTCTAGTATCGCTCGCTCCGACCGAAGTGTTACTCCCAGGGCTCTTGAAGACCCTATCACTGGCCGCCAGAAAGAGGCGGAAGCACTGCCTGGGGCCATTGCTGATCTCAACAAAGCCCTTGCTGCCAGTCGATCATTTCTGAAATTGGCAGATGAAGGACTCACTGCGGTAGGAGAGCGCGCTGACGAAGATGGAGAAGAAGTCGACTCATCAACAGTTAAATGGACTGCAGAAGAAGCCGAAGAGATCAGGACCATTGTCGAGGAAACACAAAGCTGGTTCCAGAAGCAGCTGGACGCGGTCGTGGATCAACCCAAGAACGTCGATGCGCCGATCCGCGCTATTGACCTTGACATTCGCGGTTCAAAACTTCAAAAGAAGGTGCTTCGACTGATTAACCGCAAGGCGGCCAAGCCGAAACCGAGCTCGAGGAAATCCACCACGTCCTCGTCCACACAAACACGAACTGAGGGCTCGACAGGAGAAAAACCAGAACCTACTCATATACCACGCGAAGACCTGTAGATAGTACGCAATAGATTAATAACGATCCATTTTGTGGAGCAGCAGCGCACCAGGCTATTTTTGTTCGATGCCAGTAGATTGAATGGCGGGGCTATCCGGGAAGGGCTGGTGTGATTCATCATTGGGTTGCTGCGCGCCGTCGATCGCCTCACTAGCGTCAACAGATCTTTGCTCGCAGGTAGTTGGCTATGACAGCGCGGAGCTTCGACAGTTCGGTTTCAAGGAGATCGAGACGAGAACGGATCACAAATGAAGATGTTTACGAGTGCGAGTCTGAGGATTTCTTATTCACTTAGCATTTGCTGATTTAAGCGCTGCTCACAATTTTTAGTTATGCCTTACGTGTTGCGTGAGTGTTGTATTTCTGGCTTGTTACTTCCCACTGGCTTCGGATGGATAAGAACTTATGAAAATGACGGCCTTTAGATACCTCTCCCATCTCATGACACCAAAACCTCCACCACAGGCACCTGAGACACGCAGGGATGAATCTAAGGATCATCACTCGCGTTTATCGAACATCGTGGCACCGATAAATCTCTTGGGGGATTTATTTCGTGACGCTGGCCGTGACGGCCATCGCAGCGTCAAGTTCCCTGAAAAGTTGCTCAAGGTACTTGACGCAAAAATGCAAAATGTTGCTATGGGAAAGGATATTGGGTATGTCACAACTTTCTTGAAAAACTATCCAGCGAATTTACTCTTTAACCATCCCTTTAGCTATGTGGATCCGTACTTTCGGGCCAGTATCGCTGTTTTCTGGGGAAGTTTGAAGGAACCAACGTTCCTCCGCCAAATGAAAGAGAATAGGAAAATTGAGGAACTCATTCTCACCTTCGTTTCTACTGCCACTGCATCCTTGAAGAAGAATCCGCAACTTCTGGGTGAGGCTTGGAAAGGAGAATTGAACAAGCAGATCCCCATGTTCATTCGCATGCTTCGTGAATGCCTGTCCAACACGTCCTCTGTTCCTACTGAGCTCGTTTCTCGATTGGAATTGTATTCTGTCAAGCTAAATGCCACCGCACCCCATGACACGGGGTCCGATTCTGGCTATTCGACATCCCGATCCCCAGATCCACCAGCTCCGGGTCCGTCTAGTACCGTTACTCAATACGTCGCCGATATGCCGCTGGTTCAGACAGTCGCTAGGTTGTTTGGCTATACAAATAGTCAGGTGCAAGGTGACCTCTCGTCCCTAAAGCAAATGTGCACTGAGTGGGTGCGTATTCGTTATGCTTGCGAATTTTTTAATACATCTCACATGTTCACAGGCGGCCATTGTGGATTTAAAGGTTTGCGTCCGCATTGGGTTTCTCACCCATGGGCTAACCGTCTACAATCTATCAGACTTGCCTGAAGAACATCAGGGCTGGCGTCCCCTTTCCTGGACGCCGCGAAGATTTTGAAACAGAGGAAGCGTGGCAACACTGGCGAACTCAGGAGTTGGCGCATTTATCACAACTGATGGTGATGATGGTAAAGCTGAATCCCGAGCTGGCGGGTTCCAATCCGTCCGATTCTGGGGCGATGAGATTGCCGCGACCAACTTCTATTCACGGGAATCCCGAGTATGACGATGAATCTATATCTCGCGCCTCTTCCTCAGCTAGCCGACGGAGTTTGGCCATTCCAAATTCTTGGAACCCAGATGCTATTGCTCATATTGAGCAGGACGATAATGAGACCCAAACTGGCCACAATTTTACCTATATCCCTCCGAATCCCAAAAAATTTTATAAACGGTTGACCGAACTCTGTATGGAATATGATCTTCGTGCTATGGCACATCTCCCCGAAGATCAAGAAGTTTCTCTTGGCATCCTCTCCCAGGCACATCTCGAGCTTGTGAATGAATGTGCCCTTCGGTGGAGGATTAACCCATCTTACCGCGTTGCTTGCTTCTTCGACATCATTAAGTATAAATACGAACGCGAAGAAGTCCCTTTGGAATGTATACCGGAAGGACTTCAGATGGTGTCGAAAACTCTGCATGACTTACCAATCTCGAAGTGGCCCATTGATGACGTACGTTATCCTCTGGTTTAGACTAATGAGATTTCTTGACTGTAGACCGTTCCACAGGTCGAATACTTGGCTCAAGTTTACGGGGCGTTGTTCAATATATTCCTTGGTCTCCTTTATCACACGTTTGAAAACCTGGGATCGATCAAGCTTCAAGATATCGAGCCCTGCGCGGCTATACTTGCTCGAATTCGAGAGAGCGGCCTGATGTCACGATATAGTGTTGATGTGAATACCCGTGTAGGCGAACTTTCGGAACGCGTCCGGGGGGTTGCAATTCAACAATATACGGCCAAGAGTCAGGAGATTGCTAACGAACATGTGGGCGTGAATAGGGCAATGCCTTTACTACACCTCACGGACTGGGTTGAAAAACAAGTGAAACTCCTCGACAAGCGGTTCCCGGAACCTGTGTTAGGGTCAGATTCATGTTCCGTTCCTCAAGGACGTAGAAACTCACCTTTCTGTAGGATTCTTGATGTTGTTGCTCTCGCCATTGATGGCTATTATCCAATGTTCCTGAATGACTTGGATTATTCTCAGCGTCGCCTACTAGAAGGTTCAATGAATCAACCATCTCCAGACATCCCAATAGAAGACATTTTCTCCCTGTATCGGCGAACGAAAACTCTTGGGGATATGCACAGAGCGTTTTGCCCTGAGTCAGTCGCACATTTTCTTGCGCGTCGTTGGCCGATTCAAACATTCGCTTATAGAGCCAACGAGGATTTCGATATCACTGGTTATTTCCGTCCGTACGTACAGCAATGGATAATCATTACCGATAACAAGACTACCCAGTGGGTTAATAACGTAGGTAGTGTTCTTACTCAAATTATCTACTCTAAGCTATTTCCCCCCCTATTCAGGCTATCGATGTGGATAAGGTAAGAATACCGTATGGAGACGGTGCAATACTCACTCGGCATGTCTCAGTTTGAAACCGAAGGCGAGGAGAGCCACAGCTCGTCAATTATTGATTTGTTCGATTCCCTCAAACCTCCGATCGATTTTTTGCTCGAATTGAAGTGGACAGATGTCTATGAGGAAGCTCGATTCTTTACCTCGTTGGCAAAGGTTTTGTCATGTCCTAAGTCAAGATCCACATTCCTTAACGGTTTTTGCAGACTATCAGTAATGCTGTGCAACAGTATTGCCGTCGGATCGAGGATCTCTTCATGGCTGAGATGTTCCCCCGGCCGCCACCTGAAACGCAAGAGAAAGATCGGATGGCTCTTCTAATGGAGCGCGCGAAGATGACCATGGGCGGGGAGCGCAAAATTGAGCCATTCAATTTCATGGCATCCGTACGTATCCCGATCTACGATTCTCAACGAAAGATTCAAGAATCCCCTTCAGTCATGCATCAAGCTCAACAACATAGAGGCTGCTCGGAAGCTGCTGGACCAGCTATACCAGAGGATGGACGTTGATCAGATCAGTAAACGACTCGACACCCTTGCCCCGCCTGTTCCTCCAAAGACGAAGGAACGCTATCTGTTCACTGTGAAAATCGTACAAGCCCAAAACCTACCACCCAATGACTCCAGTTCTAAACTTGACACATTTGTGACATTGAGCGACGAAAACGGCTACCGCTTGGCAAAAACGCGTACTATATGTGACACACTGGAGCCCCGATGTAAGTTATTGCCACATAGCACTTCCGCATGTCCGCTCATTACCTCCAGGGTCACAGGAATTTGACTTCTCCGTTGACAATAGTCTTTGGCTTATGGCTAGCGTCCGAGACCGCGCACTGATTGGGAAGCACGATACGATTGGGAGAGCCTATTTATGCCTGGATCCAAAACGATACGGAGATTTTCTAACGCATGATTTGCGGTTAGATCTTGACCCCCAGGGGCAGATACACATTCGCGTGAGCATGGAAGGGGAGAAGGATGATGCGCAGTTCTACTTCGGAAGAGCGTTTCGATCATTGAAGAGAACTGGAGATGATATGACACGTGTCTTCATTGACAAAGTGAGTGAGCATAGCATGCGTGCACCCTCGTTCCTTTCTAAGATTGGCGTTACCAGATGTCACCTTTAATCCAGCAATGCCTTTCACGCAATGCCCTCAAAACTTTAATGAAATCTGGAGTTCCAGCTACACTCGACTATTCAAGAGCACTGAGCTTCAAGGGATTTTTTGGGACGAAACTAACACAAGACAATGGCGATGTCCTCATACCACTCCCAGCAGAAGAGCGACCGCGGCATCGTCCGGGCCAGTTGTCCGCGGAAGAGATCGAGTTGTCCATATCTCCTCTCTTTGCGTATTTTGAGAAGAATTTGATGGACGTGCTGAATCAGTGGCTCAGCGATGGCACCCGGGAGACAACTGTCCTCAAAGTCTGGAAGGAAATCTTGAATGTTATCGAGTCGCTTCTGATTCCCCCATTGTCCGACTTGCCGTCTGACATGAACCCATTATCGGACAAGGAAGTCGACGTCGCCTTCGAATGGTTAAGGGTGAGCTAGGAGAATCTCATAGCTCATGACAACCATAATGGCTCATTAAAGTTTCCACCCAGCTGTTGAAAGATTTCTTTTACGCCGACGGAGAAGGTCCCATTCCTACCGAAATTCTACAAGGACAAAAATATCGCGACATTCAATCCATCCGGTTGTACTATGACTGGAAGACGTAAGCCGATGTGACCAGATAAATGCGACCAGTCTTGACAAGTTTTTCTTAGGGATGACCTTATGGAGGAATGTGTTCGAGTGATGACTCAGGGTCTGGGCGGGACACAGACTTTGCAGAAGCGCGCCAAGTCGGTCTACCACCACAAGAACTTGGGGACTATAAAGAACAGGAAGAAAGAAAAGAGTGAAAAACCTCAAAACTCCAATGATCAAATCATCCTGAGGATCTTGCGCATGCGGTAAGCCCTGGAATGAAATTATTGTGAAACACAAGACACTCAGCGATACGAAAGGCCAAATACAAGTGACTTTATTGGGACACAGATGCGAATCATGGCTGCGGTTCAAGCTGAGCAGGAGAACAAGATGAAACGTCGGGCCGCAATGGCAGGAAGCCGAAACTCAAGAAGTCCTGTTCCTCCAGTCCCCCCTCTTCCACGTCAGTAACGCATGCAGGCACATCTTATGACACATATACCTTGGAGTCTCGGCTTCGCCTTATGGCCATCCAAACCGAATTATACCCTTTCCCCCACTATGGACCTAATTGTCTAGATGCATTGTTATTTCCCTCTTTATTACGCCTTCTTGACCTTAGGTTCACACTTTGATTTGGGCTAGCACACAAGGGCCTTCTCATGTAAGGCTTACATGTAAGAATCGATGCGTGTTAGCCCGTGCGAGCTCGCGTTCTTCGACATAGGCCATACGCTGAGATGGCGGTGGCTTATGGCTCAGGTTGTTGCCTCGCATGTACTCCGGTTCGCGCGCGTGAAATGTTGGAATCATTGAGCAGGGAAGTGGGGGATTACAAGAGTAAACAAGGATGTTCGCAGCTAGTCACCTCCATGAAATTTGGGTTGAATGCGTACTGTACTGTTGCGTGTCAGGGATTCGCAAAGCAGCCACAACAGCACATTTCACCATGCCACCCGATTTAAAGGCAGATGATTGACCCCACTTCAAGTTCTTAATATACTACACTGGCTCGTTCCGATCCCTTTGAAGTTACCCCTCTTGAGCCGATCGACTCCATTACATAGGCATCGATAGCTGTTAATTAGGCCGGACTTGTTGCGTGCGAGTTCATGTCTTAATTGGGCACTGCTCCGAGTAATGGCACCTATGATCGACGACCAGCGGTCCCAAAACCACTCGTGGACTCACAGCGATGAGGACGTTGCATGTAGTGTGTGAAGGGATATGTGAAGCTAGGCCCCAAACATATTGGCAATGCGTGTGCATGTCCGCTCCCGCTTCCGAGTCCCACAGCTCCATTGCGCACAGACACGACCTCTGGACTCTTAAAAGGCAAATCTACCAAGCATTCCATCTTCTTCATACTTACCTTGACCCGGAGAGCCCCTTCAAGTTCTGGGATCTTCGGCATCAGGGATGCATCATTGCACGGCGACCAAGTTGGCCACATTGTGACCGTGGTGTTTGTATATTCCCGACGGGAGTATGCAGGGTCTCAATCTTTGCCTGCTCGTCGCGGCCTTCCTGGCTGTTGCGGGCCAGCTTTTTTTTATGCATTTATTTTCCTAACTCCTAATTCCAAGGATCACAGTAGTTGTGCTCAGCTAGGATTCTTGTATATAACCCCTCTGGACTTAGCACGATCGAAATCTATCATTATTCAGGACCAAACCCTGTATATTGACTTTTCAACCGGCCCCGATGGACATCAATGATCGTTGCTGAATGTGAAAACACTATCTACTCTTTGCACACCGGTAGTCCAGGTAGGGTCTAGCTGTTCAGTTCGGGGAAACAGGGTTTTTATCCTGTTTCTTGGGACTGAACAGAGCCCCGTGGTATGTGCTATCGATTCCTTTTGCTAGTCCAGATCCGGGCCACCCTTCTACAAATGAATATGCTTTTCTTGATGTAGTGCCCCATTATCTATTCGTAGGTACGATAGACATCTTACGTCCTAATTTTCAAAAGCTGTAGTGTCACTGTCTCCTGGTTTTAAAAGCCGTATGGCCTTTTCCTTTTACCCTAAGGCACTGGTTTCCGTGTAACATAACTGTGTACATGAAGTGAAAAAATACTGAGTTCTTCTCTTTGTGGTAGGAGAGCAAGCGCAGCGGAGATTTGTTGTACATGTGCCAGCTGGCGCTTACCAGTTACATATACATGCTACAGTTCTCCACCCCCCAACGGTTATATCTAACTGGTTATTTTCTTTGAACCCAAATAAAACATGTAATCTCCCAAAATTTGGGAGCTAACAATGCTGAAATGAGTGCGTGAGCCGCGTTGGAAGTTGGCAAAATGCACGCGATCAATTAGTGGTGCCAAGATAACATCTGGTATCGTGAGAGAGGGGGAAATTTTTCTGAGGGGGGGGTTTGGTTGTGTTTTCGCTTTTGGCTTTTGGTTTTTGGTTCCCTTCAGTGTAGCGGAGTTGGCCGAACTCATTCGTCCATTCGTGCCAAGCCGATCTAGCCGACTCTACCCTCAGACAATATCATGTATGTGTGTTTCCCTCTTGTACGCACGGTGTGTAGAGCTAGGAAAGCCAAATTGCCACTAGGCAGGACTCCAGCCTCTATTTCCAATAGAGGCTGGTAACCTCGATCGATTAATTCCACCACCAATGGGGCCGCGGGATAACAAGACAGTTCACACAGGTTCTGTCTGTGTTCCGGAATGGCTAGAATGGGTGCAGGGACTTCCTGTACTGCAAGGCCCTAAAAGAAGTGCACAGATAATGTGTTGTGGGATGACTATTGAGGGGTGATTGCTAACTAGAAAGGTTGCATCACAACCATGATCTTGCTTGCATATCACTTGGATCTGTTGATCACTGTCGCTGGCTGGGATCGGGCGACATTGTTAACTGCACAGCAGGTCATTCCTGTTTCATAATTACCTTTTGTCTGACACTTTCGCTGATCGTCTGCTACACCATCGATAGAATGCACATTAGACTGGAGCTCAATTAGAGAGCCAAACAAACTGAATGATCGTCACAGAATGGAAAGCATCCGACGGCGGGTATACTTAGATTCGATGAAAACGGACGCGAAAGACCAGCAAACTGCCAGCGGTGCACCAAGCACAGGACATGGACAGCGAGGTGAGAAGGGACACGATTGGCAGGGGTGCATCTAACATCGCTAGTGAGGTCGCGCAACTGAAGATGGATTGGGGCGCCACGTGGGCCGATGAGATCAGGAGCATCATCAATTCAGATGGACAATTACATAAACCGCCTCGTAGCGTGGCGACCATAATTCCCACGGCAATTGAGAGGTTGGAAGTGACCTTGTAATTTTGGATGCTGAATTCGTGTGCTCTTTCCTCCTATTCCTATTCGCAAAATTGCGGTGTGTACATGAAAGATACAGGATGGGGGTGAAACACCGTAGATATACATACGCGGCACGGAATTAATTATATTCTGTCGGTCGAATAGTATTAGTGTACGTACTATGGGTTTACATCGTGCCAATCTGAGTCATTTGTGGTGTTAGATCATGCGAGGCGCACTCAACTTCACACATCAAGATTGCGGCTGTCAAAGCTGTCCAGGCAGTGAACAACGGGACTAGCTGATCACCTCTACAGCATTCCGCGTACGTCAGTGGTGTAAACACCCAAAAATGATCAGGACGATAAGCCAGAGCCACTGCGCTGCAAACGCGGAAGCGTGACGCCAGCCAACGAGACAATCGCCGGTGAGTAGAGCAACTCCGAGGCTATTAGTATAAGGAGAAATAGCTTGCAAGAAATGTCCCAGTCTCATGCTGTGCCAACTCGGAGATCCTCACTAACGGGTACAGTATGGCCCATAGTTGACAAAGAGTCCAAACTGCATATTGAGAGCCTGTTTCTGCAGGTGAAGATCGTAACAAGAGGTACAAGAGCCACGAACGGCGAGTTTTGATATAGTGCAAAGAAGGGCGGATCTACTTCGTTTCGAAGGTCTTGAAGCGTAGAGACTCGCACCGTGATCCTCAGCTGGTAAGAGGTGTAGGTGCGATACTTATGTCTGCTCTAGGGTCGTGGCCATGACCTACACGTCCAGACAAAAGGCACCATCAAGTTTATCGGGGAACTCTTCAAATTACAAATGCCGACGGCCCGCATCATGCACGAGTGTATCAAGAAGCTTTTGTCAAACGTCGATGATCCCGAAGAAGAGGAAATTGAGAGCCTGTGTCAACTTCTCACAACTGTCGGACATCACCCACCACATGACTTGCCGACCAACAGAAGAAGCACACCATACCAAGAGGCTGTTGTCCCTTACACACACAGGCGAGGCGGAAATATCATACCGATGCCCCGGGGCTGCATTTGGTTTGATAGATGATAATTTGACGGTCACTGCCTAGGCCATAACGCACTTGGCAGACTGTTCGCTACAATGTTATTTTGTTCTGACTAATATTTGAGAACAGTGTCATCGCATCGGCGCATAGCCCCATCAATGCAAGTGAATGCTGATACCCCTAGATGGTCGCGGCACCAGGGTACTGATGTGATCCATAGGCGGGGTGTCGGAGAAGATCAAGTAGCCACCTGATAATTGAGAACTAGACCCAGAGGTGGAAAATATACTATAGGGTTAGATACCTACGTCAGAGCAACACTGGTCACATCAAATTTTGCCAAGGAACGCGGTGCGGATGGCCCGACGATTCGTGTTTTATACGCCATCCCCAACGTTGGTCTGCTGTTACATTGCTATTACAGTTACTTCTGAGGGGGGAGCTGCTGGCGCACAATTGTGTACGACCATAGAAGCTATGCAGGTTGTGATGGTTATGGCATCGCCCCTCACGGTTAACTGGAAGGCCCAGCCAACCCCGATGACAGCTTTTGGTCATGGCGCTGAGGTAGAGCTCCTCCGTAGGCCACGTCCATCTGCAGTTTGATCTGGTTGTCGAAGGGCGCAAACACCCATTCTATAGTAAAGCTGCTGTAAACGGTTGGAAAGGTCACCACCGACGGCACTGCGTCTCCATCGATGGATCACAGAAAAGAACTTCGTGGTTGTTGGGCAGAGCAATATTCGAACAGACAAATTGTTGAGGTCTGTTGACGTCGAAACATAGGTCAATTTACTCATACGCGAGCTTCACGTTCTTTGCTCCAGCAGGCGCTACAACTCTGCCTCGCCATTGGTATGGCAACCGCGGGCAGCAAGATTCTGCGAAAGCTTAGGGGAGCCCCCCCGCCTGTACCAGAGAAAGATGATATGTATCTTGCACGACCATACATGCCTTATGCGTCTTCATCGTTCACTCAATCCACCACATCCATTTCCAACATGTCGCTCATTCCAGACGAATCCTCAGCGTCGTATAGAACGGCAAGGACACCCTCGCCTACTGTTCCAGAGAAATCCTCATCTTCACGGAGCATGAAGTCTATAAAGCGTGTCATTGCAGGCAAGATCCCTAGCCTGCCAAAGCGACCTTCTTTTGCATCTTTGGCTTCCTCACCGACTGAAGGACCACCCCCAGGCGATGGTGATAACAATATTTCGCTACCTTGGAACGTACGAGTGAGTGTACATCCTCTTCGCTGACCCGCTGAGTTGCGACTGGTTCATGTCCGCTTCCTCGAAACAGCACGATCTTCACATTGAGTCTAAGGCTGAGGGTCTTTCTGGACTACCTCTATCCTGGGCCGCCGCTCTTGCCCAGGCTGGTTTTACTCAAGAGGAGATATGTGCCATATACGCCAAGCAACGCAAAGTCGCACCTCCACCGTCATCGCCAAGTGCAAGGGAAACCGTTGGTTCTCTCCCCAAGAAACCTGTCCGCGCGGTTCCTAGCTTGCCTCGATCTGTTAGCCCCGCATGCTCTGCTGGGCCATACTCCGCCGTCTCTTCTGCGCAATCCACCTCCACATGCGCACCACCTGAATTACCTGGCGAACTAGGATCTGTTAAGATGAAGCAGGCAGACTCTGGGGATTTGACCCACAGGACATCCTTGCCCCCTCCTCTCCCTCCAAAGTCCCGGCTTCCGAAACCAAATGACCCTTCGACGTCAGAGGTTATTTTAAATCTTATCGGTGATGAGAATGAGAAACCCGACTTTGATCCGCCAGAAAAACAGTCTGAGATGTCCACGGTGCGAGCACCATCTGTTCATGATGGAGATGAAGCATGTGGGGACGATGCTTCTGATGGCGCCTCGGACGAGAGTGAACATCAGTTTCTTGGTTTGCCGGTGCCATCGCCAACATCGAAACTGTCTCTCACTCCTCCGGTGCTTACACTATCCACCGTATGCACTGATGATGATGATTGGACGAAGACCTTGCTTTCTTCGTTTGCCACTGAGCCTGTTGAACGTTTTTTGACTATTAATCATGAGGCCTCGATGTCGACGGCATCCATAAACACTCAGGGTTCTACTTCCCTGGCCTCAGATAGCCGCAGAAATACAATCATTGCTTCCCAGTTCATGAAGCTCGATCTTACACCTCATCCTATGTCCAGCTTCTCTCAGCTAAATGCTCAGCAGCCTTCCTCCCCCTCATCCATATCCAATCTATCCCAATCCACATGCTTCTCGTCATCCGCATCCAGCGTGATATCTCAGGGCTCATTCAACGATGTACAAGAGGCGGCTATTGAGACAACTCAACTCATCAGCCGAGTTTCAGTTGCTGGAAAATCGCGTGCTATAGCAATTGCCGCTGGACAGCGACGTGCTGCTACTATATCCACAACCATACCTCCAGTTGTCAAGCCGTCCGTCCCAACTAGCACCCCAATATTCCGATCTCAGTCTGTGCCTACCGATGTTGAGGCGATGATCTTAGCACCGCCGGCACAAGCTATCCCCACTCGAACGCTCACCCCGAACACCCCCGCACAGTCTTCCGCACCGATCCCAAATACATACAAAGCTTCTCCTACAACGTCCAAGCACTCGTCTGAAGTTTCTTCATCGCCGTCATCCCTGTTGCTTTCAACAGAAAGTTCCGCTTCAACGGACCCAGAGGATGGGATTGCTGCCTCCCACTCGCCGTGCACTGGTGTGTATGCTGCATATTCGGAGGACGCTTGGGTTGATGATGAACCTCAGCTGAGACCTTCCGCACTGTCCCATGGGGTGGAAGGTCAACTGACGTCGGACAGTGTGTTCAGAAGCATATTGCCGCGAAGTCCCCAAATGCCTATAAGCGCCTTTCCCGCGCCACCGTCTTCTCCGTTAGGTACTCAAAGCCTACCTCTTACACCAGTTACTCCCACCCAGCCTTTGCCGCTCCTACGGCAGTCACCGGTCAAGCCTGATGGGTGTGTTCACCCTCGAGGGATGGAGAGCAAGACCTCGTTGGTATTGCCTCCGATTCTTCAAAAGGATTTACCTTCAATCCCTGCCAACTTTGATGAAAACAATGCGGATAGTCCAGAATCATCCTCAAGCTGTCCGGACGATGTCATTTACAACAGTTATTACACTGATGATGTGAAGGAAGACCCGGAAACAGTGGATTGTGCGAAGATGGAGAATCGCTTCAAACCTCTTCTTCCCTATCTTTCGATCGCTAGCCCCCTTAGCCGTTTCAGTGATCTGACACAAGTAGCGGAGGGGCAGTACGGCCCTGTGTTTGCTGCTCGTGCTAGCGAAGGGGATGGAATCTCAGGATCGTCAATGTCGACAAATGGGACATCACGTCTAAACACCCTCGTGGCTGTTAAGCTAATTCACGTAAACAAAGAGGATTCTCCAAAGGTGCACGCATTAGCGCAAGAGGTCTCTATCATGAGTAAAGTTCGTCACGAGCACGTTTTGACGACTGCAGGGCTATTCGTGCAAGACAACACATTATGGGTGGAAATGGAACTTATGGAGAGATCGCTCGCGGATATGCTACCGTTGGTTGGGGAGGGTCTGATTTTTCAGGAAGCTGAGGTGGCACGTTTTGCCAGCGATGTAAGGACTGGGTGGCTTCTAACTTGTGCCAGCTGACCTGCTTTCAGGTTCTCAGTGCCTTATCTTACCTAGAAACTCTTAATATTGCTCACCGTGATGTACGTTCCGATAATTTATTAATATCAAGAAGCGGAATTGTTAAGCTAGGTAAGCCTAAATTTCCAGCAATTTTGGACCTGCACTCAAGACTTCTAGCCGACTTCTCTCACGCGACCTTAACAAAACCGGGCGAGTTGTGCAACACAATTGTCCCCGTACCGCCGTATTGGATGGTAAGTAACTGCAAACCTCACTCAGATTGTGCACTGAAGTGATCTTTCTCCCCGAAGGCTCCTGAGATGCGGTCGTGAGTCACATAACCCATTATGCTCCTTTTCCTTTCCATTTTTACCTTATTTCTTCCATAGTGACCGCCCTTATAACGCTCACCTTGCGGATGTGTGGTCTGTGGGTGCCACAATTTGGGAGGTTATTGAAGGTACTCCGCCTTTCTTTAACGTTGAGGATCCGCGCCAGCTTGGGGACAGATGGCCCGCTTTGAAACGTAGCAGCGAGCTTTCCCCTTCACTTCATCAATTTTTAAGGCTATGTTCAGAGGCGGACGATTGGCGGCCCCGCGCCCATGAACTTCTGGAGGTAGGTTAGCGGAGTGTCGATTTGTGCTTGCGCCCTAACTACCTCTATTCAGACTTCATTTGTACGCGGCGCTTGCGCGCGGAACGACATCGTAACTTTGCTTGCGGAGGTTCGACTCATGGAGGATGGATTTAACGGTCAATGCTAATTTGTTCTTACCGTCATCAGCTCATTCAAGGACTTTGTATATCCTGCATTCATCCTAGAACATTGCTCTTCGTTTAAATATGGTTCCATCCCTCAATTTCTGCTTACATTTTGTTCGTACTGTCACATTCGTCAATGCTATTGTAGCGTGTGGTTTACAGATCTCCAAGTGACCCAGCAACATCTATCAGGACCCGTTTAAGTGACCGTGCAGCTTTCGCAACTTGGTCATTCTCATCCTCGCTACAATCATGAATGAACGTAACCATGTCCGTTGCGAATGCTATAGCAGAATATCAAGCGTGAGGAAATTAATACGTAGGTGGAACCTTATACACTTACGACTGAGGGTGATTCCTTCTTCCGTCCAACTGTGGATCGCCGTTTTCAGTGCAAGCAATCTCACCTTCACATCTTCAGATCGCGTCTGCAAAACAACTTCCATGTTCAACTTCTTGATGAGCTCTTCTCGTCCGAGTGCACCAAAGAATCGAGTGATGCACTTCGGAACTAGATCTTCGCGATCAGCGGATGGAAGACCCGGCCAAACGCTGATTTGCTTCGCGAGCGGCGTTATGAGGTTGGATAGCTGGGTGTCTTTCAGAACGGCTGGAGAAAGGGTGAGTAACATACGGATACTGCGAAACAACATCAAGAGCCTACGGGTGCTTTTGTCCACAGAAAAGCTGACGGTTACTAAACGCATCAAGTCGGACCACAGAATGGAATCTTTGATTGATTTGGAGCTGTATGCTTCCAGAGTTTCTATGATGTTCGGCACGATGGAAATCATATAACTGGACATCAATGACTAAAGTGAAAAGTCAAGCGATGGGTCAAAGATCAAATCCTCGAGAATTAGTGAGCACACCTTGAAGGTTGTCATCAGTTGGATCATAACTCTGCAAAAGGTGGTCCTGCGCCTTGGGTTCTCATCTAGTAGACGTCTTTAGCCCGAAGGACATAGAGCATGCGAAAACCTTACTTTTATGGGGAACGTCTGACCAGCCCCAGTCTTGAAATCTACGGAAAAGGGGAGTGAATGTTGCCTCACTGAGTTTCGTCACAAACACCACAAATGCGGAAATAGCGGCTGATTCTATGTTGGCAAATATCTAAACGCAGGTTAACTCGTGCTATACAAGATGCATTGGGTGTATTTACCACCCGGGTTTCAGCGTTTTCCTGCTCAATAAGGCCAAAGACATCCATAAAAAGCTTGAACAGTGGCCGTGTATGTTCTGATATGTCGGAACGAGAAGATGATTCAACAGCTTTGTTGAGTAGATTGAAAAACTCTTCTATCAATGCCACCTTGCATGTCAATTGTTAACTCCTGAACTACGGTCAAAGTCTCAGTTCGAAAACGCACATCTGGGCGCTCGTCCCATAACTTCATAAGAGAAGTAATAACGGTGTTCGACGCCAACGTGGTTGCAACAAGCTCCTCGAAGTCATTGATCTGTTGCTTAATCCTTACGGCCGTGTTGTTCTTGATGGTCAGCGTCTGCCTTATCACGTCGCTCAGGCCAGTCCCCCAGAATGGTTTCATACTTTTCACCAAAGTGGATAGAACGTGAAGCGCAGCTGACAAGACTAATGAAACACGTCGGAATTGTTTAGAAGTAAGGAGGGACCTACAGGTCTGTTGATCTGTGCCCCCCTCCAATGAAGAAACACACAGATTGATAATCTCTGGCATCTGCCCAAGAATTCTGGGACCCAGAATCATGCTATGAAGTTTACATCAGTCAACAATTAGGTTTACTAGTCAGGTTGAGGAAACGATCACCAAGACGTAGCGAGAGTCCTGAGAGTGGCTGGCAACAAGGTCAAATTTTGCCCTGACCGCAGAAGTACTTGAACTGCGGGAACCAAAGAATCGGCTTCAGCAGGTGTGGAAGTGAGCATTATCCCCTCCAACGCAGACAGTGAAAGTGGAGAAGGCGACGAAACGATGATGGCAACAAGAACTTCAGAAATTGCTGAAAATTGTAAGGAGAGATTCTGCCTAGTCTCCTTTGCAATGTTGCCCACACGAGAAGACAACAAAGCCACAGTAGCATTCCTGATCTAAATTATAAGGCTCAGTAAACAAGTAGAAGATGATGAACGCTCAATCTACCTCGCTTCTCCCACTCTGCAGCAGTGATTTGACAGAGCTAACGAAATCTTCTGCCGGCGTCACTTTGAGACCGGATAGTAATGTTTGCTGAGCCGCCGCATTCACTTCCGCCAGAGTGATATCAGGCGAAGTAACAGAGGCACTTATCAGCTTGATCAAGCGAGATACTATTTCAGACGTTCCAGCACTTCCCCAAGGCTCGTCGGACACCCGTTTGAGTGTGCTCCTGCTTGTCCAAGCAAACTCGACGAAGATAATCAGAGCATGAATGTGCTTTACAACTCCGGCATGGGATGACGCCGCCCTCCCTGAGGACACACTAACCGTGTGGCTGTTTCAGTGAATTGCGAAGGGGAATAGAAGATGATGACAAACGTGGTTGAATCGAAAAATGTGGGTTCGGTAGGCTGTTTGGGGGATGTGACACGGTCCACAAGTCGACAGCATTCAGCAAGAGTTTCGCTTATAAGCTAACAAATGCAATGAGAAATTTGCCACCGTTGCGAGGGTAGTTCACCTACAGTTAGACGATGTTGAGGGCTTGCATGTTCTGCAATTGATACTGCAAGAGCAAGGTCGGCATTGGTATCTTGGCCTTGGCGGCGTATCACTTTATTTGCTGATTTCTCGATCAGAAGCATACAAACAGGCGACATAAATTCTTGTGGCCCAAGGCAAGCGATGAGTTGAGTGAAGAATCTAGTCCAGTATGAGTTACGGAAAAGATGATCTGAATGCCAAGCTCACTTGTTGCGCCTATGCTTAGGTAGGTGGCTGAAGCACCCGTGAAAATCCGCAAAAACTCTCTCACTCCTGTGAGGTCAAGTTGATAAGCAGTCAGAATATGAAAAAGAGCCAGTCTTGCCTATTTGAAGCCCGAGCGTGGTTTTCGGTTTGGACCGCAAGTGACTGACCATGATTGGCACGATGTTGTTGATAGTCTGTCGACCTACACTAAGTTATTTGGTCTTGTGCTCCGCTCCATTACCACTCACCTGTAGAACCACATTGAATGTATATGAATCATCGCGAGGGAACAAATTCACACCCATGAATGTGAAAATAGGCATGATGGCATGAATTATCGAATCCGGTGACATTTTGGCTAGGTTGCCGATGACAAGAAGAGCATGTTGGTAGGTTTGTGGGTTCTCCGAAACTACAAGAGCCAGAGCCTCAGAGTTTTGCCGAGCACACAATACGTTGGTTAACCAACCTTGGACCAGCTTCACGAGGACATTGATGGGTAGCGGGTACCGCACCGACGATGACTAACGTTAGAGGGTGAGTAGATGGTTCTTGTCTTTGCTTCAATGAACATGCCTCGACGGAAGATGAGGCGTGATCCAGGGCAGAGACAACAAGCTGCTCAGCATAATCATAATCCGAGCGAGACCGCGCATGATTCTGGCAGAGTCGTTCGAGGAACTCTAACAAAGAACGGACGACCTCTACAGTCCCTTTAAACTTGGCGGATGAAACGGCTTCCATTAAGAAGATAGTGTTTTGTAAAGAACTATTATCTTGATCCTCAGAGGGTCTGCAGAATGTGCTAAGTTAGTGACAGGCAGTTTCGGCTCAACTTTGCTAGGCCCGCACGTACTCCTCAACTCTTGGCTTCTTCGTCACCCGTGTTGCTGGGTCATTAATTGAAACCTGGAAAGATTGTAGCAACTGGATGATGGTCTCGGTGTCATCCAATACGGACGCAAGTGAAGACATGAGCTCTGTATAAACATTCTACCAAGAATACGATAAACACTCAGATTATGAACCGATTTATGAACATACCCATACCTTTGACTCTATGGAGAGGGGGGCAAGCGTCACAATAAGCGAGGCTAGTTCAACCTTCAGCTGGGAAGAGAGGCAATGGAATATTGTCTTTATTTGGTTTGTGACCACCGGTACCAGATCCGGCACTGGACAGGTGCACAACTTCAGCTCCAACGAAAAAAGGGTCTCGTGAAAAACAAACTTTTAGAGACAACATTTCTAATCGTTCCCAAAAACGCCCTCCAGTAGGGGTTTGAATTCTCGTGCAGGTGTACCGCGCTTGATTCATCAAAAGTGGAGAAAAGGCAAGTGAAAAGTTCAGGAGATGTTTCGTTGATTGTTGCCATAGGCTCCAGAAGTGGGAATATGACCGGAAGTTTTGCCCGATCGTGCACGTTCTCGAGGGACTGAATAATCGCCATTTGAGGGTGCTGACATCCCCAGGATAGCGCATGGGATAGCAGAAAACATAGAACCCGCCGCTTCCGACTATGTTCCCACAAATCAGTTGACACTCTGTGAGACTGCGCCGTGGGCATACCTGCTTTCTTTCTTCGAATCCTTCTTCCCCTTCTGGAGAAACTCACGGTGGAAAGTGTTGATATAATCGGAGTCAGTGCGGAAATATTCAGCCCGTTCACACAACAACCCAATGTGTGCCTGGTAGTCCGAAAAATCCAAATACTGGACAGTGCCTTCTTCGGATGCTTAGCTTGGACATAGCTGTAGCGTCATGAGAAACACTCACTGCTTTGTCCGCCATATACACGGTCGCGAGCGAAGATATCTGCCTTTGGTCCAGTTTTCTGCTCTTCTTGCTTGTAGTGCATCTGTTTTATGCACTCAACAGCTGCACTTCGAGCGCGTTGATCCTTGTTTCGCAAAGGCACGATCAAACTTGGCAAAATCGTTTGGAAGTCAGGGAGTGTTCCTTGAGTCTGGGACCTCGCCATGAAATATGCCTTTGCATGGCTAAGAGCCGCAAGCTGTAGATCCGCCCCGGAAAGTAAGGCTTCCGGTGGGCTTTGCGTACTCGAGCCGAAGTTAATCGACCACAGACCGGCAAGGAGGAGCAACGTGTCATTTTGTAACGTCGAGAACAATTGTGACAAGACATAGAGGGAAAAAACGTTCGGAATACTGGCATAGTTAGCTGCGCGATAGATGGAACGTGCCAAGTGCACAAACGCGGGCCCTCGGTGGTGCTCATCGGTGTCATCGCCATTCTAAACAAAACAGTTGAGCAAATAGATTGAATCAGACCGCAATAGCATACCGCATCAGCAAGATAGTTCATGATAACCTTTGGGGGGCGAATTGCTAAAATTGTCTGAACAAGAAGGGCATCTAAACGCGCGCTAGTGGCATCCTTCCTGGGTTTTATTGCCACATTTTTTAATAATTCTTGTGTCGATTGCTTCCAAGTCGGGTCAGATCAGGTAGCAGAAGCAATAAAGTATAAGCACCGCACCTCATTGTACTCCGATTTTTTGAGGTTGAGGGATTCCCCCACAGATTGGACGGTCCTTCGAGAAAGCAGGCCACCGAGAGCTCCACTTGCCACCTCTAACTGCCGAGTACCAGAAAGCCGTGAGATCAATGATAGTAGGATCAACTGTGGCAACAAGCGAACGACAGGTTCCGTCTCCTTCACAGCACGCATCAGATATTGAACATGATGGTCAAAGTGACCAGAAGTGATAATGTTCTCTACAAAGCGGATATCAGAAAATGCAGCTGTTGCAATACTACATACAACACCTGTCAAGCATTCTATTAGCCTAGCATTTATAGCTTCCATCTCTTCGACCTCCAGTGATCCGGAAGTTTCTTGACCCAAAGCACTCAAGCCTTTAAGCAACTCGAAATTATTCAGAACCTTTTGTTTCTTAGTCGCATCTGATACAAGCTTCCATATCAGCTGGCTTCGCTCTTGGAAGGGCACCGTTATCAGAAGCAACGGCAAGATCAGCTGCTGTAAAATATAGATTCCCCACAAATCGTTGCGATTCTGGAGGCGTAAAGACTCCGGAATGAGATGGAGAAGGACAGATTCGACGTGAACGGCAAAAATTTCTAGACTTAAGTCTTTGGAGACCAAAATAGTAGATAGCTTTTCGATGATTACCGCCTGAGGGGAAGCAAGATCCAGAGCACCCGATGCTGTGATCTGCGGGGCCGGAAAGACATATTTCAGCAACATCTGAGGGGATGTGAGGTAAAGAGCCTCCAGGACTTCTTTAGACTCTGAAGCATCGACCATGACTGCCGCAAGATCTTCCACGATTTGTTGGATGGAGGACTCATGCACGGCGTCCTCTGGGAGACCCTTGAGATGCCGTACGAAACATCTGGCGCCAGAAGCACGAAGGGCGCCATCTGTCGACCGTATTGCTAACGCGGCGCTGCTTACATCCATCGGCCGGTAGTCATCCATATCAGTAGACTCATCCGATGATTGATTCTAAAGAAATTCAATTGTCCAATAGCACAGCAGCACACAAGAAATCAAATCTTACCAACGCAATGAACATAATAACTTTCTCAAAAACAACCCGCTCTCTCTCATCTTCAAGTGAGGCCTGAACGGAACGGGAGGCTTCCTCGAAAACCGAGTGATGTCGTTGATAGATCATCTTCAATACATCTTCATCCAGCGCCCGGAAACTCTTTCCGCGCTCGTTGCTCTCCAGTCTCTCATTGAGGGCCCGAGTGAGTGATGCAGAGCACACGCGTAGCAGTACCGCCACTGGACATGCTTGCGTATTGACAATGGCGGCAAGGACGAAAATCCCATCCTCTGTATCGAGCCTGAAAATGATCAGTTAATAATTAGTACAGCAGAGACTGCCAGTAATCACCTGTCTTGTAACCAGGACGAAAATGGATTAAGCAACTTTTCTGAGTTCGTCCAGGCCGTGGATGATTGCAACAGCGACGAAATATTCCTGATTGTGAGGCTCAGTTGAGAGGTTTTTCAAAAAGATATGCATAAGGTCATACGGCAGAACAATCAGGCGTTTAGCAATCCGCTGGAAATCGGAGGTTCGCATTTCCTCCTGGGGTCCAAGAACTGCAATGATTGTTTGAAGCACACGAGTCCCACCGATTATGTTTTGTCTCTTGAGAAGAAGTGTGCAAACGTTGACAAGTGCAGGGACGGTGAGCTGGCACCGATGACTAAGAGCCGAGATGAGAATAGCGCCAGCGAGCTACGACGGGGCCACGAACGTTGAGAAACGCTAAAGCGGAAGAATGTTAACTTACAACCACATCTCGCTGGAGGGGCCCTTCCGTCCCTTCCACCATTCGAACGATGGAGGGGAATAATATGGCTACTATGCCCTCATCAATCTTCGGCAGCCTGGCGATATATTCTGCGAGCGTCCCGGTACTGAACGCAACAAGACTGCGATGCGCTTGTCCTTCATCGAGAGCCGTCGTGAGAAGGGATGCGACAAAGCGCGCCAGATCAAGGCTATGGCACATCTCCACAACAAGTGTTGTTCTAAGCAATGGCTTCGGATGCTCTTTCGAGGGTTTGAGGAAAGCCCATTTCGAGTTAGGGCTATTCAAATGAGCTGTCACCCTGACGCGAAGCAAGACGAACTTACTCAACACGAATTATTGTCATGAGCTTGGTAAAAGCCACCGATTCATGGTATGGTAAAAAACAAGCAAGGAGTTCTTCTTGGTTGAATTCTTGGACTCTGCCGAAAATTCAGCATTCTCGGAGTTCTGCTGGTCACTAGACGTACCTGAAACGTCTTACGAGCCATTCCATAGCTTTCGATGCTGCGGCCTCCAGCAAGAAAGGAGATAGCGCAGAGAGAACGATTTTAATAGCCACGTTCAGCTTCTTGGTGTCGGAGAGTGGCACATAGAGGCGATCATAATCCCGACTGCTAGATTCGAACAACCAGGCCGATTCACCAAAAAGCCCAGGGCGCATTAGCTCCAGCTGAGCTATGCCATTCTGTGCTAGGGACAGGACTGAGTCGAGGTCGTGCTGACGCGCACCTTTTGCACTGAAAAGGTATGAATCGAGTGAAGGAAAAGTATTTTGTAACCTCGCTTTTAATAAACTAGCATTGAGGGATGCACTCTTTTGGAGATACGCCGAGAGAGCGGTCGACATGCCTCTCTCCTGTTCCAGAAAGGAAGCCGGTACGCTGGCCAAAGTGCAGGACTGGAACTCGGAGAAAATTTAGACTTGCACAGCCACTATGTGGAGATGTGACAATCGGCCAATTCCAGGAGAGCGAACACGCTCAAATCACATGCAATGGAGTTGGATTGACAGGTACTCCGGAGTCGTGTTTCCTCGCACCGGACATTTTGAGGACGTCTCAACCCCATCTGAAGCTCCGGCATGTCTAGCAGGAATGATTCCGAGAAATCTTTCTTTTCCACACGGCCCCTTCAAGCATTAGGACTTGATGGGGAACAGGAGGATGAGAATAGCACGTATGTTGTGGTGGACAGCCGTGGTGCTACCTTCACAATTGATGAAGAAGATTCGCGCCTCTCTCGTCCGCCATTTGTTAGACGCAACTATTCTCCGCCTCCAGGGAGCCCACGATGGCTGCCTCTCAAGCTTTGGGCATGGAACTGGGTCTTTGGAGGTCTTGTCGTTGTCGCAGCCGCGCTCCTGCCGCTTACTGTTCTCTCCCTTGCGAGTTGGTGCTTCCCGTGTTTCTACGGAAGGATCATACCTCAATTCATCTTTCTCAGTCCCAATTGCCAGCTTCTTTGCATTACCTGCCCTTCTTCTGGAGATCGGAGGTACGGAAATTGGAGATATTATTGGGGCATTCGTCTACCCATGACTTTTTATAGTGCTATTCTACGCCATTCCAGTCTTCGCGTACTTGTTACTGGCTCAAAGTGCACCCCCACCCCACGCCGAATTGCCATTCCATCCCCCAATCCGAAACTTACGACTCCTTACGAAAATTAATATAGCAGTTCTACAATGGACACAAAGGGCTATATACTCTATTTGGGCTGTACTCCCCGAAGTGATAAAGACAAAGATGCTCTATACAGCAGCTCGAGGCTGGCCCGATCGGATTAGGTAAGGTTCTAATTGATGGCTATTCTTAAGACCCTGTTTACCATCTGAACTCCAAAAAGAACAAAGGTCCTCTATGGTTCCACATATGCCCGCAACACCCTGGACGTTTATCTACCGAAACCTGTTGCTTCTGGGTTACTTCTCCAGTCTGCGTCCCAGCCTCCTCAGCCAACTCGCCGGCATCTGCGAACGTGCTTTCAGGTGCCGCTGCCGCCATGGGGTCTTCCCATCATTCTGGAGCCCCTATAATCATCTTCATTCAAGCCCCCCATTATGGACCTTTTCGCTCAAAGAAATGGATGATGGCGTCTTTAGGACGAAACCTTGCTCGTATGGGATACTGTGTGGTCATTCCCGACATCACCGCATTCGATGATGATGTCACAGATTTGCGTGACGCGTCCGATTCCACCTCAAAGCAGCACTCGAGTGTATCCGGTCCATCGTCTGCCCAATCAAACTCGCCGAAAAACCACAGAATGCAATCTCCAAGCCGAATCAGGGAAACCATGGAGGACCTACGGAGGGTAATGCGGTGGGCAGTGGACCACGCTTCGTGAGCATACCATAACTCGTTAAATCGCTGGTACTCAGACATTGAAGCTTTTAGCAAATTCGGTGGCGATCCACAACAAATTTACCTTGCTGGCCACGGGTAAGTATCTGTGCTACAGAACGTATTCGTCAACATCACCTTTCAACTACTAGCCTGGGTGCCCATGCTGTCCTTCTCCATTGCATACAGAAGGCTGTCGTCGCTTCTCGAGATGCATTGTTCAAATCAATGGCATCTTCGCATAATGACGAAGGAGGGACTGACGCTCCCCCATCTATCTCTATTTCAAATGGGACCAGGCGAGTTCAAGAGTACGGCCGCGAGATATGGGCGCCAAAGGTCCAGGGACTCATTCTGTCAGTGCGGGCACCGCAATTTTTGGCCTCTACTCACCCGAGCCTGATTGCAGCCTTTCGCCCATATGTGATGTGGAGAAACAGGTCTTGGTGGAGAGCGAGCAAGGAGTTTCCCATCTTTCCACCGTCCGAAGATCTCTTGGGCCTGGCCAACTCCCATGCATCATGCATTCCGTGCGTGACTCTGTCGCCAAACCCTGTTCGCTAATCTAAAATGTGCCGTTAGCCGGCTCATATCCTTCATGCGTCTCGCAACATCATCGATATTGAGGAATTACCAAAAAAAGTACTTTTCCTTCATGGGTAAGTCCTATCTTGAAACGTATCCTTAGGCTCAATTCTGTGTCACGTAGGGGCTTCGATCGAGTAGTTAACTGGTCACAATCGGAAAACATGAAGGAGCTTTTCCGCGGTGTTGGTGTAGAAAACGTGCGATCACGCGTGTATACAACTGGTCACACTGGAGTCCTCACAGGTGCGATCACGTTGACGATTTCACTACAAGCTGATTCAAGGATTTCCTAAAAGCTCTTATGAGCCATACTCGAGGGAGTGTGGTGTCCGCACATATTTCTCGAGAATGTGAGCTCACTCATTCGTACCCGTTCATAACGTCGCTCATTTTCGTCTTACCTTAGTGCGGAAAATTATACCGTTACCCCATCCGATTTGACGCAATGCTGTATTGATGAATATCACTCGGAACTGGTTTTCGGGACATCGAAGTCATGAAGTGCTTCAGGAGGATCGCCTTGGAACACATAAATTGTTATTTTCCAGGTACCACAGCTTTAGTACTTCCATCAAGATCTGAGCGCAGCGAAATCTGCTCGATATGACCTGTAGTCTCCATCAAATAACGACCTCATTAATTCGTAATGGCACTGGTTACCACTGACCTCACTGGATGTCTACGGCCCATTGGATAAATAAGTGTCACACAAAAACAAACCAATTGGCAATGCTTGTGAGTTTCCGATTGTCAGGGACCTGACTTCATGTCCTCCCGGCACATCCAACGAAATGCCCGCTGCGCCTTTACCCGCCCAATCGATCCCCTTCCACATCCGTGCGGAAACTTAAGAATCGGATTCGGATATAACCCTTGATCAGGACGTGTTTGAAGCCACATTTGGTGATGAGACTCGTTTCGACAATTTGCGTGCTGACTTACCAAAAGGACTATTCACGGGTGCTTCCAATCAGCTTCTGATGCGTGCTGCCGGTGATTCACCTCCCATGTTGTACTGACAGCTTATTGTAACTGCCCACTTACAGGTGTGCGCGGCTGTATCTGTAAGAATCACCTCGCGCGATCCGCCTAGCCTAAAGACTGCTGAGAGATAGTGGGAAGGGCCGAAGTATTCTCAAGGCCCCTCGTATTCAACTTGGTCCCTATCTATTCACGCCATTGAAGGGCGATTGACATTCCCTTCCTATTTGCCGGACCATTCATTGATGCAAACAGCAAAATTGACTCCCAACAATGTGTCCACGAAGTAACTCTCTTACTAGACTCCTATTCTTCCGTGGCAAGGTAGAGCAAGATTGGCTGTATCATCGCGGAAAGCAGGGGAGTGATGGCAACGCCCAAGCTACTGCCATAGATCAGGGAGTCGTCAACGCGGGGCAAAAGCACGATGTGTGTTGTCTTTCTTCCTGTGCACCGGTGCCAACTCAGTCCCATTCTTGGAGACGACGCTTCACAGCATTAGTATGCTCTTGCACCAGCCCTTGCAGTGCTCTATGGCGTTGTGTACTTGTTGGCAACATAGAATGTGAGCCCGGCCGGGTCCCTCCGCGCGAGCTTGCAGCTCTGCACCGCATCTTGCTACGCTACTACCGGGCTTAATAATTCTGTCGAATACTCGAATTTCCTTGCTTGAAGCGTATGGGACCGTAGTGGCACCGTAGATATACATCGGACTGTGATAGTGACGTCTGTATTGATACCAATGGAATCAAACACGCATGAATTGCGGGTCCTGCATCCATGTGGTCACGAACACAGCATGCCAATGGTTTTGACTGTTACATTCGGGTAAAAAATATAAAGCGGCCATCAAGGCCCAGGTTGTTGATGGCTGCAAAGCCCTGCGACGGTCAACGTTCCGGGTACAATACAATCGAATGACCATATCTAGACCGTCCATATAGAAACAAGGGTCAGCATTTCATATGGAGGATATAAGAAGATCGTCGCAAGGTTCATGGCTTCTTCGTTTCACTGTTTGAGTTGTTTCCTCTCCCTTGAACACAACTCCTCTTGCCTATCCTCACTGTTATGGCGCGATTGTTCGGTGTTCCAGGCGCGTGCAAGATATGCCGCTTGATATGGTTGATACTGACTGGTCGGCATGCTTCCTGTTTTTCCTTCAGGGGTCGTCTTTATAGTGCTGGCCACAATCTTGGGTGTTCTAGTCACCATTTCTCTTCCGACAGTCGATAACGTGCGTATTCAAATTAACATTTCTGTTGAGCCAGCCGCCATTTACCGAGCCTTGATTGCATTCCCAGTTCGATGTAGTTCGCCTTCGGACTGCAGGCGCCAAAGGTACACTTATCACCACTGCGAGTCAGTCTGTTCGCTGGGGTATCTGGGGGTTCTGTGAGCAGAGTGTCGGCAGTTCCGACTTCAACTGCCACAAGACCGGCTTGGCATACAGCGTTATGTTTCGGAGCATTAGTGGTGGTGGCACTCAGACCGTCGGAGGATCATACACCCGAGGATTAGTATTTCATCCCATCGGTGAGATACATTCTCTGTGTCCGAGTCCAGGCCGTACTGATCACACGCGGATGAAGTTCTCGCATTCTGCATCATTACACTGGGTTTGAGCTTCTCTAAGCATCTGGTTGTCAGCCTGTGGGTTTCCTCGTCGCGCACATTTGGGGGCGATTCATAAATTTACTCCTTTTATGCCGCGCATACAGTGTGGCGTCCTTATTAAGCTTCTTCACTTGTATTCTGGCAATACTTGCTCTCGCAATCGACATTGTCCTGTATTTGCGTGTTCGGAGCAGAGCCAATAACCTATCTAACGTCAGAAGTAACACTGGTACGCTGGTATCTAACCCTTCCATTCTTAGCCTGACTCGCGTCACTGCCTTTCACAGATTTTGGACCTGCATTCTGGATGACAGTTGCCCAGCTTATTTTTCTCCTACTCTCAGGATGTGCGATCCTCCTCGCTCGTCGTCAAGAACGTATCGAACGAGATGGACCTAACACAAGCTACCCCCTGCTCGAGAAAAACACCTGGTGGAGACGCATCGCGCAGATGTGAAAACAGGAACTCAAATGAACCCGTAACGATAAGCGGCAGGCTCATCAATGCATTGACAACCAATCTGGGGCCTGCTGTAATGTTTACTCCTTTCCCTTTGACTTCTCCCCAGTGGCATCTGATTGCTGTGGATCTCTTTGTTTCCCCGCAGTGCAGCGGATGATTGAAGTGTATTATGTACATTAAAGTGCCTATGCTACTGGAGATACATTGATGCTGGATCGCAATCTCGAGACGTATATCTTCACAGAGGCTGCGTATGCGACTGTACTGAGTTTGAAGGATGTAGTCGAGGAGAACGGCCAGGGCCGTTTCATTGAATTTCGCGCACACAAATTGATCATGGGAATTGGTCGGTGCCTTGCGGGGCTTCTGACCCTTGACTTAGGCAACATGTTTCTCCAGCTCAGTACCTGAGTCCAGATCCTTCCAAGGATACCCGGCTGGACGATGCACAGAGGCAAAGCATATGCAGGTACAATATAAAGGTCACTGGTGGCAATTCATCCTCCGTCTTAGCTTGGAGCCCCTGGCTCTCATAGGAAATAAATGACGTCAATAGCCTGTTCCTTCGACCGACCTAACTTCTGTGATAAAGCTACAATCCTGAAGTCGTCGTGATCCTGCATCCGCTTAGCAGTTCGGGGTCCACCGCAATTCTACAGCCTTATTTCCACACTTCCCCAGTTTCTCACACTCTTCCGTATCAACTACTGCCTGATCCTTGTTCACATCTCCGATATATACGCGTCATACGTGGTCCCCTAATCACCGCTAAGACAACAGGGAGATCTGCCAACATGAGGATCCAGCTAGCCAAATTAAGGAATGGCATAGCAACGGCATCCATCCTGAAGGAGCCTGCTCCGTCGGTCGATTGGATGGCCTTGTAGAATCCGGCGAAGCGAGCGAGGGTGAAAGGATCGTTGGAAATTGCACCGTGATCCAATATGTCAAGGCCTCAAATGAGGCGCCACCAAAGTAATCTGGAGAGAAACGAAAAGATGGGTAAAACACATAAGGGGGAAGACTGACAGTGCTGGAGCACAAAATAACTTGCAACAGAAATATAATGCTCCTTTGGATGCATAGCCTCTGTCCTTATAGTGCATGGGGGTATGGTCTGGCGTACGATGGAACGTGACTTGCCATGAGAGACCGCAGGACCATGCGATCACTGCAATCACGGTGAAAAAAGCTAAACCAACGAGACGAGACCGCGGATCCTTCTTGTGACTTGGAGCAACGTTCCATCAAGGATAAAGAATCTGATAAAGATGATCACACCCCCTTTGCGGCTGAGCGGAGCTCCGTAGGAGCACTGTCGAGTGTAGCGTTCAGGGAACGAGTTGGAGAGTCGAAGTAGAACGCGTTCACAGCCCCGGGCAAGGGTAGGAGTGGTTTGAAGCGAAGTCGAACATAGGAAGTTAGCGACCTCCCGTTTGGGGCTTCAGCTTTGACTACACTTTGCGTCGCCGCGAACAATCGTCTGAAGGGGGAGAGCCAACACCGAGGAAGCTAACAGCCAAGAAGGCAACGTGTGTGCTAGTTGAGACGGCGCTGGTGCCGCCCTGCGTAAGAGGGTGGTGACGGAGCCGATGAACGCCCCAAATTGAAAGATCGCCCAGAAGATACCGAAGGCCTTACCGTTGTCCTTTTCGAGAGGACAAGACATCATGATTGCCCCCTGTACAACCCACAGAAGACCGGCGGAAATACCGAGAATGGCACCAGCGAGAATAGTGAGCCAAGCAGCTTTTTGAATCTGATAGCTGTATGAATGCTATTTTGAGAACTAGACTGTATGCACGGCACCAACGGATATATTTGACACACCACCAGAGCGCACTGATGTATACAGCGTATCCTAAAGAACCAAGGAAAAGGGTCAGAAGACCAAGCACATGGTCGACCCAAGGATCCAGTTGATGAGGGGGCTTTGAAATGAATGAGGGGTCCGATTCGTCATGAAGGACAAGATCGATACGCACCAGGTAACGTAAAGAGACCATGAAGGATATCGTTAGCGGTATCGGTGAGAGCGACATTTGCTCATTCCCATCAAAGAGAGGCTGGTCACCTGCTTACATTGCCCAAACCACAGTAGAAGACGGCGTTGAACATGCCGATGGTTGCGAAACGCGCGATTCCTGGTTAAAGGATGAAGGCGAAAGTATTAAATAGAAAGGGCTTACTGACCAGGACGACCTGCGTCATAGGTGCCGTTCTGGGAGTTTTCGGTGAGATGACGAACGACGAGAAACCCAGCCTACTTGTACCATACTGGGAGTGGTGCCATGGTGTCTTGGCATTCGCCAGCTCTTCAAAGAGAAGGTCAGGATTTACCCGTTGTGTGGTCTTATGACAACACCATGATCTTTCATGGCGGACGATGATAGTAATCCACCCACTCCCAGTAAGGAGAGTAGTGCCCATACGACTCTCGACTTGATGAGCCCGCTAAACCGGGAAATCCTCACAAGCATCCCTTCTGCAGATCATGATGGCTTTCCGTGGAAACGCTTCTACGGATAATCGAGAAAGTGGTCAGTCGGACGATAGGGACTTTCTGGAAATAGAAATGTATCCCACATTCCTCCAGCAAATGAAATATTATAAATAGGATTAGGATTGTCGTGACGTTTGAGGTTGCGCCCACGCATGGATCTCAAGTTCCCCACTGTAGGACTTGACCCACTCCTAGCCTTCCCCGGGCCGGGAAGGAGTCCATTTGCGGAAGGATTCCGGAATGGTAACATATTTAGAATTGGCGAACATCTCGCCTTGGTGGCAAGCAGGCCGTGGTGGAGCATACATGAGCTAAATCACGTTCTATTCCCGTGGAGCGAGATGAAGCCCTTCCATATTCTTGCGCGTGTCAACATAATATGAAGATTACTCATGACTCATTGAGAACAAACATTACTTCTGCTATCTGCTTGACGAAGTAACATATCTACACAATTCCCCCCGGTTGGGTACATGCCTTGCCCAGCTTCCAGGGTTTCATACGCCAGAGTACCTTTCTAGTCCAAAATGGACGCCAGTCACATTGCCTGAGCTGATCTGTTAGCTCATGCTCATACAGCCTGCCCTCGCAACTTTCTTCCCCCACGGCATATGAACATGGGGGGTGGCTGCTGAAGAGTTAACGCATCGGAAAAGTGGTCGATACCACGTCCTGAGTCGGAATATCAATATAACGAAAATCAATGCCAGGACCCTCTTCGCTGACGGCAGACCAGAGGTTGTGGCAAAGACCAGAAGTGAATCGCGGAGAAAGAAACCGTTTGTGAATCATGGAAGCGTGGAATCGGAGCCGCAACGCAGGAGGAAATTCATCAACACTCCCAGTCCAGGGATCAGATGCAGTAGAGGAGAGCGAGTGCCCAATTCAGCCCATGAGCCAGAAAGATGAGGGAGAAATGATGCAGAAGTACTCTTGGGAAGCTGTCTGCGAATCTAACCGTTCGCTGAACTACCACCAATTTGCGAAATTTGCGAAAAGTATACCTGAGGCTCTGTCGATAGCCTTCCTTTGTCATTTGCACCGTCTACGACTGGTGAATTTTCTCATTTTGACACACCCTTTTCCCCACTGAAAAGAGCGTCTGAAACTTGTCGTGTGGGACCTATCTCACTACAATGGAGCAGATCAATATTGAACCATGCGTTCAATGGCTTTTACTGGCAGGAAAGTTATGGCACCCCCCCGACCATTTATGCTTGAGCTGAGGTGGTGGCGAAGTGGGTATCTTCCAGTTAGCTCAGCGGATGAGCAAAAAAAAATTTCCACGAGTCGATTGAACCTCGCCATAGAAAGGCGAGCAAATGTTTTGTAGTTTGCGTGGAAGTGGACTAGGCAGAAACGTATCTGTATGAGACCCTTGGATGACGCCAGCTTCCCTAGGCAAGCTGTCATAACTGACACATGTGTCACCCTGATAAATATATCGCACAGTACTCAGAGTGTCGGGCCTGCGTCAGCGGGAAATTAACCTCTTCCCTTCCTCATCCTTGACATATACCATCACAGGCGGGCGCTCATGCAACTCATGAAAAAATTCTCACGTGTAGATGGGAATCAATTCATCTATTCCGCTTGCTGGCAATCAAACACTACGACCACCATGAATGTCTGCCTAACCATAGATTGAGTGTGCCGTTCACCAAACACTACATCCAGGAAAATATTTCTACAATTGACAACCAAGAAGAAGAAAATCACCATATCACAGGAACGTAACCAAAAAGCCTATTCGTAGAATTTCGTACACATTGGTCGCTGGGAAAAGCGACTCAAGGCATGGAAGAATTAGAGAGGGGGGGGGTGGGCTGGGGCACTCGGTTGAGGATCGGTTTCTACACTTTCTCCAGGCTCGGACTCTCTACACCATTTGCTACCACCGGGTCTTTGTTCAGATCATCAGCGTATACTACGCCTTCCACGTCATATGTAGTCTCTTTGACTGCCCGAATTACCGCCAAAGCCCCCGGAAAACCTGCCAACATGAGAAGCCAACTCGCCAGGTGCTCATTAAGGAATGGTGTGGCAACGGCATCCATTCCGAAAGAGCCTGCTCCACCGGCCGACTGGATAGCCTTGTAGAATCCAGCAAAGCGAGCGAGGGTGAAAGGATCGTTGGAAATTGCACCCATGATCCAATATGCCAAAGCTTGATATGAGGCATCACCAAAGTAATCTGGAAGAAAAGGAAAGGTAAGCTGCGCGAAGCTGATGGTGGCGGTGGTGAAGCGGCTTACAGAAGAAAAATAACGCTGCTTTAGATGCATAGCCGCTGTCCTTATAGTTCATGCGGATATGATGCGATTTGCGAGTGAACGTGATTTGCCATGCGAGACTACAGGACCATACGGCGATTACAATCATGGCGACAAAGGTCAAACCAAGAATACCGCGGGTCCTTCTCGTGATTTTGAGCAATGAACCGTCAAGGACGAAGAAGCCAACGAAGAGAGCGCCAACGATCGCACCGGCACCCTCAAGTGTGGCGTTCAAGGCCCGAGTTGTAGAGTCGAAGTAGAACGCGTTCACCGCGCCCTGGTAAGCGTAGAAGTAGTTTGAAGCGAAGGACATTGGAAGTAAAGCCAACATTCTCCAATCTTTCAAGAGATTGAGGAAGTTAGTGACTTCCTGTTTGGGATTGGACGCGGATTGGACCTGGACTACACTTCCGTCGCCGCGAACGATCATGTTTGGGGGAAGGAGGAGCCAAGTACAGGCAACTCCCAGGAAAATGATAGCCAAAAAGGCGATGTACGTGCTAGTTGAGACAGCACTGAGACCACCTTGCCTGAGGTTGATCGCAAGGGCAATGACGGAGCCGATGAGGGCACCGAACTGAAAGATTGCCCAGAAAATACCGAAGGCCTTGCCCTTATCCCTTTCAAGGGGTAGGACATCATGATTGCTCCTTGGGCGGCCCAGAGAAGGGCCGCGGAGATACCGAGGATGGCGCCAGCGAAAATAAGGAACCAAGCCGACTTCTGAGTCTGATAGCTGCATGAAGGCTTCTTTGAGAATGACACGCACGATGCGGACAAATGCCTTTCGACATACCACCAGAGTGCACCGACGTATAGAGCATATCCCAAAGAACCAAGGAAAAGTGTCAGACGAGGGCCAAGCACTTGATTAACCCGGAAGTCCAGTTGATGAAAAGCGGGGCGGGGAATATGAATGAATGAGAGTACAACCTAATCTCGAATTAGTGTTACCAACCGTTATTGATACCACCAGCAACAAAACCTGTGTACGCGCAGATGAATTATGCTGGCCAATGGGAATCCAGTATGCTGATTGGTACGTACCAGTTAAAGTGAAGCAGCCGTAAAGGACGCCGTTAGCAGTGTCGGAGAGTGCAACATCGCTCAAGCCTCCTGCGCCCAAGTTGGAGACGGCGCTGAACATGCCGACGGTTGCAAAACACACAATCCCTGGTTACGAAACGAAGGTAAGAAAATTAATAGGCGGGATAAAAGTTAAAGACTTACCGACGAGGACGACTTGGGTCATGGGTGTTCTGGGGGTTTTCGAGCATGATCAGACTCGGATGATGGCAAACGAGCAACATCGATAGGAAATCCAGCGTACCTGTACCATGCTGGAAGAGATACCATGGAGTCTTATCCTGCGTTGACCTCTGGATAGCAATGTCTGGGGTGGTTTGAAGGGAGGAAGGGTCGAGGAGCGGGACCAATATTTATGATGATGAAAACTTACTCCTTTCGCCGCAGTGACAGTCCTTGTTGAGTTGCTACCATGCGACTTCCCAACTCCGACAAGATGGGTCGGCTAAATCGCCGCTATGCAGTATCACACGGGTTGCTTACATGGCTTCACCAAGGCCAATGCCTAGGCACTGCATGCGCGCCGACCTTTCCATCTCACTTCGGCTACATAGAGGATGCTGGAGCGGGCCCAATTTCAAATTCGACATTACATAAACTTGGATCGACACTTTAATTTCGGAAGCGCGGTTCCAAAAAAAAAACAGTCCCCGCCAAGGTTGCTGTTTATATTTATATGCAATGCTGGTGTTAAGTAAGTCAGATGTTGGCGCTTGGACCCCCAACATGCGGCCGGAGTGCGTAACGCAGCCCGTACCCCAGTCCCTTCGTCAGTTAAGGCTGGCTTGGAACCGAGTCTGGGAGCGTTCCTGGGCCGACCAACCCTTCAAGGGTGAGGGGAAAGAACACTCGTGATGGTTTGATCATGGTGCGATGGCAAGAAGAGGGGCAGAAAGATAATATTGCCAATTTGATGGTGATTTGGCGGAAAGTGCCGCGGCGACGGAATGCAGCCTTCATGGTGTTGTCGCTTCGAGCGGTGAGAGTAACCAATATCACAATATCAAGTTTCAGCTTCTGCCTGGGAAAAGATCACTTTGGCACGGCCAATAACGCCGCGATCGGTCAATTTTCAGCTAACCAGATGCTCCACGAGGATGGAAAAGGTAGAGATGGATCGGCGATCAAGCCGGCCTGTGACGCTTGCAGCGTATCCGAACGGATTACGGGCACCTGTTCATGGAATGGAGTGAAGGCCGGTAGTGAGAAGTGGAAAGTCTGACAACGGTATGACTAGTACTAGCAACTGAACATGGCTTGTTGGCGAAATGCATGGTGAAGTAGAGTTGTGAGGACTTGACGGCTTTTCTCATGAGAGCCAAGCCGGGAGTCATGTTATAGCGAGGGGGATCATTAACTGGGCCTTGTATTACCGTGGACTGGTACGTGGAATTACTGGCTCGACTGCAAGACATATGAATCATGATGTCTTCAGTAATATTGTCCTTCCAATGTGATCGAATGAGGAGTTCTTTAGACAGCTTGCATGCGGGGGTTCGATGCGACTATCGCTTCAACAGCGTCCCATACTTTATCAACCCCTTCGCCGCATTGCCCCCAGTGTTGGCGCTCGCATGAATCTAGCTTTTCCAAGACGTAGTCGTGGTAACTTCCTTCTGGTCTTCCGATGCCTATACGCACGCGATGAAATGCAGAGCCCTGAAGATGCGAAATGACATCTGTGACACCGTTGTGGCCATTAGCTGACCCCCCAAGCGTGGATGGACAGAAAGCGGCTTGTGAGAAAGGGAATCGTGGATGACAATGACCCGGCTCAGGTCCTTTGGTTGGATATGGGCCTTAAACGCAAGCGCCACAGACTTGCCCGAAACATTCATGAGCAATCCTTCATTAAACAAAACATTCAAGGATCGCTTTGAGTCCAAAGTTGAACAAAGACTCACTTGGTTTAACTAAAACTAAATTAACATGGATCGGCTTGACGTGCCCGTCAAGACTTTTGATTTAATTGATTTCTTTGGTCGAGGCAGTATCTCAATCTCCTTCTGTCCTGTCCATGACATGGTTGACCGATCATCCTTGAGATTTATTCCAAGTCTAGCAGCTAGGGACTCGACAACCGACTGCCCGACGCTTTAGCGACAGGATTCAGGTGAACGCTAGGGGTTGAGTGCTTAGTGAGCCTTACCTGTGACGTGTGCAAGGGTGTGTGTAATTGCCTAAACCGACCACAAGGATAGAGGGCACTCTTGTGCTCATCCAGAGAGAATACGATAGGTGGATGTACAACCGTCTCCCTTTCGTTTCAAAGTTCTGAACTGAACTGACAGCGGGCCCGGGGCCGCTGAGTCAGGGGCGTTGCGGGACCGTGAGAACGTTGTCACATGCTACCTGCTTCCCCGCCAGAAACTGAGTGTCGCCAATTACGCCTGCTGCCGTCGACAATGGGTTCAGAACCAGCAGATAATTCACCAATCGATGGAGGGGACCTTTTTGATGGAGTTGTTTATTATTTATCACCGAGCTTGAAGAGCGACATTGTAGAGTCCATACGGGGTATACTGAGTGCCAATAGTGGGCGAGAAGTGATGCGACGCAATGCTCATCAAGCTACTCACATAATATCTGTGTCTCATGGACTCGAAAGCGCCGACCTAGATCCTAAGCTTCCCTCTGTTCCTGCTCAGGTGGTCGTAACAGTAAGTGCGGCACCAATCGTCTGACGCGTCAAAGCTCACAGGACGCGTTTCTTGAAGCCCTACTGGGTTTGGCAAGCAGTATGGACCGAAAGGTTACCCGAGTAAGATGCCCATTTGAATCAAGCACGCGCGTATGAGTTTCACCAGCCTGACTTCCAAAAGTCCAAGGTATTTCTCAACAGATCCGAGAATGATATTCTCCGGGTTGTAGGATGTAGTGCTGATGTGAGCTCTTATCCGTATATTACGCCAATGAATCTCACTGTTTCTTTCTAGATTCCTCCAGGCGATCGCGAGGTCATTGCGGCGGGGATTCAGTCATTGGGTGGTCAATGGCGCTACGGGCTCACTAGAGAAGTTACCCACTTATTCACACTTTCGCCCACGGGGGTATGTGTGATGGATGTTCTCTGGAAACTGCTCATAAACATCGGCGCAGGAAAAATACGATTCTGCAATGCATTATTATGCACTTGTAAAGCACCCTTACATCGTAACTCCGCACTGGTTCGATGACTCCATAAAGTGTCGAAGACGTCAAAATGTAGACCAATATCTCTTCCCTGACCCTGACGTTCTGCGTTCAGGTTTCTCACTCGACAGCTGGGAGTTTCGTCGGAACTCAGAGATGAGAGTGATTTGGAGGACCGATTTCGTCGACTATCCCACCCAGAGGTTGTTCGGAGCAACAAGCGCCCTACAGGCACAAAACGAGAAGCAACTGATAGTCGTGTCAGTGCTTGGAAGTCGTTTGAGCAAGCAGGCGGACAGAATGGAGAGCTTCCCATCCAAATGACAACATCTGGGATGGCCGGAGGGTGCTTCTGAGCTCCCTCCTCCAGATGGGTAAGGGGCGACGTCAAGCTGTGGAGTCCGAACTGGTGAAAGCAGGGGCAAAAATCGTCGATCCTCAAACTCTGGACGCGAGCTCCTTTGACGTGCTTATCGTGCCTCATGCCGACGGACCACATTTTGAAATGGTGGGTTATCGTATGCTTCTATTACTAGCCTATAAGTTATTCCAAGGCTTGCTATTAGGCCGAAACCAATGGCGAGAAACTCATCGGTACCCTTGCTTGGTTGTTTCATGTTCATGGAACTGGTCGTTTTACCAGCCCTCACGACCATCTTCTACATATGCCACGACCTATTGGAAGTATTCCGGGATTTAAGGGAAAGGTGATTTTTTTTTGGGTACTTCGGATTGTGACTAAGGACGCCAATTCCAGAGAATATCGTTAACAAACTATGCTGGTCATTCCAGGGAGTTTCTCAAAGAACTTATTGTTCGTGTTGGGGCTGATTTCAGTGGAGAGTTGAAACATAGGGAGTGTGATATCCTCATTGCCGCAACGTGCGTGTCGTGGGGGCTGTTGCGAATAAGTCGCTTACGCTGCATCTCCTGCACCACTTCAGGACTTTCGGGAAAAAGGTCGAGAGAGCCATGCAGTGGACGATACCTGTAGTGAATCATACATGGCTTGAGGACTGCTTCAGGCAGTGGAGGTATATTGAACCCAGTGCCAAGTTGGGCGCTTATACTGTGTTTCCTCCCGGAGTTGACTGGTCAGATAGCCTCGACTTGCGTGCTCACGACAGCGACCGATCAGCAGTCCATCCTGGTCCACCAGCTCCATCCACGCCTGTTAGGCAACCATCTCCTGGGCCGTCAAAAGCAAACGCTGCGTCCACCCGGTTACCCTCATCGAACAGGGTTAGTGAAGACCCCTTTGCTGCCTCGTTTAAGCCTATGGAAGTTGTTGAACCCATTCCACCTCTATCATCTGAGCGGGGCGGTAGTATTCTCGAAATAGAACGGACTGTAACAGATGTGGCCGGAACCTTGGAACCCTCGAGTGCGCTTCCCTCGACTGTTATGGACATCTCGGATGATGAGGTACCTGGACCGGTGGCAACGGAAACTTTATCGCAGCCGCAGGCCGCAGACGACATGGCTGTGGATAGCCCTCCTTCCAATATTAATGTTGGGCAGGAGGTTAGACAAACTGCGTCTCCCCCACTTTCTGACCGTGATGATACTCCACGCAAGAATTCAAGCCTATATCCGCGGCGCTCGAATAGGTCTATCCCCAGGAGTCAAGTGATACCACTTGATCTGGATGATGATTCTGACCAGGCTCCAGACGCCGATGAACTTATTCGAAGGAGCTACGCAAAATCACAAGCAAAGTTAACATCCACTTCACCCCAACAGCTCCTTCGGAATGAGGACACTAAAGACGAACCAACCTCCAAACAAATTGGGACCTCTCAGACCACCAAATCCACTGAACGTACTGTGGAAATTACGCAGGAGCGTGATAGCGAATACCGTGACCCAAAGAGCGTCGTAGCGACTAACGGGGCACCTGTGGAAGTGCGGTCCAGTAAGATCGATAATGATGCTCCAGTACAACTCGATCATCCTCCTGAATCCCGTTCCACACACTCCCGGTCTCCGACCCCTGAAACTGCTGACACCAGCTCAAATCCAAGAAGCCCAATTCAAAACCACCGAGACCCACCAAAGAAGAGGAGGACAGGGTGTACAGAGAAGTTGCAGAAGCATACAGACAGCGGTCCTCTGGACGGGTCCCGAAACGGCCATTATTGCCCACCAATCCAACCATGAATCGACTTCCTCCCGAAGAAAAGGCACGATTGCAGAGGGAGAGGGAAAAGGCCGCTTCCCTCAATCCGAAAAAAGCACAAGTCCTCCAACGTAAGAGGGCGGCTGTGGACAATGCCAATTCAGGGTCATCGAAACACGTTCAGATGGGTGCCCTGGCTTCACGCCGAGCGGCTGCCATGAAGGCCGAGAAAGGCTTGTCAACACAAATGGAAGATGCTAATGCGTTTGCAGCTAGCCTCAAGTCCAGCAGGGGGGATATCCGGAGACTCAGTCTCGGTAAGCGTAGCCGAGAGGAAGATACGAATTCCTCAAGCGAATCGTCTGAGGCGGAAAAAGATCGTAAAGTCCGGAAGATTGAAGCAAAGATTACCGGGGTAAGCAATGATTTCGTCGTTTCGTATGAGTAGGGGTAGGCTGACACTCTGGGCACGTTTAGGCCGAGAAGGTTGATAAGGGGAAGAATCGGTGAGTCTTGTTTATTACGCGGTCAACTGTTTAGTCGTTGATCATTTCGCAGCGAAACGGCGGATGTGAGGGTTCTGGTGACAATGTGCAACATTGAGGCTGCAGTCCAAAAAACTCTCAAAGTCCGTTTTCAGACATCCACATGCTATGCCTTGGGAATAATATCTCTTTTCATTCAGAAACTCGGCGTGGCTTTCACAGAAGATCCCGACAAATGCACCCATATAGTTAGTAAAGGGATAGTCCGGACCCAAAAGTTTGTGCGCGCGATGTGCGTTGTGAAATTTGCCTTAATGCCTTCATGGTTGGAGGATAGCGCCAAAGTCGGCCGTCTTCTAGGTATAGGTAGCCTGTGCCCATCGTTCTCCTTATCCTAAATTTCATCACAGGAGAGGAGTCATACTGGATACAGGACAAAGAAAAAGAGACCCAGTTCAACTTCAATCTTAAGGCGACCCTGACCAAGGATCGGAGCGTTCCAGTCTTCGATGGCATTACGTTCTATACGACAGAGAAGATTGGTATGGATTTTGATACCTTGAAGCATGTCGTCACAAGCGCTGGAGGACAAGTAAGCTTAAATAGGATGCCATTTGGCGGAGAAATTAACAAAACCATCTGGTAGCTTCTGAAATCATTGTCGCCATCGGCCAAAATCCTTCGGAAACCCAACTGCTACTTGGTCTCGTCTCCCGAAGATAGGAAAGTATGGGAGGACCTCAAACATGCAGACGGCAGTCCTCTCCCTGTCTACAATTTTCATTTCGTAGTCAATAGCGTCCTTCGCCAACAATTGGATTGGGACGGGGAGGTTCAACCGGTGCGAGTTGATGGGGATGCTTAAGTGTTTCAGTTTTGGTTACAACCCTATCAGTTGTACGAGTGTATTTTAGCTCTATCGCGCGGACACTTGTGTTAATATCATAACCACTCATTGATTACACAGAGTCACTCTGGTCGTACGAGAAGGTACGAGAAAGACGCGTCGGAAATCTGGCATTAATGGTGTGTCGTTGACAAAGGAATCCAAAAAAAAAGACACGAATGTGTTGAGTACTAAAGGAAGCAAGCAGACAGAGCCATCAACTTCCGAGGTGTATTAATTCAATTTGTCCTTCCATCTTGCAAGCATAAGGCAGTGCTGTCCGCCTGCCGCAGTTTTTTCCACAAGCCATGTACCTCTTTCATCTCCATCCAACTTCTTGCTTCTCACGCGGGTGGGAACCCTGGCAAATTCGACGTCTTTGCCGAGTCCTAAAGCACATTGAGTACTGAATCCCCAAGCGTAGACGTAGCCCGACTTTGACACTGCTAGATTGTGTCGAGTGCCCGCGGAAATATGGATGATAGGATCGGCGGGAGGTGATGTGTAAGCATCATCCGTCCATGTGGGTGGTGCGTCTGAATCCGTTTGTGGTTGTGAACCGCATAGAAGGGGCGGAGGAAACAGAATGGGCACAGGCTCAGGGATGAAATCATCGATGGGTGGTGGCTTATCGGAAGACGACTCCTGGTCATGATGTTCCATTGATTCCACGCTATTCATCGCCTTCACAACTCTGACCTTTGCCAGTTGTCTGCCTCTTTTTCGTTTCCATCTTTCTTCATGAGCTGCTCGACGCTCGTCGACCCCCTTCATCGCGGGATGATCTTCGCCGATTCCGAGTTCGAAGCCATCGCATCTTCCGCAACCCCAAACACTCCCATCGCTGAGCAGGAAAAGGGTATGATGCTCTCCACCCGCAATCTGAACAACCCGACGGTCTTTGCCAAGTGCGGATGGAGACAAAGTGGACACGATTGTTGGAGTGGGAATGATCTGATCTGAGCCTCCATCCTTCTGAGAGACTCCGGTCTGTTTCATGGAGTTAAGACCCTAATCAACTAAGAAGTCAGCGATAGCACATGCGCCAATATTGCTGGAATACCCGCATACCCACGCATACACGTTCCCCTCGCGATCTACAGCAAATGAATGATAGCTTCCGGAACCAACGAAAGCGATTTTGCGAAGCGATAGTCGCTCTGGTGCGAGACCATTGATCTTCCTTCTTTCTATAATCTTACGCCCAAGTTGCGATTGTTGACCATTTCCCCTATAACGAAGCACTTAAATTATAAAAAGAATGGCCAAATGAAATATACATACCATACCCAAACAATACCGGTAGAAGTCAGAGCTAAGACATGATCAGTGCCACAGGCAACATCAACGAACTGATATTGTTGCAGAGTCGATAAGGCTATCGGGATTACTTGAGTCTTAGGGGATCCTTCCTTCCCATCAAATCCGAGAAGCCCATCTGAGGCCTGTGGCGTTGGAAATCAGTGAATGTGCAGCATAGACACGACAAGCGCTCACTCTAAAGCTTCCCCATACTCTTATATCTCCTCGGGATCCGAGGGCGACACTGACACTATCCCCGCCAGCAACCTTCACCGCCCGAAAATTATCCTCCACAAGAGTATCAACAGTCTTTGGCTGAGTTTCGAGTTCCTCGGGCTCGAAATTCTTTCCTGGATTAGAGGGATCTGGAATTTCCACAGTGGGCCTTCCTAGGGCAGCATTATCGTTGATCCCCCAGGACCAAACCTGATATTATCATTCAAAAACTGAGTCGAGCCGCTGTTAAGATCAACATACTTTCCCCGCCTCATCAATAACAAGGCTATGCATTCCACCCGCACAGATGACTTCCAGGCCCGCCCCCTCCCCTCCTAGCTTCCCTTCTCTAGTAGCCTCTTCAAACCAGCTGTGGAGCCTTGGACGAACGATGTCACCCAACTAAACAATGAGCGAATTAGTTACGTGGTTGGACGACATGTAGAATGGGCCTGCTCACAGTATCTGGCCCCAGACCAAATTGTCCCATGTCTCCGTTGCCCCAGATGAATAGCTGCCGACATGGTCGAGGATGCGACTCTGGAACCAACACCTCAGATTTACGACTGGCAGGTGCCTTACCTGGGCCTAAGCTACCAGCACGGACAGAACGAGATACAACAGGAGGTCCAAGACTTTGGGCACGTCGTTTCTCAGCTTCGGCTTTCGTTGGACGGCCGCGCTTTCGCTTGGGTTCTGCCAGTCCCGAATCGGGCGATGGAGACCCTTGTTGCGATTGAGCACGTTTCCGCTTCCCTAATGGTCTGGATGGTGGCAGAAAATCATCTTTTCCGTCCGTTGGAGGATTGATCTTGGAGCGTGACGCGCCAGTGGAGGGAGTAACAGAAAGAGAGCGCGCACGAGGCATTATGTTAGATTTATGCTATTATGCAAGAAAGGTGGAAGTGGAAGAAAGTTGCTATATGTGTTTCAGAGGCAAAAGGAGAGTGGCTGGCGCCGCGGACGCGCAGAATGGAAGTAGCTTGAGAGGAGAGGGAACCAAGAAAAGCAGGTGGATTGAGGAAAGGTCATCTGACCAGAAGCGTAAGTACGCTGATTAATTTTTTACGTGCTTCCCTTTCGTAATATTCCCCGACTTTAGGCGCTGACTTACTAAAGAGTCGACTGATCGATCCCTGGGCTATTTTCCATGTCTGGGGGTTACGTTCTCGATGGGGCTCCTCCTACTGAGACAAATGGTCTTGACCAGACTCACAGGCTTGCCGAGCTGCTTGCGGCCATTGAAAGTGAACGGCGCCAATCGAATATCTCTCCCCTGCGGCCTTCCTTGCGGCTTCCTGCTTCTTCCTCGTCTCTAGGAGAAGATGCCCAGTCTTGTGAAGCTACCTCAGCCCCTTCATCCTCGCTCGGCCTCAGTGTGCCGAGCATGGATTACCATTATGCATCCTCTTCTACCTCCGTCAGAACCCACAATCACGAGAGTGATACTGAGACTTCCGGCCTCGAAGACGGAGATGGAGAATGTGAAGAGAGCATGTCACATCTGATACCACATCCAGACTCAGGCGTTCATTTTCATGCATGCTCCAGGCAACTGATTATGGTTGCGGCATCGGCGCCCGTGCATCGAGTGGTTTCAGTACATTATAAAGGAACTAAAGTGTATAAAGTGAACACGCAGAAGCCCACTGGCGTGAACCAGCAGTCATTCTCTGCAAACGATGCTCTTGTCTCCACTCGGTCTGAGGAATTTGTTGCGATTGTTAGAAGGGGTGCAAAATCTAAAAAAGTAACCCTCACCGTCTATAAGCACAGTCAGTCCGGGTCGTAAACTTAGGGGACCTTGTTGGGCTTATGGGTCTATAATCACAGATTCGGGGGATATAGATCACCATCTTACTTATCACCCCATCCATCTTATCTCCGACTTCACGGCTCACGGTCACCCGTCCACTCCTGTACTGATCGCTCTGGAGGAAAGGGTGTATCTTCTTGGGAACCAGAACATGACTCATGTGTGGAGTCTGGACGTTTCACGGCACAGCCTGCGAAACCGAGGTATGCTCTCCACCCCTTCCCATCTTGCCTCATCCAATTAGTTTCCTCAGAATTGATGTGGAGACAAGAACACACCCGAGGTTTTCCCCGGCCCAACACGACGCCCACCCACATTGCAGGGTGTCCGAGGGTAGGACTGTCATGGAAAAGCCACATAGTGGTTATCGGGTGCGTAAATCATAAATACCCGTGTCATCTCTGACTCCCCACGAAAGTGTTGAGTCAAGTCCGATGAAGCAACGATCGTTGAATCATCACAACTCATCACGGAAGAAGCCCAGCAAGAAGGCCAATATTTCCTCATCACGACCTTCTCCACCAGATGAGAATTTACAGTCTCTGAACGTTTGGCAATTTTCAGTACTGAATCGTACGTGGTCAAAACGACCAGCGGTCACGAACGCACCTCAAGGAGTCGGCAAATCATGGCCTCCTTCATTGCATGGATGCATGGTTGGTGAAAGTATCGCATGTATCGCCGTTGGTCGAAAAGAGGGGACATGTATTTGGACTCTCGACTTGTCTAGTGAGTCTGGGACCAACTCGCGGTCATATTTCATTTTTACATATTTAATCAGCATGCACGTGGTGGGAAATACCAGGACTCCTTCCCCGGGGCTCCTGTGTTCATGGGATGTCGTCCGTTGGTTCTATTGTATACTTCATGGGCCAAGGGCTTGACCCAGACACTTCCAGTCCAGTGGTGCACTGTAATATGGCGAACTTCGAGGTAACGCATATGCAGTGTGTGATATCTAGCTCGTCACTCATCAACATTTAGCCTTGGATCGAGTCGTCTCAACCCCCAAAAGGGATCGAATCAATGTTTTTCCCTCCATCTATTTCCCTCCCTGGCTCTGAGCCCCCCAGCCCGAATCACGAAACCAAAGAACATCCACTCATGTCTCTTGCCTCGTCGACCGAAATCTCCGTATCATCCTCTCTCCTGCCTTCATATGACTCCTTGCCGCCACCTATGAATCCCCATACTGCTTCGTTCCTATTCTTTACTCCGTATCGAAGAATGCATACCGCTACAGATGATTCACAGTTTGAGAAGATAAAGATCGACCTATCTACGGAATGGATGACGTGCGCCATGATTGTGAGTACTCGAGGCTATTCCTTTTTTCATTCCCTTACACCTCCCGCCCCTAGGTGATGTGCCTCATTGGGTGAGTCGGCCTGTGTGCTTATGTGTAAGGGAAAATTATCGAGCATTTACAGGGTTGATTCTGCAATTTTGGGCCTGAGTAAAGAGGGGACCATCATGCCCATGGATACTTCTGGAGAACGCGCAATCGCCGTGTCGATGATGTCGTCGGCGATAGGGCTTGCGGTTAGCGCGTGGATGTATTGCATCTATTACCCACAAGAGGGTGATTTATTCAGGGTTCGCATTATTCCTGTCTTGCTTTTTGATTGCCTCGTTGATAAACCTTTACAGCTTCGAGCGTTGGATGCGCTCAACACATATGCCATCTTCTCTATCCGTGCCCGCATACCCATACTTTGCGTTGGAGTTGCAACATCAGCATTTTTGATTTTCGTAGTCCACACTCTGTCTGCTATGTTCCCAGAAGTGGTGGCTCCACTTCTCGCCCTCCTGGGGATTCTCATCGGGCTAAATTGGTTCATCTATTTCTACCATCTTGTCCGATTCGCATTCTCCTACGTCAGCAAGGCGGTGTTGTACGTTTTTCGGCGTGGTTCGACCCCTCCGCCCGCCGAGACAACAGATGGGAACTCAAAACAGTCCAGCGAGGCTACCGCTGCTTCATGATGAACATCTATTCGCCGATCGTGTAATTTTATAATCCTAATAATCTGGACTTATATCTACACCCACATTTCTACGTGCGCGGCTGCATCAGTCACAAAGACAATCCACACTGCATTTCTGTCGCGCCTTGCTACGGTCCTTTGTCTACACAATGGACCTAGGATGCAGATAATGGTCCCGATCACAAATGATATTATGCATTCCAATGTGTAAACGTGCTGTTTATGTCGATATCCTCACTTGCTAGAGTTTCGAGTCCGGGGAACTGTCCCCACTTAGATAACAGATGTGTGCAGTGTCCACGTCAGACTCGTGAAGGATTTATAAAGGATCGCTTTGAATATGGCCCGTCTCGGCATCACCAGGTAGTTGGGGAGCCATCGAGCATTTAAACATGTTTGTACAGGTATAAACGCCATCTCAGTCAGGGGTTCCAATAATCTGTAGAGTTGAATGAGTATCTAGCGGTTGAGTCCACGCCAATAGCTACCAAAGGATTTAGTGTCTACTCTGGGACTAAGAAGAGTGTGTCACTTACTGACGTAGGCGAGAATGCCATCCCCAATCTTAGGTCCGAGCCGATAGGTGTCAGCAATAGCATTATAACCGTGCGAGTTCTCCTGCTGGAAGATGCCATCCTGAGAGTTATATGTTCGTCCCTTCGTGTTGTTTAAGTACGCATTAGTGACAACAACTTTATCGGTCAGAGAATCCTCGAAGAAAATTTGGCCGCGGTGCAGCAAATGACCAGCGTCCGAAATAATAGTGCCATTCCTTGCCTTTTTCCAATGTGTTTGGATGGCAGTCTGAAAGAGCGTTTTAACAGCCGACCAAAGAAGATTGGATTGGATTCGTGCGCGTAACTCACATGGACGTGGACAGTTCGAAGGGTATAATAGCCTGGGTACGTAGTGATCATTTCTACGACACCTTTCTTGTTTGTCGGCCATCCGCCGCGAAGGAAGTCGAGCTCGTCAGTCATATTCTATTTAATGTCGAAGAGTGCGTTTATTCACAATCCCGGGGGTAATATAGTGCAGAGGTCCAGTTTACCTACAGGAGATATGCCAGGGGGCGGAGGAGGGAGAACAGATTCAGTAAAACCAGAGTAAAACCCTGAACCCCCAACTAGGTCAATACTGATGCATGATACGCCAGATGCGGAGAAACTTCACCTGTAGAGTTGGAATTCCAAAGTTCCACAAACGCATTCGGAAGAGGCTTGCATGTGGTAATGTCCAAGACACCAATGTCCAGGATCAAAGGAACGCCAGGTTGACCTTCTCGAATATCTCGGCGAACGAGTTCCTACAAAGACACGATGACGGGTGTTGGTTGGGGCGGGTAGACAACTCACATTTTTAATATAGTAAGGACCTTCCGTGACTTCAGGTGTGAGTACACAGGTGGTCTAACAACAAAACTCAGTTTCCCATTATGTAGGCTCTGTGTTTGGGTCTCCTACGTTACGGATGCCCTTGGGTTTGTGCCAAAGAGGTCCGTTGATGGCTCTGTTGGAAAGTTTCTCTAGGCCCGACAACTTCTTGGAAAAGTCGCGAATCGTTCGGCGCTGCTCCTGAAACGCACGGATAGCAGAAGCACAGTTGCGGGCAGCGCGATTGCGTGCCTCTGATTCCAGCTGGGGATAGGGTGAAAAAGATTTGGAAAGTATCGCAGGCAAGGAAAGGATGTTTACGACAAGCACAGCGAGCAGAAACGAAACGGTCCTCATACCGGGAATCACTGGTACAAACTAGCTCCACTAACCAAGTAATAAGGGGAATCTTATAGGTACCAAAAAATTCAGCTCCATATGGAGTGGCCATTGATAGGCCGCTGAACCTGGCCGCACCTCACTGGCAGCATGCGTTGGAAGTGAAGTGGAAAGATGTCCTGTTCGTTCCTTGATGGTACCTTCCATCTCGGATGAAGTGTTCACACAAGATTTTAATGCAATAAAATGCATCCAGGGAAAAACTTCGGCCGTGTTAGTGAAAAAGGTCGGAAGGAGACGAAAATTTCAGGGCAATCCGCATATCCTACTTACTTAGACTTGTTCTCAACTGGTAAATACCACCCTCTCCAGCTCGTATGGTGCAGCTATATCCATTGCGTCTGACCAGGTGGCACTGAGATGGAGTTGGTGACTGAATCTAACCCCAGTGGTCTAGGAATCTGGAAAGATCGGGCACTGAATGGCAATCCCCCCTCTTCCGGCTTATCTGCCAGGAAGGGTGGGGTGGGTGTAGTATTCAGAGACCCCTTCCACTCGTCTCGTTTTAACGATGTCGTCAACAAACTGTTGTTCAACGGGAAGCGAGGACAGTTGCTGGCCAATCCTCAATAACGTCAACCTTGATACAAACGGTCGTACCGATCGTACCTTCGCTAGCAAGACATCTTCTTACAAAGAATCGTCATGAATCCCCATGCTCGTCGCCTTATGCTGCCAAGTCGATTCAACATGCCTCACTGTTAGAGTATTCGCATACTTCATCCTACGATACACGGCCCAGGCGGAGCTGGCGGCCCCTGTGGGATCTGACAGAGGGAATAATACCGCCTTCCTGGTTTGTCATATATCTGGGGCAATTGCCTCGGCGATCAACGTCTACTGTATTCTCCGAGGCAGATTGGTGCCTTTGTAGCAAAAGGAAAAAATCTGCGCACTCGATTTGGATAAAGGACCAGTTCGTGATCGTCCACGATGATGAAGCACTGAACGTTCTCCTATATCGGGAGAGCTGTTCATCCAAATCGGGCGCGCAGAATATTATCCTGTAAAGTACGCTGGATCCTACTCTTAGCTGGATCCTGAATTGATGATAACAACGTTGTGCATATATCAGAGGCATTTCAAACACACAACCGCTACCAATCTCTCGCTGGCATGGTGAGTTCATCATGTCAACATCATGTTCGGTGCGTGTCTGCCTGTGGGTGTGGCACGAAACGAGGACTGTTACCCCAACTTAGAAGGGTCCAGGTGGTTCCCTCGGGAAAAATCCTGCGCTCAATGACCAAGGAAGTTCGTTTTTGGTTTTGGAAGGAGATGGAGTGTATTGCATTCCAGTAGACTATAGAGTAGAACCACTCACCCCAGCCTCATTCCTGAGACCACGGTTACAGAGTATGTTTTCGGATTCGGAAGAAGGTATGTATTCTATATCTATCACGGGCTTTCCAGAGCTGCACACACAGAAAGTCCGTTTTGCATATGACATCGTCATCATCACCATCTCGTCGATCTGTTGACGCTCGACGTCATCTCAAAGCGCTGCGGAGACAATCACGCCGAGGTAAATCTCATACAAGGCGCGTCTAGCATATCCATTTCATCGATAATTCAGGGACCCCAACTTCAATATCTCGTGTGACTCGGGCCAAATCGTCAAGGACGGCTGCTCTCATTATTGCTGCTCTGGTATTTCTTGATCAGAGGCTGGAGGAACGATAGAATCATGATCAGGAATGACAAGTTGGTCGCATAGTCCCAGGGAGACATGCAGACGGTAATGTCTAGCTTTGCTACATAGATAGGACGGTGGTTACCTCAGATTTGACGTTTGAGTCTCTGCCTGGACCTGGTCTGTGACGTGATGCACCGTATTGCCAGTTGTACGAGTAGAACATCACGCCGCACACCGGTTGACGGGCAATGCATAATCATGAGAAATATAGTATCTACGGCTCAAGCACACACACGGTAGCAAGCACACAGATTCCCTATAAAGTAAATGGTGGGGTAAAGTGAAGTGAAACTATTATGGAGACTGCAGGTCACGAAGTATCAGGACGCTGTCATGTCCCGGATATGCCTGACGGCGTAATTTTAGGTAGATTACTGATGCGGGGGAGCAAGGCCTCGTCTTCATTTACGTTTACCTGTAAAACTGTATTTGGTGCTCCGTCCTTTCTTTGTTCCAACTTTTGCAAGTGGGAGATACGCATACGGATCCACCCCTCCGCGTTTAGCATCACCCCCGGCATTCTAATGAACTATTCAGTTATGCAGCTTTCGGGAGGTTCATTCTTGGATACCTTGGCTTTGAATTCTCGGCCAAGCCGTACGGGCTCCTGCTTGTACTTCTTGCGTTTGTTTCCACCTTCGCCGGCGTCACGGTCAGCCATTTCCACGTCCTCTGCTTTAGAGTCTTCCGCTCTGCGCTTTTTAGTGTTCTTGTGGAATTTAACTTCGCCTCGAGGGCCACGATTGAAATCGTCCACCAACGCCATTTGTGTATCCGCAGCATCGTCTTCCGCCCGATCAACGCCGCCATTGTCGGAATCGTCCGAAATGACAAGCTTCCCTGATTCTTCAGTTCTGAAATGAGAAGCTTCTTGACCAGGCTGTCGCTTCTTTCGTGGATTTAAGGCTGCTAGAACGTCAATCCGCTGCTGAAATGGCAGTGTAGGTGCCTTACAAGTGATGGATGTAGCACCCGCATGCAAGAGATCAGTAGGATCATCATTATCGATTCGTAGGCGCGTCCCGATCTTCGCTGAGTGCGCCTCCCTCCTGTCAACGCTGCGTCCCCGCTGTGCCTGTCCCTTACCCTTCAACTGTGGTTTTTGTTTCCGGCCCGACTCTCCCCCAGAATCCTCAGCCTCACTTTCACTGCCGTATAGTACATCATGGAATGCATCTCCTGTTGTTACTCGTGGTTTGGGTTCATCCTATTCAGATCAGCTAAACAACAGCTTGAGAGTGCGAGACAGACGGACTGACATCAGAGCTTGACTCGTCATTTTCCTGTGCTTTGGCGGCCTTTTTCCTCTTCATCATGTCTTTACGCTTTTTGACGTTCTGGATCACTTTGTAACCGCCAGAGTTGTTATCTCCAGCATGTTGGATGATATTGTCCCATCCAAAACGTCGTCCCATACGCTCAAATATGTGTCGTACCTTCAATTTGAAACGGTTTCCTTGGTCGTGTGACCAACCAAGCAACGCTGGGACTAGGTCTAGTAGGATAGGCTGAACAGTTGTAACAGGAAGGACGGTTACCGCCAGCTTGGCAAAGCCTAGCGCTGATTTGACGATTTCCCGGTTCGCAGATCTCAAAAAGACTGTGACTGTTGTTAAGACTTCAGTTTGCATTTTCGGTGAAACACGGTCTGTTTGCATTCCGTAAGGATGATCTGGTTCAATCTTAAATGCGAAGACGCACTGCACCTTTGAATTCAAACATTATTCGAGAGATGGCGGTGATGGTTGCACTGATCATATGGGGAGTTGTTCCCACTAGACCTGCAGCAACCATGGTAATGAACTCCTCAATTGAGGCAGGGACTGTGACCGTAGGTCAAACTATATGCTTCAGGAAGTAGCCACCCAACATACCGTCTGGACGAGGCTCCGCGCCCTTATTGTCCATGTCCTGGATCAGATTGCGTTTGATAGTCCCGCCCTCCGACATCCTGGCGCCCATAGAGACGAGCAGATCGAAAGCACCTATTCTAGCTTTGGAATTGTCTTCTTTTGTTGCCAAAACTACCTCAGTGATGAAAGACGCAATGAGATGCAGTTCGCCGTTTGGGAGTGACGGGACAATAACTGCCAGTAGACCAATCCTGTCCTAATGGGGATTGTGTGTTAATCACACGACAACACCACTTCCTATTGTTGAAGCTCACTTTCTCTACTCCTGGCAATATCGACTGAGATGTTGCTACGATCCGTTTCACGAGGCGTTCAATGGCGACACTATCATCTCGAATAACGCTGACGGATTCAATGGACCTGGCGAGGATGCGATACGCGCGCTTCTGGACTCCACGGTCCTTACTTTCGAGAAGGTCCTTGGAGCACGCCTTCTCCAAGAGGGCGGAGGATAGAGGAGGCGGCAAATGGGGCAACAATAAAAGTATCAAGTCCAAACTCGTATGCGAGAGAGGTATGTCCCCAGACTGAGGAGCAGTGTCTTGGAGGGATGTCTGAAGCATCTCCAAGAGCTTATTGTACATTGTTTCAGCATCCTGTAACGCATAGATTTAGTTACGTCTCGGGATAGCAAAGGTCGCAAACATACCGAGGGGCCAGCGATTGTAAGCCAAGCCTTAATCGCCTCGCCGACAGGACCTCTCTCCTCGGAACCTGTGGTGCTAAACACATTAAACAATACTAAAATCATATTCGAAGCGAGAGTGCCCAAAAATTCTAAGTTCTTGCGAGCATCTACTTGTGACATCCCGAAGCCCCAAGTGAGGGCATCTGGAGGTGCAGAGGAATTGGCGACGGTTTGCACACTTTCAACCAACACTCGTAAGCCAAGTAGGATAGAGTTACGAAGCGAAGGTTGAGTGTAGAGAAGGTTGGTGATTAATCTAGCAAACTGGTTTGTGAAGGCCTATTTTTGACGTATTGAGCAACGGAAAACGACGGGAGGGGTGAATTAGCGAAATGTTCACCTCAGAAACATCGGTACACAATTCGCAATAACCTTTGAAGCAAGCCCATATCTGATCTATCAACACATGCCAAACTTTGACCTCGGCTGATCTCTCAGATTTTTCGGCTTCCGTTTTTAGGTTGAACAGCTCCTCTGACAGTGGAATAAATGTACTGATGAAATGGGATAACTGAGTGTTACATATATGCGAGGCCAGAAGGGGAAGAAGGTAAGCTCTCCCTTGGAGTTCGCTGTTCTTCCGATTCTTGGCACTTGAAATAATAGGTCAGATATTAAACTACGGAATCGAACGAACAAGACATACCCCGGAATGATGTTCAACGGAAGCAGATTCAGGAATGCCGCAGGTCCAAGGACACGAATAGCTGTACCAAGTGTCTCGTCTGCCTCTTGTTTGTATTCGAAGCCATTCGAGGCTCTCAGCTTCCCAGCGTGCTGCACCAGCTCGCCCAGTAGAAGCTCTGCGGCGGTTGGAGAGTTGTGGCCATCAGGTACAAGGCGCGTGCGTAAACGCGACAGCAGGGCCGAGAGGACAAGAAGAAGAGACGAAACGGCCTTCGCGTAGGCAACAGCATGGAATGCACTATTTAAGTCGGATATGATGCTTAGTAGTGTAGGCATCTTTGCTTTTCCCGCCCCGTCCTTCGCGGCAGGCACCAATGATGATTTGCTCTCCCATGCAGATGCAGCATTACGAATAGCTTCGTCAGTAATGCAATACCGAGCCATTGCACAAAGTGCTTTTTCCGAAGCAAGTCTAACAGCATCTTCATCGCTACTGAGCCAGCGCTTCGCTAGCGTCCAAACTTTCCATAAAGAGGCAGAGCATTCCTCGCTGCTTGTGCGTGCCAAAGCAACCATGGTATTTTCGACAGCTTCGAGCCACGCCTCGGCTTGTGAGTGGTGGGTTGGAATAAACTGCAGGAGAGACGATAGGATGTTGGAGGCAGGCAAAACTAACGTGGGCGATCGCAAAAGAACTGAAAGAAGTCCATATGACTCAGAGGTTAGATACGGGGATAATAGGGATGGTAACGCCAGTAGCGGACGTAAGAGGTTGTCTAATTGCTGCAAAATCACGCTCAAAAGATATGTCACGATAGTTGGACATGCAGACATACCGATGGCGGCCAAGTGGGTGCAAGATGTTTCACAAACGCGCACACCCAAATGCCAGTTTCAACTCCCTTCGACTTGGCAGGGCTGTTTGTAACCATTTGAAGCGCATCTATTATGGCTTCAGCAGTTTGGTTCGCATAAGGATGGGTAAGAATCGGTGGAGGAGGGGATGATATGGCAGCAACAACAACTTCTTGGGCCTTCTTGCGCACTTTTGGCCGAGAATCCAAAGTGTATTGAAGAATCAAGGCGTAGGATTGGCGAAGTAACAGAGCGGACGTGAGCAAGTTCTGATCCAGTATTGGGAATAAGGTGCCATAAATCCCAATAAGAGATCTCAGGGGTGGTGCGCTCTTATCGAGCTGAGGGAACAGAGGCGTTATTATTTCTAGCAGGCCGACCAACTGTGAACGGATGATTGCATGTGTAACGTGTGGGAGAATAAGAGATAGAAGATATAGCACAGCAGGTATGACATCGCCTTCCCCAAGCATAAGCTTTCCATTTTCTCGAGCGATCGCCTCCTTTAGAGTTACTTGTAATGAGGTGTAGAGGGCCACAGCAGTGGGAGGCTGATTCCGTTCTTTCAATGCACCTTCAACAGCGACCAGAACATGAGCTGGTTTTGACTGATTAGCCAGGCCGCTGTTAACATGCCCACGAATTTTGACGAGCGTTTCTTCGATAGATAGGTCCTCCGCCATATCTCAGGCTGAAAAAAGTTGGGACGACAATTGAATTGTATGTCGGAATTCGGAAACCGCCGTTCTACTCAAGTACTTAACGCGCCTTGTAACACTTTCTGCGCAGTTTGTAACGTTTCTGGAGCGTTGTAACGTTTTGAGTGGTTATAACGCGTTGCAACGCTATTGAATTATCAGTGCCTCGAGCCGACTAGGTTTAGCGGACTTATATGCAGTACACAAGACCTGTAAGCAGCATGGCGTTTGCATGGGCCGATATATGGTGTAAGTCAAATTCAAGAGTACGTGGTGGGTACGCAAGAGGAATGCAATGATTGCATGCCATAATATGCATGGTTACATTGTCAGGTACACCGTACACAGGAATGAAGTAAGTCAGAATAGGCGATCGTGAGCGACTCCATCCAGATGTAAGTCTAAGCAGCTCATTGCAGTTTACCAGTCGACCAATGAAAGTTGTAAACGCTCTCCGTCTTGTAAGAATCCGTAACACCTTCGTAACGCCTTGGGTAACGCGTTACCGGTTTTCCGACATAAATTGAGGGTGCCGCGTGACCACCTGCATAAATGACTGCGCCCCCTGCAAGAGCGTATATCACAAGCCTCCAGCAACGTCCTCGACTTTCGAATAGTCATGTTGACTGGGACGAAGGCGATGCTTGGGACTCTGGCTCCGATTCTGAAAATGTTACGAATGTCCGTTCTTTATCTTTGTCTCTTTCCTCCAATGCATCCAAAGGCAAAGCGTCAGTCGATCTCACGAGTCCTAAACCGATATCGATCTCTACAAGGAAATATTCGCTAAACCGAGGGGCATCCGTGCATCAAGGTAGTTCCAGCTCGAATGGGTTGGACAAGTCATCTCCCCATGGAGGGAACCTCGCATTCTCTTATACACACGTTCAAGTGCCTTCGATATCATCCTACCCCTTAAAGGAGGTTTCATCGAATTCTATAGACGAGTTTGATTTACAGGAAAGGGATGAAAGGGAGAGGGCTGGATGGACCATTGTTCGATCCGAGGGTGTTGAGGACAACTTTGACAGTCAGGCCGCTGCCAATGATGCAGATGTCGACGGGGATATGGTGGTTGGAGGCTTCGAGTCCGACACAATAACCTTAGGAGATTCCGAAGAACTTGTAAAAGAGGGGAAAGATGCAATAAGGGAGGATGCTCCTCTACTTGTTAAAGGTCAATTTTATGGACGTCTGTTTTCCAATAGTATCCTGACGTCCTTGAAGACCCGCTACACATCCTTGAATGTCTTCGCTCTGGTTCTTTGACTGGGAAGCGATCATCTTTGTCCGGAACGCGAGTCGACTCGAGGACTCGGAGTCAAAGTAAGCCACCGAAATCGCCTGGCTTATCAAGGGGGCGGAGTCTTCGCACCACTAGGAAACATGACAAGTTAACTGAATGTATACTGCGTCCGGACGTAGATCTAGGTACGCGTGTCATTTTCATTGTTCTACCTCTCTAATGATGAGCTAGCCGAACTGCGAAAACTTGCATGGTCCGGGCTACCACATGATTTGAGGCCTGTGACGTGGCCTTTTCTTCTTGGGTACTACCCACTCTCTCACTCCACCAGAGCGCAAGTGCTAGCTCGTAAACGGGAGGAATATGCAGCTCTGGTTCGACTGACATTCGCGAGAGGCAAAGAAGGGCTGGACCAGCAGATATGGCACCAGATTGAAATCGACGTGCCACGCACCCGTCCGGGTGTTCGGTTATGGATGGAGGGGGGAACCCAGAGGGTAATCATTATTCAATTTTTGTACAACGTGACAGCTTTCTCAACGAATTCGACAGAGCCTTGAAAGGATCTTATACGTATGGGCCATCAGACACCCTGCTAGTGGATACGTGCAGGGTATCAATGATTTGGTGACGCCTTTCTACCAAGTCTTCTTATCCGCATACATAGGCGAGCGTCTCGCAGACTCTTCCCTTCTGCCAATTTGACATGGTTCCTAAAGATTGTGACCCAGAGTACTTCGATCCAGCTTGCTTGCCAGAAGATATCCTAAATGCTATCGAAGCAGACTCATTTTGGTGTCTCTCCCGGCTGCTGGACGGCATCCAGGATAACTACATTTCACAACAACCAGGGATACAAAGAAGCGTCCAGCGAATGCAAGGGGTGGTGAGCAGAATCGACGGTTAGTGTTCATTACTCCAGTCATCATAACTCTTTACCGAAAATCCTTGGTTCATTATAAAGCTCCCCTTGCTGCACATCTGAAAGCTGAAGGTGTCGAGTTCATACAGTTCGCCTTTCGGTGGATGAACTGCCTGCTCATGCGTGAGTTGAGCGTGCAGAACACGATCCGGATGTGGGACACTTATCTGGTGGGTCCCATGGTGCAATTCAAACCATCGTGAGGCTAAAACATCACCCAATAATACAGTCGGAAGGGACCGATGCGTTCTCCCAATTTCACCTGTATGTCTGTTGCGCTTTCTTAGTCAAATGGAGCGAAAAGCTGCGTGAGATGGACTTCCAGGTATGTGCAGCCAGCCAACATCTGTGGTCATTACATCGTGGCAGCTGCTGTATCCAATCAAATAGGGTATTATCATGTTCCTCCAATCGCTTCCCACTCAGGACTGGGGTGACCACGAGGTTGAATTGCTTCTAAGCGAAGCGTTCGTTCTCAGCAGTGTATGGCATAATGCTCAGAGCCACTTTGGTGGAAGATAAGCAAAATATCATCGCTCGACGCCTGGGGCCCGGTTTTCTAGTGTATAATTCTTCTCCATTATTCTTCTAGATCACTTTCTTAATTACCCCCAAGATGGGTACTAGTAAGATATCGTGACAACCGTGTACAATTTATCCGATGGTGGCGCCAGCTTCTGACCGACGCGATGTACACTAGGCAGCTAGCTTGAAAGAAACACCTTTAATCCACAAGTACTTCGGTCTTGACCACGCGGGCATATATATATATCCTTGCGGCTGAACGTTGAAGCGTCGACTTGAAAAAGGGTCGATCCGTGACCCCAGAAACTCCAGTGCTTACTTATCAGAAATCGAACGACAGGCTTTATTATTTACCAATAATTTGTGTGATAGTAAGTAACACTCGTTAATAGCGACGCAGTAGAACATGTACATCGGGTTGATCGACAATTGATGTTCCACTCGATGGACCCGTTCCGGAGCCCGCTTCGTCTGCCGCAGCGCCATTTCATTATACATATAAATTTGGAATCCACCCTTGCTAATTCGCAGTGGCATTGACCTGATTTTCGAAGCAGAAGATAAGAACGCTCCCAAAGATAGGCTAAACAATTCATGACAACCCTTTCTCCTGCTTGCAGATGTGCTTGCGCGCGTGAACACATATCAAATCACTAATGTTGGTTACATATTCATGGCACCAGCATCATAGACGTCTTTCTGAGGTATATATAGTGATTCTCACCTTGCTTGCTCTTTCACCCCCCATCTCTTCCGTTTCATATTTGAGAAAACGATGTCAGCTGCATCAAGGCTCCTGTTGTCGGCGCACATATTCTCTTTATCACTGTTGCCCTATGCCTGCATCGGAGTGTCAGCCCTCTTGGCAGCGTATTGTCTCTACAATTTCTTCTCCATCCCCTTTCGAGCCTACCCGGTCCGGTTTCTGCCCGCTTGGGTCTCCCGTTTACTCGTCTCTGGCCTGCCTGGAGGAAAGATTATCCATGGAGGCTCAAGGCGCTCCATGACAAGTATGGGATGACAGTTAGGACAGGATCGAACTCGGTATCGACGATTGATCCTGCAGCCGTCAGTCCATTTACAGTCATGGGAGCAAATTTCACAAGTCCGAATTTTATTTACCTTTCGGTGAGCCCCCCATAGCACACATACTTTAATATCGCTGAATGGAGAGTTCACAGCGGCCGATCCAAACAACCCCACTCTATTCACTGACATCAATCCGCACTCACACGCATTCGAAGACGAGCAGTAGGTCCACACATCTGCAGCGTTGGGATGTTTGCCCATGGACGTTTCAGGTGGCCCGGGTGTATAGCATGAACTCTATAACCAAGCTTGAGAGCTGCATCGAACCAGTGGTCAAACTCCTGTTCGACTTTTTCGATTCTAGAATAGCCTCGTCACCGGGCAAAGTGAACCTGAGCGTATGGCTTCGTTTCTTTGCGTCGGATGCCGTGGGAAAGCTCGCCGTGCGTTGGTTTTCCTATTTCCTTTCGTTAGGCTTATGGAGCAACCATAAAACCACCTGTCCAACGTCAACCTCGATCCTCAAATATCAGTTTGGCAGCAACTTTAATTTCCTCGTCTTAGGATCAGATCCCAACCGCCTACAACTCGCTTTTCTAAACCTTTCCTACATGGGTTGCGTTGCTGGCACGCTCTACCGCCCATTTAGCACGCTTGCAGTTCGGCTAATGTGGAGACTCTCTGAAGCTACTCCGAAAGTTATTCGGGAGGCTGCCACAGCCAAGACAAATGAGCGCTTCGAGCAGATGCGTCGGAACGCGGGCGGTTCCGACAACGAAGATATGCTTTCAGGTTTCATTGCTTGCAAACGGCCTAAAATCAATGAAGAACAACCTGATAGCAAGGAGGGAAATGACACCCTGACACGAAAGGAAGTGGCCGCGCAAGCATCGTCTGTGTTCGGTGCAGGAAGTGACACTACATCTGGTGCACTTAATGGTTTCTTTTACTGTATCCTCAAGCACCCTCGCGTCTACGCAAAGTTGATGAAAGAAGTTGACGAGACGTACGCAGAACTTGGTTTTGGCCCGCTGGATGAAGCCCAGGACGAAGCGAGTGCACTGAAGTACGCACAAGGTGTGAAGATGGAGTATTTCCAAGCATGCCTCAAGGAGTCGTTGAGGCTTGTCACTCCAATTGGGATGGAAATGCCAAGGGTAGTTCCTGAGGACGGACTTAGTGTTATTGTTTCTGGGGGGTCACAAAGGGCAGTGTGAAGAGGACGATAACATTAACGAAGGGCGTAACGGTTGGGACAAGTGCATTCGTATACCATCGGACAGAAGGCGCCTATGGGAACGACGCGGCGGAGTTTAGGCCTGAGCGGTGGTTGGGGTTGAGTGAGGAAGACCGCGCAATAATGGAGCGGAACTTCCTTACGGTGAGTGCATCGCTTCCACATTCTTCTTCCTCAAGACGGGCCGAGCATTGACAGAACGATTCAGTTTGGTGCAGGCTCGACTGCATGCATTGGCAGGAACATCTCGCTCATGGAGATCACGAAGGTCATCCCACCATTACTTCATCGTTACTGGTTCAGAATCCCATCGGAAAGTCCCCGAACATCTCAATCCCCTCGACGAGAATTAAGTGGGGAGTATTCCCCGAATGCTCCATGGTCCATACGATGTCACTGGCTTTTTGAGACAGATGTAAGTGACCGTGTTCGGGATATAATCTCCAAGCGCGCTAACAGAAGGCCACAGGACTTTTGGGTCGAGATTTCTCGCCGCAATCCTCACTAACCGCGAGGGCGGCCTCCGTGTCAGACCGATTAGTTCGAGTAGCGGAAACACGCATTACTCCATAGAATGACCAGGTGTCATGTACCAAGGGACACAGAAGCCACATCCTAAGGTCCACTCGTAAGGATATTCCGGCCATGACGTTTGATACATCCAAGTATGGAAGGCCCTCACACACGAAGCACTGGCACACGAACCATAGAGGAGACAACAGGCACGACAGTCCGATTTGGGATTTACGTATTGGCCAGCAGTTTCACGACCTACGGGTCGAAGGAAGGTATATATTCTGAGCATAAGTCTGAGGCAAGCTTCCTGGGGTGGGATGGATAGTGGTGAATCCGTTTCATAGTTCTCCCAAAAGGCGTTTGGAGAAACGATAGCGCACCCAGTTTTAAATTCTACTCTGGTTGGAGCAAATGGGGCTCGCTTTGTGCACATCTTAGTGCCTCGAATGAAATATGAGATCAAGGGTCGGTGTCAGACGCGATCCCTTATCATTGTTAGCTCGTCCCAGGAACGCAGAAAATAATGTTATTCATTCGGGGATCTGCTTTCTCCGATAACGTCGGAAAAGGTGTTTTGCCCAGATATATGTACACTTTTTTTTTTTTTTTTTTGGTGGAACCTTCTGTAGCTTCGCAGGGCAAGTGTAATCCCGCCTGAGGGTTTGTGGAGAGGGTGACTCTACCGAGGATATGCACGTGTGAGCGCCATTTGTGCCACTACCGAGCCACAACGTTACACGAAGATTCTTCTGAAGACGTACAGACGAGATCCGTGACAGGCATTGCTTGTCGAAGTTCCAGGACGCAGCGTTCAGGTCAACTGTAGAACTTGCCGCATGCATAGGCCACGGGCATCTCAGCTTTAGCTGTTGATGGTGTTCTGAGTCAAGATCGTGAAGAGGGCCTATTGTTGTTTGTTTGGGTCGAGGAGAGGCAACCAAATTCTCGACACGTCTAGCTTGCATTCACCGCAGTCCACCGAAGTGTCAAGAAAGGTTCATAGGGATTTGCTATAATGTGGCTTACTGATGCCCAAAGTGATTCTGCCTGAGTGGACTGTTCTGACACCAAATCTGGCGTCTGACATCTTGACTTGTAGAAATTGGGGTTGCACTCACATCGTTCGGAGTGTTCTTCATGGCTCTTGGGGTGGTATTATTTTTCGATGGTGGACTTCTGGCCCTTGGTAATGTCAGCCTACTCCTCCAAGTATCCGTGTGGTGGCTTGATGCTTACCGCTCTATGTACACTACCCACACCATCTTCATTATGTGCAGATACTGTTCGTATCAGGCCTAACATTAATCATTGGGCCGCAAAAGACACTCTATTTCTTTGCACGCAAGCAGAAGATTCGCGGATCAATATGTTTTCTCGGAGGGATCATCCTGGTCTTTTTAAAATGGCCGTTTATTGGAATGATTGTGGAGGCATTTGGTTTCCTGAATCTCTTTGGGTAGGGCGCACTTTCTCTGGGCTCTTCTGAGGCCGCTCACCTGTATTTCCTTCGAAGGGACTTCTTCCCTGTGGTGCTTACATTCCTTAGGCAACTGCCAATAATTGGGACCATTCTTAACTTGCCATATATAAGACCGGTTAGTGCAGGCTTGGGTGAATAGTTAGGGTTTACTAACACACGATCTCAGGCCTTGGACCGTTTAGTAGGCACACGCCAGACGTCTATTGTATGATATTCATTAATCTATTGGTGTTGGGCTCTATAGCCTTCAGCTTGCCCGACTGCAGCCTATTTCGCATATTTTCCTCTTTCGCCTTTTCTCTTCCACTAGCACAATCGCCAGTATTTCTAACGCATTCCGCCGTCGCTCTGTTGGAGTGACGAAGCGAGTGTGGCCGTGTCCCGACCAATTCAGTTGATTCCATTCGTACCTCGATCAATACAACTCTCGTTTACGAGTGCCCAGACGCCAATGAATGTCGAAATAATAGGCATCCTCATCGTTGTGGTTTTGAAGGTGAGAAGCTGGACAATGTCACATCCTATAAGCAGTCGCCCTCCGGTTTGGTGGTGGAGGCCGCGCACCAACGAAGATCACACAGGTGGACAGCATCCTGTATGGGCGAAGAAATACGCTTTCCTGTTTTTGAGCCCACTCGTGAGCCCTTGACGAAAGGGGAAACATTGACACTTAAAGTGGCAATCTTCGCCAAAGGGACGAAACGCGTATACGAGATACTGTGAAGGGAGGTCAGCATGAATAAAATGCTATGCACTGGAGAGTTCGATGGCTTGTCGTCAGCTTCGTATGGTCACTAGAGCGTGTATGGCCAATGGTTATACGATACGCTGGGTGTACTGATGGCCACCAACGGGGCGAGGACTGACCTATTTCCCTGCAGCAAGGCTCGCCTGCTGCAATGATATCCTTGATACTTACCTGGAAAGACTCAGTCCCTTGCACGGAGGCCTTCGAAGATCAGTTCAGCCTCACGTCTTTCAAGATCACCATTGCCAAGGTCCAGAACCCATCCACTCATCCCCGCCATCCCCACGTCTAGTTCTCAGCCACCATCTCCCTTCGCTAGCACCATGCGCCCGCCGCCAGGTTCTATGCCTCAAGGGACAGGTCTTGCCCCACCTACGAGTCGAGTCTCACGCCACACCGTAACAAACACTCTTCACCCCCTCACCAAACGTCACTATCCATGCTGCCAGCTCATAGTGACACCACTTTATCGCCTCGACCTCTTCTGATCCGTATCGGGAATTGTCGTCTGACAATGCACCAGGGACCCCACTGCAATACCAAGTATCTTACGGCCCAGGAACCAATGATACGTAGGGAGAGAGGATTTTTTCGTTAGGAGGCGGTGGTAAGAGGAAGACGCAGGATTGACTAGAAGGCTGATGGAGAAGGAAGAAGAGGGGCAAGGAAACCAATTGGCGGCGTAGCGAACAACCCACGCCTGCTGTGTAGATACAATGGGACAGTGCAGTTGCAAGATTTTATGTAACCATACTCCCGTTGATCCCCCTGATACCGTACACGGAAGGGCCATCGAAAGTTCGTGGAACCGAGAAAACAATATGTTACCGCTGAGTCTGGCTTACAAATAGTAACTGAGGCCGTGACGGTAGAATGGAATACAGTGTATTAGATAAAGCATCCAAGGACTGTTAATTGACTGTAGCAGAGTCAGAATACAAAGGCGAGCGGTAGAAGGAAACAGCAGCTCCAAAGAGGGAACATATCGAAGAAGGGTGGGGCCCAGCTTCCAAAGTGAGCTCGCATTTGTGAAGTGTTTCTCTCAAAGATGTTCCTTAATTGTCGGAACGCCGAAAATCGTTCCCCCATTACGGCTGGGACCCGCAACGCTGGATCCCTCACCCCGACATCCTTGGATACGAATGTTCGGCGTTGTGGCGGAGGCGGGGAAAATCCATTGGCAGAAAGCGTGATAATCTTATCCCTCACTGTCCATGGAGCAGCATTGGACAATCCAGATGATGCATAGATATTGAAATGTGGTTGACCATTGTCACCATCCTCACAGTCCGCCACTAGACAGGGAGGATACGACGACCTGAAGGTTGTTTGGTCAGGGGTGCATGCACTCGAAGCCGAGCCTGAACTCGCGATAGAGGATTGATCGACAACATCATGAACTCCTTCTGAATCTGAACCTGCAACTCGGGTCGTTTTCCGAGGGTGATGAGGTGGCGGCGCCTGCGAGCTGATGAGGACAGCCTGTCCCGGAGAAAATTGGGGAATGGGAGAGTGTCACGTAAGGAGGGGATGCATGAAAGGATAGAGGGCCACATTGATGAACGACCAAAACTGCTGGTGGATGGAGTCGACTGAAAACTAGCCCGGTTAGCAACCGCAGTAGAGCCTGCATCCACTGATGAGCTTACAGGAGGTTGCAAAGCCTCGTCCTCTGACTCATCCATAGAATATGAAATCTTGGTCTCTTCTCTTTCAAACGGTTCTCGCGACTCGGGGTCATCGCGCACGCCATTGGGACACGCTGACGTAGGAGTCATCTCTCTCAAGGAGATGTGAACTGAAGCATGAGCCTCGAGAGTCGAGGGGCGCTGAGAGAGGCGGGAGAACAACATGAGAGAAAATAAGGGAGGAGAACCGTTCAGCTGAAAAACAGAACGAAGGATTCGCTATATATCTGTGCCTTTGTGCGACGTAATGAACGTTCTTTGTAGTTACCGGCCATTACACCGCCAGGATAATATAATAAGATGGGTGCTAACTCCCCTTAGTCATGCCGGACGCGCGGAGAGACAGGTTGACTCTTCGCCCAAGGGAACGTCTCCGAAAGGACCACAGCCACAACACGGGAATAATAAATACATATATTTTCTCGGCTCGTGACCGGACCGATCCCCCAAGTGGGGCCGTGCACGTTGTGTAGGCAGCCACTATTGGAATAGGCACGTTGCGGTGCCGTGGCCCGTACGTGCTGGTGGATAATGTCAAAGACCCAACGTAGCCCAGATCAAACGTATCCTCTAGGTTCTCCACCACAGTATAATATCCAACAATCAGGCCCGTACGCTCCCAATGTTCACCCGCCTCCAGGACCCCCACCGCAATCCCAATACAGGGATATAAGGCGCTTTGAGCCGAAGAAGAGGCTGAACGACCCATTTTTCTTTTTCTTCTTTATCGCACAGGTGATTTCATCCCCACTTGGAGTTGACCGATGAATTTCTGAGTGATTGGTTCTTGTCACCATAGTTCCTTGGGTATTGTGCACTGTCGGGCTATGCCATTCATGATTGGATTAAACGAGGCGGTGAGTAGGGCGGTTAATCTGTAATCCCAATTACTGTAGTGGATAACTAATAGTTGACAAAGGTGCTGGTGGAGGACTCGGAGGAGGACCTGACGGGTCTGATACCGGCACACGATTCAGTCTCAATCAGTAGGTGCCATCATCGATGGTTGCTTTATCGTCTCAACCAATTTGATTCAGGCATACTGCCTACCTCCTTCTACTCGTATCCGCCGCCGCTCTTTTGCTATCCAGCTTCTTTCTGGGGCTCGTACGGGCCTTCACAAGGACAATAATGCACATCACATTAATCCTTAAGTGAGTCAAAGGCCGTCTGTGAACGTATCTACCTGCTCAGTATTGCATCAATTTCCAGTATCGCTTTGAACATAGGCTTTTGTGCCTACCTTTGGTACATGGTAAGCAAGCATCTCGGTCTCATTCAACTACCTGTTGAAACCGCAATTTTTTCAGAAATGTGAACTATCACTCGATGGAAGTAACTTCGAACTCATTCCTTTGTTTAGATTACTCTGGAGCTATTGTCTTCACAGTCATCGCCCTCATCAGCATCATCTCATATACAACTTTCAGGAGTCGCATACCTCTTGCGTCCTTGCTGTTGCAGATTGTGATGGATATTGCGAAACATCACGTATCAGTTTACGCTGTTGCCTTTGGTGCTTTATTCATTCAAGCACTTCTCTGCGTGTAAGATTTGTGGCTCGCTCCCCGCCTCAGTCATTGACATACTGTAAACAGGTGGTTTGTCTTCACCACCATGGCAACGTAAGAGCTACTTTATATACCTTACAGGACCTACTGATGTCGCATTCCTACAAAATTCTGTTCCAGTTATGTCAAGTGGTCACCCGGAAACCCGAGTAAGCCTCCATCTCCACGCAGTACAGCACCTAATCCTTCGACCCCCACAGGCTGCGCAAATGGAACGCCTTGCTCGGTACGCTTTATACCTCGATTATTCGCCCCCAGAATCCTAATGACCAATTTGAAGAGTGGTACTGTCGCTGGTTTAGTTTTTTTTGAAACGTTCTCGTTCCTCTGGACCTCAGAAGTTGTAAGGTTTGCCGAATTCGTTATTTCCCTAAATCTCGGACTCTCATCATGTCGATTGTGGAATCGATCACGAAATGCTTTAATTCCAGCAATGTGGCCGTGGCAACACTAGCAGGTGGCCCGTTCGGTGCCTGGTACTATTTTGGACCCCAAGGCGCATACGACGGAGGAATGGTGAGTGAAAGCGATCATGCAGTGCCAACGCTCCCGTTGACCACCATTGAAGCCTTCACATCCAACTTTGTCCTCATTGGGGAGAGCTTGCAGCTACTCCCTAGGCTCAATTGCATTTGGATCGCTCATTGTGACTCTTCTCGACATTTTACGACTCGTGCTGCAAACAATTAGGAACACTGCCAATGCGGAGGGTCATCGTAAGTGATTGGGTGATACCCTAAGTTCCTTGTATCCAACTAATGTCCCTCTTCCAGCCGTGGAGGCTTGTTTGGCGGCATGTGCAGAATGTTTTGTCGGCTGTATATCCTTCCGTCTAGTTGCTTTGAAACGCTTCATAACTCTTTTCTAGGTGTCGAGGCATTGGTTGAATACTTCAATCGCTATGCCTATATTCAGATCGCACTCTATGGGAAACCGTATATGGTGGCTGCCAAAGATACTTGGCGAGTGTTCCAGGATCGAGGTACGGACATCAGTTTAAACTCTGATCTACAAGTAACGTTGTTACAGGGATCGATGCTCTTATCAATGACTCAATCATCGGCATAACGATGATGTGGGGGGCATACGGGGTTGGCATACTTTCAGGGATATTCTCATATATTTACTTGCGTTGTTCGTATCTGTGCATTAGGATCTCGCGCTTGCCGATTTACCGTTTTGCAGATACGAAACCTTCCTATAATTCCGATGGTCAATATACCCCAGTTGTCATGTTCTTCGCGTTTATCATTGGCGTGCAATGTTGTAGGTAGATGTGTGTCGCTTTCGCACTGTAATATTCACCCTTTTGTGTAATAGGCCTCACCACCATTTCTGCCATCGAGGCGGGGGTCTCCACAATGTGAGTTTGACCTCTTGATGACTTATCGGAGAACTGAGATCTCGTATTTGCGTCTCAGATTTGTGGGTTTAGGCGAGGACCCAGCCGTTCTGGCTACCAGGGCACCGGAGCTATTCGAGGTAGGTTCTAGAACACTGTCTCATCCTTATAGCTCATTTCCTCTGCCAGATGATCGCGGCAAAGTATCCCAAAGTAGTTCAAGGAGTGCATGGATTCTGAGTACCTTCTTGATCTCTGTTTGCATCGACTGTATCTTGGTATTGTTTATTATGCGCTGTCAGTGTTCTCGGTTGTAATTTGCTTTGTGCGTCGCAAGTGGTTCAGCCATTCCCCATTCATGTTTTGATGACCACACACATGACGCGTTGTCCCTGATCGTTGTAATTGTCCCACTTTCTGTGCAACGCTGTTTGGGCTTCGCAACGAACTCGTTACCCTGCACTCGGGCTCGGGGTAGGCAGGTCACCAGCCTCTATTAGTATAGACACTCGCCAAATGAACAAATAAGTGCTTATTTCGGGCCAATGGAATCACGTGCCTTTCCATTGTTCTAAATTGTTCAAACATTCTCGGTCCAAACAACATACAATACGACGCACAGCAATATGGGCTTGCTTGACTTCTTGTCTCGAGCCAATGTTCCGAGAAATGCATATAAGCCCATGATCAGACGGCATCGACGTACGGCTCGACAAGCTGCCAACTACGTGTGGCTCACTCTGTGTGTCGCAGTATCGAGACTCCAAACCAGCATAGACCCAAATGTGACTCTCGCTCGTCTTCGTGAACACAGATGGTCATTTTGGGATCTAGAATATGCGTTTAATGCCGCATTATGGGTGTTTTCAGCGTCGATAATACCTTCGCCGTTGCTCAAATTTGGGGTCCCAATCCTCTACCTTATTGCCATATGTTGGTCTCAGTATTCTTATTTTTACTATTGTGTCTGACGGCTTGGTCTGTGCTATAGCCCTCCCTATAACCTCCCAATTGTGAGTTTTTCTCTTGATTGTTAATTTCTCAGCATTAAAAGTCGTGCACAAATCAGTTTATTTCCCGCTCTCCCTGTCCTAACATGGGTTTTCACGTTCTTTTGCTCCCGTTTCATTCCCGTCGAATATCGCCCACACATCTTCGTCTCCGTTCTACCAACCCTCGAATCCGTCCTGTATGGTGCCAACATATCCGATATCCTCACCCGTTTTACACATCCAGTCCTTGATATACCTGCTTGGCTGTCTTATGGCGTCATACATTTCGTCGGGCCGTTTGTTCTTGCCGCATTTTTGTGGCTGTTTGCTGCAAGGGGCACGCTCAAGTATTTTGCACTGTCGTTCGGATACATGAATCTCACTGGAGTCTTGATTCAACTAGTGTTCCCGTGTGCCGCCCCGTGTAAGTGGCTTATCCCAACTCTACGAGGATTAATGTTCACGTCCGATGTAGGGTATGAATTGCGAAATGGGTTGACTCCGGCTAATTATGGCATGTCTGGGTCGCCTGGTGGATTGGCACGCATAGACGCCATTTTTCATTCTCACGGTTACACCACTACCTTCTCAAACGCACCTTTAATTTTTGGAGCCTTTCCCTCACTACACGCTGGAAATGCCACGACCTGTGCTCTCTTTATATCCCACTTCTGGCCCTTTGCTGGCCCATACGCGTTCGCTTATGCCGGTGTTCTCTACTGGGCCACTATGTACCTCACTCATCACTACCTTATCGATGTTGTGGGTGGCGCGTGTCTGGCGACTGCGTGGTTCTACATCACAATGCCGCTCGCGCTACAGTTCCCAGATAACACCACCAACCTCAGTTATGCAGTGGTCAATGGAGATCCAAGGGGCAAATATGAAGAGTACGGTCTAGATTACTCACGAGTCCCCAACGGTGGATATCGACCCTCCTCCCCAGGGGCTGCATCATTGTCTGATCAAGAAACACCTCCTAATCCCCTTGCCCCATATGGCCACTCGCGCCGACCATCATCACCATTCACACCGAGCCCACGCATCCTGGGTTCTTTCATGAAGGGGCACTCAGTAGGGAGGAATCATCGTCACACTGCCAGCATCGCGAGCCTGATCCGCTCCGAAGATAGGGTGGAGGACGGCTGGAGTCCCATCAGTAGAGGTTTTGGATTCCCTCCTACGGGCCCTCCGCTCCTTCCCACCACCATGGTTCTAGCTAGTCCTTCATCTCGGCAGTCGTCATCGCCTCAGGCTGATGTCGCACCAGCTGCAACTAATGTCAGCTCAAATGGGTTGATGCCATTGCCTGAGGGTGTGGAAACAAATGGAGCCACTGTGCGATCAAGATCGCCTGCCTTCCCCGAAAACGAGTCGAAAAGGACAGAAACATGAGGGCTCCAGACAACCGCAGTTGTCGTTTTTTTTTTTCTTTTGGAACTAGCTATACGTCCTCACACCGATAATAATTTGTACGACAAATATATTACATGCCTTCGAGCAGGATTGTTCTGCAAAGACTGCTGTCTCATTGATCGCATCGCATTGTATTCCATCGTTGTAGGAGCCCTCAATGACGAACATGCACAAATAGCTGCCCTAGTGATTTGATGTGGACCAATTACACAAATCACCTCGTCAAACCCCCCAGTTTGGCACAATACGCCTACAAGCTAAACGGGTAGCACGTGGATGTTGCACTACGTCGGATATCCCAAAGTGAGGGTGGACTTACGCATTTGGTTTCTACACTGGATTGCCACCCCATCGACGTTGTGGATGGTGGCTGTCTGGCGGCTCCATCGCGCACACAGCGAGCACTACCGACCTCAGTCATGCTGAGATCAAGACGCTTAGATCATCCGCGTGTAGTTAACGGTCGATATCGACCCTACCCCGGGCCCACCCAACCCTCTTACCACATATAGTTACTCGCGCCGACCATCACGCCGAATCCACGCATCTGTGCGAGGGTAGAACGTGGATGTGTACACCAGCCCAAATGAAATGTGAAGTCGTCTTAGCTCATCACAACGATATATCTGTGGTGCTTGGACAATGAAAAATCGTCACGCATACCACGAGAGCCCAAGGCAACCCTGAAGGATGATACTGAATCGGGTGTGCCCGTTGAGTTCTTCCCCCGTCACTGCATCGTGGATTCGTACACGGACGCCGAGGGTACCCCAATTCATCAGGTGAGATCGAGCGACACCCAGAGTCGCGAAGTCTCTCCTCGGATTCTGGATCCATCAGAGAGACCGCACGGACCCCCTCGGAAGTCTGCCGCAATCACCGCATTTCATATCTGTACTGTCCTATGCTGAGGCTAGCCTAGTCCAATATTGAGACCGAGTCAATCCCATTCAGAGGTCTGGGAAGAAAGAGAATCGGAATAAACGGCCAAAAGTGGACGTCGAGAATCATATTGGAGAGAACTAGGAGACGTCATAGAGACTCTTGCTGTGTGATGCATGAGGAGTTACAAACGCCAGAAGGAGAAACGCCCAATGGTGTACTTATTCTCCTGCTGTGGACATGGTGAGACGCTGGATAATAGCGCCGAGGAATGAGTTGACGATCCATCTGGCGAGCAAGCCCTTAAAGCTCAGCTATAGGAGTTAAGGGGCTTTGAAGAAAGCGCGCGTGAGACTCATATGACAAGGAGGCGCGGGGTTGGAGGCGCGGAGTTGCACAACAACAGTGAACATGCCGGCACCCACCATCTGATAAAATAGGAATAGCACGTATGTAATCCTAGACCACGACCGGCCGTTACAACGGGACTAATAATGACGGCTTGTGCCAATCTTGACATATACACTGGAATCCGCTCGGTGAATCCCGCGCGCCTTTCCAGTGTTGACTCCGTTTCGGACCTTCCGCATATGGAAGGTGATTCAAAACAACAATGTATACTTGCGGTTCTGAGCATAAAAGGAGAAATTGCCTGTGCCTACGCAGAATTGTAACATCCCTTCAACAACCACTTACTAGCTTATAAGCACTGATAGAGATAGAATGCATCACACGACGCCTCTCGCAACAACTGCTAATGGTCCGGATGACATTCCCACTGCCCGACCCTCCCCTCTTGACATAGACATTTTAACCTTATCGTCGCCTGACAGTAGTGGTTTCGGAGAGGATGCCCGGGCTGATTCTCCGACCACAACATTGGTCGATCACGCTGGGACAGTCACAGTCAATTACATTTGGCGGCCACCTCCTCCATTCGATCTCATCACGGAGCCACTGTTATTCATGGCATTCCCCGTATTCAGGCCAAGACATTATGGACATGTGGCTTTGCTTGGACGCGACTATTGGGGGCACACTCACTGGACGGAAATCACTACTCTGCACTGTCTTCTCCGCACAATATCGGCAAAGTTGAGAGGGCAGCGGTGATTTTGAGCTGGTCCAAGCTTCACGTTGTATGCTTGGTCAGTTGCTGAGTTTCTCCCCTTCTGGAATTCATTGACTGACCTGTTTCTTTCATCCTTATAGCACAGGCGACTCGGACGCTATCATGTCAATATTACTGTAGTTGCTCCTCTAATGTACGGACTGCCTAATTGTATATTCATTATTGTTCCTATACATTATGTTCGCATTAATTCTTGAGTCTCTTGACGAGCTCGGGGACAGCCTCGTAAAGATCAGCAACAAGACCAACATCAGCCACTTGGAATATTGGTGCATCTGGATCCTGTAAGTGAAAAGAGGCTCAGGACCTCCACTTCAACTTGAACGACGTCACATACCTTGTTGATAGCCACAATCATCTTCGAATCTTTCATCCCTGCCAAATGTTGAATAGCTCCACTGATCCCCACTGCAACGTACAGTTCTGGTGCGACTACCTTTCCTGTCTGACCAACTTGCAACGAGTTATCGACATATCCAGCATCAACAGCAGCACGACTCGCTCCAATTGCCGCGCCGAGTGCATCAGCAAGAGGCTCGATTGTATTCTTGAAGGTCTCAGCATTCTTGAGGGCCCTACCTCCCGATACGACACGAGATGCTGAACCGAGCTCTGGTCTATCCGACTTGGCGAATGAAAGACTTCTGTGTGTCGTGGGTACATTTTCGGGAAAAATAGGCTCAATTGCCTTTACTTCAGCCGTACTTGGGCCAGAGGAAGACGGTTGCGCCTTATCGAAAGCTGTTTGGCGTATAGTAAAGATTTTGAGAGGGATTGATGAAGGTGCTTGAACGGTTGCGATGGCATTGCCTGCATAGATAGGCCGCGTGTATGTAGTGGTGCCTTCACTTTCTGAGTGTTCAGCTGAGAGAACGTCGGAGACCATTGGGATGGAGAGAATTCCCGAGAGACGAGGGATGATATTCTTGGCGTTTGAGGAGTGGGATGAAACAAAATGAGTGTATTGATCGGAGGTCCGAAGGACATCTGCTAATAGCGGAGCTATGGTTTCCGCAAGGTTGTTCTTGTATGCATCTGATGTTGAGTGAAGAATGCCTGATACGGTATCGAACCTGAACAAAACAGATTTTACCATCCAGGTGACACAAAAAAAAAGATACACCGTGGCTGCTCGATGTCTACTCACGCCTTGACTTTTGCTACGATGGTATCAACCTCCCCTGGCCCTCCAACGATAAGAGCTGTGACTTTCCCACCGAGTTTAGATGCAGCTGTGAGTGCAGAGAGCGATCCGGCTTCTAATTCTCCGGACCGGTGCTCAATGAAAAGCAACGAGTGCGTTGGAGATGTAGCTGATGCAAAAGGGCGCAAAGACAGCCGAAAAATGTTTTTTGAGATTATACGTGATGGTCGTGCGAGGAACATAGTGGGTTGAATCTTTGGCCACGCCGAGCCGAGTGACGCTTTAGGCCGTGACTGTCACGAATGCTACTCACGACGGAGTTGTCCACTTGTGTCAGCCAGTGAAAAGCGTTGGCCGCAGACACAAGCTGACAGAACCCAAAAAGTGACGACTACGGGTGACTACTGCTGCCGAACTCGTGTTTCCACCCACCTTTTCCCTTCTCGGCGCTTGATTCGCTTGACACAACTTCCCAACACTCAAAGCAACAGTTTTTATAGTTTTGCTCATCTGTGACGTCGTCAACCCTCCCCACTTGGGAGCGCGGTGGGGGGCTCTGATAGGGCCTGGCCATGGTTTGTTTCCCTGGATTCATACCAAGCGAACGTGGAAATCTCTTGGCACTTCATTCTTCATTCGGCCCTGATTGCCTGTCTGTCGCTTGCTCCTGCTCTGCTTGGGCTGCTAAATATTCTTTTGTGTACCTGCTATTATCTTCTATGTAGGCTGCCACAATCTATCTATAGAGGCTGCTTCAGCCTACTGCCTCAAGTGGTCAGGGGGCGTAACAGATATGACTGTGGCTTTGTACATTCGTCACGAGGCACAGTTAGCCCCTGGAGCGACCCGACAACAAGTCAGTGGCGCGCGCTAATTTGGACTGTGAGGTGTTTGTCAAGGTTCCTATGTTCTTGTACTTGATTATGAAGGCATGTCATAATAGCATCCTGGTACCTCAGGGTATTTGGTGCACCTGGATTGTTGTGTTGCTCGAAAGTTCCCATACGTGATGCAGACACTCTGGCACAAGAAATGAGCATACTTTGAGATTAAACAATGAGGAGGCGACAGGCAAAAGGTATTTTATTTTCCGTAACGATGACGGCGTGCATTAGGCCGGGTGCGGAAGTGTGCAAGAAGCAGTGTTCACGAACCAAGAAGCGACCGTGCGTTCCTGGGATTTGGTTGGTTATCTAACGCCGGTCAAAGATTAATTATCCCAACATCAGTGTTGCATGTAGAGACGTGTAAGGTGGAGGGGCACTGATGTGCCCTTTCTAGCTTCTTGACAAGCGCTGGCGTAATGTTAAATGCAGTGCATGCGTTGTTCAGAATCACACGATCGATTAAAGGCGAGGGGATACAAGGTGATGCATTTTTGTGCACAGATTTGTGTTCTCGTAAATTTTGATCGTTCCCCTACTCTCACTGCTTCTCCTTGATTGAGCTACCGATCCCTTTGATGCCATGAGCGAGCCGCGCCGTCATGACCCTCGGCACCCCCATCCCACGAGCTCTTTGATACCCGATCAATATTTATCAATTTCTCCGATAAGTTCATTCGGTTGCAATTTTCGGAACGAGGAAGTGCGTATACCTGTACAACTAGCTTGGTGACGTATTGCACCAAAAGGAACTCGCTCAAATACCGATGGCTCCATTTACTTCTATTCTTATAGAGGCTGGTATCCTGCCTACCATTTACTCAACCTGTCGCACACCCGCAACGTTCATATACAAACACCTCTTGTGGGCACTGTTGCAGCACTCGCTAAAGTTATCATTTTTCTCGCGCTTGAGGCATAATATAGGACTATTCTTGACTGTGAAATACAAAAAATGTTGGTGATTGTGCTGCCGTCCGGCCAGCGTGGGATGTTCGCAATGACGTCACGACAACTCGAGTTCCGTGAGGCGATGACAGATTCCAACAGAGATCACATCTTCTTGTTAGCCACTTGGCACGCTATTTCCTCCACTGTGCTCTCCGTCAAGACATACGATAGGTTACAGTGGTGCATCACATCCGGGGTTTAGGGACTTCGTTCATAGTTCACATCCCATTTCGTTGGCTGGCGTCTATTTCCGCCTCGCTCTATTCCAATAGAGGCTGGTAACCTGCCTACCACCTCACGACGTCTGACCACGCTGGCTTTTAAATGGGACGGCCGCAGAGGAAGAGCAGCGTAGGCCATATATGTTGCTTCAAAAGCGTCCACCCAGCTTTGAAGTTGCACCGCCTCGATCAAACGAGCCGACGGTGTCAAATCATTTTGAAAGTCACATGCATTTCGTGGCTTTCACTCATCAGACTTGTTCCGGTGCGATGAAGATCCGTTTCTATCTCAAGCATTGCCTTTCCGGTGGCGACGTCTAACTCCAAAAGGGGGTTGAATCAAGTTCCGTGGCAAGTGGCAATGTTTACATGAGCGAACTCCACGGATAAAGTTAACGAGGCAGAGAGGACTACATGTAATTGTTGTCACAGGCAGATACTACTCTTTATACTGCGGCGCGTTTATTGCTAACGTGGGGAGAGGTCGGGAATGCGATGACAAGCGGTGTAATTAGCCACAATCGCGTCGCCACGGCGTGCTAGCGCCGGGTAACGCGTGGCATCATGACTCGCAATCCAACAACTAGCTCTGTCTGCTCTTTGGTCTTGTTGACCGTGAAACTGGGACTTAATTCTTGGGCCGATGCAGGCTGGGGGAATATGCATGCCTCTCCACTCATTATTGGACACCCAAGTTCCGAGAACAACATTGACTCCATTTATATACACCACGGTTAGCGCCCAGCCAGTGTTATTCGGAACCAATGATGGAGCAACGCGCTCCTATTCATCAAATCCAGCGATTCATCTATAAATTGTCCATCGGCCTTACTGGACCTTGAGTGCGGGTACATGTAACCCCTCACTGCATACAGGGTAAACCACCCTCTACCAAGATCCCTCTCGCCTCTCCACACTAGATGGCCAGCGGTGATGGTGCAACGAGATTGTCCTTGTTCGTAGTAACTTTCCTCTTGCGAAGACAATGGGTGTTGAAGTGCTTAATGTTTTAGGCATGTCCGGATTCCAACAACCGAGCATACTCTTTGGGGCTCTGCTGGGAAAGAGCTCTCTGTCGATGTGATTCAACAGAAAGATACCCAAAATGTGCACCAAGTTTCTATCATCCCGGACTTGGACGAAGAATCCTCCTCGGTTTTCGCATCGTTGTTTGCCCCGTTCTATAGCATTGCGAAGGCTGCTCAGAACTTTCTCGGATTTCATAAGTTATATAATCTGCCTCTTTGGATAATCTTCGGTGGTGCCTTGGCAGGTTTTTGCATCTCAAGGTATGAACCAGCCTTGTTTAAATCTTTTGAGTGATTGACGACTGCTTGCTTTCCAGAATGCCGGATTACAACAGGTCCTTTTTAATTAACAGTATTGGGGTGGAAAATTGGTATTGGTATGTACAGGTGGCCATGGAGTGCTTGAGTAACTCAACGACATGGATGGATCAGGTATCGGAATGAACCTTACCGTCTCGCCCTTTACCTGCACCTTGCCACGGCTCTACCAGCTGGTCTCTTGGGTATGTGTGGACATGCCACCTTCTATCTTCAAAGTTAACATGTGCATACTTGTTCCTAGCCCCATTACAATTCATCCCAGCGATCCGAATCAAGAAAATAATCGTTCATCGAACGATCGGTTATTTTTGCCTCTTCATGGTTTTTGTCGCATCCATGGGGGGTTTCATCCTAAGCCGACGTGTTCCTAGCGAAGATCCTGCTGGTATTTTGTACGCTATCGCACTGGGAGCCATTTCATTGTTCAGCCTGTTCATGGCGTGGATCAATATCGTCAGACTTCAGATCGATCAACACAGGAAGTGGATGTTGAGGTGTGGAGTACTCATTTGGATGTGTTATTGTTTTAACTGACTTGGAATATCCCGATAAAAGGGCTTGGGTCGTGTTGGGGTCTGTTATATCTATGCGACTGATTCGCCTTGCTACGCAGCGCTGTATCGACAGGGTCGGGTCCTACTCTATCGTGAGTCCCATTGCCCTAATTCCCCAATCCCACCCGTAACCAGTCCCGATCAGACGTACTCTTGCGATAATGCCCTCTTTATCATTGGAGGCAATTCCACATTACTCGGTAAACTCTTTCCGGCATGTCTTACTGCACCCGATCCGCATTCCTATTTCGTCGCCGTGACCGCGAATTCAAAATCGGGAGGGATACTCGGACATGTTGCCACACTTCGTCTTAGCTATGCACTTTCGTCCTGGCTATCGCTCATACTGCACATTATCCTGTGAGTTATTAAGACTTGATAACGTCGCTGTGAACTGATGATTACCCCTCCCTCCCTGACGAATCAGCGTGGAAGTCTACATACATCTGACAGCAGCTGAATCAGAACGCTTGCGTATCTATTCGTACCAAAGGCAGCTTGCAAAGGGATACAAACGTCCTGGCAGCTCTGGTTTCACCGCCGACCGTCTAGGTGATGCCAAATGGACACCTCCCGCTACTATTATGCCATCGAACGTTTGAGAAATGGCACTTGGTCAGGAGATGCTATTAGTGGGACCGGAAATGAGTCGTACGAATAAACCTGAACGATATTCATTTCGATCCGTTGCTGGATCTATGGATCCTAAAAGGAGGACCCACGTTGGCGAATCTGGTTGTTGTTCATCCTGATGTTGCAAACTCATCACGCGGAGGGTCATTCCTTGGATGTTCATACTGGCATGGACACTTCATTCAACATTACATTATATGTGGCTACATTGTTCATTTATTTGAGCTTGCCACGGACGGTTGTTCGGTAGCCAACAGACAACGCTCAAAAACGCTTTCGAATGAATATTGTTGTACATACCTTGCATCAAGGAGATGCGATGATATTTGTGATCTGTGAATATATGCGCGGCAACGAACATATACATATCTCTATGCATGTTACCAGAGCACAAAAGCAATATAGAGAGCTGCGAGGCTGTGGTAAGATCAACGTAAAAATTTGGGGAGAATGCGGTCCGTGTTGACAGTTGCATAACGAATGGTACTTGTCGATATCGCTGTTGGAATGATGATGATGATGATAAATCTATCTTACTTGATACCCCGCGGCCTCGTAATGACGTGGCAGTGCGGCGGTACACCGTGGCCGTACATGAGGGGACTTTCTATACATAGTGTGTGAATGGTCTGGGTGGTGATAGTGATCCTCGGGGTTGCTGTTCGAATGAAGAGGACAATGATCCCAAATATGATCCGGAAACAAGCTTAATTCTTCCTTACATGCATACTGTTATCTTATCATCAGCAACATGGGGTTTTTGAACTGGGTACGCACTGTACACGCCCTGACTCATTCTATAAGTACTTCTAGGAGTCAGCCATACACTGTTACGACGCCAGCTGTAAGTGTTTTCTATTCACGTGTAACACTCAGCAATGAATAAGTGATAATCAAGTATGTACTGTAACGAACATATCGGAAGAACGAAGGTGCAACGATCAATTATCGCCATTATGGAGGCAGCGAGTCAATCGTTGCTATCTCGCAACACTTTATTCGCACTTATGTAGCGCCCGGCCCAGTAGGAAGGATCGATTCACTATTACATATGCGCACGATATATAAACTGTGGATGCATCACCACCTCCGAGTCATTACTACCCTCTTCGTGTTCTTTACGTCGTGGGGGGCGCTTCGTTGTACGGGATGTTAGCGAAGACTTTGTTCCGCGTCGTCTTAGCAGGTGCACTTGCTCACTCTATTGGCGCGATACGTTCGCCAAATGAGCTTCACGCAATGCAACGTGATGCCCAGGCTCGACGTGCTAAAGCCCTCACGGCTCGTTCTTCCGTTTCGGATGCCAGTCCCCGAGAGGTTCTCAATGAGCCCAAGAGGAGTACTGTCCCGTTTTCCAATCCAGAGGCCCAAAGTAAGTTCAAAGTTGAGATAAGGGTCAATGAAGTTTGTTGGGTTTAACCATTCTCACACATTGCAGAATACCATGTCGATGGGAAAAAAATTCCAGACGTTGACTTTGATGCCGGTGACAGCTGGGCAGGTATGTCCCTTGGATGTTAACGAATACAGCACAACCCCCTCAGTACTTCCTGCTAATATAAATATCCCCCTTACCTTTTGACACTGTATATTTTTTTTTCCCCGTTAATCGTTGTGTCCCAATCAAGGCTTGATGCCAATTTCCGCCAAAAAGGGAGAGAAGCAAAAGCTTTTTTTCTGGTTTTGGCCTTCGAAAATTCCTCAAGTTGATGATCTCGTGTAGGTTTGGTTCGAAATTTGGTAAACTCACAAATAACTTCTCACGGTTGGGATCTATCTGGTTGCGCTTTAGGCTCTGGACGAACGGCGGTCCTGGGTGTTCGTCACTGATAGGTCTCTTGGAAGAGAATGGTCCGTTTAAGTGGTATGTACACATGGCGTTCCTTTTTTTGTCCAACACTCACCATTGTGTTTTCGTTGGAATCAGGCCACCGGGAACTGCGAAACCTATCCCCAACCAGTGGTCGTGGACAAATCTCGTAAGTCTTCGGAGACTCACCTCCTTTTATGTTTGATACGATGTTCATTTTCTGTTAGACTAACGTTCTGTAAGCTGTTCAAGGATTGCAGCTGCTCGCCTATAGAAGACTAACAACTGCATAAAATAGCTGGGTAGAACAACCTGTCGGAACCGGGTTTTCTCAAGGCACCCCTGACATTCAGTGCGTTCTTCTTTCTTTAATTCCGACCCCCCCAATCGCTCTTGACTTAATGCTGGTAAACTTGCAACCGCATTTCAACTTCTCTGTAAATGCAGCGACGATGACGAGTTGGCAGCTCAACTTGCCGGATTCTTGGTTCAATTCTTGGAGGTCTTCAAGGAACTGAAAGGAAAGAACTTTTATTTATCGGGAGAATCATATGGTGCGTGGCGCTTTAATCTTCTCTCGCCCTTCTTGTTTCTAACGTAAACGCCATCAAAGCCGGATACTATGTGCCGTATATTGCAAACTACCTGTACGAACATCCTGGATTGGTCCCTCTTAACACGAAGGGGATTTGGATCACTGATCCAACTGTCTCATACGACATCGTGACGGAATACATCCCCGCCTACAAGTTTGCTGAAAAATGGAAAAAAGTCTTCGGCCTAAATGATTCGTACCTCCAGACGCTCAAGAGCGCCTCGGATTCCTGCGGCTTCACGGACTATGCGGCGACCTATGCCACATACCCACCTCGACCAGGCCCGTTCCCTTTACCTTCGCAAGCTTACTTACCAGGAAGCATACCGAATTCTGTGAACATTACGAGTGAATGTTTGATACAGGATGATATCTACAATGCGACTTTGATGGTGAACCCGACTTTCAATATTTATAGGATCTTCGATGTATGGCCTCCTCGTTGGGACGTGCTTGGGACTCTGGGGTCTTCCCCAAACTCTCAAGTAAGTTGGAATGGCCAAAGAGAGCGAAGGGACTCGGAATGGAATGGGCAGCTAATGTACTTTCGACTAGTCCCCTACTTACTTTGCTCGAAAGGAGGTCCAGAATGCTATTCATGCTCCTAACATCGAATGGAATGAGTGCACAAGAGATGTAAGCAACAACTATCCCTTCGTCGCTCCTGCTGTTGTTATCCTGAAGTTTTTTTTTTTTCCTCCCAGGTATTTGTTAATGGACAAGATAACTCTGTTCCTTCGATGCTAAGCGTCATGCCGAACGTCATTGAAAAGAGCGAACGGACAGTCGTCATGCATGGGTTGCTTGATTTCCTCCTAATCGCTGAAGGGACAAGAATCGCCATTCAAAATATGACTTGTATGTATTCTGGGTTTGACATCGCCCTGATGGTCATTCTGCTGACGCTAAATGGTGTGACCGAACATTGGTGCCCGTATAGGGGGAGGCTTGCAAGGTTTCCAAACCCCTATCGTCGAGGAATCATTCGTCATCAAAGGGTTTGGTGCAATTGGAAATTTGCATCAAGAGCGAAGTGAGCGCTTGGTTCTCAGAAATATGTTCAGAGTTGTCATCGTCTCATCCCTTTCTATCCAGATTGTATGCCGTGACGTTGTCCGCCTGCGAGCAAATTTGGGGTTCGAACTAACGTTTTTTCTCTCTGTAGTGACATATGTGGAAGTCAATCTTGCTGGACACATGATGCCGGTATGTCTCATTCCCTCCACCGCTCTTTATTGGCCTCCACAATCCAACCCTTTGTTTTCTATTAGGAATATTCCCCTTGGGCTGCCTACAAGACCCTCTGGTACCTCCTCGGACGAGGCAGTTTAACGTCAGATGAAATCGATGACGGATTGTATCCTAACAACTATCAGTTTTTCGGGCAGTGGTCTCCGCCCCCCCCTGAGCACCACCAAAACCGATTCCGGGGTAGTTGAGTCGGTCTTCGCCCCAAGCTGCGTGAGAATAAATAATACTTACTATCGCTCCATCCAGTGACTGCCCCGTATCGCCTCTGGCTGCCCTGGGCCGACTCTGCACGACACTAGAGAGAAAAACCGCTTCAAACTATCATATTTATGTAAATGCTATCAAATGCATAATCACTTCTTTCATGCGAGCTTAAACAGTTGTGTAACACTGTAAGACGCTGGTCCTATCTGAGGGATCGCTCGATAATACATGAGGTTTTCAGCAAAAGACGCGGCCATCCATGCACTGCCAATCACCGAATATTTATATCAAATTTACAATATATACAGCCTAACAAGCTTCTGACAATGTATTACTTACATAATTCACGGAGCATGATATGTGAAGCGGAGATAAGTATTTCAAGATTATAGTAAGTAATATTCCGCTTGACATGTCGTTACAGTATGTCAGGTTTTAATTTCCCCCCGGCCCGGCTAAAATTTACGAATGTCGATTGAATTGGTTCTGTCACTCCTTTGATGCCCGCATAGATTGACACGCATCACGAACACAGCAAAAGGTCCCCCCTCTCTCGAGTGCTCCGCAGCCTCCACAGCCCTCCACAGCAACCGAAGCACTTGAAGCACCACCTGTCTGGTTTTCGTGATGCGGAAACCGCTCGGCCCGGCAATCAGGGCGTATCCTATACAAGGCGTAAGAAGCTTACAGTGACCATGTGCTGTGATCTTCGGCACCCTTTCGCCGTGATACGTACGTTTTTTTTTGTTCTTTAAAAAGCTGGATAGTCTCCGTGACTTGTACATCCCTTTTTCATCCTCATTCCTATCTTCTGTCCGTTGCGTTGTACAGGATGGTGGCCAAGACTTCAGTGTTATGTACCATTTTGGTTGGAGTGCTTGCTCTGCACGCTAGCGCGATGCCTTTTCTAAATGACCTTCATGCGAGGCAACGTGATGCTCAGGTTAGGCGTGCTCAGTCCCTTGCAGCTGGCCAGGGTGTCAATCCCCGAACGGATCTCGGCGAAAGGAGTACCATTACCTTTTCAAATCCTAAGGCTAGGGGTGAGTAGTACTTTGCAGTGGTGCTTGGGGGGGAATTATCACTCCGTCGACTTCACGGTGCTGATCTGATCTCTCTTGTTTTATAACCATCGTTTGCGCTAGAGTACCACGTTAACGGAAAAACAATTCCGGACGTTGACTTCGATGTCGGCGATAGCTGGGCAGGTACGTTTTAGGTTCCCCAATCGACGATGCCCTGCACGCCGTCCCGATCAACCACCTCATTTCACCCTTCAAAATTCTTCTGATTTTTGACATCGACTCTTCCATTTCAAGGTTTGATGCCAATATCCGCTAACAAGAACGAAACGAGAAAACTTTTCTTCTGGTTTTTCCCTTCGAAGGACCCTCAACATGTTGATGATCTCGTGTAAGTTGAATTCGAGCTTGCGTTTGTTATGTAATCAATGAAGCAAGCAATTCATCTCTTATGGCTGGGAATGGCCTCCTTTCAGCTTTTGGACGAATGGGGGACCTGGGTGCTCTTCATTGGCGGGTTTATTACAAGAAAACGGCCCATTTAAATGGTACGTAAATTGATTTAGTCTTCCATTCTCCGCAGCTTTTTTATCATCGTCATCCGTTGATACCTTTTGTTTCATTTGATCAGGCCAACAGGAACCGCGAAACCCATCCCTAATCAATGGTCGTGGACAAACCTCGTAAGTCTTTCGCACCTTGGCCACACCTTCTTTCTATTCTCCCCTTCTCTTGATAACACGATTCTATTTCCATTAGAGCCATGTTCTGTAAGCCGTCCTGTGGGCTCAGTTTGCTCATCCGCTCATGATTAACGACTTCTATTCCGACGCACGACAGCTGGGTCGAACAGCCTGTTGGGACTGGATTTTCTCAAGGCGTTCCCGACATTCAGTGCGTTTTTTTTCCCTTCTTTCAGTTCTCCACTCTCATTCTGACCCAACTCCCTTCACCCTTCGGTTACACTTCAATGAATGCAGCGATGCAGACGAGTTGGCCGCTCAACTCGCAGGATTCTTGGTCCAGTTTCTGGAGGTCTTTAACGAACTCAAGGGAAAGAATTTTTACGTATCGGGAGAATCATATGGTATGTACGCGTACCTAAATTGGTGGTGGCGGCAACACCAGCACCAGCTAATTCGAAACCTCCCCTTCTTTTCTAACGTGGATTTGTTCTTAATTAAGCCGGATACTACGTGCCATACATTGCGAATTACTTGTACGAACATCCTGGATTGGTCCCACTTAACACCAAGGGGATTTGGATCACCGATCCATCTGTCTCATACGACATCGTAACGCAATACATCCCCGCCTACAATTTCGCTAACAAATGGAAAGATGTCCTCGGTCTAAACTCATCCTACCTCCAAACGCTCAAGAATAGATCGGATGCTTGCGGCTTTACGGACTATTCCTCAACCTACGCTACGTACCCACCTCAAGGTCCGCTTCCTCTACCTTCGCAGGCATACGTACCCGGAACCATACCGAACGGCGCAAACATCACGAGCGAATGTTTGATATGGGATGATATCATCAACGCAGCTTTGACCGTGAATCCGAATTTTAATGTTTATCGGATCTTGGACGTATGGCCCGTCCTTTGGAGTGTACTTGGGTTCCCGGGGTCTTTCTTCAACGTTCAAGTGAGTTGTTGCTTAAAATGACCAGATCGGAAAGGAGAAGAAGAGTTGCTCAAAAGTTTCTTATGCCTGTTTGATAGTCGCCTATATATTTTGCCCGAAGGGAAGTCCAGAAAGCTATTCATGCTCCTCCCATCAACTGGACGGTATGTTCCTCGAACGTAAGTAATTATCTCCCTCCCTCCCAAACCCATTTTTATCATTATCCATCTGATCCTCTATTTTTTTTTGTCTGGATAAAAAATCTCCCTTGCAGCCGGTATTTGTTGACGGTCGGGATAACTCCGTACCTTCCATGCTCAGCGTCATGCCAAATGTCATTCAAAAGAGTGAACGGACAGTCGTTATGCACGGATTGGTCGATTTCGTCTTGATCGCTGATGGGACGAGAATCGCCATTCAAAATATGACCTGTATGTTGCACCTGGTTATTGTCAATTTTTTTTTTGATGCCAACATGGAATTACATAGGGGGAGGCTTGCAAGGTTTCCAAACTCCTATCGCCGAGGAATCTTTCGTGATTGAAGGTTTCGGAGCGCTTGGGAACATGCATCAAGAGCGAAGTGAGCACTTAAAAATCTCCAATCAAGGTTTTATGAACTTATCACCATATCGTTCCTCCTTTCGCTCCCCCGCACAGATTGTATGTTGTGTGCTGTCGAAACCATATGGAACTGACCGCACATCCTTCAATTTTTTTTTTGTTTAGTGACTTATGTGGAAGTTAATCTTGCCGGACATCAGATGCCTGTAAGTTTGCTCAACTCCTGCCTACTACCCACGCCGATGTTAACGCTGTTCCCATTCATTACCAGGAATATGCACCCTGGGCTGCCTACAAGACGCTCTGGTATCTTCTTGGAAGGGGCGACTTAACATCAAGCGAAATCGATGCCACTCTGTATCCAAATGAGTATCAGCTTACTGGGTCGTGGTCAGGCCAACCACCACTTGTTCGGGTTCAGGGATAATCGAATGGATCTTCACACAGCCGGTGCAATCTAAGTGGACAATATTGATGTTGCCCCCCCTTTTTTTGTGTGTGAATATGTAACTTACTGTTACACTTTGTGCCTGGGTCGACCTGAATCAGGGGGGCGCATTGGTCTATTCTGTTGTATAAGTTGAACATTTTTCAGATGCTGGAATCCTAATTTTTTTTTCTACAGATCACAGATTCTTGTCATCAATAACTAAGATGTCTGTGAGAAACTTGTCAGGAGTCGTGCATAAGCGTGTAACAGGGGGTGCCCTGGAAACCTAGTTGAACAACGAAGCTGGGGGACTATCTAGCACCCTAGCACATGGGCTTCTGTGCATGTACGTGGCAGAATTGTTGGGGGCAGCCCAGAAACGGCCTTGTTACAACTGCGTTTGATCGCGGACTCGTACCCAGTCGTCGTTGCTCGTGGACGCGCGCGCGAGACACGCAACGACGACTGGGTACGAGTCTGGTTTAATCGCATCCTTGATCTCTTCCTGCCTTCCTTTTTAGAGTTTGACCCGTGCGAAACAACAAAGTGCCGTCTCCCCTCTCACTCTGCGCGAAGCGTATGGGAATCCTGCCTTGCCACTGGCCCCTTGGTCAAATAAATGGGACAATATTGCACTCGGCGTGCGGAGGAATGTCCCGGCATTGCAACGGCTTCCTTTCCCTTCGTTGCGGGGCAGAGTTGTGGCCGATGTTCTTGTGTCAACCCTTGCATCTCCGCCGAAGATTCTTCGCTTGTAATGCCACCTCGTTCTTAGAGGGTTCTGGCCTGAAATTTCCTGTCTGGTTTCACGAAGTCCTCCCCATTTATAGATAGTTATTGTAGATTCCAATCAGTCTTAGGGAGCGGTCTTCTGGCGCACTGTGGGCGGCAGCTTAACGGTTAAAAAGAAAGCTTGCAGCGTGAGGGCCAAAGCGCGCATGTGTCCCACATCGCGGGCGCCGTATGCTGGTTCAGTTTCCAGCAGCGTCATTCAAGCGATTGGGATAGCTCTCCATGAGATGCAGGGTCATTCATCATGCCGATTCAGAGCTTACACATACGCACCTCTTGTTCTCGCACTTACCACGAACAAAAAATATCGCAATAAAGAAAAAAAAAAAACATCGGTGCATTCACCGACCGAGGTCCTAGTGCCAACCTTGGGCGGTTATTCAATGGGTTTGGTCGCTGCAGTGCTCAACCTTTGACCACTTCCGGCAATGTGTTAGATGGTGTTGCTTTGTTCTTTTGGGCCCATGTATGAGTTCAAAGTTTATCCATTTGGTGGCGAGGATCTAACAAATATATAAAGGTGAACCTATATCGAATTTTGATTTATTGTCTCCCGTTGACGTGACTTCCGGATGCAAATATCACTCTCCGTATCAGCAGTGGAAAGGAGTCTGGCAGTAGCCGTGATCCTCCCATTTGAAATACGTATTGTCAGCCGGGAGCTGGCAATGACTAATCGCGAATATCCGAGTGCATGGTCCCTTATTTCCATCAGTGTCCGACCAGGCTACCCAACTGGGGTTAATGATAATCGTCCTGTTGCAGACGGTGGCGTTGAAATTAGTAAGTCCAGGTGCGTCCATCTGAATATTCTGCGAGCTCCAATGAGCCACTATCTGAGTGCAATTGTCTGTTGTGCAAACATTGGTTAAGCAAGAGCTAATTCCATGTCAGATTTCGGTTCACCTTCGGATGAAGGGACAATAACCCCTATCGGTTGTCCGTAATCGGCATAGAGGTAGCCATAGTGGACATCATCAGCCGTGACAATCCGAAGTAGGGCAATAAGTGGGACGAAGGCACTACGGAATCGCATTGTAACTGGGAGGTCGGCAATCCAGGTTAATGCCGCGTCCCGCTGCTGCTGCTGCTGGGAGATGGTATGAGTGTATAGCTCCGTGCATAACGTGACTCCAGGAGTACTAGCCTTACTGTAGTCTCAACTGTCGGTGCTAGGAGGATCAGGGACAAGAGGAAGGGGACCCCATGTTATATATGTAGGAGTTGCGGTATCCAATCAATATGCGGACAAATAATCTTATGAGGGAACCTGCCTGATAAAAAGTGAAAATATGCTCCGCGGAAACCCTCCCCAGAAATTGGCCAATTGATGGGATTGTTGTTTTTGTTAGCGTCCGCTTTACTTTAACGCACGTTGTGAACCATCTACGTGACCTATTTTCCGCCAACATTAATATTATGGCGAGTGTCCCAACACAACTGCAAACTCTGTCCAATCGATCTCAGCCTGATCAGCCAGGTGAGAGACCCTAAGGTGATTCTGAACAAGGTAGCCAGGGGGAAGGGATCAGCGAGGTGAAAGGCAGATCGAGTACTGTACTATATATAACGACCATCGCATGTCGCAATAGGATTTTGAACTAACAAAGCAGGATCTGTGACTGACCCTTTCGCAAACTGTAAATATAACTTAGCAATCAAGAAATCACTCTGTATGAGCGTTACCATCCCTCCCACCATCTATTTCGTGCCGTCATATCAACGAGTTCCTCATCCTTCCTCCTCGCTCTGAATCTCAAATTGGACTACAAGGTACTTCATTGCCAGTATAATCATCACTTGATCCGTGTTCGAGCTTGCTCATTCCATCTTCAACACCACACTGCCATACTCACCCATATCATTGACATGCTCTTCGGGAAAGTCATTTTCCAGCTTATTCGCGAGTGTGGGCCGTGGCTGAAGGGTTTGGGTAGGTATAATGAGACGGCGACCTTGAACTCCGGGCAATGAATATTGTCCCCAATGACATGATCACACTCATGTTTGTAGTATGAGGATACTGATGATCGGCGGCCACGTACCACTTTAGGTCCCAGGAACTAAAATCAACTCCTAATTTGTAACTAATTCCCAACCCATTTTTGGATGATCACGAGATCGCCGTTGTTATGGATTCCCGATTTTCTTGGGAACGGAGCGGAGCTAAGAGAGAAGTCGCGAGATCACGAGAAATAGGATCACGAGCAAGAAATCACAAGATCACTAAATGTCAATGGAGGTTAGTGACCTGTGTTGACCAGTTGAAGGCTGGTCAACGCCTTAGATACAATGAAGACAAAACATCCAAGGAAATTTCGAGCTACATGAGTTGAAATGGAACTGAGATACTTAAGCGCGCAAGTGCAGAGTCCAGCGAAAACACAAGCACTCTGGTATAGAAAACATGCAGCTGTAATTCTTATATAAGCGCGGTACAGCATGGCTAACAAGCTGACAATCACAGGGCATGAGAAAAGAACGCAGGGAAAGGCAATCCAGGATTCCGATTCCTCCAAATGACTTGTTGATGTCGATTTCCGTGGAGGGAGCTTTTGACGGAAAGCGCTCGGCCCGACAATCAGGGTGCATTTCATAGAAGCCATAAGAAGCTATCTTCGGCGCACCGTACGTTTTTGTTTCTTATGTAAAAGCTACCTGCTTTCGTGACTCGTACATCCCTTTACCTGAACCGGCTGTTCGAACTTCGTTGCGTGTTGGGAACGTTTCGCTGTACAAGATGGTGCCGAAGACTTTGTTACGCACCATTCTGGCCGGAGCACTTGCTCTGCACGCTAGCGCGATGCCTTTTCTAAATGCGAGGCAACGTGATGCTCAGGTTAAGCGTGTTCAGTCCCTTAACCCCCGAACGGATCTTGGGGAAAGGAGTACCATCACTTTCTTCAATCCTAAGGCCAGAAGTGAGTGCTTTGAAGTGGTGCTTGGGGAATTTGTCACTCCGTCAACTTCACGATGCTAATCTCTCTTGTTTATAACCATCGTTTGCGCCAGAGTATCATGTTGACGGAAAAAAAATTCCGGACGTTGACTTCGATGTCGGCGATAGCTGGGCAGGTACGTTTTAGGTTTCCTAATCGACGATGCCCTACACGCCGTCCCGATCAACCACCTCATTTCACCCTTCAAAATTCTCCTGATTTTTGACATCGACTTTTCCATTTTAAGGTTTGATGCCAATTTCCGCTAACAAGAACGAAACGAGAAAACTTTTCTTCTGGTTTTTCCCTTCGAAGGATCCTCAACATGTTGATGATCTCGTGTAAGTTGATTTCAAGCTTGCGCGCTTGTTAACTAAGCGATATATATCTTACGTGGGGGCATGGGGATTGCCTCCGTTCAGGTTTTGGACGAATGGGGGACCTGGTTGCTCTTCATTGGAGGGTTTGTTGCAAGAAAATGGCCCGTTTGCGTGGTACGTAATAGATTAGTCCTCCATTCCATTCTCCACAAACTCTCTCTTTTTTTTTATATCATTGTCACATACTTATCCGTCGACACCTTTTGGTCAGGCCAACAGGAACTGCGAAACCCATCCCTAATCAATGGTCGTGGACAAACCTCGTAAGTCTTCGCACGTTTACCACCTTTCTATTCTTCCCTTCTTTTGGTAACACAGTTCCTTTTCCTATCAGAGCCACGTTCTGTAAGCCTTCCTGGGTTCATCCATTCATGCTTAATGACTTCCATTGCGACGGATGCAGTTGGGTCGAGCAGCCTGTTGGGACTGGATTTTCTCAAGGTGTTCCCGATATTCAGTGCGTTCTTTTTCAGTACTCTGCACTTATTCTGACCAACTCCCTTCACCCTTCGGTTTCCCTTCAATGAATGCAGCGATGCGGATGAGTTGGCCGCTGAACTCGCAGGATTCTTGGTCCAGTTTCTGGAGGTCTTTAGCGAACTTAAGGGGAAGAATTTTTACGCATCGGGAGAATCATATGGTATGTACGCGTACTTAAATTGGTGGCGGAGGGTGGTGGTGGTGGTGGTGGTGGGGAACACAACACCAGCTAATTCAGAAGTCCCCGCTTTTCTAACGTTCTTCAGCTGGCTACTATGTGCCATACATTGCGAATTACTTGTACGAACATCCTGGATTGGTCCCACTTAACACCAAGGGTATTTGGATCACCGATCCATCCGTCTCATACGACATCGTAACGCAATACATCCCTGCCTACAATTTCGCTGACAAATGGAAAGATGTCCTCGGTCTAAACTCATCCTACCTCCAAACGCTCAAGAATAAATCAGATGCTTGCGGCTTTACGGACTATTCCTCAACCTACGCTACGTACCCACCCAAAGGTCCGCTGCCTCTACCTTCGCAGGCATACGTACCTGGAACCATACCGAACGCCGCGAACATTACGAGTGAATGTTTGTTATGGGATGATATCACTAACGCGGCTTCGACCGTGAATCCGAACTTCAACATTTATCGGATCTTGGATGTATGGCCCGTCCTCTGGAGTGTGCTTGGGTTCCCGGGGTCTTTCCCCAACTTTCAAGTGAGTTGTTATTCAATAGCTGATTCGGACGGCGAAGCTCGAAATGGAGAACAGGTGCTCAAGTCTCTTATGGTTTTCCAACAGTCGCCTGTATACTTTGCCCGAAGGGATGTCCAGAAAGCTATTCATGCTCCTTCCATCCACTGGACGATATGTTCCTCAAACGTTAGTGATATCTCCCTCCCTACCCATTTTATCATTATTTATCTGATCCTCCTTTCTCTTTGCAGTCGGTATTTGTTGGCGGTCAGGATAACTCCGTACCTTCCATGCTCAGCGTTATGCCAAATGTCATCGAAAAGAGTGAACGGACCGTCGTTATGCACGGATTGGTTGATTTCGTCTTAATCGCTGAAGGGACGAGGATCGCCATTCAAAATATGACTTGTATGTTGCATTCTAAACTCGTGTTCCCTATCTTCTGGTTTTTTTTTGGACGTCAACATGGAATTTGTATAGGGGGAGGCTTGCAAGGTTTCCAAACTCCTATCGTTGAGGAATCCTTCGTGATTGAAGGTTTCGGAGCGCTTGGGAACATGCATCAAGAACGAAGTGAGCACTTAACATCTCCGATCATCGTTTGTAAACTTATCACCATACCTTTCCTCCTTTCGCTTCCCCGCACAGATTGTATGTTGTGTGCTGAACGCGAAACCATGAGCGACACTATGGAACTGACACCGCACATCCTTCAATTTTTTGTTTAGTGACTTATGTGGAAGTTAATCTTGCCGGACATCAGATGCCTGTATGCTTGCTCAACTCCTGCCTACTACCCTTGCTGATGTGGGCTCTTAACACTGTTCCCATTACCAGGAATATGCACCCTGGGCTGCCTACAAGACGCTCTGGTATCTTCTTGGAAGGGGTGACTTAACATCAAACGAAATCGATGCCACTTTGTATCCAAATGAGTATCAGCTTACTGGATCGTGGTCGGGCCAACCACCATTTATTCGGGTTCAGAAACACTCGGATTGATCTTCACGCAGCCGGTGCATCCCAGCGGACAGACAATATTGATGTTGCCTTTCTTGTTGTGAATAACTTACTACTACACTTGTGTGCTTGGGAAATGACCTGAATCAAGGGTACAATCTACTCTGTTGTATATGTTGAACATTTTCCAAATGCTGGAATGCTAATTTTCCCCTTACCCCTGTCATCGATAACTGACTAAGTCTGTGAGAAACAAAGATGTTGGAAATTCAGGTGGTCAAAGACTGTTCCGCCAGTGGAGGCTTCGATAGTACACCGGTCTGATTATCCGTCAGCGAATAAATCAAGCAGAAAAGAAAAGGAGCGTGAATAGCATCCTGGACATCCCTTCGAGCAAAGTAAACAGGGGACTAGTCAAAAGCACATTAGCCACCTATTCGCTTTTGAGCCCCTTGATTAAAACTTGCTTGATAATTGGTGAAAGATCCCGGAAATCCGAGAACAAGCCCAGAACAAGGCCATACATACATCCAAGATCCGATAAACATTAAAATTCGGATTCACCATCAGAGTGGCATTCGCAATATCATCCCATAACAAACATCCATCGGTAATGTTCCCCGTAATTTGGTATGGTTCCTGGTACGTATGCTTGCGAAGGCACAGGAAGCGGTCCCGGTGGAGGCGGGTATGTGGCGTAGGTTGCCGCATAGTTTGTGAAGCCGCAGGAATCCGATTTGGCCTTGAGCGTTCATGTATTGAGGGCGAAAACGTCCCCCATTATTAGCGAATTAAGTTGTAGGCAGGAATGTCCCATGAGACGGAAGGGTCAGTGATCCAGATCCCCTTCGTATTAAGGGGGACCAATCCAGGGTTTTCATACAAGTAGTTCGCAATATACGGAACGTAGAATCCGGCTGGGTTAATGTTAGAAAAAGAAAAGATGTGTGGACTTTGAATGTTGTTGCACCACGCCGCACCATACGATTCTCCCGATAGATAAAAGTTCTTTCCCTTGAGTTCAATAAAGACCTCCAAAAACTGAAGCAGGAATCCGGTGAACTGGGCTGCAAGCTGGTCCTCATCGCTGCATTTAAGGAAAACCCGAAGTGTGATGAAAGTTTTGCAGGAAATCAAGCATTGCATGGGGAACCTCAAACTGGAATAAAAGACGCACTGAATGTCGGAGTGCCTTGAGAAAACCCAGTTCCAACGGGCTGTTCTACCCATGAGATGAAGATAATAATGATTAGTTTCTTATAGCCCGCGAGCGACTTGTGTAGTAAAACGGACCACAGTAGTCCTGCAAGTTTGAGAGAAGCTTAAGCTTCTTCGCGCTTCCGAACGATGACGTAGTTATACCGGCAAACAAGAAATAGACTATCAGTATACAACGTAGACCCATCTAGAGTCTCCGATTTGTCATGAAGCATGAGTACGCCGTACTAGACGGATTGCGATCGAGAAGGGCCAGATGTTAGTTGTAGACCCCCTCATTCACCTTGCCTCCTATCTGGCTTTTGCGTTCACCGATTCCTTGCATGCTGTGGAGCGAAGCAACGCAACTTGCAAGCACTCTAGTGTAGTTTAGATCGCGTTGCATATATGAAGCTCATATAGATCGAAAACGCATGCATCCGCCCCGAAAGAGGTTCGTTACCATGTCCCCAAGATGAGAAGATGGGAATTAATGAAGAGGTTGTCCAGTATGTAATTGCTGACAACGGCGACGGCGACGTGGTGCCATTGCTACATGAGCACCATATTGCATATATCAGTGCAACACAAATGATTCCAATCAATGAAGCGAAAGATGCCTGATTACCCGGCCCAAACATTTCCCCCAGTCACTGACACCAGGATATCGATTATAGCGGTGCGTTTGTTTGTTTGTTTTTTGCTCTGGGTACGACTCTATCTAAGATAATGTTACGAACTCATAGAGGCTGGAGTCCTGCGTAGGGTACGACAGGGTGCCCGGCACACACGAGGCCGGGGATGCTAGCGGCTCACCTCGAGCGTCTTTTCTATAGTTTTCCTTGATACCGATCGCCAAACAGCTCAGATTGAGGGAAATGAATATTGGGCAAAGACTTGCGATCGGAAGGACGCCGTAACTAGAGATGTGACTAGGGTTGCCGTGGTTCGGAGAGCCGAACTGAAGGTCCTCAATCGCAAACGCGATAACAGGGTCGAAGGATGGTTGGCCCGGGGCCGAGCTTGCTGACACAAGATTGCATTTGGCCGGAACAACCTGTAACACAACATCAATATTAATTTCCCATTCAGAGATTTGTGAAGCTTCCGCTCACCGACATCACGGCTCTCGAAGTGACACCTGCTAACAACATACTTTCAATTGCTCCTGTGCATGCCTGGATGGTCCTTTCCTTCGTATTCTCGCCGAACCTGTCGTATAAAGGATTAAAAAGAAAGCAAACGCAGCGTCCATCGAGTTCGATGTGCCTCTGCAGTTCATGCATGAACGGCCGGAGAAACGCCCGAGCTTGACAACCAAGACAGGTATAGCTATTGATTACAGCTGGCGACAAATCTACCCATCAGATATGAATTTTTTTTTTTTGTCGCTAAGCGTAACCTGTGCGACGCTGTGAAGCCTGTAGCCATCGTACGTACTCCTTTCATATCCATCAATCACCGTTAATATTGGGATACATGCGTTTTTTTTTTTCTCTTATAAGCCATCACTAGTATGACTCTCCATCCCACTTCCCATCTGCTCAACCTTGTTTCACGAGTTTGAGACGTTCGTTGTATACTGGCAGGATGAGGCCGAAAGCTTTGTTACACGCCATCCTCGCAGGAGCACTTGCTCTCCACACTAGCGCGATGCATTCTCAAAGGAGGCATGCACTTCATGCAATGCAACGTAACATCCAGACTAGACATTCTCGGGCCCTCCAGGGTCGCGCTTCTGTCCAGGATGCTAACCCCCCAAATGAAGGGAGTAGCATCACTTTTTCTAATCCTAAAGCCAAAGGTGAGTGTCTTGAAGTAGTGCCAATGCAGTTGTCACTCCATCGCCTTCACCATCGATCGTCGTGATGCTAATGTCACTTATTGTATCCCTCGTGTACAGATTACCACGTTGATGGGAAAAAAATTCCAGATGTTGACTTTGATGTCGGCCCCAGCTGGGCAGGTATGTTTGTTTTGTTTCCCAATCAACGACCCCGCCCAACGGAATTTTTACCCCTAAATTCTCACGATTTTTGACATTGTTCATCCTATATCTAAGGTTTAATGCCAATTTCCTCCGACAAGAACGAAACAAGGAAACTTTTTTTCTGGTTTTTCCCTGCGAAAGGTCGCAATATCAGTGATCTCGTGTAAGTCTAATTCAAGCTTCTCGATAGTGTACGAGCCAAAACACCTCTCCTTACAACGGGACATGGAATGTGATCTCTTTCCAGGTTTTGGACGAATGGCGGTCCAGGATGCTCGTCACTTGAAGGATTCCTGCAAGAAAATGGCCCGTTTACGTGGTACGTACAGATACAAATAACCCTCCATTCTCCCACTTCTCGTCTTATTGTGTTTCATTTGACTAGGGAAACAGGAACGGCGAAACCCATCCCCAATCAATGGTCATGGACAAACCTCGTAAGCCTTCCTTTCTATTTCTCTTATTATTATTATTATTATTATTTTGATAACACATCTCTTCCTATTAGAGCCACGTCCTGTAAGCCTTCCTGGATCAGTTATTCACCGATGAGCGATTGTTAACTTTTCCTCCGATGCATAGCTGGGTCGAACAGCCTGTTGGGACTGGATTTTCTCAAGGCGTTCCCAACATTCAGTGCGGTTGCCTTTCAGTTCTTCCACTCCCGAATGCATATTGACTAACTCCTGTCGCACTCTCTCGATTCAGCAACGAAGATGAACTGGCAGCCCAATTCGCAGGATTCTTGGTTCAGTTCCTCGAGATCTTCAGCGAACTTAAGGGAAAGAACTTTTACCTATCGGGAGAATCGTATGGTATGTTATGCTTAAATTTATGGTAGAAGCGATTACCAACTAATTTGGGTCTCTCGCTCCTCTTAACGCAAATTCCTTGAAGCCGGAAGCTACGTGCCGTACATCGCAAATTACCTGTACGAACACCCTAAATTAGTCCCTCTTAACACAAAAGGGATTTGGCTCACTGATCCAGAGGTCTCATACGACATCGTAACGGAATACATCCCTGCCTACGACTTTCTTATCCAATGGAAAGAAGTCTTTGCCCTAAACGCATCCTTCCTCCAAACACTCAAGGAAAAATCAGATTCTTGCGGCTTCACTAACTATTCGGCGACCTACGCCACATATCCTCCACATCAGGGACCGTTTCCTCTACCTTCGCAAGCATACAAGCCAGGAACCGTGCCGAATTACAGCAACATCACGACTGAATGCGCGATATGGGATGATATTGTCTACGCGGCGCTCAATGTGAATCCGAACTTTAATGTTTATCGGATTTTGGATGTGTGGCCCGTCCTTTGGAGTGTGCTTGGGTTTCCTGCGTCTTACCCTAATGTTCAAGTAAGTTGTAATAACAATTCGTGTGGGTGAAAATGGCTCCAATCTGTATTCACTCTTCCCGCGCTCTTCACTAGTCCCCTGTTTATTTTGCCCGAGAGGATGTCCAGGACGCCATTCATGCTCCAAAAATCGACTGGAACATATGCGCCTCATCCTCAAAGGTGGGTAATATCTCCTCCCTGCCTTACCATTATTCACCTTTTCTCGCAGCCGGTGTTTGTTGACGGTCGAGATGACTCCCCACAGCCTATGCTGACCACCGTCATGCCGAATGTCATCGAAAAGAGCGAACGGACCGTTGTTATGCACGGATTAGTTGATTTCGTATTGATTGCCGAAGGAACGAGGATCGCCATCCAAAATATGACTTGTATGTTGCATCCTAACTCGCATTCGGTGTCCCCTGGAATGGAAGGGGGGTTGTTATTTTTGACGCTAAAAATGGTATCTTTATAGGGGGAGGCTTGCAAGGTTTCCGAACTCCTATCGCTCCAGAATCGTTTGTAATCGAAGGGTTCGGTGCGATTGGGACCTTGCACCAAGAACGAAGTAAGCACTTAGTCTCAAACGTTTAAACTTATCATCACATCATCGTCTCATCCCTCTTCTCTACAGATTGTATGTCATGAACAGCCAAAACCACGGGCGAAAACACAGACCTGACTAACCTCCTTCATTTTTTTGTAGTGACGTATGTGGAAGTTAACCTTGCCGGACATATGATGCCCGTACGTTTGCCCACTCCCTCTGCCTTTGCTAACGTGCACCCTTACGGTTACTTTCTATCACAGGCATTTGCACCCTGGGCCGCCTACAAGACCCTCTGGTACCTTCTCGGAAGGGGAGAGTTATCATCGAACGCAATCGATGCCTCGCTGTATCCCAATAACTATGAGCTCACCGGAGCGTGGTCCCGCCCGCGTTAGCCACCATATGTTTTAACTTAAGGGCCTGGATCACGGCAGCAGTCTATTATATAACATATTGTTCAGACACAAAAATCCTAACTAAACCCCAGATCCCTATCACCAATAATTGGATGTCCATGGGAAACAAAAATATGTAGTACATTCATTCGTCGTTAGAATGGAACATCTTGCGTGTGACGATGAATTTCGAATAACCGAGAAATCCAAAAAGATGTGAGCGAACGATGAAACGGAACTCAAAAGAGGTTCAATTGAAGAAAAACTCAATCAACGAAAGCATGCTTGACAATGTCGGAACAGGGTACGGGGGGAGTGACAAGATACGTGAATATGGTTGAGGCAAGCGGTACAGCACGGTGGCCTTGCTCCTACAGGGCTGCAGAAGCTCCATTTGAACTGGTGTCGGTGCGAATCTGAGCCATAGGGATGACGTCTGTGCGTGTTTCTTCGATGGACCGCGGGGAATGGGACCTTACAAGGAGAGGATTGTCGGATGCGCCGCTCGTATGGGACATTGTGCTCTCTGGCGCGCTCCGGTAGCGGGAGAGAGAGTTCGAGCGGGACTGGGAGTTTGGGAGACGACTTGAAGATGTGCGGCCTTTGAAAGAAAGAGCTCCAATGATCCCCATCTGTGAATGACCTCTTGATAGCATCAGTATCGATCCTTTTCTCCTTCGAAGGAAGAACACAGCAGAGATGAGGGCCACCATGATAACAAAACCACCTGCTACACCCCCAACAATGGGACCGGCAAGCGAACTAAGTGCACCAACAAAGTTAGAAAGGGCGGAATTAATGTTCTTGATTACCCATACCGGTGTGTGTTGTTGCTAAAAAGGTGAGCAAGAAGCTAGTTAGTTTACAAATGACTTGTGATGGGATAATGAACTGAGTTTACTTGGCTGGCTCATTTGAACTGCTACCTCCACGAGCTGTCCAGGTTCGGGCAAAATCTACAGCCAAAGTACTCTTGGCAGTGGAAGTGGACTGCGGGGAATTTTCGATTGATAATGTGTGTGTCCCGCCGCCGAGATTCTCCGCATAGAACAAGAGCTGCTGATATGCAGAACCATTATAAGTGGAAGTGAGCGACTTGAAATCCCCCTTATCAACATTGGCCGAGAAGGAACCATCGAGGGAACCATACAATCCAACAGCATCCCCATCAAACACGAATTGCATCGAGGCATCGCTACTAGTGGTATATGACGCTGTACCATTGATGGAGACGTTGTCTATGTATGCTCTTTGACTCCAAGCATCTGGGGGGATGTAGAAGAACCGCCGATGAGTCTCGTTGAAGGTGGCATTGAATACCTCTGCACCATAAGGACCACCAGGGCCCACGAAGACAGTCTCCCAGGTGAGCCAATCAATGTTCAGCCATACCCTATTTGAATCGCCACCTCTTAGAGGACCCGCATTGACAATCCGGACGGTGTGGCTGGCAAGACCCAAGTTATTAGCTCCAAATAAGACTTGTTGGTATTCCTCTGTGTCAGAATACCCATCGAAGGACTGAGTTGTGTTATCCACTGAAACTTACGTCAATTCATATTGAGGAAACCGGGAGGTGGTTCTTACATGTTACGTTGTAATAGCCATGCGCCTCGCCCTTAGTACCGTATATCCTGTGGCAAGCATAAGCGCAGAAATACCGGCATCGTTTTGACCACAAGACTCACCACACTCCAGTACCACGGAAAGTGAACGAGACCTCTGCTCCTACCTGAGACGTCGCCGAAGCTGTGTTTTCATACAGGCTTGAGTCATTCTTGCTCGCAATGGAAATCCACTGAGTCTGGGGAGAGTATGAAAGCAACGGGGATGGATTGTCGAGCGATAGGTTGTACTTGGTCATGATGACATGAGCGACTGGTTGTGCTCAAGTTAATCGAGTTATCAAGCATGAACGAGGTCAGCCCTTCAGCACAGCCCGTAAAAGACAACAATGAAATCAAATTGGCAATTCGCCAGTATCAAGATGGTATGTGGAACCAGTAGTGGCAGACGGTGAAGGCAGTTTGGCGCTTGCACAACTTGTCTTTGCTGCGGTCTCTTGGTGGCGGTGAAGTCAACTTCAGACTTCGGAGACGTTTCCGGCGGTCATGCACTCTCCCTGACAAACACGAATTGCGATAACACATGGCTGTAGTAAGTCTACTAAGCACGACTGGCGTGCATTGTTGTGCGAGGCCTCAATGGGACTCACTAGATTGGTTGGGCCACAAACCTGACCACAAATATATGCAGCTAGCCCCACCTATCAGGGAGCTATTGTTTGTATGCCGACCAAACATAGATACCAAAAAGTGCCCGAACATACCATAGCCTGATCTGCTGACTGCTCCAGTCGTCATGCGGATGCCATAGCAGTTGGGCAGCAGGTATGGTCGCAACCCTGCACATCCTTCCAATACAGGCTGGTCTCCTGCCTGGCATATCCTCGCACCTCGCCATCCCATCCTGGAAATCCTTTTAGCAGCAGCAGTCCATCATGACATCTCAGTAGCCAGATCAGGGGACTTCCGCACATTTTGTAACATTTTAAGGTCAGAATTACATATTATATCCTAGCTTCCATCTTCCTGTGACTTGACTACCGTGTCCTGGCAGCTAGTCAGTACTGGGTGGCATGAGATGTAGTCACCCTTATGCGTCGCTCCTCCGGGAGACATAAAACCCGCTGGCTCCCATCAGGTCCGCGGTAGTCTGCAGATCATATTTGCAGAGAAAGGCGACTCCGTTCCCGTTCATTATCCGGAGAGCCAGTAAGCACCGTTGGTCTCGATCGCCACGTTATGCAACAAGCCATATGTGCATGGCCAACAACATGATTCCAAATGTAACACAATTTTGATACGCGACACCAACTAGGCATAAATTCTCCTGTCCTTGGTTATCATGGATGGTTTTGTTCTTCTAACCCTCTGAGCCGTGCGTGCAGCGCCCCAACAGTGGGGAGGCGGTGACTAAACCTGATCTAGTTTTGACCATGCAAAACAGTCGGTGGTGACCCCATCACCTTGTGCTTGACGCCCCCCCACAAAATATAAATAAAGGGATAGCGAGGAGTTTGTGAACGCTATACTCGACTGCGTAGAATGGTGTCCGACATAACGAGTGAAGTGTCACAAGCATCGGGGAGTCAGCGTCCTTGAGCCTCGACCGCGACCCTGAAAAGGAGGCGATTTGTGAGTTGTCACGAGCGCTATGGGTAAGCGGCCTCCCCAATTGCCCACTATTTCTACTCTATGACTGTTGTGTTGTCCCTCAATAGGTGGCAGTGAGTGTTCAATTGACGCACGATGTAATGTCTTCAGTTCGAGGAGAGCACAATCTTCCCAAGTTCGCTTCCATGAAATTATTGAAGCTCTTTGAATTATGTGGAGAGGCATTGTATTGCGGTGCCAATGTGGTCTCAGGGTCGAATGTTTCCTGCATTCTGCAAACACAGACAAGCAGCTACGTCTATAGTTCACCTGCAGTCTGGCAGACAGAGGTCCCCGATGAATGCTTAACAGATCCACCCGATCTTCATTAGCGTGCCAGACCCATACCCAACCATCATCCTCTCGGACGTGCGCAACAGGCAGTGTTGAAATGGTTGGCTGCATAAGTGCATTGCATTTGAATTGTGTGAGGCCAGTGGTTGGATTAAGGAGAAAACAGTATGAAGATACACGAGAGCGAGAACCCTGGTTACGACAGGCCATCCTTCCAAGGGTAACAGCTTTTCCATAGCTTAATACTAATACTAGTAAGGGAACGTATTCACGGAGCCGAAAATGTCCGCAGCATTACATGAGTGGAGTTCGAAATGCATCGGGTCGCCAGATATGTTGTAAGTCACCTTGAGAAATACTCACAAGTCCTCAAGACTGTGAGACCGCGAACGATCACCAGAATGCTCGCTTTTAGCGTCATCACTCCTCTCATCTCCATTTGACTCGTTCTTTGGGTCCTTCCCAGCATCATCATCCCGTGCTGATGATATTGGGAGTCCAACAGGCTTCTCGCTGGATCGTGAGTACGATCGTTCCCCCGGAGACATGAGAGAGGGGTCCAAATGAGGGTCGCTGCTCTGGCCACTGGATGCATTCTTGTCTCCCATCCGAGCCAACTTCTTCGCAAGAGATGAATTGATGGGGGGAAGGTGCACCCGCGAGTAGTCTACGGGAGGAAAACTATAGGCAGGACGGGATGACCGACCGTCGTCCTTACGAGGCAGAGGTATCGAATAGGGATTATATCGTTTTCTCTCGGCAGAGGTTCGCAACGGCCCGCCTTCCGAAGAATGCCCGGGGTTTGGATGATAGTATGGTGATGAGGTTAAGATAGGAGGTGGGGCAAGTGGAGGCAAATGAGGCACAGAACTCCCATAGTGTTGTCCGCCATCATGGGTGGGTGGAGGCGGGGGAGGCATTGATGGGTAGTATCCTGGAGGCGGAGGGTAGGGGGCAAAGTTTGGGGGTGGCATGGGGGGATAAGGCGCGTGACCATGCTCTGGGGAGTAATCATGAATAGGCGGCAGATGCCCTTCATCGGGATGATGCTCGTAGCCTCGTGGCGGATAATCGTGAGGCGGACCTTGGGGCGGATACATCGGTCCCTGCTCATAGTGATAATCATCGGGGGTCCCGCCATAGGGGTGTGTATTCGGCGCCTTGACGCTCTTGTTGCTTGGCTGGGGTCGTCGTCTTCTGCGTTTGCCTTCCAACAACTGTCCATACCCAGGTTGGTCAGGCGTGAGACAAGTACCTGGGAAGCCAGGACTTTCAAAGGTCTAAGGACAGAGAATTCTCGCAAAGGTAACTATTACTCACCCGAATACTGGTATCAAATCCTCAGCAATAGAGTGGGCAACTCTGCCCAAACCAATGATAATTAGGTTATGCATCGGCAACCTGCAGGCGCCATGCTTACCGCCGCGCGAGAGTTAGAGCAACCTAGGCCAAGAAGGTTTATTCCAGAGCATTGGACACTTTGAACAATCAAACACGTACGTCATATTTCATCCAAGTGCCTTGAATCTTGAGGTACCCACCCCTAACTCTTCTTATATGGGGGGCGATCTCTGGCATATTATCAAGCATCTTAACAATGTCGGCTGTTCGGCCGGAGTGAGCAGAGATGCATTCAAGTTACTACGGGCTACAAACCTTTTGCATTTCCTAGTGCTAAAGAAAGAAGAGGTAAATTTAGCCAGGAAAACCCAGTAACAATGCATACCTTTCCATATCGCCGTCCAGAGGATGTATCCATCATCAGCATCCATCATGATCCAATTATCCCCTATCGGGTACTCGTATACAGGACTATATGAATGGCCTCGTCAGACTGTACCCAAGAGGGCGATACCGAATCGCTGACTCACATGTAGCCTCGTGGGTCATTGCTGGTGAGATATCGACCTGGAGCGGAAAGGTACAGCCGGCTGTCAGATCAACGCACGCACCCTCAAACGATGAATGAGCAGACCCTTCGTGACACGATGCTTCGCCGTCGATGTAGCCTGGTAACGAACCGGAGGCGCAACGGGGGGCTGAGGTGCCAAAGTACGCAAGGCATCGCCATACGGGGGGTGCTGATGCTCTTGCTCCATCCCGGGTGTGGCCTCGAAGCACTCAAGGCTTGTGGCGCGTCGTTTATGTCGAGAACGTGTTTAGAACCGCTTTGAACGGGCTCGACTTAAACAAAGAGAAGAAAACACGGTGTGCCACTTGCACAGCCCCTTCGGGCAAAACCCGCGCATATAGTTGCCTGAATGGGAAATCTTCACACGTCAGGCTAAGCGCCCTGACCGATCGAAAGCTGGAAACGCAAAGATGGAGAGCTATCAGAGCCCTCTATCAAGCCGGTACGCAAGCAAGGAAATGTCCTATCTCTTTTCCAACGCGAAGCGGTTCCGGACGTGGCGTGAGTTATGGCTAAATCTCGCGATCGCGGAGAAAGAGCTCGGACTCACTATACCCGACGAGGCCATCACTCAGATGAGGCAGAACCTCGTAAGTGCATCCAGGACTATTTTTCTGTGAGTCTCTTTGGGATAACTCTCTGTTCCAAGGATCTCGACGAGGCACAGTTCGTAATTGCTGCCGCCGAGGAGAAAAAACGTCGCCACGACGTGATGGCGCATGTGCACACTTTTGGGCAGGTGGCACCTGCTGCTGCTGGGATTATTCATCTCGGAGCAACATCATGTTTTGTAACCGACAATGCTGATCTTATCTTCCTCCGCCAAGGGTGCGACTACCTGCTACCAAAACTAGCTATTGTGATAGATCGCTTTGCCACTTTTGCAAAGCAGTATCGCGATCTTCCTACCCTTGGATTTACCCACTTCCAACCTGCACAGCTTATGACAGTGGGAAAACGGACCACGCTGTGGATTCAGGAACTCCTTTGGGACCTCAGAAATATACAGCGAGCGCGAGATGACCTCGGATTCCGGGGGGCTAAAGGGACAACTGGCACCCAAGCTTCATTCCTCGCGCTATTCGACGGCGATCACGACAAAGTATGCAGTTCTCTTGTTATTCTCCCTCGGACAGTAAGACCAAATTCTCTAGGTCAAAGCACTCGATAGGCGTGTGACGGAATTGATGGGATTCACATACGCCTATCCCGTGACGTCTCAAACATATTCCCGAAAAATCGATATCGATGTGCTTCAATCTCTTTCCTCTTTCGGAGCAACAGCACATAAGATTGCAACTGACATCCGACTTCTGGCTCATCTCAAGGAGGTTGAAGAACCATTTGAGAAGGACCAAATTGGCAGTTCCGCAATGGCTTACAAACGTAATCCTATGCGGTGCGAGAGAGTCTGCAGTCTTGCGAGGGCTCTTATGATCATTCCCCAAAACGCACTCGCCACAAGCGCAGTCCAATGGTTCGAGAGGACACTGGATGACAGGTATATGATCATTTCCCAATGGTTTCGCTTCTTGGCACAAGGATTGGCTAATGGTTTTCTTGTCTGCTTCAGTGCCAACCGGCGGGTAACGATTCCAGAAGCCTTCCTCACCGCAGACATTATCCTGTCAACGCTTCAAAACATCACAGAAGGCCTTGTCGTCTACCCACAGGTAATCGCTCGTCGCATTTCCCAGGAGCTCCCGTTCATGGCTACCGAAAATATCATTATGGCGATGGTCAAGCATGCTAATGGTGACCGCCAAGAATGCCATGAAAAGATTCGTGTCCTGAGTCACCAGGCTGCCCGTGTTGTCAAAGAGGAAGGAGGGGAAAATGATCTGATTGAGAGAATCAAACAAAATCCTTATTTTGAACCTATATGGGGGATGCTAGATAGTATTTTGGATCCAAAGAGTTTTGTTGGGAGGGCGCCCGAGCAGGTCGACGAGTTCGTTAAGGAGTGGGTAGAGCCAGCTCTCCAATCGTACAAGGCCGTTGTCCAGAATGCCAAAGCTTCGGAGTTAAATGTGTAGCATAGTTCCTACCATCCGCGCATTTCGCCTGTCCCAGTTAGAAACGTAACAATAGATTGCTTTCCTTCAGGATTCAGCATGACGAGTAGCCATACTCTTGACAAAGCAAATCGCCCTTTGTGGCTAGTCCCCATTTCCGATTTTTTTTGGGCTTGGTAGGAACTACCACTAACTGGCTCCCACTAAAGAACACGACTGGAAGTTCGCCCTTCGTCTTAAGATTCATGCTGGGCACTAAGTCCCTCAGGGTGTGCATCGAGGGTAGGCACTCAGGTAGATGCAAGTATCAAGTATCATCGGAAGAGACGAAACCGGGTTGACTTCTCAGTGAACCACGGCAACAAATGTTGCCCATCATGGTTCAACTGAGGCATGGCTGGAAGACACCAGGGCTGAGATGCTGCCAGTGGCGACTGCGACCTGCGCCCAAAAGACTGTATCGCACACGATGAAGGATGTGAAGGGAACCCGCATTTCTAGCATCTTCAGGGTAGGTGATCGTGAACGTCAGGAACAGCCAGATCATCTGTTTGGTGCTGTGACCCAAACTCTAGCGAACTGAGGCCTAGTTTTCGTCGGCTTGAGCTCTCCGCGAGACTCCACTCCATCAACAGCCTCACTTTTGATGTGATTCAAGGAACTGGTGGTGGCTTTGCCTTTTCATAATTCCCCACCTCGAGACCCTATAGCGATTACCATTGGCGCTTCAGTGGATGAATGAGAAGAGGCGTTTGAGCCCCTTACTGACATTCTTCGTAAAGAAGTGTCCAGGTTACCGCCGTAAAGGCCTTCACTCTGATTTTATTCGCTTCTTCTCACCCGACCCGCTGTCGGCCGTCTGAGCAATATTGACCCTTGGATGACACGAACGCCGCTTCTGGCTGTCACAACATCGATGCACAAGCTCCAGGATGGATAGTAGTACAGGAGGTCTCTGCAGGTGGCTTGTTCCTTTGACGAGTACTCCCAGATCGGACTGACTTGTTTCTCACTTTGCTTTGACAGATGGGTTTTGCCAGTGGTGACCCAACTGGAGCGCCTTTCCCACGTCCATTGCCCCTTCCCAGCAGTACACGCTGGCCAGCATCAAACTGCCAGCCACTTACCATCAAACCAGCATCATACGCCTAAAATCTGGACCTGCCATTGAATTGTCTACGCAGCTCTCCCCACACACCTGGGCGGCGCTCGGCGCTTATGGAAGAACACTTTAATTCTTTCGCGCCAGCTAGCCCACAGTTGATCCGGCCCCATATGCACCAGATCCGATCGTTGGCCATATGCCTCAACGATCCGTTTAGCACTCTCTTCCATCTTGGGCGGCCCTCTGAGTCGACGCCCCTGGGCGGTTATTGAAGAGACTCCAGCGCCGGCCAATCGCCATTCATCTGGTCTGCACCTCAAGCTATGGATGGATGGATGAATTCATTTTAACCCCCCGCGTGCGTTCCTCTTAACATATGACGGAGCGCACATCGTACAAATCAGAATTAGACTCGATTTGCGCCTCCTACATTACCAACTCTCCAACAAACGATAACCGCCAGTATCCCATTCGGTAGTCCCGTACCCATTGCTCCAGCCCAGTCGCTAATGTCTCAGGCAGTCTAGCGCTCCTACACCCTCTAAATAGAATCGCGCGGAATGCCACTGAAAAATATATCTATACAGAATACTTTCAAACTCGGAAAGCATTCTCATTCATACAGATCCCCTTAATATCCGGGCCCAGCTAATCAGGAATTGCATATATCAGATCCAGCCCGATCGCACTTCCAAAAGCACCTTTCATTTATCACGGTTAAAGAAGCCGTTGAACTTTGGCGCAAGCTAGTTGCCGGATCTTCATGCATCTGGGTCCAAAAGCCCATATATCGTTTCCTCTGAGCTTGGACCGCACTAATCTGAGTTACTCCCAGTCTTTGAAAAAAAAAAAAACAGCGTCAATTTCCCATGCACGTCGTTCATGCATCCGACACGCTAGCTTTGTTTGCATGGGCCCGTTTCGAGCTCCATGGCCTGAAGTAAAATTTACGGTTGCTGAGAGTACTCATTCCTTAGCCCTTGACCTTATCGGTATTTCATTCACTAGTAGGGAATCCAAGTCACGATTGATATGCTGTTGCCGTATCTCCACAGGGCTCACTCGCACAGGTTCGAATGCGACGTCGACGCAACCACAGGACCACAAAGTGCGCAGGTTCGTACGGAAACTCGGAGCTCAACGGGAAGAAAAAAAGAAGTAGAGATCGGTATTGATAGTAACTAAAGAACCCGAAATACAGAAGCACAGAATCAACAATAAAGTTATACAACAATTGTCTATGTTATCGTGAATGTGAGTCAGGAGTAGCATGATCATAAGTTGAACCAAATCGTAATTGCCCAAGAAGGTATCTTTTAGTCGCAGTAGGGGTGATGGACCAACGATTCGACCGATGGGGTTGGTGCTAAAGACCTTTAGCCTGGGATAGGGTGGTATGGGCGCCTTCCAGCTGCCCATCTGTGACCTTTCTCCGCGTAGATTCCGGTAACAACTGGATGATGGGAAGGATAGAGGTTTAAAAAAAATTGTCAAACAAGTCAAGAGAGATGGGCTTCGCACCTAGACCGATGATCACGAAAGTATCAAGGACACAAGTAGTCACATTAAACCAATACGAGATGTCTATCACAGAAGGATGCATTCATATTAGTGGAACGGTTCAACAGTGGATGGCAACGCACTGAAATGAGCTCCTGAAGAGAAATACTTCGCGTACTTCTCAGACATTCCCGTCACCAGGCCCAATGCTACGATTTGGACGGTCGCTGAAGTTCACGACAGTGAGTTTGAGATCATCACCGCGAGTTGAAAAAGCACATAGAGCAACTCACCATGCAGTCCAACTAGGAACGAGACGAACCTCCAAGCGTTCCTTCGCCTAGCACGGCTACTGACAATGTTCACGATCATCAGGGTGAAGAGTGCAACCATCACCAGCACGAGTCCAAGTTGAGAGAGATATCCAGCACTCGACCAGGCAATACAGAAACCCTCTCCCTCGCGCTCGCACACTGATCGGGGAGGGAAGGGGGTGCAGATGTACGCTGCAGTCATCACGTTGTGGAGGGGAGGGGAGATGGTCGAATTTGATGGCTTCGGGTCAGTAGCGTGATACGGCTCAACGACAAGACGAGTTTCGCATCGTCGATACAACCCATAATCCATTGCGCGTGCATCGGGGGCATCTACTGGTGCAAATGATCGCAACCTGATCAACGCGCATTGACCGCGATAAGTGTACGTTCCCCCCTGCTTCAAGTTAGCGCGAAGCACTCACCAGTAAGGCAAGGAGATCGATGCGAGAGACTGGACAAGGGAAAGGGGGGTATGAGCGCACAAAACCACTTATCTGGAGTGAAACAAGCTCGACGGAGGCACAAAAGACTCACAAAGGCTAAAGAGAAGAAAACCCCAACCAGCGACACCGTATATGGAGCCCTCCGCATCTCGTCTGAGTTCAGAGCACTGTTTGGATGACTGGGGGGCTCTGAAACCGATCTGACGATGTTGCTGTTAACAGCAACTTGCGATATCTGCGGTATGCTCTTAAGCAGGTTCCATGGGTGTAGCCGCTAATGAATAGATTTCCGAAGAGCCATTATCGCGACGAGCTATTATTGCGAGAGAATACTAATAGGGCAATCGGATTACGTGTAGCAGCTTCCGTTATATATGGTGATGTCAATGTGGTGTCTTGTTTGGTTTCCGGGATTGTTGTGAAGCCCGAAGGAACCCCAACCAAACCAACCAACCAACCACAAAACACGTTCTAGGCTGACATAAACCATGCACGTGTCAATGCATACCCAAACACAGAAAGTGCCCCCTGGCGCGCATACACAGCCATTGTCCCCTGGCGTATGCTGGCCGGAGCAATGAATCAATCTTGACCTCTGGAACTGGGTCTGGCAATCTTGTGCCTGGTGCCCTCGCTGTGCTCGGCAACTAGCTGGGCTGCATCTCAGGATATCTCATCACCGAAATTCTGCCTCATAAAATGCTGGGTACTTGTGCACACACCATCACTGGATATCTGCAGAGTCATCATCTTTCCCCTTGAGTTAGCTATGGACTATCGCTTCCTGGATAAACAGAAAGTTCTTTCCTTCTCAGCTTGGGTAGATTGAGTTATCCCGGATGAATGCCATGAAGTTGCAATGGCCTTTTCAATATAAAAACCCTTCACTACATTAATACTCCGCTATCTGTAAGTGCCTCCTCTGCTACGCAACCCCACTGCACAAAACTCAAAGCTTAGCTCTATTATCATCCTTATCTTATCTTCCAGGTCATCGATGTCTTCTGGTATAAGGGATCAACAGAGCGACAGCTAAGAAAATACGGTAGATGAAACCCTCACTTCCTCGTGAGAATGTCACCGATGAGGCCGAAAGACAAAAACCAGAGGCTCTGTCCGATAGGCTTAGTTGTGGACTGCTAGCGAGTGCAAGGGAACGCTGATTGGAGGAATAACATTGGGTGAGATTTTGGAAAACTTTCTTCTGTAAACAGCAAGACAAAGCTTAGGGTGTGATTCTTTTAATCTTGCGGTGATGAATCAAACCGCCGCTTCCAAGGAAGGCATCGAGGGACTCAAATAGGGCTATGCTGTTAGGAGGAGTGTGCTGCTTCTACACCTGCTCTTTGGCGAAATTGGAAGGGTACAGGAAGTGTCAGCGTAATATCACGGACTATATTATACATACAAGTCCTGCCGATTCATGGACAGGGTGCACGAGGCCGGGATTGGTCAAGGATCGGTGTTCTGTTCAGTGCGCACAAACAAACACCACATAGCCACACGACAACAAACACATCAATAACAGTCCGCATTTCCGTTGTTATTGCCTTGGTACCTGTTGTGCCATCGCCTTTTGATCGCCTTTGTCGACTGCGACTCTGTGGCTTGTAAGAAGCACTACTCAATCGCTAGTAGATTTTAACACAGCCTGCACGGTTGGTAGACGGTCTTTGCGAGCAGTACATGCTAGCAATTGCCGGAATATGCTGTGTCATTTGTGCGCGCTTATTTTGTAATTAGGTAAAAGACCCGTCCCTGATTACGTAATGAGATCGTGCCTGCAAGCGCGCAGGGCCATTTCTGTGGGTGCAGCACCGCAACTGTCAAACAACTATAAGTGCCTCGCATTTCCCTTGTGGTGTTTTATTCTACTTCTTCACTGTTGTTCACTCTCCTTTGAAATGGAAACGCCCACCTTCCCAATGTCCGACCCTCAGCCGCTCAACGTTGCCAGCACCATGCCAGACGAATCAGTGATCAGGCAACGAAATATAGCTGAAGGGACTCATGATACATCTACTCTCCTTGCAAACTCATCTCATGATTCAAACGATATAAGCACATCTTCCCCGCCTCAGGAGGTGGAGGTTGCGGCGACCGCCTTGCCCGAACCCTCGAAAGAACTTCCCTTGACGGCAGCACCACCTCAAGTAATCCCCACTGTGGGCCAGCAACCGAACTTTGGCATCGTGGGGTGGATGTTCAGTCCCTATCGACCTACCAACCCAAACATCTTTCACACCATCACCTCCATCCTTCTATATCCCACCATCTTCGAAGACTTATACAGGAGTGCCCTCAAATCAGACATCGTAGGCATTCTAAGAATTCTCACCTCTACCGCATCAATATGGGAGTTGTACCTCACATCCGTGCGTCTTCCAGCTCCTCCTATTCGCAATTTCAGTCGGATTGATTTTCGTCATATACTGATCCCTTGCAGGCAATATATAGCATCTTGTCAGTCCTTCGATAAGACTGACGCTACTCATGCCAACATCTTGTCTGTCTTCTTAGCGCGCATCTTATTTTCCGCTTCGTCTTTTGGTTGAAAGGCGTTCAACTCGGAAGTCGAGCTAAGAAAGCATTCTACATCGGCTTGTTCACCGCGGTCGCTGGTGTATTGCTTATAACAAAACTCAAGTCGAGAGTGACACAGCCGAGCTTCTTCGTGAGTTTCGACTCACAACATCTGGTTCTGCTTTCAACGTGTTTTTTTTAATATTTTCGGACTTTCCAGCTTCCACCTTGGGGATTCCGAGAATTTGCAATATTTGCCGTCCTCGCGGCACTTCCCAGCTACTTGGTGTGGATCTCTATACTTTCGGGTGGTTATATGCTGTGGAAGGGTGACCCGTGGCTCGTCCTTGAGATCATCATAAACAGCCTGGCGAAAATGAACTAGACCTCTTTCAATCACTTTTGGACTCAATGCAAGCTTGCAAGCAAGACCTATTACTATATCAATATCAAGCGACTGGGGGAAGGGCAGCACGTTGTCCGCGGTTCGAGAGCCGCCATTTGGTCTATTCTGCATAATATAACTAAACCTGGTGTCTGTTAATTATGCTCATGGATTAGTTTGTCAATATAGTTCACAGCATTTGTGAGGTAGGAAGGAGCTTGGTGTGAATGAGGAACGAAGATACAGATAAGGTATCCAATCAGGATCAAGCAAACTGAATGAAGGGAACGAAATCCAACCGAGATGTTAAATTCATTCTAAACGGTGGTGCTCCTCAATCTCTCCAAATATTTCTTTGCATGCTTCTTCAATGATACGGATTTGGTCCGCAATCGCAGACATAGTCAAGATGTAGAACCTGGTCGAAGTTAACATCAACATTAATTATCCGCTGGTTTTTTTTCCGCCGAACCGGAAAGAAAAAAAAGCTACCAACCATATCCGAGTGAGGTCGCCGTTCTCGATGGCTTTTTTCCCTTCTGGTGTCATAGAAAATCTGATGCTCAGGACCGCAGCATCGTGTGTGACATGCGCTACAAAGTCCTGAAGATCGGTGTCTCGAGGCAGAGGAGTCTTGGCGAGGAGACTTCCAGCAATGAGCGAGAGATGGTTCTTCATCATCAATGCGATTCGATGATGATATGGGCGGAGTGGTTTCATGATGGCTTCGATGACAGCTGGAGAGATTTGAGACGGAGTCAAAGCGGAACGCGCTTCGCTATGACGATCTATGCTAACGCTTCAACAAGAGCGCCAACTCGATGGGGAGAACCGACCCCACTTACCGAGCATAATTTGAAGTGCAGAGTATATTTTCATGACAGAAGCCACCTTGAAGGGCCGCGAGTAATCAGGTTCGTCCTTCGCAAAACTAGAAAGAAATCGACAAAATACCCATATTTCGTGCGCAAATGTGATCACTCACCTGATCAAGGGCATGAGACCCATCAACTGTCCTTGTATCTGCGCCTCACGGCGAACGAGTTCCTTCCCAACCCGCTGAACTGCATGCTCTGGCGCTTGAACCTCCGACTCGAGGGGCAATGCCGCACCAGCAAAGGCAGTGAGGATATTGCTGGCCATATAAGGGAAGCATGCGTAAACCAACAGAGTACGTTTGAAGGGGAATTGTACGCACTGGTAGCTGAGCTGGGCATAGACAACTCGAGATGCAGCCTTCCTGAGTGTTGTTCTGGCCGGATTGCGAAGAATAAAGACTTGAAAGCCAACCACGATGCCAAGCGCACACAACAATCCCGTGATAGAACGGCCCAGACGTAACCCAGGAGAGCCCCATGTCTTGCTATGTAGGATGCCAACGTTCACCTGCTCACTCATAACCTGGGTCGCTGCATGAAAGAAACAGGTGTTGGTGTCCTTCCACACAAGCCATGCGACGATCAGTCACGCACCAGCTCCGTTCAGCGACAAAAGCGCAAAAGCGAACCATTGAGGACGCTCGTGAAGCATCCATGTGAATATAACGAAATATAAGAATACGAAGGGAATGATGCCGTATGGATTAAAATGATGTCCTCCCACATTCTTGAAGACCTCTAGTACAATGGTTCCATAGATAGTTCCTAGAATGTGACCGGACGTTTGACCAATGAAACTTCGAATGCTTTGTCCTATGATAAAGTACGACACTTGATCATTGACACCCATGCGAACAGAATATCACCCTACCCAGTGTTGGCGCCCTATATCAAAGGAGGAGTTGGAATCAGTCAGATCCAAATTTCCGCAACGATACAAGGGTTCCGAATCACGACTCACATGCACACGATCAGGGTCAAAAGAGAGGTATAAATGTTATATAATATAAACCATGATCTGGTATGTTCCGCCCAAAAAAACGTCCCAAACACCAAACAAGCCCCAGTAACTTTAGCCGCCGCCATGCTGGTGGGCGAGATGAACGCTGCTTCGAGTCTTTCAAGCCCCACCCAGATATTGGACCTGTGTGGTTTGTACTCCCGAGACTGAAGAAGTGCCAAAGCCTGTCGCATTGATAAATTTGGCTCAGGAATCCCCGTCTTCTTCTCAGCCGAACCAGAACCATCTACATCTTGCGGACCTCCCTCACGGGCTTCAATATCAATATTTTGGGAGAAAACTGTTGGATCGGATAGTGCCTGATTGGTCTCTCCGGCCCTGGTTGTGAGATTATTGAGCTCTTTCTCGAATGCTTGGAGCTCTTGGGTCAGAAGTGATACACGGGGATCGCGGGGTGGAGGTGGGGATCGGAAAAAGTTTGAGAACAAGGGCGAGTGGAGCTTCAAATTTCGGACCTTGGAGAATTGACTGGGGGAAGAGTATGCACGAGAGGCCCCGACATTGGTGTACATCTGGGCGAGAACTGCTGTAAATTGACTTCATTGCGGAAAATACATATTGAGCTGCGAAACAAAGAGGTAGCGATGAACTCACTCCATTGCGAAAAGTGTCGAGAATATTCTCATTAACGAAGTATTCGTTCGGATGACATCCGGAACTTCGTCTTGAGCACCCGATGTCTCCGATGTCTCCCCCAGTAAGGTCCCCATGCCTCCTTCCCTGACGTTAGCAGGGCCCCCCATAAGCTCCGTGACCTTCACGTTAGGTCCGTAGAAAGCCTCCCATATAGATGGCTGAGACTTCGTCACTCGGAGTTCTCGACGTGCGCATTTGGAAGGGTCGACCGAAGTCACGATATCGGTGAATAGAGTCTTCTGAGACCGCTCATATGTCTAATGGAAAGCAAATTGTCGGGAGCCGGGTTAGTGATCAACATTGTCAAGATACATTCAGGATGAAGGGAAGCCAAACCTTGAACGCCCTGCGAAGTTCCTGTGCGAGGTTAACACTTCCTGGGGTATATTTGCCCAAAGACGTGGCTTCGCTTTCCGTATCAGCAATCGTCCTGGCAGCACTAGAAGGCCGCAGCCCATCCTGCTTTTCCACATCCTCTCTATTTTGTGGAACCGACGGACCCAGATTGCCACTATCACCCCCAACGCTTCCCGTTTTCAAGACACTCGCAATCTCATCTACCGTCCGCCCAATATCCAAATGCAGACTCTCGAACTCCAGCAATTTCCTGTTTTTCAGCCACTTTTCAGCAAATTGTTCCGCTCCTAGCTTCTCATAAGTCACGAGAGACGAGTAAAGCGCAATCAGGTGTAAGTGCATGGATCTGATTTGAGAAGTCATCACTTGGTAATCTTTCAGAGTGAAGCGGGAGATGGAGAGGGGTTCCCATCCGGTGAAGACGAGTTTTTGCGAAATGAATGCGTAATCGGCCTGTCAGAGAAAATTGAATGTGAAGAACAGAATAAGGCGTGCGAGCGAGAACGGGATTACTCGAATGCTCTTTGCCAGGCAGTCGCGTTCCTTGCGCTCCTCCTCCGAGATATCATGAATCACCGTTTTAGAGAGAAGGTCACTGAAAGTCCGATATTCCCGAGGGCGCGAATCAAGCCTTCTCGGACGAGACGTTCATCCGAAAGTGGGAAGATTGCAAAGTTGAAAAATAGAGCAATGGCCGCCCCCCATCTGCCCCCATCAAATGGTTGGGTTAGCATTTCATAATTGTATAGCTAGAAAATGGAACCGGAGAAAGAATCCTCGGTTCACCACCCACAAATAAGTTTTGGAATAACTTGCGAGCCATCGTGGGGAAAACGAATCCGTCAACACCGAAGTATACACTCCATCGAATGCCATAAGGATCCCCAGCAGAGCGAAAGCGAAGTATCTGAGGGGAAAGGTATTAAATATCATTCCCAAAACGAAAGTGTCGCCTACTTTAAACTGTACGCCCTCGTGAGTGAGAACAGATATGCAAAAACCCCAAACACCACAGCTTGGGCAGGCAGTGACTCGCGGCACTTGGCAAGAATCACAAACGCTGCCGCCCCGAAAAGACCTCCGCCTACACCGCTCATGACGAATTGGAATGTTTCGCCAACCGGTTTGCCTGGATACGAAGCTATAATGTAGATGGCGCTACTAGACCATGTCTGGGGGTATTTGTTCAGAGTGTTCCAATGGTCAATGAAAGGAAGCAACACGGCAAAGGTGATCGCGAGCGAGCCTGCGCAAAAATACATCATGTTGTGCCTGTGTACGGGAAGATTCGAAAGAAGGGAACGTCGTGCCTACCTTTAAGAATGCCTATTCCCTTTCTTGAGAAAGCCAGTTCGCGCAGCTCACGGAGCTTGACGGAAAGTGAGGCCGTCATTGCGGGTGTCAATTAGACGGCGACAACTGGATGGACTCAAGAGTCAAGAGGGACCGCACAATTATCTGGTCACTCAAAGACAAGAGGAAAGGATTCGGTGAGTGGAAAGGGGGATTGCAGTTGACGAAATTTTTACCCATGGATTTCTGAACGTGGGCAGGTAATTATGGGCCTTCGAGTTGGCGGGGGACCAATTCACCCGGTCCTCCGGTATCCGTGGCAAGCATAATAAACGTTACGATACTCCAGTGTTCCCGAAAGTGAATTATCCCAATCATTCCGTAGAGTGTTGCGGGGGTCCAGACTTGCTGCTTCCGGATCGCCCACCCGCAAATTGCTTTCTATGGGGTTTAGGTTTGTTCTCAGCTTCCAGTGAACCGCTGAACCCCAGGAACCGTCGTGCAGTTGACCCTGTACTTCTTCGCGTCGACCCTAATACGATGACCCATCACCTCCGGCTATCCGTCCGGTAACTTAACCAAGCAGCGGGAACCTTCTCATCAATTGCCTATCTTGGTATAAAGGAAGGGGGCTTCATATCGGAGAAACCAGCGATGGCATCGGAAATCCTTACGGCAATTGGCGAAGCCTGGGCAATCGGAGTTCGAGCCACTTCGGCGCGCGCGGCTCTGTGGCAAACGGGTTTGCGAGGCATTTGTAGTCTCACAGTTGCTTAAGGTCACAAATTGCGAAGCCATTAGTCAAAAAAAATCTATCCGTGAAATTAATTTCACGTTGAGTTTCCCGAACAGGATAAACGAACGCTAATTTCCTGGCTGCTTCAACCTTAAATTCCTTGCAGCAAGAAAGGAAGTTGGAGCCCAGTGGACCTTGGTACCGGTGCCGGGTAAGGCTACATGGTACTAAGCGCTGTAGCTGACCAACTTACCGGATCGCGGACGCAACTGCGCACATTCTCCGCCCATTTCCCTGAACCGATATATGAATCACTGAGTGGGAAGTACTACTTGTGCTTACGCACATTACCGCTTAGTCCTTGCACATGGACCTGCCAGGAAGCTAGCTCAGCTTTCATTTCGCATCAACCCGAAATTACTTACCACCACGAACTCACTTTTTTACTTTTGTTCTCAGGATAAAATGGCTTAGGTCCCCCCCCCCCCCACACACACAAGGCCCTACGATCGATCCTTACGCAGGTTGGCAATCATGAATTAGCCCTTCCATCCCGACTTCCGCGCGAACAATATTCTATATATATATAAACATTTCTGCAGTATTGAGTGATACACCCCAGACTGGGCGCCTGCACGCCGCATAGCTTCAGTACTTCATATCATTTTCCATGCCGGATTCACACACATCCGCGCGCGAGCTTATCAACTGTTATCTGGCTTCTTCTATCACCTGCCATCGCCGCGCGCTCAGACGCATGCATATGGCGTTTTTCAATTCATCTCCGTCTGTGAAATTAGTTCATCTAACCTCGTACCCCCACGTACGCACGCAACTGCCAGTACTGCAAGACCCCCTCTCATCATTTCATGACTTCCTTCACATTCAATATCCGAGAAAACGCCACCTGGTTGCTTTTAATCAATCTCCAGCGGCAACAGCCATTCATCTGCACCTCTTGCTTATGTATCGAGTGTTGCACAGTAAACAATATGCATGGGCACTGAAACTCTGATCCGAGAACTATCACCATTAGCCTATATAACAAAACTTATACGTGGTTCAATTAGAGTTTGTCCCAGTTCGGGGGTGCGATCATGCAAATGTCCGAAGTCATGAAATCGAAACTCGTGAAGGAGCGACTCGCATGGAAGGCAGATCGCTTCCAGGAACCAGGAATCAAGAACCAATTTCCCCGAAAAAAAAGAGAAAACAAACAAACAAAGTTGCTGTTCTTCCTGATTAGCATGCTGGTTTGGGTATCCACACGGATGAAAGTGGTATTGTTGTTGTTGTTGTTTGTTGTTGTTGTTTGTTTTTTTGTTTTTTCACAGCTCCTCAACATGAGCAGCAATAATAGGGCGAGCAGCAGCGGCACGCATGCCATTTCGAGGGTAGCATTATTAGCTGCAGCCTGAGCCGCCCTCCTCTCAGGTCTCAACAGACCTGGATGAGGCACGACATCTAAATTTCGGAAACGTTCGGGGGGTAACATGACTTGGAGAGGATCCCAACCATCCAAGTCTGGAGGTTGATAGGCAGGACGTCTTGGGGCCACAGGTTGACGACGAGGTGAAGTTCTGCGTCGAGGCGGATTTGCAGGTGGTCGATCAGGTACCGCCACACGGAGATGATGTTGCGGTTGATTCCCCCGAGGGGCGAAATTCGCGACTGGTGGAGGCTGCACCGGCAGAGGCGGTGGAACGTGTTGAAGGGGTGGAGGATAATGGACTCCATGAAGGACTGCCCAACCTACAGGATTGTATTGAAGACCGGCTACGACATTCATACGACGAGGGAGGGGGTTGATAGGACGTTGTGCGACACGAGGGGTCCTGGGTGGACATTGGGCACGTGATTGTGATGAAGAATTGGAGGTGGCAAGTCTGCTGGCGCTGGCAGTGGCTGATGCTGAAGTTCTTGGTGCAAGCGTGGGAGGTTCATTGGAAGCCCCGGCCGGGGGCTTGAAGGTAAGGATGGTTAGGGCCTGCAATGGGATTTCCAGTGGCGGACATATTGCGTAGATTTGGGACATCTGGTAAGATTGTCTTGATATCGATATCTGAGTCCTCCGCCTCGGGATTTTCCGCCTTGTATTTCTCAAGAGCAGCGTATGCAGCTTGGGCAACCTATCGAGGACGGTCAACCCCGGTGAATCACATGCATCAGTCTTTATCTTACTTCATCATGCCCACCTAAGGGTTCAAAAGAATGCAGCAGATCAGCATTGTGTCAGCTGCCGCAATCGTTTTACTACCTACGTCGTTCGACCGCATCCCAGAGCTCGCATTTGGTAGAATTTCTCCGAGGGCCGCCGTTCGGTGGACGTTGGGAGAAATGTTCATAACCTCTAATAACCTGTCTGCATAAATAGCAAGATAATGTGCGACAGGATGGACAGGTCATTTTATTGCACTTGTGGAACCCGAAAAGGTGTCAGAAAACCATCATTCAGACGACAGGGAATGCCTCTTACCCCATCCGTCTTGATGAACGAGTTTGAACATGTCGGACACTTTCGAGTTAGGGCAGCAGCTTAAAGTGGGAAGTCCCATGAGAATTATGCCATAGCGCGTGGACAAATATAGGGCTCACTCATAGCTTCTTCGATTACGTGTCTTGCGTCGAGTTTTTTGTCTTCTTCCACTTCTTTTGGCAGTCTCTCAGGCATTAAGACCAAAATACTCATTGATCCAGCGTACCTTTACAGCTCTTCGGAAGATGATCCTAGAGGATGTGAGTTGTGGTTCTCGTCTCAGGGGACCCGAACTTACCAGTTTCTTGCATGCACGGCAGCTGATGGCATAACATTCCTCATTCTCGCATCTGAACAACTTCTCCTCATCGTTCTCGATCACAACGGAGTACGGACAGAATGGGCAGGACTTGGGAGAAAAGGTAAGCAAAAATGATCTCAATAAGCTAATTGGATTCCTTGCGCACCTCAAGGCCGTCAATCGCAGCTTCTTGAATAGATTTCTCTTGCTTAATGCGTTCCCAAAGCGTGATCATTTTTTCGGGGAGGAAGCGAGCCACTTCGGTACGATGAAAGTGCTACCAGGCTGGATCAGCACGCCTGCAGCAAAAGGAGAGTGAAGCAGCCATACCTCTTTACATCCTGACTGGTCCATGCAAACGATGTCCTAGTGAAGAATGGTTTCGCTCCATTCACTCCTCAGAGCACCGAGGGACGCACCACTTTCCGATTTCCTATCGCCTCCTCAGCATGCCTCCGCGCACACTCTTTACAGAACAAATGGGCCTCAGGACACTGGACCATTTCCTCCTGTAACATGATGTCATCAAGTTGAATGTTCTCCCAGCTATGAACAGCCTTACAAATGCGTATTCGCCAAAGCAGCAACCACATTCGATGTTCGCCGCCGGATCTACTTCCTGGGGATTATCCACGGGTGCACCTTCAATCCGCTTAGCATCTTCGAAATAGGGAGAATGATTCTGCACGGAAGACTATAACATACCGCGTTGCTCTGCAACCCAGAGCCTTTCAGCTTCAAAATAATCGCTCTTATAATGGCTCTTCGAGACTGACTTGCGTAGGTAGGTACGTTTACGGAATGACGGAGTTCTTGACTCGTTGTCCTTTTCAAGCTGAAAGTAGGAGGGCGCGTATAATCCCTTCCCGACGCCTGAGAACACCTTGCGGATATGCTGACTGGGGATGGACGGGAAGTTTTCATGCAAATGCGCCTGACGAGCAGTTCATTTACCATTCCCCCTCAAAAAAAGAAAGGCTATGTTTACCAAGGAAAGGCTTTTGTAATGCAGACCATCGCCATTGCGATTCAGACTTGTGTAATCAATCTTAGCTTCTTTGGCTTTTCCTTTTGGGTCCTCTTGCTCATATTCAGGTTTCTTTCGTTTTCGCTCTAACTAGAAGGGGCGTTAAGGAGAGCAGCTCAGAGGACTGGGAAATGTTACCTTTGGATAACGAGATTCTTCCAAAAGATGGTGTATGACAACTTCATGCGTCCTTGTTTTGTGTTGATCGAAGAAACGTTGACAGAGCGATGTAGCATATGAAAGTTCAACATCAGGCACAAAGTCCAGGACTTTGGCCAATGCAACCTCTTCGGAATATGCTGTCTCTGCGTGTATCTAAGATTTGAAGGTGAGTACACCACAATGTACAAGGAGCCCCAGCCTGCCAAGCGGGGCAAACCCACCTGTCCCTCGCCAGTCTGCGCCTCTCGCATCCCATGACCACTTGTACCAGACTGAGAAAAGCCCTCCATGCGGGAACCGGAGACACTGCCTGCCGAAGTTGTCAGTGTGGAGCACATTGTTAACTTGCACCAACCTGACTTTCGGCGCGAAGGTTAGAGCTTGACGCTGTTAGCGGTGGTGGGCTGGGGAGGATTACTATGTCGTCGTCCGTGTCGTCAATATCAATCAACGGCGTTCGTTTGATTGGGCCTCGAGACCCGGAGGCACGACTGAGGCTTTCCACCGCATGGTTATCGCGCATGGCCAACTTGCCCTCCCGAATTGGTGAAGCATCCACATCGATGGCATGGGGAGAGGATGAGATATCATATACTGCAGAAGGCATAGCGTTTAAAACAGGGGCATGGCGAAGCGGTATGTCCCAGGGCGATATGATACCTGCGAAACTGGCTTCGGAAAGCAAACAGAATTGGACTTCTTACATAAGCAAGGCGCTTCAACTTGGCGGTCGCTATATACTAAAACAATATTGGCACCACTCTTTGGCTAGTATCCTCATCCTACTTATCCGTCACCGTGGGGTGAACCATGTGGACGTCAGGCTGCTTTTGCAACAATCCCAGGCCCTGCAGCGGCGCGCTGCCGAAATCATCCACCTACTTTTGGTTTTGGTCTCATTGGCAAGCAGGACAGTACTAGTGAGATGGACTGTACCCACAACTCGGCACATAAGTTGAATATTGCTCCGCATTCCAAGAATCCACTATGAACTTAGTCGCCTGTGGCTTGCAGGTGTGGCTTGATTCTATTGTTCACAATCCGATTAAGTACTGAATCATATCTGGGAGACCTTTCTTGAACTGGTTTCACCACCTCGCTCTGTTTTAGTTTTATCTCACAAGGAACATTCTACATCTCCGCCGAGCAGCAAACGAGCGAAACCTGCATGATGATCTACGGGCTGAAGGTGCTGAAACAGCGGAACAACCACACACATGACATGAGGCAATCTTAGTTTCATTCACCCAGCATCTTATATGTGAGGATTGTGGCCCTGCGTGGGGCAAAAGGGAAAAATGGATAAACACTGATGGTGTGGGATTGCCGGGGGGATAACAGCATGCAAATAATGACAGGACTCATACAGTCGGAGTTCGACAAGAATATTAAAGGCCTAACAGATTGTGACCCAAGAAAACTGTCCGTAAGTGTGACGAACCCATTTCCACTTGACCCCGGGCCGCGGGAGCGACCCCACAGGGGGGAGCTATAATATAATGGAGTCTATGGCGAGGGAGAACACCACCAATCGCGCTGCGCCCGGATAGCGCTCCTGACGCATGGCTGGTTCGCTGTGAACTTACTCCGGTGGTGGCGCTTCCTGCGCTTTGCGCTCGCCATCCAGCGCCAGCGCATGGCAGTGTCCCAATTAACGTGCCAATGGCGAATTTGCGGGACTGTACATCCTCAAATTTACTTCCCACTAAGCCAGGCGACAGATAAATATAATACTACCTGGCACGACAATTCGGTGCAGGCTTCATGCCAGCGTGAAATTAGGCGACCACATGCAATGCCAGAATGGTTTTGGCTATTGATATGATGCCGTGAGAAGAAGATGTGCCTTCCGCAATGGCATGATTTGCCTCCGAGATCGTCCGATAGCCTGTAATTGCAAATGTCGAATGCATCATCCATTCGCGTGTTTGCTTCCCGGAACGTGTTACTCCCTGGCCTGGACGACCCCGTGCCTGCCATTGTACATGTCGATCTTTCCACGGGAAAGATCGTGAAAGTCGCACCCGAGTTCCACGATACGACTCATGATCCTCTAGGTCAGCAGGATCATGTCGATCTCGGTGACAAGTATCTTCTTCCTGGCCTCGTTGAGTACGTGTGTCGATCTTCCGCTCCGACCATCCAAGCCGGGGATAGATCTCATCACCATTCGTCGAACTCCACAGTCCTCATGTTCATTTGAACGAGCCAGGGAGAACTTCATGGGAAGGTTTCGAAACTGGTACCCGCGCCGCGCTGGCCGGAGGAATCACCACTCTGATTGATATGCCACTGAACTCCATTCCCCCTACCACAACTGTCGGGAATTTGGAAACAAAACGTGCTGCCGCCCTGGGCCAGTGTTGGACGGACGTGGGTTTTTGGGGAGGCGTAATTCCCGGAAATCAGGTAAGTTCAGTACATGCTGTGATTCTGCTGTCAGAACTCACTCAGAATCTCAAGGGGAATTTAAGGTCTCTGATCGACGCAGGGGTCAAGGGCTTCAAATGCTTCATGATCGAAAGTGGTGTCGAGGTAGGGCTAACTTACGTGCTCTCAATAGATGGTCCGTCCACAAAAAGTATTCCAACTTCCATAGGAATTTCCTTGTGTCTCCGAGGACGACCTCAATAAAGCAGCGCCCGAAATAGCAGGACGTTCCGTACTCCTATTTCACGCCGAAGTTGACGATTCCTCAAACCACTCCGATGACGACCTGACAGATCCCAACCCTGACCGTACCTCGTACACGACGTTTCTCCAATCTCGCCCCTCATCTCTGGAAACCTCTGCCATTGCGCGAGTAATAGCCTCCTCAAGCGATTCCCCCACCTCGACGCGCACATCGTCCATCTGTCCACTGCTGCTGCTCTCCCTCTTATTCGACAAGCTAAAGAAGCTTCGCTCAAACTCACCGTCGAAACATGTTTCCATTACCTCTGCCTCGCATCTCATGCCATTCCAATGGGCAACCAGAATTCAAATGCTGTCCTCCTATACGGGATCAGAACAACCAAGATGAACTCTGGGCCGCTCTCGATAGTGGGCTTATCGATTGCGTCGTCTCTGACCATTCCCCTTGTGTTGCAGAGTTGAAGAGGAGCGTAACTGCAAGTGGGGACGGCGATTTCATCTCTGCTTGGGGCGGCATCTCAACACTTGGCTTGGGCTTGAGCTTGTTGTGGACAGAAGGGGTGAGAAAAAGGCAAATCAAGCCTGGAAAAGTTGTCAGATGGATAAGTGAGGCCTCCGCGAAGCATGGGAGAATTAACGATACGAAGGGATCCATCGCGGTGGGGAAGGATGGAGATTTGGTCGTTTTTGATCCGGAAGAGCAGTTCATGGTTCGCGTTGTGGCCATTCCAGCATACTGTTCTTGACTGATCCATCCTTCACTTTCAGATAACTAATGAGGCTTGAGGACTAGGAATAAGCTCACTCCCTACGCCGGATCGCACGTTTACGGGCAAGTCAAGCAAGTATACATCCGTGGAAACTAGTTTTCGACGTGCTGCTCAAGGATGGCGGGTTCCGTGGGTTGGAGAAGGAAGGTCAGTTGATTTAAGGTGACTTGACCTAAGGCACTGCGGTCCTTGATTTCGAAACCCTCGGTTCCAATGGATCCAGGAGATGCTGTATGAACGTTCATTGGACTCTAATCCTGCTACAATGTTTCCCAATGCTACAACTACCAATGTACAAAACGAGGCGAAGATCACTGTACACAACCAAGCTGCGCCACCATCACGCATTTCCCGTCAGAAGCTGCAACGATACAGTGCTTGTTCCAGAAGGAGTAACGAGTAAGAGAACTCCCTCTTCGGCATTCGGGGCGCTCTCGATACTATAACCCGAAGGGAGGAATGCACCGAATCCTCTTATGAGGAGGGACGCCCAGAAAAGAGTGTCAGCACCTGATCAAGGACTCCATTCGTGTCAATCCTTCCCATTAAAGATAATAGGTTGAATATCGTTTTGCGACGTCACTGAAGTGCTCTGGGCACTAAACTTACCGCCGGCTCCTGAAATCTTTCATAGTATCTAGGAATTGAGTATAAACGTGTGGTCGATCGCGGAATGCGGCTTTCACCAGTTCCAGATAGGATAGGGCATCTGTTATAGTGGGGTTTTGCGACTCTGATAAGCCTGACCTGGTTCCGGTGTGGGTCTTACGTTGAATTATAGAGTCAGGAGATCCAAATGCAGCATTTATAGGCAACCATCATCATGCTCACACTACTGGAATCATCGGATAAATTTTCTCGATGATCGCTCGCACGAAGAGACTCAATAGTTTCTGGTTCTTCCGACGGGTGAAAAGGGGGTAATGGAATTCAGATTTCAAGTGATGGGAGGCCAGCAACCTAAGCGCTCACTACCATTTGACCCCTCTGTCTGTCCTTCTAAAGTCATTTGTGCCAAGGAACGGCTGGCCTCTTCTACAAAGTTATTTCGTGCCGTCAATGGCATATATCAAGTTGGAGTCAGCCTTTTGGGGAGCCGGCAGAGGTTGTCCTTGTGTGGGTTCCGCGAGTTCGGAGCCGAGTTTGCGGAGGCCGTGGGAATTCGTGAGAGTTGCGTCCGACTTTTCGGTGGCCCGCCCATCAGACTCTTTGCCTTCGTCAATACGGCATCGGGTGCTTGTATTTCTTGGAATGGAAATATCGTAACGGATAGCCTTGTTAGGTCCATAAAGGAAAGCTCCGTCGGCAAAACGTCATAGTGACGATCAAACTCGTGCTACAAACACTTCTCACTGGGTTCAACGATGTCGGTCAAGTCTCGTTACTTTGAAAATCCCTATGCACGTACAGATACACCGCTCCCCAAGGTTCACTTAGACACACACTCTGGACTCACGAAATGTCTGGAGCGACTCATCAGGAAGTATCCGCCTTCGAAGGTTTCTCCCTTCGGGGGCTTATACTACGGCGCGGCGTCCGTTTCCTACCTCTTCCATTCCCTTTCATTCCACTATCCAGACCTAATAATCGCCGAAAAAGACCTTGAATACTGGCAAAAAGCATACCTCCACCTCCTCCAGAAATACACACAAGAGTTTCATAACCCGCGCCCATCTCACTGTGGAGTAGGAGACGACAAGCTCACACTTTTGGCTCTTGAGGCTGCGACAACAACGAATGAAAATTCCCTGAAGGATCTCTGCAACTGGGCTCGTACGATTATAGAAGATGAGAAGCACAATTCAAAACAAGCCAGCAATGAGTGGCTTTACGGTCGAGCGGGATACCTTTACCTCCTCCGCTTGGCCGCCTCCGGGTTCAAGGAAAATGCTTCCATCACCGATCTGGTCAATCAGGCAGCTTCGGTCGTAATCGAGACCATACTGGCTGCTCCAAGACCTTGGACGTGGCATGGAAGCTCGTATATCGGTGGCGTCCATGGGACCATCGGAATCATCGTTCAGATCGTCCTTACCAATCCATCTTACGCCGATCGCGTGCGCGATGACCTGAAACAAGTCCTAGACTTACAAAACAGCCTCAACGGAAATTGGCCGTCATCCCTAGAAAGCGAAAACAATGATCGACTTGTTCAATTCTGTCATGGGGCAACGGGAGTCGTACATTCGCTTATCCGACTGCGACCTTACTTCCCAGACCTTCAAGAGCGGATTGACGCCGCTATCGAAACAGGAAGGCAGTGCATTTGGGAGAGGGGCATTCTCACCAAGGAACCGTGCCTTTGTCATGGCACTACAGGAAGCGCGCTTACGTTAGACCAGCCGAGGCGCCAAGTGATGGTGAGCTATACTACCGAGGATCGTATCAAGCGCAAGATCACCCAGAAGGTCATGGAGCCTGCACAAGATGGTGAAGGACTGTGGACCGGAATTGCTGGGAGAGCATGGGCATGGGCCGTTGTTGATAAGGGGCTTGCATCGACCTTCCTAGGGTATGATGATGTATAAAATGGTTAGAGGTACGGGAATGCGAATCACACGAGGATCCATTCTGATGAATAGATCGCGACACGTCCCGGGATTCAGACACCGTATCCGGAGATTGCTCGCAGTCACTTCTTGGCGCATCTCAATGAAATGATTATGTTGATAAATACAATGCGTAGGCGGTGTAATGTACTTCAAACGGAATATGGCTATGAAAGACATAATCGTCTATCCAAATTTACAGCTCATCATGGCCTGGGGGAGGAGCGTCAGGACCGCCAGCGCCATCATATAACTTGCTGGTGATGGGCTGGACGATGGCCTGCACCTCAGCAAGCTTCTCGTCAAGCTCGTCAGCGCTTGCCGACTGCCCGTTAGCATCAACCCACTCGGTGGCTTCCTTGACAGCGGCTAGAATAGTCTTCTTATCTTCATCCGACACCTTGCCACCGAGTCCCTCGTTGTCACCTAGTTGAGACTTGAGACCCCAGACATAGTTCTGGAGACCATTAAGGGCCTCAATGCGTTTGCGCTGAACCTCATCCTCAGACGCGAATTCCTCGGCTTCACGAACCATGCGGTCAATGTCTTCCTGACTAAGGCGACCCTTCTCGTTTGTGATGGTAATGGACTCTGACTTGCCACTGAGCGAGGCCTCGTTAGTTAATGCAATTCCGAATCGACGGGGCACACTTACGTTCCCTTATCTGAGGCTGATACCTTTAAGATACCGTTGGCATCAATCTCGAAAGTAACTTCAATCTGAGGAACACCACGGGGAGCCGGAGGTATACCGTTCAACTCGAACTTGCCCAAAAGATTGTTGTCCTTGGTCAACGAGCGTTCACCTTCATAAACTTGGATCAAGACAGTGGGCTGATTATCGGCAGCGGTAGAGAAGATTTGGGTCTTGCGGGTAGGGATGACAGTGTTGCGGGGGATAAGTTTAGTGAAGACACCGCCGGTGGTCTCAATACCGACGGACAGAGGGCAAACGTCGACAAGAACGATGTCGTCAAGGCCTTCCTCACCAGCGAGGATACCACCCTGGACAGCAGCACCATAGGCAACGGCTTCATCAGGGTTGATACTCTTCGAAGGCTCTTTGCCAAAGAACTCCTTGAGAAGTTGTTGAACCTTAGGAATGCGGGTAGAACCACCGACAAGGACAATCTAAAGATAACGGTTTCAGAATCGCAGCTCGAGTTACCGAACGGTTTGCGCACCTCGGAAATATCTTCCTTCTTGACGCCGGCATCCTTCAGAACCTGCTCAACTGGCTTCAAGGTCTTCCTGAAGAGATCCATGTTAAGTTCTTCGAACTTAGCGCGAGTGAGGGTCTCGGAGAAGTCATTGCCGCCCTCGAAACTCTCAATGTCAAGCTTGGTCGACATTTGAGAAGAGAGAGTGCGCTTAGCCTTCTCAACTTCACGCTTCAACTTTCCGAGAGCGCGCTGGTTGCTAGAAACATCGGTACCCGTCTTCTGTTTGTAAAGCTTGATGAAGTGATCAATGACACGGTTGTCGAAGTCTTCACCACCCAAATGAGTGTCACCAGCGGTGGCCAGCACCTCAAAGACGCCATCTTCAATGCTGAGGAGGGAGACATCAAAGGTACCTCCACCAAGGTCGTAGACGACAATCTGAGACTCCCCGCCCTTCTTGTCGAGACCATAGGCGATGGCAGCAGCAGTAGGCTCATTGACAATCCGGAGAACATTTAGGCCTGCGATCGTACCGGCGTCCTTGGTGGCCTGACGCTGGGCATCATTGAAGTCTGAAGAATTCGGCAACCCCCCGTCAGTTCACAAGGATCAATGTGGGGGTTGGTTACCTACAGGCCGGGACAGTTACAACTGCGTTGACGACCTTCTTGCCCAAATAGGCCTCAGCGGTTTCTTTCATCTTTATAAGAACCATGGCGCTGATCTCCTCGGGAGTCTACAAATCGAATAAAAATTTTAGTTCGATATCCAGCATGTACGGAATGGAGAGCCACACACAAATTCCCTGAGCTCATGCTTGTGCTTAACCTGAATCACTGGCTTTCCATTCTTAGGAATAACATTGAAAGGCCAGTGCTTCATATCACGCTTAACCTCAGCTTCGTCGAAGTTGCGCCCAATAAGACGTTTGGCATCGAAGACTGTGTTTTCTGGATTGGTATGGAATGCATTCTTTGCCGAATCACCAATTAGACGCTCTTCCTCGGAGAAGGAGACCCAAGATGGAGTGATACGATGGCCTTGATCATTTGCGATTATTTCAACGTGTCCCTTTCGCTGTATGCTAGCCATGAAAGGGTATGCTGTAAGTGTTTACGATACAGCAGGCGAGAAAGAGTGCTCAAACCTACCCGACACAAGAGTATGTTGTCCTGTTTTCATAGAGGTAATGAGGCGAATGAGGCTCGACTGCTGGTGTATATAGATCCAATAGTTGTGGCTTACCCAAGATCTGCGGGGAACGTGTATGAGCAGGACGAAAGTTAGTGAACGAAATGAAGTGCAATACCTATTCCAATTACGGGGCCAGTGTCCTTCTTGTCCTCATCGGCTCGGACAAAACTCCCGGAAAGTAATAAAAAGAAGAAGAGAGTGAGGAACTTGAGCATGGCTGGACGCCCCATAGCAGGGAAGGGGTATAGAGGGTTGAGTTGGTGGTGGTCAGACGAGGGAAAGAGCAACACTGACTTTCACTTGAGATTTTATAGGATTCGAAAGCTGCTACGTGTCCAAAAAATAATGACCACGTGACTTCCACGTCGCGGTTCAATCCATCACCACGTCAAATTTAATTCAGTTCATCACAGCTTTTTTGTCCAATCTTTGTCATCGTAACATTGCCACATCAAACTTTATCGCCACAGCTTCATGATCAGGGCTCCAAAGAGATCAGTCCATACCTACCAAAGGCCACGTCAACAAACCGGACACGATGAAACTACCTGACACGCACTTTCCAGTCACACGCCATCCCGGTTCGGTGGCACTAAGTCTTTCCGCCACACCTTCCTCAAGCCCAACAACTACTTCTGCCTTACATGTCCTGAGAGAAAGAATCGGAAACAGGCCTCGGACTGGCCCTATTAGAGAGTAATTCATTGCATGGCTCGCACTGGGAGTAAATATCAATACCTATGGCATCGGAGAAGGAGGTTGTGGGTGGCCACTTGACGTCTGCGGTAAGCCTAGAGGATTCGGTGAATGTGTGCCGGCTCTGCATTCATCTCCCGACCGACTTTCTATAGCTTTAAATTAAGTTTAACGAGGGTATCAACTTGTCAGTGTAATAGGCTTCGTACTTCAAATCACCCTTGAAGATAACCAGTCCTGAGCCTTTCAGACTCGTGCAAAGTATTTCTTGGGATGGAAGGGACCAAAAGGAGTTGGGGAGAGTCCAAAATGTTTCTGCCGTCTTCAATGTCCCATCGCCTTCTGTGGGGGATGGAATTCCGAGTGGAGTTGACGGGTCAACGGCGAGTTTGAATGTTCCGTCCGAAACGTATGCCCTCCATCGAGACATTAGCTCATCAAGGGATCGGATGTCATCCTTGGAGTGCTCCTCAGAGGTGCCGCTGTTGAAAAAAGACGCCCAGTCGGTGCTAGACGAAAGTAGGGCGGCGTAGTCCCCTGGGACAACATCCGAAACGAACCAAGGGATAAGCTTAGGACTAAAGATATTAGTGAGTATTGAACTGAAATTTTAGCAGTACGATTGAGCTAAATTGACGGACTGGAAGATGACTTGTGAGACGAAAGGCGTATGTGTAACAAGAAAATCGGCCAACACCAGATCTGTGAACAACTGAAGAGGCGCTCTGATGAGTCAGTTCCCCAGGAAGTGTCATTGCTCGGGTTAGGCAAACATACCTCGAATCCTGCTACGAACGGTCGCCATTAAAGCTTGTCAGTGGTGGTGTTTTGCAGTGTCGTGACCGTCTCCTTACAATTGTCCAGAATTATGTCAATTCTAGCATCCTTAAGACTCCTCACAAGTTGCCAAACAGCCTTCGAATCATTTCGAAGGATGAAAGCTTGGCCGGCAGCTCGTGCCGCTTTCCCCACAGACTGCAAGGTATGAATGTCACTATAATCCATCGTTGGCAACAGCGATAGATCTGTCGCGTTTCCCCTGAGAATGGAAGAATCAACGATCATGGAGGGTCGAGTTGAAAATGGCTTACCATAAACACATCTGAATCATTTCATCAAACAAAATCTCGAGCTGCTCTTCCTTCAGATATCCTTTCTCTCCTGACCCTAATTCAAGCATGGTATTGGCGATATCTGATTAGATGTCTGCATTCAGGGGCAGATCCCGGGAAAAAATAATGATTGATGGATCCTACGGTATATTGCATTCCCACTTGCTTTGAAAGCCGATGTCTTCTGCTCTAGGAACGGATCGTATTGTTGCCACAGGGGCATCAGCGCAAACCATGCACGGATTAGCCGATACCTAGATACTGGCCATCATCGCGCCGATATTGTCAAGCTGCATGGAGATTCTCACAAATAGCATCTAGATGGCCATGTGCACCAGACTTTGGGAAAGGATGTTCCATCAAATGAATGAACAATGGCTTACTCTGCGAATAACCAGGGGGCAGTGAACCAGGTGTTATTGTTCTCCTCTTCCAAGCGTTTGAGCTCTCTATTATAAACCACGATGTCTAATCCACCATCGTCGGGGAGGTCCACGAGAGCCCTGTTATGAGCCATTCCATACTTGAGCTCGGCGAGTTTCGATATGAGTTCCTTCCCATTGTTGACCATGTCAACATGAGAATCCCTGTCAGCACCCATGGATATGTTATGGTTTCTGCGATAAATATTATCGATGATGCTCGTAAGGATCACTGGCCATCGCCTCGCTGGTCAGACCCAGTAGCGATGTCGAAGTGTGTGAGCACGGCAATTATTGCAGGGCATGATCATCGTAGGGCATACCAGCTGTCTCGTATGCAAAACTAACATCGGGAATATATGGTCAACAGCATACCAGGGATTATCTGTGGCTCACGAATCTTTATCTTTAGGCGACCATGGAGCGACTGGTGGCACTGTTTGACTCATCGCTCGATCGTCTTGTTGGAAATGCCGCGGAAACGAATATATGTACCCTTCCGTGGGAATCGAGTCAATCTGCTGCGGCGGACTTAATCCCAAAAGCTGTTGTTGTCAACACCACCTTTGTACCTTTGTGACCAGTGTTAAAAATCATCCGGTATATGCAGAGGTATAAAGGTCCAATGAAAATGCGCGGCCCTTCCTTCATTCTCTTTCCTTCACTTCACAGCGTCCTGGGGACGTTGTCGCGTTGCGACCTTTGACCATACTTGCGCCACTGCTCGTTATTAAGGAATGTTGTCGATCGCCTCCGCCATCGTCTTCTTCACCACCATTTGTTCACCCTCCGTGCTCGGCCACGGACTTGTCGAGTATGACAGCGTCTTCTTGAGCAAGCTGTTCTTGGCATTAACGATTTGCATTCATTCAGGTCCATCAAATTCGATGAAGTGTCGTATGACGGCTACCCTGCATACACCTATATGGCGATGAATCCTCTTCCCAAGCGCATAGTTCGTGCCATGCATAGTAACGGCCCCATTACGGATGTCAACTCGTTGACTTTGGCTTGCAATGACCCCGGTGATGTCGCGGCTTTGGTGGCAACGGTTTCGGCTGGTGCAACCGTCAAATATCACTGGAACGAATGGCCTTCGTCCCATAAAGGCCCAATTGTACGTGTGCACCTTTTGACACGTTCGTCCATTCACCTCCGAACGTGTTTTCAGACCAACTACGTACGAGATGCTTTATTCTGAGAGTGATGGATAAGCAGCTCATCTGTACCCCAAACATATAGCTCGCGTCTTGTCATGGAGATTGCACCACTTTCAACGCAACTGACGGAGAATGGTTCAAAATCGACCAATCTGGCCTGGACAACGCCACTGGAAATTGGGCTACCGACACGTTTATTGCAAAGTGTGTCCCTACCTTACCAACCCTCTTCCACAACTGATGAATGGCTTCAGTAACTTCACTTACACTTTCAAGCTCCCATCTCACATCCCGTCGGGGCAATACCTCCTCCGCCATGAAATCCTTGCCTTGCATCAGACCGGGGTACCACAATATTATCCCTCGTGTGCTCAAATCAACATCCAGGGTGGTGATGGTGGGCTTCCCCCTGAGAAATATCTCGCCAAGTTTCCTGGCGGTGCGTATGCAATCTAGCCCTCGCTCAGGAAGAATCCCAACCATTATATGTCTGTCACAGTGTATAAGCTGTCGGATTCAGGCGCCGCCATCAACATTTACTATCCCAAACCCACCTCCTACGAGATTGAGGGGCCTCAAATTGATGGTAGGCTGTCACCAGCTGCAAAGTAGGACCAGCTGACGTGAAACTTGTAGCTGGCCTTTACGCCTCTGGTGACACCCCCACAAGTGTTCCTGACCCATATCCTCCCACAACCACAACCACCCCTACCCCCGTCGCTGGCTCTAGTACCTCGTCCACTCCCACTCCCCGTTCCACCCCTACCTCTGCCGCTGACTCCAATACCTCATTCCTTACCCCTTCTACTACTACCGGGATCCCTTCCACTTTGCAGACGCCTTCCCCCACGCAAGCTAGCGCAACTTCTCGTCATCACCATTGCTATCATCACGCACACAAGAAACCCCACAAGCCAACTATGACATCTGTATCTCCGGGAGGTCCAGGGTGGAAGAGGTCTGTGGCGCATGCGCCGAGGTTTGTCCGGAACATCCTTGCAGGATTAGCAACTTTCTAGTGGCAGTTGCCCATTTGCGTTTCCATCTGTTACACCCAATAAACAACCACTGGTATTGGTTGATGGTGTGTGCCTGAGATGAAATTCGCTCTACCTTGTTCCTTTGGGCCGTGCCTATTAATGTACTTAAATTGTGCTTAAGCCTCTTCTGGGCCTTGCATCCACGATACTATCTTCTTTCACGCATGCTCACATGTCCAACTTGTATCAGCCCCCGTATAATTCTGCTGAGAACTGGAGTCATTGACGGTAAGCGCTGCCCGGCCTACCCCTGAGTCGAACAGGGCTCGTTGCGCGTTGCGCACAGTTCATCCGGACTTCTGCACTGGCCAGTGTGTTATCGACGACCGACGATGAGTATCTACTTTAACTTCTGCGGCGCGGCGCTCCCCGTGGGAGTGCTGCGGTCACCATTTGATTTGTGCTCTTGATCGTAACTCCAATGATAATTCGACTCGGACCTGAGTCCGCGCTCCAGCGAGTACCGGGGATTGTGGCAGGTCCAGGGGAAGGTATCTGAGTAGATCAGATCAGCCGCTCAGGATTGCCGGATTTTTTCCACTCTGCCCACATGCTGGCCTTGCTGATAGCCGCTTGCTTGTCATGGCACCCGTAAAAATCCTCAAGGTTACGCCTGTGTTTGTGCCTTGTTGTGTTTCATTGTGGTTATTGTTAGATCTTTTATCCTGGTACTCACGATACGCCGGAATTACTTAGGAATGAATTCTCTCATGTCCGGCCACCCCACAAAGGTTGTCATCAATACCACCGTCGCATCTAAACAACAATAATGTCACACCATGGTTGTGCCAAATAAAAAAAAAACCAAAATGCCTCCAGAGTGTTTTCAAATAATACCCTCTCTTCCTCTGCTTGCATCTTCTTGAAGTTTAGAACATGCTGTCTGTGATTGCCATCTTTCTAAGCGTCGTTCACTTTTCTACTGCCGTGCTGGGTCACGGGCTAGTCAGGTAAGATTCCCACTTCTTGTATTCGCCTGTTACAGACTGACGATTCGTCGTATTCAAGATTTGTGTTGTTCGATGGAGTGTCATACAAGGGCTGGCCTGCAAAAAAGCCACTTACCAATCCTCCCCAAGAACGCATCGTTCGTGCCATGCAAACCAACGGGCCCATCAAGGATGTATACTCGCTTCCAATTGCCTGCAATGGAATGAACGCTCCTGCTGCGCTTGTCGCCAACATATCATCGGGCGCGAATGTGAAAATCCAGTGGGACTCGTGGCCATCGAATCATAAAGGCCCAATTGTGAGTGCATAACCCTTTCGATTCACTTTCTGAATGTGAATGGCGCTTCCCTAGACCAATTACGTGCGAAGTTCTTCAGCGTTGAGAACTTTTGACGATCCGCTAATTGATATTGATTCGCTTTAGTTGGCATCCTGTGAAGGAGATTGCACGACTTTCAATGCAACTGATGGCAAGTGGTTCAAGGTTAATGAGTCGGGATACGATAATAGCACTGGGAAATGGGCTACAGAAAAACTGATCGAGAGGTGTGCACCCTCGTGCTTGTGGCCCCTCTTCCATAGGACTGATCGCCATCTCCAGCAACCAATCTTATACCTTTACACTGCCAAAGAATATACCTGCTGGGCAGTACCTTCTTCGTCACGAAATCCTTGCGTTGCACAACACTAGGCATCCGCAGTATTACCCCTCCTGCACTCAGATTAACATCCTAAAGGGCAGTGGGGGGCTTCCATCCGGCCAGTACCTCACGAAGTTCCCTGGCGGTGAGTCACATATGCACATTTATCAACAACTCAGTATGTGCAGGAATCTGACTTTTTCGGCAGCGTATAACACGTCAGACCCCGGGTATAGTTTCAACGTATACCAACCTTCAATCCCCTTTTACCCGATCGAAGGGCCTCCGATTTCTCCCAGTAGGTTGCTATATCGTCCGCGGTGTTAAGTCCTCATCAGAAAAAATTTTAGAATTTCTGACCACACAGACCACGACTGCACCTGGTAGCGTGTGCTCACACAATAGGGGCAAACATGCTGTGAACTGGCGCCGAAAGAGAGCCACGGCTCATCTCCAGGGAAATGCTAGGAACCTACTTGATGGACTGGCTTCCAAGTCATAGGGAATCGATCCTTGTCGTTTGCGATGCACTGGCGAGAGAGTCTGAATGGCTAACACGCGTATAAATCTGATCTTAATTGCGCATGTGCCCGAAGGTTTTAGCCACGATATATAGGCAATATTTTGTTTACCACTATAAATTGAGATCCTAGGCTCGTACCCAGCCGTTCTGTATATCTTATCAGAACATCAACTCCCTAAGTGACTGCACAAATAAGCGACGCTAACTGTACATCGCAATACATCCCTACCTACAACAAATGTCCTTGCCCTAAATGCATCCTACCTCCAAACACTCAAGGATAAATCGGATTCTTGCGGCTTAACGAAGCAACCAGCTACGCCACAACCCCGCCTCGGGGCCCCCCGCTTCTTTTACTCAGGCATATATACTACCGACTATATCGAATTCTCTGAGCATTACGAGTGATTGTTTGGTACAGGATAATATTATGTTGTCATGCAACGCGACGCGCGTGGCCAGTGAATTCGAACTTTAATTTTTATCGGATCTTGCATAGACACATGGCCCCCGTCCTTTGGAATGTTATGTTCTTGCGTCAAGTAAGTTATATATACAGTAGCCAGTATTAGAATTATGAACTAGCGTCGTACGTCGGAGCGCTCAGTTCCAAGTACGTATGTGAACTGAGAGAGGAAAAAAAATTGCCCGATCGCAAATCATCCTCGACTGCATTCATCAACATAAACTCCAGGAATGGAAACATCGGACAATCCTGTAGGGAAATGTCCGTGCGCAAGAAATAAATATAATCCGCAGGACTCAATGAACAGTCCACAGCGTTCGAATCAAGAAACTTCAACAGCCAGTGTAAGTGGACCTCACCTCTTTGCCTTACGCTTTTCGCTAGTACTATTAGAATTAGTCTATGTCGCGTGAGACTCAGACTCGTATAAGAGATCTAAGATTGTAAATACCTATGTCGCGTGAGACTGCGACAAGAATTATACATGAGTTAGAAGATATAAGATGGTTCTCACCTCAGACTCGTATAAGAGATCTGAGGGAGAAAAGTCTAAGAATTCCTCCCTTATATACGCGACATTCCTGTCGTCGTACAAAGGGAGTTTTAAGTTGAATAAGAAGGGCAAAACGTCCCCAATGCCTCAAAGCGCCCCAGAATGACCGCAACGAATAAACGCCACACAACTTCCCGATGTAAACAAAGTTGATATTCTAATAAGTACTCCGTTTACTTTGCTCGAAGGGACGTCCAGGATGCCATTTAAGTATACCCTTCACATCAACTGGGCCGTGTGCCACCATGAAGAGACGCATGGCAATACATATATATGAGGGCGCTGACATAGCGCTAATGTCCACTGCGAGCTAGAGGACAACGATAGGTGTCTAGACGCAATTAAACTATCTCCCCTAATCTCCTGTCCGCGTTTCATTCGGATCGGTGAGATCTTCAGGTTGTACTAGTTCGCATCATGCCAATCAGCGACTCGCCCCTCCTCCTGTCCTCTCACCCATGCTACATAGCTCCCTCCGCTTCCGGTGCTGTCTGAATTCTCATCAAATATCGCATTCTCCAATTTCCAGGTGGTTTTGGCGTTACTTTAGCAACGTCAAATGAGCGATATGTACCTCTATACAAGGGAGGCCTCTGTTGGAATAGAGATTGTCGGATGATGTGTAGTGTCTCTGGATCCCCCAACCGCACTATGAGGAATCTTGTAGAACATATAAAGAAGGGTATGTACCGGCGATCACACCTGCCTACTTCCTAGGTAGAACGTGGACCACAATGCGCAATGCGCTCTCCCACACAGGCCTAGTGATGTGAGTTGAACCGAAAGAACGAGTTTTGTTAAATTACTTACATGGCCATCCAAATCCCCCAAGCCAAGAAAATACTCGCACAGATCAAAGGAAGAATGATATCTATACTAAGAGAGGCTGGCAACCTACTTAGAATGATATGACATATGGCCAAGATCATGGCATGTGGCAACTGGTTCAGACCAAGCCTAGCGTCATTACTGTGGCCCGGAGCGTCACCAATTACCGATTCGGAAAGTGCGTGATCGGGCTCTGCATGGCCTGCAAGTGTGCCTTGAAATACTTCAGCCAATTCTACAGCCCCTGGTCGATTAGATGGCTTCCTACTCCAACATTCGTTTAACATATGGAGTGGGAGGAGTGAGCCACATTCGTTGAGTTGTTCAGGCGCGACGGGCAGTGTGCCACTTGCAATCGCCGTCAAGAGGGCAATGTCGGTGCGGATATCGTCGTACGGTTTTTTCTCCAGTAGGATCTGAGTCCAAAGGCCACAAACTCGTGAAAAATTGATGATCAACGGGAATCGGGTCCCTCACCTCAATGCAAGCGCAACCATAAGCGTAAACATCAGATTCCATCGTCTTCTCGTCACCATCCAGTAATTCGGGAGCTGAAAAGCGAAGGCTCATTCCAACCACCGTGGATGTGAATCCAGTAGGATTATCATCCATGATCCTCGACAGACCAAAATCACAAATGGAAGCATGTCCGTCCAGAGTGATCAGAACGTTTTGCTGAAAAACTTTGAATGTCAATCTGACTGTTCCAAAAGGAAGTAAACCACTTAACCCCCTTAATATCACCATGTACAATTGATGGTTCTTGTGAATGAAGGTAGCTTAATCCCGAGGCTACGTCAGCACACTAGAAATGTCCATCGATGATTTTCATAATCCTTAAAATAAGAAGTAGAAAGAGGATACGCACGATGAGGTCCCTATTGGCAGTAGGATGATTCTTGATGAAATTGATTACGTTCCCTTTTGGATACCATGGAGAGACGAGGCCAAGGCCATGAAGACCATCCATGTAGCCGAGCAGCGGAACCAGGTTGGCATGGTTCAGACGTGACCATACTCGCATCTCTCTTTTCAGGCGCTGGAGTGCAAGCGTTACCTTTGGCGGCCCCGCCTTTACATAGACCTACGCACCTTCCTCCGCTTCGCCTCTGGGTTCGAATGTTCTGCACAGGATACTAAATGGAGCACCTTCACGGCAACATCCTGGAAGTATTCGATCAGAATCAACCACATCCCGAGGGAACGGGTGCTGACCTGGGTTCGAGTGCCCGGGGAATCTGACATCCATGTGCCCAGGTAGACAAGCGAATACCCCCCTTTGTCGACTTGCTGCATTGAGGAGATTTGTTGGGCGAGATTATGGCAGTCAAACACCGTCAACTCATCGTGCACAGGCGCAGCATGATTCAGACTAGGGGAGATTGGGCCGCCCCGAGTTGTTTTGGCCGGTCCCCCCTCGTCTCCACTCGAATCAGAGCTGCCTTGCCAGGAGTGCTCAAGTGACCTTTTTCAAGTAGAAGTGGAAGTGGGTGCCCGAGGAATGCCGTGCAAAGTCGGTGGAGGGTTAATAGCTGGGTTTTCGGCATGCGGCGCAGAGCGAGGGTAGAAACGCTCTGGCATCACAGGGTGGCCGGCGTCACCGCCTGAGGCATCCGGTGGCCCGTCGGCTTCATAAGGGGATAGCGGAGAAGAGCGGGATGCCGGGAGACGGACGAGCAGTAGCTTGTCGTCAGGAGCATCATGCATATACTGCTGGAAAATATCGGTCAAATCCAACATTGGAGGATCGTGAGGATCGTCCGGATCGTCCGGATCGTCCAGCAGGCCTTGCGCCTGTCTGCTTGCTATCCACGATCTTATTTCATTACGAACATTGGTTACCACCCGGCTATCCTATATATATGGTGCGAGTGACGAGTGTCCAGGCGTGGGTGTCTGAGCTGTCTGAAGAGAATTGACAAAGAGCGGCACTTACGCCAGTGGGAATGGGCTGCCAACTTTTACAAACAATCCTCGATGTAGGGCACTCGCGGCAAGGATACTGTCTACTGTATGCAGAGGAGCATGATTTTCGTCGCAACCTACAAGCGAAGCATGTTCCCTTTGTTGATCCTTGATCCATCGTGCCCTATTGCTGGCGGAGTCGAAGAGACCTGGGGAGATTTGAGGGGAGGAGGGTAGGTACTTCGAGTTATACACACTGCTGTGCGAGCACAGCTATTAAACACGAGGCGGCATTTAAAGAGGGAGCGCGCGCGCGGCTCCACACAATCACGCGATAAGCGTCGACATTCACGGATTGAAACTCAGTAAAATGAGATATATCTTCTTCTCAATCCATCATAAACTCGTGAGGGAGGTGACATGTATGGGGGGGGGAATTATTACCACGGTGCATGACAGAGGAAAGAGAACGGCCAACTCAACCCCTAAGCAACCAACCACTGGAGAATCTGAAAGAACAAAGGGAAGGGGTAAACGGATCCGTAAGAAGCAGTGGGGATAGACGCAAAACCAATGATCGCAGGAGACACCGAGCAGGGGCATCCCATAAGAACTCAACGATATCAATCCCCGAATCAGAAGCACACTGTTCCTTAAACACAGCAACCTTCTCCGCAAACCCTTCCGCATCTATATAAATCACCACATCCTGTTCATCCTCCACTCTTGGCTGACCCTCACCACTTTGCTCCACGTATGAACCTGGTCCACCACCCAACACGAAGCGACGGTCAAATGTGGGGAGGGCTCTGCAGGGGAAGGTGAATGCACCAGGGCGGTAGTGAAGGAGAGAACTGGTGTGCTGGAGGAAAGTGATCATCACAAGTCAGCTGGATGAGTTCGGGAAAAAAACGAACGCTCATCAGGATGTTAAAAGACGAATAATGCGACACGAAGCAAATAAAACTCACTGCTTACAATAGATAAGGAACGGAATAATATTGTGCAATCCACAAATCTTGGAACTGCACCATATTCTCGCAGACCAAAGCACAACTCCCACATCTGAATCGAGATTTCTCCCCAAGTTTTTTCGCCTTGAACAACTCCCTTGCCCACAGATTGAAATGGTTCGTCCGAGAATGGTACCACTTTCGACAATTCGAGTTAATCGTTGGGTATATCGACCAGGAGTTAACGGATCACAGGACCGCACTGATGGGAGAGTCACTTAGGGCTTCCCAGAGATCGAGGACTTGGGAACGTGGGAGGTCATCATTTGGGAATGGGTCCCATCAGGTATGACAAAGAAGACCGACCACAGTCATGGTGGCCAGTGTGAGCAGCATGCTCAGCCTGCTGTACAAATGCTAATGAACCGTGAAAAAGTTTGCGCGATCGCGACTTGGAGCAATTTGAAATTGGGATCGAGAAGCTTTTCGTTGGATTAGATGGGACACGAGGCCAAGACTCTATGATCTAGACATTCATGATTCGTTGTCATATTTCTGAGCTGATGCTATTGATCGAAGCCGCGGACGACGCGTGTGCCAGCGCGTTGCTCAGCTGCTGACACGAATTCCTTCACGCTTTCAGCGGTGGTTTGTCTCATCTTCCTGGCTCCCTCTGGAAGATGTGGCTGAGAGGTTCGCATATACTAATAGAGGCAGGTAACCTGCCTAAGGTTCGCGTGCCGTGGCAATAAAGTCATCCAGCAGATTTTTTTGCATGGCGGGAGTTAAGGAGCTACAAGCCCGTCGCTAAGAATGGGTTGGCGTCAGATGGATATCCAGAGATTCGTTAAGAGAGAGGGACTGGTGGAGGTCAAGACTGACTGGGTGTGTGACTAAAAAGGCGCATTGAGTCACTTTATATAAGTTCGACGAAACAACTTTTGCCTCGATCAAGCTTAGCCAACTCCAATTCCAACCACTCAGGACGGCTAGTGACGGGATCGTCACATTTTCTCGGCCGCGCCCTGTGCACTCAATCACAATGAACAAGGCAGATCAGGGACAAGGATCCCATATATTGGTGGTCTATCGAGTCTAACCTCAGGAATAGCTAACGTTCGGGAGTAATTAGATGAGGAATTCATGTCATACCAATGTGGCTGATCGCTCCAGCCATTACATAATGCAATGTGCGACACTATACGATGAGTAAGCTCTCCTGCAGCTTCTAGGCGGAGCGCGGCGTCGTGACTCGCATGCCAGTACAACACCTCTGCCTGTACGCGGCCCACACTTGCTGATGGTGTGGCTGCCGGTTTAAACTCCCAAGAATGGAATGGGAACCGCGTTCAGGTTTGTTATCGTGTCAATGTTCGCTCTAGAAACCCAACTCCTAATTCTCATAATCACTTCCACATAATCACAAAGTGATCAACCATAGCGACCACAATCGACCATGCCGTGATCTCATCTTTATTTTGACAACCGCTCAGACACCGCGTGACGTAGGTGACTCCACTTCCCCGGACTCGGATGCCACAATTATTATATCATGGCAAACCAAACGCAATGGAAACACGGTGCCGAACGACACCAAATGACAGCATTCAACGGCCATCTACACAACTTGTAATTTCGCACAAGCTCCAATCGATATAATGTGAGCAAGCGCTCATGCATGCTACAAGATTGTCGCTGGAGTCCTGGGTCGCTAATATATCATGGAACCGATTAATTGACTGCACACCCACCGGGAGTTAATATCCGCGGCCCATTTGACACAATCGCGCGCACATGATGAATGCATTTGTATCCTATCAGTGCAAAAGGATCGATCGAAGCATGGTATGTTGGGCCCCGTCTGCGTCGGTAGATGCTGTAGTTGCTATACCCCGGGCTTGTTAGACAGCCAAGCACTGCATACCAAATATTAGAAGACTAGCAAGATGGCGCTTTGGTACATGAGCCAACATATGATCCAGACGTTGATGTTGAAACAAGCAACCCGCTCAGATCGAATACTCGCCACTATTCAGCGCACAAGCATGTCGATAGTCGAGATATCGACGTCAGTAGTGACAGCGTAAGTCAATAAATCGATGTCAAACACCGAAGGCTAACTGATCTACTCTTCATTTGCTGCGCGTATACTAAGTGTGCTCTCCGTTTATGCTGGCCCGCATACTTATGTGACTTTGTTGACTGGGATTCTGCCCCTGCAGACACTGGCTACATGGGTAAGCATTTCTCCGAGTTGCGTAGTATGAGACACAGGCTGGCCAGGACTTTCTTCATGGACATGCTTATGAGCTGCGGTGTCGGGAATGTGGCGAGTCTGCCAAGCCGTCCGACATGCTCAAGCCCGCCACTTTTGATGTCATCAGAACTAATCGATCTCACACACACATCGGACTTGCTACTCTCCTCGAACGCAATGGCAACAGGAATGTGTGCTGCTTATTGGGACAGTGGTCCGCTTCGCGCATCTGCGCCGAAAACATTCAGCGTACGACTGAGGCAGCGTGATTTGACCCGTTCAGGCTAAGTTGCGCGATAAATCATGGGAAAACCGCGATCGGTGAGAGAAGGCATGTGAATGCCAAAGCGGTCGTGACTGGGCGCAGTCAGGTTTCCCAGCCAGTGGCAAACAAGGGCGGAAACCTGAGGTCAGCTGGGGGCAGACTGCTAACCCGTGATTAGTCTCGTGAAATGAAGACATTAAACAACAACTAATCAGGGCTAACAACTGCTGGTAGTGGGCAACGGCCACAAAAGGCCCATGTGAAATTTGCCGCATGCGCGCGACGCGTGACCCGTGTCCTTTCAATCCAACGATGGTGGAGGTGAGGGCGGATGGTGGTGGAGGAGATGATGATGAAGCGCGTGCGTGAAAATCGAGTGAAGGCAGGTGGCCAGTTGATCAGAAGGCAGCGCCATCGAAGGCTGATACTCCCGTGAGAGTACCTTGGATTAAGATTGGGTTTTGCCGCACATAGATCAAGAAAGCATCCGAAGACCAGCGCCCAATGGCTTGGATGCGAGTCAATGGAGTTCCGGCCAGTGCCAACGCAGTGGCCCCACCCGATCGCAGCGAATGGCCACTAACATTGTTGTTAGGAAAGATCGATTGAAGGCGCGATATGAACCAAGAACGTGTTGGCACTGTTCCTTTGCTTGTCAGCCAAAGCTCAGGTAGGTGAGGAAACCGCTGATCGCGTGAAACCAAATACTTAGCGAACACCACTAACGGGTCCAATTGATTTCTACGGCTTTCCAACATGATCTGAGACCCTTCAAACAGACGATCCGCTTTGTGCATTGGTAACGTGAATGAGATGTGCGGGCGCGGGAGTTTGTTAAAATGAACACTGCGACGGGAAATGGTTTTTCAAAAATTGCGCAGCATGGAGGAATCGGGATCCACCAATTCTCCTAACCTCATCAAGCAATGCCAGCCCGTGAACACCATCGTGAGGAACAATATGTCGTCATGAGAAGGAGGGGTGGGCAAGCTACTTTGGATGCTAATGAGGTCCTCTTCTGTGAGGGCCCTCTTCCGCCTGGTGGGTGTGTTGTGCAGTTTCATGCATCCGTTGAGGCAACGCGCGATAAAAGGTGAGTTTCTGATTGTTCGAACCTCAGGCCAGGAACCTTCCAACTCTGCACAAATGCCTGAAAGGTAAGACTTTACCGATGAAGGCTGGATATAATGGCACATATAGACAATGAAGAAACTCAGCATGTTTTCAGTGGGCTTTATCGGAAATTCGTGGGTGTTGCAAAAAATGACATAAGACATGAAAGCAGAAGAGTAAGCCTTGCGAGTACTCCGTTCAAGGGAGGCACCTAAAGCATGAGCACGCTCTCCCATCAGACGCTCCATCGACCATCTCTCACGGACAGGATGTGTGGTCGAGGAGCTCCCCTGGGAATTCATACCTTGACTGCCCCCGACATGTCCAGCGGAGGTGTGAAGTGTTTAATTAAGAGTCCAGGCATATGCAAACGTGCGATGGCGAAGGCCCGTCGTGAGAGTGCATGCTTATATTTTCTTGTCTGTTCTCTTCGAACATCTTGTGATCACTGGTATGTCGCAGCATGTCTCAACCGACACACAAAACGCCGCCACAGATACTCGAGACTCGCAGCATGTCTCAGCCGAGGCCCGTGATACCACTGCAGCCACTAGAGACTCGGTCTTTGGAGGGATCGACCTTGAACAGGTTACATCCGCACCTGGCAACGGCCTCCTTCTCGATCAACTCGACAACCTTGTCTCAGGCTACTCCAATCGGTCCATCAGTTTGTATGATGCCTGCCGAGGACTCCGCCGTCTCCTCGATGGTGCCACAGAACTTACCCGAGAGCAAACCAATGAACTCTTCGACCGGTATGTTGCCCGTTTCGACCAGACGGCTGAATCTAGAGAAGAGGCAATCGTCCGTGGAACCCGGAGCCATGCACTCCCTGATCGGGGACCCGTTAGCTCTCAGCCAAATCCAATCGATCGCCCCCTCGACCGAGTTGTTGATACAGCCGATCTTTCTGGGGGAACCCATGCAGTCTCACGGGGTCGGCAGCAGCGAGATGACGATGGGGATGATGCATGAGGAGGGGCGAAGCGGCTTCGAGAGGTTGATGATGACCCCGACCCCCACTTTGCCTGGAACTGGGACCTCCCAGGAGGTAACAGACCTTGGGACACTAACTCCTTGCTCACCACCCCACAGAAAACCCTGCAGCTACGCAATATCTACAGCCTCGATGCTATGGCCGCCGTCCGGAGCCTCCTTGCACGAGGATGCTCACCACCCTTCCCCTACAGCCAATGGCGTGACCTCGTATGCGATAGACACATTGACCTCAACACCGTCGCTCCCCAGTATCACGAGGCTATCGACCTTGGAAGTGGGGCCGAGCTCACACTTAACAGAGGACATTCCAAGGGGAAAGCGAAAATTCAGACGGAAGGTGAATGGATTTTGGGTTACCAGAAATATAAGTGTGTGCTTCTCTACGCCTACCCACACCGATGGGACAAACTCAACATCTACTATGCACACATGCTGGACAAGTTTAATGTCTGCAACAACACCCTTGGCGTCATCAGATACGACTCCGCTGTCCGCAAGTTTGTCCAAGAACGACACCACCTCTGCTTCACCGATATCCACCCCTTTGGTGACATCGCTTTCAAACATCTCAACAGCGGAGGATCAGCACACAATGCACACTCTGCTCCAGGAAAGGGAAAAGGTAAACAAGGAAGAAGCCCAGGTACAATCCCTATCTGTGGAGAATTCAACACAAAAAAGGGGTGCTCTTTCAACCCATGCAAATTCAGGCACATCTGCCAGGACTGCAACGGGAATCACCCACGCTTCCAATGTACAAAAGACTCGGCTCAAAAGACGACTGCCTGAAGAAACTGAACCACTACTGGAACATGCGGGTAGGCGACCTCGACACATGCGCTTTATTTTTGGGCACAATGACTGTGGACGTACGCCATCAGCAACTTACACCGAGAGCGCTCTCCCAATCCCACGCGTGCCTGACAGTGATTACAAATACAAGGATATTACTCAGACAATTGCTAAGCACCCACACTTGTTTAAAATTGTCACGCCAATAAATGTTGACCTCTTCGAGAGCTTGTTAAGGAATCATCCAAACTGTGCACTTGTGGATTCGATGTGCCACGGGTTACGCCATGGTTTCTGGCCGTTTGCAGATACTGATGATCCCAAGTTGCAACCTGGGGGTATCGTTGCATGTCCTTCAGGTTTACCAAGCCTGGATGACGAATCAGTCGATTTTCTTCACCGGCAACATGATGCCGAGATGCTATTGGGGTGGTTCTCCGAGTCTTTCGGCGCTTCTCTCTTACCAGGGATGACAGCACAGCCAGTCTTTACTGTCCCGAAGGAAGGATCTTCAAAGCTCCGATTAGTGAACGACCATAGCGCAGGGTCAGAGTCCCTCAATTCTCTCATCCCAGCAGAGGGGGGTTTCGTTAAGCTTGACAACCTCACAGATTTAGCAACAAACATCCGGGCACAGATGGCAATCAATGGTGGTAAAAGACCTTTCTATGTGTGGAAATCTGATGCTTCTCAGGCTTATCGATGGCTTCCAATGCACCCACGTTGGCAGGTGCGTCAGGCCACACTGATTGATGGACAGTATCATGTGGACAGGTGTGCCGTGTTCGGGAATTGTGCATCTGGACGTTTGTGGTGCTTGTTCTTTGGCCTGGTCTGCTGGATCGGAATTCATGACAGAGGAATCACGAATTTATTGCACTACGTCAATGATGCTGTCACGACCCGGCGTTCCCCAGGGCCAGACGACCTCCTCCCTAACCCTCTCCCACGCCCGAACACTCCCCGCACACTCCGCTCGCCGCCCGTCGCCGTCTAACCACTTCCCGCCACCTCTCCACCACCCCTCTCTTGATTGTCATTGAACGACCTAGCGGCGCAGAGCGCCGCGACCTGTTGTCCCATGTTTCGCCGCACCTTGTTACCTCACGGCGAAGGTCACGCTTGACCTTCGTTGTCTTGAACACGTGCTCTTTGTTTGTTTTCCTCCTTCTTTTCTCCGCCCGCAATCTCCGCGAGATCTGGCGACTTATTTCCTATTCAGTTTCCTAGCGCTTATATACAGCTTGTAACTAGTGCTTGTACTGTAGTTCGAAATCAACTAGAATTACCCCCTAGAGCTTACCTCTGTCCCCGCGAGACCTCTGACCTTCTAAGTATCGGGACCGTGTCGAGAACGAGGCGCAACGCTCCTCCTAGAGTCGTTGAAGCCGAAATCCCGGCTCACTCGCCTAAGTAGCCTCGGCCTCGAGATCGGTGGGGTTTATTCCTCGCTAAAGCTCGGTCGTGTGTAGGACGCCTATTCCACTAGCGGGCAACGCTCGGTCGCCTACGGCTACCCTCGGCGAAGATTCGCACGGTTCTGACAGATGCCTTCTCTGCCAGTTTCTCCTCTTCACTCACTTTTTACATGCCTTACAACCGGAGTATACTGTCACGGCTGCGCATTCCGGCCCATTAGCCGCCCGTCCAATGCCGCCTGTGAGGCCCCGGCCCATGTCTATATTCCGCCCACAACATCAGTTGATGTTGTGTTGTGTAATAATTATGTCGCGACGCTAATTTAGCGTCGCGGAAGCTTCTCTATTTATTTGTGCCGAGAATGTATAAGATTGTATATAAACCCTCGGGGTAGCTGTAAAAGGTGGATTAGCCTTTACTTCTACCCCGTCAATATACAGCCAAATCAAGCGTATACTTAGACGGACTACTGAGGCCTGAGGCGAACGGGGGAACGGAACGTTACTGTCCCCAAACTAGTAAGATAACCTTTCACTTTTTTACGCTCTTATTCTCTTTCCATTCTCGGCACCGCATTACCGGCGCCGAAACCCCATTTGGCAACGCGCGACTTCGATCAAGTTCTCATGCGAACTTGTTGAACGACTCGACACCTCTTCTGGATGTCGTGGAGATACAACA